AAGCCCAAACCTTAACAGTTTGCGTCGAATTCCTGTAGAGATCATTAGACGTGTTGATAGGTATGTTAGCACTAACAGGTTTATCTACGTTATTATCAGATATATCAGTCTTTTTTTCGTCTTCAGCTTCAATAACGGCATTTTTCCTGTTATGAGTGAGGTGTATAGCTAACGTGTCTCACCGAAGTTGTCTGGAGATTTCTCGTTTTATCTACCTACAAAATCTTTTGATGGCTTAATATGTTATGTCAAGGCAAATTAGTTGGTTAAATCGTAGCGTTTGTCGTAGTAGGAATATCCATATACTGAATCACTTGCGATGTCATTGAGTGCAATTTGGATCAGTATGACGGATATATTTTCACGAACTTAAATAACAAACCTCTCTACCAATAAAATCAAACAAACACATTCCATGATACCTTTGGGAACGCGTTAGACCCCCTAGTCGCTCATCGCCCTTCATGGACTTATTGTACCTCCTTAATCAAAAAAGAGTTTTATCACATACTTTTCACTGAGTAAAAATTCCAACATCCTCTATATTATTACATGGTTAAAATCGTGTGCAAATGAAATTTCCGGAAGATCCGCTTAATAAAATATTTTTGAAGGGTTAATTATCCTGCATCTTTTTTGCGTGTGCTTCACGACGCTCCTCCATATCGATGATATCAGCATCACGGCCCATCGTCTCTGGAAGGAGAAGGGTGAAAGCAGCGCCAACGATAGCAATACCGAAGAAAATCCACAGTGTGTTGTCTGTTCCGATGTGCTTGGATGCTTCTCCGAAGCCTAGGGCAGCTATAATGGCGCCAACCTTACCACAAGCAGCGGAAATACCGTGACTGAATCCTTTTACACGTGTTGGGAATACCTCGGCGGGCATAATGAAGCATGTCGTATTTGCACCAAAGTTGAAGAAAAATTGCAGCAACGCGAAACATGCAAAGAATGACGCAGTGTGCTCCCTGAGATAATCAAAGGCACCTGCAAGAATAGCAAGAAAGAGCCCTTCGAGCAAAAATCCAAAAAATTGCATCCACTTGCGACCGATGTACTCGACCGTGACCATGGCAACGTAGTAACCTGTTGAACAGGTTAGCGATAGGTTAGCGATAGTAAAAAATAAGCGATTGTGCTCACCAGGAAGGAAACCTGCGGCACAGATAATTAAATTTGCTGTGGTGTTGTCCCAAATATACTGGAATGAACCAGAATTTTCATCAACCAATCCAACAGCATCGATAACGACAGATTGATTCAAGTTGATACCATAGAAGATAATGTCCATTAAAAACCACGTTGAAGTTGTACCGAGAAGGAGCTTAGCGTGTCTCCATTCACTGTAATACTCCTTAAATTCATTGAACGCACCCAACTTCTCGTACCAGACGTGCTTGGTGGGTTTGCCTGCATCAGGATCAACCTCTTCCGACTGCGTTTGCTGTGGTTGCTCTGGTGCCACTTCGATATCTTTTTCATTTGAATGAGTCGAGTTATTTGAGTTGTTTGAGTCATTTTTTTGAGATTCGATAGCCTCTGGGTGAACATTCTGGGCAGTCTGAGCTTGTAAGGCTGCTTTTGGATCATCAGCGTTGAGAATCTTGTCGTCCTTGTCTTCTCTCATCGCATTGACTGCATTGAACTTGGTCGATTCAGGAAGTCTAAGACGATGCCAGAGTGTAATGAAAGCTGGGACCAAAATGACACCAAAGCATATCCTAAAGCATGCGTTGAATTGACCAACATTTCCATGTTCTTGAATGCCAGTTTGGAAGCAAGCAAGGACGATGAGAGTTACTATCGAGGCGCCAAATTGACCCCAACCTTGAGCAGCGAAAATAAAGGCGAGCAAAGTACCACGCCTTCTCAAATTAGCCCTGTCACTAACAACAGAGGCTGACATTGGATAATCACCGCCGATACCGATACCCATGGTTACCCTGAAAACTGTTATCCAAGTAAAGAGATCAACACCGCTAAAGCCGTGCTCGCCGACAGAAGGGGGGCTGAGAGGGTGTTAGATTGAATAAGGAAAGAGAGGGAACGCACCTAATGAGAAGGATTGTCGATACAATCACAATCATCATTTCTTTACCGTAGACAGCCTTTCTACCAAATATGTCTCCTGCAGCCCCAAAACCCAGCTGACCAACAACGCAACCAATATTGGCCGCAGCTTTGGCAGTACCACCAGACAAAGAAATTTCTGAAGGGGAAGAGCTTGGCCTGCCAAAAGCGATCTGGCTCAACATAGGGAAGACCAAGTTGATAATGAAGAGATCGTACCTAAGTGAATGTTATAGTAATGTTCCGTTGTGTATCGTGCTACTAACGCATCAATGAAGAATCCAGTGCTAGCTATAAGCAACAGCTTCAACTCAGGGACTGCTGCCAAGTCAGCTGAGTGGCTGGCGCACGTTTTCACTCACACGTGGGTGCCCATCTGCGCTGCTTTGCACGTTCGTCCTGCTCATAGGTGGCAAGCGCGCCCTTCTCTTGGTAGGCGTCCATATGTGTTTTTGGTTTGAACGAGTGGTGTTGGTAGTTTTAGCTGAAAGATGTGGTTTGCGGAGTGATTGATTGAACAACGTGCGACGGAGATCGTTTTGTGATCTGAAGCGAGCGTGATGAACGGGTGGAAGGAAGGCGCGCGTTTGCATTATAAACACCCGTGGAGCGCTCGCAGCCTTTTTTAAGTCGAATTGAAAAGTTTTCGTAGCTGCCGAGCAGATTTGCGGGAGGAAACAGTAGCAACGAGAAGTATTAGCGTGCATTTTGCATCACTTTAGAAAGTCTACACGATCTCTTTATAAGTTATTTCCTATTTCGGCAGTGTCTTCATGCCAATTCAGAGTTACGTCAGAGGGGGAACGTGAACTTGTAAGAGAAGGCTAAGCTTTAAGATATTGTTCTAAACTTCATATTTCATCTATACTACGACTTAACTTAATGACGTCGGTAGATTTATTTCGCGGTGAGTGAGTCAAATGAGAGCCTTTATAGGAGTAAAGTTACTATGTTACTGGATAGCCCACTATAGCGAGCCAATGTACTCTCACATGCGACGTGCCTTCAAAAGCTACCGGTGGCCAAGCATGTGGAGGTAATTTGACACTTGTTCATGTGTTCATCTGCATCGGCAGGTGTATCAGGATTCTAATTGGCAGACTAATACACCAAACTCCACACACACACTTATCAGAAAGATCGAATCATTGTATCATTTATTATTTTATCATTTTATGCCATCTACAAATGCACCACGACAAAGGGCACGTCCTGGTCCTCCTCTTGCTCGTCGGTGACCATGACCTCGACGAGCAGGCTCTTCTGCCAAGCAGGGACTGGCTTCTTGCTTACATTCTCTACGAGATCACTGAAGCGCAGCGCCTTCCTCTCTTGCTGCTTCTTAGGAGGGAGGAAGAAAGAGTAGAGCATACTAGTGCCCTGGCTGACCATGTTCACTTCGAGTTTGTGTTGGTTCTGGAAATAATCCATGAATTCCTGCAGTGTAGGGTTACCACTGACCTCAAAGCGGTCCCACAGCGTCCACTCGACGTTGCCGTACTTAAGCTTCGGCGCGGCGATTGGGTCTGAGAACCCAAAGAAGGGGAGTGCAAGGTTGACGAAGCCGTTGTTGTATTTCTCGAGGTCCTAAAGTGTGCGTCAGTAAAGCGTCTCATTCCTCGGCCACTAACACCCACCTTCTTCCCGTCGATGACCTTGCACAGCTCCAAACAAACCAACCCGACTGCCACGGACGTCGTCGTTGCGATAGCTGGGATGATCTTGCCTGCAATCTGCTTAGTCCTGAGACGCTCTGCGGGAGTGATGCCGTAGTTAGCCGCGCGGAGATTAGATGCTGCATTAATAAAGTCGATGTGGTGGTTCGAATCGTCGTCCTTCTCGAACTCAACGGGCGTAAGGCGGAAGCCAGCGAGGGAGGAGGGAGCCGGCAGCTTTTCCTCGAGTTGCTTTACCACCACTTCATCGTCCTCCTCCTGCGCGGGCGCCGGCTCATTCTCGTTCGTCTGCACCTTCACACCACTCCGGGGTGCGAATGGCGCGACGGCCGTTTCCTCAGCTACAGCCCGGTAGCGCTCCTCTGCCACATCTCCGCGCAAGCCGTAGTTGAAGGCGTGCAGATTCGCAGCGGCCACTATGTACGCCATGTGAAGCGGGTTAGTGGCGTCAAACGCGAGCGCTTCCGGCGCGCGCTTAGGTCCCGACCAGAAAAGCGCTCCGGAGGACGTAGTCGCATCGCGCGGGAGTGAGTGGAGTAGCTGCTGGATGGAGTGGTTGTAGTGCTCCTCGAACTTGTATCGAGCCCAAACTATGCACTCGTCAAAGCTGATTGGACGAGACGCTGTCAGGGCATCCAGGATCTCCTCCAGCTGAGGACGCTGCTGCCCTCCAGAACGCAACGTCGTCTCAATGTAGCCCGGCTGAGAGAGATACATGTTCACATTGGTGGGTGGCTTGACGAACAGCGCATCAAAGTTCTCACGAGCCCATTGTATCGTGTGCTCGATGGCATTAGGGAAGTTTTTCACGGTGCACGATGGAATCTCCTTCTCCGGTGGGTCCTGTGAGGAGGAGTAGGACTCAGTGAGGTCGGGATATACGACCTGTGTGTTTGCCTTTGTGCCGAGCGTACCCGACTCTAAAAGAGGCTTTTTGTAAAACACACACCTTCTATCCACGTACTGCCTAGCAGCTACATTATCCAGTGCATTCGTCACGCCGGTGAGCGAGTTGAAAAAGTCTTCACCATACAACTCCTCCGTCTCTGGACTCACGCGCTCCTGGTAGCTGGTGATTTTACCGCGCAGGTCCTTATTCATATCTGCAACGGCCTCCGCAGCCACCTCTGCCTTAAACTTGCCGAGGTCTTTGGCGCGGAAGAGGAACTGCCTATTCAGATTGCTCTTCTCGATAGTGTCGAGATCAGTTACGTGAATCTTGCCATCTTTGCCACTGCCTAGGCCCATCATGGACCAGTTCTTGAGCATCTCACACCCAATAGCGCCCGACCCGACGAGAAACTGGCGCGCGTTTGCAATCTTGTCGTGGAACGCTTTACCAAAGATAGCAATCTGGGCGTCATAGCGGGAGCCGAGGGGCTGCACGTCTTCCTCAGATGGGAGCTGGTCAGGAAGAGACTCAAGCGAGTCAAAGTAGAGGTGTTGAAAAAGCGGGCTGAATTTACCTGAGCATCCTTTGAGAACCTCCTGCGCGGTGAAACCACCAATGACGGCGTTTACAGGGGCAAAGTCACCGCGTGCTTGGTAGGAGAGCTCACTGAGCACTTTATCGTCTACTTCCTCAGTGGTGAGCTTCTTCGCCATCTCCAAAAGTTTATGTGCATCCTCGCCATTGCGTGGACGGGGCAGATGGCCATGCTGTTCGCTGAAGGCGGAGAGGGCTTGGAAGCCGGCGTGAAGAGTGGGAGGACGGTCAAACTTGGCAAGGTCGAGGAGCACCTCTGGCTGCTTGAGCGACTCTCTAAGTGACTTGAAGGAGAAAATCTTGGGCTGCTTAACCTGGGTGAAAACACCGCCAGACGTGTACGCGTCGTAACTGGAGGTATCACCGATGGTGAAAGTGTAAGGGCCCTTAACAGAGACCTTCCTAGGCTCACTCTGGTTAAGTTGGTCCATGCCCTTGATTTCAGAGAAGGTGACGTAATCGCCATCTTCAAGGCCGTGTCTGGTATCGTCGAGACAGGTAACCATACCTTCGTTGTCATTTTCAATCTGCGCAACCATCCCAGTGATGGCTGGCTCGCCTGTAGGGTCAATGCACTTGAAAGCACTGCCGAAATCGTTGAAGACGCTGCCGAAGAGACCGCGGGTGTCAGCGGCGATGAAGCCGATATTGTGCTGGTGGCAATAATCATTGTAGTGGAGTTGCTGTGAGAGGGGAGTGTCTGTGAGGACCACGACTTTGAATGGCCTAAGAAGTGATGTGTTGAGGGATTGCGTGGAGTCAGCTGCCTGGAGGAGTTTCACAGGGACATACTGATTAAGCTCAGCAAGCTTCCCGAGGGCCACTTGGTCGCGTGGCTTCCCAATGTCAGCGTCATCGAAATAGAATTGCGAGGAGAGGTCAGCAAGCGTGACTGGGTGTGGATCGTAGATGGTGACGCTCTTGACACCGGCCAGGCAAATGTTCTTTGCAATCTCGACGCCTAATCCACGCAAACCAACGATGAGCACGTCTGACTGGCTCATGGCTTTCATTGCGTCTACGCCGAGTACAAAGAGCTGCCTCGAATAGAGAGATTCATCGATATCGTTATTATCACCATTGTCCAGCTGAATATTCTTAAGATCATCTCTCATTTCTGTGTCTGTCATTGGTGTTGGCCGTTGGTGTTCAAGAGAACAGACGTCCATGTCCGGCGATTTCTACGCGCTATTCCGGAGACAGCCGCAGAATACAGCTAGTACCACTGCCAATACCACAGCCGCTGCTCCTCCCAAGAAGAGAGGCAGGCCCATCAAGCACCAGCGCGGCGAGCAGACCAAAATGAACAGAGATGGCACTATCCACGACGCCACAAAGAAGCGGAAGAATAGCGTTATTGATATTGACGGCGATGAAGATGAGCCGGATATTAAGAAACAACAGATGCAGCCAACGCAGCCATCGACGCGGCCACTGCATCCCCTCTTTACCTCCAATTACTCGCAGAAGAGCTCCGAAAAAGCAACCGCCAAGCCCATCCAGCAGCTTAACGCTAGAATACCCTCCATCTCTGAATCGCACGTTCAACCAGACGGCGATCGCGCGATTTATGTCCATATCGGTGAAGCGCCATTTAAGAGGCGCGAAGAGGGTGTTAAAGTGGCTGAGCAGGCATGTTCATCTACAGGGATGTTCAAATTAGCTTCGTTGAGTGGCTACACGAGCTACAAGTCCGATCATAGCATCCGCGACAAGGTACATAATATAAAAAAGTCTCAGAAGACAGAGCAGGCACAGCACTCACTCATAACTCGCACACTCGCTCCGAAACACCCTTCACAAGTGCTGCACAACGGCACACTCGCCACCTACCTCTCTGCATGGATGGCGAATCTCGCACTCGGTTCTCCGCGCTGGGAGGATGTGCGAGCGGGGCAAGAGCTGCGTATGCGTGGACGTAAGGGCAAGAAAGATAATGAGGATAATTGGATAGTGGACGATATGTTCGATTTTGATTTTGATTTCGATGCTCGCGTTGAACCACCATCACAGCCCAGCTATTTACCCACACTGCCACGCACACACCACCCAGATTCCATCGAAAGTAATTGCATACTCTTGCAGGGTGCGCCTGGTAGCGGTAAGACAGCGGCGGTTTATGCGGCGGCACACGCGCTCGGCTGGGATGTCTTTGAGGTGTTCCCCGGCCAGCGGCGGAGCGGGAAGGAAGTACTAGATTTGGTGGGGGCGGTAGGCGAGAATCACATAATTGGTGGGAGTAACGTGAAACAACATAAGCGAAACACTCCAAAGCACTCTCAACACCACCCAAACCCCCACAAACAATCAGTCATTTTCCTCGAAGAGGTAGACGTGATTTTTGAGGAGGATAAGGGTTTCTGGGGAGCTGTTCAGGCACTCGCACAGTATTCCAAGCGCCCCGTCGTGCTTACGTGCAACGATGCCTCCGTTATACCCTCTACCTCAGTCATCTTGCAGACCACCCTCGAATTCAAGCGTCCTCCACACGATGTCGTGAGGAGGTATATGGTGGAGTGTGGAGGGGCAAAAAAGGAAAGCGCATACACGATGCAAACATCACACACACAACTCACTAGCTTAGACCCTCCCCCACAGGTCATCGAGGACGACAAGAGCTGGCTGGTCGATTCCGCTGGCGGCTTGTACGGCAAACACTTTGACGATGGGTGTGATCTGAGACAGGCTTTGATGCAGCTGCATGTGCAGAGCAAACAGGGAACAGAAGAAAATTGCTCGGACGAAGAAATAAAAACATATGAATCTTCGCAATCACAACTTCAATCACACACAAACACTCCCTCTAATAAACAACTCCCCTCTCTCAACTCGCTCCTCAACTCGCTCGAAGCACTGTCATTCGTCGATGCACACGTCGCACAACCACTGTGGCGATCGATGGAGGTGAGTTGTATGCATACGGTTACGCGCGACACCCTCTCACACACTGCCTCCCCCGCAGCTCCTCGAATCAGAGACGCCGAATGAGATAATAGGACATGAGACACTGGGTAGAATTACAAAAGCGGATCAGACGACACTGGCTGAGTTTACGTGTGAGGGGGACATTGGGGAGTATATTCTGGATACTGTCAACAAGGCACAAGATGGCTTTATGATTTCTCCAAACAACACACCCGCTCATCACGCACAGCAGGACATACTGCTGGATATGCGCCTTGACATGTTGGGGGCTTTTGCACCAATCATGCCCTCAGCAGTCCTCGCCGTCGACTATGCGCCGTATATCCGCCAACTGGTGGCGTGCGACGACGAGCAAGAGAGACTGGCAGTAGGGGAGATGGAAGGTAGCAGTCGGGGCACGCGCAACAGCCGCAATAGATACCGGCGGATGTACGACTTTGAAAGTGTGGCGAGCATCAAGGGGAGTTATTTGAAAGAGGGCTAGTACACCTAATGCACAATACACGCAATAAATCCAGTAAACATACGAATTTAATATATGTACCTTGTGACGTCACTAGATTTTTTAGTTTTATCGCGCTTATCAGCCGGATTTATCAATTGCGTGTGTCTCCCTCAGAATAACGACCATGATCAAGAAAACACTAGCATTACTCACGCTCGCAGCATCCACGCTGGCCACGCCGATATTCACCCAGGAATTGGCACCGATCTATGGACAGGCTCATATCGACGGTGTGACTGACCCACGCGTCCACAACTCGTACATTGTCGTTTTAAAGGACGGCGTTGAGAGTGGGTAAATAAAGAACCCACAGCCCATCTAACTTTCGCAAAGCCAGCTCTCATCTCACCACGCTCGCCCACTCGCTATCCAAACGCTCCGGCGCCGGGCGCTTCGGACATATCTACAACCTCGACCACGCGGGTGACAGCATCTTCAACGGCTACTCGCTCCATGACGTTGACGAAGACGCTGTCCACCTCCTCCGCGCAAACCCTGAAATTGATCACATTGAGCGTGACTCGATTGCGCACACACAGGATATCTATCAGGGATTAGATGAAGTGAGTGATCTGGCAGAGACTTTCGACGCAGACTCTCCCGCAACTCAAAAAGGAGCTCCTTGGGGGCTTGCGCGCATATCCCACCACAACCCACTCTCGCTCTCCACTTTCAACAAGTACGTCTACGACCCACATGGCGGAGAGGGCGTGAATGTGTACATAGTCGACACAGGTATCAACACGGCTCACGTTGAGTTCGAAGGGCGTGCACACTGGGGCAAGACGATGCCTATGGGCGATGTCGACGAGGATGGTAATGGTCACGGCTCTCACTGCGCCGGCACAATAGGCTCACGCAAGTACGGAGTTGCTAAGAAAGCACAGCTCTACGCCGTTAAGGTTCTCGGCTCAGCTGGTTCAGGCACCATGTCGGACGTCGTCGCCGGTGTCCTCTGGGCTGCCCAAGACGCCAAGAGCAAGGCTGACGCTGCGGCCGAAGAGCTCCGCCAGACTGGCTCCACTTCACACAAGGGCTCCGTCGCCAACATGTCTCTCGGTGGTGGCAAGTCGCCTGCTCTCGACAGAGCTGTTGACAAGGCAGTCGAATCGGGCTTGGCTTTCGCCGTCGCTGCCGGCAACGATAATAGGGATGCCTGTGAATACTCACCAGCCGCTTCTCAGAAAGCTGTCACTGTCGGTGCTTCAACTCTTTGGGATGAGCGTGCGTATTTCTCTAACGTTGGCAAGTGCGTTGACATATTCGCACCTGGTTTAAACATTCTGTCGGTATGGAACAGCGGTCCTAACTCGATCAACACCATCTCAGGCACGTCTATGGCCTCCCCACACACGGCGGGCGCTTTGGCCTATCTCCTCTCACTCCATGCGAACGCAGCACATAAGTCTTTCGCAAATTCAGTTTCACAGGAGATGTACGACACAGGAATCAAGACCGTGCTCGACACAATTGGCGGTCTTCTCCCTGGCTGGTTGGACTGGTTCAAGCCAAAGCCAAGCGCTCCACTGCCACCAACCCCAGAACCCATCTCTCCAGCCTTCCTGAAGCAGTCTCTCCTCGAATTGGCTGGCAGAGGCTTGCTTACCGACGTCGAGCAGGGCTCTCCAAACCTTCTACTCTTCAACAATGCTACTAGCGCGTAGTGGGGTAGTCGCTGTTAGTAAGACATACACGGTAAACACATTTGTATGACTAAATTTCGTATCAATGTAAATGTAATATGAATTCTTTGAGTATATGCGTTGTGGTATAATGAGTGAATGAGGATAACGCAAATATGTTGATAAGTGTAAAAGAATGAAGGTTTTCCTGTCTTTCCAAGGTTAAAAAAAAAGTTATGTTCCCTACGATCGCCTATTGTCTTGCTAGACCAACACTAAACGCCCTCCCTCCTAAACACCCCCACTAATCTCACTCTCCATACTCCCTGATCACAGCAGTTGCCCAATCAGCATCCTCAATCGCTATTTCCTTTTCTCGATTTCTCTTCTCTTGTTTGGTCTCATCTTCTTTTATCTTCTCATGTCTCACTTTCTCCTGCTTACGCCGCTGCTCAGCTTCCTTTATCTTGCGCAAGCGCTCCTCCTGCACCATCCTATTCCTAACCATCTCCTCCTTTCTCTCGCGGCTCCGCCTCTCCTCCCTCTTCCCATTCTCCTCGCGCTGATCAATATCCTCGGCTGTAGGTAGGTCGATCTTCATTGGCTCAATGCTCCTCACTGCCGGCAAAGTCTGACTGAAGCTCGTAGGCAGTGGTGGGATATCACTTTGCGATGTATTTATCTGCACGCCCTCGAGCGTCTTTCTTCTCCTAAACATCCTTCCTTTAAATATCCTGCCCATTGAGCTCTTGAAAGTGGATTTAGTTGAGCCGGCGATTGAGTCTGCTGAAGTCGACAATCTTGCTTTATGCGGTGATCTCCAATCACCGGCTGCACTTGTGTTATGCGGTCTTTTATTGGGTATTATCTTGTCATAGCTGTTGTCATTGCTGTGATTACCAATCAACTTAGGCTCAAGCTTTGATATCGCAGGTGGTTCAGTGAGGGATATAAAGTTGAAGCGTTCTTCCAGTGGTATCGATGGACCGAAGTCTTCTGCTTGCGCTAATTCTGTTTCTTTTTGGGCGTGTGCCTTGGCATCTGAGTCGGACTGTTTTGATTTATTTGTCGCTATATAGTTCCACCCGTTGTCTGTTTCGTTGGGGAATGTCGCTTCCTTATCAAAATGCTCTTCTCTCTCACGCACAACGAATGATGGCAGTGGTTTGCGTCTGCAGCTGTGATTGCGACTTTGATTTTGATTTTGATTGCTGGTTTTTGTATCTATTTTGGCTAATCCTGCCGCTTCATCCACCTTATCCATCCCTATTGTCTCCACTCTGTCTGTCTCTCTTTCGCGCTGCTCCTCGGCGCCAAGCACCTTAGCAGGACTCTGCCACGTTGGCATCGACTGAGAGCTCTGATCGGACATTATTGAAAGGCGCGAGCCACTCAATACAGCGATATCCTCTGACCTCCTGCGCTGTGAGGCGGTTGGAGAGTGTGTAGAGGTGTGATCGCCGGGGTTATTGACACTAGCTCCAGCTGGTCCCGCGCTGATGCTCCTGTGAGCCTGCACACCTAATTGCGCACCACCTACACCACCTGCAACCCCCGCACCACCCTCACCGACACTGACTCTGGGTATCCTATTGCCAATAATCTGTCCACCTCCACTTACACTGTTCTGCCTCACAGGTTCCAATGGCTTGCCTGTGTCGAATTGCGAGAAGCGCGCTGCACGTCCCTTGACGGACAGTCTGCTGTCTATGGCCTGCGCTGTGTATGCATTCTGTCGCGACTGCGCTGTCCGCTGGCGCACTGATGCATACTGCGACAACTGCGTCGACTGCTCCAGCGCTTGTATTCTTTCGCTGATTTTGTTTTGCTGTTGCATCACTGCATCTCCGACAGAGGCGCGCGAGGCGTGAGAGTGTGAGTGGAGCGAGAGAGGCGTGGGCGTACAGTACAGCCAATGTCAACACGCGACAAATGCAAAGATAAGAATATTTAAATAAATCTATTAATCATCACATTTTATACTTCTGTATACATCTATCTCCACCTAGAGGCTTCCACTCCTCGAGAACCTGTAGCTGCTGGTCTGCTATTGCTTCTGCTTGTCTCCCTGCTAATATTGCTACTGCTCGCACTACTAGGCTGTCTGCTGCTATAGCTGGAAGCAGATGGGGCAGATCTTTTCAGTATTTGCTTGATACCGAAGCCACCATTACCGTTACCATTGCCATTACCATTACCATTACCGTAACTACTACTAGAAGCATTCTTCTTGCCTGCCGAGGGAGCATGTTTGCGCAATACCTTACCCTCCAGCTCGGCCTTATCGTTTGCAAACTGGTTCAACAGGAAGACGACATTGTTAGCCATCACATCAAGCTCCACCTGCTCCTTGGGTGACAGTTTCTCCTCGTTGCTCTGTTCAGCCTCTTCTTCACTCTGAAGGAGCAGCATGTTATCGAGCTTATACACCTCTTCGTCATTGTACATCTCCGTCTGCTCGAGTGCACTACCCGCGTGTACACCTTCGAATGCGCGCAACATGCACGAGTGCACCATTGCCTTAAGTCTGCGCAGTGATTCGAGTTGAGGTGTGGCTGTGACAAGGTTTAGTAAATTAAACAAACTTCAGCACTCCTGTCACTCACCTCCGAACAGCGTCACCCAGTCATCTAGCACATAGTCCCCGCTGTAGTCATCCAGCTTGATCTCCGCTGCGCCGAATATGGCATACACCATCAAGTCGAGTCGCGTACACATCCGCAACATCACTTGCGGCTCCTTCCCACCAGGACCTGCTGAGAGGTTGGAGATATTCTTTGTTTTTTCTTGGAAGGAGACAATGTGCTTGTTGAAATGATCCATCTGCTTCTTGTAGGCTACTTCATCCTTTTCGTTTCTAGGATGGAGAACGGAAGAGCTGTGAATGAATACGCTCTGTAGATTGTAATTATGTTAGTGAAATACCATACCATACAACCCCACGCACCTTTTCAGCTGCCATGCGATGATTGCGATCGCCCGTCCTGAGAGCAAAGTTAGGTGAGCATGACATAGCGATGAGAGCCGCGAGGAGGGGTTTAGAGCGAGCGTTAGTATTGAGATACTCCGGTACAATCAACTCTCCTCTCCTCGCGCGCAACTTCTCAGCACCGATCTTGGACTTGTTGAGTGCAGGATCAGCCGTCATGAAGTCAGTCAGCTTGAGACTTTCGAGCGACTTGTAGAGATGCTCCTTGACCTGTCTGATCTGCAAGAGAGTGGCACGCGAGAGGAAATTCTCGTTGACAAAGTCCCACGCCTGCGAGTGGCGCCCAGCGCTATGCAGCGCCCACCACGCTTCGTATGCATTGAGGATGGTGAACGGGTCGCTCTTGTACTCCAACCGACTCCATTTCTGCTTCGCCGCATTGGCTTCTGCGCGGTGATCAAGCGGTGCGACGAACGGATCCCGGTTGGTGAGAATAGCAGCGAGAGTGAGTGCAGGATCGAGACATCTGAAAAAGGTCGCATATAGTATCAGTTTGCCGATAGGCGCTTCAATCGGCAGCTGGAGCAACACCTTACCAAGCGACGTAAGCTCCTTCTTCTTATTAATTGCTCCGATCAGATAGAGCCTATCGAGCGCCAACTTCACCCTTTCGGGAGCTGGTGGCTCGATCGCCTGCGCTAGCACATCCTCGACTTCGAGACCGGGGAAGTTAAGCGCTTTCACGCGAAGCACTACCTCGCTCAAATCTACCCTCTTCATCTCGACAGTCTGGTGTGCTGCTAACGACTCATACCTGCGCTTGGACAGAACACCATAGTACTCTCCCTCACGGTGTCTACCGGCCCTACCGGCGCGCTGGTTGAGGTTGGACTTGCCGACCCACGCCGATACTAGCTGACTCATGTGACGCTCCGCATCGTATCTCTTCTCCTTGACTCTGGCCGCATCAACGACGTAAACTACGTCAGGAATGGTAACTGACGTTTCAGCGACGTTTGTTGAAAGAATAATCCTCCTGATACCGTCTTCACACGGCTCAAAAATCTTCTGTTGCTCTTGGACAGGCACCGATGAGTGCAGCACGTGAATTGAGTATTTGGAAGAGTCGTTGAAGTTTATACCGCAGAGTTGCTGCTCTTCCAGAATAGTCTGCACAGCCTTAATCTCATCCCAACCAGGCAAGAAGATGAGCAGATGGCCGTCAGCGTTGCGCGAGAAGCTCAAAACATGTGCAATCGTTAAAGCTACGAGTGGGTATGGTATTTCAATTTCATCTCCACCGACTTCACTTCTAAACTCATTTCTCATGTACTCATTGACATTCTTCTCTCTCCACACCCAGCCACCTTCTCTTTCGGGCACTGCCTTGAGATCCTCGAGATAGTCGTCGAGGAAGTGTTTTGTCACCGGGTAAGAGCGTCCAGGTATATCAGCAACTGGGGCAGGTACGCCGTTGTTGACAGAAGCAAAGTAGTTTTGGAAGAGATCGGAGTCTATGGTAGCTGACATGAGAATAACCTTGAGTGGCTTCCCCCTTGCTTGACGATCGGCGATAAGACGCTTGAGCACAACGAGAGTGAGGTCGGTATCAATATCACGTTCGTGAACCTCATCGACGACAACATGAGTAATTTCGTCGAGTAGGCCATACCTCTGAGCATCTCCTTCAGCATTAGAATCAACACTCTCACTCTCTTCTAGAGCGGACTGCATACGTCTGAGGAAGACACCAGTGGTGCAAAAATTGATGGAACCATGAGGTTCAGCTTTCTTTGATTCAAAACGCACCTGGTAGCCAACTCTTTTGCCGAGCTTCTCACCACGCTCAGCAGCGACTCTTTGAGCAACAGAGATGGCAGCAATACGTCTTGGCTGGGTGCAGAGAATGTTACACTTGCCACCTCTACCATGCTGGATAGCGTCGTCGAGGAGGAGCTGGGGCATCTGAGTAGTCTTGCCTGAACCAGTGGCGGCCATGAGTACAGTAATCATGTTTTCATTAACGCTTTTCACAACCTCCTCTGCTTGAGTGAAGATAGGCAGTGAAGCTCTCTGCTGGCGAATCTTTTCGAATTGCTGGTTTGTATTGTAGAACTCAAGGTCCTTGGACATTGAGAGAGATTTATTCTCCAAGTGACGTTTAGCAGGAGCTCTACGTGGTTTGAATTGTTTCTTGGAAGCAGGGTTAGTGAGAGATGTTGGTGTGGATGGACGGGTAGTGATATCATCGTCTTCATCATTATATGGACGTTTTGAGTACAATTTCGAAGATTTTGTATCGTCGATGATGTTGTTGAGTATTTCTTGTACCTTATTGGAAGCTTGGTAGGATAAGGTTGCACCTTTGTGTGCTTCCATAGCAGCCTTCTCAGCCTTATCGGCCTTTTCACCCTTAATGGATTGTTCAAATTCGAGCCACAAACCATTGTCGCACTTTTCGAGATACTTTGTAGCATCAATATAGGCTAGTTGCGTAGCCTGCCTCTTATTGGAGTGCTTTGCGCTGCCCATGGAAAGATTGGCAATGACGATAACACATTCCCAGCCATCGGAGTGCTTCTTCTTACTTTTTGTGCTAGAAGAGTACTTTTGATAGGCGTCTGCAAAGTGACGCATATTGAACTTCTGGCAGTAGAAGTCGATAAATCTCTTTGAGAGCTCGAAATCCAAACCAGTGGCGCCGTCAGATAAGAAGTGATGGAATTGTTTTGCTTGGGGTTGAGACTGAGGCTGAACTTGAGTCTCTGGCTTCTCAAGTAGACCCAACGCTTGAAGCTGATAGAGAGCGTCCAAAGCAGCGAGCTGCTCAGAAGTCTTAGCAACAACGTCATCACCGCAGCCTTCAACATTCCTATCAGGCAATTGATCAGCCAGAACGAATGACCTAATTGTGAAAAAAATGAAAATTTAGCGGGGCAGATATTGCAGTAGATTAGACGCACCTATACCTCTGTTGGCCTTCGATAAGACACTTTACAGTCTGGTAGGATGGCTGATAGCCCCACTTGAGAGAAACGTAGTTAGCGATTGGAGATTTAGGATTCTGGGAGATTTGAGGGGGGAGAGATATGCCAGGATACGAGTTTTCAATGAATTTCTTCTTGCGGATTAGACCAGGGAGGGAGTATGGCTTTCGTGTTTGCTGTGATTGCTGTGGTTGTTGTGGCTGCTGCTGATTCGAAGATGTACGCCATTGATTAGCGTGGTGTGCCATGTGATTGCTGTTGTGATTGCTGTTCACGCTCATCTTTGTTGATTTATTGGAGAAACTGGCTAAAGAATCGAGGCTCCTCTTGGACATACACAACTAAGGAGGAAGAAGCATCTTGTACTCCAACGACCAAGAAATAAATTCAAAATAATATAAAATGTTGAGCGTATTCAAACTGGCTCAATCACAGCGTTAGTACTCTACCCCTTATTCAACCACCTCTCACCAGCCATTCCCAGCCAACACTCACCGCACCCTCACAACAAGCGCTGTTAATCTCGTTAGCAAGCGCAAACAATCTTCGAGGCTGAAGAAGAAGGTGAACATCTCTCGGAAGCAATCGGTGGTAGATGCTCAACACTCAAACCTCCCTTCACCTGCACTTGGCTATCGATCGGGTGAAGAAGACATTTGGAACAACTCCCAACTCGCTCAGATTGTTCTGACACCTGAGCAAGTGTACAGTAACGTCAATGGCGTATCTGGCAGAGCTCCCCTCTCTCACTTGACTGGCGTTCCAGACGACCCTAATGACGCCTTCCCCGGTATTGAAATCCCTAAGCTGCTCAACACCCCAATGCGCTCTGAGGACCTCTTGTCCATATTCAAAACCCTCCCTTCTCTCTCTGCACAGAGGAAAACTCAATCAAACAGCCTCCTCTCTGACATTGATATCGAGACTGTCGTTGAGCACGAGCGCATCAAATTAGAAACTTTCAGCCGCCTTATCGACCTCAGGAACTCATCCGCTAAAGGCATCATGCTGGAGAATATCCGTAGATGTATCACTGCTTTTGGTGATGGCCATGTTAACGGCAACTCAACTCAACCTACACACCAAGGTGACTCAGGAAAAGTCGAAGTACAGGCGGCTATTCTCACTACCAGGATAAGAAGCTTGGTCACTCACCTCCAACTCAATCCTAGAGACACTCAAAACAAGCGCTCTCTCTCTCAACTCGTTCACCACCGTGCAAAACTCCTCAAGTACCTCAAAACCCTGTCTGATACACGTTATCAAAGTGTTTTGCCTCGTCTCGGTCTCACCCCCAAGGCTATAGAGATGGAAATTAGCGGCAGCCTAATCTGATTGTTTTGTCTTATCTTGGGTATAGAATATGATTCATTTCTTTACAATTCATCTTGTTTATTTATCATAAGCTACTTCATTAACTACCTACCTTCAAGCCACACCGAGATGACGGAGATTCTCCTCCTTGGCAGCGAGTTCAGCTCTCTTTTCAGCAATTTCACGCTGGACGCGCAGCTCAATCTCTCTAAACTTATCCTCTTCTCTACGCAGCTGCTCCTCTTTGTGACGCACACCCTCTGGATCCTCGCCGCTGTTCTGGTTAGAGCCCATAGACGATGAGTTACCAATAGGGTAGTGTGAGCCATATTCACCGCCCCCACGCGACAGCTTCTCAGTACGGTAGTTCTCGTAGAGGAAATCGTGTGTGATTTCTTTGAGATCTGTGAGATGCGAGCTGAGCAGCGCTGATCTTAATCTCGAAAAGTCCGAATGAGCGGGATCGTCTACATTGACTATTCCCCAAGGATAGCGACGCGCTCTTACGACCTCGCCATCAATCGTCATTTCCTCTTCTGAACCGACAATGGCAAATGGGAGCATAGCCTGGTGTGTGCATGAGTGAGTAAGACACCTCTCTTCAAACATCAAAACTCACCCTCAACTCGGAATTATCCATCACCGTATCCTCGTCATCCTCCTCAACATCATATGGGAATGAGTAGATGGGTATTTCGTAATGTTCGATATCCTCCATGACGCGTTTTTTGAAATTTTTCAGTTCTGAAGGTGTCAACGAATCAGCTTTGCCGACTACAGGAATGACATTAACGCGTGGGGAGAGTTTGCGCATGAGTTCAATATCCATTTCCCTGAGAGAGTGACCAGTTGGAGGAATAAAGTAGAGAAGAGCATGAACTCTGTTGTCACGGAAGCGTGGGTTACGCTTGATACGCGACTCCTCAGCGAGAATGTCATCGTATTGGCGTTCAAGGTAACCAACAATTTCCTGGAAGTTAGATTCGTTGTTGATGTTGTCGCCGAACCCAGGAGTGTCTACGATGGTGAGAGCGATTCTAAAGCCCTCTTCATCGAGTTCAACGGTGAGTGGCTTAATCTTGATGCCTTCTTCGATGTGAGCAGTTTCTGGGCTGTCATTTGGCTTGTGCGGAAGCACCTCAGATTCACACAGAGTGTTGACGAACGTCGTGCGGCCAGTGCCACTGGCGCCAACAACCATAACTGTGAACTGCAGTCCCTTCTTTACGCTCTTACGTCCTCTTCTTGCAGATGCCATCACTGGAGTGGTTTAAAGAGGGCTTTGACACGCGCATACAAGACTCACTTTTTTATTCGGTATGTGACTGTACAAGGGGCACGCACGGATAATTCAAATGGGATTCATGCCAATTCAAATATAAAATATAAAGATTATTCTTCAATTACACTAGGATCAAATTCGTTTGTATCTTGTACATCTTGCTCTTCTTGCTCATTATCTTTCTTCCTGCCTGTGCTTTGTATCTCCCTGTACGCTGCCAACTCATCGTTAAGCAACTCATCCAGCTCACCACCCAATTCCATCTCCTTGACAGCCGCAAAAACATTCTCTGCGTTTATAGTCTTGTTCTTCTTATCGTGTGCCTTCTCCTGTGCCGACGAAGCCAGCCAGTTTATAAAGACGGAGCTACTCTTTTGTATAGCTAGTAGCGTGTCTTTCTGAAATTTGGCACCATCCGGCACTCCCTCTTTAGCTAGCTTCGTGACTGTGCTTTTTGGTAGCTCAAACTTGTCGATACCTCCGCTGTCTTCTTCTTTAGTTTTTCTGAGATTTCTTCTGGGTTTAGGGGGTTGTTGAGTGTGTTGCTGTAGCTGTGTGTGTGTGTATGCTTGTTCTGGCTGCAATGGCTCCGATGGCTGCTCCACTTGCTCCACTTGGCCCACTTTATCTGCTGACTCTGCCATGACACACCCAAATCAACCTACAAACTTGCAACAAATCCCAATGAATACTATCCATTATACTTTTCTAGCACTCTATTTCCTACACCACTCATCATAAATTTAGGCTCACATAGCTCGAGATTATCTATCTCCGCCTTGAACACCTTGTTCATATCCTGGTTCTGCATCGGATTCGGCTGGCTCGAAGTCCCTGCGAGCTGAGCAGCTGTCTGCATATCTCTAACTCCATCTGCGTGGTTCCCCTCGCCTAGTATCAACCTCAATACGCTATTTAACCCGAATAAATTGAGAAAGTACCAGCTGATACTGCTCACATAGCTAGCAGGCATATCATCTGTCATTATTCCCCTCTGCAACATACTCTTGAACCCTCTAGTCAATGGGAATGGCAGCTTAATCAGTATAAATCCGCTGAAAAATGAGTTTATCCAGCCCATAATTACTGTTTGAGGAATGAACATAACCATCTGCTTTTTCATTCCATCCATCATGCTGTCCATCTGTTCTGGGTCGTTTAATGGGTTTGGTGGGTGTTGCTGTTCGCCGTCTTTCGGTGGTGCCTGCTTGAGATAGCTGCCCTGTTTAAACGCTTCTATAAGAAACTGCTTGCGCTTGAAGAAGGCTGTAGGCGTAAGAACTCCACCATTCTTACGCAGCATCGCTGAGCGCATCAGAGCACGCTGCTCCCTTATTCCCTTCACTTCTTGCTTCTTCCCCTTCCCGCCTAGCAGCTGCACCACATAATGCCTCAGCAGCCCGACTAATATCATTACCAGCGTAATTGGAAATAACACCCAGTCTCTGATTTGGTCGTCGATGTACAGTGACGGTGTATTCAGCGTGAGTGCCATGATGGTGGTGTTGTAAGGGGCAGAGGATTATTTAATCTCACTAAACACACTCAAATACACGCACAATTCCCTTTTCTTTTATTCATTCTCTCTTCGCTCTACATGACTTGATCCTCTTGGACGTTTTCCTATATCCTTTTCTTCTTTCTCTGTCTCTTCGTGTGCATCACCCGCCTCATTCAGCAGGAACTCTACAAACAGCTGGCCGAACGAAGCGTTATCGTGGTTCGCGGGGCTGCGAAAAGCGCTATTCAAGTAGCTCGATGACGGTGAGCTCGGTAGAGATGGGTTGTTATACCTTCCACTACCACCTCTGACAATTCCCGCTTGCTCTCTCTCATACTGATTCCAATTCAGTATCGACCCGAGCAAAGTGAGCATCTCAAATCGCTTCCCGTCGCTTCTCGGCGTTGTGACGAACTGGAGGAGGATGTTCGATATTAGTTGGCGATCCACGCTGTCTGACGTGTTGTATTCTTTCAGTCTCTTCAGTGCTTCTGTGAGATGTTCATTGAGAATGACAGCTGGAGTTGGTTAGCAAGAGCTGCCTCTTCGTAATTAAATACTCACCCTCATGCCTCACTTTCCCTATTAGAAGCGTCTTCTCTTTGCTCTCCTGCTCCAGCCCAGGTGTCCGCTCAGCGTCTTGTCTGAATATCTCTAAACTGGCCTGTATGTTGTGTTTAGTGTTAGATAGGGAAACGTAGCCTTAACCGCGCTATTCACCTTGGCATCTGCCGCTTGTCGCGCGTCATCTTCACTCTTCTCCATTAATCCACGTATCTGAGCCTCATAGTGATGTTTCATCTCGTCAAACTCCTTCTGATTAGCTTTGAGGGGGATGATGAGGTGAGCAAGACGAATTCTATTCAAACATCAACGCACCCATCTGCGCCTCACTAAGGAGACCTTCAACGTTCCTTTGAGCTGCTGAGCAATCAGCGAGTTTAACGCCCGCCGCGTCCAACTCCTTCGTGCGCGAGTCGAGGAGCAGGTGAGCCTCACTGCCTGCCTCTTCTGCTTGCTCAGCTCTGAAGTGCTCCTCATCAGCGAGAGCTTGCCAATGTTCTTTCTCAGCCTTAGTGCGATCGAGATGAGCCTCCATCTCGCGTAGTCTCCGGTGAAGGGAAGCAGACTCATGGGCGCCCGCCTCTGCCGCCTCCTGAGCCGTTCTGTCCGCAGAGGAGATACGCGAGCGCAATACTCCCACTTCACTCGCTAGACCGGCACTGCGGTCCTCTTCCTCCCGCAGCTGCCGCTCAGCTGTTGACGCTCGCTCTTGCTCCACATTTAGCCCCGTCTGCAGCTCCGCTATCTGTGCCTCGCGCCGGTCTAGCTCCTCGGCGTCTTCTTGGAGCTTCGACCCGAGCGTATCGCGCATACTCGATAACTTGCCTAATAGACTCCGGTATTGTGCTTCGAGCTTGTTCTTGTCGCTTTGAAGAGCGGACAGTTGCGCTTGCAAGGCGGCATTCGTTGTGGTGGTCGTCGTGGTGGTGGTGCCGTTCGTGGTATTACTGGTGCTGTCGTTGGTGGTATTGCTGATGCTATCATTGTCTGCTGCGTGCTGTGTGTGCTCTGCCTTCTGATCTCGCTCTGTCGTCGGCTCCTTTGACCGCTCCTGGTCCTGGTCGGGCTCCGCTATACCACTCTCCTCGCCCGCTTCTATCTCCTGGCTGTGGCTTGCATTCTCAGCCATCTTCTTGGTTTATTTTGGTGGTGATAGTAGAGAAGAGAAATGGCACAGGGGATGACACAAACAGCACGAATAGCACATATAGCACACAAATCACTTGCGATGGAGCCAAGGAGTAATAGATCAAGTAGAATATTCATCTTGTCTTGCTTTGAGGGCTAAACAACAACCATACCCTCCAGTCCATCCTGCACGCAACACAAGCACCTCTCAAAGCCATAGCTATCAGCGAGCGTGTAGATGGTATGCGTTGCACATAGCCTTTTCTCCAATCTACCGCTATCCACCTTGTCAAAAACAATGCAAGATTCGATCATATCCTCATATTCAGTTGGGTATTCCAATCCCTTGTATTCCCCATTCGTATTTGGCTTCTTCATAGCCGGGATAACTATGAATATTACTCTCTCCAGACGTGGGCTGTCTCTGTCGTCGTTATTTACTATCTCCACGTTCTCATGCGCTGCGAGTATGTAATCTTCTACACTCGCGGCCAGAAAGTAGATGCGAATATTGATGGCAGCGGGTGCGATATGCAGTAGAGTCTGCAGGACACCACACCACCGACTCAAAGGTTTCTTGAGGGTGACAGTGATATCTGTGACTGTCGAGCTAAGTGAGATTCTCTCCAAGTCAGTAGGTGAAGGCCACCCAAGGTGACTTGCTACAACCCACACAGCCTGCTGAGACAGCCATCGATATGCGTGTGGTAAGCCGTGCGACCGTAACGAGGAGGTCTCAGCCTCGTCCTGCATTTACCCATCCCTATGGCGATCTTCCTGGCGTTGTTGTGAATGTTTGTCATCGGCATCGGTATCTTTCGGACCCACTTGACTGACTCAGCTGCCGAAGGAATCAGACTGAGACTGGTGAGGTATTTCGAGAATCGCTTATACGCGTGTAGGGCATGGCGACGGCTGTCGAAACCGTTCCTGTCGCATCCACCGGGCCCCACTATCGACAACGCGTTGAAGGTGTACCCGAGCGGATAGAGACGCTTGCTGGCATACGCTAGTCTGGGCACTTGGCGTAATATCTCTATCAGCAGCTCATTCGGCAGTTTGAGTATCGGCGTCGTCATTGTCCTCGAACAACGTGCAAGTCGGGGCTTTTCAAGTGTAGCAGCTCTTTGCTGCTCTGGCTGCTGTGATTTAAATAATGTATATTCGACACTCGTCATGTCAGACCGTGTCGATACACCCAGCTCAAGTTAAACGCCTAACAGCATGTAATATTTATATATTAAGCCATGTCTGTTGGTGCTGTGATGGCGATTATGGCTTTCATTCGCCTGCGCTGTCTGCACGCCCACGCTACGCCGCATCTTCCTTTTCCTTATCGACAGCCACCACCCAACTCATGCGATTCACGCTGCTTCTAGCGCTGCTGCTGGCTTTATTAGTCTTGGTAGCAGCACAGGATAACAACGGGGATAATGGGGGTGATACTGGGGGGGATAATGGTGGTGATAACGACGATAGCAATGGCGATAACAACGGCGACGAGAACAACAATGACAACGACAACAACAGCAACAGCAACAGCGACACCGCCACAAGCACCACCAACAGCAGCAACACAGCCAGCGACAGTTCCACCTCCACGGGCTCAGCCACCCCTTCCGCGACGGAATCCCTCTCCGACGAAGCTAAATCAGCTGCTGGTGGGTTACGCTATGCAGATGCTAATGCTACTACCACTAACATTTCACACCACCAGCACGTCCAGCTCCTTCTCCCGGCTCTGGAATGAAGAATGCAGGTCCGGGTGAAGACTACATCGCAGCTTCTTCTGCTTTCTCATATACACTCAGCATTGGAATCCTCCTAGCCTCTGCTGCACTCTCAGCTCTTTTCTTAGCGTAATTATGATATCTCAATAACTTATACAGGACAGTTCATTTATGACTTTGATTTTGGCATTGGTTTTGGATTTGACTGCGCTGGAAGCTGCTCTGTCTTTTCTTCCTTTTTTTCGTCCTTCTCCTGCTCAGCTTTCTCTTTCTCCTCCTGATTCACCTGGCTTAGCGGACTTGGCTTGTGTGTATTATGTGTACTACTACCACTACCGCCACTACCACCACCATCACCCTGTAATGCCGTTCTAGCCACCGCTTTTCTCCGTGGGGGTAGATTCATATGCTGGCAGAATCTGCACTCCCATCGCAACTCCATATATTGCTCTCTGGGCACTAAGCCGTTATGCTTTGCGCACTTTTCGCAAATCAGCGCGTACTTCTGACTCACGTCTCCACTCAAATTGCTAGGATCATCGCCTAGGATTGCATCTGCTAGTCTATCGTACCAACTTCTTTGTCGTGCTGGTGACGTTTGCGTATGCAAGTTGTCAGCTGATGTGGGTGTTTGTGGGTTTAGCTGCGTTTGCTGGGTTCTTATTGGTGTTTGCGGTGAGCGTGGGGTGGCTGGGGTGGCTGGACCTGCAGTGTTTACAGTGTTTAAAGTACCTACACTGCCTGCAGTTGGCGTCTGTGGCAGCTCTTTTGTCCTGGGTATTGGTGTCGTTGCGTGTTTTGCTTTCATTGGTGTGCTCTGGGGGGTGAGAGGAGCAACGTCGTGAGGTGTCATGCCCACCGTAGGGCCATACCTTTCGAGGAGACTTCTAGCCTCGTTGTAGGGTGCCTTAACCTTTACCTCTTCGAGTGTTTTGACGAGTGAAGTGTGCAAGTCGCGCAGTCTGATTTCTAGAAAAGAGGGTGTGTTAGATAGAATGAAGGGATGTGTACACTCCATTCTCACCCTCCCGTGATCCAATACGCGTATACCAGCTTTTAGCGATGCGTCTAGCGAACAGCATCCTGGGGATTGTTTGAGTAAGGTGCAGCGCAGGATATCACTCAGACCTACATAATTGGACCAACTACTACACCGCTCCACGCTATTAATTTGTATAAACCACTCAAACCACTTCCATCCACTGAAATTAGCCAGTCGACGATTCCAAAATACCAGAGAGCTACATATGTGGCCCAGAAGAGCATGAGGCAGGTAGTTATCCATAGCGTTGCACGTCGCTCGCGTATTCTGATATCAGCCAAGTTGGCTTGATGTTCAATAACGTCGCTCGATAGGCCATTCAGCGTGCTTTCGAAGTCCGTGTGTTTGTTTTTCTGTGGGATGTGTGAGCGGGAGTGGCACGCATAAGATCACCACGCTCACCCTCCTGAATAACGAACTGAACATTTCGCTTGTTCACCGCTAGCAACCAAGATGCCCAAAAAAGAGAAGAAGTCTTCAGACTCAAAGGCTTCGTCCAAGGCAACAGCCAAAGCAGCAAAGAAGGACAAGGCTGCTAAATCCGCCGAGAAGCAGAAAGACAAGAAAGCAAAGAAGCACAACGACGACGATGAAGAGGACTTGGAAGCAATTCTCGAGCAATTCCAAAGAGATACACAGGAAAATACTCAAGTCACTGAAGAAATCCTTCAAAACCCTCCAAGTAGACGAGCGAACGGCACTCTCACTCCAGACCCCTCAAATGCCCATCTGTGGCTTATCGGTGGCGACTACTACGATGGTCATCGTCTCCACACCTACCACAACGTTTACCGCTTCGATCCAGCTAAAGGCGATTCCGGTGAGTGGAGGGAATATAAGAGCAAGAACGCTCCAGCACCCCGCTCGGCCCACCAGACCGTATTTACTGCTCAAGGTGGTGGTAAATTGTGGCTATTCGGTGGTGAGTTTGCTGGTCACTCCACTTTCTATCATTTCTCCGACTTCTGGTGCTTCGATATCACAACCAAAGAATGGGATAGGATTGATACTAAGATTAGACCATCTGCGCGCTCCGGTCATCGTATGACTGTGTTCAAAAACCTTATCATTATCTTCGGGGTGAGTTGAGGTGTCGCGTTGCCCCAATAACACCAACTTAATCACCCTCCCCAGGGCTTCCACGATACAGGCGTCAGAACCACGTATCTAGACGACCTCTGGGTATTCTCGATGGATGATTTCAAATGGCGCAAGATCGACTTGTCCCCTCTCGAACGCAAGCCTTGTCCTAGGTCTGGTTTCTCCTTGTTGTCGTGTCCTGAGCAGAATGAAGTTGTGGTTTATGGAGGTAGGTTGGTTTCAATTTAGCATGCTCGTCTTATTCCAATTTCTCCTATTCCTCTATAAACAGGCTTCTGCAAGACATACGAGAAAGGCAAACGTCCAGTGGCTAAATCACTCGACGACTGCTATGCGTTAAAAATAACTAACGACGAGCACAACATCACGTCTTTCAAATGGGACCGTCGCAAGAAAGTTGGTTATGTTCCAAGGTATGTCTTGCTCGTCTGGTTTGCTATCAACACACTCACACAAACAGCCTCCGATCAGGCGCAACTATGACCTACTGGCCTGCCAAAAGTATGGGTGTTCTTTTCGGTGGTGTGTCTGACATAGATGATTCTGAGGAATCGCTGCAATCTATTTTCCACAATGACCTGTGCGTAGTGTGGACTTGTGCATATACCCCATCTCACGCACACTAGTTTCGGCTATAATCTCCCAGGCGGAGGGAAATGGCAGTCGCTCAACCTCCGCAAACCCAAAAAAGCAGGCGCGAAGAAAAAGTCTGCCAAGAAGAAGGCTGCTAAGGCCGCTAAGGCTACTGCGCAGGATGATAGTGATAATCATCCAGACGGGAGTGAAAGTGAAGATGAGCAAGGTACAGGTGCAAATATAGATACAGATGCAGATACAGATGATCCACAAAAAACCACCCCCATGCCACGGTATAATGCCATGTTGGCTATCCTTCGCAATACTCTCTACATGTGGGTGTTTCACTTCTTTCTCAAAACACACCTAACTGTGCTAGATTCGGTGGTATTTTCGAACAGGGGACACAGGAATTCACTCTCGATGACATGCACTCCCTTGCGCTCGATAAGCTGGATAGATTCAAGTGCATTCAAGAGTGCCACGTCGTTGGTATCGAAGATGAGCAGGATGACGATGATGACGAGGATGACGACGACGATGAGGGAAGTGAAAATGAGGGTGATGATGACGAGCAAGTGAATGGCGAGGAGGTGCAAGAAAAGCTGCAAATCCATTACACAACCGCACAAGACGCACCTTCTGAAAACACCCACACTGAAGATGAAAGTCTCCCACAACCTGGTGAAACGCTTCGCCAGTTCTTCGAGCGTACCAAAGATATGTGGGTGGAGGCAGCATCGCGGAAAATGCCAGAAGCGAATGCCAAGGAATTGCGAGGAGTTGCCTTCACGCTCGCAGAAGACAAGTACGAAGAACACAAGCCGATATTACGAGAAATTGAGGCCATGATCAGAGACAGTGGCGCTGAGCCCATCGCTGCAAAAGCTCAACAACAGCCCGGAGCAACATCTAGAAACCGCCGTTGATTATAGAATTTCCATGTACACTATATTAACATCACTATTTAAGCAATTCTATAGGTTCGAGTTGTTGAATGTATCAGTTTTAGGGTATGTCATTAGCGGAATAATCTTAGTTATCTTGCGCCTGTGATTCTCAATCACTTCACGTTGCATCCAACCATCTTCTGGTATCTTTTTGCTGTATTGGCCGTGTAGATGTATAGCGAATATTGACGAAAGCCTCTCTCTGAACTGCAACCAGTGAAGGTCAGTATAACTTGGGTCCTTCTCAAAAGGATCCAATATCCTGTTATCAAGTCTGCAGCTCCTGCCATCAGTGAAGCAGTATGGCAATATTTCAAATGGCTTGATTGGTGGATCGTTGTTTAACAATCGACGGTGTGTCTTGTGGTAGAGCAGCGCTCCCCAGTCTGTCGATCCCTGGCGAGGTTCTGGGTCGTACTGCATTATGTGCATCATTTCGCAGAGATATGGCGAGTGTTTTTTGAAATGCATCATTGCGCCGTTCAAAGGTGAGTAAGGTTTGTCTTAGTGTTTGAGGTTAGCTTAGTTAACAACTACGCACATCAAGCCCACCATAGCAATCCCATTGAGTGACAAACTCGTGCTCAAGCAGTGGCTGAAGATCCCTCGTGAGGATACTATCCATGTCGACCCAGACACCACCGTAGTTCCACAAAAGCAGTATCCTTACAACATCTCCATCCAGCCAAGCGCGCTGATCGTTGAGATTCAGTCTGTCGCTCGCTTCGAGCGGTGTGCCCTTAGCCAAGCCATGGAGATCAACATTACCAACACTAAAGTGATGAGGAAAATCGTGCAGATACTGTTCAAGGAACTCCTCATTAAAGCGTTGGAGATCGCCATTACTCCATAGCTTAATATCAACGAAATCAAGATCCTGGGTAGCTAAAATGGAGTCTAGAAGCACTTTCTCTCTGTAGCCGAGAGGAGCGATGTCTGATCTCCAATAGAGATGAATAGTCGAGCGCACCTTACCTTGACCGTCTTGCATCTGAACCAGTCTGCTGTGTCCGTAGCAATCAAAACCATGCTTGTAAGATAAACCAGATTGGAGCTGGTTGTATTTAGGTGATGTTATTTGGCGCAACTCGTAATCCTCGCTCGCTCTCGCAAAGCAGCCGCCAAGCGGTTCCGTTTGCTTGATCGTTGTCTTCACCCAGCCCCTCCTATACTTGGCCAACTCGATATGCAGCTCATACCTCCAGAAGAATAATATTGCTCCGAGTGCGAGACCCACTAGCATTAGTTTCATCCCCACTCGCGCTACTCGCCCCACCCTCCTATTCCTCCATTTGAGTTTACTGTCTCCTGAAGTCTTATCATCTCTACTCGGCTTATTCTTATTGTGTGTGGTATATCCTCGATGCATAGGCAGCATATTGCTCAAACGCCGCTCGTGCATTGATATGATGGTACGCTCACACCCCCTCCTCGTAATGCAAAACAGGAAAAATTAATTTTAAGTACTTTATTTTCTCAGAATCCAGGCACTTGGAATACCCATCTACCAATTCTGCTTTCGTAGCTAACAAACGTCGTACCAGAAACTTTCTTTAATCTGTTGAGATGCGACAATGTCTTGGGATGCGAGTCGTCCTTAATATACTCTCCAGTCGCCTTGTCTTTTGGCCAACAGCCCTCTAATTCTATTTCAGCCGCTACATTCAGTCCACGTCCAGGTGCTGGCTTGAGTGGTGCATTTTCTGGATTATCCTCGCCTTCTTCGACTCCATCTGGATACACGTAAGCCACTCTGCTCTCAAATACAACGAGTTGTCCATCCGTCAGTTCATTCAATCCATCCAGTGTCGTCAGATCGACTGGTTCAAGGAAGTGTATTTCACCGTATCCTTTTCGGCCGACCTTCAATCCCTCTACTGATTTCAGCTCCCTGTAGCTGTATTTGTTTAGTTCATCTACACTTGGTATTGAGTAGTAGTGGCCTTCCTCAATCTGCGGTGATGCTTCTACGCTGACGACTGATGACCCGAGTGTATTTGTTGATGGTGGTGGGCTGGCTGTTGGTGTAGTAGACTTAACGAATTGTGAAGTATTTGATGTCTTCAGTGGTGTATTTTCGTGAGGTGTTGATGATATACTATCGCCGAGGCCAACGCTATGGCTGTCTTGTGCTGCTTTTTCAAGATGCGGATTGAAGCTGACTTTTGCACCCGTCTTGCTCTGCGCGAGACTATTAGGCGATCCTGACGCTGCCGCGCTTGGTGAATCTGGTATAGGTTTGCGATCAATCACCAATTTTTTTACTGATGAGCGTGGCATAAATGCATTTGGCGACATGGCATTCTCGCTTGGCAATCCACTCAACACTCCTCCATTCGTCGACGCAGCTGGTGATCCAGCTCTTGAGAGATTCAATGATCTTTGGGATGATCTCATTCCTCCGTTCACACTCATGCTTGGTGAAGACGGTGGCATCACCGATGATGACAAGTTAACACCAGCTGAAGGTGAAATTGGTGTGCCTGGTGATGCAGCGAATCCTCTCAGTCTGTTCAAAGGTCTAGCTGGTGAACGCATACTTGCTGATGCATTCAACACTGGTTTTTTCTTGTTCACAGTTGATGCTCCTCCAACCGCTACGGCAGTTGGTCCAATCTGTGGATTTGGTCCCAGATCAAATAATGGATTGGCTCCGTAAGGTGACTGATCGACCGATGCACTCAAATTTGGTTGCGATTGTTGAAGTGAATTTTGCTGGGTCGACTGTCCAAACAAACTGCCACCGCCAAAGCCTCCAGTGTTGTTTTGAGCAGGTTGTGCAGTCGAAGACTGTCCCAACCCTCCACCAAACCCTCCTCCAGTACCGGTGCTGCCAAACAATCCACCAGCTGGTTTCGGAGCAGCAGATGCACCACCACCACCAAAAAGACCACCTCCAGTTGAGGTGTTGTTGGCAGCGCCGCCGAACAGTCCACCACCACCCGTTCCTGTGTTGTTGTTGTTTGCTGATGATCCTAAGCCACCACCGAAAAGTCCACCACCTCCAGTAGATCCTCCTGTGCCTGTATTCGAGCCAAAGCCACTGCCGAATCCTCCAGTTGCTGGCTTGTTCTGGGTACCACCTAAACCACCGCCAAAGTTGAATCCACTCGATGGCTGCTGCTGTTGCGCTGGTTGTTGTGGCTGCTGTTGTTGGCTGTTTTGGCCAAAGCTAAATCCACTACCTCCAGAGCCAAATCCACCAGTAGATGGCTGCTGTTGTTGGTTCTGCTGTCCACCAAATAATCCGCCGCCAGTAGCACCAGAGGCGCCGGTGTTTGATTGGTTTTGACCAAAGCCACCAGCGCCAGTACTAGCACCTGCACCAAATCCACCACCAGTACCACCAGTGTTGGTAGATCCGAATCCACCAAAACCAGATGTCGCTGGTTTGTTTTGTTGGCCGAATCCACCCAGTCCACCACTTCCAAATCCTGTACTACTTGGCTGTTGTTGGCTATTTTGCTGCTGGCCAAACAGACCACCGCCAGCTGGTGGTTGACTAGGCTGAGATTGTCCGAACAAACCACCTCCTGCAGGTGGTTGACTCGGTTGAGATTGTCCAAAGCCGCCAGTCGCACCAGAACCAAATCCACCACCAGTGGAAGATTGACCGAATGCTTTGAGAGGTGTTAGGCGATCAGAATGAACAACACTTCACCTACGTGTTGAGGAAGCTCCACCAAACGCTGGTTTTTGTGCGCTTTGTCCGAATAAGCCACCACCAGTACTTGGTTGTGCTGCAGCACCGAATCCACCAGTTGCTGGGGTAGTACTAGCAGGTTGGCCTGGAAATTTAAGCAAAATTGACATCTCAAGTATGTTTACACACCGAAAGAGAAGCCTGTACCACCGCTGGCACCTGTATTGCTGCCGAAGCCACCTCCTGTGCTAGATTGACCGAATGGTGCTGATGCAGGTGGGTTGGATTGACCAAATGCAGATCCGCCAGCTGCACCACCGCCAGCGCCACCAAATGGAGTGTTTGTTGATGTAGAGCCTGTACTCGTGTAAGTATTGACTAAGCTGAGCATCATCATCACGTACCAAATAGGGAAGGCTTAGGTTGCTGCCCAAAGGCGCTACCAGTAGAGCCACCACCAAATGGCGTGGATTGGGTATTAGATTGGCCAAACAAGCCTCCACCACCCGCTGGCTGACTTGGTTGCGACTGACCAAATCCACCAGAGGAGCCACCAAAGGCACTGTTTTGTTGAGGCTGAGATGAACCGAACAATCCACCACCGGTAGAGCCTGTATTTGATCCAAAGCCGCCAGCGCCAGCGCCAGTACCGGCTGACTGGCCAAACGCGCTACCGGTGCTTGGAGCACCAAATGTGCTGCCAAAGCCGCCTGAAGTAGAAGCACCGAAGCCACCGGTAGAAGGTGCTTGAGAGGAGTTTCTTGTGCCTCTTTCGTAATCCATCATACGCAACTCCTCGAATGAGAAAGGCTGGAATTTGGCTTCAGTGTTAATTGAATGGAACTTGACCCTGTCTGTAATACGGTCTGGTCCTTTTGGATCTTCGACGCGCTGGTTAACTTCGAATGGGTCTGTGCCTTTGACTGAAGAAAGTTTAGCCGTATAGTCAGGTAAAGTGAATTCGGCGCCTGCTCACCATCTGCAGATGCGCCGCCAGCACCTAAAGAACTACCAAAGGCAGTTGGAGCTGGCTGGCCGAAAGTGGATGTGGAAGCGGGTGCAGGTGCACCGAAGGGAGATGGGTTTGCTTGTGGAGCTGCAGGGGCTGCTGAAGCTGTTCGCAAGAGTAAGCTGGGAATAAAGAATACACTCAAACTAACCACCACCGCCAAAAGAGAAACCAGAGCCTTGCTGAGGAGGTCTGCTAGCGCCGAATAAGCCAGTAGAGGGGGTATTAGACTGGCCGAATGCACCGCCTGATGACCCAAAACCACCAGCAGATGAGCCTGGTTTAGAGTGAGAGATGCTCAACAAAAACTAGAGATAAACACCCACCGAAAGCGGGAGTCTGTGCTGGCTGGCCAAAAGCGCCTGTCTGTTGCTGTGGTTGCTGTGATTGCTGCTGGCCAAAACCGCCTGAACCAAACGCAGGAGTTGAGCTACCGCCAAAGGCTGAGCCGGAAGAACCAAAGCCGCCGGTGCCGCCGCCGCCGAAAGAGAAGCCTGACCTGCGTGCTTGTGAGATTGCTGGAATAATGGTCTAAATCTGCTAACATTTGAGATGGACGTGATGGAAGAAGAAGCAAGCGTGGAGATGGGGAGATGGAGAGATATACAAGTGAATAGTGTGGTGATTATTACAAGTAAAGATCTGCCAACGTTTCTATCTCGCTGGGATGTCTGTAGCGATGCCAGCTACCGAGGGAAAGAGATAGAGCAGCAAGCACAAGATTTAAGTAGATTTGCAGCAAGTAAATCAGCAAATTAATTCAAAGAATTGCGCTAAATTTTTAAGGCGAATCCCACCAAGTTTATCTCGCAGCGTGCGAAGTGTGCTCAGCTCACACCATCACTCAAGATGAATGAGCTAAATGACTATAAATTCCCGAATAATTATGATATTACACATAATTCGGATGATTGTCCGAGCCCTGGCACATCACCAAAGCAACCGATTCAAACGACTCAAACAACTCAGCAAATCCCGTTTAGATCTGCAATGAGCAATTCAGACCGCGCGCTATTACGGGCTACGGGCCAACAGCCTTCTGCAAGCACCACAAAGACTATCCCAATATGCTTCAACACACTCAACGTTTACGAGGCTATCGACAATCGCAGGAAATCTGTCGATGTCGGTGGTCTGGCTAGATCCAACAAAGACACAAACGATGGCCTGGGTGAGCTTATCGGGGATTTGTTCAAGAAGTCTAAGCACCTAAACGAGGAGGAGGAGGAAGAAGAGCTCAAGAAGCTTGACGAGCGCTCAAATTCTGAGGACTCTATTGAAATTCCCAACAAAGCTTATCTGATTCATAAGCTGTCTACTTGGGCGTTTCAACCTCTCGCCCTGAATAAAGAAGAACTCTTTCATTGCGCTGTTATCATCTTGGAGTCTTCTCTTCAGTTACCGTCTTTAAGGCACCTCAAGTTATCACAATTCAGTTCCTTCTTGATAGCCGTTCGCAAGTCATACAGCGCTCCTAATGCTTATCACAACTACACCCACGCTATTGACGTTTTACAAGCAACTTACTCTTTTTTGGTCATGTTGAAGGTCGTTCCTCCGATCGACACGCTCACCACTAAAGAACCGTGGTCAAGGTCTGAAGATGGTCTGGCCTCAAAGCTCCTTTCAGACTGGGATGTTCTCTCTCTACTTGTTTCTGCTATTGGTCACGACGTCGGTCACCCCGGTTTGAATAATACCTTCATGAACAATGCTCAAACCCCGCTCTCTGAAATCTATCAATCCAAGTCAGTTCTAGAGAATATGCATTGCATATTGCTCGTACAGTTACTCAGGAAACACAATCTCGGATTTCTCATTGGTGCTTCTTCAAATTCATCGCTCACGCCATTTGACGTAATCAATATAACAAAAAGTCAATACGAGCCAAAGCATGAAGAGAATGATGGAAATGCAATGAGGAGAGCTTCAGCCAAGGTTGAATCAGATGTAACAGCGATGGCTACTGCAACCCCAAACTCCCCATCGACCCCAACAACACCGACAAATGATGGAGTAGGCAGTCACGATGCTAAACAGTTTCGCAACTTGATGTCAAAGACTGTTTTGGCTACAGACATGAGTCTGCACTTCGATTTTATGAAGATGCTTTCAGAGATGCGCGACCGTATCTTGAAAGGCAAAGAAAGCAATGATACTTTAGATAGAACTCTGCTTTTGCAAGCTCTGATAAAATGTGCTGATATCAGTAATCCTGCTCGTCCGTACCACGTTTGCGAACATTGGTCTAAGGCTTTACTTGAAGAATGGGCTAAACAGGCTGCTTTAGAGACACAGCTCAGCTTGCCTGTCACTGTATTTAGTAGTGCTGATCCAGTCTCACAAGCTAAATCTCAAGTTGGCTTTATCGATATGTTTGTTCAGCCGCTGTTCCAGGTTTTAGTCGACTTCTTGCCAGGTGGGTCAACTACCCGCTTAATTCATCTTCAGGCTTACCGTAATTACAGAACTGAATGGTGTTTTGGAACACTGTCAGAAGAACCGATATAGATGGTTGAAGAGAACGGAGCAAGCATCCCCTCCACAACCCTCACAACCTTCACCGCTGGCAATGTCAAGAAATGTGTCGTTTTCAAGCCAGGGTGGTGGTATCAGTGGCATAAGTTCACACAGATCCTCGATATCAGGTGCAAATCCTCATCACAGGTTTGCAGGATCTTGCTGTGCAGGGTCCTCGCCAATGATGAGCCCATCACCTGAAATCAATCTGCAATTCAGTCGGAGGTCGTCATCTTCGAAGCCAATCCCAATACCGAGAAGATCATCATCAATCTCAACTGACGATTCCAACATTATGCGTCAGACTGAGTCAAAGATAATAAATGATATGAGTAAACCTTCTTCAACAGCACCTCCATCGACACAAAGCGTCACAGCATTTGATCCTCGTTTTAGACAACTGTTCCCGCTTTCACTACCGCAAGCACTTGCAGTATCAGCTAACAAAGATGACGATGACGATAGCACAAGAGCTGGATCGAGACATGGTCAGTATAGAGTTAGTTGGCCGACATCACCTTTCTCTAGCCCGTAACGCGTGGCACGTGACGCTTGACACATAATTCTCTCATTGACATTACTACAATAACATTTATCGGCATTTAAATTAACTTATATTAACTCGCATTTCAAGGCATGGCATTCTGGCATCAACCACACAAATATTCAGAAGTATTAGATTGGTCCATTCATTATAGACTATGCAATAGACGCAGCAATCACAGACTTATAGACTCTCCCTCTTCAAAAGCGCGTTATCTCATTTTCGTCGTACGTATGATTTATATTTAATAAAGTATTAGAGCGCTTGTAAAACCTTGACTATATCGCTATCTGACTACTATACTGGACGACAATTGCTCGAAAAAAGTGCCTTTTGCACGACGTGAAGGTTCTTTTTAGCCCTAGTGTGTTTTTTCAAACCGTTCAAGACAATGTCAGGTTGCATAGTTATATTTCAACAAAAACTACGTTCATCTGAATAACAATGTGAAAAACATCTCAAGGCTATTAATGAAAAACTTAAGAGAACATTATGTATTATTTTAAAAAGGCAAAAATGTTCGCGTACCGGGAATCGAACCCGGCTCTTCGGTGGTCTTTCAAGTGAAAAACCGATATGATAACCACTACACCATACACGACTTATAATGTACGGATTGATTCTAGAAATATATACGTGTCTCGTCTATAGTCATGAAGTGAAAAATTTATTTACTAACCGACGCTGTCTGGCGATTCATTGTAAATGAGTATCATTCACATGGACAACCAGGCGGCCCTGGCAGCCATGTTTCAGCTGCAATCAACAAAGACGGGTCAATACCTGGTGATGAGAATACTTGAGCAGGTGACAAAGCTAAATTCAATTAGAAGAAACCAAAGTCCTGTCATCAACCTGAATTGGATCCCAGGCCATACTGAAATTTACGGAAAGGAATTAGCGGACAGAACTGCAAATGAGGAAAGGACAACCACAGCTCATACCACAACTATTGACTTTGCACTGAGGACTTCATTCTCAGCTATGAGACGCAGCATGCGCAAGCGCTACGCAGCCCCGCTCAGGGTGGAAGCCTCACGTATGACTGATCTCATGTCTCACACCTCAAAAACGGCGGCAGGCAAGCTGACGTCTGCAAAGACAGCCAAGATACTCAGTGGCTTGCCACGAGCAACAAGTTGCCTAGCCACCCAGCTCCGCACAGGGCACCTCCTCATAACTAAGTCATATCGCCATCGATTCAAAATAATAGACTCACCGAGATGCAGTACATGCGGCGTAGACGACACCATTTCCCACAGAATCTTCGTCTGAAGAAAAAAACACTTGATGGCAAGAATCACGTTAAGAAGAAAAATAGTCAAGCTAAACATAAGGTTCGACCTAGGCCCAATTCTCAAAATTGCGCAAGCTTTACAAGCCCTATACGAGTTTTTCAAACCACAAATAAATACACGCGCAAGAAATCCAGGTGTTTCGATGTAACTAGAAATTTTTCGAAGAAACACGAGGCACCAATTATTTTACGACATAAGTCAAGAAACACTTCCACTCTAATCAACACTTCTCTCAAATACAACACTTTAGGAAGTATTGATGGACGCAGTTATTACTTTTGTATTGTCTTAACAATATATTTAATTTCATCATCATCATCAATTTACTTATATGCGTAATTTGATTGGTTGCTGTTTTGAGCACGTTGAATAGCCTTTTAAGTTACATATATGAGAATCAAAGAATGCGGTTTCTTCAGTCGAATCCGGAACATACACCTTACTGCGGCTTAGAGCGTATGTCACGACGGAGACGGCACAGCAGCTGCTACAGTAATGGCTTAGATGATGTAGAATGTTGAGAAAGGCATTAAGGCATTGTGTTCTTAGGAGTACATACGCTGTTGGGCAGTTCATGACAAATGAATTCGCTGACAACATCTTTAATAGAAGTTTGAGCTCAGAAACTAGAAAAATACAAGGTTTGTGAATTGACTTTGACATTGGATTTGGATTGTAGGACATGGTAAAACCTATATTCATAGCCAGTTGTATGCCTGGCTGGAGGTAGTATTCACGGCATATTCCCCGGATAGCTGATGGTTAAACAGGCAGCAGATTGAAAGTAGATATAGATATAGATATAGATAGCAAGATAAGTGACGCTGCTCACCAGCGCCGCTAATATATGCGGGAGGGCAGAATGATAAGGTGAATAGAAATAATTTGAGAAATATAAGTAATGTTTGTTATTTTAATAGATAAAATGGTTGCAGCTTACTGCTGCTGAGGCGATGATGACGCGTTTGACGCCCTGAGCGCGCCTCTTTCACTCCAACGCCAAACAAGTAATAAACTCAGCAACTCAAATCAACATGTCCACACCACTGCCAGGATCATCCGACGTCATCATCAAAGAAGGACCATTCGTCTACCTCAGCGACTGGGATGGCACAATCACAACAGCCGACTCGAATGACTATCTGATCGATAACTACGGAATGGGCAAGGAAAACAGGGAAAAGTTGAGTGTGGAGATACTTGCACATCGTATCAACTTCCGCGATGCATTCTACGAGATGCTCAGGGGAGTTTCCAAAGTCAAGTCATTTGGTGAATGTATGGAGATACTCAAGAGAGATATTGTCCTCGATCCCGGATTTAAAGATTTCTATTTCTGGGCCAAGGAGCAAAAGATACCGGTTGTCATTGTCTCTAGTGGAATGGCACCTTTCATTAGAAGCGTGTTATCTAAATTGATCGGCGAGGAGGAAGCCAAAACGATCGACATAATTTCAAATGATGTCAAATTTAACGATGATGAAGGTAAAGATTGGGAAATCGTCTTCAGACATCCAGAATCTGGTTTCGGTCATGACAAATCTAAGGCTATTCTCCCTTACAGAGACCTCGCTAATCCTCCAACTCTCTTTTTCTCTGGTGACGGTGTTAGTGATATGAGCGCTGCTAAGCACGCAGATCACCTCTTCGTTCGTGAAGGGAAAGACCTCGAAAAGTACTGCACCGCGCAGAATATCCCTTACACTCCATTCGACAGCTTCAGCAACATCAAGCACTATGTAAGCAATGTTATGAGCAAGTAGATTAAATTTCTGTAAATGAATTTAAATATCTCTTTATGTTATACAAGTTGCAGTCATTATTCTAACGTGGCTATTTCATTCCTTGTGCGCTTAAGCTACTGCATATGCTCCTCACTGCAGCTCTTCGATTTCAACATCATCGTCGTAATCATCATCGTCATCATCCTCATCCATATCCACCACTCCTTCGTGATTAGGTTTCACGAAAAGACGGTTGCGTGGTGGATCGAAACTTATCTCGACGCTCTCACCGTCTAGAACCCTCTCTGCGAGAATGAGCGAGGATAGTGGTGTCAGTATCTCTTGCTGGATGGAACGGTTCAATGGTCTAGCACCGTAGATTGGGTTAAAGCCAACTGATGCGAGGTAGTGCTTCGCCGCCTCATCAACGATCATCTTGATGTTCTTCCCGTTTGCTTTCATCCGTTTTTGTATCTCGTCGAGGCGTATGTCGACTATTCTTCTCACATCGCCGAGTGCTAAGTTTCTGAAAATAATTATTTCGTCCTAGTAAGCATGTTAGTTTGTCTCAGCTACTCTCACGTCGCACTCACAATACGATTGATAAACTCTGGAGGGAAATGGCCTTGAACTGCACCCATGACAAGCCCTTTAGCTTCCGTTGGGGCTCCGCCATCATCTCCGGCCAATTCTGCCAAGTGGGATGCACCGAGGTTAGACGTCATGATCAAGACGCAGTTGTTAAAGTTGACAGTACGGCCCTGACCATCTGTGCATCTACCCTCGTCGAGTATTTGGAGGAGGAGAACTATGAACTCTCTGCAAGCCTTCTCGATCTCATCAATCAATATGACAGAGTAAGGCTTACGCCTGACGTATTCGGTGAGTTGACCACCTTCACCGTGACCAACGTATCCTGGTGGTGCACCGATAAGGCGTGAGATGGAGTGCTTCTCGCTAAACTCTGAACTGTCAATCCTCATCATTGCCTGCTCGCTGTCAAAGAGTAGCTGAGCGAGTTGCTTAGACAGCAATGTTTTACCAGTACCCGATGGACCACAGAAGAGGAAGCTGGCGATTGGACGTTGGGCATTAGACAAACCCGACCTTGAAAGACGTATGGCATTCGCGACACTTTTCACTGCTTCCGGTTGTCCTACCACATTCTTGCTCAGAAGTTTCTCCAGTCTGAGAAGTTTCTCCTTTTCGGTAGTCTGGATACGCGTAGCTGGAACACCTGTCCATCTAGCGACAACCTCACCAATCTGATCTGGTGTGACTATAGAAGTTTCCTGACCCTCAGCTGCTTCATCTTCATTCTTTTTCTGTTCCATCTGCTCAATCTTCTTTTGGAGATCAGGGATGGCGTAGAATCTGATATCCGAGGACGTCGCCAAGTCGTAGCGACGTTCTGCTGCATCTGCTTTGGATGTGAGATCTTCAACTTTACGTCTCGCTTCGTTAATTTCTTCGTCGCGGAATTTAGATGCTTCGTGGGCAGCTTTCATAGGTTTCAATTCTTCGTCGATTGCAGCAACTGATTTTCTAGCTTCTTCAAGATTCGCCTTGCTTTCCTTGTCACTCTCTCTAGATAGTGCGTGAATGGCGACCTCCAATTGCAGTTTGGATCTTTCGAGCTGATCGACCTGTTCGGGTACCGTTTCACGAGCGACGCGCACACCGGCACATGCTTCATCTATCAAGTCGATAGCTGCGTCAGGCAACTTACGTCCGGTAAGGTAGCGTCTCGCAAGAGTCGATGCGGCCACCAAAGCGGAATCTAGAATACGCACACCGTGGTGCACCTCCAATTTATGTGAAATACCTCTAAGAATGGTGATAGATTCGTTAACTGATGGCTCGTTAACCATTACTTGCTGCAAACGTCTCTCGAATGCTGCATCCTTTTCTATGTGTTGTCTGAATTCATTGAGAGTGGTTGCACCTATGAGTCTGATTTTACCACGTGCCAGCATTGGCTTGAAGAGGTTTGCAGCATCCATACCACCTGAGCTATCGCCAGATCCAGCCATGAGAAGATGAATTTCGTCACAGAAGAGTATAACTGGGTTGCCTTGATCGCCTAACTTTTCAATTTCATCGAGAACACTCTTGACGCGCTCTTCATACTCGCCCTTGTACTTTGCACCTGCCATTAGAGCACCTGCGTCTAATGAAAATAGCTTGCCAAGGAGACTTGCAGGTACATCCCTATTGACAATACGTTGTGCTAATCCTTCGACAACAGCAGTTTTACCGACACCAGGCTCACCGATAAGTACTGGGTTGGATTTAGTGCGTCTACAAAGGACTCTAATAACTATACAAATGTTAGTTTGGATGAAAGAGTCAAAGATTACCAACTAACCTCTTCTGATCTCATTATCTCTACCAATAACCGGATCAAGTCTACCAGATTCAGCCTCAGCGGTGAGGTCAGTTGCGTATTTGTTGAGAGCGTCGAAACCATCTTCGGCATTTGGTCTGTCAACTCTTCTTCCGCCTCTCTGTTGATTGAGAGCATTTTCAACAGTTTTAGTGCTGCTGAGTCCAACGTTCTTGAGTGCTTGAAGGATAGCGCTGTCTTCAAGGAGAGCGATTATGAGATGATCCTGTGCGACAAAGGAATCATGTTGATTTTTCATAACTTCCTCAGCTCGTCTGATAATCTTGCCTGCAGCTGTAGACAGGGTTATATCGTCTGGAGGAGGATCTTGGACAGGGATCTTTACGATAAGCTTCTGGAGTTCTCTGTTGGCTGATTGCTTATCTACGCCAGCTCTTTCGAGGGCAGTAGCGAATAGAGAAGGGGCTGCGCCCTCAGGCCGAGTGGGGTCATTAAGGAGTATGCTAGCTATGTGTGCAGGGTAAATGAGAGCGTTGTTGTTCTCTCTGGCTAATTGTATTGCGAGGGTAATCGATTCCCTAGAGCGATCTGTGAAATTTGAGCTGCTCATTTGTGTTTGTAGATGATGGAAGTTGACGAGAAAGGTCGAATTTCACCGAATTTATATAATTCACAGACGTCCACCCAACAATCACCAGAAAGTGACGAAATTATCTAGAAATTTCTAGAGAGATTTGAATATTTCAAGTAATTCAGGCTTATAACTTAATATTTAATATTCATATTGCATTCAGCGCTGATGACCGAACGAACGCGGTCTTCTAAGCGTCATTGGTGTCCACCGCCGGACCAAATAACATACAGAGAGCTACTACGATTTGAAGAGAGATTAAAGCAGAATGCGACTGCGTTACGCAAACGTCGGCGTCGATATGAGCTGTTCCTGCTTTTCTTAATTTCAACCAGTGGTCTATTATCCTGGAATGTGATCGACAAGCAGAATGTGGGTGGTGGTGAGTGTATGTGGATCTACCGCTAACCACCAATCCAGCGTCAAACATACAGAGGCTACGCGTACATGACCATGCTCACTATCACGCTCACCACTCTAATCCTCTTCTTCGTCAGCGGTGTGTATTCTGAGCGCATCACATACGCTAATAGATACGTTCCCCACTGTAATCGCGCTCTACGCTCTTTCAATATGGCTCTCAACATGCGTCTCCAAAGCCCCACCACCCCTTTCTCACTATTCAGACGACCCGCTAAGGCAGCTGCTAATACCGTCCAGCAGCGCCAGAAAGCAATGAGTAATCTCCCTCCCACTACAAATCCGCGCGGTGAACTCGTCTTCTCTCATCGTGTAGATAAGAGCTTTAGAGATGGCTACGATAAGTACAGAGCGGCATTCGAGAGGAAGAGAACTCAAGCACTTGCTGCGAAATCTACTCGCACACCACAATTTAATAGCAATATACCCAGAGATCCTATCTCTATGCGTGGGAGTGGGAGTGGAAATGCGCAAACACACACCCGCAATGAAAGTTTCAGCTTCATTCTCAAGGATCACGATAGGTATACTTGTCACGATAAACATTAAACACAAAACTGAAGGTAAAACATTAATACAGATGCATTTTGAAAATTGGTCATATTATATTGTAAATACATGTTTCTAGTCATTCTGCTGCGTTTGATGTGTGTGCTGCGATAGCTGTGGTTCCAGCGATGCCAACAAAGCTTCGATTTCTTCCTGGTGCGAGTCGTGCGAATGATGAGCGTGAGAGGCTTGTGCAGGAGGTGTTGCGTTGCGAGCCAACTGACCGCTACGTAAATTTTGTGCGAGGCTATTTATGTGAGTGTCGCTGCTACTGCTGTTCTTGTCTATAGGATGAGGATGAGGATGACAGTGTTTTTGACTTTGACTCTGTCGTGGACTACTACCATGTTGCTGCACATGAGCATTCGCACTGCCACTACCGTTACCACCACCAATACTCCCATGTCCCTCCTTTATCCTCTGCAACTCCATCTCGCGCGCTCTCTGGAACTCCATACGCGCCCACGTCGTACTCCTATGATGACTAAACGGGGTGGGTGGAGCATCTAGGTCCTGCTCCTCCTCCTCGCTCTCATCTTGCTCCACCTCATCGTAATCATCGGATCCCATCCAGCTCTTGGGGAGGACGTAAGAAAGGAGGTGTGTCAATGTTCCACTCTGTACCCCTGGCGTACTCTGACTGAGGGGAGTCTGCGGCAGCGTCGGCGATGCCCATGTCGATGGGTTGAATGGGTAGTACAGTATAGCAGGGATCGAATTGGCGAGGTTACCGGCCATGCTGCTACTACGTGATGGACTAGCTGGTCGACTTGATGTCTGGTTCGTGAACGGAAGCAGTGGTATCTGCTGCCCTCTCCAATCGAAAAAGTGAGAATCGGGGAACAGGTACGCTGGTGGTGGCATTTGACGACTGTTGCAGCGCATTCCACTCGTTCTCCGTCTCCTGTAGAAAACCAATCTGACTACACCAATGAATAGAACGAATCCACCGATCAATAACAATCCCCTACCCCATCTACCGAGAAAGGTGATGAAACCTGCATCGTCGGCATGCCACGATGATCCGTAGTAGTGATCGAAGAAACTATCAGGCACTGTGCCTACTTTTGCATTCTTCCCATAGAGCGATTTCGGTATAACTCGTACTGCATCCCTATCCTTGTGCACGTCGGGGTGGTTGCCCATCCAGAAGCCGTAAATGGTGGATATGAACATGGGTCCAGTGGAGAACATGACGGTGGGGTAGTGCGAAAAGTATTTGTGGTTGAATGTTTGCAAATTGTGTATGACACTCTCCATGAAGCTGCTCTTGCGCTCCGAGAACATGAGATCGTTCGACACGCCTACGGGGATAGTCTTTGCGAGTACGACGGGATACTGGAGAAGGGGATCGACACGGCGACGACAGCCAATATCGAGGTCGATGTAAGTCCCGCCGTAGTGGTAGAGAATGAAATATCTGATGCTGTCTGCGCGCTGTATGTTGTAAGGGTAGCTTTCGACTGAGTGGGAGTGAGTATAGAAATTCGAATAGACAGTGGAAACCCACACGTAGAAACGAACCAAGGATAATACCTCTTTAGGAAGTCGAGGGACATGGCATCCGTCCACAGGATGTGCTGGTAGTCAGAGTGCATGTCCATGCACGCGTTGCGCACGACTCTCCATCTCTCTGGAAGGAGCTCGTCTTTCCACGTCCAATGGAGAATCCTGGGGATAGTCTCGTTCTTATCGCTCCTAGGCTCCACGTGATAAGCAAATCCATCGAAATTGGACCACGTTGCGTTGGTCGTGTCCTCCGGCTGGACATGGGGATCGGCGGGGAAAGGGGGCATATCTATGGGATAAGGGTGGAGTAACGCGTCTGAAGGCACTGCGTAATACGAGGCTAGCGCTGTGAGGACGGTGAAGGTACAGAAGAGGAAAATGCCGAGGAGGATGACAGTGATTGCAAGTGCGCGCCTATTGAACATTGTGATGTGTTCTGTGTATTCTCTGTGTGTGTGCTGCGCTGTGTACCGATTTTCTTGTTGGCGGTGTTGTTGGCCGTGCAGGATCAAGTGTTTGGGTGGTGAACACAGGATTCAGTAGATGATCATTAGGGGAATGATAAAATAATTTTAGTTCAAAATACAGCGCAATTATTCATTTCTTGTCGGTTATTGGCTATTGAAGCTGCTAATTCCACACGCCGTTGTATCTGTGGGAGGTTACAACCAGAAATCGTTCAAGGCAATTGCTGGGCTTATTTGTACATTTTAATTCATTTGTACATTATACACCCTTTTATTCCCTTCCATTTCCCCATCCCGTGTTGCGTCACCGGCAGGCACTCACCAGCACTCCAATCTTCTTTAATCCGTACAATCAACAATGCTTAAGCCCCGCCCAAAGCTTCCTCACACGAAATCAACTGTCAAAGCTTTCAAGCCCCATTTGTCTCTTGGGAGGTGTGTTCCAGTTCGATGCGCCGGCGTGATGCTGATATCACGCTTTCTAGTGTTCCACAGACTCCTTCCTCACGCCCTTTCGATCCCCGCCAGCTGCTTGGCCACACTCCCACCTCCCCTAAGCTTCTCGCTGCCCTTGGAAGACTGGCCACTGCGATTGATACGGCGTTCCCTAAAGTGGAAGCCCATGAGCACAATGTCTGGTTTAGGTATGTCGATTTGGGTCTCTCGCTTGGTTTCCGACCTGTAGATGGCTATGTACCCGCAGAAGGTGCAGAAGTCGATGACCTAGACATGTCCAAACTCCAACTAGCCGAAGTAACCCTTTACAACTCTCACAAACTTCAACAGGATCCCGCTTTCCCTTTTCTCCCACTCGTTATTCCCCCTCCCCGCTCTGCAAGCCAGGCGACGACGCCGGCTGTGTCGCGCAGCAACAGCGTCAGCTCGAATGCTTCAGGACGCTCGTATGTCAGTATGGACAGCAAGTGGCCCGCTCCGCCCTCTCTTACGCCTGTGTCGAGTCTAGGCAGCAGTGGATTCGCTGGTGGTCTGACGTCAGGTCTCGCCGGCATGTCCACTCTCGATAGCGATAGACCGTCCACTCCGGGCACGCCAGGCACGCCCGGAGGCGCTCTCCCTAGAGGTAGCGTGGAACTAACTGAGACAGCCATGCTGCAGAATTTCATTAAAACACTAGGCGATCCCGAGGAGTCTCTCGAGGAACCCACTCCAAGTAATAGCATTGTACATGCTCCTCGCACGCAGATCGTCAAGGTTTGGCCTAAAGTGGCTATTAAAGCTCAGTTCGCCGCTCCTCCAGGCAGCGATATGGCCAGACAATTTGACTCGCGTTGGCTCACTGTGAGTATTTCTGATGCTGATGGTTTCGACGAAGATCCACCAGCTAAGGAGATAGTGGGAGAGATGGAGTAGTTAGGAGTATATATATGTCTACAGTGTGAATATGTAGACGTGTAGGTATGCAGAATGGACTATATCAATGGAACCTATCGATAAGACCCTTTTAAGTTTTTATGATGCTATTTGTACAATTTATCATGTTTATCATGTGATTAAAGCGTTAGGGTGAAGATACGTGCGCATTATAAATTTGGGCTTCGTTCGCAACTGCTTCTTTATTAGAGTGTCTTTTCCGCTCCTCCCTCTGCGCTCTCTGCTTTGAGCAAGTTAATACGGTGCTGCACGGTGGTTCTTCTTCCCACTACGCAGGTCATTCGATTTCCTATATCCAATATCATTGGCTTTGATGTTGGTCTGTGATTTTGAAAGCGTTATCGGGCGGTTGCCGACGTATTTCCCATCATACTCCTTCCACGCCTTCAGAAAATCTTCTGGATCTGCGAAAGCAATGAAAGCGTATTTGGCCTTGTTTGATATCTTGTCGCGCACGACTCTGCACTTTGAATAACTCTTGAAGACGGAGAATGTCTCGTCAAGGACTTGTTCCGTAACGTCATTTGAAATGTTACCGACGAACAATCTGTAGTGGGCTGGACAGTGTCAAATGGGAATGTGTGGATGAAACGCGTTACTCACATGGATCCCAATCGAGAAGAGACGTATCCTCCCACTGTTTCCCGGCTCCTTTCCTCAACACCGTCGTACGCTTATCGCCCTTGTTCATCTTCTGGGCGGTGGATTTTGATTTGAATGACGCTGTGGTTGGCACATAGGCTGATTGCTGGTTCAGCGTCTGGTCGCCGTATCCGTAAGACGATGACATAATTTCAAGTTGGTGGTCGTTTTGGATCAAGGAATTCTGCTGAACAGCGACGACGACGATGAGGATTGCTGGGTTTAGAAGAGTTGCATTTACAAGCTTAAGACGTACCAGAAGTACTAGATTATACACCACTAGCAAAGATCAGACTAAGCAGGCAGAAGAGCCAGAAGAGCCACAGCCACAACCACAGCCACAACCACAGCCACAACCACAGCCACAACAACAGCAGAAGAAATCAGTCAAGCAGATAGATGATGAAATGCTCTCTAAACTGAAAGAAAGAGATACTGGCCAGGAAGAGATCGAAGAGGGTGAGTAGCCTGTAATGTGCCATTGATCGTCATCTCACCACCCGTATCAAGGCAACATCGGTGGCGGATTAAAGCAGAATGTACGAGCGCAGAAATTTAGATTGATTTGAATGCTTTTGTGTGCTGGCCATTATAGCCTGCCAAATTACCCTTGACGCGATACCATCATCATGAGTTCATCTGCAACGCAGAGATACGAAGATGATACTCGCTGGAACGACTTGGAAAGCAGCCTGAACAATATCCACTCACAATCCCTCCTCATTAATCAAGAATCCAGCGAACAGAATGGACTGCTAGATGGCTTAAGCAGCTTCATTGACACTATCAACAACAAAATGAGCAGCGGGAAGAAATACTTTGATAAGCTGAGCGTGACGAGTGAGTGTATTATACACGCGTAACCATCTCTCACGCCACCACCACACAGACGATAAGCAGAGTATCTGTATAGCCGTGTTGATTGTAATACTTGTAATTTTATTCATAGTCCTTATCCTCATTTAATTTCCTTCTTGATCCACTACGACGATCATCTCTTTTGCCATCTAATTATGACATGCCGCTGATCAACAGCCTCAACGGTGAACCGACCAGATTAGACGATCCAGACGATAACAGTTTGATTCTTGATGGCGACGGCTTTGAAGTCGACCTCAATCTCCACGACGACAGCAGAATCCTCTATCTCTTCAACCGACACCAGCTCAAGTCATTTCATAAGGACAACGTGAAGCTGTACAGCACACCCCTTGATTCTCTAAATGACTATATCTCCGCTGCTCGTTTTCATTTCGAGCACTCTCAGCATCTCCACGCTGCCGCTATCAATCGTCATAACAGCATTACAGTCGCATTGCTCTACATAAAGAGACAGATTGATCTTCTCGAGAGTTTGAGATCCGATTTCGACAGTACATCCACCACTCTCCTATCGCAGCACGCGGAGTTATTACATCATCACCAATTCCATATGCATCTCATTAGCAGCATCCCCGTGAACCCTAAACTAGTCAAGAACAGATCGCGTTATTTGAGTGATTACATGAGTATTCAGAAGATGGATCAGATTTACTCCCATTCACTCGACACACACATACAACACCACCATCAGCATCAGTTGCTCGATGAGCTCTGGGTTGATATTGACAATGAGTTGCAAGACATTGAGATGCTATTACAAGCGGTGAATTTTAGTGAATTCGATAATGCCTTAACAGAAGCTGCCGACGCATTTGACAGTACATCTCAGCTGAACATGAGTCAACGTGAGCACCTTGACCAGCTTGATGCATTTTTGCGAGAAGATGTAATTACACTGACTAATCTAAAAAACTCCCAACCTCATCTCGAGTACCTAACGCGGTTGTCGCACATACATGTGCAGTTGAGCGATATACCGAGAAGAACCACCAACTTGAAGCACTCTATTGGCACGCTTAGCTCATTTCAACACCTCACTCGCCTCAAGGCTATGCCTACTGCCTATGTTTCCCTCATAGCTGAACTTGCACGTCGTAATGCTTTCGACAGCCACTATAAAGAAAAAACCTCTGATATAGCTGAGCTACTTGCAAATGAAAGCCGTAAGGAGGAAATAAGGAGATTGACGCTAGTTGATTTCGATAGCGTTGCCAGCTCGACATCTACTGCAAAAAATGTTGCTCTCTCGGAAGCGGATGATTATATGAAAGTCGCAGCTGTGAAACCTGCGCGCTTCCTGCCTTTTGATGTTGCCGGGTTCGACAGCATGATCAATATGCCAGAGGTTAATCTGCGCGGAGGCAACCTTCCTGTGCGGATAACCGCGGATGAGTTGGAGGAGGTTGTGCAAGTCGTGAAGAGGGCTGTTGAGGAGTATGGTATGGAGCGGGAGGTGAAAAGTGCAGCGGAGTATTCTGTCCAACATTCAGTGGAGCGCCCAGCTATCGACACCTCGCAACGACACATCGATACTTCCGCAATAATACCCCTATTCAGTGTCTACGAGAGCACCCTAACGTACATCCACGCTCTCGATGTGGAATGGGAGAAAAAGGCGAGTGCGATACTGTTACCGCAGTCAACAAAGAAGATGCGAGGTGAGTGCCTGGATTAAAACTCAACTCAACTCGAATACTAAAATCAGCTGCGCAGTATCGCACGACATAGACCAGCTGCGACGGGAGCACGAGGGGGAGGTAGCGAAACTGCGCAAGACACACGCCGACGCAATGCAACAGCAGAAGGAGGAGCACAACCGCACCGCGAGTGAACTAGCGAGCAAAGAGGAGGTGAGTGTGATGCGCACGCGCATAGGTGAGCTAGAGCAGCACAATGAGGATATGAACGAATCAGTTGCGGCGTGCGCGCGGACAATTCGCGCGCGCGACGAGACGATAGAGGAGCTCAAGCGAAACTATGAGGAGCAAGTGACTGTGCGCGATCAGGAACTGCGCCATATCCGCTCAGAGATGGATGCAGATCATGCCGTGCTGTCCAGACATCTCGAATTGGCTAGCCATGAGCTGGCGCGGAAGGGAGATGATGCGGCTGATGCACGCGCTCAACACAAGTCACTCGCTGATAACCTAGCCAAGGTGCTCGCGAGGGCAGGCGAGAAAGATCGCGGGAGTGCTGGTGTGGGTGTGGGCGTGGGTGTGAATAATGTGCTGCTGAATTTCTCATCAACTTTCTCGCACACCCCTCAAACCTCACATACATCCCACCCACCAATAACACCCCTCACGCCCCACACACAACATCCCGATGACCTCGTCAGTAGGGTGGCGGCGTATGTGCGCAGATGGCAGAAGGAGGCTAAGGTCAACCGCGAGCGCGCTAAAGAGAAACTGGCCTTTAGGAATTTCGGTAGAGGTGACCTGGCATTATTCCTCCCGACGCGCAATGCAGCAGCTAAGCCGTGGGCTGCTTTCAACAGTGGGTGGATGTGTCGTACTGCTGTGCTCTTTTTAACTCCGCACAGTCTCCTTCCCGCACTACTTCCTTAAGCCAACACCATCGCAGAGTGAGACACTGAAGAGTCGCGAGTGGACAGTTGCGCGCATCACCAACATCGACGAGAAGATAGTCGATGGCACCTCGGATAACCCGTTCGGACTCGGAATCGGAGTCAAGTATTTCCTACTCGATGTCGATATCTGGCAGCCGAAGCATCGCCGCGGGCCATCTCGAAGTGGAGGTGGTGGAGATGGCGGTGGTCTAAGCGTAGTAGTGGATGACAATGAGAACGAGAGGGAGAGGGGAAGCAATTCCACCCAGCCACACACACACAACCACACGCCTAGCAATCCAAATCCGTTTAGCGTGGTAGAAGGAGGTGGTCTCGACAGTCCGTGTACCCGAGCAGGTACAGCCAACAACAACGATGACGATAATAGCTCGGCAGCGGAAAGGAGGATGCATGATCGAGACCCTAGACGAAGGACGGGGTCAGCGACATCAAGTGCAACATCGTCGCGCACACGCTCCAGCGTCAGTCAACAACCCCCACCTAACCTTCTCAGTCAGAGTCCAGGGGTTACGACCACTCTCACGCGAGCTCTGTCCGAGCAGAAGGAGAAGAGGGAGCAGGGACCAATTGAAGAGGCGCGTTCGTCTGTGTCACCTGGGGTAAACGAACATGCTACTACTTCCAGGGATGGGCGCAGCCGCACAGTTAGCGTCACTGGAGCAGCACAAGACCTCCTCAGGAATAGCCTCAAGCGGCAGCAACAACACAGCCCTACTTTGTAGTATAGCTATTTGCGATACTCGGTCAATCCAGATTTATAATGTGCTCTACATACTCGAGTGATAGGAAAGTGTGCAGACAGTCCTCTTTATGGAAACGTATGAATGTAAATTTAAGTAATTTTATGCAAGAAGTTCATAAGGAAAATGCAAGATATAGCTTTTAAGTGAAAATTGTAATCTGGAATCTGTGGAAACTTTCGCAATTTTCATAATCACAAATTAGCATGGACGCGAGTAGCCTTGGTGAGCATCATCTTCTTTCTTTTCCTCACGTGTATCTTCAGAGGGTTGCTTTGTAGATGGCTTTTTGCCCGAGCTGGTGAGAGCGAGTTTATAAAAGTCAGAGCTGTCGTCCGTGAGCGCTTCTTGCACTTCAATGAGGTCCTTCACGAGGATGTCTAGCATGTCTTCACTCATCTCCTCTCTCATTACTGCTCTGATAATCTCTACAGATGTCAAGTTCTCACTCATTCCATAATTTGGCAAGATCCAACCCTTTGTCTTCATCAAAATTTGCACCCATTTCTGCTCGAGGTAAGGGTGTTCTTCTCTGAACTTGTCGGTCCATCTAAAGGCAACGACTGGGAGAGAAGGTGCGTATGCTTCAGCGAGCTGGTTATCCTTGACATCGCTGTTGGGATCGAGGCGATGATTGTCAGATAGCACCTCGAAGTAGCCGCTTTTTTCGAGGGCACGTGCGAGAATACGCGCATTAGAAAAGTCATTTTGCAAGATCGAACAGTAACCTTCATAGCCTAGATTAATAAAGTTGTAGTATTGCGCAATCACTGGAGCTGCTGGACGCGAGAAATTGAGCGTGAATGAAAGCTCAGTTGAACCAAGATAGTGCATTTCGAATACGAGCTCCTTCGGTAAGAGCTTCTCGTCTTTCCAGATGACGATACCTGAGCCAACGTATGTACCACCTTAGTATCGTCAGTGAGAATTTCAGCCAATTTTAACATCCTGCTAACCGTATTTATGACCTGAGCTGTTTATGGAGTGAACGCGAGGTACGTCAAATGCCCACTTGTGCTTAGGGAAAGCAAATGGCAGGACGAATCCACCTGAGGCAGCATCTACGTGGATAGGAATGTCGAATCCACGCTCTTTTTGGACTCTATCTAACACTTTGTTCACACCAATGACGTCCTCAATGTGGCCTGTATATGTACTGCCTGCGATGACTACCACTCCGATGGTATTCTCATCCACAAGGTCCGGAATTGCTTCGGGATCAAGAGTGTAACGGCTACCTTCACCTTTTTCAGAGCTTTTTTCGCCTATTGGGACGATTCTCGCTTCCAAGTCGAAATATCTGGCAGCCTTCTCTACGCAGCAATGAGCAGATGACGCGAAAATCATATTTCCACCTGGTTCTTTGAAGCTGCGTGGGGTTTTATGCTTTTGTGTAGCAGGTGTCGTATTTGAGACATTTTGACTATTTGCTTGCGCAGATTCAAGCGCAGCATTCTCTGCTATTACTTTGCCTTGCCAGAGCTTTTTCAAAGCCAAAACGCCCATAAGAAGCCCTTCACTTGATCCAGCGGTCACGGTACCGACAGCTGAGCAGGAGCCGTCCTTTGGAACTTTCCATAGGTCTGACATCATGCTTATAACACGGTTCTGCAGCTCAAATGAAGACTTGTATTGGTCCTGGTCTGCAATGTTCTTGTTGATATTTTCATCAACCAACTTTTGCCCCAAAGAGGACATTCGAGTGGTGACGAATGACGCGAGATTGAGGAATGGTGTACTGTCACCATTTAGCTCGTCGTGAATGAGCTGGTACGCGACATTATCATCGACACCGGTAGAGGGGAATTCGTACTATGGAGTGTGAGCATTTATACAAAACTAAAGGCAAATAGCACCAACCTTAGGAAGAGGCGCTTGACCGTATCTTCTAGAGGTGTACTTTCGAGCTTCTTCACCGGATGCCCTTTCTACGAGGCTTCTGGCGTCATCGCGTGAATCAGAAATGAGTTTCTCAGTGTTGATGTGCTTTGATAAAGGCATTGTGGGTGTCTGGTTGCGTATACGTCGTCGGAGGGGAAGAAAAAGCGGTGTGGCTAGAGATTGATAAGCCCCACTTTCAGATTGATTCGAGATATTCACAGTCGTTTCAAAGCGATAAAAGCAATAGCTTCAAGGTGAATCCAAAATAAACAGATTCCAATACCCAAAGGCTATGACGCCATCCATTCAAAGCCATCTTCTCTTCCGGTATCTACAGTCCACCTTCCTGAGACTTTTTCTTGGGCTAAAAAAATAATATTTTTATTTTTCATTACTTAGGTTACACTTATATTTAGATTTTGCTGTCCTGAGATCTGTGTAATGTACATCTTGATCTCCGTAGCGGAACGAAACTATATCTTAAGATTGATTAACATACTCGCTTTTGATGTCATCTCTGACCGCACTGTCTTCTATATCTGTACTAGCTTCTCTAGCTTTTTCAGCTTGTTGAAGGGAAGCTGTCGTTTGTATTGCGGGAATAGCATCTCATCTCGAGCTTTATGATGAAGAGCAAGAGTGTTTTTACAATCTATTGCAGAAAAGTTGTAATTGGCGCAATTCAACGTAGAATTCAAAGTGACCATCGGAATGCATACACGGCACTCCGAGTAATTCAAATTGAGCTGATAACCGGTTCTGTACTCGACTGCTGTCTCTATGATTACGAAAACGACCTTTTCTTGATTTCAATCCCCATAGCGCTTTCGAAAAGACTGAGATAGCTGATTGCTAGTTGCCTCCTCCATATGCTCTCATTGCCGGCGCGTTCGTCACGCTAAGTCAATATGAAGTAGTCTATAGTGATAAAATGTGATAATTCTTCCCGTCTAATGATACTTTGTGCGCCGTTGATGCAAAAGATATGAAGTTTAAGGCGGGTTATTTCATAGAATAGAAAGGAGGGGAAAGGAGAATGGGCCATCTATTGCCTATTAATTGTGACAGTTCCGATACATACTACATAGCCCTCTTTACCCCGCCTGGCTAGACCAATTGAGAAGACAACAATTAGATAAAAATTTCAAGCGAGAGGCTCAGTATGTGTGGGATTACGGGAGTATGTCAGGTATAACCACGTAATATATTCACCATACAGCTCTCCCACACCACCCACCTAGGCTGCTCCCTGCGCTGGATGAATTTACGCGCTCTCCTTCAATTCGAGCGCTCACGTATAAAATAAAATACAATGTCAGAAGCCGAAGTAGATCTCGATAGCGTGATTGATAGGCTACTAGAAGGTGAATTTATTCTCACTTGCTCACCTCCAGTGATTCTAACATGGCCCGAAAAGTACGTGGAAATAGGCCAGGCAAGCCAGTCCAACTGCAAGAATATGAAATAAAGTACTTGTGTACAAAAGCCAGAGAAATTTTTATATCTCAGCCAATTTTGTTGGAGTTAGAGGCTCCTATAAAGATATGCGGTGCGTTGTGGCTTTAGTGGAATTTAAACGGGACCGGCTGACATTGAAAATAACGCAGGTGATATTCACGGCCAGTATTACGATTTGTTACGCTTATTCGAGTATGGAGGGTTCCCACCAGAGGCAAACTACCTTTTCCTTGGTGATTACGTTGATAGAGGAAAGCAGTCGTTGGAGACCATCTGCTTGCTGCTGGCTTACAAGATAAAATACCCAGAGAACTTTTTCATTCTCAGAGGTAACCATGAATGCGCTTCAATCAATCGTATTTATGGTTTCTATGATGAGTGTGGGTTACGCGGCTTTTGAGCGGTTTACAGACCACTTACACATATTCACGCACAGGCAAGCGCAGATACAACATTAAGCTTTGGAAAACATTCACAGATTGCTTCAATTGTCTTCCAATTGCCGCCATCATCGATGAAAAGATATTCACTATGCACGGTGGTTTGAGTCCTGACTTACAGTCGATGGATCAAATTAGGCGCGTGATGCGTCCGACGGATGTTCCAGATACAGGTTTACTATGTGATTTACTATGGTCAGATCCAGACAAAGATATTTCAGGCTGGTCAGAGAATGATCGAGGAGTCTCCTTTACTTTTGGTCCAGATGTCGTTACTCGGTTCTTACAAAAGCACGACATGGATTTAATATGCAGAGCTCATCAGGTGGTCGAGGATGGTTACGAATTTTTTGCAAAGAGACAGCTAGTTACCCTTTTCAGTGCGCCAAACTATTGCGGTGAATTTGATAACGCAGGTGCTATGATGTCGGTTGACGAGACGCTGTTGTGCTCATTCCAGATACTCAAACCTGCAGAGAAAAAGCAGAAGTTCCCGGCGTCTTATGGAATAGGCAGACCAGTCACACCACCAAGAAAAGGCAAGAATAAGAAAGATTCTAAATCTTAATTTAACTCAACGAATACGCCATGTTGACCTTTGAAAGCATTGAACATTCTTAATTATATTCTCCACCTTTTCCCTTGTCAAACTCGAATTTCATTTCTTTAAATTTGCGTGTGTCGTATGTGCTATAATGCGTCTGGCTGTGTCTGACTGCTGTCGATTTCCGTTTCATCTTGTCATCAAATGGATCTCGAGGAGTTCAAGCGAAACGGATACGAGTTAGGATGTGTGTTGGATGGTAAAAACTGAGCTCATTGTGCTTTAGGACAGTTGATAGGATCTACAACTACTACAAGTCGCTCAGAGACGATCCATCGTCGATAGCAGTCCAGTCAGATGTCAAGCCTGGGTATCTTAGGGGAGCAATAGCTGGTGCGTGTGTGTTGGCAGCTGTCAAAGCACCATCGTTGATGCTACGTAGACGCACCTCCAAATCGCGGCACGTCATTTGGTGAAATACAGGATGAGTTTAGAGATGTAGTTTTGCCAGGTCTCAACCACTGGCAGCATCCAAGCGCATTCCACTACTTCCCCGCGAACACCTCATTTGAGTCGATGCTTAGCGAAATGCTGATATCTTCAATCAACAATCCAGGATTCAGCTGGGACTCAAATCCGTGCTCAGAGCTCGAGTTACAAGTGATGGACTGGCTGGCAAATTTATTCGGATTGCAAGACACCTTCCACCACTTCCGGAGGGGAGCTGGAGGCGGAGTTGTACAGGCCAGCTCCAGTGAGTCTATCCTGGTAGCTGTGACTGCAGCGAGAGAAAAGTATTTGCACGAAAATGAAACGCGCGATCAGTCTCGTCTGGTGGTGTATGCGTCAACCCAAACACATTCCTCCGCAAGCAAGGCAGCCCGCGTGCTCAATCTCCGCATACGCCTTTTGGAGGTGAGCGCAGAGACCGAGCTGGCACTCACTGGCGAGGCAGTGGCGCGTGCGGTGGCGGAGGACCGCCAGAATGGTCTTGTGCCTTTCATTGTTGTTGCAACTGTAGGTACGACGAGCACTGGTGCGGTTGACTCGGTCGACAGCGTAGGCTCTGTCGCCAGACAGAATCGGCTGTGGATGCACATCGACGCCGCTTGGGCTGGTACTCACCTCGCTGTCCCAGAGGTGCGCGACGAATTGATGCTGGCCGCTATAAATCAGTACGCGGATTCTATCAATATAGGTATGCATAAGGTGGGTGTTTGTCCTTATGTGGTATATCATCCGCTGACACTCTACACTTTACACCCTCCACTCTCAGATGGGCTTAGTTAGCATGTCTACCGTTGCATTCTTCGTTCGTGACCTCAGGTCAATAACGGATGCTCTGACAATCACGCCGGAATACCTGCGCAATAAAGCCACAGACTCTGGACAGGTGCTTGACTTCAAGGACTGCATTATAGGTCTCGGACGACACTTCTCGAGTCCCAAGATATACTTTATGCTCAAGTCATACGGAGTGGAGGGGTTCAGAGAACATATACGCCGCTCTATAGAGCTTGGGGAGAGATTTAGACAGCTTTTGAAATCGGATGGGAGGTTTGAGTTGGTGTGTAAACCCCGTTTGTCACTTACTGTCTTTCGTTTGCGAGGTGGGGAAGGGAGTGAAATCAGTTCAGTGAATGAGCTAAACAGGAAATTCTATAGCAATCTTGTTGCACATAGAAACGAGCTCAGTCTCACGCATACCGCGGTGAATGGTGTATATTGTGTCAGATTCGTATGCGGATGTCCTCAAACAAAGGAAAAACACGTCGATAAAGCATTTCACGTGATAGCGCGCGTTGGAGCAGAAACTGTAAATGGATTCTAGATATGCATCATTCTTGTCTGGTTACATCGATGGGATTCTTCGATAGTGTAAAGAGTTATTTCGCAGGCCAGGGTGAGAATTAAGGTCTGCTCAAATCATAAACTGATTCTCACCTTGCTTTAGAACCATCTGAGGACGATAACAAGAGTGTGCGCTGCGTGCCATTTTTCGCGCTACCAGCTAACATAATACTAGCCCATGCAAGCACCAGCAGCCCAACTAGATCCACCAAAGGACACGCCTATCAGCGCCGCGGAGTTGAGCATGCACGACGGCAGCAACGATAAGCCAATATACGTCGCAATCAAAGGGACGGTATTCGATGTGACCAAGAAGGCTGACATGTACGGCAGCGGCAAGTCATACAATATTTTCGCTGTACTGTTGCCTAATCACGGTAGCGTCATTGGCTGACATCCCGTTCCAGGGCAAGGACGGTAGCAGAGGGCTGGGGATGAGCAGCTTGAATCCGGAAGACGCTGTTGCGGACTACAGTACTCTCACAGAGAAGGAATCTTCTGTGCTTGACGGTGTGTGGGGGTTAGCGCAGCAGCCGCTTATCTAACACTGCTCAGATTGGTTTAAATTCTTTAGCAAGCGCTACAACATTGTAGGCAGAGTGGTCTGAGCAGTCCAGCACACTAAATCCAGGCTTGTACTTGTGCTTGCACCACGCCCAACTCCTTATCATTTTACAACGACATGCGCATCGCAGGCACCTTGAATATACCTAAAATAGTGCTCACACGTCCACTAATGCCTGAAATTATGGCAAAATTCCAATCCAGGCCTGTGAATCTGACTTGCTGGGAGACGGACACTCCGGCCCCCAGAGAATGGCTGCTCGATAATGTCAGCGGTGCAGACGCTCTCCTAGTAATGCTAAGCGATAAGGTTGACAAAGAGCTGCTCGATAAAGCAGGCACTAATCTCAAAGCAATCAGCACCATGTCTGTCGGAGTGGACCACTGTGATTTGGCTCAGCTGAAAGAGCGCAATGTGAGACTTTCGAATACTCCTGACTTACTCACTAGCGCTACTGCGGAAATTGGCGCCTTGCTTTATCTCGCCGCTGCCAGACGTGCTAGCGAGTCAATTGCCTTTATTCAAAGAAATCAATGGCCACAGGTCGGTTGGGGCCCACTCCTCATGGCTGGACAGTTGAGCGAGAATAAGACACTCGGTTTTTTGGGGTGAGTGTGGGGAGTATCAACACACGATCCTAGCTGACTTTGACTTGCTTTGTGTTTTGTTAGATTTGGTCGTATTGCACAGGCTACCATGCACAGACTTGTTCCATTCGGAATCAAGAAAGTCATCTACACTGACTCAGGTGTGTCTTTCTTTCTCCCTCTCTTTTCTCAGTCCACTGACCCAGCCTAGGACGTACAGATAGATCCGCAAGAAATGCTGAGCTATCAAAAACGTACGACATTGAAATTAAGCGCGTCGATCTTTCCACACTCGCCCAAGACTCAGATGCACTCATCCTCCTCGCAGCCATGACTGCAGATATGAAACACATCATCAACAGAGACTTCCTCAACAATATGAAAAAGACGTCATTCGTGGTGAACGTTGCAAGAGGACCGCTCATTGTGGGTGCATTCCAACATTCGCGTAAAAGCAACTGTCTAACGCTCACAAAAGGACACATACGCACTTAACGACGCTATCAACGAGAATGTCATTGCCGGTGCTGGCTTAGACGTTATCGAAGGAGAACCACATATCGACAGCAATCACCCTCTCGTAAAGAATGACAAAGTGTTCCTCCTCCCTCACATCGGAAGCTCGACAGTTGAAACTCGTTATGCTATGGCGGATCTTAGCGTATCTAACGCCCTCAAAGGCGCTTACAATGAGGATATGCAATCTCAAATAAACTTATAAACTTGGTTGTATTAAATGTAAATCGAAAATATACATGTTAAGAAGTAAACACGATTATTAAAGAGGAGCTTAGTATATTCATTAAAGTTTAGCAAAGTTAGCGACTTGTAGTTTTATTGCGTTGGTCCGTGTATTGCGTTAGTCCGTGAAATTTTCCCATATGCCTATAATATAGAAACTTCAGACTATTTATTCCAGTCAAGTGATTTGACAAGCAAGGCTCTCGAATTATCAAAATTCCAGAACAACCTCTCGATTGGACTTCTTCCAGTCCAGCTCTTTTGATCTCTAAGTATCATAGCTTGCTGAGCACCAAGATTACGCTGCTCGCGGTCAAAATTTTCCTTGTGCTCTTCCAATCCTTCAAGTAAACTCTCGAGTTCAAACAAAATAGCCTCGAGTATATCGGCAGTATTAAGTATGCCATGATCCTTTTTGAATCTGTTAGGTGTGATGGACATTGATGGTGAATTAACAGTCGGAGAGAAGGACGTGGAGTTGACTAGATTGCTTATAGCCATTCTCACCAAACGTACCGTCTCAGTGAGTAATCTTTGTGCTTGAACGTTATTTTTACGCGAAATCAGTATTAGTGCGCGTGTTATCATATCCGATGAAAGCAACTCCATCCTGCGTCTTATCACCTTAGCATCTGGACTGCCGAGTATTGCATTGAGACGCTGGGAGATGAGGGTTGGGGATGAGCCGATTGTTGTATGAGCGTCTGGTTGGATATTAGGGTAGATTGTCATAGTCAACAGCACTGGCTGCACTAAACGCGAGACCGATCTACCGACATTTGGATCGTGATATGACGCATCAACTTCAAAAAGAGCTGCCTGTTGAATATCGTGTTAGAATACACTGCACACGCAAGAACACCACAAATGGTAATCACTTACCTCATCAATCATATCATCGTATGCGTCTGACATAGTTTCACCCACACTCAAACCAGACAATCCATCTTGAATATTTGAGTTGACGTTGGCTTGCGCCGAGTATCTCGACAACCGTTTGGTATTTTGGCCCGAACTGCCAATGGTAGCTTTAATTGGGTGGATGAGATCCATCTCGACGAGCAACTCTCTCTGTTCACCGTAATGAATTTCACCCAGCTCTACATGTACTTCATTACCCTCGTTGGAAACTATGGTTGATGTAGATGGTGACACCTTTCTCACTCGTATCATTGGCCAGTCGAGGACATTTATGTGCAGCTTCATGTTTGTGGCTGCAACGCTGAACAGTCCACCAACAGCACCAGCTATGCAGTCCCTCAATTGGTTCCACTCCTTCACGAAAGTGTAGGTGCCACCAGTATGTGAGGAGAGAAGCCAGAGTGAAGAGGGATCGTGCACTCTACTCCAACCTAGTGTGTGTATTGGTACGGAGGCTGCTTCAGCGCGCGCCAACACCAATTCCATCTGCGCACGTCTCGTTGGATCTTGATTATCGCTGACGAGAAATATTCCTGTGACTGAATTTTTTGCTGTTCTCTGCAACACTCCATCCAGGGCTGCGTTCATTGCCGTCACGACATCTGTTTTCTCGTCATCTTTGGTACCGACTTTGAATGGGTCGACTGCGCCGTCTATCCCATACACTGAATCCTCCCAGTTGCTCCCGAATGTCTCCAAAAATCTACTTAGCTTCTGCTTACCGCTGACGGAGGATGGTGATATGAATGGCGTTCTGCGCAACGCTCCGCCCTGAATGGACTTGAATGTAACAACGCAAATTCTGTCTCGATGACCAAGCTTGTTAATCACAAACTCCAACGATGATTTTAAGAACCTGAGTTTGAGTGTTGGGCTGCCATGTTGAGATGTAGGGAGTGGCAAAATGAGCACAATGTCAGCTGGCGCATGGGGATACAGCGTACCGTCGTGTGGCGAGAGCGGTGCTAAATTCTGCTCATTGAAAATTGGAGGATTGCCGGTAAACTGAAACGATGATCTGAACGAGTCTCTACCCTTGTTATCGCCAGGTGCCGCATAGGACATTCCAAATGCTGATGTCGAGACGTCTGATGGATTAGAAGATACACCTGATGTCGCAATCGAGCTAGCCTGAGTGGACCTTGGTGAGTGAGGAAGTGACATTGGGGATATTGGTACACCTCCGAATGAAGATGGTGAAGTCATACTGGTTTGGTGTGGTGATTGTATTGATTGACGGTTTGGGCCAGTCTGCGGTGACAGAAGCCGACCGGATCGATCGTTTTCAACCCTATCACGCAAAGACATTTGAGGTGAATCTGGTTGCTGTTCTGGTTGCGATTGATGGTGGACGTTGACAGATGAAAAGATCAATTTATCGAACTGAGATTTCCACTGTTCACGCTCATCACGCATAATGAACATGAGTGTCAAGTCACGAAAATCTTCAGCTTCTGTTTCCAAAACGAGACCTGTATCACCAATTGAGACAACTCTGTGTGATTGTCAGTGTGGCTTCAAAAAGGGTGAAACATGACTCACCTTCTTATATTCGATATATAAATTTTTCCTTTTAATTTGAGTGACTTGTTGCCATCTTTCAAGGGTGCGCTTTTTCTGTCCTCTGAGACACAAATCAGGGCGTTTTCAAACAAGAAAACTTGCGCAGTCTGTGATTGCGTCGACCTCCGTATAGTCAGACAAAGTGAGTACAACAAGAGTGATCCGAAGCTGTGGGGGTTGTTGCCCTTCCAATCGAGTATCCTAGCATATAAATCTGAAGCAACAGACTTCAGTGGTTTTGAATTAGTCTGTTGGGGTTGAGTGGGTTGAGCGGGTTGCGCCTGTGTAGAAAAGTTTGAAGATGAGCTAATAGAAGTGTTGTCCCCCGAAGTTCTACTTTCAGATCTGTTTAAAGGTGCAAATGTCTCATTATCGTATAAGGCATGATGACGCTCTTGGTATCTAACTAAGGAAGGGTGATTCGAATTCTTAACGTGGTCAGAGTCAGAGTGCCTTGAAGGAATACCGACTGTAACGATAGCGGTAATGGCGGATTTTTGATCTATATGTGGTCGGATAGCAGCGTTAAATTCCGTCCTTATAGATATATTAGGTGAGACTAGTTCGTTGTAAGACGACTTTGAGTTATTTGATATTGAAGTGTTTGAGCTGTTTGTAGTTGCTGCTGGTATAGCGTCATCAGCGGAGCTATCTAGTGGATCTGAAGGGGAATCTGATGGAGAAGACTGAAAGTTACCACCGCTACCAGCGCTATTCTTTTGATAAGACGCGTAAGAGGCTTGAGAGGTGTAAGACGCGTATTGATTATTTAAGCTATTTGAGGAATGCGATGTTTGTAAATCGCGTCCAAGCGGCGGAGAAGCGATCCCAGCGAGTTTATCGAGTTTATTGATTTTTGACGTTTTCTTATTGGATTGTACATCAGCGTCATCAGATAGTTTCATGGGCTTCCTGCAGATTCCACACACACCCAGACTCTTGGAAGGCATTTTAGCAGAAGGAAGAGGACCATAGACCTGGGTGAAGCACTGATCGTGTAAAGCGTGTCCACAGAGTGGTACAATGTGCGGTTTCTCGCCTGTGCCGTTGAATTAAATTTGATATTGAATCCCCAACGATATCACTCACCAGGAAGTCTAAACGAGAATGAAAGCGGCTCCAAGCAAACAGGGCAATTGTCATATTTATCCTCTTGATCAGCTAATATCGCATTCGCAGATGGACTAATTGGACTGACGAAATTCGGTGATGGATGATTAAGCGGTACTGGTTGGAGACCACCATCAGAGAGGCTCTGGCGAGCAGGTGACTCTAAATTATCATTAAGGGGATGTAATGGTGTTATTGGTGAGCTCGGTGTCTTTTGGTCAGATTTCTTGCGATTCCAACGCACTTTGAACATTGGCGTTTGATGGACGTCGACTCGAGAAATGATTCAGTCATGACAACATATAAATTTACTTAAAACAATATTCTTTCAGGTATACATTTCTTATTCCCGTGGCTTTGTCGATGCCTCTACAGCTGGTTCTACAGCCCCTTTCTTCTTCCTCTTATCAATCAGCGTCGCTGCACTCAAATCCAAGTCAAATGTCTTCCTTGGCTGTCTGTCGCGTGGTCCTGCCCTTCCATCGCCCAACTTTTCTGTGTGCTTCTTCTCCCTCTCTTGCTCCTTACTTTGCGTCTTCTTAATAGCTTCCTTCTGTCTAGCTGCATTTACAGCCGCTACTTTACGGTGATTTGACATATGTCCTGACATTTGCTGACTTTCATCTTCTTCCTCTTCTTCATTCAGGCTGCCAAGGAACCCACCGCCTCCGCTTGGTTTGCCTTTGCGACGTCCTTCTTCTTCGGCTCTGTGTACCGCATATGTCACATCGAATGCTTCCTTCAGTTGCGCAACACCAGGAGATGGCATTGCCTTTCTGTTGCCTCCCATTGCACTAAACATTGGTGAATCAAGTGGCGTTGGTGGTGGTCTCTTTTCTTCAGCTCTACCAGTCGAACTACCTTGCATCCATGGGTGTGCAAAGAAGTCATTAATATCGTAACGCTTCCTTGGATCTACACAGAGCAAGTGAGATATCAAATCCTTTGAAGAGTCAGATATTCCATCCCACCATGGACTAAGGAATGTGAATTGCGCTCTAGCAACTTTCTCTGTCAAGACCTGTATAGACTCATCGTAGAATGGTGGGAATCCACATAATATGGTGTATAAAACACATCCAAGTGCCCACATATCCACAGATTGTGAGTATCTCTCATCCTTTACAATCTCAGGTGCAGTGTAACCAACAGTTCCACACGGTGTCATAGTTTGCTGATCCCAAACAACCTTGGATAAACCAAAGTCTGCAATTTTTACTTTACCGATTTCACCACCACCAATGCCTGGTTTAAATTCACCTTCATCCATCTTATCCTCATCGAAAGGCTTCTTTTGAGGTGTTTTTGAAGGAAAAATTTCAATCCTATCAAAAAGAATATTTTCAGGTTTAATATCACGATGAACGACACCAGCTTCATTGTGAAGGTATCTAATGCCATCAGCAACCTGAGTGATGACATGTCTAGCCAATTCCTCACTAAAGTATGTGAGTTTAACGATCTGATGAAACAGTTCACCGCCTTCAGAAAGTTCTAACACCAAGTGATAATACTCTTTTGAGTCGATGAAAGTGAGAAGCTTGATAATGTTTTCATGCCTCACAGCTCTCATAATTTGAACTTCTTTAAGAATGTTTGAGCGTTGATGACTGGAGAGCTCGTACTTTCTAACGACCTTGATAGCGACCTTCTGATGATTCTTTGTGTCCAAAGCCTTGTATACGTTTGAGAATGCACCGTCACCCATTTTGTCGATAATCTCATACTGCTCTAAACCAGGATAAGAAGGCTGTGGGGGAGTGTGAGTGGGGTCGCTTGTAGCTATATAGCACGCCAGCATACCATCTTAGATCTCTCCCTCCTTTCTTGCTCCACGATCATTTCAGCTTCACGTGCGTATTCTTCAGCCCTATTCTTCTCACGCTGCTCCTTCTGTTGCTGAGCATGAGCATGCTTCCTCTGCTCTTCTTCGTATGCGTTGTTTTGATTCATACGTTTTGGTACGTGTGAGAGCATATCGTTCATGGGGTCTTTATGTGATCGTTGGGGCTGCTGCTCTTGAGGAGGTGATTCCGGTTCATCAGACTCGAAATGCGTGTCCTTGTGATGCTTATCACGCTCATTGCGTCCGTGTCGTATCAAATCTGGTTCTATGTATCAGCATTTGAACCTTGCAAGTGACTTCTACCAACTTCTAAATACTTGTATAGCACCTGACCTGAATATAATCTATGAGCATCAAGGCTTCAAATCTAATAGCCATTTCCCACATTTATCTATACTTGTCTCTTGAGCGTTTATAACAAGAAATCCCTCTGGCGAGGTGGAGTTACAATGGTGGTTGGTGACATCATGGAATTTTTTTTACTTTCTTTCATATCGTATCCTAGGTTTTAAGTGAACTTACATTGGGCGTGTGTTCCTGCTGACCCTCCCTTCCCGAATTCTTCATGATATAATTTTAACGTCATACTGCTTATCTCGCATATGCCTTGAGTTCGTTAGTGTGAGCGTTTGGAGCTTGGTTTTGTTTTTGGTTCTTACTCCCACACGCATTTCGCATTTCGCATTTCGCATCTCACAGCTCCATGAAAATCTTCACATATCTTAGACACACGTACATACATTGCATTATAAAGCCAGCAAGTTGATCCTAGGCTTGAGATCTACAGTCGGCACAATCATTGAATTGAGATCAACCTTCATCTCCGGTGGTCCCAATCTCAGCAGCGGGTTGGGCTTGCTGCCAACACCACTTGCACCACCTGAACTATCTAGAGATGGCTTTTCAGGCGCATCGATAAGCGCACCCAGCATCAACTGAAACTTCTTGAGTGAATTGGTAGCTGCATCCAACATCGCAGCTCTTTCTTCTTCCTCCACTCTCACGTCCACCTCTACTCCACTGTACCCGCACAAGACGGCCAAGAAAGCGACATCGAATGCTTTCCGTGCGTTAGCCCGACCATCATGCTCCTGTTGATTGAAAATAGTCGACGTTCTTTGAGACAAGTTGGAAAGCACTTGATATAAAATGCTCCGTTTGTCACGCACGTGTAGCGAGATATTAGAAACGTCATGTGCAATGGTATAAAGCAGCTCAAAAAGCTCCGACGACGGCCCCTTTGGTATTTTAAACATCTTCGTATCTTCTTCGCCAACATGTAGCGTCTCCCACCTCGATTCATCCCCATCCAATTCACATTCGGTCCATTTAAAAGTGTCAGCTTTGAGGTGCTCATCAACGACATCCGCAGCCCACTTTTTTGTCACTTTATGTATGAGATTATCGTAATTCACTTGCAGCGTATCGCTAAGAGTTATGTTCTTGGCTATCCCTTCTTCCTCAGATAATGAGTCAAGTAGTTGTCGCAATACCATCAGCTGCCGTTTGCGCTGTGTCTGGTGCTCGTTTGATACTAGTGTGTCAAACGTGTTGGTCAATCTCTCAACAAAGCCATCCAACATGGCCTTGGCATGCTCTCTATAGACTCCCAACAATCCTTCCGATTGAAGAGTAGTGTCGGGAGCTACAACAAAGTCTACCACCTGATGGTGGATTGTCGCTGCTTGATTACTGATGATTTGTAAAATGTCACTGACTATTGAGATCCGTTTCGTTGTGAATGTCGCGATATTGATATCGTTGGGAAGCGGTGACAGTAGATTTGTGATCGGGTCGTTCTTGGAATTGGGTATATGGGTGACTGTGTTGATCGCCTTGTTTATCTTTGTTAAGGTTGTTTCTAAGAAATTGCTGTGCAGGTCTATCCAAAGAATTTGACAGCGTTCTTCCAGCAAACCAACGAAAAAGTCTTTTACAGTGGGAATGTTGGTAATCTCAACGATTGCTCGAAGTGGACATAGGTCTGGAATGCTCTTGACAGTAGACAAAAGACCAGAGTGAGGATCTAAAACCGTCCTTAAACTGCCTAAGCTGAAATCTGTCCATTTTGAAAGACTGCCTGTGATGAATTCTGTTGATAATTTTTCAAGTGGAGCAAAGTAAGGTGTGTAGTTGAGTAGCTGGTTGGGTATTCTGTGAGTGATAATCTCTGAGCCAGACAGTTGATCGATAAGACTCTTTGTGGTAATATCGGCAGTATTTTCACTGCATTGGTGTATGAAATTGCTCAAACCTTCCTCAATGTAGAGATTATAAACCAAGTCATGGGACTCATTGATAAGTTGAAGTGATTGGCTGATGACTGTTACCGGTGAAAGGTTGTTCTGTATGTGATTGAGCGCGACTGAACGCTGTTGTAGTAGCCTATCTAAAGATTGATTATACGTTGGGCTGTCGAGGAGGATGAGGCCGGTGAGAGTTCTCAAAGCATCTTGATAACTAATAGACTGCTTAATAAGAGATATGACGCCCTTTAAAACTATCTGCTGCTTCAGTTGTACCGTAGATTCATACTGAGACTTGAGAATGACGAGTTGATTGAGAGTTTCGGGATAATTTGTAGATAATTGTATATGAGTGATTCTAGCCAGAGAATACAACCAAGCGGAGTGCAGATGCTGATCATTTTCCATAAATCGCCAGATATTCTCGGTTGAATCGTGAACAAGCTTAACCAGAGCTGGAATTGGATCGATAGAGGTGGATGGAGGGGGTGTGCGAGGTCTAACACTACAATCCACACTTCTGATGCTATCAATGACGCGTTGTGCGCGGTGAAGCCCTCTATCGAGCTCAACCAAGGATTTGCTCACGCCGAGAACGTGCTTACAGCGATCGCCGAGGATAGCTTGGACTATAAGGCCACGCTTGTCGATCTCCTGGTCAATAACGCCCCACTCGCTCATTTGTTGAATTTTTTATTTATAATCAGCAAAAGGCAGTGAATCTAACCAAAACGACCAAGAGTTGTAAATTAAAGTTTTAAAAAGGTTTAGCTATGTCGAACCAGCCAAAGTTTAATTATGCGGCTGCAGCCAAAGCTAAACAGCAACAACGAGAGATGGGGCAGTTTGAGAAGCAGCCACCGACGCAGCCGAGATCTACGCAGACGACGCAGGCAGCTCCACAGCCCAACCAGCCCACGCAGTCCCAAGAGGCTGTGGACAATAAGAGCTCACAACCAGCTCCATCGCAGCCAAAAGCTGGTGAGTTTCGCCCAGATATCTCTATTCAATGCTTATACACAATTCACAGCCGGAGAAGGAAAATCTAAGCCAAAGAAGGAATTTAATCCCCACGCCTTCTTTACTGGCGGCGGCGGGGCTCAGCAGCAGCAGCAGCAGCAGCAGCAACCACAGCAAACACCACAGCAGCATCCACCCCCACAACACCCAGCTGCTCAATCAAAGCCTTCTCAAAACGGTGGCAGCCACCGTAACTCGGCCGATAGCCTCAGGTTGAACGCACAGCCCTTTAATCCACAGCAACAGAGCTATAGACCACCTCAGCCTTTCCAGCCACGCAATGTTGGTAAACCTCCCCAGAACCAGCGCAGTCCTCAGCCACACCACCAGCAGCTCAATCCACAACCCTACTTCCAGCCTGCTTACGGCACTGGCTACTACGATCCAAGCATGCAGGGCTACTACGTTGCTCCAGTGCAACCCACTGGCTGGGCTCAATACCCACAGCACCCCCAACACCCTCCACAGCACCCACCCCAACATCCTCCTCCACAGCACTTGCCACCAACCAGTCCTTCTGCTCCTCAAGTCTCTCTGCCTGGTTCTACTGGCTCTAGGAATGGTCCTTCCCCCCCAACCATTCCAGCGACTCCACGTGCTCCCTCCTCCACCACCTCTCCAAGGCCTCCTTTCACTCCTTCAGCCAACGCTCCAATCTTCTCCCCTCCACAATCTGCCACCTCCCCTCCACCAGGCTCCTCTATGTCTCCTTCTGCTGCTCCTTTCGCCATGCCGCAGAGGAAGAGCGCTGCTATAAAGATTTCTAATGCTCAAGGTGAAAAAATTGACCTGAGCAACTTCAAGCACCAGCGCCAGAGCTCGTCTATTCCTTCGATAGCTTCAGTTGAGGCTGCTGCCCCTGAGCCCTCAGCTTACGTAAAGCCTCCTCCACGCACTGCTATCAGACTCGAGTCTGAAGAAGCCAAAGCTAAGCGTTTGGCTGACGAGGCCAACCTTGATGCTGAGAGGAAGAAGGATGACGAGAAGAAGATTGCCGATGAGAAGAAGAAGCTTGATGATGAGAAAAAGAAGCTCGATGACGAGAAAAAGAAGCTCGAAGATGACAAGAAGGCTGCCGAAGAGCAAGCTAAGAAGATAGAAGACGAAAAGAAGGCCACTGAGGCTGCCCAAGCTGCTGAAAAGAAGATGCAGGAAGAGAAAATTAAAGCTGATGAAGCTGCAAAGGCTAAAGCTGCAACTGAAGAAAAGAGCAAGGCAGATGAAGCCGCTACAAAGCCATCACTCAAGGAGGCTAACACTGAAAAGCTCTCCAAGGAGCAAGTCAACATGCTTGCCGAAGAAAAGATGGCTACTGAAGGTAGCACTCCAGCCACCTCCCTCGATCACGCCAAAAAAGACTTCCCTAAGGAAGAACAACAGAAAGAACTCATCTCCAAGATTGCCCCTGCCACAGAATCTGTATCAACCCCTGCTGTCGAGAGCGACAAGCAATTACCAAAAACTGATACCTCTCCAGCTCAGGATGACCAACCACAAGCAGAATCCTCTCAAAAACCTTCACAAGCACTTGGCTCTGCTAGGAGAATAGACGACCTCAACAAGGTTTCCTACCCTGGCGATATCAAGTCTCCAAATGCAGAGCTTAACAAGCAAGCACGTCCTGGAAAATTCCGCTACGACAGGGACTTCTTGATGCAATTCATGTCTGTGTTTACAGACAAGCCAGCTAGTATGCCATCACTTGATGCGATTGGTTTGGAACCTGACCAAGGTATGGGATTCGGTGGAAGATCTTCATCAGGCAGACAAGGCAGCAGAGGTGGTATGGGACGCTCATCAGGATTCGGAAAGCAAGGAGGATTTGGTCAATTCTCTGATGTTTCATCCAGAGGTACTTCTTCCGCTGAGCGTTTCGCTAGATCACAGGCAGCTGGTGCATTTGCTGGTCAGCCAATGTCAAGAACTAATTCATCTCACCGTGGTATGGCCAGGGAGGCCTCTGGCGGTGGTAGGAATAGATCGCAGCGTGGCAAGCAACGTGATGGCAGAGGTGGTCAGTCATCTACACCACTTGCCGATGCCCTCGGTTCAGTAGCACCACTTGAGAAGAGTGAAAATGCATGGACACCTCAAGCTATCAAGAACAGATCACAAGGTGTCAGACCAGGCCTCAACGTTGATGAGAATGACCCAGCCTTTATTGAAAAGAAGGTTAAGGGTTTGCTCAACAAGCTTACAATTGAGAAGTTTGATTCAATCTCTAACCAATTGATTGCATACGCCAACAAGTCCGAGACGGAAGATGACGGTAGGACGCTTAGACTGGTTATTAGATTGGTCTTTGAAAAAGCAACTGATGAGGCTGTGTGGTCTGAGATGTACGCCAGACTCTGTCGCAAGATGTACGATCAGTTGTCGGAGCATATCTCAGATAAGGATCAGCCAAGTACAACGACAGGTGGTCGCTTATTCAGAAAGTACTTGTTGACGAGATGTCAAGAAGACTTTGAGAAGGGCTGGTCAGACAAGGAGGCAGCATCTAAAGCAGCTGCTGAGAAGATGGCTGAGGACCACGCTAAACTTCAAGCTAACGAGGAAGCCGAGGCTGATGTTGCCAAGGGTGGACAACCAAAGGCTGAGTGAGTTTTTTTTTTGCTTCAACAGATAATGAGCAAAGCTAACACGTTCTAGTGCTCAAACACTCTCTGATGAATACTACGCTGCTCAGAAGGCCAAGCGTAGAGGTTTGGGATTGATTAGATTCATTGGTGAACTCTTCAAGCTCACACTGCTCACATCAAAGGTCATGCATCTTTGTATTATGCAGCTCTTGACTAGGCAAGGTGAAGACGTTGAAGAAGATGATATTGAATCGCTCGCCAAGTTGATGACGACAGTTGGTGGGTTGTTAGAAACGCCAGAAGCAAAGAAGAATATGGATGCGTACTTCTCACGTATGGAGGGTATTGTAGAAAATCAAAACACATCATCAAGATTGCGCTTCATGTTGATCGACGTGATAGAATTGCGCACACACAACTGGATAACCAGACATAAGGACGCTGGACCAAAGTCTATTGCGCAGATCCACAAGGATGCCGCGAACCAGAGAGCGCAATCTGCAGCCGATGCCAACATTGCACTGAGCAGAGGCACATCGAACCGTGGACCAGTGAGACAAGAGAGCTCGCGCGGGCCATCGAGGAGAGGTCAACCAAGAGGACCACCAGTGCAAGAGGAGAAGGGAGGAGGAGATGGATGGAACACGATCGGCAGTGGTGCTGCTGCTGGTGGTGGTAGTGGTGGACAGAAGGCATCACAACCATCGGGAAACCTCAGCCAATTTGGACAATTCTCCTCAAAGGGTGGAGCTGCGGGCGCTGGTACTGGTACTGGTGCCGGTGCTAGCGGACAACAATCACAACAGCAACCATCGCAGTTCGGTCCTACTAGCGTTTTTACTAAGAAGGGCGGTAGAGGACAAGGAGGATCTGGTGGAGCGTCTCCTTCTGGATTGGCCTCGCCTATGCTTTCTGAGGGCAAGTCACCTGCTGTGAGCAGAACAAACAGTAGTGGTAACATGTTCAGTCTGCTTGAAGCTCAAGACCAGGCTCAGAATGAAGAGCAGCCGCAGAGGAAGAAGCTCAACTTGCTTCCACGTTCAGCAACGAAGGGCGATGTTGAGGAGGAGCAGGATGAAACCCCAGCTTCAGCATCAGGAGGCAAGGATGAAATTAGTGATGATAAAGCCAAGCAGATGGTTAAGACAATGATCGAGGAGTGTAAGTGAGAACATTTGCGCAGTAGTGATATGCTAACACATAGCAACACAGTCTACTCGCTCAAGAAAGTGTCAGAAGGATTAGAGTCATTTAAGGAGCTCCCTAATGAACACAAACCAAAGCTGATCGAGCAGCTTATTGATCGGTCGTTGAATGGGAAGAAGGAGACAGTTGAGCTCACGGCAGAGTTGATTGCGGCGGCAGTCGATGATAAGTTGGTCGAACAAACTCAATTAGAAAGCGAAATCGGAAACATGATGGAGTTTATTGAAGATATCGCAATCGATGTGCCAAACGCATACGAGTTCATGGGTTGTCTCATCAAAGCGTCCAAGTTTGACGAAAAGACTACCGACAGAGTACTTGGAAAGAGTGGTTCTGATGGAGCAAGCGAGAAGCTGAAAAAGTATATTTAACAAGACTAATTCCAACGGAAAAATTTCTCGCTTTTACTTTGTTGTGATACGCGTATGATAATAAGTTTGCATGATGAATAAGTTTGCATGATTCTAGATTTTAATGAATAAGTGAATGCCGATTGCGTTGTAGGAGCATACGTATGACGTACGTCTTCTCATTCCATCATGACGGGCAGGAGAATTACAATACTAGGATCAGGCTTCGTTGGTAAGCTGGAGGTGGTGCATTCAGAGAAAGATCTAATAATCAACGCCAGCCAGCAACATAGCTCAAGCACTGAGAGGGAGATTCCCAGAAGCCACGGTAAACCTCGGATCACGGCAAACGACGCCAAAGGTGGATGTGACAGATATAGAGACGGTTCGCAGTGCCGTGAAAGGATCAGATACGGTGATAAATACGGTTGGACTGTTGCAAGCCTCGCCACAGGTGTTTGACAAGGTGCAGCATGAGGGAGCGCACAACGCGGCACAGGCAGCATCAGAGAATGCATCGGCGTATATACAAATATCAGCCATTGGATCAGATGTTAATTCCAGGCTGCCTTATGCGCTCACCAAAGCGAAAGGCGAAGAAGCTGCGAGGAAGGAGTGCAAGAATGCGACTATTATACGACCATCACTGGTATTCGGATCGGGCGATAGCTTCTTTAATAGATTCAGCACTCTGTCCAAGTACTTGCCGTTCCTGCCGGTTTTCGGCGACGGCAAGACACTGTTTCAGCCGGTTTACGTTGGAGATGTGGCGCAAGCGGTCGCTGTATCAGCGAGTGCAGTGGAAGATGGCCAGATAGGCGAGCGGGTGAATGGGAAAACGATAGAAGCTGGTGGGCCTGAGGGTGAGTAATTGGGGGATGAGACTTAATAACCGACTGATGACCGGATTAGTGTTCACATATCGACAAATTATGGAATTAGTGCTTAATTACAATGGTCGCAGCCGCGCTATCATACCAATACCGTGGCTGGTGGCGAAAATGCAGGCGGGGATCATAGAGAGACTGCCGGTACCAGCGCTGTTATCAATCACACGTGATCAGGTGGAGCAGCTGAAGAGCAACAATGTGGGTGGAGTGAATTGGCTCACGCGTCGCTAACCATTGTGCAGATAGTCACACCACAGCACGAGAGAGGTGCTGATCAGGCCAGTTTTAGGGAGCTGCTGCAGGACTTTGCAGGTGTACAGCCTAGGAGTGTGCATGACGTCCTCCCAACATATCTTTCTCCCCAAGGACATCCAGCGAGGATGAGAAGCGGCAAGGAGGATGCGGAGAGGTGTAAGGAGGAGGACAAGAGGAAGAAGAGAGAGGAATTGAAGAATAAGAGCAGCTATTGAGTACACCCGATTACACCCGAGTGCACCCGCTAACCACTGGATAAACGCACTAAAAACTCAACAAATCCCCTGGTTGCTTCCGAAATTATGTAAAGTTTCTATAAATGTAAATAAGTTTAATGACGTCATTTTAGTGAATCACGGGAATTAAATATTACTTATGATAACAGGATAACGTAATATCGGCATCAATGAAGAGTGCGCTGTGCCTGTGAGATGTGCCTTGTGAGTTTGGGGAAATAAAAAATAATTTCAGCCTGTTCACGCCCATCGCCTAAAATGGAAGTGTTATCTCACCTGCTAAATATCTTGGTGGAGAACGGCGAGGATGGTAAAATGAGAAATTTGAATAAAATCGAAGCAAAGTACAACGTGGTTACAGAGTGTGAGATGAGTTTATTTGAGTGTGTTTAGCAGCTGCTGATTTCTTCTAGACACAAATCTAAATCTCCATCAAGCTGCCTTTTCCAATGACGTTGGATCAGCTGCATTTGCGTTGCGTAACGGACAACCAGTCAATAGCGTTTATAAAGGTACTCTCCCAATACACGCCGCTGCTCTTGCCGCTTCCAAGGATGTCCTCAAAATGTTGATTGATGCCGGCGCGGATGTAAACGCGGCGCGACTAGCAAAGAATATCGGCGCACCCAAAGAATCTCATCTCCATCACTCCCACACGGATCTATCTCCAGGCACGACGGGTTCCACAGCGCTTCACTATGCAGCTGGCAGTGGTCACCTCGCTATCGTCATCACGCTGTTAGAACACGGCGCAGACAGCAACAGGCTCGACAAGAATGGTCAGCTTCCAGCTACACTCGCTCTTCACTGCGGTTTCAGGGATGTTGTTCACTTGCTCGTCAATCACACTATGAAGACGTCGCAAACGCCAGACGAGGCTATTGACGCATTGGAGGATAAGATAGTGCGTGAAGAGCAGTCTAAACATCGCAGACCATCCCTCCCATCGATCATCGAACAGTCGTCGTCGACGATTAGGAATTCTACCAGCTCAATTCGAAGGAGCAATAGGAATAGGCGTTATAGCCATTCTGAGAGCCTCGCTAATGTACTCGAAGGGGGTAGCTCGTCGGGATCGCTGGGATCACCGCGAACACCACAAACACCACAAACAAACGCACAAGCACCTCACACACCCATCAAAGAGAGCTTTAACTTGAATCGAGCAGGTGAAACCTTCTCATCAGAGAATGTAAACGAGGTTATTAGCCTTAATCACGATAATGGGCAGCAACAACAACAACAACAACAATCACAATCACAGCCACAGCCACCACCGCAACACAGCCTCAGACGGCTAGTGAGCAAGCAGTCCCTCGCTAGTCTATTCAGCAGGTCCAAGACAGATGCAGGGAAAGGACAGGAAACCTTGAGCGATGGAGGAGATGGAGATGAGTATGCAACTCGAGCGCGTTCCAACAGCAACTCGTCGCTATCGCCCAACACCTCAGTGCCGTCGTCACCTCTCAAAAAAGGGGAGCGGGTGAGGGAGGTGAGCGGGAATAACAATGGTAGAAGTGTGAGTGTGAGTGGTGGTGGGAGTGCTGGCAGTACTAGCCATGCTATACAAGACAATGACGTAGCACACTCACACTCACAACCACCACAACTACCACTACCACAACCACTCCACCACCGCCATCGCACCAACACGGTGTCCACCATATCCACGACAAACACGCGTTCAACGAATGCTCAACTGTCAGCAACAGACGACAACAGCTCGCACACGAGCGCGAGTCAAGCGAATCAGGCTAATTATGCAGACGTCGTACTTAAGATACCGATGAATCAGTCACAGCATGCCAGAGAGGCGCATGCAGATAGACGGGAGAAACGACGGGCGGCGATGCGACAACAAAGTGCGACATCGTTTAATGGGGTCGGGAACGGAAGTGGGAGTGCAAGTATAAATCAGTCGACACACTCATCACAATCACATTCACCACACTTATCAGACCCTTTGCACTCAACGCACCCTCACTCATCACACCCCTCTCACCCCTCTCACCCCTCTCACCCCTCTCACACTCACCGCTTCGCTAATCTGCAGGAGCTGCCTCTGGCAGAGCAGGAAGAACGCGTGAGCTCAGCGCAGGCTGCGGAAATGGTGAAACGGGTGCAGAAAGAGTTGCTGACGCTGGCAGAGAAGGGGAAAGCGCCGAATGCGGTGGATAATCGCAGACAGGGGAGCGGAGGGAGTGAAGGGGTTGAAGAAAACGACTTGATGGAGAGATTGCAGAGATACGGCGAGACATTGGCGTTGGAGAGGGAGGCGCGGAAGCGGGAGGAGGAGATGAATGGGGAAGGCAAGAAGAAGAGCAGAGAAGGGAGTGCAAGGAGTGTAGGTACTGCAGGTAATACAGGTAATGCAGGTGATACAAGCAATCCAGCCAACATAGAAAACACAGCCAACACAGCCAACACAGCCAACACAGCCAACACAGAAAATCCACCCAAACCACACCACCCAACCAGGTTCACCCAATCAACCAACGCATTCGACTCACATATCGCCTCTCAGCCTCCCAAAGAAAGTGAAAAACGAAACACGCGCCACCAGACATCCATCGAGAAGAACAAACTGCGGCAGAGTCACAACACAGCAAAGAAGAATCATTACAGTGTTCGGACAGATGTGTTTCAGAATGACTTTGACAGCAAAGTACCCTCGCCTCTGCACGTATCGCATACGTCAGCCAAGAATACACCACGCTATTCGAAGCTGTTGAAGGGGATAAAGTATAGGCTTACGCATGGGTATGGGGGGTGAAAGGGAGAAGGGATTGTATTGATTGTATGCATATGACGACGATGACGACACAAGGCGGGAATAGAGAGACAGAGAGCAATGTGATAAGGCTCACCATCCCAGAAAGATCATTCCCAATTGTATTTTGTGCTTCTCTGGTTGGATTCTCGCTTGGGAGCTATAGAGGGGGAAGATTGGCGGGTAAAAAGTTTTTAGCAGAGAATGCACACAGGGCGCCAAAGACGGTGCAAGGGTGGTACTTCTACAATAAGACGAAGAATTACAAGATAATGCAAATGAGCCTGAAGAATGGCTTGGTGGATGGTAGTAAGATGGGGGGAATTGGGTTGCTGTGGGTGCTGGGGAGCGTGGGCGCAGAGAAGGCGCGCCAGAGAGCGGGCCTGGGGGACAGCGTGTACAGGCCCATCGATGATCTCAGTGGATCGCTCAGCACCGTCGCAGCAACGTCCATCGTCTACAAATTAAAAACACCGGCGATCAAGCGACTTACCGGAATCGCCGTGCTTGCGAGTGTATCCATGTCCACGCTCATCCAACTCAAACAAATTTTGTAAATTATTTTCATTTGTCTATTCATCTCTTTACATCTCGCTGCCACGCGGACACAGCGAGGATAGAAATACAGATAAAAAACGCGTGTTAAGTCGATGACATCCACCGACTCATCCATATCCGTCTCCGGTGCGCTCAGTGTTGCTGTCCGTCTTCGTCTCTCACGCCATCCCAGTACGCGTCAGACCACTGACAAACAAGGAAAGCGGCTTAATCGAGCCTCTGTCCACCAACGCATTCTCCTCAGACGCGTCCCTCTCTTACACTCCCCAAAAACACCCAGTTCGCTCTTCTAGGCGTATCATCGATGTTTTGGACGATAGAGTACTCATCTTTGATCCCCCTGACAACGACCCCACTCGGTCTTTTCAGAATATGGGTTTTACTCGGCCTGGAATGAAACGCTACAAAGACCAGCGATACGCGTTTGATCGCGTCTTTTCTGAGCCCACCACCCAACAACACGTCTTCCACGACTCCACTCTCCCTCTCATCGACGGCGTCCTCGATGGCTACAACGCTACCGTCTTTGCTTACGGCGCTACTGGCTGTGGAAAGACCCACACCATCTCCGGCACTCCAAACGATCCAGGCATCATCATTCGCACCATGAACGAGCTTTTTACGCGCATCCACCACCTTGAATCCACGCACAACGTTCAAATCAGCCTCAGTTACCTCGAGATTTACAACGAAATGATACGCGATTTGCTCGCTCCACCTGACTCAAAAGCACCGCGTTCTGGTCTGGCATTGCAGGAGAGCGCTGGTCATAAAATTAGCGTAGCTGGTCTATCCGAACACCACCCAGATTCCCCTGAACAAGTCCTTCTCATGATCCTTGACGGTAACAAAAAACGCACTATGAGCCCTACGATGGCAAACGCAACCTCTTCACGCTCCCACGCTGTTCTCCAAATCAACGTTAAGAAGAGACAGGTGGGGCATGACAGCGAGCAGTGTGCGACGCTCTCCATCATCGATTTGGCGGGTAGTGAGAGAGCATCAGCGACGCAAAATAGCGGTAAACGTATGACTGAGGGGGCTAACATTAACAAGAGTCTACTAGCTTTAGGTAATTGCATCAACGCTCTCTGTGAGGGTGTCAAAGGACATATACCCTACCGCAATTCCAAGTTGACGCGCTTGTTGAAATTCAGTCTGGGTGGTAATTGCCGTACTGTCATGGTGTGTCGTGATGTTATTGTTATGCCTCACTCTAATACTTTCACAGATCGTCTGTGTCTCTCCCTTCTCGCAGCACTACGAAGACACGCAGAACACACTCAAGTATGCCAATCGCGCCAAGAATATCAAGACAAAAGTGTCCAAGAACATCATCAACGTCGATCGACATGTGCGTGAGTATGTGCAGATGATAGCCGAGCTGCGCGAGCAAAATGGGAAGCTACAGGGAGTGATAGACAGTCGAAGCGACGAGCTGAGTGTAGCTGATCAGCGCAAAAGGCAGTACAACTATGAGGAGATGGTGCGAGTGAAGAGCGACATAACTGAAAAACTCCAAGCGACACTTCCCTCCATAACGAAAGGGGCGGCATGGGAAGCCTTATTGCTTACATCGACAATGCGCGCCCAGCCTCTCGAAATGCGTCTGGGGGTGCTGAACGCCGAACCCTCTGCACACATCCACGAAATAGCCCTCCTATCAAGCATGCTCCGTCCACTAGCTAAAGTTTTGGCACCGCATAGCGCCGCTCGAGGGCATATTTCTAGCGCACAGAAAAATATGGCCGTTCTCGAAGCTACCCTCCGCGCTATAGAGGAGAAGCGGTATGATGGAATGGATGAGCACACTACAATGCAGATCCGACAAGCCGCTCAAGGTTGTCGCGACAAGGTGCAACTCGAGTCGGAGAAAGCCCGTGTAGATATCCTTAAAAACGCCCTTGGTGTCCTATCGACAGGGCTGAGTGGGACGACGAAGACGATCGCCCACCTCGCCCAGATCGGCAACAAGTTGATAGAAGATGTCAACAAGAAGCAGGTTGACTACAGTACGCATGTGGCTTATGCCAAATCCTTACAGGGTGAATTCGAGGAGAGTAACGCGTTGCTGAGTAGTATCAACTCCAACGATGAACTACCACCACCTATCGCTGCCGTAACGTCGCCTATTCGCGGCTCGTACAGACAGGATATGCTCTCGGCTAACTCCCCCTTCAACCCTCCACCTCCCCTCACCGTTAACCTTAAGAGCCTTTCCCCGTCTAGCATCCCCCAGCCGGGACTGGTGGAGCCTGAATCACTCGGTCAGGGCACGCATGGCACGCATGGTTTGCGTCATGTCCGCAACGCTATGGGAAGTCTCAGTGTTGGCAGTCCTAAACGAGTTCATAGGCGGCTGTCAAATTACGACGGTGGCGTGCAACCAGCGCATAACGCTCATTTCAAACCTCCACCTCCCCTTTCTTTCAGCGCTGCAGCAAGCGTTGCAGCCCACCCTACGCAACCAACACAACCAACTCAAACCACTCACAACATTCTTCCCCTCCCGAAGAAAAGCTTCCGGTGGAAAGACGAGGCGGGTGAGGGGGAGCTGTACGAGTCGCGGCGTCGCCAGAGTCTCGGGCGAAGCATTAAGCCGAAGACGACCGTCATTGGCGGTGGCAGTGGTGGCGAAATGGAGACGGACGACAACAAGAGTGACGGCGGCTGGGAGGATGATGAGCTTGAGCATGTAACTCACAGTGTAAATGAGAATGAGATCGACGGGGTGTTTGGCGGTGGTGGGGGTGTTGTACCCATGATTCAAGATGAGCCAGTGAGCGTGCCAGTGGCTCCAATTCAACATCAACCTCACTCTCACTCTCAAACGCAATCTCAAAATGCTACCGCTGCCGCTCACGCTTCTTCTCAACGCGGCCCTGTGCGACTAGAACAGCAGTCACAGCAGTCCTCACAAAAACCACCGCGCCGGATGAGCAGTAGCATGCGCCCACTCACCTCCAAGCCGCCGCTCGCGAAAAAGACGACGCTAAGTAATCTCGGCGAAGACGAGGAGGCGAGTTTCAGCGGCAGCAATAGCAATAGCAATAGCAAGGCACAGATGAGCAATGGGTCGCCGATGCGATTGTCGTCGCCCGCGAAACGTGTTGCGCTCCTCGATCTGAATGGCACTGGGAGCAATGGAGGTAATGGGAGTAGCAGCAGCAGCAGCAACACCAGCAACAGCAATAGCAGCAACACCACAACGAGCAGCACGGGCAGTCCAGGTAAACGCGCAGGTTTCGCAGCCCCCACTGCCAGCTCCGCCAGACGGCTATCCAAACTCCCCGAGCCGGGTATGAGTGGGAGTGGGAGTGGGAATATGAGTATGAGTATGAATGGAGGTGCAAACACGAGCAGCACGAATGCAGCCACTAGCGCTGGTACACCACGCACACGCAGATTACGCCGGGGTAGCAACATCGGTCCTATGCGAAGAGGTAGAGCGAGTCTGCTAGGGTCTGAGAGTGCTTATAACCACAGTCACCATATCGGGCAGAACGGGCATGCTCACAGTCAGCCTTCGCACGAGCAACCCAAATCGAAATCACAATCACACTCTCAGCCGCACAGCCACACCGTCACCAACTCATCCGCACAGTCCGGACCCGTGCGATTCAATCCAGGCAACAGCCTCAACAGCCGTAATGCACTCAAGAGCCCCCGTAAAGGCGGGAGACGGTCGCTGATGCCGTCGCGGCGAGGCAGCGTGGGTGTTGGTGCCGGTGTGGGTAACAATACCAACAGTACCCCCGCCTCACATGGGTTTGGCGATTTTAGCTTCACTGGCTCAGCTGCTAAGCCCGGTTGGAAGTGAAGAGAAAGGTGTTTGGAGTAACTTAGTGGATGCATTATATGCATTGCTTGCATTGCTTGTTTAACGACTGAGGAGGTTATACCAGATATTGATACTACTGTGTTGTTTTTTATGTCCAAAATGTACAAAATTTTCATCTTTCACACTTAGTTTTCAATAGACACAAGTTATGTATTAAGCAGTAGACAATATGGCTGTGAGGGAAGTTTGGGGGGAGAATTACTCTTTGTCCTGTATGATGTGAGCGGGATCGTGGGTGAGACGCTTATGCATACCTTGATAGGTACTGATGTGGCGTGTGAGAGTGTATTCAGCACATAACACTCGACTCACCTTCTTTGCCTGTAAGCTTCTTGTAGATTTTGCGAATTCTGGGCTTTGTTAGAGGCGCGTGTGTGCGTCTGCGCAGAGACATACCCGTCTGTAAAGTGAATTTAAGCAGGAAATCCAACAAAACACACCAGACTCACCAGAAATCTTTTCAACGGTTCCTCTTGATTGCTTGTGTCCCGCCTTGTTAGCAGCGAAGTCGACGCCCTTGTCTGTGGATAGGTGTGAGTGGGACACACGCACTTGTATAGCACCATTCACCCACCAAGTGCATCCATTTGGCCTGTTTGTTGTTCCGCGGACATTTCTGCGATGTTTTATGTCGTGGTGACTAAGTATTGTCCGACGAGTACTGCGTCGAGTTTAACCGATATCAGATTTTAGATTAATTATTAGGAATGTAACTTTGAATATTTCAGGCATCCGGACTAGTTGTTTCAGGAATGTTTACCAACCATATCACACTAAAGCATACACTATCAACTCAGTAGAAATTAAAGATTTTCACACTTGAATTTGTTTTTAGCTCAAAAATGAATATAAATCATTTTAGACAGTTTCATGCAAAGTCAGAGAGTTCCTTAAACTAATTTTAGTTTGATTCAACAGTTCCCTTCTGCGGTGTTCTTGTTAGCCGTGTATATCCTTCAGTAAGAACCAACCCACTCTGATAGCAAGTGCCTTCTTGATGTTACCTTGGGTTGCGTATCTTTGGTCTGGGAGGCATGTTAGCTGGATAAACAACCTGTAATCACACCACTCACTACGAAGGAACTTTGGATCAACACCCTTCTTGGATGGGTAACGAGCTCTTTGGGAGAACTTCAAGTTACGGTGAGCTTTGGCAGATTGGTTGTGGTTAGTGTGGCTGTTGGGTGTTAGACGCTTATAACACAATCAATACGCTCCAAACTGACTTCTTTGACTTGGCCATTCTTCTAAAGACCCTTGTAAGCTGCCATTACTCATATTTAATTTTCATTTACGCACCAGAAACCGTGAGCTAAGAAGAGAGAATATTGACTTCAAATCTGACTTGAGCGGGTGATTCAAAATTTATTTTTTCCAGATATTTCTCTGGGAGGTTTCTTGGGCACTTTACAGTATCTGCATATCTTTATATTTCCCTTAACTCCCTTTATCCTTTAGCTGCCCTTACTCCCCACATCATCACACATACCTCACAACATCTATAATTCATTATTATTCTACTGCTTACATGTATATCTTGTTGTTCAGTATGTACGCCGCTACCGCCGATGGCAGTAGATATCTAATCGACATTCCCCTCCTAACGAAAAGCCTTACTTTCGTCGACGATATGTCATTGTAAATGAGCTGCTTCACCACAATTACATTCCGTCGATGCTTATATAGCAAATCATGTGACAACAAGAACGCCCATACGTCGCTTCCTGTCCTCTCTACGATTAGTGCTCCGAATTTGCCGAGTATGTGATTCAGATCATCCTCCGACCACACTCCAGGCTCACCAAACGATTCAATCAGATCCCCACCTGCCAAGAGCATTATCTGCACTTTGCGGCGAGAGCCATCGCGTAATTTTACTCCATATTCATCGCACTCGTTGATCTCCTGGTCGAAATGATCGAGTACGTGAGCTGTGCGTGTGAACTCCTTCTTGTTTGCCTCCCACGGGTCCACCATGAGCCAATCAGATGTGCACTCAACGCCCAAGTGGCACATCATCACGCGATGCTGGGCTGCGGCCAGACCTGACTTTTTGTATGCGTCTGATACTGGCGAATAGTATCCACCGAGTATCTCAAACTTGCCTTTCTCGCGTATCTGGTCGGATGCCATCTCGAACATGCGCAGGTGGAGGTAAGTAGGCGGGCTGAATGAGCCACAAGCTACGATCACAAGAGGTATTTTCTCTTCGTCTGAGCAGGGTGTCAGTGGGGCTTTGTTCAGTCTTATTAATCATTATGACCCACCCTCCATCATCCCCTTGAGTTTGTGCTTGGGGAAGACATAGCCATCGTCGCCAAACAAATCTGCTCCATCTCTCATGTCAGGTGGGCTGCCTTCTCGAGAGAATGGATTTGGGGTGACGGGTGGTTTGACAGTGGCGTCATTCTTCTTGGGCGACTTTTCTAGCTCCACCTGCTCAGACTTCCCCTTGTCATCAAACTCGGGAGCAATGAGAGGCTCTTTAGGTACGCGGTCGCGTGCTACGCCAATCTCAGATGACTCTCTTTGGATCGAAGGTCTGAGAGCCCTCTCAGCAATAGCGTTGGCTGCTGAGCTCGGGAGGTCTGACAGCATTGGGTGCGGCGATGGCTGTGCGCTGCCATCGGGTCTAGGAGAGTACATGGGCGAGAAAGCTGCTTTTCCTTTGAGGTGATTGTGGAACTGAGAGGAGGGTGAAGTGGAGTGAGAACTAGAGTGTGAAGATGCTTCTGTGGTATTCTCTGTGCTGTTCTCCGCGCTACCCAGATTTATCGCAGGTATCTTCTCATCATTCGCTTGGCCCGTAAATGGCGGAGAATCCTGGTGATAAGACTGTACGCTGAGTGAGGACATGGGACCTGTACGTGCACTATCTGGTGCTTTGGAATTGAATGGATTTCCCATTTTATCTTTTTATTTCGGGTCCAGGGAATTGCTGATCACGGTCGCAATCTAAGCCTAGTCGACGGCCAATATCATCACATTAGTAAACACGCTGAGTAATATTTTAAATGTCCAACAGATACACGCACTACGACTCTGACGCTTATCGCCTTCCGGAGGGCATGCGTAGAGTCGGCTATGATGCGGATACGCAGCAGTACACGTTTAGAGACTCTCAGGTGTGTTTGTGGTGCCTTTGCAACTCCTATACCTTTCTCACCATCCACGCAGGGTTACTACATCGGCGAGCCAGGTTAGTCGGTCTTTTCTCCGTTTTCTTCGGTCCTCAGTGCGTTTCAGCCAATGAATACGGCGGCAGACTCACGTACACGTCTCCCTTACGTGGAAATGAGCGCGACGATGATATCGAATTCACTCCGCCATCCTTCACCGCCGTAAACTCCCCTTACAGACCACTCCTCCCCTTCTTTCTCATCGTTGCCGTCGTTTTACTTGTTTTGGTCAAATTTATATACAGCGGCAGCTCCACGCACTGTAAACACGGCGAATACACCATTTCAAAAGGTGACACTTGCTGGGGCATCGCTATGTCTCAGCACGTTCCACTCGATCAGCTCCAGCAATCGCTGCCCTGCAATGCTCTAATCCCAGGCACCCGCATCTGTTTACCGGAGAGGAGTGCTTGAAATTTTCTAAAATGTGGTTCATACTTTATTCAAATGACGTCATTCAACTGTACAATTAGAAAACAGACTGCTGTGTGCGGGCGATATGCAAGCCAAGAGCCAAGTGTGACAGCCTAGCGTCAACGATAAAGCCCTGCTCCGAATACTCAAGTAGCTTCTGATGGAGTTGGGTGAGAGGTACGCGTTGTACGGTGATATGTTCCCCTTCATCAAGATGCTGCTCAGGCATCGCCACGTCAGCATCGACGCCATCCACCACGAGAGTCACGTTCTTCATATTAGCATTTGACATACCCGGATCGTTTGCAATCGTAGGGGTCTCATCGATGACAGTTATCCTGTCGCTGCGTATGCCTGTCTCCTCGTACAGCTCACGGATAGCACAGGCACGTATGTCCTCGCCTGCATCCACCAGTCCAGCTGGCATCTCAACTACCTGCGTATCGTGTGGTGGTCGGTATTGCTTTATGAGCACTATATCACTCGGACGCGCTGTCGTGTATTTCAATATCGCAGCTATCGATACTGCATCCACGCCACTTTCTGAACGCGTCGTGCGATATGCATTCTCCCATTTGCGTGCTTTCCCGTCTTGGTCTTTCCAGTGGAGCGTTTGCAGTCCGAGGAACTTTGTATTTGTTGGGATATTTTCTACTGATTCGATAAACGGCTTGCTCATTCTTATTCCTCTCGACAGCGTCCTGAGCATGTGATGGTTGTGATTGTGGCGAAGGCAGGAATTTCGTTGAAACAACTAAACAAGGTTTATATATATATGTGTGTAGAAATGTATAAATATGCTTTGTATAACTTATTCTCTTTCGCTGAAACTCACTCCATCTTGACAACGTCTTCAAGTAAAATTTTCTTTGTGTCAGCAGCAACGTCGCCATCATCAAGGCTTCCCTGCCTCTCCCTCTTACCCAAAACAGACCCAGAACGAGACGCAGGTAGGGTATCTACAGCCCCCACAGTACGATCATTGTGGCATGTTGCATGGTAGATAACATCACCGTCTTGTATCGCATTGACCCATACCCACTCTTCATCCTCCTCGCTAAACTCCGACTTAAACTTTTCTTTACAAATCGGACACAGCTGCGCAGCATCCGAAGCATCAATGGGTACAGGCACAGTTGATGATTCTAACTTTTTACGGTATTCCATCTCTTGTGCGTGCTCTGAATCTTCATGTGAAGCCATTGGTCCTCTCTGTGAAGCTAGCGAGTCGTCAGCCACATCATTCATCCAATCCTACACAGAATTTATTGTTAGACATGAGAATTTTCATCTGAGACTTAATTGACTCACTCTCAACACAATCAACCATGATCTTGTAACTCCTCGACTTCCCTCTTTATTACGCCTATTTATTCTGAAATGCGTATCAATGTGCTCCCCCAGCTGCTTCTTCCCGCTCTTCGTATCACCGAATCGTCGAGAGCATTGTGGACACTGTATTGTTAGTCTATCGTAAAACAATTTGTCAAGATTTGGTCGTGCACTGTTTGGTATATTAACGTTGTAAATACTTTATTGAATACGCTAACACACCAAAGTATATCATTATTATCAAGTACAATATCAAGTGCGAGAACTGCTTGATCATATTGTTTTTCTTTCTCATCGTCATCCTGAGAGATTGTGTTGGTTGTGTTCATTTGTGGTGTAAGTGATGCAGGTGTGCTAGATCCATTAATCGATGTCGTTGATGGTTTCAACAATCCAGATGCTTGCAATGATTGCAGTAATCCAGATACATTTGAACCAGGTTGTGATGGCGTTGCTGATGGTGGTGGTGGTGTTAAAGATTGCAGTAAGGGGTTTGACTGCGAGGCTAAGATGGGTATAGGTGCAGCTGGCTGAACTGGTGGTGCTGGCGCGGGTGCTGGCGTTGATATGATTGCAGGTGTGGGTAATGGTGGGGGTGATCCTGAAGCCAATCCTGATGATATGCCTGGTGTTATTCCCGGCGCTGCTCCCGGCGCGCCAACTAACGGTGTTGCATCATTCGTCATGGATTTCACTCTCTCATATATCTGGTTCAATTGATCAGGTGGTACAGAAGTTGTAAGCAGTATCTTTTCAAGCGTCGATAGAGCGTGAACATGAGATTTGACCTTATCGTCAAATGGATAGTACTGCAAATGCAACCTTCTCTTTTCCAAAGCACCTTGAAGCTCAGAGATGACAAGTGTTCTACTTGGGCCATACGAAAGAGGTATAGTTGCTTTCCATCCGCCATTGCCATAAAGTCTCTGCTCACATTCTAGTTGGGCGTGCTCACCAAATAAATTTGATCCGTAAGGACCACCATTACGCCAAGTAATGACCAATTCTTCGAGTTTTGAACGCGTAGAGCCATCTACCATGTTGTACGTCTCTAGCCAATCCTTGGCAATGTATGGTCTAAAGTAGTACGCGTAGTTGAATTGAGCGAGATTTTTACAAACGCTGTCAATCAAGTAGAGAACAGGTAGCCTGTAATGCGGTTTCAGGAAAGAGATGTGGTCATGGACGGCATCTGCTACTTGGTTGGGTGTGGATGCGTATTGGCGTGCGAGTAGCGTTAAATTGTTTATAAGATGCTTTTGGTTTGAATTTAAAGTCCCGAGTTGCTGCTTATAGAGGGTGTAGACGTCCATGAGATATTTTTATACTTGGAATCTTAGGGTTTAAGCACAACACAAAATTAATTTATCGATGATGGAAGTTATGGATGAAGGAGGAAAGCGGGCAAATACGAGGACAAGAGTGGAGATTTGAGTGAGAGAATTGCTTGAGTTGGTGTGTGTTTGGTGCTGCGCATAAATTTCAAACTTTTAGTCCATTTGAGAATGCTCATGTGACTTGCTTCACTTTGCAGAGGTGGGCAAAGTCAGATGAAGAGTAAGCGAGATAAGAGTACATAGGCATCATTAGAACTGCTTTTAATCAATGTATCTCCCTTTTATCAGGGTTTAGAGTAAATTTTCATCGGGTTTCCGAAGTACTGCAGAGGAGAAGTTAATGAGAAACATGGAGAGCAGCTCACGGCTATACTAAATTGGTCAAATTATAAATGCAAGATAGAATTTTTGAGTTTAATTTATGCGCGTATATTCGAATTTTTTTCTCAAAGTGATTTCTCCCTACTCTCATCAACTCAATAAACGCAAACGAAAACGACAACGCCTACCGCCTTTTGATTTGTAAGTATAGCCAACGTAATCATGGCAAATCCATCCACTCACACCACTCACCACAGTATCACAATGTTCTAAATTACTTAAGCACCCAGATTTTATAATTTGAATAATCAAATTATATTTAAGAGAGTTTCAATATGTTTCCCCTTGACTATCACTAAGCTTTACAATATAAAAGACCAATGTGTCTCACCAAGAATTTACACAAGATGAATTTTATCACACAAATATCACAATTACAATTATGTCAGATCTCAATTTCAGTACTCAGTATGAGCACTCTGTCGCTCAAAGCGGAGCCACAAGTCAATCGAATGACTTGATCGACTTTGACGCGCTTTTTAGCTCATTCAAACAACCACCAAGCCTAACCAACAGCCCTTTCTCAATTACTTCATCTTCCTCCTCCCCTCAACAACAACTTGTCACGCCTCAACTCCTACACTCTGATACTAACGATTTGTTGGGCGGCTTCCCCTTGTTTGGTGGGAGTGCAGAGGGCATTGACCCTGAAACAGTTAAACACCCACCAGAACATCCTATCGACACTTCCGTATTCGATGGTTTTTCGTCCTTACTCAAAGAAGCCTCTGAACAGAACGATCTTTACAATAAACCATCCGTCTCACCCCCTCCGTGTGACAAATCACGCTCTTCAACCATCCAGTCAAAGCGATACAAGGTCGGAATGTCGGATCCAATTCAACCCCGTAAATACTCGTCAGCTAGTGCCACTTCACGTAAGAAGGTTCCTGCTGCTTTCGAATCACGCGTAGAAGGCAACTCTAAGAAAAGATCACGGGGCACTGTCGATGATGTTCCTTCAGACGTACAGGATGCGATTGAATCAAAACGTAGACAAAATACTTTGGCTGCGCGTAAATCTAGGGAAAGGAAGAGGAATGAGTTGTCTTATCTTGAGTCGCAAGTTGAACAACTTGTTGAGAAGAATGCCCATCTTACTAGCCGCATTGAATGTGTCGCTGGGCTTGAAGAAGAGCTGCGCTTGGTAAGGCTGGAGAATGAGGCTTTGAAGGGAGCTCTACAGCTTTAAGTTGGTTGCTTGTGAATATCAAATTTATTTTACTTCTATACTTTGTAATATATCATTCCATACACGCTCTATATAGACTATTCTTTATACGTGCCTTGGAGTTAATGCTGGGCTCGTTTGATACATCACTCACTTTTCTCACTACACCACTCAACGCAGCATTCACCTTGTGTAGCTATCTTCAACGCTATTTTTCACATCGGTGTAAACTATCTTTGTCCGCGTATTCATATGTGCAGAGAGTGTATCGCGGGGAAGAGCAAGTTTTCACCTTTCAAGACTTCAATCAATGGATATATTTAAGAAGGTGGAGCATAACGGTCTTCCTTCATCCATTATACCATGAGCTCCCTATCGTTTTACCACTTGCGTGAGTTTTTCCAGCAGAAAAGGGAACGCTCTGACGGCTCGATAGCAATACAACTATCAACGACTCACTCAGTCTACAGAACCTCTGAAGACACTATCTTCAACAGCATACCCAGTGATGAGTGGATGAGTACGCCGATGGATCTACCTGAGATACTCCATCTACCTCCGAGTATCACGCCAAGGACGCAGCCACCATTAGACTTGAACGTACATAAACCACCGAAGAAGAGATGCAGGGGTTTGGCATCGGAGTATGAATATTTGTGCTCTGCAGATTTCTCTGCAGAGATGTGTCCATCTCCTTCTCCGCTGCCGAGGTGAGTTGGTGAACGCACAGTTGCACGTTGCTGACGCATGCTAGAATGAATTCATTCCTAGAATACAGACGGAAGAAAAGTGCAGATTTGAAGTGAGTGAGAAATTTATCGGTGTTTCAGTTTTCTGATTGTCGCATTAGAGCCAATGGAAGCACAACCCATCAGAGCAAGATATCAAAGCAGGCCAGCAACGAGTGGAAAAACATTAAAATGACGCGTAGCGTTAGCAAGAAGCTCAAGCGGGAGTCCACTGAGGTCGATGGTGATGACATGCTTTGGCCTTTGTCGACAGCGTCGGCACCAGTGCCTGAGAAAAGTTACTTTAATGGTGAGGGGTGGCGGACGTATTGACAAATAATGGGACTATCTCTGGGAAACTAGATTTAATTAAAACTTTGGAATGAATATTTTCTTCGAAGGTTGTATGCAGTAAGTTAGCCGTGAATGTGATGAATGAGTAGAGTGAATTTCCGAATATTGTACAAAATTAGATTCCTTCAGTGCTCACAGCCAACAAGTAACAAAGCTAGTCAAATTTGTTCACCTCTATAGTCACATTGCTAGCTTCATCCACAGGCGGCACGCTACATAGACGCGCTACGAAAACGTATCGGATACTCCGCTAGATATATCTCTTAATGAAATTTAGCGTCACACTTGATGCTGAAGCAGTCTCAGAATGGCTGCCAGGCTACTTCGCTTACAAGCACTCGAAAAAGAAGATAAAACATTTATCTGGTCGTGTGGAGATAAAGGATAGCGTTAATGATATAAATTATATTATTTCCATACTCCCACCAACGCACAGATCATTTTTCAACACTCTCAACGCTGAATTAGTCAAAATCAATGAGTTTTACCTCGATAGACTGTCAGACGCGCAAACACAGGCTGCTTTGTTAGATTCGCAGCTAATTCAACTACGAAAGCACCGCCAATCATTTTACACGCAGTACCCGCGCAACATCTACCTCGCATTCAAGGGTGCATGGGATACAAGACACATCAGAAACTTCTATAGAGTATTCACGCGTCAGCCTCCAATACCTCCCAGCAGAGCTCATATCCAGAAAGATAACACTGAAGGCCTCCCAGATCCACAGGGTTACAAGAAGGCGCAGAGAAAGCTGAAACTCGCAGTGTTTGAGCTGCACAGATATCTCAATATGCTTAAATCATTCTCTGACCTCAATCAAGTCGCCTTCTACAAGGCCCTCAAGAAGTATGATAAGATGGCGGAGAACAATATCAAATTCGGTCCGCTGTACATTCAACAGAAGGTGAATCAATCAGAATTTACAACGTCGCAGGATGTTAATTATCTGCTCGATGCGACTGAAAATGTCTTTGCGTCTTATTTTGAAAGAGGGTCACATAGACGTGCAGCTCAGAAGTTGAGGCTGGAGTCTACAAAGAGATCAGTTACAGCACCGCTAGTATTCACTGGTATCTTTATCGGATTGTCGATCCCACCTATCTGCATGGGTATTCATAATGTCTACAATCCGACATTGCGTGAGAACTTGCCAACGTGGCAGGCTCTTCTACAGGCTTACAGCGCCTGTATACTCCCTCCATTCTTTCTACTTCTTTTCTCAACTAATGAGGCACTACTTTCAAAGGCGAGGATAAACTACGTTTTTATCTTCGAGCTGGATTTCAGACGCTATTTGCATCCGTCTCAAGTAAGCGTGTTAGCTTCGTTCCTCTGCTTGTTGCTGTCGTGGTCGTTCTATGTCTCCTTCACTAACAGCTGGAGTGAGACCATCGCGCCCACATCTTGGCCACTCATTTGGATAATAGTTACTCTGATCATCTGGTTCAATCCTCTGCCATTTATGTATCGAAATGCGCGCTACTGGATGATCAAGTCATTACTGAGAGTTTTCACAGCGGGGCTGCTCAGTGTTCAGGTTTGTGCTGCTTATTGTGTGTTAATGAAATGACTAATAATAGCGAACAGTTCCGAGATTTCTGTGAGTTTGTCTGTCACTACGCCAACTTTCTAACACCTGACTTAAGTCCTGGGTGATGAATTAAATTCACTCGCTTACACATTCTCCAACCTGCGTTTCTTAGGCTGCTGCTACAACGTCAAGTGGCACGAGGATGATACGCGTACATACTGCTCCAATCAGTCCTCATGGGCGACCCCGATCCTGCAGTCCATTCCGGCCACTATTAGATTATGTCAGTGTCTCCGCAGATACCATGACTCGAAATATACTATGCGGATCCACTTGGTCAACACAGGCAAGTACGTTAGTGTCGTTGCTCAGAATTTCGCCTTCTTCGGCTGGCGATATAGCGGGAAAGGGAGCTATGAGCACTATACATTCATTATATGGATCATTTTTTCGGTTATATCTTCCTCCTATACTGCTAGCTGGGACCTACTGATGGATTGGTCGCTGCTACAGCGCAAATCCAAACGGCGCTTCCTACGCGATACTTTGGCTTTTGAGAAGACCTATGTGAGTTTTTCATAATGCGATTCGCTTTGTTTCCTTGTTACTGACATGTCAATTAGCTCTATTACTTTTCGATGGTGGGGTTGTCATACCTGCCATTCTTCGCAGCTAACACCAATCCAGATCACCAATACTATCCTCCGTTTCATATGGCTTTTTTATCTCCCAGACCACCACGCACGCTACGCCGTGCGCAGCTTCATATTTGCCGTGATGGAAGTATGTCGACGGTGGCAGTGGAATTTCTACCGCTTCGAGAATGAGCACGTCGGCAACGTCGACCAGTATAAGGTGGTGAAGGATGTCAAGATGCCTTACGACGAAAAGCTGTCTAAGGGGTCGATGGTGGACGACGATGCCGTGCAAGCTGGTGCAGCATTCGATTTGACGGTAGAGCCTGATTCGAAACCTGCGAACAGTGCCACTACTGCCACTACGGAGGATGACGACATAGCTCGTCTTGTTATGACAGTCCCCCGGTCCGAACAGCTCACTGAAGGCGGTGCGCGTGGCCGTCCCGCTGCCAGGGACTATGAGCGTCGTCCTACTGTCGCAAAGCGGCCGTGGGCGATGCACAGAAAGGCGTCGGATGCCGTCGAGTTTGATTTTGGCGGCGATGGTGACGGCAGCGGGAGTGGGAGCGGATATGAAGATAGCGATTTCGAGAACTCGCTTTCTTTCTCTGATGACTCTTACGCTTACCCGAATGATAATAGCCGGGTAAACAAAACCCCATACGCTAGTGCTACATCTGTGAGCAATAAAGGGAAGAGGGAGGATGGTTCTTTCAGGTAGAAGTACATGTACATGTTCAAGTAGAAATAGAATGATTCCTTTGTATACCAGAATAGTAGAATATAACGCTAATTGTTTAATGCATGTCATATCGTATTTTAATTTTAAGGTTGAGGCCGAGTGAAACTTTCACATAGCACAGAAGCGGAAACACGCAAAATAGCGCAAGATTACACACTGCTTCCGGTTTGAACCGTGTGGTTGGGCCACTTGCTTAGTGAGCCGTCAATTAATGAGCCATTAATTCAAGGAAGCAGTAATACAATTCGTGTGCTAGGCGGAGTATGCGAAAGTTTAGATTTTGGGCTTAAAGGATGCATAAAATTACACAAAAACCAGGGTGCTAATGCACAAGATCGGAGAACGCGGAGCTAATGTGATCACAGCGATGGCGGACCGGTTAAAGCACTATTGAGCGATAGTAGCTAAAAGCAATGGTACATTCAGGTCTAGCTCCCCTGCATAACTGCCGAACCCTGTCTCACTCAACGCCATTGTTCTCATGCAGAGAAATTCACATTGGCCGCTGCCAGGAACAGGGCGTGATGGGACAATGGTATCTGGGACCTCAGTCTCCCGTCTCAACAATCAACATTCTTTTTCATTTTTAAGTTTTGAAATGCTAAACACAGAGCTACCGGCAAAGGTGGGTGATGGCATAGCATATCGGCACTCGTGTTTATCGAATACCCAGGCAGAGCAGCTTGACAGCCTCTCCAAGAGACTTGTTCAGAACAATGGGATGCTGCTCAACGACTCACCCACATTCATCACCCCCTCGGCTGCCCAATTTGACCTCATTTACGATGATCTTCTTGATGTGTGTAACAAGTTAGATACCAAGGGACTCTGGCTTACATAAGCAGGCGGTTTTAACGGACGACAACGTCTTGAATCCTCCACCGATGCGTGCATACTCGGAGGATCTACCACACAGCGCTATCACTTGCAAGAGTCAGCTTTCGAACAACAACGACTCACTAAAGTCACTGCATATAAAACACAGGCATCGCGAACACTGGCCACCGTATAGCCCTAAACCCACGATGTTTCAATCCAACGAAGAAACTGGCACAAATGCAAACAACACAGGCAACACAAACAACGCAGAGTCAGACATTTCCATAACAGCAAATACATCCCCTTCACCTCCGCCATTGACAGACATGAACTCACACATCGCCAAAAAAGGACTGTCCCAGCGGCTGCAGTCCCCCAGAGACGATTTCAGGCTGTATCTCAAGGACAACTACCTTTCTGCAGCAAAACGGGAGTACCCAATGTCAGGTAAATTGAGACAGCTCCAGAGTCTGTCTGAACAGGCTCAGTGCAAGATCATTAAGAGCGAGCGTTTGTCTGAGCAGTTGCAGGTGCAGCAGCAGCAGAAAGACAAAGAAAGAGAAAAAGAAAAGGGGCATAGAGCGCCCCTAATCTTCACTAAGGCGCAGGCATCGCGCAAGGCGAGCCACGCCAGCGCGGCGAGGCTTAGGAGTCACAAGAGCCTAATGCAGAAGACACAGCCCAAGGTGAAAGAGGAAGTGGCGTATGTATCTGACGAGGACGAAGTCAAGAGCAAAAAAGAAAACATTCGACCTACAGATACACGTGTGCACTTCAAACCAGAAGAGGTGTATCGTCAGGCATCCGACCTCCATCACAAAACTTCAAGCTCCACCGTTTCAACGGAAATCTCTACTCTAATAACACCTCCTAGCACCCAAGTGGTTTTCCCAAACCATATCCCTCCACAGTCACTGTCGCTGCGGTACGAAGAGGACGGTGTGCGTAAGTCTGTACGTACAAGGATCGCTAAAGGACTGCGCATCAACCCATCCATTACACGATAGCTCTTCTAGTTAGTTCTCCAGGCCTGAGATTTTTCACTTCTAGCTTATCATTATGACGCAAACGTTATGCGTTCAAATGTCTTTCTTTTCTTCACTTTTTAAACTCGCCACTTGCAATAATAACGATACCAAAGTCGCTTATTTGGAATAGACTTCTATCTAAAGCTCATCCATCTATTTTTGTCACATTCATACTTACATATATACTTATTTTACTTTTGATTAGCGACGCTTACGGTGCGCTTGTGGTGTAGTCACATATATACAAGCACTATATACATAATACTTTTCACTCGCTCTATAACGTACGCTGCTTCCTTCTTCTGTAAATTTACTATATATCCTACAATGTTGCTGTGTTGGTTGGTATAACTGTCTGTATGCAAGTACGAGTTACTTCATTGTGTATTTCTAATTTTGTCTGGGCTGTTATCAGGGCTATCCAAAACCAAGCCTAATCCCGTAGGTCTGCGATGAGAACGGACATGTTGATTGTGGTTGTGTCTAGTAGACATTTCATAATCCTGCTCATTCGACTTATCACCCCATAATCCCTCCGTCAATTCTCTTCTCATCGCAAGCTGTTCAGCACCAACAACTAGCACGACCACACCGAGTGCGTACACCCCGTAGCAGAAGAATCCAACAGGCGGGCTTTGTATGTGCGCTGTGGTGAACAAGAAGTGAAGGCCTGTTATTGTCAATGCGAAATCAAGGATGAGGGTTGGTTTGCGAATGAGGTAGTACAGAGGTATAATATCAACAAAGCAGGCAAAGACCCAGCATATTGCCAATACCCATCCTCTACTCCTATTATGACTCCCATCCCATTCGTATATATTCGCACTGCGTCCTCGTTGAACCCCTTGGATCCACAACCCCTGCCAGACTGGTTCACCGTGGTCCCAGTTTGCTAGCTCCCGCCAATCTAGAATCAATCCAATAGAACATGGCGGTGAGCTCCCCCATTCGTATCGCAATGCTTCATCATTCCCAAATAGATGAAGCAAGAGTGGGGTTATTATTGACAGTGATAAATAGTGTATTGATTGCACTGCTATTATTTGAAATACGAGTAGCGCCGCATCGAATTTGTTGACCTTGGACATCTGCCCAGTGATGGTTAAATGGAAAGAGTGGTACAATTAGCACGTGGCGTGAGTCTGAACAAGCTGTTCAAAATTCTAAACATCCAACCCATCGGCCCATTATTAGGAGGCAGTCACACACAAAAAGCCAAAATTAAAACTTGAGGCAAAAATGTTCGCGTACCGGGAATCGAACCCGGCTCTTCGGTGGTCTTTCAAGTGAAAAACCGATATGATAACCACTACACCATACACGAGTGATGGTATCAGCAATTATTATTTAATCATATTCAGAACGTAAATCTGATCGAATCGCAGCTGATGAATTTTTTTCCCATGAGTTTCCGACTGATTGATTCAACTGCAAAGAGAACATCGTCTCGCATAGAAAATTCATATATAAAAGGCATGGAAGACCAGAATCACATTAACAGAAGATTATCAAGATCAATAATATTCGGTTCGAAATAGGTCCAACGCTCAGAAACGCACACTCTCTACAGGCCCTTTACGAGTTCTTTAAACCACAATTGACTACATACCAAAGATACTCCAGTGGTTTGGCGTAACTGAGAACCACCAACCATTCAAAGTTTAAGACGCTAGTCAAGAATAGCTTCCAGTAAATGCGACACCCCCTTCAACTCCTCATGCTTTAAAAAGTATTAATGGACGCAGTATTAAACATTTATTGTCTTCACAACATATTTAGATTTCACATCACAATTGTATTAGGTTTCAATTACGTTTATCTTGTACCACAACACGTCTTGTCTTAACCTAATCCTTTAGCAATTTCACAAGGTTTTTCTTCTCAACTTTCAGCCATTTGAGAATTCAAGCAGTGATAGAGCTTCGAGTTGCTCTCTATGAATTCTTCAAAAACCCGCTCCTCACTAGCGCGCCTCTGTTAGCTCCACGTAGTTAACTCTTGGGTATCGTAGGCGAAGACTATTAATCGTTGTAAAGCTTTTGATTATATAATGTGATTCCCATCTATCTATAAAGCTTCGAGAGTAAATAACGCGATTGTCTCGTAATGTGGAACGTAATGGAATATACTTGTAAATGCCAAAAATGAATTAAACTGTCTCATCTGGTTTTTTCAAACAGAATCTTTATCTTAGTCGATTTCTTTATAGCCTATCTTAGCTAAAGATGGCAAACCATTACTCAAAGACATAGAGCTAGGCTTGAGAACGAAGATATGCTCATTACCATCATTGATTTGGTCCATTTGATAAGTTTCACTCTTCTTTGTCGTCATCTCCATAACGAATTCACCATCCGTCTTAGCATAGTAAGTCTTCTTGAAAATGTCAAAAACGTTTCTCGAATAAACAGGTGAAGCGTTGACCATATCTCACATCTACATTATCAGTATTTGGGTACCACTTGTAGTAATCAGATGCGGTGCCGTCCATATAATGGTTAAGATCGGCTTTGAAGAAGCCACGCCGGCCACCTAAAGCGAGAACAAAAAGCAGTATTCCGGTGAACATCGAATAGCCACCGAGGAAAGATTTATCGCTGTCTAGAATCATGGCAATGCCCTTGGTCATTAAACCGGAACCAATAAAAGTACCAGCGATGCGTGAGGAGTGACTATTATTGCGTATAAGCAAGTATAAGGCAGTTAATGGAGGTATTTAAAATGGAATAAATGTTTCTAAGAAGCTTTTAATGCTCATTTTGATTTTTTGGATATGACGTTGCCGCTGCCGAATGGGGTGGGTGATGGTGATTGGGTGCACAAGAGGTGTTGAGCGCGTCAATTTATATGATAATTGGTATTAAACCAAGTTATATTCATTACATCACCCTAATATTCCAACCTGCTACGTCCGAACGCGTCATAAATATCCTCTCCCCGCATCCGTCATCACGTAACGTAAGTTTAGGCGATAACGAGGCGGGAGAAGCTAATGAAAAGGGAATGAAGTATGTGTTTAGTATTTGGATTCCCAAGGCGCGTTAAGGAGACGAAAGAGCAAAGTCCGAAAGGAAAGGGACAGTGTCCGAGGTGTCACAACGTATCGGTGGTGTTTGGAAAAGAGCGCTACTGGTTCGAGTTTTTCTTTGTCCCACTGATTCCGATGTGTGGGAGCAAGATATGTGAGTAGCAAGATACTTGAGTTGAAAGGGCACTAACTGCGATTAGACGTCTGTCCAATCTGTAGCTGGCAGGGAAAGCGTAATTGAGCTGAATTGAGCTGGAATTAGGTGGCAGAATTAGGCAGGAAACATATTGGCACACTACAAGCAACTCAACGCTTCACATTCATTAGCCACGCGGCGAGCAACAGCTTACATCAGACTCACACTCATTAACACACCACTTACAATCATTTTACAATAATATTTATTTATATTTATTTATTTTGATTTTTACTTTGTTATCGCTGTCTTCCACACCACCACACCAAATGAGTAGAGGAGGTCGCGGCGGAAGATTCGGCGGTGGAGCAGCGATGCCGCCGATGGGTCTAACATTCGCTGATATGGCGTCGATGCGCACACAGGGCTCATCGGCGCTTTACCCACCGCAGAAAATGAAGCACATGAATGCAGCAGCGCCATCTGAGCTGGAGTATGCAAACGCTGCGGGTGACTACTACGAGCTCATACGTCTTTCTCCCTACAACCTACCCGAAGAAGCTACCGAGGAGGATAACAGCGCGAATGCTAATGCTAATCAAGTCGAACGCTACTCAGATAAATACAAACTGAAACCTAATACAGTCGCCAACCAGGACCACCTCTCCTCACTCAAGTCTATAATGAACCCTGAATTCTTCCCGGCGCAGGTCTTTGACGGTGTCCGTATGCGCAAGACTGTCCAGCGCAGAGAGAAACGCAAAATCGATTGGGATGATGCGGAGAATGCAGAGGAGGATCAAGAAGAGGAGCTGGAAGAGGAAGAAGAGGGTGACGATGGTGAAGACGATGCAGATTATGCCAATCAATATTTCGATAATGGTGAAGGTGACGAAGATGACGGCGGCGATGATGACGGTGGTGGTGGTGGCGGTGATTTTGAGTAGCTTAGACTGACCATAAGTGACTACAACTAACTAGAATTAACTACAAGTAATGAAAAGTAACTTATTATAACATGTATAACAGTATAGAACTATCTGGTATCCAAGATACAAGTAAAATATAGTCGTGGAAAAAAAATAACATAACATCGTTAATATACGTCGTTGCGTTGTAGAATTCTAAAGTTGCAACTCTCCCAGCACACGCTGCGCAACGGCTTTATAGCTCCAGCTATTCCCCGTAATGCGTCTGAACTGAATCCCGTTTATACCGAGCAGCAGAGGAACCTGATAAAGAGTCAGCGTCCAGACAACCCACCGCACACCACACTCACCCTAACTATATTAATCTCAAAGCGTACTTTGGACGCGCTGGGATTGTTTCCATTCCCATTACCACTTCCACTTCCACTCCCATTGCCTACCTCTTCGCCCAAATCATGATTTGATGCTTTCTTCGAGCTGTTGAACGACATCTTGGAGCTCTTCTTGCGGACGAACTTGCCAAATTTCATATGTTCACTTGAGTCACCCTTGTCTTTGAGCGAATAATCGACGCTGCCCTCTAGACGCTTACTGCCTGCGCCTCCAACGGAAATGGATGGCTGGTGTATACACTCGAAGCCTGCGCGCGTGAACCTATAGCTCACACCCAATCTGCTTAGTGTGTCGCCTATTTCCGAGCGCAGCGTGTTGGATGATTTAGTCGATGTTGTAGCTACAGAGAACAATCCCTTGCCCCATACTGCCTTGGGTTCTTCGACGGGATCGAACACCTCTTCTGGTGTTTGCCGAGTGTGCTGAGTTTGCGAAGTATTACTGGTACTATTTCCTCCATTCTCATTCCCATTCGCATTACCACTCCCGCTCCCGTTTCCGTTGCTGCGGCTGCTTGATCGACTCATCACTTCGAGAGCAGTAGGCGTGCCAGGTGGTTGCAGCTGTTGTTGTTGTTGGTGTGAATGTGGCTGCTGTGCGCTCTTCTTATTACTCGACTGTATCCAAGGCCCGACACCTGAGTAGCGCCCAACCGTATGCTGCACGCCCGTCGTAGCTTTAGGCTGACCTGAAGACAGAGTGCGATCGTGGTGCACTGGCGCTGATTTGTGCTCCCTTTTCTGCTCAGACACCGTATAAGCACGGCGGTGGCCGTTCGGTGAGTGATGGCCATTACTGTGTGCATTGCTGTTTCCATTTCCATGCGATCCACCTTCGAGCTTGTTCACTGCATCGTTGTGCGCCTTCTCCTTCAAACCCTCCCTATCCTTGCTACTGCTTTTGGTGAGCATGCTCAGGCGGTTCGCCGTTCTGTAGCTGTTCGTGCTGTTCACTCTCTGTCGCGGAATATCGCCCGGTGCGCACTCGTGTGACGATTGACGATGGAGGAACGAGGTGAATTTGTGCGCTATCCCTCCCTTTCCATTCGCATGAGTAGGTGCATTAGCGACACCATTAGCAGTCCCATTAGTAGTAGCAGCCGTGCTAGACGTGTCTGGCTCATTGATAGTCGACATTGGCGCCCCGGCACCCGAGGCAGAGGAAGCATTAGCACTAGCGTTGGCACTAGTATTACCATTTGCACTACTATTAGCAGGAGGGAGTGGCGGCGACATCTCCGGTTTCTGACTGAGAGAATGTGACCGTCTGTGTGCAGACGCTGCAGGTGGTGGAAGAGGATAATCCTTCCCATCACGCACGGGTGGAGGCGGCTGAATAGGTGCTGCGGTACCAACATCCAATGGATTCGCACGCGCGCGTGTATGCTGTCGCGAATTGTTCATCGCTGGGGAGCTGGGCGAGCGTACTACTGTTGACGCATTTGTACTTGCATTTGCACTCCCATTCACACCCCCACTCCCACTCCCGTGCATGTTGCTAGTTACGCGATTGGGAACAGGCGTCGGTTGTTGCGCTGGGGGGTACTGACTGTAATTATTATACTGGCCATACTGGCTATACTGGCCATACAGTTGCTGGTGCTGTTGGTGCGTATTATGGTCGGCGTTGGCGTTAGTGCCCTGGGTATATTCCGATATCGTTAAAGGACGCGCTCGACTGTTTGTGCTCGACAGGCGCTGGCGAGCGACTGGCATCATGCTGCTATTGCTCGTCGATCGCCGCATACCTTCTTCGTCGGATTGCGAAAGAGGAAGAGGTATGGGCGCTACAGGTGGAGGCGGGCGATTGCGCTCATATTGCGCATATACACTGTGATCAGACGGGGTAACGGGACTGTGCACTTGCGCGTGTGCTTGGTTCGCCATCGTCGCTAACGATACCTGTGAGCTGGCGAACAAGCCAGGACCGAAATTTTTGTCGCGTTGCTGTTTCTCACTGACGAGAAAATATATGGAGATGCTGCTATTCGTTAGTGTTGTATCAACGTTTTCTTATCGTTCACCCACAGTGGATGGAACCCCTGCGTGGGATTTAGGTATGGTTTGGATGTGTCATACTTAGGTTCTTTCTCCTTTTCGCCGATTTGTGTCTGGTCATTGATTGATGTAAAGGCATTTGCGATTGATGTGCCAGCGATTTTGCGCTTGTAGAAATCTAAACCGGAAAATCTCTTGGATAATCTCGATGTTCGCTGAGTGTTGTCTGCACTTATTGATGTCGGTAGATCCTTCTCCACATTGTTGTTGAGTTGCTGAGAGAATCTACGGTGATGGTGTGGAGTATGCTGAATTTGCGCGTTCAAATCATTGTTATAGTTATTCAACTCTGGATCAGACTTATAAGATGTCTTGAGATTTTTCTTGTCCCATTCGGCAAGAGAGTTGAGATATGCAGGGGAGTTGAGAACTTGGCGCAATTTATGCTCTATTTCATATTCATTACCAAACTCAAAGCCCATCATGCCTTTGATGACTTGAGGGTCGAACGTGATATCAGGGCGAAGGGGCTGGCGAGGAGGAATGTGGGAGTGCGGGGGCCCGGAATGACCTTTAATCATCCAAGGGTGATGTGAGACATGATTCAATGAAGCGCGCAGGAGAGGGTTTGTCACCAACATGGAAGATAGCAGAGATTTGCATTCTAAGAGGAGTTAGAGAGGAGTGAAAGAAGTGAGATAAGAAAATTTGCAACGTACCTGTACTCAACCACGCAGGATAATCAACATGACCACGTTTAATCTTTGCGTGCAAGGCAGGCATCGACTGGTCATCGAACGGAACTTTCCCGGCGACCAAAACGTATAAAACAATACCGAAACTCCAAATGTCAACTTCAGGACCCGAGTAAGCGCGAGCGTTAAGGAGTTCGGGAGCGGCAAAGTATAGAGAGCCACAGAAAGTGTTGAGATTTGAATGTGGGGACCAGATATTGCTCAAGCCAAAGTCGATAATTTTAATATTACCAGTTTTGGAAATGAGGATGTTCTCAATTTTGAGATCACGATGAACGATGGAGTTAGCGTGGCAGTAGGAAAGTGCAGAAGAGATTTGCCTGGCGAAAGAACGTGCACTTCTCTCTTTAAGTCTACCGTGTGAGATGATGTAATCAAGCATTTGACCGCCATTGACGAATTCGTTGAGCATGTAGTAATGTTGTGAGTAAACGGACATTTCTCTCATACCGCAAATGAAAGGGTGAAAGAGGAGGAGACAAATAGAGGCTTCTCTTACCGTTCTAACTTCCTTGGAGAGATCTTTGTTGTGAGCTTTGTTGATAAAGGATTGAGTAGGTTTTGGCTGATTTGGAGGGATTGAATTTAGAGCGTTTGTGGAAGTGAAGCGTGGTATAATCTTAATAGCGACTTTCTCGCCGGTAAGGACGTGTACACCAATCTTGACTTTGCCCATAGAGCCAGCGCCCAGGGTTTTACCGAGAACGTAATCTCCAAGCATTCTGGCTTTGGTGGATGGGCGTGAGTGGGTGTGGGAGGGTTGGGCAGGTGTGTTTGGAGGTGGTTGCTGTGGCTGCTGTGCTTGCTGCGTGTGCTGCTCTCGCTGCTGCTGCTGGGTCGTCGTTGTCGTCGTCATACGAGATAAATACGTCTGTATGGCTGAGAATGCGTAGAATTTGAATCTGTAGACAGAATAATTATAGATTTATTTCAAATTCCAGATTTCCAAATAATAAAATTCCCAATGATCGCCGTAATTGACAGAGGGGTCTATCAGAGTCTAGACTGGGGGAATCGATGGAAGATGTCAAGGGATATTTATAAAGTGAGAAATTAAAATAGAAAATACAAGTTAATTTAGAAAAGGGCCAAAGTTGAAGTATACGCAAGAATTGACTAACGAATCCGGCGAAATAGAGTAGACAACAGAAAATAAATCAATTCAAGTGATTAGACTTGAATTTTAGTAGCAACGATTACTACCAAAATTTATGAGGCTAAACTTCTCAAATCCAAGCAGTCATGAGTACTTATAAACTGGCAGACTGGGCAGCAAAGAATAAGAATCTAATAATTGCAGCAACGGCTGTGACATTTGTTGGTGGTGCAGCGGCAAGTTATTATTATTCATCGGCAGCAATCGCACCAGCCACGGCATCAGCTTCAACACAGAAGAAGAAGAAGAAGAGTAAGAAGAGCAAGAAGAGCAGCACTGATGCACCTTCCCCACTCTTAGAAGAGCTTTCCCCTCAAGACAGAGACAGCGTCGCACAAGACTTCAAATCAAAGGGAAACAAGCAATATCAGCAGCATCAGTGGAACGAAGCCGCTATAAACTACTCAAAGGCAATTGAGTCATCTACAAAGCCTGAAGCTGTTTTTTACTCCAATAGAGCTGCTTGTTATAACAACCTCGGCGATTACAACAAAGTCATCGATGATTGCAACGAAGCCTTGAAACTAGACAGCGAATATGTTAAAGCCTTAAACAGACGCGCTCAGGCTTTCGAACAACTCGGCAACCTTAATGACGCTCTCAACGATTTCACAGCTGCTACCATTATTGATCAATTCCGTAACGATAGCGCTGCTAAATCTGTTGAAAGGGTGTTGAAGAAGTTAGCAGAGACTCAAGCAAAGTCTGTCTTACAGGTGAGCTATTTCATCCACTCATACACGCCCCACTCACCCCACTCTTCTTCCAGTCTCGCGGTGAAAAACTTCCTCAAATCTCTTTCATCCAGGCTTACCTCAACGCTTTCAGAGAACGCACTCCTACTTCCATTCCTGAAGGCGCCAGTGCAGGTGACTTGGATCTCGCAGACGCTCTCAAAGCTGCAGACGCTAAAGACTTCAATTTAGCCAAAGAAAAGGTGGAACAATCTCTGATCAAGGGTGTCTCAAACACTCAATTAGAAGCTGAAGCTTTGAACCTTCGTGGTACATTCTACTTCCTTCTCAACAACCCAATCAAAGCCATAGCTGATCTTGAAAAGTCTGTTGAGTTATCCCCACATTTCTCTCAATCTTGGGTTAAAGCTGCTAGCGTCTATATGGAACTTGCCAACCCGCAAGCTGCTTTCAAGGCATTCGATACTGCCATTGAAAAGAATCCTCAAGATGCTGATGCTTACTATCACCGTGGACAAGTATACTTCATTCTTTCAGATTTCAACAAAGCTATAGAAAACTATGAAAAATCTGTAGAGATTGACGACTCTTTCCCACTCGCTCAGATTCAACTCGCCGTTGCACACTACAAGAATGGTAATATCGGTAAAGCGATGGCAATATTTAGAACATCAATCAATAAATTCCCTCATAAATCAGATGTATACACTTACTACGGTGAGCTGTTAATGGACCAAGGGAAATTCGAAGAAGCTGTTGAGAAATTCGATAAGGCAATTGAGTTGGATATGGATAGATATCCTGTCAACGTCCTCCCAAAGATCAACAAAGCATTAGCCATCTTCCAATGGAAGCAAGATTTCAACACTGCTGAGTCATTAGTCAGACAAGCTGTCACAAGTGATCCAGAGAACGATGTCGCTATTGGTACACTGGCGCAATTATGTCTTCAACAGGGTAAAATAGATGAAGCTATCGAAGCATTTGAGAAATCCGCTCAAGTTTCACGCACTGAACCTGAATTAGTTAATGCTATCACATACGAAAAGGCAACTAGAGCACAAGCTCATTTCATCAAGAACCACCCTAACGCTGCAGCCAAACTTGGTCCACTTGCTCAATCGATGGGTGCGGGTGGTGCATAAAAATAGACATTTACTAAATTAATAAGTAAATAAAATCCCTTGTCATGTAGTCATAAAAATGATTTGATAAATTTTCACATTTTCACAAAACCCTTAATTAATCTACTATACTCTATTAGAATACATTTTTGTGTTATCGGAAAAAATGGAGATGACGTGGATATATACTCAATCTAAAAGTATTTACCGAATGCAGGGATCAATGTTTGCGCGAGCGTGTAACTGAATACGAGTTTAGGACCGACGACGAGAATCTTTGGAGTGAGACCCTTGAAGAAGGCTGTAGGACCTTCGTTCTTGATTATGTCTTTGATGACGGTAGCACCTGAAGTCTTTGAGTCAAAGTTAGCCTGTTGAATACGAGTTTTGACGACGTCGAGTGGAGCAGCGACAGTGATGGAAGATACAGCACCACCGATGGACTAAGAGAGTGTGTTAGAATGTCTCACCTACGCTACACTGTAATTTCACTCACAGAAAAGAAGTTTTGGTAGAAAGTAGCTTTGCTGTAATCTTCCAAACCAAATATGTAGCCTTTGGTGACAGCGCTACCACCGAAAAGGGCGAAAGAGCCTGGCGCGTTTCTAGCCATTGTCCAGCCCCAGCCTCTATACAAACCGAAACCTTCATCTGCGACAATTTTGACGATACCTCTACCCTTGAAAGACTCAGGGTTGGTTTGGCGTTTAATCTTGAGTACGTCGAGTGGCAAGAGGACGACTTCACCAATACCGGTCAACGAACCAGCGGAAGCGGACATGATTGCTTTGGCGTTTCTGTCACCAAAGATAGAGTTAAAGAAGGAGCCATAGCGAGAGTTAAGAATGTCATTAAAGTAAGGCTGGCCACCAAATTTGTACACGCGCTGAGCGACCTTGTAGCCTGCAGCGTAACCCAAGCCAGGGAAGAGAGACAGAGCCTTTGTGAGTGCAGGAGAAGTAGCATGTTGCTTGAAAATGACGTCTTTGATGTTTGAACCGTTTACTTGGTTTGTCATTAAACGCTTAGCTATGGTGTCTATTGGGTGAAATACCATTAACTCTGCGATACCAGAAGTACCAGATCCAAGTACTCTCGCTGTACCACTCTCCTTGCCCTTTTCCCCAATTGGTGACATTCTTCTTGGCCGTTTAGATGAAGAAAGGGTGATTCGGGGCACAAGTCCTAAAAAAAAGTATAATTTTCATTGAGAGTGTTGTACATAACAATAAGCTCACTTTTGCAGAGGCATATTCCATTCGTCCAATCCAGCGATATCTCTCTGTGGGAGTGTGAGTGGGTGTACAACACAGTACGCCTAACACCTACGCGTATTCGCTTGTTCTCCCAATTATCCAGGTCTCCTTGCTTTGATTGTAGTCTCTGTTTGTGTGTTGGCTGCGAGAATCTTTCACGAGACTTGTACTCACAAAGTACTCCTCACGTAAATCCACAGGCTTTTTCCCCTTTTGAATCTGCAGCGCTTCCTTCTTATCTAGCTGTATGTGCATTTGTGTTAAGCGTATGATTTATAACTCCCGCACAACTTACCTCCTTCACTTTACCATCTGCTCTGTCATACTTAGTTTGAGTGAATGTAGACATGCCAAACGAAGCAACAACCATTATTGTAATGAATGGCAATCCAAATGTTACGAATGGATGCCTGCGTAGGGTGTTATTGATGGCTGAAGTTGCCCGTGATTGTCGATATGGTTTTGATTGGACTGAAGGGGATTTAGAGTGGTGTACAGTTCTACAATCGCTTATTATCTCACAAGTTGGCATATCCTTGAGATATTACAATCGTGATGCTGTATATTTAAGAACAATGCAAATTAAATTATTTTATTATCTAAGTCCACAACCGTATAGCATCTAATCCAGGTTCTTGCGTGTGTTCTGCATTACAGCTTGCCACGGGGCAAACAAAGCAATATTTCCTCTTACTAGTCTTCCGTTTCTTAGGAATGACGTTATTCTCGATGAGATTGTGATGTGTATTACCATCTATAACATGCCCACATCTAAGAGCATAAAGTGCGTTATCGCCTTCTCCGTGTATAGTCAGTTGTCTATCAGAAGCCGCGTCGAGGATTAATCTCGACCGAACATTAGGACCACCGTTTTGAGAAAACCCCGGCCATTTCCTGGGATGGCTGAGCTTAGTACTATAACTATGTTTCACAGGCTGGACCATATGCGGGTGATACACACCACCGAAACCGATCTGATGGAGGGGTATATCTAATTGATGATAGCGTTGTCGAATGCGGGCGTCTACACCATCTAATCCTAGTCCATCCCAACCTCTACCCATCATAGGACGATTGTTTGGCATGCTATCGTGCAATATACGCAACGCACCCATTTCTGTCATTGCGAGGAAATGCGTTGAATGTGGATGATGGCGTGGGTGACGGATGAATGGATTGTTAGGGTAACTTGCAGTGCGTGGCCTTATAGGCCGTGCAGGCAGTGAGTGCGATACGTTTGCTGGTTGCTGGGGTGGCTGCGTTTGATTGACAAGGATACCATTATCGATACCACGTAGACGCCTTGCTGATCTGAATTGAACTTCGTCGTCGTTGTTATTGCGGTCGCTGTGGTTGCTGTGGCTATTGCGGTTATTGCTATTACTATAGTCCATATCATCGTCACTATCAAGCGTTATACGTGTAGAAGGTCGCTGTCGGTTGCTTGTACTGCTGCTGCTCGTACTGCTGCTCGTACTGGGTATAGCATTAGTCCGTCGTGTTGGAGGCATTCGATCGACAGCGTGATGGATGTTTTGGTAGAAAGGTAGTAATAAGCTTGTAAATGTATCAAATAAACTGTCCAACGCATACAATCATCAACTTGATTCATCTTCCCTCTTGTTCTATCCTTATCAATATCACACCAAATATCAACTAAAAACACGCAAATTGAATGTTAAAATTGCTTTATATGAATTCCTATGCCTTTGTAATCTTAAATACACTTAAAACACCCACAAATGTGCTTATAGAAGATTTTCACTAGGCTATAAAATTGCTCTTCTTCCAAATTTGCTTCTTGCAACCCAACGATCAAGTAGAGTGAGTGGAATAGCGCACCACACACATAACAAATACACACCCACACTACCAAATGATGACCTTTACTTCTTATCCCCGTCTTACGCGACTATGCTGAAGCAATTAAGCCAACATCCGTCGCTGGATTGTTGGACAGCGGTGTGAGCTTGCTCGCAGATGCACTTTAAAGGCTTGCCAGCCTGGTCATTACTGATACTTAGTTTGGGTGATAGTGTTGTGTGTTGTGGGCGATGGAATTCCTCAGCGCTAACGAAAATTTTAGGTGAGTTGAAAGCATTCCTTACTCAACCATCTACACCCACACAACCTGATGAAACATTTCGTTTCCACGTCGCAGTTTCCACTCTAGAATCGCCGGGGGTCGCACCTCGGTTAAGGTGGTCGAGTTCCTTGATTGCTACTCCTTCAACTCATAAGCCAAAGTTGAACCCAAAAGGCTTTGGCAGAGATGTAGGCGCTGCTTGCAGTGTAAAATCGTAGTCAAGTGAACTCCCACTCAGGTTCATTGAGGGCCAAAATACTTCCTTGGATGTCTGAACTTTTGTGTGGATGTGTATTGGTAGTAAGGGGTTAGTTGATAATTACTAACAAATGCAATAGGATATATCAATATATTTATTTGATTATATACATTTTATTTCATCTTTTATTTGCTTTTATCTATGTTGTGCTGATTGTCTTGATTGTCTTTCCCCTCGTACGCGAATTGTGTTCACTTTTTAAGTACTTATAAATATAAATTTTTAAATATCACAATAACATTGATTATAAAGATAATACAAGAAAATATTCAAAATAGACCTAGCGAAAATTTGTTAGAGAATTATAAAGGAATTGCAGGGAAATTAGAAGTAGATGAGAATATCAAGAATATGATCAGCAATCGATAAAATATCTTCAAGAAAGCATTCTGACGACTCTTCCTATATGTAAACGATAGATGTACATCATTTGACTAGATAATCTATTCAATCTCCCTTACTTTGAATTACTTACAAATAATAATTTTCAATAAAACTACTTGATTGTAGAGAAGAACAAAGTACCCAGCCCAACTGAGCCACTCTCTCAACTCAACGATAAAAAACTAAAAATATAAAATGGCAGTGAGTTTATTTGGATACAAAATAAATAATATTAATTCAATCATCAGTCTGGATTTGGATATACGGGAGGTTAGCGTTGTTGTAATTACTAGGCAGCACCTTCTAATCAATCTACAGGCAGAACACGCTGCTTTGCTTATTGGCAGGATTTTCAGAAGGTTTGATTGGTTGATTGGAATGTTAGGTGGCTTACACAATACCAGTGCTACGCTCAAGCTGACGCCGTCGAGGACTGTTTAGCCCAGAAGGAGGATTATATGGAATGCTTACACCACAATAAAGAAATTACTCGTCAAAAGGAAATTAAGCACAACTTATTAAAGCAGCAACACAAATCAATTACCGAATCCAACCAAACTGGTGATGTTGGCGTTGGTTTGATTGAACAGACTCAACAAGAGAAACCTGTATCTTAATATATATACTTCTATAACTTAGTCGATTTCACATTCCGCGTTATTCCGCTTCTCTCTCCTTCATACTGTCCTTCTTGTCCACCCTGATAAACAGGCTTCATCGACTTGATCTTCTTCTGTGCTTGATCGAATCTAATCCTCTTCTTCAGACGTGGATTACGGTTTAACTTGGAGTGCTTAAATGAACGCGCGCGTGTAACCGCCTTATTCAATGCAATATCACGTGGAAGTGAACGTGGTCCATCAACTCCACTCTCATCAACGTAGTCAACCCTATTCTTCCATCTTGCATCATCATATTCCTCTTTCTTTGCTTCCTTTTTAGCCTTCTTGCTTTGTCGGACGAGGTTGTAATAGTCATCGCCATCACCACCGTCTCCACCATCACCTAATCCCTCATCTTCATTCATTATCTGACGACGTGTGGCTTCATCCTGTGCTGTCCATTCTCCTCCATCTAGCTCATCTCCCTCGGCACTCTTTCCACCCTTTTCTAGACGAGCCTTCTTACGTTCACGGTATGGTACATCGTCATCACCACTCTGACGCTGCTTCGATGCTGCACTACGACGGTTGTCCGTCTTAGCTATTCTTGCTGTATGGAATTGCAACGATTTCTTATTCTTCTTCTTGGATTCCGCATCGAGTGTTGATAATGTGTCAGCTTCTCCAAGGTAATCATCGTCTGTATTTCTCTGCAAATCCTTTTTATTAGATTTCGAGGTTGATGGTTTGTACTCGAATGCCGATTCATCGACTTGATGTATAAGATTGGAGTTGTTTGAAGAATTCTTCTTACTCTTCTTCTTATCCTTCTTATCTTTCTTAGGTGGTGCAACATTTTCACTTTCATCCACCATCAGACCTTCAAGCTCACCCTGCTCAAGTGAGTTATCGACATCATCGTCAACATCATCTTGCTTGTGAGCTGCCCATTCGCGAACCATATTGCGAATATCTTGCTGATCCTCTTCGTCATCTTCCGGTATAGCTTGTTCATCGCCGGGACCGAAACCTAGATCCTCCATACGTGAGAGACCTTCACGGAGAGTGACCATACGATTGAGAACGGGATGTTGAAGCAACTTTATTCTATCGTGTGCATACGCTGGTGAAGCTCTTAGACAGAGGAAGTAGGTTAGTAGAGGAGCATAAGTGAGGAGAGTTTGGTGGTAGACGTAGAGCAATCCTAAAGCAGGATGGTTTATATCTTCCTTTTTGCGCTTTGCGATGAACTCTTCAGTTTCTCTTAATTTGCTAAGAATATCCTCGTAATCTGTCAATAAGGCAAGTGTTTCAGGAGAAGTTTTTTGTAGTAGAGCTAATTTATCAGAGTGAGATAGATCGCTTGTGTCAATATAGGCTGTATTGTCTTCTGGTTCATCTAAATCAACTGCTGTATCTTGATTGCCTTCATCTTCAACCACACCACCGATATCTTTAACGTCATCCCAAGACCAATCCTGCCTTGAAGACTTTTGTAATTTCAAAGCCTCTTCTTGTTCGAGTTTGCGATTTTGCTCAGTATCTTCGTCGTCATCGCTCTCATTTTCATCCTGACGTGAGTAATAAGCAGATTGACGAGAACCCCAAGATTTGAGTTTGGAAGCGTCATCCGAGTTTTCTTCGGAGTTGTCAGAGTGATCGGAGTTGTCGTTGGTGTGATCCAAGTTGATGTTATCGTCTGGAACATCTTGGTAATCGCCCATATCAACATCGTCGTCGTCGTCATCATCATCATTGTCATCTTCATCCTCATCGTCAACGCCCTTTAAACCATAAACTTCCTCCTCGTTATCAGAATCATCATCAGAAGGAGAATTATGACCAAAGTCGATTCTGTCATTTTGATGATGGAATTCATCCTCTGAATCCATTGGAATTGAATCTGGCTTTGGATCTTTAACACTATTTGATTTCTTTGACGCGTGAGATCTCTTCCTGGCCATGGCTGTCTGTGGTGAAGGATGGAGATTGAATGCCAGACTTTAAATTTACAAGCGAATTATAAATTTAATAGTAAATAATTTATATTTCAAATTTTTAAATTTACCCACCAGTGGTAAGATTCCTGAGGTTAATCTTACCGCCAATGGTTGTGCAGCGATTTCTTCTTGGAATTCTTCGACCAGAACCGTCAAAAGAATTAAAAGAGTAAAGACTAGTAATTTTAAAGGTTGACAGTTTGAATCTAACAAATAACTTTAGTGTCCTTTGAATCACTCAACTTGAACACAACAAACACTTTCCAATGGCTCGCAAACCTTGGTACTGAGCAGGACACCCACAACAAGCATTTCCTTAGAAAAACTTCCATCATCGCTACTATTGGTCCTAAAGTCAACAACATCGAATCTCTCACCGCTTTAAGAGAATCCGGTATGAATATTGTTAGAATGAACTTCTCACACGGCTCTTACGATTACCACCAATCTGTTATCAACAATGTGCGCGAAACTGTCGCTAGAAACCCAAACCACAGACCTTTGGCTATTGCTTTAGATACTAAAGGTCCCGAGATTAGGACTGGTTTGATGAAGGGCGGTGAAGACATTAATATTGCTCAAGGCCATGAATTCTACGTTACAACTGACGATTCCTACGCTGAAGCTTGCGATGATCAATTCATGTACCTCGATTACAAAAACATCGTTAACGTCATCGAACCTGGTAAACTCATTTACGTCGATGACGGTATTCTCTCTCTCTTAGTTCTCGCCGTTGAAGGTGATAAGCTCAGAGTTAGATGCCTCAACAATGGCGTTCTCTCCTCACGTAAAGGTGTCAACCTTCCAAAGACTGACGTTGACCTCCCTGCTCTCTCACAGAAGGATAGAAATGACCTTCAATTCGGTGTCGACAATGGCGTTGATATCGTCTTTGCTTCTTTCATTAGAAGAGCTGAGGACGTCAAAGAAATTCGTAAGGTCTTGGGTGAAAATGGAAAGAAAATTAAAATCATCGTCAAAATCGAAAACCAACAGGGTGTTAACAACTTTGATGAAATCTTGAAAGAAACCGATGGTGTCATGGTTGCTCGTGGTGATCTCGGTATTGAAATTCCTGCCTCTCAAGTTTTCATGGCTCAGAAGATGATGATCGCAAAGTGCAACATTGTCGGTAAACCTGTCATCTGTGCAACTCAAATGCTTGAGTCTATGACTTTCAACCCACGTCCAACTCGTGCTGAAGTTTCTGATGTCGCAAACGCCGTTCTTGATGGTGCTGATTGTGTCATGTTATCTGGTGAAACTGCTAAGGGTGCTTACCCAACTGAATCCGTCAAATTGATGGGTGAAGTTTGTTTACTCGCTGAACACGCTCTCGCCAATGGAAAGATTTACCAAGAATTGCGCGCTCTCGCACCAAGACCAATGGACACCACTGAAACCATCGCATCTGTTGCTGTATCTGCAGCTATCGACCAGGGTGCTTCAGCAATTTTATGTATGTCTACTTCAGGTAACACTGCAAGATTACTCTCAAAGTATCGTCCACGCTGCCCAATTCTTTGCGTTACTCGTAATGAACAAACTTCACGTCAACTTCACTTAAGTCGTGGCGTGTATCCAATCCATTACAACGAGGTTAGACCAGCTGATGAGTCTAACTGGCAAGTAGACGTTGATAACAGAATCCGTTTCGCTTTGAAGAAGGCTTTGGATCTCGCTATCGTTGAGAAGGGTACTACAGTACTCGCTGTTCAAGGCTGGAAGGGTGATGCTGGACACACCAACACTCTCCGTATTCTCTCAGTACCAGAAGATGACAAAGAGTACGCTCTTCACCCAATTGAATAATTTGACGCGTAGAAACCACTGAACACTTTAATTCTCTCGTTTTCGACTGCCTTTTCTTTTAAAGGGATGTAATTGCAATATAATAAAAATTAAATATAAATCGCGCTTTTGTTATCTTTATCTCTCAACCACCACCGCCACCACAAACAATGGAGGATGGCAACAGCGAACCCACTCACGTACTTCTTAAGCAACTCATCGACGAACATGACAGGGAATCTCAAAATGTAAATATAAATGATGCGCTCTCACATTATCCACGAATCATCAAGGTACACAAGCTCCTGCTATCTGCATGCATTGACACGCTTCCAAACGAATTGGACATTAATTACACCGCAGATCATCCCGTATTTCGCGTCCTCAATCTTCTTCATTCTGATCTTTCTCGTACTCCCTCCGTCTTGACATTCCAATTTGCATTGGATTCCGGCCGCGAAGTGAGCTTTGCTGAGTTCTTAATTATAAGACTTCTAGCTGCTGCTACTAGACTTGGAAGTGTAGAAATTGTCGATCCCGTCAAATCTACTGCCAGATTCGTCCTAAGGGGAAAGATTATTCAGGTACTGGGCCTGGTGATGAGGTATCTTGCCAGCAAAGGTTCCAGCGAGCAAGAAGATCCTTTTGATCGCCTGGAATTCATTCATGCTTCAATAAAGCGCCTTTTAAGCATCGTCAGCAGTCTCAATAAAGTCGCTTTCCCTGTCGCTATTGATGTTTACGATTCTCTTAAACCTGCAGTTGTTGCTGCTCACGATGGTTCTCTACAGTCTGAAGGTGCTATTATATTGTCTTCTCCCCTCTCATACCTATCTTTCGTAGACACCGTCAATGACATACTCACTCGCACTTTCTCTCAACCGCAATCGTCATTCTTGTTCATAGATCTCATACCCAAGTTCATCACGCATTTGAAACTCTTCTGCTCCCATACTATCTCAACTATAGAACCTACTGCTGAAAAAGTAGCATTTCAATCCAACTTTATCAACATATGTCGCAATATGCTCTCGAAAGCCTCCGAACAATCCCTATACTGCATAATTTTAGTATTCTCCAATATAATCGACAACAGTGAAGACAGCGACGGGTACCTGCAACGTTATATACCAACCTTCAATGCTCTTTACAGTACATTCAACAAGATGTCCAACTCGGGCTATCTCTTCGGTCCGTCGTCGTGGAATGTTGCAATACGCATTATACAAAACGTGGTTACTCTTTCTATCAGATATGCATATGAGGATGTAGGTCATGATGTGTTCGATGCCTTTTTGGTTCTCCTCTTCAACTCAATACCCGTCTCAGAAATTTCTTCCGTGGTGTCGGTGGATGCACTGAGCGAGCTATACACTGTATTAGGAGATAAGAGAGCTTCTTCAACGACCACATCCGCACGTTCAAAGTTACTTCAAAAGCTGCGCGCTATTACTGCCACTCGTAAACGTAAAAGAGATGCTTCCAACACTCTGCGACCGACACAAAGCGTTTCAAACCTCACACGCACCACCAGCATAAGACATGATGTAGATTCGCAGGGTGGTCACGATGCTCTAGTGTACGTACTCACCCAGTGGTGGGGTATGTCTCACAGCGATGCTCATGATCTTGCATCTATGGATATACAGGATGTGCTCTGGGCCAAAATAGCAGCTCAATCTGCGTCTAAGAATGTCTCACACGACGGTCTGGCTCAGGGTATCGGTCTCCTTCCACCTGCTATAGCCGGCACGCTGATGGTACAGAAAGAATATCCTGAAAAACCTCCTCAATGCTCTTTTAGCGATGCTGCTTATCCCGATTTACTCTCTACTTCGGCCGTCTCGCACGTTGCTACTATCGACTTAGCACTGGAAGCGCTCCAAGTCGTCAATCTTAATGAAAAGACTCAGTTTTTGTTGCTGGTGTCTCTGCGTCGTATTCTTATTCATTCTGGTATTCAAGCTGCGAATGAAAATTGGAGGTATGGCGAAATTTCTGGGTTTGTTTTGCGTTCTTTGGGTAGCGGGTCGCGCAAGATTCGTCTCGCTGCTGGTAGAGCTGCGCATGCTGTCATTATAGCTCAGGAGGCTGCTCTGAGTAAAGGTTTAAATGAGGTGGAAGACTTTAATCAGGATGTTTTGTTTGATCGCTTTGATGATTTGCTTCAGAGCAGGAACGCCCAGCTTGCAGAAACGATTTTGGTATCGGTGACGCTTATTGGTCGCTCCATACCTATTGCCAGACTGTATCGATGCCTCATATGTCTGTTCCGGATGCTAGGTAACACCAATCCCTTACTGCGCAGTCTGGCATATATCCAGGTAAGTTTGAGTGTTTCAAGTGTTTCTCCAATACTATATAATCTTACAAAAACCAAGCTTAATACACTGGCTGAACACAATGCCACTACTATGTACAAGGTCTGCAGCTCGCACCTGCCAAGACTGTCAGTGTTCCTTGTATTGAACATGCTATCGTCACCACACATGCTCACAGACTCAATGTCAGTCCTCGGATTCCCAGATCGCAAGGCATTCCTACACCAGACGCTGCGATACACACTCCCGTCGCTCATTGCAGAGAGCAAGCGGGATATACTGTCGAGTATTGCCCGTACACTAGGCCAGCCTGTTCAACCGTTGTGTCTGGAGTATGTCGAGCACATCCTTGCACATCTCTACCTCCGCGAGGGCTCTAAACGCGACGAAGGCATTCAGCTCTTTCTCGATGAGTTTCAGGGGTCTAAAAAGCAGATTAATCTGTCCAGCGTTATTATCAGCTGCGGACCATCACTGCTCGCTTCGCTTGTAATGGCTCTCGGCGACACTAACGAGACGGTGGCTAAGACGGCAATGGTTTCTATCGATAGTATCGAAGACACCATCGCTGAAGCTGAAAACAGGAAGTCAAGAGGCAAGAAGCAGAAATATAGTGCAAACGAGAGCTTCCTCCGCAATCACATTTTGGGAATCATGTCTATAATTTCTGATAACCTCAATGACGTGCAGGGGAGACGATCTGTGGATGAGAAGAGTAGGATTATCAGGAGTCTCGGTGTGCTTATCAAGAAAATCGGTCCGGGTATCGTGTCCGTTTCTCCACAGGTCATGGCACTCCTGCAGGCTTTCGTAGAGGTCGATAATCTTCGTTCTGTCACTCTGGATAGCATCAAATCGTTTATTACCACACTCACATACAAGGATCTTAGCCCTTACATCGGCAGGACAGTCGCGAGTTTCGTTGGTAACTGGTCCGCATACACTGCGTCTCAGATGGAGAAAGCGAGGAGTATTCTCAATTACATTCTCGATAACGCACACGAGATGCCCGATCAAGCTGCAGAAATGCTCGACATGAAACATATACCTGAGTTGACTGAGCAGCAAAAGAAACTGACGCAGATAAGAAGTGGATGGAATTTCAAGCATGTTTTGGAAAATATCTTACAGAGAGCTTCAAGGGAGAATTCCAGAGTAAGGTTACACAGTCTGATAGAGCTCAGAGAGTTTATTAGCAATAATCGCTCTATATTCAAGAGTCTGACTACGGGTGACGTGTTTGATCCTATCGTTGGCACTCTGATAAAATTCACTCTGTCTGCTGCAGATCGTAGTGGTGACCTGCAGCAGCCAATACAAAACGCTGCTTTCGACTGTGTTGGTACACTGGGCGCTGTCGATCCTGATAGAATTGAGCTCATGTCTGAGGAGAAGACAATGATTATCGATAGTAATTTTGAAGACTACGATGAGAATGTCAGGTTTGTAATGTCGCTCATGACCAACGAGTTAGTCGGCGCGTATAGATCCACAAGTGACAGCAGAGCGCAACAGGATCTCGCTTATGCGATACAAGAACTGCTGAAGTTTTGTGGTTTCAGACCTGAGTTATTACAGCGGGAGGATAACTCCCTGCCCCTGAAAGTCAAGCAGCGGTGGGAGTTGTTCCCGCGACAGGTACTCGAAACACTCTCAACTCTGCTTACTGATGGTCGCTACATTGCACGCGAACCCAAAAGACGTCCTATGGAATACCCCATCTACACAAAGTCCAAGTCATATTCTGAGTGGCTGAGATTATGGACTACCGATCTGATTTGGAAGACTAGAGGTAAACAGGCATCGGCAATTTTTAGCGTCTTCAAGCCTGTCGTGCGTAATCAGGATGTAGGCGTTGCGCGCTATATACTACCGTATCTAGTTTTAAACGTTCTTATTACGGGTGAGGATAGCGACAGGAATGAAATGTCCCAAGAGATTACGGTCATTTTGAGTGATCAGATGAAAGAGATGAAAGACTCTACTTCACAAGATAAGCGATTACTGAGTGCACAGGTGAGTGACGTATGTAGATTGCAAGTTTATCTAACAAATACACTGCAGACGATTTTCGATCTTATGGACCACCTCGGCAAATGGACACGCAAGCAGAGGATGAATATTCAACCTTTCCAAAAACTAGCAGCACGTCAACGTCCCCAGAAAGGTGGTCCTGTCAGTCTCTCATCCCACCAACAAGCTCAGCTGGACATGTACACTCACAATCTTGACCGCGTACATCCTTTAATACAGTCAATTGACGCCGATTTACTCGCTCATGCTGCATTGAGGTGCAGGTCTTACGCTCGCTCTCTGCTCACTTTTGAAAGACGTATATTTGAAATAAGGTCTAAGGGTGATGAAGAGAATCTGCAGCTGTATTACGAGCATTTACACGAAATTTACGCTAATCTCGATGAGCCTGATGGGATGGAGGGTGTGTCTACTCTGATTATCGCACCTTCACTCGAGCATCAGATCAGAGAGCATGAAAGTACTGGTAGATGGACAGCAGCTCAGAGTTGCTGGGAAGTTGAGCTGCAGAAGAAGCCTGATGATCTCAATCTTCATGCTGGATTACTTCGCTGTTTGAGGAATCTTGGTCATTATGGTGGGGTTTTAGTGTTGCTGTTTATTCTTCCACTTAAATCCCTTTAGATACTCTTGGAACGCATATTCGTGGTGTTCTCAGCAGTCATCCTGAGTGGAGACAGCCGCTTGGCAGTTTCCAAACAGAAGGTGCATGGATTGTGGGCGATTGGAAAACAGTTCGAGAGAATGTATCTAGTGGCCTAGCGAAGCATTCGCCAGAGTACTCGCTTGGACGACTACTCCTCGCAGTCCATGACAATGAGCTATATCGTTTACCGTCTATACTCCACGAAGCGCGCCAATTACTGGGAACACCTATTATTGCAGCAGGGCGTGATGGATACCGTCGTGCGTACGACTCAGCCGTTCACTTGCATATGGTTCATGAACTCGAAATGATTTCGCAGGCAATAACCCAAATCACCAAGCTTAGCAGCACACACCAGCCGGAAAGCGCACAAACGTTGGCTGCAAAACTCACCACACTCTTGGAAGATAGACTTGAAGTGACGATGCCTACATTTAAATCGAGAGAGCCGTTGCTGAGTTTGCGCAGGAGCGCTATCGCTACATCTGCCATCTCACAGGAATGGGCCAAAAATGAGATTGGGGCGCTGTGGTTAAGCTCTGCTAAGACTGCTAGGAAAGCTCATCATTTCCAGACAGCTTATAGTGCTAGTTTACAGGCTGATCAGATCGGTACACCATTCTCCTTCATTCAGTCGGCTAAACTTATTAGAGCTAATGGGGAGCATGAGAAGGCGTTAAGAGAGCTAGATGCTGGTTTGGAGTATCAGGTCCCTAAACTTATGCTGCAAGGCACTGCAAATTCCAGCGTCACTTCTGCTGTTATCGATTTAACTGAGGAGAACTCGGCTGGTAGTACCCAGACTGATTTTAATACTAAGTACAGGCGATTGAAGGCAAAGGTGGGTAACAGCTTTTCTAGTCAGCTTGCGTTTAATATCAGCGAAAGGGTCTTCTCCTCAAAGCTCGCTGGCTATCCGAGGGCGATAGAAAAGACTTCAACGACGTTGTCACCCACTTTAACAAAGCTATTGAGGAATACAAAACGTAAGTGGATTTAATAACTTCTTGACACTTCTAAATAGTCGCTCAAGTCGGGAACAACCTTACTACGAGCTCGGGCATTACTACGACACGCACGGAAAGCAGAATTCGGCAGCTGATCAGGTAATAGCCCAGTCTATATTGATGACTGTCAAATATTACTCGCGAGCTCTGTGCTACGGTACAAAATACATCTATCAAACCATGCCTAGGATGTTGACACTCTGGATGGACTTTGGTGCTCGCTCTGATGTAGCTCCATACGAAGACAGCTTAGCTAAACCAAGCAAGAACGACAAAAAGCTCTACATTTACCACGCGTATACTCAAACAAACAATCAAATGCTCAAAAATCTCGAAAGGTTGCCGTCATATGCTTGGTACATAGCATTTGCACAAATTGTATCTCGCATCGGGCACACTAACAAGTCTGTCTACGCTATACTTGAGAAAATTATGATCAGGGTTCTCAGAGATCATCCACAACAGGCTTTGTGGGCTATGGTCGGAATGTATAACTCAACCAAACCAAAGCGGTCTGAGAGATGCAAGAAGATTGTTATGCATGTCCAGGTGAGTTTAAATTGTAAATTGTTGACTAATCTGACACATGATAGCAATACGGAAGTGTTGAGAATAAGAAGATAATACAAGAGGCTCTCACTCTGGTGCACGAATTACTGTCTTTATGTGTCAAGCATGTCAATCAGGATGAGTGGACAATCAGCCTCAAGCGCAGCTTCCCAAGATTGGTCGGACTCGCTCCTATGAACTTTATGTTACCACTGCAGTCTTCCATGACGGTTTCTTTACCAGCAACTAACAAGCACACTACTTCGCATCAGCCATTCCCAGACAGACCTGTCAGAGTAGCAAAGTTTGTGGATGAAGTGGAGCTAATGAAGTCGCTTGTCAAACCTCGAAAGTTGACCATTATTGGGGACAACGGTCAAGATTACAGCTTCTTGTGCAAGCCAGATGATGATCTAAGAAAGGATGCACGACTCATGGACTTTAATTCAATGATCAACAAGTTCCTCAAATCCAATTCAGAAGCTAGAAAACGATCGCTCTATATCAGAACTTACACTGTAGTACCCTTAAATGAGAGGTGTGGATTGATCGAATGGGTCAAAGACACACGCACATTTAGATCAATTCTCACTGAAAGATACGAATACAGAAATATAAAATGGTATATGCCAGATATTGCAGCGCTTCTGGAACGTGGTAGACAGTCAGGACCAGAACAGACTATATACTTTTTTAGGTCTGTTTTAAAACGCTATCCCAAGGTATTTCACGAGTGGTTTATTGAAATGTTCCCAGAACCTTCTGAGTGGCTCAAAGCTCGCATGACATATAGTAGGACACTAGCAGTAATGTCCATAACAGGTTTTGTTTTGGGATTGGGTGACAGGCACTGTGAAAATATTCTCCTCGATAAGAACAACGGTGCGGTGCAACATGTTGACTTTAATTGTCTCTTCGAGAAGGGTTCACAATTTGAAGTACCGGAAAGAGTGCCATTTAGGCTAACACAGAACCTTATTGATGGGCTAGGTGTGACTGGCACGGAAGGTGTGTTTAGAAAGGCCGCCGAGGTTACGATGGCCGTACTAAGGGCAAACAGAGATTCTTTAGGCAGTGTTGTCGAATCATTCCTCCACGACCCTTTGGTGGATTGGGAAGATGCGAAGAGAAAGCTGGACAACTTTAAAGCAATGGAGAAGTCAGGCAGAAGACCAAGCTCGAAAAAGACGTCGAATCTAGATGATGATCCAGACAGTCAGGCGTATATCAAGTCACTGGCAATGAGCGCGCTAGATCCAATAGAAAGGAAGCTTCAAGGATTACAGACGGAGCACAACAAGCCACTTAAGACTGTGATGTCAACGTCGGCGCAAGTTGAAAAGCTCATACGGGAGGCAACTTCACCGGTAAATCTTGGTGCTATGTATGTTGGATGGGCGCCGTGGTTGTAAAAATAAACTAAAATCTTGTTGTATGCATAATAAGCTTTTTTCTTAGAAATTAAAAATACCATTTGCGCGAGACGATTACTGCCAAAACGCGACCACGATCATGGCAGGGTTGCATATCACCGATGAGCAGATTGAACGATATAGGAAAGTGCTAAGAGAAACGAAGACGGTAGATAAATACAAAGATTCTTGGATTACAGGCGCATTCTGGACAGGGATTGAGAAGGAACGATTCTTCAAGGCTGTTGCGAGAAGATCGAGGTTTAGAGCGGATTTGGTAGCGCTTGACGTGCGCACAAAATCACAGGCACAGTGTATGGAATACATAAATGTCCTCGACTATGAGAGTATCAGTAATGAACACACAATCGAACAGGAAATGAGTTATGAAATTTCAGAACGATTTGAAGCAGTTGAGGATGTCTTTCATAGATTCCTGATTCAATGGCAGATCTTGAGTTCGAATGAACGCGCTCGTTGTATCAACTACTTGGCACCGACGTCTACCACAGACGTTGCATTCCGCTCAGCGCAGAAGAACAGGCGTTACCGTTTAAAGAAGAAAGGATTAAGTCTGGAGGAAATTGAAGATAACCTCGTGATTGATCCACACAACTCGAAAGACTTGTTGATTGGACAAACACTCAAGAAGATGATCAATCGCGAGTCTATCGACAAAGACTTTCAATTAAAAGTCGAGGAAGTTCTTAAGAAGTTTCTTAGACCTCTTTTAGCGTTTGTTATCGCCGGTGTGGAGGCAAGAATTGCATTCATGGGAACAAAACACGCAACGAAGAAGGTGAGCGTTTTTATACAGCGATAAGGAGTTAGTCTGACTATTTTATACAGAAAATGATGGAGGTAGTCACTGGGGACGTTGATATCGCATTGGCCGTGGTCCGTGGTACAGGACCAAAAGAGGCTCTTGACTACGAGAAGCGTGATCGTTGGCTCAGCGTTGAAAGTCAAGCACCGCCAACGGGGAATCTGAAGAAATGGATACCTCTTTCGAAAATGCATTTCAAGCATCACGAGACACAGGCAAAAATGTTGGATCAGTATCCATTCTCTACGTTTCAGTCAGACGCACTACTACCAATGAATCTACCATTGATAAAAAAACCGCATTCATATCACAAAGTATACGAAGATCTGCTTTTAGAGTTGGATGACGATGCAGACTTGGAAGATGAGTTTGAGGAGTATGATAGGGAGTATGAGGAGGCGCTATTAAAGAAAGTGCTGGAAGGTACAAATACAGATAGGAAGCGCACGAAGCGTGAAAGTACCTCTCCGATCGCGGATGTGAAAAGGCCGAGATTGGATCTCGCTGCTTTTGAGGACGAGAGCGAGGATGGATATGATGATGCTATGGTTTTGGCTGATTTGAAAGGTGAGCCAAGGGAGGGCGAGGAGGAAAATGAGCAAGATGAGGAGGAAGAGGAAGACACGAGTACAATAGTGAGACACCAAGAAGAGAATCAAGACGGCGAAGGGAATGTGAAGAAGGAACACGATTACGATCTTGAAATGTACGATGACGACGAAATAGTCGATTCAGATTTAGATTCCGTGGAAGGTATTGACTTGCATCCAATGGAAGGAGTAGCGCAGAGCGGTGAAGAAGGTGAGAACGGAAATGAGAACGACAATGAGAATGAGGATGGTGATGTACAAATCACAGCCAATAAGCATCGTTTAACAAGTGGATATGCTATAAACTGGATTGATTATGGAGTCTAGGGGAGTTTAGTGGGTGATGACATGTATAACTTGTAAAATTGTATTTTAATTGCATTTTGATAAAAGCATAAAACACAAAACACACGCGTATTTGAAACTCGTCTGCTCATGACGTCCGCCACGGCGAAGAAACCCACGAAACCCACGAAATCTAAAGAGATTGGACGGCAAAGCGATAAATATTACAAAACGACTTTGCATAAATGGCGATATACCATCCGTAGATTTCTATTGCGATCGCTGAGGAAGGAGAGTGAATTTATGGCCAAATTTCAACGGCGTTACCGAGGGAAATGGCTTGACAAATATATGCTCTGGACAAGCTTTCTCGGGGCTGTGACCTTCTTTATTCTCTTGCTACCAATTCCATTTTTCTGGGGACACACACAACAAGGTACAGCATTGCTGCAGACACTGGCTGCTAGCGTATGGATAACGTGCTTGATGAAAGTAAGACTAGGATATTGTGTCTTTTCGTATAGAAGGTCTAATTATCGTTCGTAGGACTTCTGTTGTGTCCCAAGGCCATACTCTCCTCCCGTTAGTCGGATTAGTGAGTGAATAGGTAGCAGACATGGAAATCCACTCACTTACGCATATCGCAGGCATGGGAACTAGGTGTGTTTAGTCGCTTTTTCGCGCCGACGTAGCTCAATTCACTCAAAGTCACCTCGAGTATGGATTCCCTTCTACGCATTCCACCACGGCTGTCGCACAGGCATTAGTACTGAAGCAATGGCTAGACGAGTCTGATATGTCTGATACAGTCAAGGTTGGTCTGCACTTGCTCCTCATTATAGCCACTTCAAGTGTGGTCTTTGGGAGATTCTACTGTGTGAGTTTTGGGGTGGAGTAGATAGTAAACGAACACTTAATGGCTAAAAAGGGTATGCACTCCTCACTTGATTGTATTGGTGGAGTGATTACGGGCTATTTAATCTACACGACGCGGTCGCTCTTTGGTCCTTCTTACCAAGTGTTTATCAGTAATACGTCGTGGTTTACCCCTCTTTCGCTTACTGTAGTGTGTGCGTAGGACCTTGGTGCTATGCCACACAAGCTGAACACTAGAACAGGTCTGTATGCTATACATGCACACGTCGAACCAGCAGAAGACAATCCAGCATTCGAAGATTCAGTTGCGTTCATATCAGTATTCCTTGGAAATGGTATAGGAGAGTGGTTTGCCAATACCAACGGATACGGACACAGTACGTATTTCGTTACGAAATTGCAAGGCTGGGAGTGGTATCTGGCCTCGTTGCTCAAGTATCCGCTCGGAGTGGGGATGATATTTCTCACTAGATTACTCACCAAGCCGTTTATGCAAGTGTCTCTGCCGCCAATGTTCAGGCTGCTGCACAGGGTGGTTACACTGCCGAATCGAAGAGAATTTGTGCCTGCGACGTAGGTGGAGAGTGGTTTGTGAGAAGAGATGATATGCTAAGAGAGCTATAGGGAGTACACTGATTACAGAAACTCAAATGACAAACTCGATCCTGTACCATCTGTCGTTGATCTCAGACAGTTGCAACAGAGGAAGGAGGATGCAGCACAGACGCCGCAGCCACTGCCAGAACGGTTCAGTGGACGTCACTATGATGCTGAGGTGATGACACGGGTAGTGGCATACGCAGCTATGGGATTCGTAGGTACGATAGTGTCGCCGATAGTGTTTGAGAAGCTTGGGTGGGGCTTGTATTGAAAAGACAGGTCGGATATAAAAAATACATGCAAGGTGGTATAGAAGAGAGTGTAAGTGTAGCACTAGTTGTTTACTCCGTTTTGGTTGCACTTTTCAAGCAAAAGCCTGAATTGGTTGAGGTGTGCTTTATGATGCTCTGGGCTATGTGGATGACTATGGCAAGCACTGTGAACAAAGAAGAAGGAATGCCTGATGAGGATGAAAAAGTGAGCGCTGAGCAGTCCTGCTTTCTCATACGCAGCGATAAGTTTAAGGAGGTGGACGAGGTGGTATTGATAGCTGAGGAAGATACGATCAGTGGTGGGGATTCGTAGTAGCTGTGTGAGTGTGAGCGTGAGTGTACGTGTCGTATGTCTTAATTTACACTTTGAAATGATCTGTGATGCTACGTTAATAGAACAACTCCCACTCTATCCACATTCCAACCCACCCCACAGCCGCATTGAACTGCTTGTAGAGATCCCGCTCCATTCTCAGCAGCCTATTCACGTCGTGTGCGTGTGTATGAGAGAGAGGAGAATGCATTTTACCTTGTGCCTCACATTCACATTCACACTCACATCCCAATACTAAATTAGCTGGTCGAATACAGCACCCTGAAAATCTTACCGCACCCGTCCCTGCGTTGAGCTGGATGCGTGAAATGAGGGGTGTGCATTGTGCTTTAGGGCAGGAATTGTGTGCGATAAAAGTGAAGAAAGCCATTTAAAACAACTGACAAAAACAAATTTCAACTATGCGTATAAACGCTACTGAGCCCATCTTGGAAACGTTGGGTCAGAATCCTGGATGCGTTTAGCAGCGCCTTCGGCAGTGAGGTCACGCTGAGGTTCGCCGAGCAGTTCGAAGCTGTGTTGAGTAAGTGAGTGAGTGAGAGCTGTATGTATGTCCACTCACCCTACTAAGAATTTGCGCACTGTGGCTGAGCGGAGGAGAGGAGGATAGAAGTGAATGTGAAGTTGAGCGTGAGCAAATGCTTGGGTGTCATCACCCTCAGCGCGTACAGGCTGCTGCACCAGTCCCATCGAGTAAGGGAAGCTGCAGTCGAAGATATTGTCGTACCTGCACGCGACTTCGCGGAGGATACCAGCGAGCGATTGCTTCTCTAACCATGTGAGGTGAGCAACGGACGGTATGTGCTTCTTGGCGGGCATGACGAGTGTCTCGAATGGCCACACGGCCCAATATGGGACGACAGCGACAAAGTCCTCGTTGAGTGCTACCACCCTCTCTCTCTTGCCGCCGAGCTCGAAGTGTGCATAGTCGAGGAGGAGGTTAGGGGCGTGTGTAAGGTGCGAGGGTGTGCTAGTGCTGCTGTTTTCTCTCGCGTATCGCGCCTGCATCGCCAACGCCTTGGCAGGCTCTTCAGGGATGTAGCTCACAGACCACACTTGCCCGTGTGGGTGTGGATTAGAGCACCCCATTGCGCTGCCCTTGTTTTCGAATATCTGTATGTACTTCACGCTCGGCTCGTCGCGCGGGATTGAGCTGTACAGATGGCACCACGCGTCCACTACGCTCAGCACATCGGCTGTGTCCATTTGCGCTATTGTCCGGTTGTGGTCGGGGTGGAAACAGACGACGTAGCACTTGCCAGATATGGGCGCTGTCTTTATGAGCGGGTGTGGGTCGCGTGGAGAATCCACCGCCTGCGGATAGACTGCGCTGAAGTCGTTTACAAAGTGGTGTGTGCTCGTGTATTGTGGGTTGCTGGCACCGTTCGAGCGCATGTTGCCCGGACACAGATAACACTGTGAATCATACGCTGGCAGCTCGGGCTTGCTCGCTGCCTCCACCTGCCCCTGCCATGGCCTCTTGGTGCGGTGCGGAGAGACGAGCACCCAGCTGTCGCTGAGCGGGTTGTATCTCCTGTGTGGCGATTCTGTTGGATTGAATGCTGTTGCTGTAGCCATTATTGTGGTTTTGTTGGAATCCGTGGAGAGAAGACAATCGCGCAGAAATCCACTTCGGCTATTCCGGGTGTGACATGGGGCTATTACTAATGCGAGTCTTGTCTTTTAACCTAGTTCACAGCACTCAAAGCATATCATATTCACATAAATGTACACCTTAATAAACACTAAAGAAGCCTTCGAGTATCTTGCACACTCCCACTGCTCCTGGATCAGGCACAGCCTGTTCCTTGAGGCCTTGCTGACCCACATACGCCGCTCTACCCGCCTTAGCCTCCATCTTCTTACCCTCCTCGGTAGCCTGCTTCGCCGCTTCGATAGCCTTGTGGGCATCGCCGGCACCCGCAAACGCGTCGATGAACGCGTGGAGTGGATCGATCAGAGTGCGCGAAGGAGGGCGAGCGCGGGTGTATTTATAGAGCGTTTCCAAAGCCCCTTTGCATGCCAGCTGCACCTCCGTCTCATGCTCTCTGACTGCTCCCGCCAATGCGCTGAAGAAGATGGAGTAGAGCGCTCCACTAGTCCCGCCCATATCTGTCTCAGCCACCTCACTCACTTCGAGTATGTACCTGGCCACATTGTCCCCGCTGATGGCACCGCTTGAAATACGCTTGAGGACTCCGTCTGCACCTGCCTTGAGCGTTAGTCCACAGTCGCCATCACCAGCCACTGTGTCCAAGCGCGTGATCTCAGGTTCGGCCGCTATGAGATTCTCGGCAGCCGCTTTGATAGCGCGGATTATCTTTTCCCCGTTGTCTGTCTTGATAGGGGCCGCTGTGTCGGTGGATGGTTTTGCATGGGTAGGGGAGTCGTTTACATACTCCTTCTCGAGACGTGGCGGGGTGGTTGCGTGCCATCTCCAGCCAGGTGCGTTGGCAGGGCTGTCCAGCAGCTCAAGCATCTGAGCTGTGCTGGCAGGTGCGCTTTCACCCTCCGCTGGCAGTCTCAGTAACGTGATGGAGAAACCAGGCATGTTGAGGGAGGTGATGAAGGTGCCACTGAGCACTCTCTCCACTTTATATCCCCTCTTCTGCACGACACTCGTAGCGTGTCCTGTAGCACCAGCCAATTCGAGCTCGGACAACCCGCCGAGATTGTTGACCAGCAGGACAACTCTATCAGAGCCATCATTGCGGAAGTTTACATAGGAGCGGTCTGGATCGGAAGTCGAAGTGAGTGTGTCAACCATACCTTCAATTAGCTGTGAAGCGGGTGGGATAGGTGACATCTTAGTGAAACCAGGCTCGTTGTGAATGCCCATTCCCAATTCAAGTTCATCATCCTTGAGGTAAGCCTTAGAGGCTTCAGTGCCAGGTACGTGTGTGTGTTCCAAACCCGCACCGAGTGTAGCTGCGTTATCGTTGATGTAGTTGGCCACGTCTTCCACCTGATCGATAGTGGCACCGTTGTGAGCGAATGCACCAGCCATCTTGTGTATGAGTGTGACGCCGGCAAGACCTCTGCGTCCGACAATACCGGCCTGCTTCCTGCCGACTGAGACATCGTCACTGGCCATGATAAAACGCGTAAAGCGCGCGGCTTCGGGGTTCTGCGCAGCGAACTTCTCCTTTGCGAGACCGAAGTGGAGGACATCGCCTGTGTAGTTCTTCACAATCACGAGAGTGCCTTGTGGAGAAGACGCGAGTTGAATGCCGCGCAGAATCTGAGCCGTGTTGGGGGAGGCGAATATGGTACCTGGGATGGCGGCATTGAGCATGCCATCGCCGACGAATGAGCTGTGAGTTGGTTCGTGGCCTGTATACGTGAAATGATGTCATTAGCCAGTACACGCAAGTGGATAGAAAGCTCACCAGAACCGCCACCAGCAATAAGGGATACTTTGCTGGTGTCTAAGTGCTTCTTGTACAGCGCCTTGGACTCCTTGTCGAGGGTAAGTTGGGGATTGAGCTTGCAGAGACCGTGTAGCGCTTCGAGGACTGCAGTTTCTGGGGATTCGTTGATGTGTTTATCTGGCGTTATACATTAGAATATATTAAAGCTCGATATACCGCACACACTCAGCATTCTTCGTCGTTCTGGTTCAAGAAACTCGTCTTGATGTTCGAGCGACCTCCGCACCAGACATACGTCATATCCACATAAACAATAAAATATAAAATTTGAAATCACAATTCACTTATCGAGTCCACACTCATCCCTGTGGCTGTCCTCCAGCAACGAGCTGTACCCACTCTAACGCGTTCTGCGATTGAACTGGGTGAATCCAGCGCAGGACGCACGTCTAGATGAAACACAGGCATTCCATCAGGCGTAGGAGGAGCGCCGTAGTAGTCGATCACGTATCGAACGAGCTCACTCTGATTCTTACGCCTAACGAACCAATCGTGTCTATCGAACGGTGGTTCATTGTAGAACTTGTTAGGGAAGACTGACGAAAGCAACATCTGCAATCTCGCTTTAGGCGTGTAGTCACCAGGTCTTCCTGAAAATTGTGCGAGTTGTACTTTGTCTTGGTCGCTGCGAGTGGCGTTAATAAGAAATCCATACTAATTGCCACACTAACTTATCCCCCACGTGTCCCGCACGTTTCTCCCACTTGTTTATTTCCACCCACGCCTCCTCATTGAGGAAATTGTGGATGGCTACCATGTCCTCGACAGACTCCTCAGGCGTCTCCCACCCTTTCCTCACTAGCGCATTGTAGAACTGCTGTGGAGATGGATACTCCCAGTGCTTTCCCCTGCCATACTCTTCGGGGTTATTGGTGTTCTCTGGGCGAGGAATACTCGATGTAGATCTATCTGTGGGTAGAGCTGTTGATTGGTGCGCCGACAGCGGTGTCTGCGAGAGGTGTGGCATGTTGTTCTGTGGATTTACTGGGCATTCTGACTTTTTGCTTGGTGCTTCTTTCGCTTCTGGCTCTGGTTGTACTCCTGGTTGTGCTCCTGCCTCATGCATTGGACATCCTGCTGGAATATTCTTTGGCGTGCTCTTCGGCTGTGATTCTACGCTCCCACTCTGTCCCATTATCCTCTATTATCTTATTGGTAGGCGAATGATACGATTCGAGTTGATAATTTCAACTCCCAAAAAATCGGCGTACGGTGGAGTGAAAAACATGTTACATGTATAATACAATCGGTTGGATTTTTACGACTAGATTCATGTACTTTTCATACCCTGGAAATTCTATCAGGATGGGCTTATTATGCAGATGTGATATGTACACTTGCCAACCTTCTTAAACCCTATGCTATACACTCCTCATAACCAACAAACACCAATTGTGTACTTTTTTTTATAAGATAAAACCAAAAACTTTACAAATCATTCATCAAAACCCAATAAAAGACAGAGAAATAAAAAGTTACTGCAATTCGATACCAGAATCAGAGAATCCTTGCTTGGAATCCGTTGCAGGTACACGACTAGCTCTACCCCTAGCATCCTTGTAAAAGACAATATCACCCTTATCTTCAACAAAGACGCAATCGCGGTATGATTTGTATAATGCCACAATAAAGTTGTCGTCTGAGTAGTGGTAGTGTGGTCCAAGGTACTCCTTTAAAGCATCAGTTGCCTTCCATGCGTTGTAGTGTGGAATCTTTGATGAGACGTGGTGAGCGACGTGAGTTTCACAGATACCGTGCAAGATGTATGCACCAATAGGTCCAAGGAACACGCGATCAATGGTACAGAGAGCACCTCTTTGGAAGTTCCACATACCCTCTCTGTAGTGAGGCAGAGCAGGGTCAGTGTGTTGGAGGAAAGTGATGGAAACAAGCCAGTTGTTTACCCAGAGATAAGGAATGAGGTAGTAAGAGACCACCTCAGTGAAACCTCTCTGTGTACCCCAATAGTAGAGACCGCCGAGAACCAAGCCAATACCCAAATCAGAAGCGATGATCTGGGAGAAATGACGCGAGTCAAAGATTGCAGACGATGGGTTGAAGTGGTTGGTGCCTCTTGGATAGTGCTTTTGACCAGAAGCGTTTCTAACCAGGTACATTGGCCAGCCGATGAGCTGCTGGAGGAGGAGGTTGACAAAGACGGCGAGTGGAGCGTCCTCGAGGAGTTCAGAAACCTTCAACTGCTCTTCTTCAGGCATGTCGACACCGGTGAGAATTTTCTCATCAGCATCTTCATAGTCGAGCTTAGGGCCATTTCTCTGAGCACGTGTTTTAGGGACAAAGACCTGGTCTCTAGACATGTGACCGGTGGCAGCGTGGTGTTTTCCATGGCTAATTCTCCAGCTGTGGTACGGGACAAGGAGGAGGGAGTGGAGGACGAAACCGACAGAGTTGTTGATGGATTTGCGGGAGGAGTAGGCTTGATGGCCGCATTCATGGGCAATGACCCACAAACCAGTCCAAACGAGGCCCAAAGCGAACCAAAAGAGGGACCAGAGCGAGGCAGAAATGAAAAGAGAGAGTGAGTGGCTGTCAGTCATTTGGGATATCATTGGTATATAGAAACTGCCTTTGATGAGGATGGCTGAGAGTATTACGTCTTGGACGACGTATAGCGATGACTTGAACGCGGAGCGGTGGAAACATTCTGGGCTGGAGTGGCTGTGTTAGCGGGGATACAGCGACCACGAGAAACCCACGGAATGGCACCCAGCAACTCCTTAATTGAAACGTTTGGTACTTGGAATTTTTCAGCCATCGTCGTTGGTTTCCTCCAAGCGTTATCGACGGTTAAATTTCCACCAAAAAAGAAAATATTCATGTCGGGCACGCAGGAGACGGATTATTTGAAATTGATATTAAATGCGCGGGTCTATGATATTCTACAGCAGACGCCACTCACAAAGGCGTCTAACCTCTCAAATCGCCTCGGCTGCAACATCCACCTCAAGCGAGAAGACCTCCACCCTGTCTTCTCTTTCAAATGCAGAGGCGCGTACAACTTCATGGCCCACATCCCCACACAGGATCGGTGGAGAGGCGTCATAACTTGCTCTGCTGGAAACCACGCCCAGGGCGTTGCTCTCGCTGGCTCACACCTTGATATCCCCTGCACCATCCTCATGCCCAAGAACACTCCATCCATCAAGTGGAAGAACGTCGACAGGCTTGGCGCCAAGGTCATCCTCCACGGCGACTCTTTTGATGATGCAAAAGCCGAATGTTTCAGGCTCGCGCACGACCTCCACCTCACCTACGTCCCTCCTTATGACCATCCTTACATCATCGCCGGCCAGGGTACTGCTGCCGTCGAACTCACCCGCCAAATTGACATGTCCCACGTTGACTCTGTCTTTTGCAGCGTCGGCGGTGGTGGTTTGATTAGCGGTATGAGCGAGTATATCAAGCGCATAGCCCCCGATAATGTCAAGATGATGGGTGCTGAGACGTTGGACGGCGATGCCCTGTCCAGGTCCATCAAAGCTGGTCATAGGGTGATGCTCGACGATGTTGGTGTGTTTAGTGATGGTACGGCCGTTAGGATAGTCGGCGAAGAACCCTTCCGCATCTGCCAGCAACTCATAGATCACATCCAACTCGTCGACAACGACGCTATCTGCGCAGCTATCAAAGACGTCTTTGAAGACACCCGCTCCATCCCCGAACCTGCAGGTGCGCTCTCGGTTGCCGCGCTCAAGTCGTATATCTACGAGAACAATCTGCTCAACTCTGGAAAGACTTTTGTGGCCGTTGTCAGCGGAGCGAATATGAATTTCGACAGATTGCGCTTTGTAGCGGAGAGGGCGTCTATCGGAGAGGGCAGGGAGTGTATGTTGAGCATCACTATTCCAGACGAGCCTGGAATGTTTGTGAAGCTGCACTCTGCCATCCATCCCCTCGCCGTGACGGAGTTTGTGTATCGCTATGCGGATGATCACCCACCAGCACATGCACAGGATGCCGTTATCTTCTGCTCCTTCTCCCTCCCCTCGGCCAGCAGCTCGCTAGCCCCATCCGAGCGCCAGTCTATGATCGCAAATGTCATCACCAAAATTCGCAGTCTCGGCTTCGACGCACTCGATGTATCCGATAATGACCTCGCTAAATCTCACGCGAGGTATCTCATTGGAGGCAGGTCATCGTGTACCAATGAGCGCCTCATCGCGTTCGAATTCCCTGAACGCCCGAACGCCCTCAGGAAATTCCTTACCGCTCTCAACCCCAACTGGAACATTTCGCTGTTCCACTACAGGAATCTCGGTGGAGGTGAGTGGGCGTTTAGTTGTGTGCTTGGCTAACTTGCCTTACAGACGTCAGCAAAGTGCTCACGGGTATTCAGGTCCCCCCTTCAGACACCCAGGCTTTCGAAACTTCCCTCAATCACCTCGGCTACCAGTACGTAGACGAGACTGAGAATTCTGTCTATCAGCGTTTCATGAGGTTTTAGAGGTCGCTTCGCAGCCTAAAGGAGATACATCCGTTGTAGAAAATCAGGTTAGTGTAAAAGAGCACAATGTAAAAAAAGCGTGTATATTTCTTGTGTGAGGGGGTTTGTATATGTATATATGCAAATTCCATTCTTATGTCTAAGTCTATATGTATGTCTACACAGTTTACTTTTCTACTTTAAACGAATTCTGTTGCTCTATGAAGAATCCTCGGCGCTTTAATCTCATCCTGACTCTGCACCAAACGCAACTCTCGAACCCTTTGACGCCAGATGCGTGATGAGTTAGACTGGTCGTTCTCGACAATATCATCGATGTTCTCCGGGAGTATTGACGCCGCGTAATTGCGAGTGTTGTTAAGTACAGCCTGTATACTACCCACCGTCTTCTCAGTCGCTGAAGTGAGAGTGTCTATCTCAATTACGCCGCGCACGTTCCTCGCACTCGATTCGCAATTAGCGAGGAGGAGTGCTGAGAAGATGTCGCCTACGCCGTTGAAATTCCCTTCAATCAGGGGGTACTGGAGGATACGAGTTTGTGTGTTTGAGGTGTTGAAGCTGTTGAAGCTGTTGAAGCTGTTTAGGGTGCTTGAGCTGATGATTGTGGATAATATGGTAGGCTTGATTATTTCCCCATGCTCAGGCTTAGTATTACCACCGCCAATCTCAGGCTCCAGCTCCAGCTCCACCGAACTGATGACAACATGAGGTACCCCGTATGAATTATGCAGCACATCAAGCGCATTCTTAATGTCTCCGCGCGTGTTGAGTGCCACACCAGTGAGCAACTCCACCTCGAAGCCATTCGGTGTGATGATATCCGCGAGCTTGAGCATGGATTTATAGACGGGGACTGTGTCGCTATCGACGTAAAGACGATTGTTATCCCCCATTACCGGATCTAGGAGGTATGTAGCGTGCGAGGCCTGTTTGATTCGCTGTATGTATGCTTCTACGATGGAGAGTGATCGTGCATCAGGGGTGTATCCAGTGAGGATATACTCCTGACCCATCATCCCGTTGTCTTCCAGCGTGGACAACATCCCGTGGAGATCGGCAGGTGTCACCTTTGTGCCGGTGAAATTCCGATAACCAGCGTGATTGGAGTAGTTGACAGTGTTGACGGCATCTACATCCCAGCCTAGCAGCTGGAGTGGAAATGTGGCTGCGCGGTTACCCACATAGCCATACGAGACGTGGGATTGGATAGACAGGATGTGGGGCATTTTGTTGGAAGGCAACGACCAACTATGAAGTACGATTACGATGACCACGATGACCAAGATGATGGCATTGGCTACGATTATGACGAGGAGCAGCAGCAACAGCCCCAACAGCCCCAACAGCCACCAAGGCGTTGGTTAATCCCCTTTATTCTCACATCAATCACTATAATCTCAAGCGTATTTGGCACTATCGCCGGATTTACATACGAACATCATATTGGAATCTCCAAACAGCAGCCATTTACACTCGATAAACTGTTCGATGAGACATTTGAGAGTTTTACGAGTGATATTAGTTGGATAAATGGTGATGGCGATGGTGTTTACACGCGTACTGACGAGAGTGGGGCTATTGAATTGGTTTATTTGAATGATAACACCACTAAAACTCTAGTAAAGGCTGGAGAAGTGTTTGATATCGATGGAAATCCACTCGACTTGGACAGCTTCACAATTAGCCCTGATTTGAACTTTATCCTCCTTAAATCAGACACCCTTCAACAATTCAGACATTCCAGTTACGCTAATTATCACATTCATTCAATTGAATCAAACTCAACCCACCCACTACACGACTTAACATCTCCACCCTCAATATCCCTCGCTAAATGGTCCCCATCTGGCCATTCATTGGTTTATTGCATCTCCAACGACCTCTACCTCGTACATTCCCGCGACGTTTCGAAAGATCCTCCACAGTCTGTCAGAATCACAGAAACGGGCACAGACAGCACGTTCAACGGTGTCACTGACTGGGTGTATGAGGAGGAAGTGTTCAGCACCCACGACGCAACCTGGTGGAACAGCGCGAGTGATTTGCTGGCTTATCTCACCCTCGATGAAGCCAAAGTTGGCGAATATTCAATCCCCATCTACAATCCAACGAACAGTGCCGAGAACATTGCCCAGTACCCTGAGGATGTGTGTAGGCGTTTCTAATCCAAGAAGAACAGCTAACAAGACTAACACACCCCAGTTACGCATAAAGTACCCTCAGCCTGGCACTCCTAACCCCACAGTAAAACTCAGCGTATACTCCCTCGTCAATAGTCACACATACACCCTCAACTTTCCTGAAACACGCGACGATCGCCTCATTATAGACGTGGCTTGGTCGAGCAGCAAAACTCTTCTTGTTAAAGAGACCAATCGCTCTTCCCGCCAAGGGTCTGTTGTCCTTTTCAACTTCACCCATATATCCCCAGACGCCGAATACGTGGAGGGCGTTACTGTGCGCGATATCTCACCTTCCGACGGTGGATGGATTGACTGCCAGCAGACCATCCGCGGCGTGGAGGGGGTGGAAGGGCTTGAAGGTAGTGCGTACCTCGATATAGTCCCCAACGAGCAGGGGTACAACCACATCGCCTTCTACACCTCCAGCAACGCCTCGCTCCCCATCTTTCTTACTGGCGGGCAATGGGAAGTGGAAGGTGTGTTGGCAGTCAGTGCGGTGCAGAGAAACGTCTTCTTCTCCGCTGCCTATCCGACCCCGATTGACAGGCACATTCTTACAGTCAGCCTGCCCACGATTGACAGCAAGGACGACGACAACGACAGCATTGCCATAGAAACTCCAGTAAATCTCACAGACGTGAGCGTGCCCGCTAAGTACTCAGCGGCTTTCAATCCCGACGCCTCCTTCTACACGCTCAACTACGAGGGACCACGTGTACCAATGCAAGATATCCGCGCGGTGGATAGTGATGTCAGCATCAGCGTGGAGCAAAACATAGCCCTCAACAACACACTCAAACAGCACGCCATGGCGCAGATCCACTACGACACGATCACGCTCAACGAGACAGAGATACAAATCCGCGAGGTACGACCAGGGAATTTTGACGATTCTGCCAAGCACCACAAACAGAAACGACCCGTCTTGTTCCAGGTATACGGTGGTCCCGACTCGCAAGCGGTGGATCAGCGATTCAGAGTGCAGTGGAGCGACTACCTGGCCAGTGTGCACGGGTACATAGTAGTGCATGTCGATGTGCGCGGGTCGGGTAAGCGTGGGCGGCGTCACCGCAACGTCGTTACTGACAGATTGGGTCAAGTAGAAGTGGATGATATGGGAGCACTCGCGAGCTATTACGCCCAAAAGGAATACGTGGATGCAACAAGAATGGGCGTGTGGGGTTGGTCGTATGGCGGCTATCTCACTGCAAAATGCATGGAAGGCGCTAGCGATATTTTCAGCCTCGCTATGGCGGTGGCGCCCGTGACCGATTGGCGTCTGTACGATAGCATCTACACCGAACGATACATGTCGTCACCAGACCAAAACGCTAATGCTCATGGTTATGCTGATGCTGCTGTCAGGAATGTCTCCCAGTTTCATAACTTCGCCCTCGCTCATGGCACTGGTGACGATAACGTACACTTTGCTCATTCCGCTCACCTTCTCGATCTGCTCACCCAAGAAGGCGTGCAGGACTTCGCTTTTAGACCTTTCACGGACTCTAATCACTCCATTCATACCCGCGGCGCCTACAAAGAACTCTTCGTCTGGCTAACCCGCTTCTTGGAGGATAATTGGACAAAAGTTGCACACACGGGTAAGAAAGGTTAGTCTGAGGCGTATTGTAACAAAGGTGATTTGTATTTTACTTTGAGAAATAAGGTGAATGTAATACTCTGTTTTACTAATTATACACGAGAAAAAAGAGGAAAAGATAGAAAAATAGAATGTGGTAAATGTACACCACATGCGTACTCCATTCACATTCTATTCGTACACCCTGATTGAGTTGACGACCCATTTGTTGTTAGGGAGATTAGATGGATCGCGGATGAACTCATTGCATGCCTCCAGGCCACCATTAGGGAAGTTGTTTCCAGCTGGCAGGAGTGTTAGTTTTGATACTTTGATACATCATGTCTTTACCCACCATAATACCCACACAAAGTGGTATTAAGGATGATGCTATGATTCGTAAACGTGCTCAAGTCGCAACTATCGCTAACAAAGTGCGAGACTGGCTGACCCCAATTTTGAGGGTTGGGACTGTTGTTAAGGATGTCTTGGGGGATGAGGAGGCGCGGAAAGAACCACGTCTTTAAAGTTCCCGCGTCAACATCCCACTCTGTTGCAAACACACCCCCGCCCCCGTTATTCAGCCCCTCGCCATAGCTGTTCGGATTGGGGTCCTCAAACCCACATCCGCTATTGGTGGGCGTGAAGCCAGAGCAGTCGTGCGTCTCTGAGCTGTACTCGCCGATGGCTGCCGCCGTCCCGCTTTGAGTGCACCCGTCATATGTGTGTATAGTGACGTGGTTATAGGTATCGTTGTTGATTCCCTCGATAATATCGAGCTCCCCGCCATTGGGCCAGTCGGGACCGTTCGTCCAGAAAGCAGGCCATGTGCCCAGTCCATAGGGCATTTGAGCTACGTCGAATGTCAAAACTCCCCCATTCCATGAGTCGTCGCTCTGGATGCGCACAGAGTCGCGTTTGCCATCGCCAGTCGCGGACAGCTGTGACCAATTGTCGAACTGGATGTACGGAGTGCCTGAATCATACCCCGCTAGGCCCTTGCTGAACGCTGTCGCTTTGTCGACGTAGCTGTGGAGGGTGTTAGATGGGATGTAGAATATTTTCACCCGCTTACTTTACGGCTCCTCTGTAGCAGCATCGTTAGCATTGTCATTCGGTATGCAACCATGTTTCTACTCACGCCGTTGGATCGTCATAGATAAAGAAAGTGAAGCCGTCGAAAAATGTCTCTCCTTCATAGGAATTCTTAAGTGTGTATCCAGCAGCCGTGGCGCGTGAAGTGTGCGCTAGGGTTTGGGGGACTGCTAGAAGCAATGCCAGAGCGATATAATTGAGAGACTGGTGCATTTTTTCTGTGTCTTGCGTAGTGTGGTTTTGAGTAAAAGATGTCTTATGGGCTTTTATACTACGCCCTTGCTGAATTTACGTATCGTATTCAGCCCCTATCAAGACTACAATCAAGTCTAGAAACGAGTTAATGCCAATTATGCGGACTTTCGTTCCCACCTTCCTAACGCGCACATGTCTGACTTGTCTGACTTTCCTTTTCCGCCAGGTTGTTCGAATGAGGTAATTGGATGCATTAGGGTTTTAGTGTGTGTCGCAGCACTGCATACTCCGCGACGTTCTTTGTTGTCTCGGAGTAAAAGGAGTAAAAGGAGTAAAATGAATGGCCGGTGGAAACTGCGCATGCGTAAAAAAAGCTTAAACTGTACAAATGAACGCGGGCAGCAGTCATTTGACTCTTAATTTATCTTGCTTTGCCGCTTCTGGATCTTTTGGATCGCCACGGTGAAGAAGAATGTCAACAAACTCCAATCCCACATCAGGCTTCCAATTCAATCACACGATGTACAGAGTGAAGAATTACAAAGCCTCACTTGATTTCTACACGCGCATTCTGGGTATGAGCCTTCTCGACTCGTTCGAAGGTGGCGATTTTACACTTTTCTTTCTCGCTTTCGACGGCGCTGGAAGCGAGTCGGAAAGGAAAGCTAGCAAGTTCTCGAGAGAGGGCGTCTTAGAGCTCACTTACAATCACGGCACTGAGTCGCAGGATGTGACATACGCGAATGGCAACACAGAGCCTTACCGAGGCTTTGGACATATTGCTATTACGGTGCCCGATATAGTTGCCGCGTGTGATTACTTTGAGGAGCAGAAAGTAGCTTGGAAGAAGCGTCTAACAGATGGCAAGATGAGGAATATTGCATTTATCCTCGACCCAGACGGCTACTGGATTGAGATTGTGGAGAATAAGATGAGAATATAATATGAACACGTGATACGTATGATGCATATGATTATTTAAACACTTGACAATATCTCAAACACTCATTCCAAGAAGGACATTGTCGATTAGCCGGGTGTTGCCGACGTACATGGCAGCCGAGAGAATAGCGCCGTTATTGCCCACGCTATCGACCACTTCAAAAGAAGACGCGTCGTTCAGCTGTATATAATCCATCTTTGCACCTTGCTGTTGAGCGTGGGTGGTGTGTTGGGTGGTGGCATGGAGGATGTCCTGGCGACAGGTGACGCCGCTTTCATAAGCCTGTTTACCTGCTTGTAGAGCTTTGTAAAGCAATGGTGCCACTTGAGATCTCTGCTCCTCGCTCAAATACGCATTGCGAGAAGAGAGAGCGAGGTGTGAGACGGGATCTCGAGCAGTAGGGGAAATCCTCAAGTTTGCCGGTGTAGGATACTGTACCAGTAAATCCTTACACATTCTCCGCAAAATCAAAGCTTGTTGAATATCCTTTTGTCCGAAAAAAGCTAAATCAGGCTGTACCACATTAAACAGCTTAGTGACAACAGTTGCGACGCCTCTGAAGAAAGTTGGGCGTGAGATGCCTTCCATTTTATCAGACAGATTTGCCATTTCGATGAAAGCGCCTGTCTGTTTGTGTGTATCTTGCTCGATTCCAGTGGGGTACATTTGAGTTGTAGAGGGGGTGAACACGGTGATGTCATTAGATAAACGCCTCAGCTGGCTTAGATCCCCTTCAAGTGTCCTTGGATAGGTGTCCAAATCTTCGTGTGGAGCGAACTGAACTAAACTTAAAAGTGAAATTCCATTGGCTAGCTACCCACCTGAGCTGGATTAACGAATATTGAAACAACAGTCTTATTCGACTCTCTGAGGCTTTGTTCAACTTAAATGGGTGGTTAGAATAGCTGTAAACTATCCACTCAACCCACCGAGCTTCAAATGTCCTTGGTGTAGTGCTCCCATTGTTGGAACAAAACCCACGATATTCTTGTTTATTAGCTGCTCCACTCTCCACTCCCTCAGCTGCTCAATTGTCCGGAAAAGTCTAGTCATTGTTTTATTGAGAGGTGTGTATCAGCAATTACGCTGATTTTATGGTTATATAGCCGCCACAACCCTTATCACATCCCACCCACTCTTCCTCTTCTTGGCTCGGGATCCCGGGAAAGTTTTCACTCAAATCCATAATATGGCACTACAACATCTGTAACCACTATAGTACACTAAACAGACACCTCTACACCCTACAAAATCAATCCGTTCACCGCAATGCTCCTCTGATGAATACCACCGACATCTCTGCAAAACCGGATCTCGCAAACGCTAAAGCGAATGTCATTCTCGGTGCCCAATGGGGAGATGAAGGTAAAGGAAAGCTTGTCGATATTCTCGCCCACGATGTAGACGTTGATGCTAGATGTGCTGGCGGGAACAATGCTGGACACACAATCGTTGTAGAAGACTTCCCTACAGCAGATGGACCAAAGAAGCAGAAATTCGATTTCCACCTTCTTCCATCTGGTTTAGTCAACGAGAAATGCGTTGGTCTGATTGGAAACGGTGTCGTTGTACACGTACCTTCATTCTTCGATGAATTACAGCAACTTATAAATAAAGGCCTCAATTGCGCTGATAGGCTCTTTATCAGCGACAGAGCTCAACTTGTCTTTGATTTCCATCAAACCGTCGATGGCCTTAAAGAGGTCGAACTTGGCGGCTCCTCAATCGGTACAACTAAGAAGGGTATTGGTCCAGCTTACTCCTCTAAAGCTTCAAGATCCGGTTTGAGAATCCACCACCTCTACGATGATGACTTTGAGCACAAATTCCGTAAAATTGTTGAAGGCCGCTTCAAGCGTTATGGTCACTTTGAATATGACACTGAGGCTGAGATTAGACGTTATAAAGAACTCGCTAATCGTCTCCGTCCACATATCGTAGACGGTGTTGCTTTCATACATAACGCTTTCAAATCTAACAAAAAGGTCCTCGTCGAAGGTGCAAACGCACTCATGCTCGATATAGATTTTGGTACCTATCCTTTCGTTACTTCATCCTCAACTTCCATTGGCGGTGTTTGCACGGGTTTGGGAATCCCTCCTGGTCGTGTTGGTGAGGTGTATGGTGTCGTCAAAGCCTACACTACCAGAGTCGGTGGTGGTCCTTTCCCATCTGAACAACTCAACGACGTTGGTGTACATCTCCAAGAAGTTGGCGCTGAATACGGTGTCACTACAGGTAGAAGGAGACGTACCGGCTGGTTGGATTTGGTTGTGATGCAATACTCTAATGTAATCAACGGATATACTCAAATCAACATCACGAAGTTGGACGTCCTCGATCAGCTCAAGGAGGTAAAGATTGCCGTTGCTTACTACCTCAACGGAAAGAAATTGGATTCATTCCCAGCTGATCTTAAATTGCTTGAGAACGTTCAAGTTGAATATGCCACTCTTTCTGGATGGGAATCTGACATATCAAAATGTCGCACTTGGTTTGATTTACCAGAAAATGCTCGCAAGTATATCGAATTCATTGAACAGTACTTAGGTGTACCAGTCACATCTATCGGTGTTGGCCCGGGTAGATCTGATATGGTGTTGAAGGAAAAGTAAAGCAATTATTCAAAGAATTCAATCAAGGAACCAAAAAACAAAATAAAGAAATATTTCATACATTTTAATTCAATTTTTCTCAAGTAGTCGGCATAAATTAGGACATTTAGGACATATATAGATGACGCGGTTGAATTTGGTAGGGGATTTGAATCGGTAGAGTATGTCAGCCATACTCATCTTACTCATCATCCTCCTCGTCTTCGTTATACGATTTAACTTGCTTAGCTGCTCTTGCTGACCTTCTTGTTGGTGCTGACTCAGACTTGTCAGTCTTCTGTGCTTTTTGTGGTGACTCTTGCTCCGAAGCATCCGCTCCGCGCTTTTCAGCGTTATCTTCCAATTCCTCATCTGCAGGAGCGTCATCACCTGCTTGTGCAGCATCCGGTACGTCAGCAGCCTCTTCAGCAGCCAATTGTTCAGTATCATCTGCTTTATCGTCTGACTTGTCTTCTGCCTCGTCAGCTGGTTGTTCTTCTTTCTCTTCCTGGGCAGGTTCCTCATGACCGTTCTCTTGCTTGTCTTCAGCTGCAGGCGCATCTTCTTGCTTCTTTTCTTCTTCAGCAGAAGCAGGAGCATCTTCCTGCTTTTCGGCTTGCTTCTCTCCTTCTGCTGTACCATCCTCCCTCTTCTCATCATCTGCTGGCTTCTCCTTGTCTTCTTCAGCAGGTTTATCCTCTTTTTGGAGGTACTTGAGGACATCATGGCCCCAGTTCTTCAAGCTGAGATACGATTTTGAGTGCTTAATTTCGTCTAAACTCTTTGACTCTAAAGAAGGCATTTCTCCTGCAATATGGCGGTTACAGTAAGCGACTACCTTTCTCATGTGCTCCAACATTCCCTCATCGTAGCTCTCAGGCTTTTTCTCTGGGTTCTTGGTGAGTATATCCACGATATGACGTCCACTGTGGATATTTGAATCGATGAAAGAGGCTAAATGGTTCATACGCACGAGTTGTGACCAACGGATTCATCTCCTTCGCCCCATCCAGCGTTTTTAGATTCTTCCGTATTAAGGAATGATTCTAATTCTTCTACAGTGATATTAACAATTTTGTTGAACTCTTCAATAACTTGTTCATTTGGTTTTGACATCTGCTAACATTTTAATTTGAAATCTCAATCTCAATCAAAATTTCTCACTTTTTCTTTTTCTTTTTCTTTGTTGGTGACGGTTGCAAGAAGAGACGCTGTCGTCGAAATTGCCTCAACCATGACGTAGTCGCCGATTCAAAATAAATGAAAAATTTTTAATTTCAATTAACTTAATATTAGAATACATGTCTATTAATACATTGTAATGTTATATCTAATCATATTATTATGTTATCATGACTTGATTTGGTATCTTCACTTGGTATCATCACTTTGATATCATCAACATTGCCCCTCAATATCATCACCTCGATATCAAACAGTCTTCCAGACTAGACATACTCCCTCTATCGCTTAATTTCATCCTATCTACCAACTCCGCCCCTTCTTCTTCCATACTCTCCTTCCTGATGTTGCTCCACTCCTCGTCCTGGGCTTGTGCAACACTTGCACCTACGTTACTACTACTGCTACTACTACTAATGCTCTGTACATCTTCATCATCTCCAAATGATCGCGGTGCATCCGCAACTGAGAAAATTTGCTGGGGTAACTCCCTCACCTCCCTCACAAACCTATCAAACTCTTCTCCATCTCTCACTACAAATCCTAGTAGCATCGATGGATCCATCTGATTCATGTTCATTTTGCGCGGTTTATCGCAAAAGTACGATGATATCGTTGATCCACTGTACGTATCTATGTACCACTTATCGCTTAACTCATCCAAATTAGGTATATCCTTTATAAACGATGACGATGACGATTCTGGTATTGTCTGAGGTACCGAATGGGAGGATGTCGATGGAAAATGTGAAAGTTTCTTCCAACCAACACTATCATCTTGTGAGCTTTGTGAGCTCGAAGACGGCAAACAATCCTCTATTTCCCCCTCCTCTCCTAGAGTAGCAGAAGATGATGACCTTCTCCTATTCTTGTTGGTCACTCCGCCCAACATCATCGACGTTTTCCTTCGCCTATGACCATTCTTGGATAGATGCTTTGTTGGTGTGGTGTTGGGTGTGCTCGGTGTACTTTTCGTGCCGGGTTGTTTGTCGGATGTACTTGTACTACCAGATGTACTACCAGATGATGCACTGTTGCACCGCAGCAACGACTCTATCTCAGTTTTAAGCTCAGCTTCACTCGGCGGTACCCTTGTCGTCATTGCTGGCTTGATCATATGTGGATCTACGTAGAACAGAGAGTCTGATTGGTACCCAAAGAAATAGTAGCTGCTGCTCGGTCTGCCTCCTGCTATACCGACGCATGACTTGATCCTTAAGAATGCTTTGAGAGTTTCGTAGTAGCGTGGATGTACACCATCCAAACCTAATCGAATTCCAACAAGGATGAGGACAGGTTTGTGACCCCATTCTGTACTTGCACCTGACGCTTGATACACATCTGACTTGTAGATGACTGAATCAGATGCCACACTGACTGACAAATCAACATCGTGCTGGTTGTTGACGAGATGTCTGCAGTGTGTGATTAGGTGGGAGTGTGACATAACATTAAAGTGAGCTTCACCCACCTAATAGTGAGTGCAGCTGTGGATGGACCAAACCATTCTCCGATTTCCTTTCCCAAGCTTTTACCGACAACTGCCATGCGATGTACAGAGAATGGCGATAACGGTGAAGGACTGTCCATGAATAAAATGAGCAGACGTACCAGTCTAACGTATTCTTTTCGTTGAGAATAATCGGAAAGGTTCAAGTATTTTGATCTTCTCCAGTGCCTTCCTAGGGAAAGGATTTGAAGCGTGTTAGCGAGAAGTGATTGTGATGTTCTAAGCATGCATCCCCAGCCCTGATCTGAGTTATAGGTGCGCTCTCTCAACAGCCAATGGCTTGATTTGGGTGTTGGTGTTGGTGTTGGCGCGTGATTGGGTGTATGTCCATATGAATGGGTCGATAACCCATCTAAACCGAGATCCCTCATCATTGGATCATTTTGATTGATTTGAGTGAAATTTGAGCGATAAGTACACCAAATACGCGACTGAAAATCACTTAAAAACGATTCCTCTGTTTCGTATACTTCCCCTAGCACCCAGCTTACATCCTCAGCTGAAGTACCTTGATATCCGCTCCCACCAGAATCTAATAAATAATGCAAAGTCCTATCAATAGTGGAATGGCGCCTAAGCGAATTATTGACCCAGCTGCTCAACTTTGTACTCAATTTGCCTTCTTCTGGTGTTGATGTGTCCATGACTGTAGATTTAAACGATAAAAACACATAATTGAAATCAATTTATTTACATTTTTATTTAAATTACTTGCCATTCTTTACGCTGTCGCTTTTGGTGCATTCTCTGCGTTTTCTACATTTCCTGCAGCGTTCGTTCCCGGAAGTGGCTTGTTCGCTGGGAATAGTAAGACTTCTTTAATATTCGCAGAGTCTGTAAGCATCATTACGAGTCTGTCAATTCCACATCCCCATCCACCTGTTGGTGGTAATCCGTGCTCGAGTGCGTTTATGAATGTCTCATCAACATCTTGTGCCTCATCGTCACCAGCTGCCTTTTGATTCATCTGCTCCTTGAATGATTCCAATTGGCTGAATGGATCGTTTTGCTCAGTGTATGCATTGGCAATCTCCTTTGTCGCCACAAATACCTCAAATCTTTCTGTAAGTGATTGGTGCTTTCTGTCGCGTTTGGCGAGTGGTGACATGATCTTTGGATGACCAATGATGAACGATGGGTTGATACATTGTGACTCTATATACTCTCCTACCAGCTTGTCGAGAAGTCTGGCAGTCGTGCGTGGTGCTGAGCAATCAACGTTATTCTTAATACAGAGATCAGAGAGGAACTTGTTTGCCTCATCTGTCTCCAAATCTTCTGGGAATTTCACCTTGAGTTGAGTTTCCAATTCTTCGACCATATTGAATTTCTTCCATGGTGTGCTAAAGTCAATCTCATACTCCTTCTTACCTTCACCCTTTCCATCTGGGTGGTAGGTGACCTTGTAACCGCCAGTAATGTGCTTGACGAGACCAGAGTAGAGTGACTCAGTGAGGTCCATGAGATCATACATGTCAGCGTACGCCATATAGAACTCGGCAATGGTGAACTCAGGGTTGTGAGTCAAGTCGATACCCTCATTTCTGAAAACACGGCCAATTTCATAGACTCTATCTAAACCACCAACAACCAATTCCTTCAAGTAGAGCTCTGGAGCGACTCTCATGAACAAGTCCAATTTGAGATCGTTGTGGTGAGTGACGAATGGTTTGGCAGTGGCACCACCAGCAATCATGTTCATCATAGGTGTCTCAACTTCCAAGAAACCGAGGTTGTCTAAGAATCTACGGAGGTAGTTGATAATCTTTGCACGGGTGACAAAGACGTCCCTGACGTTTCTGTTGAGGATGAGATCGAGGTAACGCTTTCTGTAGCGCTGCTCTTGGTCCTTGAAACCGTAGTGCTCTTTAGGGAGTTGGTGAAGGTTTGGAGTGAGCAGTTGTACCTGCTTTGGGACAATTGAAAGTTCGCCTTTTTTGGTGCGTGCAGCGTAACCCTTGACGCCGACAATGTCACCTCTTGCAAGAATTTCGTGTGCCTGGGTGAAATCTTGACCGTCAGCTTCAGCGGCGTTTGCCATGATTTGAATTTTAGTGCCATCGCCGTGCAAGTCGTAGAAAATGAGCTTTGAAGAGCTGGCTCTGATGTTGTGCAACCTACCAGCGACGGTGACGACTTCCTCCTTGACAGATTCACCGTTTTGTACTCTGGAATCGTACTTGTTGATGAAACCACCGAGAGAAAGCTCAACGTGGAACTTGTGAGGGTAAGGATCCGGGTCCTTGGATTCCCTGAGCTTTTGAATTGCCCTGGAACGAATTTCGTAGTATTGCTGTGGGATTTGAGTTAGGTGGGTGGAATGGCACACAGACACCCACATTTGGTGACAGCTCAGCCTCCTCTTGCTTCTCCTTCTTCTCGCTCACAACAGGCTTTGGCTTGGATGCCTTCTTAGCTTCGGCGTCTCTAACCTTGATTCTTCTCTTGAGCTCTGTTTTTGAAATCATCTCACCGGTGACATCGTCCTTGTGGAGGTTTGCGCTTTCTGACATGCTCAATTGCCTGTTTATTAGATTTAAAGGTCTTTTTATTTGGGTGATGCGACGCAAGGCTGGGAGCATCAATTGAAGAATCAGACAAAATTTATTTTCGCTTTAAAATTGCAGTGGATTCGAGGGGCATGAGGAGTTTAATGGGTTTTGTAGTGTTTATTCGCTCATAATCCCAATACACACTCCCCTCACCTTTGTCATACATGGCAGATATAAATTAATCTCTATCGAGAGATGAACAGTGTTCTATGGTTGTACGGAACGTATGCTGTATATATGTGCTACTCATTTCACTTCAAATCCATTCTACGCGTATTCTTGTGCAATTTACCCTCTCAAACCCAATCCATCATGTCGGAAAATAATCGCAAAGACGGTGGGAATTTGGAATACATCTCAACAACCTCCTGACAATAATACACAGACAAGAAGAGCGACAAAGTGCCGATCAACCCGCTCAAAGCTATTCAACAACAACTCAGCAACAACGAAGATACCAATGGCCTCGACAAGGATAGCGTGAGGCAGCTACTCACCCAGATGAACATCTCTGAAGTTCTTGCTGGCTCTTCTGGCGTCGGCCAAGGCAACAAGAAGGACATGGGTCAACACAAATTCTGGAGCACACAGCCCGTCGCTCTCCCCCAAGAAGGCAGCCAAGACGGTCCCATCGATCCCACCGTCGACGTCGAAAAGTTCAGCAAAGTGCCTCTGCCGCTGCCCAAGGAGTACGAATGGGTTGACGTCGATCTTGACAATGCGCAAGAGGTCAGTGAAGTGTGTAGTGTGTTCACTCCCTCTGACACTCGTCGCAGCTCGAAGATGTCAGAGAACTTCTTTGTCTCAACTACGTCGAAGACGATGACGCTACACTGCGATTCAACTACTCTGCCGAATTCATCGCATGGGCACTCAAGCCACCGGGATATCAAAAGAGCTGGCATGTCGGTGTGCGTGTCGCTTCCGGTAAGCGCAAACTTGTAGCCTTCATAGGCGCCGTGCCTATGACTATCGACGTCAACAAGCGCACGCTAAACACATCCGAAGTCAATTTCCTCTGCGTGCACAAAAAGCTGCGCTCCAAGAGGCTCGCCCCGGTGCTCATTAAGGAGGTGACGCGCAGGTGCAATCTCAAAGGTGTCTATCAAGCAACTTACACGGGTGGAAATGTTCTCCCGGGTATCATATCCACCTGTCAGTACTTTCACAGACCGATCAACGTGCCGAAACTGGTAGACACGGGCTTCTCTCAGCCCCAGCCGGGCATGTCGATCGAGAAGATGGCCAAAGCTAGCGATATACCAGCCAATTCCCCAACCAGGCCGCAGCCGGAAGGTTTCAGGGAGATGGAAGAGAAGGACGTCGCCGGCGTCACTGCCCTCCTCAAAGCCTACCTGTCGAGATTCGAACTCGCCCCGATTTTCAGCCAAGAGGAGGTCAGACATACCTTCCTCAGCGGGCGCGGTGAGGGCGAGTACATTGACGGCAAGCCAATGAGAGAGAAGCAGGTGGTATGGGCTTATGTCGTCGAGGATCCACAGACCAAACTCATCACCGACTTTATCTCCTTTTACTCCCTTCCTAGCACCGTCGTCGGGAATGATAAGCATCCAATCCTTGACGCCGCTTACATGTTCTACTACGCTACAGAAAAGGCTTTGCCGGATGATTGGAGGTCGTCATCCACCACAGTCTTCCCGAGAAAACTAGAAGTGGCGAAGAGGTCAAGAGTAGGCGAGAGATTGAATAGACTCGTCGAAGCTATCCTGCGCGTGTCTAAGAGCACCGGCTTCGATGTGTTCAACACACTTACTTTAATGGAGAGCAACCACTTTATCAGCGATCAGAAGTTTAAGCCAGGCAGTGGCTTGCTCAACTACTACATATTCAACTGGAAGCTGTCTAAGCAGATCAATGGGGGTATTGGATCAGGAAGAGATTGCTCTGGAATCGCGTTGGTTATGTTGTGATGGGGGATTGTTTGGGAAGTATTTATGAGTGATCGGGAATGATTATATATGACCTTGTTAAGCGTTATTTTGTGTTATTTGTGTTAGTTGTGTTGCTGAGGATGTTTGCATCTTGTAAATGAAGTTTTTGCAGTATGTGTGTCTCAATTTTTTTTTTTAAGTCAAGGAAGCGTTATAAGAGATCCTGTGATAGCTGCAAATAATTGCTCTTTTAACCTTCATAATCAAAAGATGCCATAATTTTTCCACCATCACTGGCTCGTATCTCCTCTCACACATCCCCTACTCGGGAATCAGCACAATAAAAACTGTCAGATGAAGGTGTTTTCACATCCATCAAGGCTTACACCCGACATCATAGGCTAAACAAGCTGGAGGAAGTGGAGGAAATTGAAGAGATAGACACAAACGCAGATACTCACAAAAATTCTCAATCTGTAAACGTCATGGTCAGATTCGCCAGTGGAGGCAACTGATGAAGGCAGTTTATCTTTCAGGAACGTGTGGCATTAAAAAATCTCTCAATCTAGGTGCAGAAGCCCGAGCTAGATATGCTGAGGAAGGACGACGCATTGCATTGCGAGTCTAACAGCATATCAATCTAGAAATGCAAACAAATCGAGGGTGATATGAGGCAACTGCGTCTCGAGACAGAACAGCTCAACCAGAAGACTGACGTAATGAATGCGCAGTACAAAGCACTTGACAGCGAAAGAAGTGTGCTCAAAGCACTCATTGCTCTCTATAAAATTCGTTTCGACTGAATCAACACAACCGGGTCATCGTTTGTCTGCTGGACGGGACGTAACTTATGCCGTTACTGTCTTAATATACATTTCTTTACATGATTTCCTACGCGCCATTTCAAACTCTTCTCAAATTCCCCTCAGACACCTTACGGCACCCCTCAAACCTCACCGTTCCGCTGTGCTGTACCTGAAAGCACAACTTCCGCCATGCACCATGTAAAAAAGTCTCGATCTTCTTTCAAACTATGTCACTTTTTAGATTAGAAGATGTCGCGTTTGAGGTTCGTGGCAATTACTTTGCAGTGAGCCTGCATTTGAATGAGGCCTCCGACAGCATAGTAGGGGGTTCAGAAAACAGCAATCCACGTAACCGTTCCGAAAAGTTTAAGTTTTCTCTCTCCAAGAAGACGAGAAGGATGGCATTTGAGAAGCGTATCGAGCGGATGAAGTCTGACAAGGTGAAGGCTAGTGAGGACAGAATAGCGACTATTGAAGCTGAAGAGCTTGGTCTGAGAAGTCCTGAGCTGTATATGAGTATAATTAACTACGAGAGCTCTATTCTGCGCTCCTTCTACTCTAGCAGTGCATACATCACCGAGAAAACTAAGTTCGATCTAGGCAGTCCACTCGAGGACTTTGCGAGAAAATTAGAGAAAACATATAGGCCCGTAGCCAGCTCCAAGCAACTCATCATTGTTGTCGGCGACAGCATGATGAAGGGGAAGGTGGGGTTGTTTTGTTTCATGCGGTGCCTTGATTTCTGACTTGAAATCTATTTTAGGGACACGCCATCGTGAATTCCCTCATCGAGCGCAGTATTGATGTTGTCCTAGTCTCGAACGACTCGCATACCGTCAAGAAATGTTCCATCTGCCACTATAACCTCAAGAGCTGCTACTTACGGGCAGTAGATGATGATGCGAAGAGGAGAGAATTTAGCGTCGCCCCAAAAGAGGGCTATGAGTATGTGGAGCAGCTCAAGCTGTGCGACTCAAACCAATGCAAGGCGTATGCGGCCGCGCAGGTGGACCAAAACAACAGGGACAGAGCTTCGTCATCTAATGCCCTGTCGCCCTTTCACGATCTCCGTATTGTCAACGTCGACGTTAACTGCTATGTCAATCGCCTCGTATTATGGTCTAACAAATATAGACCTTTGTTTATGTGCAGCAATAGACGTCAGAGACATAAAATCAAGAGCCTCAAGAAAGCTGACAGAGATGCAGGTAGAGAATTTGAGAGAAAGCTCGAATGTTTCTTTGACTAATAGAATAACCTAACAACCTAATTACTTAATCATACTTATATTCCTTTGTAATTCCATTGCTATACTTTAATGCTGCATTGACTGCTGACTACTGAATGTTGTCGATTTAAATGCTAATTGCAGCCTTATACTCAAGACAAGTGCTTTTTGAGCAACGAGCTATTCTCACTCGAGGGCCACGGTTACGGCGTTTCACTCACAACTGCCACAAAACACTAGATCTCAAAGAAGTATAATAAAGGATTTTAAGATTAATCAGCTTATTTAGGCTTGGTTTATGCCTAATGTCTCTTCAATTCGCGTGTTTTATGACTGCATGACCATGATTGTGAAGCGTGCTTGGCGATAAGCAGAGCGTTTGCGTAAATGAAGGGCAGTTTTCAAGAGCAGCAATCCTAATTATAGCTGGCTTTATTAAACTTATAGGCTCACACGTGAAGTGACAGACTTTCAAGTCTAAGCCTGGATCAATAACGTTGATAAAGCGCTCATAGCTTGCTATTAGGGCGTAAATCTCTCTTTTTTTAAAAGAACTGTAAAGCATTCATGTTGATAATCAAGTTTATTAATTCTCCCGGGAGCGAAACAAAAAAGCTTACACAGGTGACTTTCATCTGACCCTGGCTAGAAGTCTAGTCTAGCTGCTCGACGCAATTCGAGATATATAGTAAAACAGCTAAGTGCGATGGCAGCACAGAAGCACATGAAATGACTAGTGGTATAACGAGGTACTTTCTCCATTCGATGATTGACCAGATTTGCTAGATGGAGTGAGAAGAAAGTTCAAACGGCGACAATGTTTTGACAGCCGTAAGCAATCCTAATTGCACTGTATGGTTAACACAGGCATATCCAGCGAACCACAAGCCGAAGGTAAAACGTCTTTTTGCATCAAGAGATAAAGACCCAAGATAAAAGATCTTTGATCAACTCGATCAAATTCCGATGATTTGCTGATTAAAATTGCGGAAATCATTTGGTGCAAGGTGTTTATTCGTGGCAGCAAAAAAAGACCAAGAGTTTCAAGAACCCAGACAGACGCAGGGGAGCTGAGAGAAAGCTCATACGCATATTTCAAGCGGTGGTTTTGCCTAAGAACCCAGAAATAACTTTAATATCTTTGTAAATCGATTCATACTCATATCCGCCCTAAATGGACATCTTCTCGGGGTTTCGATGGGGTCTTGATTTGTCAAATTATTCACGATGTTCTGCTAAAACTCAATTGTTTTACATCAACAAAAAAAGCTGTTAAATCCAGACAATCTCACTTCGATTAAACCACCCCTGTGTGTCGTATAGTTGCTTGGTTGCATCTGCAGGTAGAGCAAGCAATCCATATCGTCTAACTTGCTTGCTCAATGCATTGACTTCTCGCTCCTCAGCTCACTCTCTACACTAATCCTTCACTTCTCAAGATAGCTTGTTGCCTCCTTAGCTTCCGAAGAACTGGTACATTCTGCACTGCGATAGAGCGTACTAAAAATGCCGACTGCATGTGATAAAGCCCTTAATGCTCTTGATCCTGCTCACGCGCTCTATTTTCCCCTTCCAGCGCTCCGATCCATTGGAGAATATATCGGAGGAAATTCGGTTGCCTGCCGGTAGTCCTCTTGTAAATCGTAGGAGCCCCAGCACTTTTATAGCACCAGGTCTATGCTACAGCTTAATCTTTTACCTAACCACTTACGCACATGCCAACCCTAGTTTCTGCACCTACGCGAGAAAGGCGGACATTTCCAAATTCAGAGGGCGGCATACACAGGCTTTTTATCATTTGAATACCACTACCAGGCGAATTTCGTCACCTTATTGCACGGCTTTTCACTTCCTTTGTCTACTCCGGAAATTGCGGAGGAAATTGCGGACCAATGTGCCTGTCTTCCGCCAGATCAGATGTGTCAATCAATCATCTGAATGAATTAGATACGCCATTATTTATAGGCTGTCTTCTTCATCTTTGTTTTCTCTAATGTCGAAATTCACCGAAGACAAGAAACCATTCACCGAGGAAGATAAAAGGCGGTTCAACGGTGCCGCTGAGCACGTAGAGAACGTCGACAACAGCAACCCCAAATCAAAGAAGTTTGTTGACGTCGACGACAAGATCGTTATGGCAGAGGGGGAGGAGAAAGTGCGTCGTGTGTGCAATCACTACTTAGACTAACGTTGTTGCGTAGGTGACCTTATACATTGTCTTTGTCTGTGTGACGGCAGCCGTTGCAGGATTTATGGTGAGTGCCTTTCTTCACCGGTAGATCACCCTAACGACTCACAGTTCGGTTCGTACCTTCCCCATTCAACAGACCCATCTAACCCTGCGCAGGCTATGAGACTGGTATTATCGGTAGTATTACAGTCTCTATTGGTACGAGTTTGAATAACGAGCCCCTCTCCTCGAATCACAAAGGTTGGTAAAAATTTGCACTCAATGTGCTCACCTTGCCTTCACCGTATGCTCGAGCTAATGCATCTCACAGAGGTAGTCACAGCTATGACTACGGCAGGTGCATTCATTTGCTCCCTCTTCGCTGGTGCTCTGAGTGACAGGATTGGTCGCAAATGGGTACTCGTCATCAGTGATATCTGCTACTGTATTGGTACAGTAGTCTTTGGTGCGTCGTACTCGGTCGCTCAAGCCGCGGTTGGTCGCCTTATCTTGGGATTCGGGGTAGGGTTTTCCAGTTGTATTGGGCCACTTTTCATTAGTGAGATTTCCCCGCCTCAACTGCGCGGCACACTCGTCACTATCAACTCTGTCACAATCACATTGGGCCAAGTCATTGCGTACGGAATTGGTGCTGGTCTCATCAACTTCAATGATCCGGACAACTGGCGCATTATGCTGGTGATTGGCGCTGCGCCCGCAATATACCAGGCCATTGCTGTACATTACCTGCCGGAGTCGCCCCGTTATTTGCTCTCCCGGGAGCGCAACGAAGAAGCTTACACGTAGCTTGCTCGCGTATATCAGCAGGCTACACAAGAAGAGCTGGCTCTCAAATACGATGTAAGTAGCTTGGCTATTCGCCGCGCATACTCACACTGTGCAGATTCTCGTCGCCAACGTCGATGAAAGCGTACAGGTTAAGAGGGAAAACACTGTATGGCAGCTCTTCAAGTCACTGTTCACTATACCAAAGAACCTTAGGGCTCTGTCTCTCGCGATGACTTTACAGGCGTCAGTTCGATTTTTCATTCTGACTTTTTCTGACTTTCAAATTAAGCTCTCAACAGTTGAGCGATCTACCTTATCTTATCGCATAGCTGACTCAGGATAGATTGTCAGGTTTCAACGGATTGATGTATTTCGCGTAAGTAAATAGATCTAGTGAATAGCTTCGGTGAAAAGATTCTTGTGAAACTTTTCACCAGAATCTATTCTTTAGGATCATTTTCTCACATTCACAGCCCCACTCTCTTCCAGATGCTTGGATTCGAGAACTCGCCTCTAGGTGGCTTGATTATTGCTGCTGCTAATTTCGTCTTTACAAGCTTGGGCATGTTTTTAGTTGATAAGACAGGCCGTCGCCCTTTGGTAAGTCTAATGTCATGAACGCATTTGAACTCTATTAATTGTTCAAGATGGTGTATTTAAGTGCGCCAGGCGTTATCCTGGGTTGTGTGTGGGCGATTGTCTCACTTTACTATCTCACTAAAGACACCGGGTTCCAATTGGTTGAAGATCCTGCCGTCACATACGATTCTGGTAAGCAAGTCGCTGTAATTATTGGCTTTGTCGCCTACGTCGGGGCTTATGGTATTGGGTACGTGCCATTTGGAGAAAGAAGCAACAGGCTGACATCATTAAAGTTTGGGCCACTTACCGTGGACAATGAGCGAGCTGTTTCCCTTAGAAACCAGAGGTCTTGGAACTGGTATTGGCACCGCAACAAACTGGGCGTGCAACTTGATCATTTCAGAGTCTTATCTCTCCATGCAAAAGGGTATTACACCTTCGGGAACATTTGGTTTGTTCGCTGGCTTTGTCTTCTGCGGGTGGATGTACCTACTTTTTTGCTACCCAGAGACAGCTGGGCTTCACCTAGAAGATGTACAATCACTGCTTGCCGATGGTTTCAATGTCCGCGAATCTGTTCGACTACGCAAGAACAAGAGGAAAGCACTCAAGGGTCTCAAAGGAACCACTATCGTCGATGAAGAAGCAAAATAACTGGATAATCATGTATTTTTAGATTAACTACCTTTAAAGCTCTATATATGCCTCATCTCTATTCAATTTGTATGATTCATGACTGCAACACAATAATTATTTACGTTGTCATCATTTCTCAAAACAGATAAGGAGAGTGTCGGAGTTATCCTGTGAAAATCCGAACTCCGCTTAAAAATTTCAAATTGTGGTTAGACTCCGACACCGTACCCCGATTTTAGTTCTTAAGTGAAGTTGTCTCGGAGGTGTGACTGAGGTAAGGCTGAAAAGGACTATGATCGAAGGTGAGGAAGCGTGAGAAAGCAGGAGGTTCTACGAAAACACTTGGAGTCAACATGCACCCGTCCCATAACATTATACTTTAGAACACAGACATTTACCCAATTAAAGTCAAAGGCTCGATAAGAAAGCTCGTTAAACTGAGAAGGGCAAACTTTGTAAGTCTATCCGCCGCATTGAAACAGATAACAAGTTAGGACAACATCATTGTATCACCAATCGAATATTTCGTAGTCGTCTTCGAGCTCTGCAAAGAAGGTTCGAATATGTATATGCTGAAGAAATATGTCCTTGATTTCTCCTTTTTCTCTTTGCTTGGTTTGGATTTGGTTGTGAATTAAGCTCACTCTGTCATACCCTTGTGACAAAGGCAGCAGCATAGAAAAAAGTCAATATTGCTGAATTAAATGATTTGGTACAGATTATTGTTCATCTTTGATTCATTTAATGACAAAATTGCTTATATTTGGCCAAATTGAAGGGAAATATTAAGATGCTGGCGGCATCGTCACAAAAGCCATTCTATCGGAAAAATGCAAAACATTCATAATATAAAAAAGTTTATTTAAGCTTTGTACACAATTTCGTACAGAATTTTTGACAAAATTATCCAGAGATAGAAAGAAAATATGTACTACTGGTGACATCAGCAGTGTATTGCGACACAATCAATAGACTCTAAGCGGTGCTGCTCACGGTTTCGAAAATGTTCGCAGACATCGCATCACAATTGAGTGAAGCATTTGTGTTTTTCAATCTCATAATTTTTACTTGTCAGCCAGAATCATGGAAGTGAGAATTAAATTTTTACCATTATATCATCATCATAACGTTTGCCAAATGTGCATTGAAATTTTAGATTAGGAGACTAGAACTACGACTATTAAGATTGTAGTCTCAAGTTTCATCACATTGGAAACACCGGTCTAGCACCGCTAGTTAATAACATGAATGAACAATGAGATGTTAGAGGCGGTAATGCGCTTCTCATTACGACGAGCATAGATTGTGATGAAACTTGAATCACATCAAGTTTGCCTAGCAGTGCACTTGCAAAAGTAAAGGAAACACTTCCAAGGACATATGCAACAGTTGCATACATGTCTAAGCGTATAACGAGAGCTCTAAAGTACTTTCATAGCTGCAATGAATAACATCACACTAAGAAAGGCGTAGTTATATTCAGCTTGTGCTAGAGTTTTATTAATTGCTACCCCACATATACACCCAGATGAGGCAAATTGCAAGTCAACATGAGCAATCCAAATAGAAAAACATCAATCAATCCAATTCACACCTTTCTGATTAGATATACTTTCCTTACCCGTGGAACGCTTTGGTCAGCCGCGGTGATTTATCTTACTCGGTGAATGCTCGCATTCCCGTGTCAACCGCTTTTGCTTTGACTCGTCTCTCTTGTTAATCGATAAGTAGCGGCGGTAATTCACCTACGCAGCCTGAGAGAACTTCTCCTTCAATTTAGAAAGTGGGAAACGATGAGCCCGAAATGCCGACCATGTACTATCAAAGTGGGTGAGAAACGTACCCAACTAACAAGTACGCTAATGTAGCCAACCAGCTGAGTGATATCAGCTACATGGCTATGGGTAGCGTTTTGGGACATCACGTCAGACAGCCATATACTTACCTGATGGAGAACTGCAGGCGAGCTCTTTTAAATCACAAACGATGCCATCTCACTCAGTGGCAGAATTGGTAACAGAATTTGCATAATTGGTTTCTCGAGAGGTGGATATACCCGACGTTGCTTGGCTGGTATGTTGCTTGAAGTGGGATTTGCCTGCAAAATGAAATTCAAAGCAGGTTCAAGGTAGCTTATGACATGTACAAAAAGAACAGCAAATGTGTTTCGGATTAATTGAATCCCTTTAAATCCACCTCCGCCTTTGGGATATCTGGATATAAAGTGGAGCGGAGCATGAGATTTTGTATCTTCCGATGGATTCTACCCAAGAGAGTTGTTATTTGCAAACTTAAAATCACATTGTCTGTCGCTTGAGCCGAGGTGTGTATGGTAAAGTGAATGTGCTCACTTGCTTAACTTCCAAAGCACCGCGTTAAGTTTCGTACAAATCATTGGAATCAAGAACAAGAGAAGGAGAAACACTCGAACAAGGATCCATGGTTCACAACCGACAGAAGAAGCACGTCATCAAACTTCGAGCTCGAAGATGACGACAAAGGCAGTCAGCATAAGGAATAGGTCGATCCATGAGAAAAGATCGAGAAGATGAAACCAGCATTTTTCACTGAGTAGACGAGCTGCGTCAGCAAACTACCAAATCGCGTTTCAGCACTAAGCGTGTAGACCTGGACAGCATTAAAAGAAGTAATCTCCGAATCCACTATTTGTTGCAGCAAGTATAAAAGTTGCCTGTGCATCACGATTTCTATGCCAGCGATAACTTCAACTGATATTCAATCTAGCGCGGATATTTCCAGAGAGAGGGAAAGAAGAAAATATTTGAGTGAAATAACACGATACATGAAGAATATGTCAATAGAAATGAATAAATTGTGAAAATGAAATGCCAAAGATAGCGTGACGGACGCACGCCAGAGCAACAGAAGCGACAAGTGAAAAGGAAATGGCTTAGCTGTATAATAAAAGACCAAATTACTTGAAATAAATCAAAAAATTTGTTAAAGTAGAGCTTGAATTTCAGTAAAACCGCGTGCTTTAGCTCAACGACGACGAAAAAAGATAAATAAATTGAAAACGCAGGAAAACGCAGGAGAATGAGTGAACCACCAAATTCACCGAGCAGCAACCCGCGTAAAGACCCACAGCCAATAATCCAAGCACAAATAGTGTTTTTGGTGTCAACGATTACGGAGGACAACTTGGAGAGGAATTATTCTGAGATAAAGAGCGTGAGTGGGGAGTGGATGGAAGTAATGTACAATCTAACATAGCTACCTCAGCTCATCGAACAGCATGGACAAGATAACCAAATGTACTTTATACGCCGACTTCTACTCAGCTACATCAATCAGCTTAAAGGGATTGAGAACAATCCAACGCAGATTAAACTTTTACGATTTGAATTGATTAGATTAGGCGGTAGATTCCAGCTCAGTTTACACGTCAAGGATAGCTTGGATAACGAGCAATTTGAGGGAATTAATTTGGATGATCTGATAAGCAAATTAGAAATCCCACTCATTGAGTCTCTCGTCATCGTTACAGCTCTCCTCGACGCCCACTCTTCAAACTTGGTCGAGCAATCAAAGTTGATTCTCAATAGCTGGCTTGTCGATCAAGCTTCAAAGCAATTCATTATCGGCGCTGGTAGCTTCGTTGAGGATGACAACCCCGACTTGATCATACTCCTGATTACGCTCTTATCCAACAACAATCTCGATTTGACACATATACAGTCACTCACTCTAGCCTTCTCAACTAGGCTTAAATCTGCCTTGCCTGCTCTCATCGCAAACCGTGTCATTCCCTTCATCAACCTCACTCCTTCAAAAACTTTAGCCCATTTGTTGGTTGAGCTGTCGTCCACATTGGAATTGAGGACTTCAGTTAAGCTTGTTGAAGCTGCGTTTGTTAAATTTGGCTGGCCATCCACTCGCCAACAAAATGACTCTTTAGACCTCAGAGCTTCCGAGTTATTTTCTTGTCTCGGCCAATTAGGTATCATGTCAAATAACGTTGATATACCAACTATTATGAGCATTCTAAACAGCTACCCAACCAAACCCTCTTACAAACTCATCATTCGTGGCTTTGACTCTCCTAACAACCCCCCACCAACTCCAAACATTCTTGCAAACATTCTCCTCTCAGCTCCATCTTACCAAGTTAGTGAGGAATCTCCTTTGATGGGTTTAGTTGGCACTTGGGTTAATCCTTCTCTTCAAATTAGCGCAGTTGCGGGCTTGCTCTCACTTTCCAACGATCAAGTCTCTTTCGCTGCTCTTTCAGCGAAAAAAGCTATCACCGTGGATTTTGTCAATCATTCTAGCCCTGCTATCAAGGCAATGGCCGCTACCGTACAATCTTCTCTTTGGAACTGCATTGATGTGGTAGATATCGTCACTAAGCTTCAAGATCATGGTCCAGAACCAATCAATGTTTTGGCTCGTGATTTGTTAGAGACAGGATGCAGAACCCACGGTGAAATTATTCTTCTTGGTTTGGTTCAATTGCCTGTAGGTTTTCTATCATCATCTCCCTCCTCCGCTAATTATATTTCCAGAAACCATGGTCAAACTACCACCTTGAACTAATCACCCGTCTCCTTGCGCTATTTCTCGCTGGTAATCCTTCCCACCAGCTCGTTTTCCTTAGACTTTGGCAGATCGACCGTAACTTCCTACTCAGTGCCTTCAAGCAGTTCTATCAAGACAACAACATGAACGTCACCCGTATATTGGATGTTGCTCAAGATCTAAAGGTGACTTGCTCATTTAATTAGTTTGCAGCTACTGACGAGCTACAGATCCTCGACCAAGTGCTTGAAATCAAGCCAGTCACTTTCGCATTTGACTTGGCTGCACTCGCCAGTCGCAGAGAGTATCTAAACATGGAAAAGTGGCTACAGAACGGTGTCACTTTACATGTCATTTCTTTCTTTAGAGACGCTTTGAAATTCCTTGACTCCAAGGCAAAAGCTGAAGCGATCAAGCTTAACACTGGTGCTGTCAACAATCAACTTAATATCAACGTTCAAACGGTTGCCATTTTCTTAAGAGTCTTACGTGCAAACGCCGAAATCTTACCATTAGTGGCTGATGACATTGAGTATTACAAGGAAGTTCGCAACCTTTGCCTGCAATATTGGCCTCGCTTAATGAACCTCACCCCTCACTCTGAACAGGAGCCTGGATTATCAGTTACGACCTTCTCTCCAGACTTAGACAGGCAAGTGGAAGATTATTACCATCGTATGTACTCAGGCGAGCTGCGTGTGGATGAAGTTATCGTCTTCTTGGAGAAATGCAAGCAATCAACCAATTCACGTGATCATGAGTTGTTTGCAGCCATGATTCACACCGTTTTCGAGGAGTACAGGCATTATGAGACATACCCAGCAGCGGAATTGGCGCTTACTGGTATTCTCTTCGGTTCACTGATACAATTTCAGGTGATCGACTTTATTCCACTCGGTATTGCTATTAGATATGTCTTGACGGCGTTACAGTCGCTTCCAAACACCAACAGATTTAGGTTTGGTGTACAGGCTCTCTCACAATTCCAAAGACGTTTACCAGAGTGGCCTCAAGTTTGTCAAGCATTGCTAGCAATCAGACATCTAATCGAAACAATCCCTGACCTCGGCTTTTACCTAAGATTAGCTGTCGAGCACTCCAATGAAGTGAGAAGATCTCAAAGTGGCAACCCAATTGGTGGTTTAGATATTTCCTCCCCAGCCTCCAAGCTTTCGTTCAACACAGTCAAGCCAGACAACTTGGGACACGATGAAGCCGAAGATTACCCAGTTCCAGATGAAGAGACATCTGACAGAATTCTTTTCATTGTCAACAATCTTGCTCCAAACAACTTTTCATCAAAGTCGGGCGAGATGAGAGAAAGATTTAAGGCCGAATACTCTAGATGGTTCGCTCACTATCTGGTTCTGGAGCGTGTCAGTATCGAGCCAAACAACCATAACCTTTACATGCAATTTCTGGAATCTATTAATGAAAGCGAGCTTGTTCGTCATGTTCTTCGCGAGACTTATATCAAAGTTCGTGAGCTTCTCAATGAAGACAAGACGGTCAGCAACTCCACTGATCGTTCGCACTTGAAAAACCTCGGTTCGTGGTTGGGTGGCTTGACACTTGCCAAAGACAAGCCAATTCGCCATCGTAACATTTCATTTAAGGAGTTATTATTGGAAGGCTTTGATACAAACAAGTTAATTGTCGCTATTCCATTCGTTTGCAAAGTCTTGGAGCAATGTTCTCGTAGCAGAGTCTTTGTGCCACCAAATCCATGGTTGATGGCAGTTCTCAAGCTCCTTGTTGAACTCTACGTCGTTGCAGACCTCAAATTGAACTTAAAGTTTGAGATCGAGGTACTTTGCAAGAGTCTAGGTATCGAGATCAAGGACATTGAGCCAACGAACGTCGTCAAAAATCGCCCAGCAAAGGATGTCGCTCCCCACGCACCTACAGCTCCAGGTGCATCAGGTGCAAATGTCCTTACATCAGAATTGGAAAGATTACAGATGGCTGGTGCTTCAAACGATCGTGTCCAAGCAACCTTGTTGCAACAGCAAGCAGCAGCCGCAGCACAACAACAGCAACAATTACAATTACAACAACAAATCGCAGCAAATGGAAACGCCCAACAAAATGTTGCACCAGAGTCGCCATTACTTCAACACGAAGAGCGTACTCAACAAAACCTTGCACCAGAGTTGATCGCTGCAGTTCCAAACATTTCACAATACTTGGTCTTTGATTCATCGAACCCAATCTTCGCAAATAACGCACATTTACAGAGGATGATGCATATTGCTATTGATAGAGCTATTAAGGAAATCATTGCACCTGTTGTCGAGCGCTCAGTTACCATCGCTTCACTTTCTACAAGAGAGTTGATCGTCAAGGATTTCGCTATGGAGGGTGACGAAACCAAGATGCAAGCTGCTGCCCATTTGATGGCTCAAAATTTGGCTGGTAATCTCTCACTTGTTACTTGCAAGGAGCCTCTGAGAATCAGCGTTGTCTCTCATTTCAGAAATGTTCTTCACCAATCAGGCCTCTCTGAACAATCAGTCCCAGAACCAACGGTCTACTCTGCTGTCAACGAGAACTTGGATGTTGCTTGCAAAGTGATTGAGAAAATTGCTATGCAAAGAGCTATCGTTGAAGTTGATGATCAACTGCTCGAAGGTTTCATTAGTCGTCGCAAGCATAGAGAGGTTTGTGATGAACTGATAGCAAAGTACACCCAGCTAACTCACGCACAGACAACCAATCAAGCATATTGGGACAATGCAGTCATCTCATCTGCACACTTCTCCAACAGCTTGCCAGACTTGTTACGCATAAAGCCAAATGGTTTGGATGCCCAGCAATTACAAGTCTATGAAGGATTTAACCGCAACAACTTCCCCCTCCAACCACAATCACAACCTGAAGTCGTCGAGACTATGCCTCCAACACCACAACGCGTCTCAGTTGATTCAAACGGTAATGCTGGGCTAATTAACCCTCAACAATCATACGAGCGTTTTAACCACTTGGTTGTTGAGCTTGAGAAGTCCATCATAAACTCTCAAGTGGATACATCAGACCTGTTACCACCAAACTCTGAATTGCGTCCATTAGTACAAGAAGTATCCATTCTCGCATACCAATCACAAAATTCTGAGGATATTTCCTTGTCTTTTGCTCAACGCATTGTCCAATTACTTTACCGTGCTGAGGGCAATTTGGGCAGAGAAGTTTATATCACTATACTTCAACATCTTTGCGAACTTTCAATGAAGGCAGCTAAAGAGGTGACTGCATGGTTAGTTCTCTCCGACGACGATAGAAAATTTAACGTCCCAGTCACACTCTATCTCGTTAAAGCGAGATTGATCCATGTGGAGGAACTTGATCTTACATTGTCTAGATCAATAATTAGAGATATGAGGCAATCAGCTATAGATTTCGCTGCTACTCTTATTAGAGAATCAATTCAAGATCAAATCGCATCGAGAAGCAACTTTACACACTGCTTAGAGGCTCTCACTATTGCAGCACAAAACAGCAAGACTTCAGATGCAATGACGAAGCTTCACCAGACTTTGAAGCACATTCAACCTGGCAATGTTGCTACACCAGTGCTCAACAGATTGACCAAAACTACGAATGACCAAGAGACCGCACTGAGACAACGACTTGCATTAAACTTTGCTGATTGGGTTAGGATTTATGGTATGACACCACAAGTAGAAAAAGCATTCATTCCATATATCTCCCAATTACAATCTCAAGGTATTCTCAAGGGCGAGGAGACGTCAACACTTTTCTTCAGAATCTGTGTTGAGTTAGGTGTCGAGTCATTCATCAAGCAGAAGAACGATGGTGTTGCAAACTTGAGCAACGCGTTCCAGCCAATCGATGCATTTGTCAAGTTGGTTGTGCTCATGATTAAGTACCACATGGACCACACAGGACTGAACCACGACCAAGCTAAACAGGTATATCTCAACAAAATTATCTCAATTACCAGCTTGGTAATTGCTCAATCTCACGAAGACTTGCAAGAAAATTTTGAGCAAAAGCCGTTCTACAGACTTTACTCAAGTCTTCTGATTGAGTTGTGGGGTATCAGACAAAGTCTTGGTGCTGTTGCGTACAAAGGCATAATGGTCACGATTAGTAACTCACTTGCCAACCTCCAACCAGCATACTTTCCAAGATTTGCGCATGGATGGGTTAGCTTGATTTCACATAGAAACTTCTTACCTGTGATACTTGCTCCTGAAAATCATGATGTGTGTAGGGTTTTAAAGAAGTTAACATTTAGCTGACGTGATTGCAGAACTGGATTGACTTCCACAGGTTGATGACGGCCTTGTTGAGATTTGTCAAGGCATTCACTTCCAAACCTCAATTCGAAATGTCTTCAAAGCAAATATACAGAGCTACGCAACGCATACTCTTGTTGTTGTTGCACGACTTTAGCGAATACTTGTCGGAGTACTACGGCGGCTTGATTGATGTTATACCATCATCTTGCACTCAGCTTCGCAATTTGATTCTTAGTGCATATCCAAGAAATGCAGCCACAAGCACATTGCCAGACCCATTCTTGCCAACAATTGACATTGAGGTGATGTCAGAAAGTCAAAACAATCCAACCATCTCCTCAGACTACATGTCAGTCATTATCAACAATGGTTTAAAGAATTTGGTGGACAAGCATATTGATGGAGGAGATGAGGAAGTTATTATTGGTGAGATTATTCAGAAGATTACTTTGGAGTCGGTTGGCAATGAGAATGAGAGCGATGAGTGGAAGTACAAGATCCCGGTGATCAATTCACTCGTTCTATTTATTGGTGTCGATGCAATCACTCGCTCACAAGCGGACATTGGTAGTGTCAAGTTTGATGGCGGTAGTGCGAATGTAAAATTGATCGAAACTTTGGTAAACAAGCTTGATCCAGAGGGTGAGCGGAAGGTTTTTTTTCTCCATTTTAAATCTAACAAAGTTAAATAGCTCGCTACTTGATACTCAGTGGTATTGCAAACCAGTTACGCTACCCATCGTCTCACACGTATTGGTTCAATAAACTTTGCTTGCAGATATTGGAAGAATCAGCCGGGGTAAACGAGAATGTAGTGGAAATACTGACAAGAGTGTTGCTTGAGCGCTTACTTGTTACCAAGCCACATCCATGGGGATTATTGTTGACATTCTTCAACATATTCACCAATCAGCAATTCAAGACATATCAAGCGAAATTCTCTACTTTGGCGCCAGAGTTTGCAACAATCTTTGATAGCGTTGAAAAGTCATTCGGTAAAGTTGCGGCTGTCGCAGCTGAATAAATATATTATTATTAACGATGACGCGTTTTAACGGTTACAGCATATACAATCTAATATATATCTACTCCCCCTATCATGAAGAATTATTATTCTAGCCATCTCTTCTCTTGTACAATTTTCTATAAATGAATTAGCATTGGATAAATGACAAAAGATTGAAAAGTCAGGTGAATATGGAAATGAATAAAAATACAGGTTAAACAAAGTCTAGGATAATTTACTCAGCTCCACCTTTGCTGGCTCGCTTACGTGCCTTTTTCTCCTCTTTGGTTTCACCACCTTCACTCTTGCGCTTTTTATCCTTCTTTTCTTTCTTTGGAGATTCTTGAGCTTCAGTCGATTCTTCTGCAACTTCAGACTTTCTCTTCTTCTTATCTTTCTTTTCCTTCTTCTTTTCGTCTGCATCGTCTTGGTCTAGGTTGTCCTCCTTGTTTTCCTTTTTAGCAGCTTTGGCGGCTTTCTTTGCGGCTTTCTCAGCAGCCTTTTTATCTTCCTCTGACTGCTTTGGTTTGGCATCTTCATCCATCTTTTCATCATCGCTATCTTCTTCATCTTCGAGATCCATATCGGCAGCAATAGCATCGAGAGCTTTCTTCATGACATCCGTGTTCTTTGAAGGAGCTTGACCGGATTCGTAGAATTGTAATCTTTCTTCAACTTGATTTTTGAGAGCTTCACCGAATTTAGTAGTTGGAGCATCACTGAAGCAATCAATTCTTGAAGCGATTGTAACTTTGTTAGCGAGGAATCTAGAAATTCTACCCTTATTCTTTGGAGCAGCTCTACCGATAGCAGAAGCGTGGTAAAGGAGACCATACTTTGGAGTGTTACCTTTAGTTTTAAGTGCTCTAAAGAGTGCTTTCTCTGCACCGAGAATTTGGACAGTTGATGCAGGGTACTTGGAGAGGTTTGTAAGGGAACCAGCGTGTGAGATGAGTCTTGCACCAACGAATTCACCTATGAGTGCAGATAAGTTTGGAGCTACGAGGTGCATTTTTTCGAGAAGGTAAGCGTGGAGGTTCTTCCTATATTGAGAAAGACCAACGACTCTATCAGCAAAGTTTTTAATGTTGATGAGATCGATTGGGGAAATATCAGTACCCATTGAAGATCTAGCAGCGTCGATTACGTTTCTAGCGCGAGTTTCATCGTCGTCGATGATTTCCATAAGTTGAGGAATGAGATCCTCGGTGAGAGTAGATTTATCACCGATCAACCTAGCACAGAGAGCGTATTGGTGGTTGTCTGGGACAATCTTAACCAATTCGGGGAAGTGCCAACCATACCACTCTCTTGCTCTCATGGAGAAAGTGTTAACATCTTTATCGAGTTGATCGACGAGTGCAATGGCTTGAATAATCATGTTATCAGATCTGTTAACGTTAAACTTGACCTTTGCACGCGAGTAAGAGTGACCGAGACCAAGTTGAGCTCTGAGGAGGTCGCCTTGAGAGAGACCATCGATGAGCTTCTCAGCGTGGATACGCACACCTCTAATGAGTTCCAAAGCCAAGTCAGAGACGTCACCTTCAATTTTCAATTGGGATTTGATGGAGGTGGCTAAGGCTTTATCGGAGACGGCCAAGACAACACCAGACTTGCTGCCGCCTTGTAAGTTTTGTTGAAGGAATGAGTTGAGCTGGTCGGTGAGTTCACCTAGAAAGAGTTAGAGGCGTGGAGTGAATGAAAATATTCACACCTTCAGAGATGGCGTTTGCGTTGTTTAAAGCCTCGGCAGCGTCAGTGAAAGGGTAAATGGAGATAATGTTGACCATCTTTGAGAAGTGATGGTAGTCGTTGATTTGATCTTGGACTTGCTTGGACTTATTGGCAACTTGGTCAATTGCGTTGCATTTCAATAATAAATAACCAGCACTGCTCTCAAACAGAATATGGCTTGGGGACATGGTTGCTGGTGTGCAAGGAGAAGACTCGATTTGAAAATTTATTCGATTGATAAAAATTATTTATTTCATTAGACAATTTATTCGATTGATAATAATAATATAACAATCAATCAATCCTTACATTCTCCTATTTTGTAAAATATTTAATTGCATTCCAACTTGGTCTCAATCAATCTCTTTAACGCGCCATCTGCACGCGTATCTAATGCCACTTCAAAAGCGTAGAAGATCTTCAAATGGCGATGTCAGATCATCTCCAATAGCCTCGTCTCTTCCACCGTCTTCGCCCCCACCGCCTTCCTCTCCGCCGCAAGATCCTTTCAGTGACGTTGACGACGACGACGTGGATGGTTTGCTCGGCGAGCCCGACGACGGCGAAGATCTATTCGGCGATGATATGACTGGCGATTACAATAACAACAATAACCTTGATTACTACGATCCTGATCAGATCGACGATGACCACTTTGACGCGTTAGATCCTTCCACCCGCAGAGCTGTTGAGGCTAAATTGGAGAGACGTGATCGTAAACAGGCTGGTCTTCACAACCCCAAATCTCGCGCTAAAATTCCTGCTTTCTTGCAATCAGACCATGACGACGATCCCGATAACAGATTGCTCGTACAGAGAAGACGTCGTCGCCACTACGATGAGCGTCCTGATGTCGACGACGTCGACAACGACGACGATGAAATTCCTCTCGAGAATCTTGGCGACGTCAAAGCTGCTTCTCTTAACGAATGGCTCAACGCTGACAACGTCAGGCGCAGCGTGGCCAAGTATTTCCGTAATTTCATCATGACCTATACTGATCAACACGGCTCCTCCGTCTATGGCCAGCGTATCAAATCCCTCGGTGAGCAGAACTCTGAATCCCTCGAAATCTCCTACCTCCACCTCCTCCAAGACAAGCCCATCCTCGCTTCCTTCCTCATCAACGCACCCCACGAAACCCTCAGAATCCTCGATGACGTCGCTCTCGACGCTATCCTACTCTACTACCCCGACTACGAGCGTATACACAGTGAAATCCACGTCCGCGTCACTGAATTGCCTACCGCCAAAACCCTGCGAGACCTCCGCCAAGCCGACCTCAACCAGCTCGTTCGTGTCTCTGGTGTCGTAACTCGTCGTTCAGGTGTCTTTCCTCAGCTCAAATACGTTCGTTTCAACTGCACTAAATGCACTACCACCCTTGGTCCTTTCTACCAGGATGGCAGCAAAGAGATAAAAATTTCCTTCTGTTCCAACTGCCAGAGCAAGGGTCCTTTCGTTGTCAACAGTGAGCAGACTGTCTACCGAAACTACCAAAAGATGACTCTGCAGGAGTCGCCGGGCAGTGTACCAGCCGGCCGACTCCCACGTCACCGTGAAGTTATCCTCCTATGGGACCTCATCGACAATGCAAAACCTGGTGAGGAGGTGGAAGTGACGGGGGTATACCGTAACAATTTCGACGCCTCCCTTAACACCAAGAATGGTTTTCCAGTATTTAGCACGATAATTGAGGCTAACTATGTAAACAAGCGGGAGGATGAGTTTGCTGCCTTCAGACTAACCGAGGAAGATGAGCGTGCAATTCGTCATTTAGCGCGGGATGAGCGGGTGCGCAAGCGAATCATCAAGTCAATAGCGCCATCTATATACGGTCATGACGATATTAAGACGGCTATAGCTTTAAGTTTATTCGGAGGAGTCAGCAAAGATGTCAACCGAAAGCATAGGATACGTGGTGACATTAATGTACTTCTGCTAGGTGATCCAGGTACAGCTAAATCGCAATTCCTCAAGTATGTTGAAAAGACAGCACATCGCGCCGTTTTCACAACGGGACAGGGTGCGTCGGCTGTGGGATTAACTGCGAGTGTGCGTAAGGATCCTATGACGCGTGAATGGACACTGGAGGGAGGTGCGTTGGTACTAGCCGATAAAGGTACCTGTCTTATCGATGAGTTCGACAAGATGAACGACGCTGATCGTACTTCTATCCATGAGGCAATGGAGCAGCAGAGCATCAGTATTAGCAAGGCGGGTATTGTTACTACTCTACAGGCACGCTGTGCCGTTATCGCCGCAGCTAATCCCTTGCGCGGTCGCTATAACCCTACTATACCTTTTGCTGCGAATGTGGAACTCACTGAACCTATTCTCTCACGTTTTGATGTGCTCTGCGTGGTAAAGGACACAGTCGACCCTATTGTAGATGAGATGCTCGCCAAGTTCGTAGTCGGTTCTCATCTACGCTCCCACCCAGATTTCGAAGCGGAAGTAGACGAGAATGATGTTGGTACAAGTGTGGATGCCGAGATTATTGATCAGGGTGTCTTGAAGAAGTATATAATGTTCGCTCGCGAGAGGTGTAAGCCTAAACTGCACCAACTTGATCAAGACAAGCTGGCGAGGTTATACGCTGACCTACGCAGGGAGAGTCTGGCTACAGGTTCGTTCCCCATCACCGTCCGTCATTTAGAAAGTATGATCCGTATGAGTGAGGCTGCTGCTCGTATGAGTCTACGTGAATTCGTTCGCGCTGACGATATCGATCTCGCTATTCAAGTCACTGTCGGCAGTTTCGTTAGTGCGCAGAAGACTTCTGTCAAAAAGACACTCGAGAGGGTGCGTTGTGCTTTATTTACTCTTCACACTTTTTGCTCACTACCTCTGACAGGGCCTGCGCAAATACGTTCACCAGGCTAAGGATTCAGAGGAACTACTTGCTTTCCTCCTGGGTCAGCTAGTCAAGGAGCGCGTGAGAACGTGGCGTGCACACCACCTCACCGATCCTGAGACTGTACATGTGCCTTTGAAGGACCTTGAGAATAGGGTGGGTCGGTGTGTGTATGGTGATTTCCGCTAACTTGTCTCCAGGCAAACGATGTGGAGGTGTACGATGTCTCCCCCTTCCTCTCTTCGAAGCTTTTTCTGGCGAATGGATACAGAGTCGTCGACGGCGCGGTTGAGAAGGTGTTCAGGACGCGTGACGAGTGAGTTTGTGTATATATACCAGAGGGCACACAAAACACACACCACACTGTAATATATTATACTCGAATGCACGTTACAACTATTTATATTACATCTACAGTCACTCACTCACTTCAAAACAGATGGTTCATCTCCCCACCGGCCAGTAATGGCCTGTGACTCCTCTCTCTCCACTTATTACTCGTATCGAGCATGTGCTTGTCAGTGAGAAAGAAGTAGTCGGCATAAAATCGGTCGTCGAGTTCCCAATTATCGGCGTTGAGGACGTCCTCGCCGTGTATAGTAGTGGAAGTGAGCAGCATGCGTATAACGCGCCGCACGTCTACTTTAGGGTTAGATTGAGAGGTTTTGGAGGTGTCTGTGGTGTGGTTGGCATGGCTAGCATGAGCCTGTGCGTGCTCGTGGCTACTGCTGCTACTGCTGCTACTGTCAGAGTTGAGTATAAGCTTATCGCGCAGACTGGCAAAGGGTATACCATCAATCAGGCTATCGTGTGGCACAGTGCGTTGGATGAGGGATGGCTTGAGTGACGGAGGAAGGTGGTAGCTCTGGTCAGCACGGAAGTTGTTGAGATTGTACTCTATCAGCTGGGCTGCCTGTACCATCTTGCTACTCGAGTAGTGTTTCAGACTACTTGCAAAGTTGTACAGCGTTGTCTCTTCCCCGTTTAACTTTGTGGAGACGTTAAATTCGGGGTCGTCGGATGACATCATTACGAAACAGTCGTTTTGGAAGTCTGTGCGGGGTTGGGTGGGCGTAGAGGAGGCATGGCTAGTGCTGAGGTTATCGTTGAGAAGGTGATTGAGGGCGTATGGGTGGGGCTGTGCCGGTGACTGTGCCTGTGCGCTCGTGTGTGTCTCTGGCTGCGCCTGCCGCTGAGCATGACTAACGGGACTAGCACTATCACTGCCATTCGACAGACTGTACCTGGGCCTCTTATTACCGATATCATTCTCATCACCTCTGCCACCACGCCTACTCCTATTCTGCATAAACATTTCAAATCCAACATCCACTTCGGGTTCAACGCGTGAGTAACTGAGTAAATTATCCATCTGGGCCGGTGTTAACCCCAACCCGTGCAAACTCGAGCCAGCGCCAGTGCCAACAAACGAGCTAAGAGAGTGTACCAGTGCTCGAAGTCTATTGTTCTCAGCGTATAATTCCCTTGCAACTCTAGTCATAAGCTGCGATTGCTGATCTGGGTCTCTCTCTAGAAACTCAATCCTCGCCTTGAGTTCGTCTTTCTCGCGCTGCTTCCTCTGCCTGAACTCACGCTGGGCCAGTCTATTCTGCTGCCTGCGCTGGTCCTCTTCGTCGACTTGGGTGGGTTTCGATGATGAAGGCATTCAAGTAACCTTGATAACTTACAATGAACAAGTCGGATTTATTCACTTTGGCCCATTTGCAAGACTCTCAATTACACTGGGACACCCGTAGCGATTGCACTGTCCACCGCAAACTCGGTCTCGTTGAAATGTTCTTTCATAAAATGTCGACGCTCCACCAAGGCAGAACTGATATCTTCTTTAAATTACCCATGTCTTTATCAAACCCTGACATTCTATTTAACGCTCTGCCCGCCTGGTCAAAACTTCACCAGCTTCATCCTTCCCTAAGTCTCACTGTGCAGGAAGGTGAAAATTTGCACTTCGTCTTAAACACAGACAATCTCTCCAGCGATCCTCTTACCACCCTGATTCACTCCTCTCACTCCCTCATTTATCAACATGACGTTGACGTTGATACTTGGATGCGCAACTACCTCTGGAACGGCCCTAGACGTTACCTCGACCACGCTCACCTCGCCAGGTTGTTTATCTTCCACAACACCCTCACTAACAACGTAGACCTCGTAATCGCAACTGCACACTCTATCTCTGACGGCACCTCCGTCGTCAGCCTCATGCACGACTTCCTCCGTCTCCTCACGAGTGATCTTCTCGACGAGTGCAATGTTCGCGCCGACCTCCCGACATTGGAAAATTTTCACTCTTTCACTCCCCACATCCACACCGTCGGCGATCTCACCCCGCTCAAGGTCACAAAGGAAGACATTCTATCTGCCCTCCCTGATGCGACGGAAGTGGGCTATCCGCCGCTGCCTAACTACGCACCCAAACGCACAACTCCCCTCCCCCGCCTCAGATGGTACTGGGCTATTAGGCGGGTGGTGAGTCAGGTGCGGAGCGACAAGTTGGATCGACTCACTACCCTTGAGTTCGTCGGTGGATACTCTCCTCAACAGCAACAATCTCTTCAGCCTCCCTGGGGTGCTCTGACCGATTGGATGCACTTCTCCCTCTCACGCGAGCAGACGGACGCCGTGGTGCGCTTCGCCAAGGCGTGTGCAGTAAAGATAGGTGGGTGCAGGGAGAAATTTGATGGTGAAGACAAATGATTGTGGCCAACGTGAAATGCTACATGTCTCACCTCTCACCTGTCAGTGTGAGTGCTATGTACCTGCTAACACACACCAGGACCACTCCTCTTTGCAGCGACCTCGATGGCTATTGCGAATGTGAACCACCGGCACAAGCAGCAGCACACGGGCGACACATGTCTCGTAGGCTTCCCCTTCTCGTTGCGGCCCTATCTACAAAGACGCACAGCGACGACGAGCAACGTATCTGTCCAGCTCGGTTTCGGTGGGATACAGCTACCGTCTACGCCGTGCACAAGTGATTCACCCACCTTTAAAAGGCGTTTCGCACACCGCGCGCAAACCGCTCAAACCCAGTTTGTCAATCTACTCACATCCCCAACTCTTTTACAAGATGCACACACCATGGCGCTCTCCCGCGCTGCTCATTTTGCACAGGGGGGTGATGGGTGGAAGGCGGTGAAAGAGAAGGGTGACGAGACACAGCATTCACAGCGAGGTAAAGGGACTGCTATCAACGCGTCGATGCTGGGTGTTATGAATGTTAAGCAGCTATACCAGGCTACAGATGGCGTCATCATGCTCGATCAATCTCCCTCACGATCTGCCCTACTTGGCGTCCGCTGCCGCTCTAACGAACTCCTCCTAGAGACTTTCTCCCTCGGTGGCCAACTTACCGTTAGTCTTGGTAAGGATGGTGTGCAGTGGGGTGATGAGTGTGTGCGCGAATATCTTGATGAATTTGAGCGGATTTTGAAGGCATTTTGAAGGCATTTTGAAGGGATTTTGAAGGGATTTTGAAGGGATTGTGAGTATGAGTATGAATATGAATATGAGTGCGTGGCATGCATTACATTGTTTACATGACTCTCCTATCCACTCTCACACTACACCCTTCCACAAACCACACGCGCCCTCTCCTCGAACGCATTCACCATCGCGTGGCTGACGCCGTCGAAGAAGGTGGATGACAGCGCCGCGTAGAGGGGGTTACTGAAGGCGTATTCGAGCTCAATAGCCAGGAGGGTGTGTGTATGCGAGTGCTGCGTGAATCGATAGCGCGTTTCGAGCGACTTGAACAGCGGTGTCTGAGAGCTAGCTCTAGCGGTGACGGTGTGGAACGGCTGCAGCGTCACTACACTCGTGTACCTCTCTTCGAAACCCTTGAACCCGACGCCCAGTTCTGCTTCGACGGTGGTGGTGGTGCTGAGTTTTGCGTCTTGTTCCTGGTTCTGCTTCCACTCCCGCTCCCGCTCCCGCTCCCCGCTACCCAAGACACGGGAATGCGTGCAGTGCGGCACAAACTTGCTGTACCTGCCAACATCCGCCACCATCCTCCATAAATCACGCTGCGCATACGGCAATAGCCTCTCCTCGGTGTATGTCGCTGGCGGGCTAGTGCTGGAGAAATCGGGGAGCGTGATGAACGCTCTGCTGCGCGCGGGAGGTGTAGCATGACCAGCCACTCCCCGCAATCCTCGCAATCCTCCCAGCATCATGATCGTTTCCGAGTAAGAAGACACCACCACAACAACCACAACCACCACGATGCCTTCTCTCCATCTCGGCAGCAAAGCACCCGATTTCACAGCCGACACTACCCACGGACGTATCCACCTGCACGAGTACATCGGCAACAGCTGGACAATGCTCTTCAGCCATCCAGACGATTATACGCCAGTGTGCACGACAGAAATAGGTGCTTTGTCTAAAATAGCCACAGAGTTCACCGATAGACGCGTTAAATTGCTGGGTTTGTCCATCAACGACCTCGCCTCCCATCACGGCTGGATTGGAGACATAAACGAGCTATACGATACACAAGTACCCTTCCCGATAATCTCAGATGCGCAGAGAAACGTGGCGGGATTGTACGATATGCTCGACCAACTAGATGTTACTAATGTAGACACTCACGGTGCTCCACTCACAGTGCGCTCAGTCTTCGTCATCGATCCCACTCAGACGATTAGAATGATGCTCACCTACCCGGCTAGCACTGGCAGGAACTGGTCTGAGATACTCAGGGCAATTGACAGTCTCCAGCTGGGTGATAATTATCGCGTCACTACCCCCGCTAATTGGAACAAGGGCGATAGCGTCATCGTTCACCCATCACTCACCAACGACGACGCCGAAAAGTCATTTGGGAATTTGGATTATAAAAAACCTTATCTCAGAATGACACGCGATCCCTCCACCACGACATCTACTTGTACTCGATAAATTAATGCATGTACTGTTACAACTTTTTTTTCCTCTATTTTTCACTAACGACGACGCTTTTTGTCTATCAACGGCCTCAGGCAATCGTCACCATCTTCGTTGATCTCCCCCTGCGCTTTCCCACTGATACCCTTATTGAGAGCGTTAATGTCGAGCTCTTCAGGCGTCGCTTGGCGCGTTTTCTCCTTGTCCTTGTCCTTGGACTGTTGGCTCATGGCTTCCAGCCCATATCCCTTGTTTTTGCGTGAGCTGCTGCTTGCCCTGTCACTTTCACTCTTCCGCTTCTTTTTCTTGGGTGGTGGTTGAATGTCTTCTTTGTCTTTATCGTCTTTCTCCTTCTCTTTTTCCTCGCGCTCCTCTCTTTCCCTGTCTTTCTCCTTCTCCTTCTTCCTCTCCTTCTTCCGCTCGCGTTCGTCACTCGTGCGCTTCTTGCTCTTGCTGCTCTTCGACACGCTGGGAATGGGGACAACCGACGTGCTACGTCTGCTATCGCCCCTGCTGGTGCTCCTACGAGCAACGCCGCAATCTCGCAACGCCTTCTCGGTGTGCGAGTCAATCACTCCCACCCGTCTCACCGTATCGGTTAGGTCATCCGGGTAGGGTGGTTGCATATGTCCCAAGTAATCTATATGACCCTGTCGAGTGCGATTAGTTGGTGTGCTGCGTGACCATGTTCGTTTTACCCCCACTCACTGCTATTTTAGCCAGTCTTGTCACTAACTGCGCTTTATCCCGTGGTATCTGTTCGAGTTGGTTGAAATCTATGCTTTCATACTCCTCTTTGCTCCCATAAACAAGCTCACGCCACGCCTTTTCCGTGTGGCTGTCAATCACTCCCACTCGTCTCACTGTGTCGTAAAATGTGGGCGGTAGTGGTATCTTCATTGTACTCAAACTATTCATTATACCCTGTTAATCAGTTGAGTTGGCTAGGATTATATTGTCGACACACCCACAGCTATTTTACCTAAATGAACCACTAACTGTGGTTGATTGGTCGGTATCTTTTCGAGTTGACTGAGATCTATCCTGTTGTACTCTTCTATGCTGGAAGTATTAAGTTCTGAGTCTGCGTCACTTGAAGCGCTCAGGGAATGCTCTCTTTCTGGTACCCGTTCGGGCATTCTTTCAGGTGCACTTTTTGGTTTAGTTGTTGGTACTGTTGTCGTTGCTGTTGTTACTGGTGCTGCTGTCGCCGCCTTAATCGCGTCATTCTTTACCCGCTCCAGTAGGCTTTTCTCCTCCTCCTCCCTTTTTCTATTCTCTTCCTGTTGCTTTTTGTCTTCCTCTCGCCGCTTCTTGTCTTCCTCCTCCCTCTCTTGCATCCGCTTGCGCATTTCTGCCTGGAGCCTGTCGAGTTCCGCCTCTTTGCGCAGTGTCGATTCTTCTCTCTCTTTGACTCTCTTTAGTTCAAGATGGCGATCTTTGTCTCTCTTCTCGCGGTCGCGTTCTCTTTCCCTCTCAATCTCTCTTTCTCTGTCGCGGTAAATCAATCTGTATCTCTCCTTGTCTTTCTCCTTGTCTTTCTCCCTATCCTTCTCGCAAACCCTATCCTGCATACGTTTGCGCTGATCGTGTGTCCTATCGAGTGACTCTTTCTGCCTATCAGAGCGAAAGCTGTGCAGATGGTTGTTTTCGCGCCTACTTTTATCCATCATATGCAGCTCGTATTGCTTCGAAGGAGTTTCGTTGGGTAGAGGGGGTGAGGGGCTGCGCGGTTGTCTATTAATGGTTAGACCCTTGGGTGCGATAGGAGGTAAGGCAGTGTAGGGCTGTCTGTGAGCAAGTGCAGCAGGTTCAGCAGGTGCAGGGTGTGTGTTTCTGTTTGTCTTGGTATTCCCATTCCCTGCATAGCTATTTGCCCGAGGAGTGGGATTCGTTGGTACTTTGATCGGTTTCGCCGCGCGGCGAGTGTGGATTGGCAGCTCTGGACGCTGTGGGAGGAAAGGCGTGTGGTTTTGTTGAGGGGAGTTGTTGGAGTTGTTGCGGTAGTTGGTATTATTAGAGCTGCTTGAACGATCCAATTCACCCGATTGGAAAGTGGAATGTCTAAAGTTAGCTGGATTCGATGGGTAAGTTGGTGAGGTGGGAAATGAAGTGCTAGCGGTGTTTGAAGTGTTTTCAGGGCCAATTACACTATGATTAGGATTATTGTAAACGTGATCATCGTTACTAGTGGATAGATTTGGCAATTGTGCGTATTTGATAGCTTGAGTGACCTGGTGAACTTGGTGAGGGGAGAGCTGAGTGGGTGTGAGAGTGTGTGGCTGATCTGTTGATTGCTCTGTTGATTGCTCTGTTGGTTGCTCAACTGTTTGTTCAATTGGCTGTTCAATTGGCTGTTCAATTGGCTGCTCAATTGACTGCTCTTCACCGCTATCACCGCCACTCAAATCAATGACACCACCGTCACCGAAAGCCATCTGTTTATATCTCCAATCCACAGCGATACCATCAGGACGTCTAAGGGTATGTGAAATAAGTTTATTCTCCTTAACCATTCTTTCCCTTAATTTCTGCTCAATGGCTTGTTTAGTCGATTGTGTTGAGTTTTGTGGCCATAGTTCACAATCTGTGCCTGTGTTCTGTCCTGCGTTAACATTCTCTTCCACAACTGCGCTTTCCACCGGCTCCTCCTTGGCTTCTAATTTCACAGGTAAATGAGGCCATGGGCGGGACATTCGTGGTAGTTATCAAGATGTCTGTATATCATAGTAATATCTATCTTTACAAAATTTTCGTCTTTTATAAGCTCTACATCTGCAACCCAAGTCAGATAAATCTCTTTGTCTATCTCCTGCCCAGCCATTAAATAATTATCAGACGTAGAATTATTGAGCTCAAAGTATTAAATTACTCGCATTCATTAAATCAGTTTTTTTTATTCTTGTCATCACAATATTACTTCATGTGCTGGGCATCAAAGGAGAATGCAATGCACTTACCCTAGCATATTTGAAGCTTCTTTCAAGTATTTTAATGTCACCAACTCTCGGCTCACACACCTACTCATGCCAAAGGACACGCAGCTGCACGATTCTTTTAAAGTTGGTTGTTTATCTACGAACGGACGTGGCAATTACCGGGAAACCTTTGATCCCAATAATCGTGGCATAATGTCCATCGATGGTTTTTGATCAAGTTGTTCAGATGTCAGACGCGTGTTATTTATACCTGTGAAAATTTAAAAGAAAAAATTAATTCATTTATTATTTACTATAAGCAAACACAGCTGCGAGTAGTACCAGTATTATACCAAACAACACGCCCACCACGACTCCCATCTTCATCCCGTTCTTCTCCCTATCAGCACCCCTGTTAACATCACTCATACCACCCAGGCTCACACTACTCAATGGCCCTTCCAATCCCGTGCGCTGTTTATCCTGTGGTGCAAAGAACCGCTGTGGTTTGAGCGCGTGATTATAACGAGGGTGCTGACGACTCTCTCTAGTGCTTTCTATTTCGGGTATCCATTCCATTTCATCATTATCCATTGTTTTATCTTGTTTTCCCTCTGTTTCCCCTTCTCCACGCTCATCCCTCGGCCGGAGTGATGCCTCGCCCTAATGAAAGTTATTGAGGTGAGCTACACCAATATAGCGCATGACCCACAAACACAGGCAACTTCTGCGACTTGAGCGTGTCCATATCCGCGGTGCCCAAGTTGCCCAAGGTGAGGGCATGGTGGAGATTATCTGCTGCTGCTGCTGCGTCTGTAGGCTGAGTAGACGGAGTATCTTTTGTACTGCTTGCAGCCACTCCAGCATATTCACTCCCTCCCCGCCCAACCGTCGACGACAGGTTAAGTTGGCGCATCCCGACGACGCTGATACGCGAGAGGGCGAAAGCCTGGACGACGACTTCGAAAAGTAGCAGGGTGAGTGGGGCGAAAGGGAGAGTGAGGTGTTTAGTTTGCCTGAGCGATACTTGTGACACCCCACTCTCACTCCTAACCTGCAGGCCCAGCGCCAGTGCGAGCACTAGACATGCCCGCTCGAGCCAGACGAGCAGCTGCACGCGTATCCACATCGCCCGCCCACGCACTACGACCCACCCGCTGCGCCGTCGCCGCTTCTGCGCTCGCCCCCACGACGGGTCCCAGCACGCGAACAGTAGCGTGAGTGGGATAGCGAGGGGGTGAGTGAGGGGGAGTGAGAGCGGTAGTGTATCTTGTGCATGTCCATACCCACACACATACCAGTGCTTATAAGCACACCAGTGCAAGCGCCAATACAGTGCATTGTTCAACACCCACGCCGCACCGCGCAGACACCACACAAGATACGAGTAACGTCCGACGGGGGAGTGGGAGCGTGAGTGTTTGAGGCTATTGTTATTGCTAGTGCTATTGTTATTGTTATTGTTATTGTTATTGTTATTGTTATTGTTATTGTTATTGCTATTGTTATTGCTATTCCGACCGCTACTACCACTCCCGCGACTACGCGCGAGCAGTCCACCCAAAGCAGCCGATTTAGCCTTATAATCGCGCTGTTGGATGATCTCATCGACCATGGCCTTACAAGGAGAGCAAAGCGGGGGATAACGGGTCTCAAGCGCGTGCCTATACCGCTGTAGCTGCGCATCGCCGTCGCACTCGTCCTGGTTGTTAGTGAGGAGAGTGTGCACGAGTGTCTGGTTAGTCGTGCACGTACGACAGAGGGGGCTGTCGCTCTCTCTCTCTCCGTTTGTGTGCGCATGTGTGTGTGCATCCGCCGTCACACCACGCCCTCGACCGCGGTAGCGCAGCTGGTGCTGCGTGGCGGCTGTCACGGGCGCGTATACATCCTGGACCTCCCCGTCCTCCCCGTAAGCGTTGTGTTGGTGGCACGAGGCGCATGTGAATGAGATTGCGTGTGCGTGTGGTGTATTGCTGTGATTTACCCGCCGTGGTGCACTTGCTCCGCAAAAGAAACACTTTATCTTGTCTTCTCCCCTCAGCGCTGATTGCAGCGATTGCAGCATGATGTCATCGATGGAAGAAATGGAAAAGTCGTTATTGGGGATTTGTGAGTGCAATACCAGGTATAAAAGTCACGAAAGGGCTTAGCAGAGTCCCAATTCTGCCTACGTAATAAATCATTTCCCCTTTCACTCACATAAGAATTTTTGCCATTTTAAATTTTTACACCTATAAAAAGGCACAACATGCCTCATCTTAACTTCCATGGCTTTTGACAGCTACACCTTTATGCTCAGTGGTAAAGCGTGTAGGATTCCTTTTACATCGAAAAGCTATAGTATTTGGCCAACTGGGCAAAGTTTATGTGAATCTGTCGCATTAGACGTAATCAGGAGGCGGACATGTATAATCATGTATAATCATGTACAATAATGTATATAAACTTTATAAATAATGAATTTTCACTAATAAAGAAATCGTGTGCATTATATTGTATAATGTTACATTTGTGATCACTATCCACTCCCAGCTAACTAGACAATCGAGAGAATAGGAATAGGTTGTTAGTTGCGCCGATTGCGATAGTATCTTCATGTGGATGCCAAGAACCGTGTAGAATCTTCTTGTTGAAATCGATGTTGTCGAGATTGATATCATCCTTCTTATTAAACGACTTTGCGCCTATTTTCTTTGCCTTGAATGCAGACTTGTCTGCTTGTAAGACTACGTCGTTGGTGTTGTCAGGATCGCTGTTATAGATGTGGAAGTAGTTGTCGTAAGAGCCTGTCATAACTTGATTACCGTCGCCTGAGAATGTACACTCAAACTTGTCGAAGATGCAATCATTTTCGTAAAGTTCACATAACTTTGTGCGGAGATGGTCGTGGATATTGATTGTTTTGACTGGCTTGTTATCCATTTTGAGATCCCATATTTTTAGTGTAAGGTAATCCCTAGAGAGAATATACCTGCCATCTTTAGAAAACTTGACATCAGATATGGAAGAGATTATTTCTGAGAAGAAGGATTTGTTTGAAGGATCCTCTTCCTCCTCATACAACTTTGCATGTCGGTCGCACAAAGCCTGATCTCTCATGTCGGCCAATTTGATAGTACCCTTGCTAGAAGAGTACATGAAGAGATTGCAGTGGATCGGGTGGAAGTCAGCAGCAGTTATAACCTCAGTTAAATCTTCCATGCTGTTTGGTTTGATGTCGACTATGTTAAAAGACTGATCAGAGATACCCAAGTTCCATAGGTTGATTCTGAGGTCGTCGGCGGATAAGTAAGATTCCCCGTCACTGTTTATTGCGATAGAGTTTATATGATAAGCGTGTGCATTAGCGTAGACTTTGCGGGGAACAGCAGCGACGATGGTGTCATGATGAGACATTCTCGGTAGCCTGAGGGACTTGGTGGTGGATGGATGAGGAGGCTGCGTGATCTTTGGGAGATTGAGAGACGAGGGTGGGGAAGGGTGACTGGCGCTGAGGTTGTTCTCTGAGACAACCTTGAGTGATTTTTCAAATACCTTCCAAAGCTTGATAGTTTTGTCATTTGTGGATAAGAGGAAGTGGCTATTATTCTGCCTCTTGCACCAGTTAATCTTGTTAATCTTCTCCTCAATCTCCAAAGACTTCAAATAATCAAATTCTGGTTCGTGGGATTGAAATTCAGTATGAAATTTGTACTCGCAGCCTTTTTTCTGTGAATATAGCGATTAGAGTGATTGGAATGCCAGAGCACCCAACCCACAGATTCATTCCTTTCAAAGAGAACAACGCGGCCACCCTTGTCGCCCGTTGCGAGGTAGTCGCCTGTCTGGTCGAATTCCACTGTGGATATTATATCTGCTGTAGGGGAATCAGTCGGTGTCGGTGTGTACGCCTACAACAACGAACCCTCTGTAACTTCCTCCACGTCTCCCTGCGAAATATAAACATGGATCCACTTGCATTTTTATAATGCCCACCTTATCCCCAAAGCACTGTGCAAATCTCCAATTGGAATCCATTTCACGCGTAACAGACTAGATGACGGTGACCAATCAAGAATGAATTTAGTTATTTATTTTAAAATACAAAATAAATCAAGCCAGAAAGCGCGAGTAGGAGTAGATGGGATATACCACTCTTATTTCCCTCGCTTCCCCCATCTTGTGCGCCTTCCACCTCTGTAATTCCACCACTAAACGTCTTCACGCTACGTATCTCGAAATACGCGTTATCGTAGTTTGATGGATCTGGCACTAATGATGCACACTTGTCGTCGTGGTTGGCGTTATACGTCTCACCCGCCCAAAGTCCACAGAGTGTAATATCCATCACTAAATTCTGTTCCTCGAAGTATTCCCTTGGATTACAGCTGCTAGCTGGATAATACGCCATAGGACTTCCTAAATCACCATTATGTGGATCTGGTAGTCGTTCTTAATGCTTTCTGGTATTTCTGCTCTGCTCCAAAACCACATTTGAATACCCTTACCATCCCAACTCATAGCCATAACACCGCCGTCATTATCCGCGAACTGCTTACCGTAAGACCTGTTATCCTTTGATTCGTAAGAGCAGCCTTCATTTCCATTCTTGCGGTAGTAACAGTCTGTGCTCATTACTTGGCCAGTGTAGTCAACGTCAGTGGTGTTAGACTGGGTGCATCCCTCGCGCGTGTGCAACGCAACCCTATTACTCTCCTGTCCATTAACGCCTTCAAAGATATCAATCTCCCCGTCGTCATCTTGCTTTGAGAGATTGTTTAGTGTCCAGAATGCTCCCCAGCTGTTTTTCTCATTTTAGCAAACTGAAACATTTCCTATAAAAACTCCCACTCACACGCTTTCACCGTATGGGAGGTGTGATGCATCCATAACCACCATGCTTCCAATATCGAATGCATCTTTACTGACCAGCTTCACGCTATTACGTCCGAAGGAGGGATCGTCACTGCCATCTGTGAAGTTGTCGACGCGCATAATAGCATTACCTGCGTCATTAACATAGGTCAAGTTTTGCTTCTCTGCGTTTGGTTTGTCGAGGTAGTGTACATTCCCTTGTGTTGTATTATCGATAGCTGAGTAGTTGTAAACCCAATTATCAAAGAAGCTAGCTCCTTGATATGTATTTTGTAGGTTAAGTGTCATTTTTTCTACTTTTTGAGTGTTTCGAGATGAGTGCTGCGATATTCGCTGATTCAACAACGTATGAATAACCCAGCCCTCCTTCAGATGTGATGACGTTTGATCTATTTTAACATTCTTAAATAAAAATCAATAAGATGATAAATAATTACTCGCCCACCTACACTACTCGTTATACTCGATGTTTGATACCAATTTTCAGCTGTCTATATTTGATAATATGTGATAATATGTGTTTATGTGACTATATTTTCATCACAGTGGTGAGAATGCTTGGCCTGTAAACAATCCCGCGCAAATACATGTCAAATAAGTGTCTATAACATCCGACATTCGCCTACATTTGCCTACACTGGTTGTGAAGAAGATGTCACCATCCAATTCGAGTGCCAAGACGACTACCAACATGGACTTGTGCCACGGTGAGTTTGTTTAGAATGTCTAATAGCACACTCACTCCCATATTCACTCCAGTCGAGGTGCAGCTTACGCCAGAAGCTGACGTAGACTTCACCGAGGCGGCTGATGCGGTTTGTCGCGGGTTAGGAATGTTTCAAGTGGCTGTGGAAATACCGAGCGTACACAAATTCACTGATACAAGTAGCGGCGGAAATACCAGCCAGTTATCCACCCACTTATTGCAACATTTAAACAACGAATTACGCACCCAGATTGAGTTGGTGAGGTTCACAGACGATACACACACACTCACCCACACAAACCCACACACTCACTTCCAAGCACACGCATACCAGCTCTATAGCGATACCGCACTCGATCTGCACCACTTAACCGAGGACGATGAGCATGAGCACGACAACGACCAACTCTCCACCGAGAAAGCAGCTTCCGTCCTTGACTTGCCCAGTACTGCGACAGACGGGCTGTGGGATACGCTGGTGTATGACGAGGCGATCAAGCACAATCTGCTGCAATACATCAACACAACGCTACGTTTCTCAGCACACGATATTGATCCGCGAGTTATTGCGTGGAACCGGATAGTTCTGCTACACGGTCCACCTGGTACGGGCAAGACGAGTCTGGCGCAGGCCCTTGCGCATAAACTGAGCATACGTCTCAACACGCTCTATGTATCAGGTCGACTCGTCGAGATCAACGCCCACTCCCTCTTCTCCAAGTGGTTCTCCGAGTCGGGAAAACTCGTGCACGCGCTGTTCGAGATGATCAACAGGCTGTGCGACGACGACGCTGTCTTTGTCACCCTGCTCATCGATGAAGTCGAGTCGCTTACGGGCGCCCGCCAAGCTGCGGTCAACGGTAACGAACCTAGTGACGCTATCAGAGTCGTCAACGCCCTGCTCACCCAGATAGACAAACTTAAACAAAGGAAAAACGTTCTCATCATAGCTACCTCTAACATCACAGCTGCTATTGATGACGCTTTTGTTGATAGAGCTGACATTCAGCAGTATATCGGCAACCCCTCCACTAAAGCTATAGAAGTCATCTTGGGCAGTTGTCTGGCTGAGTTGTTTGAGAAAAACCTCCTCATCGACGACAACACTTCTCTCAACACTATCGCTGTTCTCTGCAAGAAGAAGGACGTCAGTGGTAGATTCCTGAGAAAATTGCCCCTCCTCGCTTTCGCACACACTAAGACAGAACTGCCCACCAAGAAGCTCATTATCGACGCTATGAAAACATGTATTGAGAATAAGTGATGATTATCAAGTTTAATTGTCTATGTATCGTGTGGATGTGAGCGAGCATATTTGATTTGAGTGGCTGAGGATGTGACTGGCGAGCAGTGACTGTCAAAGTCTTCACATCAGTCGCGCTTCTTGCTGCCTTGAGTTTTGTAGTCCTTGTTATCGTGCTTCGCTGCGTGAAATGTTAGCAGCGCTCATCGCAAACTAAGACATTCACATACAGTTTTTTCTCATTTTGGCGTCGTCGTTGCCGCCCTTCTTGCTATCGGTCTGCTGCTTCTGTGGCACAGGCCTCGCTTTGTTGCCGCCATCCGCCCCATCATCAACATCATCCTTCCTACCCTTACCGATGAAGCTTGTTGTGATCAACGTAGCCATCCTTCTTTCCGTCACTCTTGTCAAAATTGCGTGCATCGTTAGCCAGGACACCACTCACATTCCTCATACCGTGATAGCCGCGCTACTCCATCTGACGGTTGGTCGACAATATCGACAGTGGGGCTGCTTCTGCGAAGTATGCAGTGACGACGAGTACGAGCATTGCGATGGTTGCGTTGATTGCGATTGAGTATTTCAGTTGTGTGGTGTGTATGTAGTCTGTATGGAGTTGATACTTGCTACTGTTGAGCATTAAACCGCTTTTAAGCTCTTACAACACGTCCAAATCTCCTGAAAGTGCTGCTAGCTGGGCACTGCAAAGCTGTACAGACTTCTTACGAATATGAAGCGTGAAGGATGAAGATTTTCACAATTTCCAACACCTCAAACACCCCAAACACTCGACAGACCCAGACATTCAGGTATATGAGACAATTTAATGATACTACACAAATTTATGCAGGTGGTATTGTAACGATATAGTGATAATGTTATTACGGTGAGAGAGAACCATCGAGCTGGATTGCACAGCATTAGTCATTTTGAGTTTTCTTGTACAAATTCAAAACTCACATTCGCTCTCTGCATACCCAACCACGAGTGCTTTTGTGGTGGTCTGTCGCTCGCGGGTTCGTCGTCCATCATGCTCGCCACTTTGCTGTGGTTCAGGAACATTTCTTGGCGACGTTTGAGGTGTCTCTTCTTCATGTCGTCCATGGCGAGAGTGAGTGCGTGGACTTGCGACTCTGCTTTGTTAACCCGCTCGCTCAACTCCGTCTCTCTGCTGTGAGGTTTGTGCAGATCGCCCATCAGCGACGACATGTAGTCCTTGTCGCTCTCGGTCATGCCGCGGTTGTGTGCACTTGGTGTTAGTGGTTAGGAGCGCTTTTTTGCGTGTGTAGCTGGTCACACTCACCCTAATGAACCTTCATCTACCCTCTCCATCAACATCCTATTCATCTTCTCGAGCGTCTCCTTCTCGTGCTGCTCCATCCGCCTCACTGTCTCTTTCAGACTGTCGTTCTCTTTGCCCATCTCTAGCTTGTCTTCATCTACACTCTGCCTCAGCGAGTTTAGTATGTCTATCTGGTCCTTGGAAACGAGTGTCACTGCGGGGTTGGTAAGCGAGACACGCGTTAGGTCCACTTGGCTCACTATCAGATTTAGCTCGAGTCAGCTCCTCAGTAACTCCATTATGCACTGATTGCAGCTCCGCGAAGCTACTCTTAATCCTGTCGAGTTGATCCGTCGACTCGTTCAAGCGTTGTCGCAGTGCTGTGACGACTTCAGGGCTATTTGGAGTGTTAGACTGCACTGCGGTGGTGCGCACACTCACCCATCACCCGACCCTTCATCCATACCCCTCCTGATTTCGTCCATTTTTCTCTGCAGATCAAGCTTCTCAGTGAGTTCGCTCATCCAGTCAGCCTCGTAGCGCTCCTTCATCTTCTGGGTATCTGCAAGTACATTCTCGAGCACAAGAGCCCTATCAGGGTCGGTCCCTTTGTCGCTCCTCACCGACTCCAACTCCTTAACCAGCCTTCTTACTTGGAGTTTGAGATCTGTTGTCGAATTGTCGCTCAACTCCAGCTCCAAGTCATCGCTATTCTTTTCATGAGAATGTTGAGTCTGTTTGGATAGTATTTCGTGTGTATCAGCGTGTGTTTTATCCACCTCCATTTCCTTCAACTTCTCTTCTAGCAGATAGACATGCTCCGACGCCCTCAATTTCTCCTCCTCGAGAGCGCTGTGCGATAATCTCAATTGCGTGAGCTCATGTGACAGATGTTGATGTTCTTTCATGCGCTGCGCATGTCTATTCTCGAGATCGACAAACTGGGTCTTGTAGTTATCAGCGAGGCTTTTTGTCGCGTTGAGTTGCTTAGCGTTGGCTTCGAGCGACGCGTTGACATCCACAAGTCTGGCGTTCTGGTCCTCGAGCGATTTGAACTGTCTACGGAGGCTGGCCGACTCCTCCAGCTTCTGTTTGTACTTTTCGATGACATTTTCCGTTTTCTGCAATTGCGCCGCTGCGTGTTTGTTCTCTTCCAGCTGGTCACGCAGTGTAGATGTCTCGGCAGCTTTCGCTGAGAGATCGTCCATCTTTCTATGCAGATCTCTGATAGTCAAAGTGTGACGCTCGCTAGTCGCCTCAGACTCAGCGAGGGAGTCTTCCGACCTCTGCAGCTCGTCTTTGACTCTGACCAGCTCATTGCGAAGGGACTCTTCAGCGCGGCTTGAGATCGGAGACGGTTGGTGATCCACAGCTTCATCGCGCAGTCCAGCAAGCTCAGCGATGGTATCGTCATGCTCTGCTCGCAAAGAACGCATATCGTCTAGCAGTTGCTTGTACGCAGTCTCGATCGACTTCTTATCGTGGGTCAGTGCGGTGTGGGTGGAGAGAAGTGCGTAATAGTCCGAATTGTCGACAGTAGGCTCATCGAGTCTAGTCATGACTGGGGTGATTGCAAGCATCAGCCCCGCACCGACATCCTCACCGAGCTGACCTATGCCTTGAACTACAGAAGGTCCACCAGCGCCTTTAACGGCGGCAATGAGAGCATGCTTCACGAGCTGGACAACCTCATTCTCAGCCGCAGTTGAAGCAATTACACTTAGGTTGAGCGGTGGGAGGTTTGGGAGAAGACAAGTCAAGCTGGCTTGTAAGCGAGTGAGTGATTGTAATTTTGTAGTGAACGTGCTGTCTGTTTCCTTCTTCTGCGGCGCAGGGAATGCTTCTGGGTCACTGCATTTCTCGTTAGAGGACACACGCTGTGACATCACCACTAACACTTTGTTGAGAATCCTAGAAAGAACAAGTCCATCGGATAGTTGTGTTATCTCAGTCACAGAATTCCCATCCAGCACATCCTCGTAGCTGTTTATCCACGCAAGCAGCGATGAAGTCTCTTGAGAAGACATGGTTGTTGTCAACTAAGAAGGTTTAATAACCCACTCAAACCCATCTAAAGATATAATTTATCCATGCAAGAGAAAATGAAATATTAAGACATTTAGAGTTCATCGTGGTGATGGTCGCTGTGTCCACCTTCTTCATACAACTTTGAAGTTATCGAAGACACAAATGCTTGTACCTCCGAAAGCTTGTCTTCAATCTCTTGTGGTTCTGAGTATTGTCCTTGCTCTTGGATCCATGCTTCAGCATCCTTCAACTCTGATTGTAATGCTTGCTTGTCTTCCTTAGACAACTTTCCACCGTATCCTTCGCTGTCGTTGAGTTGACTTCTGACGGTTCCAATGAATCCGTCAAAGTTGTTGCGCAATTCTACCTTTGACTTTTGTGCCTCATCATCAGCAGCGAATTCTTCTGCTTCTTGGATCATTCTTTCAATGTCTTCTGGTGTTAATCTACCCTTCTCGTTCTTGATTTGGATTGACTCTGAACGACCAGATGCCTTATCTGCTGCAGTTGTCTTGAGAATACCATTAGCATCCAATTCGAATGTTACTTCAATTTGTGGTGATCCACGTGGTGCTGGTGGAATTCCAGTGAGTTCAAATTTACCGAGCAAGTTGTTGTCCTTGGTCATCGATCTTTCACCTTCATAAACTTGAATCAACACAGTTGGTTGGTTGTCTGCTGCAGTTGAGAAAATTTGTGATTTCTTGGTTGGCAACTGAGTGTTACGTGGAATGAGCTTGGTCATCACACCACCAGTTGTCTCAATACCGAGAGTAAGTGGGCAAACATCAATCAACAAGATATCGTCAGCTGATGATTCACCGGAGAGAACACCACCTTGAACAGCAGCACCGTATGCAACAGCCTCATCTGGGTTAATGCCCTTTGAGAGTTGCTTACCGTCAAAGAAGTCTTGGAGGAGTTGTTGAACCTTTGGAATACGGGTTGAACCACCAACGAGTACAATGTCGTCAACTTCAGTCTTGCTAACCTTTGCGTCCTTAAGAACTTGTTCAACTGGCTTTAAAGTCTTGCGGAAGAGGTCGTTGTTGATTTCCTCAAACTTGGCACGAGTGAGAGTCTCTACCATATCATCACCTTGGAAAAAGGCTTCGATTTCAACCTTTGTAGATGCTTGTGAGGAGAGTTGACGCTTTGCTTGTTCAACTGCACGCTTCAGTTTACCCATTGAGCGCTTGTTCTTTGAAGGGTCTTGGCCAGTCTTGTTCTTGTATTGCTTAACAAGGTAGTCTTGAACACGGTTGTCAAAGTCTTCACCACCAAGGTGAGTGTCACCAGCAGTAGACAAAACTTCAAAGACACCATCATCGATGGATAACAATGAGACATCGAAAGTACCACCACCCAAATCGAAGACGAGAATGCGAGATTCTTTGTCATCCTTCTTGTCGAGACCATAAGCGATTGCAGCGGCGGTTGGCTCATTGATGATACGGAGAACATTGAGACCAGAGATGGTACCAGCGTCCTTTGTAGCTTGACGTTGAGCGTCGTTAAAGTAGGCAGGAACAGTAACGACAGCGTGAGTAACAGAAGTACCGAGGTATTGCTCAGCAGTTTCCTTCATTTTACCGAGAACCATAGCTGAAATTTCTTCAGGTTGGAAAGACTTATCATCGCCCTTCCATTCAACCTCAATCGAAGGCTTGTTTTGCTTTGATTTGATTGAAAAAGGAAGGTGCTTTACGTCGCGTTTCATGTCTGGGTCATCCATTTTGCGACCGATGAAGCGCTTAGCGTCGAAAACAGTGTTTGTAGGGTTTTGAGAGTACTGGTTCTTTGCAGATTCACCGACGAGTCTTCCTTCGTCTGTGAAAGCGACCCACGATGGAGTAATACGGTTTCCTTGTTCATTAGCGATGATATCGACGCGGCCACCACGGAGAACACCGACAGCAGAGTAAGTGGTACCAAGATCAATACCGATAACAGTTCCTATGAGCCGTGTGAGCTGGATGATACAAAATACCAGCAAGACACTAACCATAATCATTCTCTTGTGCTTGTACGCTAGATAGGCATCCAAGGATTGCCAGGATTCCCACTAGGAGAAGGCTGAGCGTATGCCTGAAATTGATGTTCATTGTGGTATGAGTTTAAGATGTTTGCCAGCGTATCGCGCTACGTAGTACACACTGACACGTCACAAGTGTGTTATAAAATATAAAAATATTCAAATTTCTTTGTAAATGTTAAATGTTTATGTATTCCCTGTATGCTGTGATTCCAGCCTCTCAATCACGTCTACCTCGCCTTCGAGAAGCATCCCGGAAAATCTTCACTTTTGAAGGAATTTGATGGGAATCAAGAAGGTTTAGGATGTTCTGGTGCATGTAGCTGCTACCTAGGTATCTCCGCTCCTCACTCGCTTCCCCAGACAAATTTTTGAAACAACTCAAGTGGGTGGAGTTAGGTGGCGGTTAGATGGACAAAGAGCCACAACCAAAGACCTACAGAAACCCACAAAGACCGTCTATAGATATCCAATGGTCGTCAAAAATAAAATGAAAATTGGCACTTAATTTTTTCCAATCAGCGTCTTCGCCTCTTCAGTGAAAACCACCGGGACACCAATAAAGCCATGGCCTCTAAGATTCAACGCTCCGCTAACGCAGCACGCGTCCAACCAGACGAAATTGAATTATCAGTTGGTCAAGCTTTAATCGACCTCGGCAACAACGTCCCAGACCTCAAGGCCGAGCTCGCACCACTCACCATCTCCTCTGCTCGTGAGGTTGATGTAAAGGGCGGTAAGAAGGCTATTGTTGTCTTTGTTCCTGTTCCTCAAGTCAAGGCTTTCCACAAGGTTCAACAGCGCTTGACCCGTGAGCTCGAGAAGAAGTTCTCTGACCGTCACGTCGTCTTCGTTGCCCAACGCCGTATCCTCCCTAAGCCAACTCGCAACCAAAAGCAACCTCAACAAAGACCTCGTTCTCGTACTCTCACCGCTGTCCACGCAGCCATCCTCGAGGACATTGTCTTCCCTTCTGAGATTGTCGGTAAGCGTCTCCGTCAATCCACTGACGGCAGCAAGTTGATCAAGTGGTGAGTCCCCTCTTTGGATTTTTCGACCGTGTTTTCGTTTAATCGCTGGAGCGCGCTCGAGAATACCCTGATATTCTCCTGCAGAGCTCGCGTGCTAACTATGTAATCAGTTTCCTTGACCCTAAGGACTCACACATCCTCGAGCACAAGCTCACCTCCTTCGAATCCATCTACAAGCGTCTCGCTGGCAAGGATGTCGTCTTTGAGTTCCCAGCTCACGCTGACGTCTAATTGGACCTTGTATGAATGATGCATTTGAATTGCGTGGTACATACTCCTACTTGTAATACAGCTTGATTACCCCATCTGCACCTGCACTAGCAAGCAGCGTGCCGTCATTATTTACCGCTATTTCGTTGACACCCTCGCCGAACAGCTTCCTATGTCCACCACATTCTTGTACGCAAGCGTCATGCGCAACTCCAGGGCCATCAATTTGGCTGAATTTCTCTGTCGACCAGAACCTAACTGAGCAGTCATGGCTAGCGCTGGCGAGTACGTTTGAGTAGGGTTGCAACTTAATTGCAGTGCAGCTGTCTAGATGTGCCATCAGCGTCTCGATACGCTGTCCAGTGGACAGCAGCCACAATCTGATCCTGCCATCCTCGTGCGCACTAAACAGCCTATCGTCGTCCAGTACGACATTGTTGAATTGAGCATTCGCTTCTGTGTCTGCATCGTCCACTACTAGCTCTAAAAACGGCGTGCTGAGATTGGTGAGATCCATCACGATGGCTCTCTGGTCAGTCAATCCAACTGCCACCTTGATAGTTTCCTTCTCACTCCCACTCTCACTCTCTTCGTATAAATCGATCGTCGAACACGGCGTGTCGAGGTTGATAGTGTTTTCCAGCGCACCTGTCTCCTCATTCCAGATCTTCATCGTCGAGTCGCTGCTGACGCTGATGAGCTTGCCTGATTGTGTACACACGACTCCCCAAACAGCGTTTGTATGACCCTCGAAGATCCTCCCCGAGAGCGAATGGAGATCGATAACATCTCCATCCCGCTCCGTCAGTTTCCATTCGCGTATCGTGCTATCAATGCTGGCTGTATAAACTACCTTCTTCGTCTTAGAAGCGGCTATTGAAGTTATTGGTGCGGTGTGAGCGCGCAGATTGACACTGGGGAGTAGCACACTCTTGTCAGTGGAAGGTGGTACTCTCCAATACCTCAAAACCGTGTCATCTCCCCCTGTTATCATCATCGTCTCGTCCGCATTCAGCTTGATGAACACCACAGCGCGGATAGGATCAGTGTGGCTGGTTGTGTGTTAGTTTTGATAGCTCTCGCTTTTATCTACCTCCCCTCCTCCTTTAACCCACCTTCGCAGCGTCTTCCACCACTTCCATAATCCTGTTGACTTGATTGAGCTGTTCGAGCGCATGCTCTCGCTATCTACTTCATCTTCTACTGGCAGAGAAACTCAGTAACGCACAATCTTCATTTCATTCCACTCACCATTTTGTACGTCGATCAATGGAGCTACTTTCAACTGTAACTGCATTTAAATCGTGTCAGTCTGTGTCTCGAATGAAAAAAAAGCGACAATGCATGTCAAGTATATGTAGAATGTAGAATAGGTAAAGATTATTTAATGAGAAGGAGGTGCTGTAAAGCATTTGCTTTTCATTTACTTACATCTTCAGGGTGGTTTGCTGGTTCAACTGCTCCTTCCGTCTGAGGCTGGGTAGATTGCGCAGAATGCTCAGATTTCTCAGCCGCAGCTTCAGCTTTAGCTTCACTTGGAGCATCAGCATTCATTGGATCCTCAGGTTTAACCAGGTTTTCGTCTTCCAATTGCTCTTTGGAAACCTTGGCATCCTCATCAATGGTTTCATTCGTTTTTGTGGTATCCTTTTGGTCATTAGAGTGTGTGACTGGAGTGAAAGTAGCCTCAGCCTCAGGATTATCATCACCGTTTTGTTCTTCCTCTTTATCATTAGCGTCGTTATCTTGGTCAATGACAGTTTGGTCATCCTGATCATCTTCATCGTCATCATGCTCTTCGGGCTCAGTCTGCGTCTTGTGCATCTCTTGCGCCTTCTGATCGAATATGTTGCTAGCGATGACTGGAGGAGATGATGGTCCGGATGGAGTTGCAAGTTGAGCTCGTACACTCTCCTCGTTTTCGACAATTGGGTGTGATACTATTGGACCACCGCTACTCTCATCGATTGTAACTGAGTTGGATAAGCTGTTTGATAACTGCTGATTGATTTTTTCGGAGGAATTTGGTGACGTTGACTCCATTGGCACAGAATGTGGTAACTTCTCGATTTCCAATCCGTCTACGTCCTTGTATGGTCTACCCGTAAGTGGATTGAGAGTCGATGGATCAGTGAGGTAAGTGATTTCTTCAAGACACTGCTGCAAATACTGTCGACTTTTCGAGCGAGTTTTAGTGTCTTTAGCGTGATTGGATGATTTAAGCCACTGAGGGAGCGAAGAATTGTTGTGAGAGTGGTTAAGCAGAGTATTTGAAGAGGAGAGAGTAGGGCTGTCATCAGATTTCTGACTGTCATCGCCATCAAACTTTAAAGTGGCCTTTTTAGTTGGATGGATAGCTGATGCGTTTGTATTTGAAGTTGTGTTTGTGTTTGTATTTCCACCTCCACTTGCGTTCTTGTCATCGTTCGATTCCCCAGAGTTGGCTGATTTCGGAGAAGTGGAGCGTGGATTCGAGAGAGCAATAAACTTAGCTCTCTCCTGCCTCAAAGCGTATTCGAGCATTTTGACGCGTCGCAAAAGGTCAGATTTGACGTTGTCAGTAGCTCTCTTCTCGCCTTCAAGCAGAGCCAGTCTCGCTCTCATTTCTGCCCTTTCTATTTCCCATTCATTGCGATCTCTCTCATATCTGCTGGGAGTGAGACGTTACACATACGCTCGATAGACCACACGCACCTCCTCCATTCTGATTGCAAGTAGTGGAGTATATTTGCCAGGCTTAGATCGCTGGGCTCAGTCTGTTGCTGTGGCTGCGATGCTCTTGGTATGAGTTGCTGTGGGGGAAGATTGGAGTGCTGTGTCTGCTGCTGTTGTTGTTGTTGTTGTTGTTGTTGTTGTTGTTGTTGTTGTTGTTGTTGTTGTTGCTGTTGCTGTTGCTCGCCGTACTTTGGCTGCTTCTTCTTCACGTTGTAGTACTGCGGCGTGCGCCATACAACGGGATTCTCAGTTTGTGTCGCTGAGTTGTTCATGGGCGTGCTAGACAGAGAAGGGGATGGAGGGAAAGTGGGAGATTTGAAGCTGTAGTGGCTGTAATATCACTCCGAACACGCTTTAACCCGCTAAATGCGCTCCATCTCGCCGTTTCTGGTGTTTGTGCCAGCTCAGAGAGATTTGAGTGGAATTTGAGCGATATGAGGTAGAAAAGGGTGAGCTGGGTATTGAGAATAGCTGGAGTATTCAAGCATGCTATTTGGTACACAACACCGCTCACGATTCCTAGAATGTCGATAACATCATACGCAGGTCTACACACACACGCAGCGCAGACAGCAGAAAACAAGCCAAAGATTAGCAGAATACATTCATTTACACAGCTATCTCCCTCCTCAACTCACACAATATAAACACAAATTTTATTCTGGTAAAAGTCGTAAATCCTTCTTCGACTTCGCTAGCTGAAGGCCAAATTCTTTAGTGGGTGAAAATACCTGCGAGTAGTGCACAACTAATATAGCCGTTTAGAGTGAGATGAGTAAGGTTAGTTGAAGCCTTTTTTTAGCCTTGGAATGGCTCAATTGACGGTGCTCAATCCCAGGTTCAAAACCAAGGTGCGCAGTGAACTCGTTTACAGCTTTCTTTTTTACTCACTCTTCTTCCAGGTAACAAGTTCCGTATGACCCGTAAATATCCCCTTTTTCCCCTTTTTCCCGCTGATTCCCTCCAGTCGGTCTTCCAACTGGCGCTGTTCTCAACTGCGCTGACAACTCTGGTGCAAAGAACCTTTACGTCGTCGCCGTCTTCCACAGCGGTGCTCGTCTTAACCGTCTCCCTGCCGCCAGTGCCGGTGACATGATCATGGCTACCGTCAAGAAGGGTAAGCCTGAATTGCGTAAGAAGGTCATGCCTGCCGTCGTCGTCCGCCAACGTAAGCCTTGGAGAAGACGTGATGGTGTTTTCCTCTACTTTGAGGACAACGCCGGTGTCATCACCAACCCAAAGGGTGAAATGAAGGGTTCAGCTATCACTGGTCGTGGGTTTTATCCTAATTTACTTATATCTATCTCACAATCCTTTTACCAGCCGTCGCAAAGGAATGCGCTGACTTATGGCCACGTATCGCTTCTAACGCTGGTACTGTCGTTTAATTTAAGTCTCCTTCTTTGTTTTACTCATATGCACGATATACAAACAACTTGGTCCGGCTATTTGATGAGTGTGTTATGTGCCTCCCCATCCAAGCCTTCTATGAAAATCTTACTTCTCATCAAAATACTAATATGTATACATTACAACTGCAAGTAGCTCTCTAAAACTTGAATTTATCCTTCCTATTATCCTCTTTATCAGCTCTTCTCCTCTCATCTTTCTTCTGTCGCTTGCCATGTCCTTCTTGAAGTATATCTGTAAAGTCCTCAGCCCTATCAGCACCTGGGACATGCACTCTATTCCCACTACTCCGACTCTGCTCCTCGTAAGCCTGTTTTATCTGCTCATCCGACATTTTTGCCAGCTCTTCAGGATCAATGGCTAGTTGGACATCGCCCGATTTGCGCTTCTTTGAGCTTTCCTTGCCGAGCGTTGGCATGTCATACACCCTCTCTGATCCCATCAATCCATCCACTGCAGCCTGCCTCTCTGGAAGAACTTGATAAAGTTCTCTAGGCGTGTCATCACCTCTTGCACCCTTCCTTAAATCTGTGAAAGCGGGCGTCTCCAATCCAGCGCCTGGCGCAGTAGTAGCAACCGATGCCATACCAGATGGTGTCTCCATACCATCCATCTCCTCACCATCTTCGTCTGGCTGTATCTGATCTTGCTCCTGCTCCTCATCTTCCTCATCCTCATCTTCATCACTCTCTTCATCAGAAGACGACTGCTCCTCTTCAGATAATATCTCCCCCCAAAGACTCTTGTCAATATTGTCAACCGAATCAGGGTTGAATTTTGGAATAACACCAAAGACATCACCGTAGAGAGGGCGATTATACTCGTCAGTCGGTGGTTTGCCCCAACCACCAGGATGGAAGCCCCATTGAGCACCTTCAGGGATAGGATAGTTGAGACCCGGGATTTTGAGGTTGGGATAGCTAGGTGGTGGACCATATCTCTGCATAGCGATGAGCCATGGTGGGGGAGCGAGAGGTGGTATACTGAGTGCCTCCTTGAGCTCTGTGCTTATTTCACCGGGTTTTCTCTCCTTGACATAAGTTTCGAACTCTTTGCCTTCATAATACGTCTCGCCGTAGTCAGACATAGGCGGCTTGGTTTGGAACTTAAAGAAAGCTTCGTGGAGCTTCTGGTAATCGATGTCCATCTTGCCCATGCGAGGCTGGACACGTTGGCGTGTCTTCTGCTTGAGGGACATCTCAGCCTCACGCTCCTTCACTGCGTCCTGCTGTACGCCTATGCCAGTATCTGCAATATATGAGGGCAGCTGAAACGCGGGCTTCTCTATGCCCTTCTTGCCTTCGAGGAAACCACGCTTCTGGGCCCAGTGGGAGGGCACGGGGATTGTGTTTTTGTAGGATTTGAGGTGGATCAGTAGACGTGGATCACGCGATGTCGTGTCTACCGCTTCTACAATCTCAGGTTTGGATACTAGCGACTTGAGCTCTGCGACGGATAAACGGTTTATTCTGCGCTGCTTCTTCTTGGAGAGGTGCTCTTCTTCCTTTTTTAAATCCTCGTCATCGTCATCATCGCTGTAAAGCCATTCATTCTTTGCTGCTTCTTCCTGTGTTGTGTTGGTGAGTGTTGTTTATCATGTGGTTGCGTGAGTTCTTACAGGCTGTGTATCTTCTTGAGGCTGGAATTTAAGGAAGATCTGCTTGTATTCCTCTGGGATATTTTCAGTGTCTATGGATTCCTCTTGTGCGTCTTGTGGGTGTGGCTGTTCTGCTGATTCTGCTGATTCTGCCGCTGGTTCTGCCACCGCATCGTGTGCAACCGGTTCCTCCCCGCTTTTACTCTTCTTCTTTAATCTCTTTAGCTGATTCTTGCTGAGCTGCGACTTCTTCTTGTTTTCAACCGCAGAAGACATGAAGGTGGAAGAGAAGAGATGGGAGGAACAGCACTGCGTGTATACGTGTCTATATCAACGAAAACACTAAATAAAATCCACACGCCACCAGCCAGCCAGCCAGCCACTCCACTGTCCTCACCCGGAATTTTCGATCGTCGACGAATTTAGACTTATTCATACCAGTGGATAAATATCTCAATTTGATAAAACATATTTCCTTAAGCAGCACTATGATCATGAAAGCACTCACAGTATCCTCTTTGCTCAGCCTGGTCGCTGCACATGGCATCGTAAAGCGTGCGTTTATATTGCTCTCTCTGAGACACCTACTCAAATTCCCCGCAGAGGTAATACTCAACGACCAAACACATACAGGACCTTATCCAAACTACGGCGACGACTCGGAGATCAAATCTAAAGGCCCAATCCGTCAAGTAACCAACACGAAGCCAATTAAAGACATTTACTCACCTAATTTGTCTGTGAGTTGGAACTTTATATATGAAAATGATGGGATCCACTAACACAGGTCCAAGTGTGGTCGAGATTCAGTCCCCTCAGAATACAGTGCCCCAGTTGCTGCTGGTACTGACGTAGAGTTCATTTGGAATGGCGGTGAGGATGGTATTCCATGGCCACATAGTACTGGACCAATTATAACATACATGGGCAACTGCAACGGCGATTGTAAGAATGTTGATCCTACAACAATCGACTTTTTCAAAATCTCAGAGGATGATAAGAGACCAGATGGTATGTGGGAGCAGGCGACACTAAAGAATTTCAATACAGTCAAGGCAACAGTACCATGGGATATAGCATCAGGCAACTACATGATCAGACACGAAATAATAGCGCTACACGAAGCGAATATGGTTGGAGGATGCGAATTTTATCCATCATGCATCAATGTGCAGGTGCAAGGAGGCGGAGACGCGTATCCAAGCGATACAGTAAAATTCCCAGGTGGATACAATGAACAGGATCCAGGAATATATTTGCCAAATATGTATGATTCACAGCAAGGCGTAGGTAATAAATAGAGTGGAACGTATAAAGCTAATGAATAATTCACAGATAACAGATTATCAGCAGCCAGGGCCTGCGCTGTATGCTGCAAGCTAATTTCACTTCCTATTCATCGCCACAAATTAACTTGAAATACCTGTAAGAAAGATTAACTCACTTTTTACCACCGACTTTGAATATCTGTGAGCTAGAACGAATATATAAAACAAGACACAACTTACGCTTCTTTATGGCCTCTGCTTTCGCCTTATCGTAGGTCAGCCAGTACACAGCCACCAAAACAACCACCAACCTTCTCATCGGCTTTCTGCTTGTTCTTGAAAGCGACATCATCTTCATCCAAATCCTTCTTATCCTTCTTTGGTGCCTTCAGTGGCTTTGCTTTACCTGCTGCTCTTCCGCTCATTTGGACGTTAACAACCAACGATCATCACTTAGGCATGATGGAATTCCTTTCCAATAAATTCAAAAAATCAAACTCCAAAATTGATTTCAGACTATCTGCCAATGGGATAAACAGAATTAAATCGATATTGGTACACCCAGACGACGTCGATTACTGGTTTAAATTCATTGATTTGATTGAAAATGATGATGATCTTAATAGCTTATTAACCGTTAATGATATTCGCTTGTCTTTATCTGAAAATATTTTCACTTTGATACGTTATTTGGTGTCTCAATTGGATGGTACCACTACGAACCACGCTTTGAATATCCATAGAATCTTCTCCAAGCTCTTCCCCGTCTACTACGATTTAGGCTACTTACCTGCAATGTCTAATGCTATAGACTACAACTCCCTCCTCACCTCCTCCATCAAGTCTCTCTTCCGCCTCAACAACACTTACACCCTCTCGATCTGGGTTAAGGGCGTCGGCCTCTCATCTGACACCCCCAATGACAACAATCTCAACTCTCACAGAGCTCTCATTCTCTCTTCCATACTCGCCGTCTTGTCTCCACCCCTTTATTCCACTCCCCAGTCCATTCTACCCGTTCATGACCAACTCATAGGCTACCTCAATTCGTTAGACAGAAAAATTGTTTTGGTTTTACTTTCTTCTCTACTCAATACCTCGATATCCACTAAACAGCTCAATTATCTCCCACTCACTCCCATCCTATCAAAATTTTCACTCTTATCCATGGACTTGTTGCTTGTACTCATCTACAACTCATCCTCAACCTTTTCCAAGTCCCTATCTAAGCTGCACAGATCGATTGACTTTGATTTCATCCTAACACGCTCCTTGTCTATTATAGATGAGTCTTCCGCTCCCAATTATTCTCTCAAAGCTATATCCAAATCTCACTACATACAAAACCCAAATGTTCTTCAGCTTTGGCTCTTCTTATGGCGTCTCATCGATCTTAATCCGAAATTCAAACTATATCTCTCACATTCAAATCACTACTTATCTATATCAACCAGGTTGATTACGGCTTTGAACACACAGTCACATAATCAGAACTTACTCAGGCTTCTGGCCTCACTCCTTCATTCACTCAGTTTCGATCACAATTTCGGATCATCGCTCGACAACCCAATATCCCTCCAAGATGGCAATCATGGGCTTTCTGATTATTTGGTTAGTACTATATACAATCTAGTCACTAGCTCCATACATCCTGCCTCTTATGACAGTCTTTTGGCCGCATTGGCTAATTTGGGCGGGTACCTCAAGCATCTCTCGCAATTGTCGGCAGTCAGACTTGTATCCATTTATAGAGCGCTAGCTACGCCCCAGTTTCTGTTCGCAAACAAGGGCAATCCGCGCTATCTCTTCTATATCCTTGAAGCATTCAATGGCGTTATCCACCGTCAACTCAATGCAAACCCTTCACTCATCTATGCTTTATTGCTTAACAACGACTCATTCCAGTCACTAGCAAATTTAACTCTGCAGAAAGGTCTCAAGGTAGTACAAGGTAGTAGGGGAAATAGTCTTGATCACGAAAATCCTACGACATCCTCACCATCACAGGTTACATACCCGCCACAATCAATACCAAACGAAAATGAGATGTCTGAGAAAGCGAAAGGCAAACAAGCGGAACGTGTCTCTACATCCATTGATTCGAGTAGATTGCAAGAGAATAAAGTTAGTTTTGGAGGAGATGTTCCGAAAATGATCTGCGACTTTCACACTATCAAGATTAACGATACTCAATTTGAGCCGACAGAGGAGTGGGTGAGGAGCTGGGTAGTGAAATTGCCGCTAGACTCCATTCTCTTAGCTTCTACGGAGGTGGGTGTTTTGCTTCTCTCACTTCTATTCAAATCTGACTTGAACAGCTACTCCCTATCATTCGTAAAGAATCAGTGAGGTCGACAATTCTCTCAGAGTTGCGCAATGTCGACATATCCAAACAACTTGGCAATCAGTCTAAATTGCTAGATAGCTTCCACTGGACAGAAGCGCTGCTGGTGTGGCGTTTGATCACAATTTGGTCTGATATCTACATCAATGCCCTCCCCAATTGGTCATCCACTAGTGTAAAATTGTTTGGCGTCACTGTGAGTTCATCGGTTGTGATAATACAAGGGGTTAACAAAATTTCAGTACCAGAATGGATTACGACAGAGATTTGACAACAAAGTAAATAGTGTAGCTGACAACGTGGGGATAACGAGATTTCTACCATTCGATATTGGTGTTGGCGGGAAGCAGCGGAGTGGAGAATGAATGCGAAAACTTTTTGTAATGCCATTGTGAATACTTTTCATGTAATTTTTCTCTCCTTTTCTTTGTCTCCTCGCAAATTCTTATCTTTGAAATCCACTATTCTGGATTATTTGAAAAAAAGGAAAAAGATTAAATACCATTCAAAAATGGCGCAGATGCTTAAATTGAATGACAACGTGTACTACGAAATACTCAGTAACCTCAGATCGATCGATTTGATGAGATTGTCCATATCGTGCAGATCATTCCACAATTTGGTCAAGCGGCATCTGAGCTTCGTCGGTGAGGGATTTGGTTGAGATTTGAATAATTTGCACTCACTTATGCTTTACAGGCGCACACTGGGATCAATTCGATGTACAACGCGCTCCAGACTTCCCACCTTCTTCTCAATTACAACCGACGATAAATTCAAACGGCGACGATGACTTGAATAACCAGGCTGAAGAGCATCTGCCGGAGGTATTTCCACCTGCATTTGGTCACCATGTGCGTTTATTCCTCTAGTGCATATCATTACACTGATGACATATTTAGACTGCCGTTCAAATACGTAATTTCCTCTATTTGCCTTATTTGTGAGATTTCAGCAATCTCCAAGACCTCGCTAATCCCTTAAAGATCAGTTAATCCCTCCGTATACGTCCTCAACTTGACGACTAGACTATGGGATAGATATTTCCTCAGAATTGATAACCCAAACTATTCCCCAACCCAATCTTATCAGTGGCAACCGCTTATGGCTCCTGTTACCGCGTACAACGACGAAATTTATATTTTCGGGGGTACACTCCACCCCAAGCTGAGCTCGGATCACCCAACCCACGCCACAGCGGCTCTTGATGAAAGATCGACGGGTTCACTCTCTGACATTCTTTACAAGATAAACATCAAAGACTTGTCAATAGTAGAACTTGGAAACTCGAGGCAGCCAGATCGATATCTAAACAGGTTTAGTAAGCGTCCGAGGAAGAGAACGTCACATAGCAGTGAGAGCTATGAAGAGAGCACGTGGCCAACAGCACGCAGAGGCCATTCAATGGCATGTATTAGAGATTTTATCGTCTTGTTTGGCGGTATATGTGACAATACTGTTGGCGACAATGATGTTTTCGTGTATCACATCAAGCAAGATAGGTGGATTCAACCAGAGATAAAGGGAATAGCTCCAGACATGCGGTTTGGACATTCACAGACTGTCAAAGGTGATGATATTTTCTATTTCGGGGGTGCACAGGTGGATGATCCTGTCAATGTGATATTCGACGATCTTCATAAACTGACGTACAATGCTATAGAGGATAATTTCTACTGGAGCAACTACAAATCTCCAGAGGCTTACTCGCGAGCGAGACTCTTGAAGCTCAAAGCAAAAAGAAACATTCAACAGAGCATAGATGAAGATATGCATATTGACGACGGCAACCTCAATCGCAGATACACAGCTACATCTTCGGAAGGATCCATTGAAGATGTCATTACTACTACTGGTCAATCACCACGTGAGAGATTGGAAGCGACGATGATACTCGTAGGCAGTCACAAACTGGCCATCTTTGCAGGAGTGACTATAGTACCTGCGTGGCAATATGATGAAACATACGATGAATACTGTGTGGGTGTGGTTTAGTGTAGAGGACTTGAATTTAACGACCAGATATAGGCGTATAACACGGCAGCGATAGATGTGTTTGATTTTCGGCACAACCACTGGACTAGAATTAACGTAACTGGAAGCGGCTCGGCGGTCAACACATTCATCGTAGAGAGCTGCTGCGCTTATATTGCACCACCAGGGGTCAATGAAGAGCACTACGTGCAGCAGTCGACGGAAAATGAGGCATGGCAGTATATAGTAGTCGGACACAGACTGCATTGGAAGGATTTTCAAGTGAATAGATGTTCTAAAGATAGTCAGTCGCCGGGACATGAATTGATAGTTGACGGTGTGAACGATAATCTACTTAGATTCAAGCATGAGACTAAGAAAGATGAGAATATGAATGGTAGGAGTAACGGAGATCTGAAACTCGATATCGGCAAAACAATATCATCATCCAATTCGTCAATTTCTGAAGAAGGAGACAGGTACAGTGCAATATATGGACCGACAGCGGAGCATGTGAAGGCCGCAGCGGTGGGTACTGTCCAGAAGTCGCCGACGGATGTGCACAAATCGGGAAGTATGATATTGAGGAAGAAAGCAGATGCGAAAGAATCGTGGATGACTTTTTATAGTCGAGACAATCAGGTAATACTTGCATCGACGACGGCAATGTCGAAAGAGAGGGGAAATTATGATTCTCAGTCACCTGATGAGAGTCTCAAGACGGAATCGAGTGAGAGCGTGAACATGATGGAAAAAGGGCCAGGAGAAGGGACAGGAGAAGGAGCAGATGAAAATCCAGATGAAATGGTACATTCGTCTGGACATTCACATTTCCGTGACACAGGATTTCATTCAACGAAAAGCAGGGAGTCGTTTTATCTGACGACAGTAGGATTTGTCAAGTCTTTAGTGTTTAAGAGGTAATATGTGTACATTAATAAATAAAACATTTTCGCAGCTTATCAATTTGCTTTTGTGCGGTCATGGGTAAATCATCGAATAGCGCAATTTTGAGCTTTGATAAGGAGGCATTGGGGAGGAAGCGCCAGAACAAGACGAAGCAGGTGGATGAGATCGTATTCGATGAGGACAAGCGTAGGGAATATCTCACTGGGTTTAGAAAGAGGAAGCAGAAGCGTCTAAATGATAGGAGGGAAAAGGCGGTGGCGAGGGATAAGGAGGCCAAGAAGCAGGAAACCAAGGAGGTTAGTGGGGATGGGTGTGCGTTTTGACTCTAACAAATATCCTCGCAGCTCAGGGCTCATCGCAAAACTGAAGCTAAATCGAATTATGAAAATTACGAGTCTCAGTGGAAAACGCAAGAGGAGGAGGAAGATAACAAGGATAACAAGGAATCCAATAAGCAGCGCGATGACGCCTACGAAGATGATAAAACTTACGCCCAAGTTTCTGTTGTAGAAGATTTTAGCATGGATTGATTGATATTTCCCATCACTGTTCTCCCAGGCCAACCACCAACAACGAAAATTAAGTTTAAACGATTAGAATCGCTTTACATGCTATACAATGACGCTAGTAAATATTAGAAGGGACGTTGATGATAAATTTTACAGGTATAAAATGCCTCAGTTGGTTACAAAAATTGAAGGCAAGGGAAATGGCATAAAGACTGTAATTCCAAATATGTCAGACGTCGCAAAAGCCTTGGCTAGACCTCCAAACTATCCAACAAAGTTCTTTGGTTTCGAGTTGGGTGCTCAAACTACTTTGGACGATAAGAATGATCGGTATATCGTTAATGGTAGTCATCAGGTTGACAGGCTTAGGGAAGTCCTCGATTCCTTCATCGCTAAATTTGTTCTCTGTGGTTCTTGCAAAAACCCTGAAACGGAATTACAAATGTCTAAGAATGATGACATTATTAAGGATTGCAAAGCTTGCGGTAAACGCTCTGGTGTCGATAAGGTACATAAGCTTACCACTTACATTCAAAAGAATCCGCCTCCAAAGAAGAAGAAAGGTCAAGGCGCTCATGCTGAAGCTGCAAACAAGGCAACTGACGAAGTCGAACAAATGGAGAATGACGCTCAAACTCAAGATGATCTCACTGCTAGAATTAACGCTGAAGCTAAGGCTGTCCCCATTGCTGATAAGAAAGCTGACAATGAATGGAGTGTCGACACCTCAGAGGCAGCTGTCCAAGCTAGAGTTAATCAGTTATCTGAAGGTGTCACTACCATCCTCGGACAAGACGGCGCTAACTCTGATGAAGACGGTAACGATGCCCCTGAATCTCAGTTGGCTTTGTGGATTGAGGAGAAGCACGCCGAAGATCAAACCATCAATCCTGTTGATATCCTCAACAAGTCCAGAGATCTGAATATAGAACAAAAGCATAAAACTGTCCAAGTTGTCATCCAATCTGCTCTCACCCAAAACGCTTTCAAGGAGCTTGATGGTATTATTCCAGTCTTGGAACAAATGTGCAAGGATGGTTCTGAAAAGCATCAAAAGAGTATTCTCGGCGGTCTTGAGAGACTCGTTGGTCTCAACTACCCGGAACTTCTTCCTCAGCTTCCTAAACTGCTCATGAAGATCTATCAAGCTGATCTCCTGGAAGAGGAAGTCATTCAGCACTGGGGTACGCATGTTTCTAAAAAGTATGTCGATAAAGATGTCTCAAAGAAAGTCAGAGTTTCTGCCAAGCCATTTTTGAAGGTGAGTATCAGACATTACCTTGTTCACACATAGCTAACAAAAAACTCTAGTGGCTCGACGAGGCTGAGTCCGAAGATGAGAGTGATTAATTTATTTTGTAATTATCTGTCTTACGATTCCATTTCTTGCTTTAAGTATCTAAGTAAATTGCAAGCAGGGTTTAATGTTTGGGGGTGCAGCTACTGTCGCTATATTGACAAGACTTGTATACCAAAAGACTACTCGATGCCTGTAATCGCCGCCAAACATCACTAAAGTTGTCTTATCTATATCGACGCAATCCAATCAACATCAACCAAGTAGAGCACAATGCGCAGCTCTACCTACTAGGTTTTATCTCACGTCTGTCAATGGCTTCATTGCGACCCGATGATATATCACTAATGACCTAAGAGCGAAACCACATGGAAGTGTGGTGTTTGCATGTGAATTTCAGTTATTCAATAAATGCCTCTCATAGATACTGGTTATTCCACTGAGTTGAGTTGATTCAACTCACGCAACAAATGGCCAAGTAAGTGAGAAACCGAACGCAGAGATACGATATACTGACCAATTGAAGAAGATACCATTTCCAACATTTTCTTAGCATATCCAGCATTTTAAATACATCCACACATAATCCCTCCGTTCAATATCCACTGAGTTAGTTTTTTGACCACCACTGATCTCAAATGGCTGATTTACGAGTTTTGATGATCTCCAAATAAAGGATCTTGGCATGTAGCTCTGAATGGTTTCTATGAGGCGTCACCAGAAGCATATCTCTAAGCCTCTAATCGCGCACTGTAGGCCGTCCAGGATTTGCGGTCCGACATCGCTCTAGAGCACCCTGCAGATTAGGTATGGAGATTTCAGGAACTTCATCGATAGAAACAAACAATTTAAGCTGATGAAAACCGCAGTAGTCAAGAACTCAAAAATGCTGGCCCTTCTAGACGTGATTTACATTCTCCGACAAATAGCGTCCACAGGACACGATGGTGGCTACAGCGAAAAAAATTTATCACTCTGGACCATCGCACGGGTATAAAAGCAATTCATGCAAAGGAAAGTAGGGGTCAGCTTAATTCTGAAATCGATGGTTTGGATCGACCAAGTGCATTCCGAGATTCCAAAAAATAGGAGTGTGAAGGCGATTAAACTATTTTGTACCAAATTACGATCCCGAAACAATTTTACTTGGCTTAAAGTGACAACGCTCGCGCGAAGATTACAAATACCTTAATACTTCCAAAGAGCGTGAGCTTGATTACAAACCCTACTGGAATCCCTAAAGCTAGATTATTAAACCATCGTGGCCGTGCTAATGACATCATCGATGGACAGCTCCATCTTTGCCACAAGTTTCGATAACAGAGCTGTGAATAGAGCGAATTGTGTAAATTGTCAAAATTATCCCAGATATTTACTTTCAAATGCAATCATGCGCAAGCTGATGACTAATAAATCTATTACAAATCCAGTTTAATTACTTTCTCCCTCTACCATCAACAATCATGACTTTGACTTCACGCTTAGTTTTATACACAGCACACATTTGCCCCTTTGCGCATCGTGTAGAGGCTGCGCTGCTGCAAGCCGGTGCCAAGTTCGAGAAGGTGGAAATTGATTTAGAGAAGAAGCCAGAATGGTATCCTCAAATCAACCCAGCTTCCAAAGTTCCAGCGCTTGTTATAGACAAAGACAATCACCAGAAAGACATTTCTAAGATTCCAGAGAACGGAGTGTCGATCAATGAGAGCTTAGTTTTGTTGGAATTGGTTGCTGATCTCTATCCAGATGCACACCTCCTTCCTCATGGCTTGGTGAATGCTGTCAACCGGGCCAAAGTACGTCTGTTCATCGAAGCAGGCGGCTACTTCAACTCTCAATACTTTGCTTGGTTGTTCCGCGGCGAAAGTTCAACGAATATCTTGCAAGCTATTGACGCACTCCAAGCTCACCTTCCAGAAACCGGTTTCTTATTGGGAGACAACAAGCCAACAATTGGTGATTTAGCATTTGCACCATTCTTTGTCAGATTCAAGGACTTTGCTGAGAACGCAAAAGAAGATGTTTGCGATATCGCAGGCGCAAGGAGCGTGCTTGAGACACTCAAGACGGAGAAGTATCAAAAGTTCAACAGATACGTTACAGACTTGCTTGATTTGCCTTCTGTAAAGTCCACTACACCAAGCGTAAGTGGTTCGCTGCCACTTCCACTTTACTCACAGCACTACAGCCAGAATTAAATGTTGAGAAATTTACCAAGAAAATCAAGATAATGAGGGAATCTGTAGCATAATCTGACGACGACTGATTTAATTTGATTTGATTTGTGCCTAAATTGACAAAGCTATGAAAAAATAAACCAATTTTCCCACCATATCTTATCGTGGTTTCCGACTGTGATCCCCCATAAACCAGAAATTGAGGAAATCCGTGTGAGATTTCATGAAGGGTGTGCGAGTATGCCTCTTTATTAATTTACTATGTGTATTAGTCACATATGGCTTGGCTTACGGTAATACACAAGCAGAACTCAATCAGAGCTACAGCGTTGAGCTTGAGCAAGTCAATTTGCCGCTAAAGCTGACAAAGAACAGTGAAAAAGTCAATGAGTTCAAATTCTGGGGCGTCAATGTCTACGACAAGCGAAGTAGTATGGATCCATTCGATACCAATAACCCATCCATGCCTCGAGGGTGGGGGACTAATCATGCCAACGCATCCTACCACAAGAACAGTGAGCCACTTATTATTGGTATTAGTGTCGTACTCGCTTCCGTGATAGTCTTCACAATGTTCGGGACTATCGTGTGGAGGCGGCGGCGGAAATCCAAATCCCGAACTAAGCTTAAAAAGAGCGAGAGTGGTTTTGATGGCGATCAGGATGAGCCTAAAAGTACCACCTCGTTTGTCAGGAAGCGGAGGAACCCGCTCAAATACCTTAAACATAGGAAAGGCAGGAAAATACATCATGTGCCTTCTCTCCGTTCCATAATCAGCCCATCAATCAACAACAACAACGATAACGATAACGAGGAGGAGAGAGGCGAGTTACTCAGTCACGACACAGGGAGGAATCGAGCTAGCGAGGGTGATGATGACAACAGTCGGGGACTTGGGGGAGTTGAGCAAGCTGAGCAAGTCAACCAAGAGACTTTGACTCAAATTCAGCCACGTCAACGCAATGACGATAATGAAAATGAGCACCACGAGCACCACGAGCATCATGAATCGCCACCTCCATTCCCATTAGACCGCGACACAGACTCAGGCGCACTACCAGCTCTACCTCCGGCATACAGACCTAACTCGCAAAGACCGACAACATCAAGACGAGCACCGAGTACGACACGCCAAACGGAAAAGTCACGCTATATTAACAGTCGAGGCAATAACGATCTCGAGGAGCTGGAAGAAACGCCAGAACCAGCGACGAGTGATAGTGATAGTGAGAATGACAACAGTGCTCATCATCTCACTGCTCATATTGCAATTGATGATAAAGATCATTTGCGGAATCTACATATGGCTTCTTCATCGCCATTTGGAGATGACGAGCAACGGCGGCATGATGCATCAGTTCCAGTGGCTAATGTTGACGGTGATGGCTATGAGACTGTGGAAGAAGGGTTTTGGAAGCAGCCCGATCATGATAATTCCGATACCAAGAAGAAAGATTTAATGCCTAGTTTACCACTTCCTCCTACCGCATTTGAACCGACGTTCAGTCCATTTGATCTACCTTATTCTGATGTGAGTTGGTTTCGATGTGGTAAAGCTTTACTAATAAAATCTGCAGGAGTCGAATAACGATCATATTATACCACCTGCGCCGTCTGCACCGCCTCCTTCACACAACACTCGAACGATTGAAGCAAGTGCACCGCCACTTGAGACTGACGACGGCCATTCACAGTAATTTTACTAGCAAGGATATTTGTATAATTAGATAGATATTTGTATCATGAAGAGTGATATAGTATGTACAAACTGTACACAGAAAGGGTGAATGTATAGAAAGAGTGTTATGTTCCGAAATGTTTTGTCTAATGGAATTGGGCTTGTTTCACGATAGAATCGCGTTGAAATGAAATGTTAAAGCCTCAAAGTCGCTGCTGAGTGAGATGAATATCGTGTCTACTGATAACCTGCTTGATTATCTCCTCTTCAATTTCCTTATCGTGGGTATTTTCACCAATCTCGACAAAGTCCTCACTGAATTGACCATCCAGCTTCCTTTCAACCAGAGCTACTTTGTATTTTCTATTCTTAAGTTCATTAGCGATAACGAGATGATGCTCATACTTTTCGAGAGCACCAATAGCTTTAGGTATTAAGAGTGAATGTTCAGTTTCCAATTTAAAGCTGACAATGAAACCCTCCGGAGTCCAATCCTTAACGAGAGAACCGAGTATTTTGGGTGTTTGATCCATCTCTATCTGCAAGCTACCCTTTTGTGACTGAATTTTATGCTCGTAGATTTTCTGCGTTGGTATAAAGAAATCACTGACTGCAGCAGCGAGGTAATAGAGGGCGCTCTTTGAACAAGATTTCATAGCCATACTCACATCCCGCAACAAGAAAAGGTAATCGGCGATAGTGACGAATGGGAGACTAAATAATCTATCTTCGCAGACGACTTGATGGTGATTGCGGAGTATGTTGAACATTTCAGGTGTCTTGTTTCTGTTCACTGTGATTTCATCATCGGGGGATTCCGGTAGATTGAGTAGATCGAGGAAAGGGTTGGTGGTGTGACTGAAATGCTTAGTGTATGGCTGGAGAGAATGCTGGCGATGCATAAATATAACTGCATAGCGTGGATCGTTAAGGAGGTATTCCGCTGAAGTCGCTCCACGCGTACCAGCGCTAAAATTGTCGAGAAAACGCACAGTATTCTTCTCAAGCGGTACTGTAGTGCCACCAGACTATATTAACACCCTCAGATGTCTTATCCGATATGATGTCAATCTTCACTTACAGTTACAAGAGCTACTCGACGGTTACGTGAAATTTGTCTGTCTATAAACGCAGTCACAGAAGCTAACTTCTCGGCGTGGTTTGCTGGTTCTGGCTGTGTGCTAAAATATGTCTCGGCTGAGAAATCCATGACCGTTTTAAAAAAGAAGGTAGATAGCCAAGTTGGAATGAAATTCAACTAACAATTAAACTCAATTTAGACGCATTGTTCAACCATTCGTGCAGCTCCTCATCCGTGCTAATCTCCTTCCTGTCAAAGCTGCTGCTGTCATCATTCGACCATATCCGGTTAACATCAACTCCGAAACGCTCCCTTATCTTGTCCAAAAGGCTATCCAACTTGAGATCGGTAGGTGATATCCGCAATGCTATCAAGTCACCTGTGGGTTGGTGTAGTACTTTCACTTTCATCGCGCTGGTTGACATTGTTGAAAGTGTTGACTCGGATGCGAGTTTAGGTAGTGCGCTTAGTGAGCTGTCGACAGATGCCGATACTGGTATGTCTTGATGTTTCTCTTGCTCCTCTTCGTCTTTTTGTTCTTCTTGCGCCACAGCTAAATGGTGCATACTCTCAACCAAACCGCCGTTAATTGATAAACTTGATGCGGATGAGTGTTTGGGTTGGGCATTATGCAAATTGTGCTCAGTATGCTCCTCAGCATGCTCGGCGTATTCACCAACCTCGCCAATCTCACCCATTTCACCCTGCTCACTTCTGTGGCTCACCTCCCTATCGCCTGGTCTGACATCTAAGAAATCCCTAAAAAGCTCGCAGCTAATAATATGCTGTGGGAGAGAAGACAATTCGTGCACATATTGATTGAGCTCTAGTCGTCTTCTCACTATAGACACCTCATTGAGATCATGCGCTTCTATAGGTCCAGGTAAGTAAGGCAATATACGCGTCTTCCCCTGTCCATCTGCTGACACTCTCCTTCCAGCTTCAACAGGGAAAGTATCAAGCAATCTTATCTGGAAATCGTAGAAATCTTCGTATAGTCTGAATAGAATCATTGAGCGCGTGTGATTAGTTGGTATGAAAGTCGCGTCGGTTGTATCAGCTTCTACGAAAACAATATTGAACTGGAACCACGTCACTTCATTCTCGTGATAGTGGGAGACAACGGATGATTGCAATATGCTAGTGATGGATGGTGTAGTTGCAGGTGGCGTGGTTGCAGATGGCAGTTGAGATGTAGATGCTATTTGAGCGTTTTCAGTGGGTGATATAAAATTGGTACTTGGATGAGTACTTGGTATGTTGTTGCTGCCGTGTGAGACACCGTGAGGGGTGGAATTCTCCGGGAAAGAATTTTCCTTGTCGTTGTCTTTTTCATCTTTGTGTCTGTTGTCCATCTTGTTAAATTCAAATCTTCCAAGCGGAATCGAAGCTTTCTTGTAATCAGCGGCTTGTCGCTTCCAGTCTTCAACTTTGGGGATAACAGCAGATCTCACGATTGCGTGTGTATCTAGTGGTTGATTACTCTTCTGGTCTCTAATCTCGACAAATGCCACGGGGATAAGACCGGGACCTCCGAGACGCATGATGGGTTTAGCGACGAACCACTCATGGTTTGATTGGGCAATGACGATGATTGGTTCGCCTGCTTTTGCGCTCAGTTCGTCTGGTCTCTCTGCGAGAAAATCGAACTGGACGACGGCGTATTGAGTGGAGGGCTTTGAAGAGTGTGAATTGGGGTGTGAGTGTGAGTGTGAATTGGGCTGATTGTGATGCTCGTATGACTGTCTATTGTCCACACTTACGCCTCCTCTTTTAAGTGGCTCAAACAGGTAGCGTGGCACAAGACCTCTTGTACCCTTAAGTGGGTCGTGTGCTTCATAAAACTCATCGCCGCCAATTTCTAGACTTGGAACGTGGTAGAATACTCCAGCATCGAAACTCAGTTCCCCGGCTTTCTCCGCCCTATACGAACCAATTGCCTTTATGACAAGTTGAGGTGGTTGCAGCACTGCTATTTTTGGTGATATCTGTTGCTGGCTATGGCTAGTGCTATTACTTGTACTACCGCTATTTGTCTTATCCTTATTGAGTGACCTCCTCAGGCTTTTCATTTCGGATCGGCTTCTTTGTTGGTTGTACGCTGTAATGAAACGCGACGCACTGATCACCGATGTTGCAAAATATATTAACTTATATCAATACTGGTACAAGGTGCATATCCGCTGCTTTATATATATGTCTATATCCTTATATATATGTGATTGTGTATGTATCCGTGTGTCTATATCCCTTTGTGTGTGCATTTCTCCTACTCATCCGGTGAATCAGGCGTCAGCGCACCGTCCTTCTCATGAAGTCTATAAAGTACTTCAGATTTAGACTTGCGCATAACCTCCGCTCTTCTCCGGGCATCCTTGAACCCTTTACCCGCAAAGACATCCTGCACTTCCTCGAGGGACAATTTGGTGAGATCTGGGTAACAGAAGATGACGAAGAGGGTTCCTAAAAAGCAGAGGCCAGCGTAGAACCCGAAAGCGCCTGCGGCGGTTATAGTGTTGATGAGCGAGAGATAAGTGAGCGATATGAGTAAATTGCACGACCAGTTCGCAGCAGTAGCGAGAGATGTACCGATACCGCGGTACTCGAGCGTGAACAGCTCGCCCTGCTGCCATGGTACGTTACCCAGTCCAACGGCGTAGAAAAGGACATAGAGCACAATCGCGACCAGCACCAGCGCAGACCATACCCTCGGATAGTCGTGTCCGTCTACGAAATGCCCACCTGTCTCTTGCGTCAGGAAATGGAAGCAGATACTGGCGAAAGTTAGCGAGACGACTAGCATAGGTGCGCTAATAAGCATTATTCGACGCCGACCAATCACGTCAATATACTTGAGTGCGAAAAGCGTACCGAGGAAATTGGTCCCGCTGACAATCAGCCCCGTTGCGGTGGGCTGGTCGAAACCGATCTGCGCAAAGAGAGTCGAGGAGTAGTACATCAATGTGTTGAAACCTGACAGCTGCTGAAAAGCTTGCAGACCTGCTGCGATAACGGTGACTTTAAGCACGACAGGTTCGGTGAACATTTTTACTATTCGCTTATGCAGTGGAATGCGGTTGGAGATTTCGAGCGACTCTTTTACCCCCTGTTGGAGGACATGCAGCTTGGCCGTCATGTCCTCTTGGTTGATGTATGGGTATATACGGGCGAGCACCTTGCGCGCACCCTCATCCTTACCGCGTGAGAGAAGAAAGCGGGGGGACTCTGGTAGCCAATGCAATGCAATGAGTTGGAGTCCAGAGGGAACGGCACACAGACCAACCATGTACCGCCACCCGTCGTCAACATTGGCAAAGGCTGCACCGATAGCATATGCTATCACCTGACCGAATGTGAGGAATGCACCGTTTACAGTGACAAGTCTTCCTCGCAGCCTAGTCGGAGAGAGCTCGCCTATATAGAGCGGCGCAACACATGAGGCCCAGCCGACGCCGAGACCGAGAATGAATCTGCCTACGATCATGGTCCACACATCCTTAGCACAAGCTTGTACGATGGCGCCGACGGTGAAGAAGATGTCTGCGCCGGTGAGAGCGAGTCTTCTGCCGATGATATCTGCAGCTATACCCGCGCATAGTGAGGAAATGAGGGCCCCGAGAGTAGTGGCAGATGTAATGAGCTCCTTGTAAGTATCTGTTAAAGGCTTATCGAACGCATCATCCATTTCAACCAAAGCACCCGATATAATCCCCGTATCGAGACCAAATAAAAGGCCACTAACGGCAGCAGCGCACTGTGGGGGAATGAGATGCGTCTAGCAGCCCAGCCACCACTAACAGTAAGAAATACTACGAACGGCGTTACTTTCTCCTCTGCTTCTAAATTAACAGCGAGTTCATCGTCGTTGAGTTGGTTGCCCTCGTAATCCTTATCGTTGAAATCTATCACATTCCTATCTCGATTGTATGTTGAAATATAATTCGTTTTCTTATTTTCATTTTCCATGGCGGGTGTATGGCTGGCTGTTGATAACCACACCAACACCGGCCGGCGATTCTTCTGAAATTTCTCACGTGCGAGCATTTAATTTATTTTTCATGTAAATTATAGTACAATGGTTATTTTATATAATCCTCTATATCAATATACGCCGCTTTACCATCTCCCATGAGTGCAGCCTGCGAGACAGATGCGCCAGCTTGCCGGACGACGAGTTCGAGTGCGCTCTGATTGGGTTTGCCTTGGGCGTCTGTGAGTGGTGGTGTGAGTGTGAATATGATTTAATTTGCTTGGGTTTATGTCATTACTCACCATTTATCGCCATCTCTACCGCATCCCACAATCTTTGCCGCTCTTGTGTGTCGAACAAATCGAGTGACTCGCGCGGCGCGATTTCGATATGATCATGCGCTACTAACGCGAATGCAACACGCATCCTTTCCTGGAATTCTGGATACGTTTGCGGTGGATATTTGGCCTGTAATGCTCTTCCTGCAGCGAGTGCTTTATCGAGTGGACTGAGATGAGGTGCGGGGGAAGGAGCGCGCATCAGATCAGGATGTGGCAACTCTAGTGGTGGAATTTGTGGAGGAAACACGGGCGATTGGAGCATTTCCATATCTTCCGAGGGAGCGTCTGTGGTAGATGTGGTGGAGTTGGCGATAGTATTTGCATTCTTACCCTTACCATCTTCACCCTGGTTACCCTCCTCACCATCATCGTTTACATCATCCACATTCGTCGTGCCATGCGCCTTAATCACTAGCTCGACAAACTTTCTCAGAAATAACTCGAACGCTAATGTGGTGTTGTCGATCAAAACAGCCGGCCAGCGCGCACGTAGTTCAGACATGGCGAGTTCGATATCGCCTGCGAGGATTGCATTGCGTGTGCCTCTACTTGCATTAGCTGCTTCATCTAAGGAGTGAAGCCAGTGAGAGTGGGAGTGAGAGCTTGACTGAGATTGATCTACTTGCATTGCACCACTAAAACCACTAGCAACTCCACCTATAGGCACTTTACTCCCCTTATTCTCCATCTCCAAAGCCTGGTTAAAGGCACGTGCAGATTGTGCATACGAGGAATGAACAAGATACTCCATCACAAGCTCACCCATGGGCAAACTAAGATCATCGTCTTGAGCAGAGCCATAAGTGTAGCGATCACCGAGTACGCTGCGCATTTCATCGGGTGTGTGGACAAACTCGACGTTACGTGACTCATTATCGACACGCCAATCAACGACGCGGTTGTCGATCTCTTGTGCGATAACATCCCACTTCTTACGCTTAACGTAACCGTCAATATCGAAACGGAAGGGAGATCTAGGGTCGATACCAAAGTTTACAGAGACAGACTCGTTATCGGAGCGTAGACCGATACAGGGGTAGATGTCTGGACAGATTTGAGGAGAAGGGAGAGGGTCTGGGGCGTATGCGATGAAGGTGCCGTTGATAGTGTAGAAGGATTTGTTCTGGGTAAAGTCGAAACCCATACCAATAACGCTGCCAGAGGTTGTAGAGTACTCAGGACCAAATTTAGAGCCGTCGCTTGCTTGGGCAAAGAAGCAGCCATCGTCGCCGTGATAACCCCATGAACAGGACTCCCAACCGGGCAATCTGGTTAGTTTGAACATCTTATTACCGTAGCCAATGGAGATATAACCCTTGTCGCCCCTATTCAGAATTTCAAACTCCAAATAATAGATGCCGGAACATCTAGGAACGGGCTCGTTGGCTCGGACAGCGGCGGCATCCTTCTCGTTGCCGTCAGCAGGACCAGCGTAGGTTACGCAAGTGCAGGAGTGGTTCAGGTTGAGTTTCGAAGGTCTGCAATTTTTCATGTCAAGCTGCGAGGGAAGGAGGGGGAGTTGGGCGTGGGTGTTTGAGAGGAGGAGGTAAGGGGGGATGTAGCTGTTTATTGGGTTTTGTGGGCCGTCATCACCGCCACATTTAGCAGTGGATTGATTGTAAGGCGCTGTCGTCATAAATAGCTGTGACGTATCAGAGAGGCTACGGAGATGGCCGGGCGTGGCGCGCGGAGGCCTGGAGATGGTGGATCGGCCGGCATTGTTCACTCTCCTCGTAATCGGGATCCCTGGGATTGGATTTACCCAGCGTCTGTTTTGATCCATGGCTGTTTAAATTGAACCATGACTTACGGCGTAAATGATTTTTAATTTAAAGTGCAAAATGGCCTAACGTTTTATTAGCAGGAAGTAAACTTCTTCCCGGGAATCAACACCAGTCTGCTCCCACTCCTCGGTGTCCTCTCTCTGATATCTTCCGGGTTGATGGCGTTTAGCTGGTATTCGTCCGTGTATTCTTTATCTCCGCATACCCTCTAACCCCGCTTAGAAACTACAAAAATTTCACAGCCCAATTTTACTACGCTTTGTTATCTTCACTCTTTCTCGGTGTGGCTGTGGTCAGTATATTGAACGCACTGGGTGTTTATGTCTAGATGAGGCTCAATAAAATCATTTTTAATTCATTTAAATCGAGAGTTAAGATTAATCTCCCGAAGCCTGGTCTGGGTGGTGGTGGTGGTGGTGGTGTTGTTACTCGGCTATCGGATCCTTTCAGCCCTATCAACACCGGCAACGCAGGCAAACCAGGCAATCCAGGCAATCCAGGCACCCCAGGAACTCCTCTCATCACTCCCACTCTCACTCCCACTCTCACTCCCTCTCCCCCCACTCCACCCGACCCGTCCGGCTTCCATCCCTCCCACTTATCCTCTGATCTCCTCAAGAACGTCATCAATACTATCAACGCCCACCCAGATACCCTCCTTCTCACACGCGTCGGTGGCTTCTACGAGGCTTACTACCACCACGCTCTTCTCCTCTCCAAACTCCTCGGTTTCAGCGTCGGTGAAAAATCGTACAACAAGTCTAAATTCCCTATGGCTGGCTTCCCTTACTACCAGCTATCAAAACATCTCAGATCTCTAGTCGTCGATCACTGCCTATTTGTCGCAATTAACGATCAATTCTACAACCACAAATCTGGCTCTTTTGATAGGAAAGTTACACGCGTTATCTCCCCTGGTACTCTCCTAGACGAGTCATCTCTCAATCCCACTACTCACAACTTCATTGTCTCAGTTGTGTCTCACCCTGAGCAAGACCAATTCGCTGCAGCTTGGTGTGACATTTCCACCGGTGACTCTTCAACTGCGTCATCCAGCTTATCTGATTTGAAGAGCTATATTGCACGTTTATCCCCGTCTGAGATTGTTTTTGATGGTGGCACAACGACTGCAGAAGCACACAAGTTGCGACAATCACTTGGCGCACACGACTCCATCATCTCATACAGTCAACCCAACGCAAACCCCTCCGCATCCACCCACACCCAATACACTCCCCATGAACACACAGCCATATCACTCCTCCAAACGCGTCTTCAGGCGTCGCTAATAGACGACACGCCATCTCTGCAACCTAAGCGCGAGGAAAAAGCGACATTAATGCTCGACGCGCCCACGATTCGCGGTCTAGAGTTAAAGACGACGATACGGTCCAACCGCACTTCAGGGAGTCTGATGAGAGCAGTGCGCCGCACCATCACACAGCCCGGCCACCGCCTACTAGAACAGTGGCTGTGCGAGCCTTCTGCTGATCTCTCCGTTATACGCTCTCGCCACGCAGCCGTTGCCATTTTCCTGTCGCGCACACAGCTGCGGAGAGACGTGCGCGCTTTATTACGTGACACTCAAGATGGTCCTCGTCTTCTCCAGCGCGTGCTCCTCAATAATAACTTCACTCCCTCCCTCCTCCTCGCTGTTAAGGGCGTTATTGAGAAAACGGAGGAGGTCGTCAGGCGTATTCGCGCCGAGTGGGTGCATGAGCGTGGGCAGCAGAGTGGATGCGTTAGTGAAAACAATTATGACAACGACGACTGGCATGCTCTCCTCACTCTCACTGAATCCCTACACCCCCTTATAACCTTTGCGGAGCGCATCGACTCGGTTATCATTGAAGACGGCCTGCGCGCCAAGGAGGCGAGTGAGAGTGAGAGTGAGCAGCGGGAGGAGATACAAGGTTTGCCAGAAGAGAGGGAGAGGGAGAGGGAGGCTATCGAGAAGGATGGGCGTGAACGCAACGGTGACAACTACCACGACGACCTGAAGCGGTCGATAGCACCAACATACAGCGCTACAATAGCGCGGCTAAACAAGAAGCTCGATAGGTTATACGGCGAGCGAGCCAAGTTGGCGAGAGAGGTGCGTGGGGAAGTGCGCGCGAGCGACCCAACGCACGTAGCACTGCGGTCCAATCAGAAACTAGGCCATTACATAACAGCGCGCAAGAGCAGCTTGAAGGCATTACCGGGAGCATACCAGTTAATAGCGAGTGGTAAGTCTACAGCCACGTACGCTCATCCTCGATGGACTGCACTCAAGTCTTCCATTGTGGAGGTATCCGAGCAGCTCGAAGGAGCTGAGCGTGAGGCTCTCACTGGACTTAAAGGGGAACTGGCGAAGGAAAGTGAGCGTTTCCGCGCTAATACCCACCTCCTTGCCCAGCTAGATGTGTTGTGCAGTCTCGCGGAGCTAGCCGATGAGCGTGCATGGGTGCGGCCAGCCATGACGGTCGACCGTGCCTTGCATATCTCACAGGGTCGCCACCCTGCTGTCGAAGTGGCTCTGCAGGACTCACTCAATAGCTTCACGCCGAATGACGTGCTTATGCAAGATGACTCATTCGTTTGCGCCATCTTCGGTCCTAATATGGTGGGTCGGGTTGCTTGGAAGGGTGCTCAATTTCTCAGATGCCCCTCTCATACCCCCCTCACTCCCTCTAACACACATACAGGGCGGAAAATCCACTTACTTGCGCCAGAATGCTATCATAGTCGTGCTCGCACAGGCTGGTTCATTCGTGCCTGCGACCGCTGCAACGATCGGGGTGGTAGACCGATTATTTTCGCGCATTGGCGCGAGCGACGATCTCAGTGCGGGGCAGTCAACATTCATGGTTAGTTTATTGAGCGGAGTGCGCGCGTGCGTGACGACTGAGACTGACGCAGACTACAAATACAGGTGGAGATGACGGAAGCTGGGGAGATATTACAGATGGCTACGCCGCGCTCGCTTGTGATCATGGATGAGATAGGACGGGGTACCACCTCACTCGATGGACTCGCACTGGCTTATGCGATTGTGGTACATCTCGCACTGACTAACAAGTGTCGCACTTTCTTCGCTACACACTTTCACGAGCTGGATGATATGCTCGCGGATACCCTTCCTATCCAGTATCTCAGCACTGATCTGGTCGATGGCGGAGATGCATTCAGGTTTACGTATACACTTCGAAAAGGTGTTTGCAAAGAGAGCCATGGCATCATCGTCGCTAGACTCGCCGGTCTGCCGATTGAATGTATTGATAGGGCACAGATAGCTCATGATACGGTGGCTGGTGCTCATTCTCATGCTCACGCACATACTCATGACTATTCACTTACACACACACATTCTCTAAATACACTCAATAGACTCAAACATGCATAATACTCCTTCAAATCACATTGATTCCATGTAGCGACTGAAACTCGTTGCAAATAGGCGGTGGTCGACGTTCTTGCCGATAAAAACTATCTTTCCAGGCGCGCGTGTGTCAGTGTCACCCTCTTTACCTGCCGACACCCGCTTCAGCTCATACATATCTCTGACACCCTGCAGGATGTGCACACCGTCACCTAACACGCTAACTACACCTTTCGTGCGTAGTATCTCCATATCGTTCTTCTCGACTAGGTCTTCAATACAGGGAAGTGTACTTTCCCATAGTACACAGCGAAGCCATTTGTCGAGCGTGGCGTATTTGGCCGTGGATAGTGGAGGTGTTTGCAGATGTATGCTCGATATCCCGAATAAGTGTAAGTGTGGGTGTGGATGTGAGTGTGAGTCTGGGTGTGAGTGTGTAGAGCGTGAAAGTGTCACTTCCTCTGACTGCATTTGCGTCTGTGTTTTGATCTGCTCCTGGGTCTGCGCCTGACCATCATAAGCGTTGAGGTCGATGACGTGATGGAGGTTGAGTGTGCTGTAGGTAGTGTAATGAAGAGGAGCAGAAGAGTTGATGGACAACAACGCGTGCTTTACTTGCTCCAGCACTTCACTGCCAACGAGATCAACCTTATTAACGATAAGCGAATCAGCCGAGGCTATCTGTCTGACGCATTGATTGTCTGAGGAGAGCTGGTGGAGGACATTCCTAGCATCAACCACACAGACCACACCATCGAGGTATATATCTGGTATAAACAGCTCATTCTCCCAGAACAACTGCGCTAGACCAGATGGATCAGCCAGACCAGTTGTTTCTAGTATGATGTAGTCGAATTTGCCCTTTTTGCGCATCATTTTCGCAATAGCAGCAACACCTGCATCGCGTATCGAACAACACAGACAGCCATTGTCGAGTTCGAGGAGCTGTTCTTCGTCGTCGACGGATACGGAACGGCCTGGAAGCGAACAGTAGAGTGAGAAGGAAGGAATAGCGCGAGTAGACCAACCCACGCTCAATATCAGCAGTATCACCGAATTCATTCACAATAACGGCAATTCTGTGGCCATGTTGTTGAGTGAGAATGTGTTTGATAAGCGTGGATTTACCCGCACCGAGGTATCCAGTGAGAATGGTCAAGGGTACGCGCTTATCGTGAGTAATTAGCTGTGGAATTTCATCGTCGAGCTGAGCCATTAGAGTGGGCGTTGGAGAGTAACCACCAGCATCAAATACATGGACATTGATAAGCCATCGAGCGCAACCAGCGCACCAAACGCTTATCTGTTTGATGGCGTCACTGACTGGCGGTGAGTGCATCCATTAACGAACAAACAAACACCACTAAGACCACATACAGCTACGAAATGAGAAGAGAATGCCAGGAAATAATCCCAGGCTTAATATTAGGACCATATCAATGCAGCAAAGATACAGAATACCTCAGATCCACCAACATCACCCACATCATCTGCATTCGTGGTGAGGCTGAGGCTGTTTTCGTTCGACCGAGGTTCCCAGATCAGTTCAAATATCTGGTCTTGGATGTCCGTGATAGTGAGGAGCAGAATCTAATCAGAATCTACCCACAAGCACGCTCCTTTATCTACAACGCATTGGAATTGAACGGTAAAGTTCTTATTGTTTGTAATGGCGGTATTAGCAGAGGCCCTGCCATTACGATTATGTATGTCATGGAAGCTGCTCAGTTGTCTTTCGAAGAAGCAACTCATTACGTGCAGAACAAGAGATACTGCATTTCACCTAACCTCGGTTTCCAATCACAGTTGAAGGTGCGTTGCAGCTCATTTGAACACCTTAATACTGATCTTGCGCAGGAATTTGAATCCATCTACAAGGCCTCTCTGGCCATGGCAAATCAGCCAAATTCCAACTTGTTTTCTCAATCCAAGCGCAGTCTAGAAGATGTTGATAGCTTGGAAACTACTGACATAGACACGCGTCCAACGCAGAATCAACGAATTTAATTTATATGTCTTTGTCTTGTATCTTATATTGTAAACTACTACAACCACTCGAGAAACTCCGGTGTAAAGTATGTGAGGAATATGTTAGCACCTGCGCGCAGAAAACTCTCATGCGTTTCAAAGGCTATCTTTTTTAAATCGTATATACCCGCCTTAGCACCGGCGTGCATCATTGCAAACTCACCCGAGACAACATAACACGCGACTGGGTAATCACGAGCGAGCTGAGCAGTATCTGATATCACATCGAGGTAAGGGAGAGATGGTTTAACCATGACGCAATCGGCGCCCTCGTTTAAGTCACGTTGAACAGCACGTCTTGCTAAACCTCTACCGTGTGGGGGTAATTGGTAGCATTTCCTATCACCGAATGAAGGAGCTGATCCTGCAGCTTCTCTGAATGGACCGTAGAGAGAAGTGGAGAACTTTGCAGAGTAGGACATTAGCATCACTCTGTTACCATAACCAGAGTCTATGAGACGACGCTTGATTTGTGATATACGCCCATCCATCATGTCAGAAGGGGCGACGCAGTCAGCGCCTGCTCGAGCATATGCTAGCGCCACCTCGCCAATACGCTGAGCAGACTCGTGAGAGAAGAGAGTGCCATCTTCACGCAGCAGTCCGCAGTGGCCGTGGTCTGTGTACTCACACAAACAGACATCGCAAGCTATGTATAAGTCTGGAAAGAGACGTTTGAGAGTGTGGATGGCTTGTATGACGGGAGTGTTGGGATCATCTGCTGCACTTCCCCTGCCATCCTTGTTCATGTTGAAAGGAACACCAAATAGAATAACGCTGCTGAGTCCTTTGCTAATCAAAGGGCGTAGAAACTCTTCGAGCCTGTTGACACCCCATCTACGCTGATTGGGGAGAGAAGTAATCTCATCACTTGCTTGTGGATCATCCGTGATGAAAATTGGGTACATGAACATGGATTTGTCGAGTGACTTGCCCTGATTCTGCCACTGCCGGGATAATGGCTTATGATAGCCACCTTGTAAGCAAGATCTGAAGATTGTGAATTGTGAGTGAGTGTTGAATACCCGCAACTAACGATATTTCCATGGATGTGACTTAAAGTGACAGCGTCTGAGCGCAGAAGAAGAAGAGAAGTGAAAAGAAGAGTAGAAGAGATTATTAAATTGAATTGTATGTAGAATAAGCGTGTATGCGTGTATATTCAAAATGAATTCAATCCACTATCAAATATCAAAGCTGTGATGTAATTTTGTCTAGGGATGTTACCTGAAATAAGTTGATTTAAAGTCATTTGACCACATAAATATACTAATTCAGCTACCAGAAATTCACACATACTAAAATAAGGCCCGAAAACCCAAAATTCAGTTGCTTACAAAGCTGGGTGGAGGTACCCAGTAAACTTAAGTGCGTCGATAATGAATATGAGAGATGTACAACCAACCAAACACCAATTCCCTCTTTTTAAAATTAAAATAAAAAATATTCCCGTTGATCTACCAGCTATCTCAACTCACACGTTGCCCTGTTCATCCCACGACCAGCAATAAGGACAAATGGATTTAGATTTCTTAGAAATGCTTAAGCAGCAAGTTGGGAATTATGGGAATAACAATGGCCACAACAAATTATTTGATTCTGGAATTAATCCAAATCATTTGACAGACTTACCCAATTTGGTAGCCACAAGCCAATTCCCTGACTTTAAATCCGAATACAACGAGAATCCAACTCCTCCCTTAACAAACAACGACACTTCTAGTCCTGAATCTTCACACAGCCAAACTCAGGATAAAGATAAAGACAGCGATAAGCGTAAGGCGAGTGATGAGCTACTTGATAATGAACAGCACACCTCCAAGAGCACAAACAACAGACGCTCTTCTGACTCTTCCAGTGAACTTACTCGCAATTCAAAACCTAACAGCACCAGTAAGCGTAAGGAACAGAATAGAGCTGCTCAGCGTGCTTTTAGAGAGAGAAAAGAGAAGCACGTTAAGGTCCTTGAGGACAAGGTCGCTGCACAGGCTGAAGAGAACACCAACCTCAAAGACCTCCTCAGTAGACTTCAACAGGAGAACATGACTCTTAAACACTCGGCATTCACTTTCCAATTCCCTCCACCTCAATCCAACTCAAACTCTAGGTCTTTCCACAAATCTCCTTCCCCTCTTCCAAACCTGAATAGCGCTGCTGAATACAGGGATAATTCTTCTAATCTTAATAACACTGGCGCAGGCGTACTTGATGACTTCCTCAACGACTTCGGTCTCCAGAATGACTTCATGTTCGACCAAAACCAATCGAACCCTTCTATACCGTCTCCCTCCGCCTCCGCATCTTTGTCTGCTAACAAAAAGCCCCCATCTGAATCCATTATCGGCCCTCCACCTACCATCCTTGAACTTGCTCAAGCTCTTTCTGATCCAGAGGAGAGACTCAAATGTCCACAGGTCAAGTCCAAGATGGAGCAAATGGGTATCGTTCAATCCCACCACGAGGATGTGTCCAAGATAAGCCCATACCTTATCCAAGAGATTAAGAGGATGGTAGAGATGATTGCCAACGAAAACAATGAACCCGTCGATGCCGTTGTGAGAAGGACGTGGAAGGATCTTGGAAAGGACATCCCCGAGCAGACTTTCGATCTCGACGACTTGTGTTCTCAGCTCACCGCTAAAGCTACCTGTGGCGTTAGCAGTACGGAATGTCAAGCCAAATTCTTGAGTGTGTTAGCTCAACAGCAAAACAAGTCAGCAAAATGAGCTGACTAAAGGTATTTATTTGGAGCTTATCTCATTTCGGTTTATACGCTCCCTTGTATTCTTAACTCTTGCTTTCCGTTTCACGCTTATGTTCTTTCTGTATCAACTTCTCCAATGTATTCAAAATCTTATATTAACATTTCAAACACTTTGCACAATTATTTTACCTTTGTTGTCTGCATGTTTTTAAGGGCTAGACTGAGTATGATAACATGTTTAATAGGATTGAATAGCCCCTCACTCCAATGAACGAAACAAACTTAGTTCACCCCGCAATTGACCAAGTATGTCAGAAGACGAATGCTGAGATAATACTAACAATTTGAACAGTTTAGCAGGACAATAGATCTCATGGCATCTCCAGCAATCTAAATATGTTTCCAGATTAACTCTCCTCTCGATATCCACTGAGTTGGATTCTCGACTACCACCACCCATCTCATTTTACGAGTTTGAATGATCTCAAATAAAAGAATTTCATAGGTAGCCCTGAATAAGCTCTAAAATTTTTTACCACAATTATGTCCCTGAGCCTCCAATTGCGTCCTATAAGATGCTCGGAAATTACAATCCGACAACACTCTTTAGCGCGCTATGGGATAAAAGTGGAGGATTTGACGCGATTAAGTGATCGATACAATCAATTTTTGCTGATGAAGAGCGCAAGAACCCAAAATTACAAATGCTCACACTTCTAGACGCGATTAACGTTTTCCGACAAACAGTGTCTACAGGGGAAATGTTTTACCATTCTGGATCATCTTCGACTTTGAACAATCGATTCATGCAAAGACAAGTGGAGTTCAATCCAACTTTGAATCGGGGGGTTTTGGATAGACCAAGTGCATTTTGATATTTCGAATAATAGACTTGTAAAAGGCAATCAAGTCTGCGTTGAAATCACAGAAGGCAGGATAGTATGAAGTTGCATTTCGAAATATCAAAACTCTCCTTGCGACATACCACATAACTGGACGAGCAGAGCATTGCACGGCGCTAATACCGATAAAGATGCTTTTGAATTAGTCGCCAAATCAACAGCTATAGAATGATATTAATATTTGTAGTAATTACAGCAATATGAAGAAGACGTTACTGAGCGTGTCGTTCTTGATTTGGAGATGACGAGCTTTATTTTGGTGATGTGGTAAGAATCAGGGTATAATCAGATATAAAAGAGTAATTTCATTGATCTATTTAGCTTTATAATAGTACTGGCTGTTGAAGTTTGCTAGTGTTTGACTGTTTTCGAGCTGTTGCTGCTCTGCGAGGATCAACTATAATGCTGTAAAATGAGAAAAATTAGGAGTCATGAAACATGATGACGTTGAATGTATTTAGGTGTTGTCACTTAAATTGTTATTATTATTTAACTCTCGTATAACACAATTCATCACACTTTCACTCTGATAACACGACTCTGTTGACATCATTGATAAACGCCTTGAGGGAAACCAGATTAATGATTAGTTGGACTTCAATTGAATAAGTGAGAGATGACTCAAGCAAGTCTTAGTATTTTGTCAGTTGGATGCTTCGTAGGTTGTCAAGTATTTTGTCAGATATTATAAGTGTTAGCACATCACTTATCATATATTTCTACATTTGGTCTTGATCCATTGAGACAAAATCTTGTTGCTTAATGATATAGTTGTTTGGTTCATCGCGTACTTAGATACGTCGATTTGGGCGGCTGACACAAAAATGTGCTTTGGCTTCTGGCTTTATTGATACTTACAAGGTCTTCTACATGGGTGAAAGCATCTACAGTAATCAAAACACAGGTACTCAAAGATCCTTTGATTCATTTCTATCTATAATTTCAAGATATGTTTTATACTTTGAACACAATCAACGCTTCCATAAACTACCAAACCACCCTGAAGAGGCAGTCTTGTTGGCATTCTTCTCAGCAGAGTCTTGAGTTTGTTTAGAATCTTCACTAGAGATGACGTGGCCAGTGGGCGGTTTCTGAGCTTCCTTTTTAGAAGGTTTTGTATCTTTGGATTGAGATTTGTCAAGTATGTAGTCAAGTGGTGGTTCAACGTAGGTGTTGGCAATATCGAAGAAGAGTGGACGCTTGAACTGCTGAGCGAACCAAGCCTTCTTGGAGTTAACCAGAGCTGTGTCTACCATCTTATTCAAGTCTTCAATTAGAGCGATGTCAACGACTGGCTCGAATGCTTCAGAATGGTTTAAGGTGCTTTCATCAAGGCTCATCAACAATTCTAATCCTGATCTGTTGTAGAACTTGCAAGACTCCAGTAATCTGATAGAAGGTCCATAGCTGTGAGCCATCAAGTGCGATAAACCGAGGGTGTAATTCTTAAGTGCTTGATGGTAGCTGATTTTAGTCTCAACATAACCACTCAAATCCGAGTCGTCAGATTCAACAATGTGCAAATTACGTAATTGCTCTAATGTGAAGATAATTCCATCGATAACTTTAACTTTTGATCTATTTTTTGCAGGTTCGTTTGACTCGAGTTGGTTGTTGATTTTGAGATCTCTTTCTAATCTCAAAGCGAGCATTTTGTACGTGAGGACCTGCTTCAATAGACCTTGAGGCGATATCTCTATCGCGTTGGTGTAAGTGTTGAGAATTTCGTCATAGTTTGATAGTGATTGGGTTGATTTACCAGACTTCTTGTCAATGACAGACTGTAACTTGTGTATGGCTTCAACGACGTCAACAGATGTGAGTCGTAATTCCTTGCCACGCCATGTCAAGTTCTTTACTTTAGTTGGCTTATCTTCTTGGCTGTACTCGAGTTGAACAAACGAGTGAGAAGATGAATGCTCGTTTGCTATTCTATCAATCTCATGTGATGTAGATTTGTTCCCGCTTTGATAAGAGCAGTAACGAATTTTGGGTGATAACTCATCTAACCACCCTTCACCCAAAGCCCTAATCTTATCATTAGGTGCAGCGTTAATAAGGTTTTTGAGGTAAACGTAAGAGATTGACAATAAGTTGAGTGCGTCGTGGAACTTATTTTTACTCAAATTGTAGCTTCCTTGGATGAATTTGTGATATATTTCCAACTGAACAGTGTCACTGGAGTGAAGACCGAACTTGGAAGAAGCCTCAATTAAGACATTTGCAAATTGATCTGATCTTCTCAATTTGCTCGTTGCGTCTTTATTCTCTTGAGACTCAGCCCAATATTTATCGGCAGAGAGGAGCAGCAATTCCAATACTCTGATATCAGATTGTCTGAGAATGGATTCTGCTGTACATTTATTGAATCTCTTGCCTTTTCCATTCGTCAGCTTGAGATTTCTACGCAGCTTATTGATCTTTCTAGTACAGTGTTTCCTATGCGCTGTTACAAGGCATTTCATGCATATAAACATACCCACCTGTATCTCAAGTAATCGCCCGTTCTAACGCCGTAACTGTTCCTCTCCACACTCAATAAATTCAAAGTCTGAAATACAAGCGACATGGAAGTTGATTCTTGACCAGCAATATCAAAATGGCAGACGAGTTTGCACCAACGCTTGAGAATGTAGTCAATAACAAAGTGAGATTTGAGTTTTCTAAAGACGCTTTACTAAACAAGCTTAGACGCTCAAATGGATCTTCTGTGGTTAGTACTTGCATCAGGACGGTGAATGTCTATATCTTTGAATTAGGTGGTAAAGGTGGTGTCGGTAAGACTACAACGTCTTGCTCTTTAGCTATTCAGCTCGCAAAGTCCCGTGAAAGCGTTTTGCTGATAGTGAGTTATATATTTCACTCAAACGTAACAAGTTTCTAAGCACCTTTACGCATTTACAGTCAACAGACCCCGCACACAACCTTTCAGATGCTTTTAATCAGAAATTCTCAAAAGAGGCAACTAATGTCAACGGTTTCGACAACTTATCCGCAATGGAAATCGATCCTTCTGCAGCCTTAACTGAAATGGTCCAGAGCAATGAAGACAGTGATTCAAATGGCTTGAACAGCTTTGTCCAAGATTTGGCATTCGCTATCCCAGGTGTTGATGAGGCTATGGGATTCGCTGAGATTATGAAATACGTCAATTCTCAACAATATAGCTGTATCGTTTTTGATACTGCTCCTACTGGTCACACTTTACGTTTCTTATCTTTCCCAACCGTTCTGTCCAAGGCTTTGGAGAAAATTAGCTCTTTGTCTGGTCGATTTGGTGGTCTGATCAACAACTTCACCGGTATGATGGGAGGGGGAGCTAATGCCCAAGAGGATATTTTTGCTAAATTAGAGAGTATGCGCACTACCATCGATGAAGTCAACACCCAATTCAAGGTGAGTCAGTTGAGCTATGATCGCGTTCACAGCTGATTATTTCTGAGAACGCTGACTTGACAACTTGTGAGTAGTATTGGTAATTAATGCCTCACTAACTCTAATCGCACCATCTCCAGTTGTTTGTGTCTGTATTGCTGAGTTCTTGTCTATATACGAAACTGAGCGTCTGATACAAGAACTTTCGACTTAGTGAGTGCTTTCAACTATGCTTGAAGCTACTAACACTCAATCAGTGGCATAGATACCAGCAACATAGTTATAAACAACCTCCTCTTGCTACCACAAGACGATCAAGGTAACTCTCGATCAAATTGCGATAGATGTCTAGCAAGAGATGGCACCCAAAAGAAATATCTTGCAGAAGCTGATGACTTGTGAGTGTTTGATGAGTGTAACGTCAAATGCTGATGAGTGTATTAGATATGGAGAAGACTTCCACATTGTTAAAGTAAGCGTATTTTTACGCAATCAGCACTAATTGACTTTCCAAAGATTCCACTCCTTCTGAACGAACCACGTGGTACATCCAGTTTAATAAAATTCGGTGAAATGCTTGTAAATCCATTAGCGCGTGAACAATGAGCTTGGTTTAATAATTGATTGAAATTTACATTGGAATGTTTTGATTTATAACAAAAACAAGCTTACTACGTTGAACAGAACAACAGCTTACATCTAGATAATCAGAATAAAACTAGACACTAACTAGATCCACGAATAGTAAGATTTTTTTTAATTAATTGTCTTCCTATTCGTTAATGATTGAGCGTGGCTGATGAATAATCTTGGAAAGGATTGGATGGCAACAGAGTCTAGGCTACTGCCCTTCTACGGCCTTCTGAAGAGCTAAAAGCTACTTTTACTCGATTGCTACTCGTGCTAATATACGATACACATCCGACTGTGACAGAGATGTGTCTCGGAATAGAACAGGATTTCTTGGCTATCACAATCGAATTCGAAGGGTGACATTAACAATTGAATTCGAAACGTGATATATGTGACGTAACTGATCAGGGGATCATTATTAAATAACGTCGCTACTCGATACAGCAATCACAGACATCCTTTCATCCGGAAAGCTTTTACCAACTTTTACCCGGACTGATGTCTGAGTGGGTGAACTTATTGCATGTTTTGCCGAGACCCCTTTAAGAAGTAATGCATTTTTCTTTTACTACTACCACAATGATCTCCAAACTTCTCAGCTCAGCAATCATAGCCTCTTCTGCACTTGCATACCCAGCGCCCCCAGACGGTGGCGTGGGCGTTTCAGGTGACGAACTCCCTGAGTACACCCCAATGTCCGACTTTGACACCGCCAGCTTTGTCGTTGGTGTTAACCAGGAGTTCCTGGAGTTAGACCTCTTTCACAACATCCTCGCATCATTTCCAGACGAGGATTTCGAAGCTGTTGGCATTGACGCATCACAAAGATATTACATCCAAGAAATGGCTGAGCAAGAGGTTGGTCATGCAGAGATGATCAACAACATTCTTGCGTCGGTTGGACAGACCTCCCAACAGTGCTCATACAAGTACCCTTACACTACTGTGAGAGAGGCACTTGCGTTCGCAGAATACATCACTAGATTCGGTGAAGCAGGTGTCTATGGTTTCCTTCCTCATTTGGACTCTCGCCCAATCGCTCAACTTGTGAGTAGACATTGTCTTGCTAATGATTTTTCTGATGAAACATAGCTTCTTCAAAGTATCACCACTGAGGCCAAGCAAGAAGTCTCTATGGCAATGATGGCGGGTGAATTCCCACAACCATACTGGTTTAACATGGGTAGGAAAATTCTCATCCAAGGATTTTTAAGCTGATTAATTCAATACAGGTCTCACTCAAGCTATGGCTTGGAGCTTGTTGGTTCCTTACCTCGACAGCTGCCCAGAAAGCAACCCAAGAGTCGAGTTCCCAGTCTTCCCAGCTTTGAATGTCACCAACGCCAACGCGACGCTCGACACATCTATCGAATCCGCTGTCAGTAATAACTACACACACGTAGCTCAACCTGGCAGACAGCTCGAGCTGCAATGGGAGGCACCAGGTATGGCTGTTGGACCATCAGAGCAAAACTACACCACCGATAAGAACCCAGATCTTGGTGACCCATCGCACGTCGCCTTCATTCACCAACTTAATGTCACATATGCTCCACTCGAAAACATCGACACTGAGGCCATGACAGCTACCACTATCCACCCAGACTTTATGATGTACGGCAAGGGTATGGGCGTTAATGGAACCGTCTTCATCGCAATCACCGACGAAGAAGTTCCAGTCACACCATACAACTTTAGCTTACTCAACGATCACGTCCATGCATTTGGACCATACTTTGCAGGTATCTGAGCGATTTAAGCAATTGCTGCTAGAAAACTTGAATGAAAATGACACGTCTTTGGGGAGCAATGACTATGCTTGTACTTTCATGAATGATTACGCATTTGAAATCGCTTTAGAATTTGGATGAAGTTTTAATGTAATTGGAATTAAAGAATTACAAATTGTAGAAGTGAAAGGAGTAGCAATGACTGGTTTCGGTGTTTCAAATGATTCGATTGTGTTTAACTAAAGTTATAACATTTTGAGAGCTGTGGAATGTGTTGATTGACCAAGTATTATGAATGCAAATCTAATTGAATGTAAATTGAAAAATATTGAATATGAACTGTGTCAAGGTAGGGAACTGAAAGACTATGAAGCTAATAAAGTACCATTTAATATGCCTCTAACATCATCAACCGCTGTCAAATCTGTCAAGAAAGGACACAAATCGGTCAATTCAGTATCATGAGGATCATTGAACCAACTTGAAACTGGTACTGCATTGTTTGGATGAAATACGTAAGATGCAGGGCTATTATCGATGATTATACTATCGTTGATCAGTCTACCTAATTGTGAGAGATCCTTGACATAATTTCCTTTATGATTGTAACAACTTTCTCTGAATAATCGGTGCCTGACTACTCTGTTGATATCCAACATATCTAATACTGGGTCGGCGTATTTAGATAGTGAAGCTGTGAATACGACAATTTCAAACAAATCACCCATTCTCTTAAGGAAAGCATCAACTCCTGGGCGCTTTATCACGTATACGTTGTGAGTTTGCGACTCAATTTCAACAGGTACCACGTAATCAGCATGCTGAATTAATTTAAATGAACTGTGCACTAAAGTCTCATCCAAATCCAAAACTAAGCACTTTTTGCCATTGTCTGATGTGATTAAAGGAGGTAAAAGAGGGTTAGGTTGACCATCCTCACCAACTGGTATACCCATTCCACCTTTTGCGATTATGCGCTCCTCATCTGCCAGCTCACTCTCAAATTCATCAACTTCCTCTTCTTCCTCTTCCTCAGAAGATTCGCTTTCGTGGTGTTGGTGAGTGGATGGTTGACGAGATGGTGTTGGTGGATTTAATTCTTTTCCGGGGGGCATAACAGCTCCTGAGGTCAATCCAGCTGTATCTGATAGAGGCATATCAACTCCTTGAGAAGGTATGACTGGCGTAGCAGGTGGTATATCATCTTCATTATTCTGACTAAGGTCTACTGTACTTGAGTTATTTATGTTATTATTAGACTTCCGCCGTGATGTTGATGCTGACGGTTGATTTTGTGTTTTGTGTGGTGCCTCACTCGATGAAATGTCGTGCGCTGGATTTCTTGATGATTCTCCAACGCATGGAACGATGGAAGAGAAGAATGAAGATAATTTTGACTTCTTTTTGCGCTGTTTGGGTACTGGTTTGGAAGGTTCTTTCGTTGGCTGAGTTTCTTCTTTTACTAGTGAGTATTTGGTAAATTTGAGTCTATAATTATGTAAGATAAACACTAACCATTGTTTGTCGCTGTTGTAGGAATCTGCTCGGGTCTTTGTGGAGGCTGTTCAGTATGGGGTGATTGAGCGTCATTTTCTGAAGTCGATAACGATTGTTGGGGCTGTTTATTGGTATTCTCGTGACTGCCGATGTTCTTCTCAGTTTCACTGGGAGCAGGCTGTTTCTTTTTCTTAGTCTTGCGAACAGGTTGACGCGTATTCCTCTGCGGTTGGGAATTTGGAGACACTTGAGTTACTAATTCAGCTAATGCGGCTGGTGTCTCGCCGCTAGATGTGCCAGCTGCCGTCATCTAAACAATCTTATTTTTTGAACGATAAATTAAGTTTAGGAAAGATCGATGGATTCGTCTTAGCGAGTGAACGCCGTGAGATTTTATATTTTTAATTTAAGCAAAAATCGTAAGGCTTTTAATTTAAACTGCGTTATTACAATCGTTCTCTCCATTTCCACTTTCATACAATTTTTTAAATTTTCATTTTACCACTTACCATATCAGTGAGACCTTGAAATTGAAACAAATTAGAAACTGCTATTTTGATTTTCTTGTTTATCACCTGATGTGCTCTCTCATGCGTTGAAGCTCCTCCTCTGCTGCTGCCTTCTCCATCTGTGCCCTGACTAGCTTGTTGATTAGAGATTCCTCCATCTCATCTTTCTCGATTCTTATATTGACGAGAGTTTTAACCAGCTCGCAATGCTCTCCGTTGATCTGCGTAAGACTAGCCTCCAGTTTTTTTATCTGCGAAGACAGACCTCTATTTGCCAGTCTCAATTCATCGACTTCATGCGCGTGTTTGTTGACATTGTAACAAGTCTCAGCCCATTCAGAAGCATAAGAATCTAGTTGGAATGGTGTTATCTTGACATCATAAGCATCTGAGACTAATGAATCACAGTCCCATTCACCGCTATCCGCTGAAGTAGCTAGTCTGGGGGAGACGCTTCCGCTTATACTCGAGTGTGGTGAGCTGTGTGATGTCCCTCTGAGTAGAGGTGCCTGCAGTGACACTGATCCTGCCCTAGTTGTGGTATCTCGTGGTATTCTGTATGCTTCCAACATTCCCTCTTTGAGAAAGTCGACTATATTTTCAAATTGCAGAGACAGTAATTTGTCTTCATTCTTTTTCATCAATCCTATGCCAAACCTAAAAATAGCCTCTATACCTTCAGCGAATATGTTGTCGAATATCCTGTAGACAATGTCGAGTGGAAAGCGATACGAAAAAAGTGTCATAAACCATTGAGAAGCATACATCGAAGATTTGACACCTTGTTTAGTGAGGTGCGTGTACACCATGGGTAAAAACTCTTCCAATAGTCTATCAAACTGGAAAAGTCTCAAATGTAAACCAGGCATTTCAGGTAGATAGTGACCACGCAGATCATAAGATTGCATTAATCTGATTAGCAGTCCAAAGGCCTCTTCATCTGGCGCATTTAACAGAAGAGGACCTATAACGAATAGGATTCCCTGGGTATATCCACACTCCACATCATAAAGTGAGTAAGCTTTGGCCACGTTGAAAAGCCAATTTACTGAATCTGGGTCCTGGAAGTACTCCAACGCCGGGAATGTGCGTGAAAGATCTTTATGTATCGCTTTGTCATTTACTGATGACAACTTTAGGTATTCTTGGTATAATGCTTCTAGATCTGGGTTCTTGGAGCTACTCCTTTAGAGCATAATAGTCAACAACGATAATCACATCAATGACGTTACTCACATGAGCTGCCACAACATTCCGCGTAATTCCTTGGGTATACCCTTCTGAATAGCCTTGGAGAGCGCATGCGGTTGGTTATGAGCTACGTCCTCGTAGTCTATAACGCACACCTGTCAGGCATATCTCACCGAAATGTCTCAGACTTACTAGCCATCACTTCGCCCCAGAACTGCCAGTCGATATCAGAAGAGCCCTTATCGTTTTCTTCGATAGCGTGTATAATATTATGTTTCCCTTTATGTAATGAATGCCTCCTTGATGTAGAGGCAGTCTCATCAACTCTGCGTAACAACAAGCCAGTATCCGTATCCAAATCAGATGCGGGATTGCTCAAGGAACGCATTTTTGTATGCCTGCCTCTTGGCGAACTCTCATTCCTCTCATTATGGTTGCTATCATCGATATCGTTATCTTTTAGAGAAGTGGATGATTTGGGTATAGCAATTGAAGTCATGGCATTTTCCTTGTTATGATTGGATAGCAGTGAAATACTATTAAAGTCTGTATCAATGTCTGTCATTATCTAGCCCCTTGGACTTGGCCGTCGATTAGGAAGAATACGCTGTAGGATGGGTGGACCCAACTTGGAAATATTCAAATTCGCTGCTTATCTCTTGTGAGTGTTAATTTATCGACGTGACACTATACGCCCAGCTTAAGCTGATGGTATTGGCAGCTTCCCAATAGCATTCATGTACCATTTTGGAGATCCTGAGTGGTATGACAAGCACATTGAGCCTGTGAGATTGATTATACACACACACACCTAGTTACTCACTCTGATCTTTAAATGCAGGCAAAAACGACATTCTGGCCTAAGGAAGAAGATACAAATGTAGGCTGACTGCTGTTTACAAGCAAAATCACTCACAAATATTTTAAGAAACCTGCAAAGGATCCAGAGAGCCTTAAGTCTCAGCTCCAACAACTCAAATCAAAGCGCAAGACGTCATCTGATTCAGCACAGATTGAGGAATCGCAACCACAGCGACTAGTCTGATACGTTAGATCTAAAATTGCAATGATAATATAAATTAGAAGTCTACGTTTTGTACAATTAGTCTATAATATTATCCTCTTTCTCTTTTTACCTGCATTCATCAAGGCTTCTTCCTCAGCTTTGAGACGTTGGTTCGCTCTTTCTTCATCCATATCCTCCTCCTCTAAGTATTTGGAAATGCGATCAGCGTCGTGTGCACGTCTGATCACTTTGAGAGCTGCAAGATTGAATCCAACAACAGACTGTTATGTGTAAGTAAAGTATTTCCTTAATCGTAGACAGCAACTCACTTTCTGCTCATTCAAGCGTTTCCTAAGTGACTTTTTTAGCCCTATCATTGTGTTTCTCATCACTCTGTTTGCTACAATTTGGTGGTGATGGGTCTTGAGTAGGAAGAAAAGTATACGCGCGACTAATCCGATATTCCATCCCTATGTTTTCTTGTCAGCTTACTCTTGATACTTCTCAAACATAACACACCTTTTCGGACCATGTTTCGAGATAACGCAACAGTGAAATGACATGGCTAAAAGGCAAAACGAGTAGAGCATCGTGAAGATCAGGTGGAGAAATCTTCTCAAGTACAAACTTGAGCAAGTATTCGTCAGGAGTTGGATTACCCAGTGCGACAAACTGTGCATGGCGGGTGGGTGGTCCACCAACCTTATCCTTATCTACTTGAGAAAGATTATTGTAGTCATTCAATGCATTAATATCCTCGTCAGATATTTCGATGGCTTCAATAATCTTTTCACCAGCCATCAACGTCTCGCTTGTTGCTTTGTGTACGTTGTCAGCTTCAACCTGATCATTCTGGTCCTTGCCAACATCCTCATCAGCAAGATCCGCTTCATATAACTCTTCCAAAGCCTTTTCACGCTCTTCTTCTAAGAATAAAGGCTCGTCGAGCTTTTCCCAGACTCTCAAACTCTTATCGTGTGAGCCTGTTACCAAGAATTGACCGTCTTTGGATGTAACCAATGCCCAGATTTCACCTTGATGTCCATACAATTTCTGAATTTGTTCAAATTTGTCACCATCCCAATAAGCAACGGTTGCGTCCTTGGATGTGGACCAAAATCTATGAGAATCGGCTTCGAATTGAACCTGCATCACACTGCTATCATGACCAAAAAGAGATTTCCTACAGTCACCAAAGTCCAAACCCCAAATTTTAATATTCTTGTCAGCCGATGAGGTGATGATGAGTTTCGAGTCGTGTGAGATATCCATGGATAATACGGGCAATTTATGTCCGTAGAGTGATAGATAAAATTTCAGTGAATCATTGAAGAAGATCTTGACAGTTGAGTCTAAGAGTGATACTGCTATGTAGCGGTTATCAGGTGAATGCTTAACAGCCAACACTTCATCGGTCATTTTGAGTGTGCGGGTGTGCACAATGCCAACAGACTTGACTTTTTGATTTTCGACAACATCAGAGTCACGTTCAACTTCAGTGATATCCCAGAATTTGACATCTTTATCGCCAGAGGCAGTGACGAGTGAAGTTTTTGATGGTGCGATGTCAATGGCGTAGATAGTATTGTCGTGGGCATCAACATCTGCAATTTGAGTTGACGAAATTAAATCATAAAGTTGAAGGTTACCACTCTTTGTACCAATGACAATAGACCTGTTGCCTGGGAGGAAAGCAACAGAGATGGCATAGCCACAGTCTATGGTTCTCAGACAGGCTTGAGTTTTCATATTCCACACCTTGAGTTGGCCATTGGATGCACTGGCTAACAACTGATCATCAGAGGAGAGAGCAAGTGCGCGTATATCAGCTCTATGGCCGGGAAGATCTAAAGAGTGAAGGCGGTAAGCTTCAGGCTCCCTTTCATCAGCGGTCTTCTTGGTTGGTGCTGGTATGGCATGCAATTCAACAGCATTATTGGCTAATGCTAAAAGGACCTGTGCAGGAGCTTTAGGATCAAAATTAGAAGGAAGTGGGGGAAAAGAGAAAGACTTGATCTTGGAGTGAGAATGGACGACCAAGTATGGAGTTAGCCTATCGTTCATGGTGACGTTAATGACAGAAGAATCATCATGAGTAGCTTTTCCTTTATCTTTATTGCGACGTCTACGTCTAGCCATCTTTGACTTGATTTCTTCTTCAGTACGCAATCTGAGAACTTCGAGAGATCTATCAGAAGATAAAATGGCTAAGAAGGGTAAGGAATCGTGAAAAGCGAGTTGAGAGATGCGTTTTCTATTAATAGTGTGAGTTGGAAGGGTGGAGATATGGTTGATGAATTTGATGAAATCGCCATTATCATCTTGAGACAAGCCCTCATGAAGATTTTCGTGGTTAATAGACCAAAGTCTAATTTCACCATCGGAAGAGCCAGAAGCGAGTAAAGAGAGGTCACTTGTTAAGGTAGAGGTGGTGACAGGGGATCTGTGACCAATTAGAGTTTGTAAGCAATGTTGAGTGTTAAGATCCCATAGCTTGATGAAAGTATCGTTTGAAGTGGAGATTAAATGATTTTGAGAGATGAAATGGAGTGTGTTTATAGCATCTTTGTGACCTTTTAAACGAGTAAGACCTTGTTCAGCCAAAGTATCCCAAACGATGATATTTGTGTCTTTTGAGCCAGAAATAAGGCGTATACCCTCAAAGTCCCATTCAAGAGAGGTGATAGGAGATTTGTGGCCGTTGAAAGTGATGTTTGCAGCGTTATTCTGCCAAATTCTAATAGAGCCATCACTATAACCGACAGCGAAGGAGTTATTGGCAGGATTTGGGGATAATTGGGTAACTTGAGCTGTACAGCCAGTCTCATGCCACTCAGATTGAAGAGTAGCAGATTTAATATCCCAAACGAGTACATCTTCAAGTGCAGGGAGATATGCTAGCTTTGTAGATGTTTGATAGTGTACGTTGGAAGGGGAATTAAATATTAAACCAAAAGCCTTTGTAGGGGCGTGTCTCGAGTAGCTGTAATAATTAATTATAAAAATTAAATTTTATTTATTAATATACTTACGCTGACATTGACAGCAGCTATCGTTGGTAACAAACGAGTATGGCTGAGAATGATATTTCAAACAAATCTCCATTTAATAATAAAAATTTATTAATCGATGATATTTCTTTGAGGAGGCATTCTATGATCGATAGCCCGACGCAGCCTTCTCAAGATTCGTACAGAAGACCCACGCTGGCCAACACGACTGAGCTCGACTTTTTTAATTTGAATTTGAATGACGAGCCAATAAACAAGCATAGATCTTCTTACGTGGCTCCAGGTCCAGGTCCAGGTCCAGGTCAAGTTGCAGCTCCAGACCCCCACTCGTCATCCCCAACGATCACCCACAAATCATCCTCCGACAACTTCAACTTGAACAACGAAAGGCGGGGCTCCAGATTTGACTTTGCTTCTCAGTCTTCCCCCCTCTCTTCTCAATTCCCCCCAAGTCTACAACCTTTAGACAACAGCGCGCTTGGTCTCGAGCTCAACCAAAGAAATCCTTTCAACCAAATCCTCCCCAAACTCTCCCCAATTCAAAACCATCCTCCTGCGCACTTTTTCAACTTGCCTCCTCTTCCTCTCTCTTCTCCCACACAGCCAAGATTTTTCCCTTTTGACGTTCAATCCCAGTCTCAGTCTCAGACCCAGCAACCGCAGTCAAGTCTCAATGATCTCGGCAAAGGCACTCCCACGTCTAGCATTCCTCCCCTTACTACCCTCTTCATCGTTGAATTCAAGGCTGCGAGGTTCGTTCTTTCCTTTTTTCTATGTCGTCACTAACCCCACTTTAAAGGTCCGACTTATTTTACTCTCTAGACACTTCCCTCTCTTCGAATATACACTTTGGTGACCTCGTCATTGTTGAAGCTGACAGGGGCAAGGATCTTGGTAAAGTTACAAATGACTCCCTCACTATCGAAGACTTGAACCAATTCCAATTTTCTCAATCTGGGCAGTCTGTTCATCCCATCCACTCAGACTTTTCTATGCCCACTTCAAGACCTTCTATATCTGTTTCTCCTTTGGATGATGCTCCCTCACCAACATCCTCCGTTCATCAATTACCCGCTGCTTCTGCTACCCACAACAATCACAACCCTGCTTTTGAAGCTCTCAAGACCGTCTCTAAAGACCTCCAACCAAAGAAAATATTTGCCAAGGCTTCCACTTCTGATACTCAGTTGTTGATTACTAAGCGCCAAGATGAATCAAAGGCCCTGCAAATCTGTATCTCAAAAGTTAAACAAAGGAACTTGCCAATGGAAGTTATTGACGCTGAATACCAATGGGATAGACGCAAATTAACCTTTTATTTCATTTCCGAACAAAGGATAGACTTTAGAGAATTAGTTAGAGAACTTTTTAGAGGTTTTAAAACTCGAATTTGGATGTCGAATATCTCAGCCACTGCTTCTGTTCAATTAGTTCAATCATTGCAGGCTCAAGCTCAAGCCCAAGCCCAAGCTCATTTCCCTCAACAAATGCCTCCAATGATCAACATCCACGATCCTCCTTCTCCTTTGACATCCTTGAACGATTTACCAAAGCAATAATGTACAAATTAGATAAAAAGTTACGTGCATTCTGCCGTTGTAAACCTTTTATTATAAATTACCTTTCTTTGTTGTTTATTCAGTTGCTGAAATAGCTCTCTCTGGTGTTCCCGATGAGTGTTAAAGATGAGAAAAGTTTCACTAATTCCAATAAAAAGATACGCAGAGACCATCAATAATTCATCAATTCATACAAGCATAGTTTGTGTCTTTAAGATTTATAAAATCAAGATTTCTAGCAGCAATTGCTTAAATCGCTCAGATACCTGCAAAGTATGGTCCAAATGCATGGACGTGATCGTTGAGTAAGCTAAAGTTGTATGGTGTGACTGGAACTTCTTCGTCGGTGATTGCGATGAAGACAGTTCCATTAACGCCCATACCCTTGCCGTACATCATAAAGTCTGGGTGGATAGTGGTAGCTGTCATGGCCTCAGTGTCGATGTTTTCGAGTGGAGCATATGTGACATTAAGTTGGTGAATGAAGGCGACGTGCGATGGGTCACCAAGATCTGGGTTCTTATCGGTGGTGTAGTTTTGCTCTGATGGTCCAACAGCCATACCTGGTGCCTCCCATTGCAGCTCGAGCTGTCTGCCAGGTTGAGCTACGTGTGTGTAGTTATTACTGACAGCGGATTCGATAGATGTGTCGAGCGTCGCGTTGGCGTTGGTGACATTCAAAGCTGGGAAGACTGGGAACTCGACTCTTGGGTTGCTTTCTGGGCAGCTGTCGAGGTAAGGAACCAACAAGCTCCAAGCCATAGCTTGAGTGAGACCTGTATTGAATTAATCAGCTTAAAAATCCTTGGATGAGAATTTTCCTACCCATGTTAAACCAGTATGGTTGTGGGAATTCACCCGCCATCATTGCCATAGAGACTTCTTGCTTGGCCTCAGTGGTGATACTTTGGAGAAGCTATGTTTCATCAGAAAAATCATTAGCAAGACAATGTCTACTCACAAGTTGAGCGATTGGGCGAGAGTCCAAATGAGGAAGGAAACCATAGACACCTGCTTCACCGAATCTAGTGATGTATTCTGCGAACGCAAGTGCCTCTCTCACAGTAGTGTAAGGGTACTTGTATGAGCACTGTTGGGAGGTCTGTCCAACCGACGCGAGAATGTTGTTGATCATCTCTGCATGACCAACCTCTTGCTCAGCCATTTCTTGGATGTAATATCTCTGTGATGCGTCAATGCCAACAGCTTCGAAATCCTCGTCTGGAAATGATGCGAGGATGTTGTGAAAGAGGTCTAACTCCAGGAACTCCTGGTTAACACCAACGACAAAGCTGGCGGTGTCAAAGTCGGACATTGGGGTGTACTCAGGGAGTTCGTCACCTGAAACGCCCACGCCACCGTCTGGGGGCGCTGGGTATGCAAGTGCAGAAGAGGCTATGATTGCTGAACTGAGAAGTTTGGAGATCATTGTGGTAATAGTAAGAGAAGCAAAAGCGGCAATTGATTTGCGTCATTTATACCTGGAATCCGCTAAAACATGCAATTAGTTCATCCGATGTAGTTCCACGGGTAAATTTTAAAGGTGGATGTGGGTAATGCAGACGATTGGGAACGCTTGCTCTATGTCTCCCATTGAGTTGCACGGTTTCCGCTATCAATCCGCTGACGATTGCATCAGGCCCAAATCATTACTTGCGTGAGAAGTAATAACGCGTGAGTAGGTGGCGCGAGAAGTTTCTGGGATATTCTCCGATACATTATGCATATTTCACATATTACTACCACCTCAAAGTTCTTGCATGAGTGTGGTTGCGAGTCTGTATCTGGCTGGTGGCGAACAGCGTGGAGAGAAAGCATTTCACAGGATAATTGAGTTATTTAATTCCCTCCTTAAGCCTGACAGGAATTAATTTGTATCCCTCACTCAATTCTCCACTTTCACCGCTTCCACCGCTGACATCACTCGCACGTACAGTGCATTTCAGATTTACTAGCATTTAACTAGAAATGAGCGCCGACGTTATTCTCACCTCCGCGGGCTACGATCGCACGATACGCTTCTGGGAGGCCTGGAGCGGTGGATGCTCACGGACAATTCACCACTCAGATTCCGTCAATAGGCTCGCTATCAGCCCAGACAAAAAATTTCTAGCCTCCGCAGGCTATACCTCTGTAAAACTTTACGATATCAATAGCAGCGACCCAAACCCGGTATGGCTCTGCTCTAATCTGATTACGGCGCTTTTCTTACTTGGCTTAGATACAATCATTTAACGGACACACTGCAAACGTTACTGCAGTCGTTTTCCAGGCTGAGGGGAAGTGGATTGCGACTGGTAGTGAGGATGGTACAGTCAAGATTTGGGACACGAGGTGAGCTTATCAGTCATAATAGTAGCTTTAGTTTCTCATTGCTCAATCCACAGAACATCTCATGTACAGCGGGCTTTCGATCATCCATCGCCAGTCAACGACGTTGTCATACACCCAAACCAAGGAGAGATCATCTCCTGCGACCAAGCTGGAAGCGTTAAAGTCTGGGATTTGGGTGAGAACACCTGCAGCCATGAACTTGTACCCGAAGAAGACGTGCCCATTCGCTCAGTCACTATTGCTTCTGACGGCAGCTCGCTCGTCGCTGGAAACAACAAAGGTAATTGCTTTGTCTGGAAGATACGCGCCGATCAGGAATACGAAGCCTCAGAATTCACTCCAATAACGAAGCTGCCTGCTCACAGTAGGTATATCACAAAATGTATACTCTCCCCCGATACCAAGTGAGCTGATACCTTTCAATTGCTCATAATCTGACAATTGCCATTAGGCATCTTGCTACTTGTTCTGCCGATACAACGATTAAGATTTGGTCGACCCATAATTACGACTTCAGGTTGGAAAAGGTGCTCACCGGCCATCAGAGATGGGTATGGGATGCTGCTTTCTCCGCTGACTCAGCCTATCTCGTCTCTGCATCCTCAGACCACTCCGCGAGGTTATGGGAACTCGCTAGCGGTGACACTGTGAGGCAGTACAACGGCCATCATAAGGCAGCAATAGCCATCGCACTCAACGACGTCAACCTTGCTACCTAGATTGTAATATTAGATACACATTTTTTTATTAAGAATATATAAGATCCGAGATACAAATATTTTTATCAGTCAACACTATCCCAGCGAGACTGTGTAAATATATCTATTGTTCATCCGCAGATACCGTGTTGGTAATCGTTTGGATCATAGGAGATGACGCCAAGTTCGAGGAGACGCTTGTAAGACCAATCTGCAGCGTCTTCGTTCTTCCATGTCCAGAAGAAGTAGCCACGACCACCATTTTCGAATGTGTCGATCTGTGTGTACCACATGTAGCGCAATCTATTTTTATAATCCTCACTCCAGTTGTCTCCATTGCCTGACTTTCCTTCACAGCTGCCGACGGCAGTTGATCCAGGTTGGCTGCCGTCGTATCGAGATCCGTTGCCTCTACCGTTGATATATTTTGCGCAGTCTGTGAAAGCCAAAGTCCATTCTCCGCAAATCACCCAATGTTGATTAGCCGTGTGCTCTGCAAACGTTTGCTTGAACGCGCATATTGAATCTAAACGCTGTTGATCAGTCTGATGGATCTGCTGGTTTGAGAAAATTTGGTATTTGTGAGTGTCCATGTAGACATTTTCTGCGCCAGGATATGTTAAGAAATCATTCCAAGAATCAAGTTCAATAAAGCCACCGGCAATTGCTGTAGCTGTTTTAGGTGACACTATGTTATATCCGTTCTGAAAGTATGTTTTGACAGTATCGTACATTGATGGACGTGCTGCTACTTGTGGCTCGTTCATAAGCTCTATTGCATCCACGATGCCACCATATTCAGGCTTGGTGAATTCATCAGTGAGAATCTGGATATAGTAATAGGATTTTTCGATATTGCTTTGATCCGTAGGCCATAAGAAGTAGTCCATAAGATGTCCTGAGTTGTCTTGACCATTCTGGGATCCAGGTGCACCTTTTATATTTTAGTCATGTGAGTAAGACAAGATAAGACACTCACCGTGTAAGTCAATCCACACTTTGAGACCAATATCGCGGCACCATCCGACGACTTCCTGTAATTTTGCATATCTGTTGCCCTTGATGTATGGTGTGTCCAGAGTTTCGAATGCCCAGAAGCCAATTGGGATTCTGACGTGAGTCAAACCAGCGTTTTTGATATCTTGGAAATCGCTATAGGTATAGAATGTGTCGAGATGACTGTTAATAACAGCCTCTGCCTGATCGCTATCCTGGTACTCGCCGAATGTCCACTCGTCGACGATGTCTGGATTGCCCGTGTTGTCAAAGATAGAAGGAGTGATCCAAGCTTCGAGGACAAGAAAACCACCGATGTTTACCTTTTTTTGCGTTAGCTAACATTCTCAATGCTACCAGCATCGCTCACGCCTCTAATTTGCTCTCCGTGACGACGCTGCAACGGTCCGGCTGCTGCGATCGACAGAAGCGCTAAACACAGAAGCTTTACTAACATGATGATGGTAGTTGTGGCGGTAGCTGTCTTATTTATTATTAGCTTCTCCGAACAGGGTCGAGCGCCGCAGTGCAAATTTGGCGCTGTCAAACGCCCCACTTATTCAGGTTTCATGCATAGAATATGTTTCATAATCATCGCTTAAATAAATTATGCGCTACGTTGAGGGATGTTGAACGTTCACTGCACCTCATGCCGGTGTCTTCTTCAGAGCAAAGGAGGTGTTTTGTTTTGAATTTTGCTTCTGATAATCACCAAAAGATGGTTTATTCTAGCTTATTGGAAATATTTTCAGAGCTGGTGTCTGCCATTGGTCTCAGAATTTACTCGATATTTTAAGGATTCAAAATCGAGGAACGCGAAGCAGTAACCACTAAGAAAGTATGGAGCAGGAAATTCATTTATCTAAAGCTCTGCCGCTGCCACTGCAAGCCCATTTCGTCACGACGCGCTGATCTGAATATACTGGGATACGCAGTAAACACTAAAATGTCTAGTTAAGCACCCACAAACAAAAATAAATTTACAGAAGCACACTTCATGCACATTTTTATCTTCATCACCGACAATCATCAGGATCTGCTGAAATTGGAAATACGCGACGATGCCAGCTTTAAACTTTAGTCGCGGCGTCGACGACGAGCATCTTATCGAAAAGTACGACTCCCCAGATCCCGTCGATCACGACAATCAAGAGGCCAAGGTTGCGTACGACAAGGCTTATCGCGCTAGGCTTCGCGCGACCTACAATTGGATGCCACCAGGTGCGTGAATATGGGTGGGCTGAATAAACGCTAATGACGTTCCACAGAGACGTACCTCTCACGTGCATACAACATCTACAATCTCTCGCCTCTCTCTAAATTCAAATATCGAGTAGATTCATCAGAAATGAGCGAGCGTTATGGCCCAGCAAATATAACACCCCTTATAAACTACTCCGACTTGGAACACTCACTTAGAAGCTTCGTTTCATCACGTCATTACGTACCAATCGAGTTGATTGATGTGCAGATAAATAAAGGTTTGGATATGGCTTTGCCTGGAACTATCATGTTCTATATCGTTTGCCCTTCTATTACTGCGGCCGACGGTACTAATGTCCTCACAACTGGCGACTTGGAAGTCTCTTACAACACCGATCCACCACCTAAAACATGGACCAATGCTGCTAGAGCTCAAGCTTCCGAAGAGTATGACAAATTTCTTGATGAATGCAATAGGAAGAAACTCGCAGAGGATAAGCGCAACAGAAATGAAACCGATGACCATAGGAAAATGAGGAATAAGCAATATGACCGCGTCGTCAGCTCTAAAAAGGAGGCGCTTCTTCCCGACGTACCAACCCTTGAAGAAAAATACCCTTCCAAAACAAGCGTATTTGTCATTCTTCCTCGTTCTGATCCCTTTGAAAACGACCCGAGGGATGACCCAACTATAGCAAAGTGGCCCATCTTGCTAGAAGGTGCAATGGACTCGCAAGTTGTTCAGCTGTTTAGAGAATGGATGGGCTGGAGGCTAAATGGTGTCTGGTCGCAGTCCAACTTGCATACAGGTCATGAAATAATCGACAGCTTTATCGAAAACACATGGTGGTATTCTGAGTACTACAACGTGCTTCCTAAGAGACAAAATGAGTTTTCTGTTGGATGGGCTTTGCCTCTGCAAGTCGGGAAAAATATTGACGTCGTCGACATAACAATATCTCATACCCAAGTAAGCAAGTTGGCCAAGTCAGGCGCTCGTGAAGACAATATTCCGAGGCTTCTACCACGGATTAAGGAGGTTCTTATAAGAAATACCGGTTTGCAGTTAGATAGGTGGATTCCAGTCAAAGCCACCCTCTGTGGAATTACCATAGATCTTTCACAGAAGAAGAGAATCAGAGTGAATCCAACGGCGCATCTCAGCAAGGATTACGAGTGGAATAACGATAAAGAAGCACTTGAAGAATTCAGACTGGCTAACTTCCTAAGGTGGCTTGTTGCTGCGTTTGACCAAAGGTCTAATACCGCTGCTGTTGAAAGATCCTTGTCGAGGAGAGAGACTAACGTTAGCTTCAAAAAGCGTCCTAGAGTTGTTAAGCATGTACCGGGTGCTAAGGATAGACCAGCGTTCAAGCGACCAAAAATTGATAAAGGTGCCCGGGCGCAAAGGATTGCGGAGAAGAGTCAAATTCGAGGGAAGGAAGCAGAATTAGCGGATGGACAGGAAGTTGAACATGAAGACAAGGAGGGCGTTGAGTCTAAGGGTGAAGACTCTCAGAAGGTACTTGAGGATGCTGAAAGAGAGCGCGATATTGAAGGCGGCTACACAGAGAAGAAATCTAAGGCAGCTGGGGCAACTGAAAAGCAAACGGACGGTCAAGATGTCGCAGAGCTCACTGCAGAGCCTACGGGTGCCGAGTCTGAAGAAGCTGATGCAGAGCAAGAGAGTAGGAAGGAGACCGATGAAAAAAACAAAGCAGGTATGATTAAGACGCAGCGTCCAAGAGATTCAAACACCCAGATACGGTATGGCAAAGCAAACAAAGAAGAAGCTGAAAAGGAGCTGAAAAAGCGTGAAGCAAGGGCTCGACGTTTAAGAGAGATGACACGGGAAGACAATGGCAATGTCGAGGAAAGTGTGCAAAGACTTGAAGAGCGAACTGCTATGGAAGGACGTGAAAGGCGAATGACAGGAGTTGAGACGGAGAGTGAAGAAGTATAAGCAGTCAAAACAAGTAATGTAAATAATGTATTTTAGTAATTTGTATATTATATTTAACCGTTAAACCTGATCCACCAAGATAGCAATCGCGATGGATGCTGCGATTGGAAGAATTGAGCAAGCGTGTCAGCAATTTACACATCCAGGGACTAGGCAGCAAGGCGAGAATGAATTATTGGCTATGAATGAGGCACTGTCCCCAAATGAGATACCTTTGTTGACGATTGCAGTACTTGGTGAGTTACGTGGGAGTGGATATACAGAGATTTATAGAAACTCCAGAGAACTCGCAGGAATATTACGCACACTTTCATCTCCTTACGCTGCTCATAACCACTATCAGCCCAAATTCAAGTCCCGAGATCAGTCAATGTCTTCTCAGTTACATTCTCAGCGATAGAGCAGTACCAGTATACGTTTCAGTAAAGGCGCATTTAGCCCTCGTTAAAGCTACCAGCCTAGAAAACTTGGTCGTCATTCTCAATAACATCAGACAATCTTCACCTTCAGCAGCTGTCGGTATATCCCGCGCGATCCTGGAAGAGCAAAATATTAATCTTGATGAAGACAATGAGCTTCAAACTAAGTCATTTGAGGTATGCTTCGTCTTTGTTGGGCTTACAACGCTTATCCAGCTTTTAGGACAACGTTCTTCCCGTCCTCTCAAACATCGTATTACACAGCCTCACCTACAGTCACGACCACAATGTCATCAAGTATACCATACCAGCATTAGAGGCGCTTTTACTTTATCGAAACGACCAAAAAGATTTCATTTACAACACTGCGACTGACTCAATGCACATCAGCGTCCTTATTCAACTAGCCAGTCCTCAAGTGCTTCATCTGATCCTGTCTGTAAACACTTTTGACAACGAAACACTTGGTTTTATGATGAAGAAAGTTTTGAACGCCATCTTCAGCAGCAGTCACCCACAAGACAAAGATGGATGGTCTCTCAGCCTTGTGCATTACCTTGAAAATGCCGAATGTATGGACATTTGTACGAAGCTCTCATGCCATAAGTCTCTGCTCCAATCTCGCAATCTAAACGTTATTCTCGAACAGAAAGGCGAGGAATATGTACAGAAGTTGTTCCAACTTGGAAGTGCTTCTCTATCACAAGGAGCTGAAGCGTTTGCAGATTTTTTGGCGTGCTGGCTATCCATCTTAGCCAGTTTGGAAAGTAACAGGATCATCATACCAATAGAAATGTGCACCCTGATAGCCAAAGGATGGCTGGAAAATAAAGCATCACCCTTGGATAATTCACAGGAAGTTTTCGAAGAAGAATTAGATGACATTGAAACAGAAATGAAAGTCATCTTGGATCCTTTAGCTCAACTGAGCAGAATGGAATCACTGCCAATTTTGGATAACGTCACTGAAAAGCTGAACATGTACAATATGCTTATCGAAACGTCAGGCTTTCTGTCAGACTGCAACTACGATAGATTACAAACGCTAGTTTTATTTGCCGGATCGATAATAGCTGACGAGGGCATCGGAGAAACACCATTGATTCCAACTCAAATCATATCCAGTGAACAAACAGTTTCTGCTTTGTCAATGCTTGTGAGAAGTTTGGCAAAATTGACTACCTTATTTTCAAGTGATATGGGTCTCTCACCTAACGTGTCTGGCATCATTTGGAAGTGTTTCTGGGCAAGATATCTGCGAACCTATGGACTGATAGATTGCTTGTCGCTTCCGCCACTACAAGCGTTGAATAATGTAGGGTTTTACGTTGAATTTCAAAAGGTTATCGAACATTCTTTACTAAAATGGAAATCTGAAGAGGAAGTGGTAGAAGGATTAGCTGATACGATTGAAAGTCTTCCCACATTACCTGCATTAATCAATTTTGGCAGCATAATTGATATTGTCTTATCGAACATGCACGATTGGCCGTACAAGCTGGACAAAAAGCTAGTTAAGAGTTGTGGAACGTACATCAGTAAGATGGATAGGAAAGCTGAACAGACCAGCCAGTACAAGTCTCGTATCTTCTATTTCATAAGCGTTATGCTCAACGTAATTGAAAATCCAGAATTTGGAGCCAATTCACAGAGGCATCCATACATTACTAATGTTAAAATGGGCTTGAATGCTCTAGTTGGATTAAGTGAAACGTTAGATCCCTATACATATATAGAGACTGTCAGTTTCATTAAAGATGTCTTGTCGCAGTTGATAGGAGTAGTTCAGCAGCACTACAAAGCACGCATCGATATACAAATGGATGTTCTGTCTATTTTCTATTCAATAATACAAAATATGGACCTTGGTTTGGATTACGATGAAAGTACGTTGAGAGCATTACCACAAACTTACGTAGCGCCTATATTGAATATGTGGTTTGAAAACTATCTATCTATCAAATACGAGACGGGCATGGACGATAGCGACGAGTTTAGTGAAGGTGTTGAGACCACAACTAAGATTTTGAGAGAGCTGGCTGCTGTGGATGGAAGTGCCAGTGATGTTAATAATGAGAAAAACTTCTCTTTATTTGTTCTCTCTTACTTAGACCCTGTCTTCAAAATTTCACGAACAATCATACAGTCGAACCTTACCTTGCAAAGTGACTCAATTGATCTTGCATGCACGGTATTGAGAAGCTTTCCGCGGTCAATAAATTTACGCATTAGTTCGTCTGAAGAAAACTTCTTCAACACTACTCTACTCAATATTCTTAACCAAGCAATCACTTCGCATTGGAACGCTTCATATACTCTTCTTGATGGAATGGAAAGCTTCATCAAGCACTCAGCTGATAGTTAGTTGGGATTACTACGACAGAAGTCATACTGACGTCTGTTCATAGGAAAACATGGCGCAAACGTATTATCGCAGATTTTGGCAATACCTCTCAACGCTATACTAATGAGATTGACCTTTTCGCGAACCCTGAAGCAACGACTAATTAAGTTCATTTCAACTATGCTCAACTACGAAGATACGAACCTTTGGTTGAACAGAGACTTGATACTATCGACTATCATTCAGAATCTAAGATGTCCAGAAGGCAGCAAAGCTGCACTTCAAGCCTCACTTCAATCGGCCCTGATGACTGGGCTTGATTTGGCCACTTACAGAAACATTCTCAACGAACTGAGTACACACATCGCAAACATGCGGCGGGTGTAATATAGTTTGCAGCGCATCGAGCTAATTTATGTTTAATGTTTGCATGGTGCATGAAATAGAGATTGATTGTACAAACAAAGATACCTTTAATTTATTTCAAGTTGGCGACCTTAAAAAAAGTGATTTAAAGAGCGTTGGAATGATTGATGAAGGTCTAGGGCGCAGAGAAGATGTGTATGTTTTTAAATTTGAATGTAACGAAATACACGACCAAGTTAGTAGAATTATTCAAAAAATCGAATCTGTATTTGGTTAATGTGTGACAGATGGTACAAAAGTGAGGTCAGATATTTCCCATGAGCCCGAAAAAAAAAAAAAGCTCCTTTTTAAATAAGTACTATAAATCCATGGTCGTAAATGTGACATTCATTTCTGGAGAAGTTAACTGAAACAATTTAATAACAAGGTAGTACCATTGGGAGACGATCGTATCCTAATTCTGTATTTATCGTCGACTTTCGCGTTCCCTAATAATACTATTAACGGTCTTTCATTCCTCCCTATACTCCGCATGGTTTAACGTTAATATTCTCAACTTGATTGTAATACATCAAAGCATATGTTTCAGGCAAAATATTATTGAAGTATGAAATCGCAGTATGATCATGTAAAAGTGACCTATATTCTTTAGTCACTTAACTTCAGGTTAGAACTTAACGTTACATTATATTTACAATAAGAGACTGTCGAGGAATTCAATGTAGGTTTTAAAACGGTTAAAATGTTTAAAACAAAACTTATTCCTATCTGAATGTTTATTAGAGTTACCGTTAACGTGAAAATATGAATTAATGGAAATCGCATAATTAAAAAAGTTCAATCATACTAAATTTACATTGACGTAATCAATCCTATATAAAAAAACAAGATGTCGAAAACATGATGATAATTAAAAGCTTCTTAGAAAATCATTAAATGAGACGGAATTTTCAAGTAAATTTCATTTCTAAACTGCTACAAGTCACCTTAAGTCAACGAGCGACGCCCCGAATTTACTCTTGAGATCCGTTTCTTGCCGAAAGACAAATGCGTTCTACTAAAACGTTCCGAGCTAACAGTTGTAAAATAAGCCTATCGAAATTGAAGACGTTCTTTAGTCACGAAATTTAGAAAGTGAGAATTATATCTCAATTTAAGATATTTGTCCTCAAGTCATACATCAGTGAAAGATGCAGAAAGCGGACAAAATTCTATCGAGACATGTAATTAAAGCTTGAAGCGCGACTAGAGTTCAAAGAAAGCAAACTGATGAAATAGAGAAAACCGCTTTATAACAAGACATGACGCACTAATAAAAACAGTAAAAGTAAACTGAAATAACTCGTCTCAAAAAAGTTCGGAACGTAGTGACAGGAATTTGAATTACATTTAATGACAGTTAAGGTTAACTCAAAACTTGAAAAGGAAGCACCGCCTCACTGAAACAATTTTCTTCACCAAGTGGAAAACGAATGTTTTTTAAAAGCTGAGGATATCCAATAACGAACTTTATTGAAAAAGGCAGTTTTCGTGCTCGTCTTTGGCTGCAAGAGTGGGCAGAAGCTCATGCGCCAAATTTGTTATTTTAAGCCTTTTCGCTTATCATTATGATTTCTTTTCTGATTTGTACGCCTTATAAGTACATCAATAGATAGTCGTCAAGCTTTTCTTTTCATTCCTTACGTGAGCATGAAACCCGTATCGAGTCTATTGCATTTTTAAATTGAGTTCTAATAATGTCGTGTAATATGGTACACGGTTTAACGTTGTCTCCGTACGAAAAAAATAAATCATAACTCAATTATCATACGATATTTTTTCTTCAAATGCTACAGAAGGATTTACGATCCTAGATTGTATTAATGGGCAGCTGTTCTGATTTTTTGTTCTAGCCACAAAGGATCTCTAGTCGAGAAAACGGAAATTTTGGCATTTTGCATAACATTTTGGTTTTGCACCGAAATATCGTTGCTGATACTTACTTTTCCGAACTTTGTCATCTACATGACAAAATATAAGGAGAAGACACACCCAAGGAATTGTGGTTTCAAGCTTTTAGCGTAGCTAAAGGGACAGCACTATTGAAAAGTGGGTACAATATAATCCAGGTTTGGTCGCAATTTATAAAGATTATACAGAATATTGATAACTTAGTCTTCCTGCTCTAAAGGCCAATTTTCGTTTCAAGCCTATCTCAATGCACATAAACTTAATAAAAGGCAAATGTTGATCTCACAATAGATGTGATGAAATATTCTTCCGCTACCAAAAGGGAGATTATTTACAAAAAGAAACATTTGTGGACTTCTCCTTAAACCGGTTTCTATAAATTCCAGTGGAGGATTGGTTTAAGATGCGGAACTCTATTGCCGTTACTGGAAGAATGCTGCTTTTAATTTAAAGTTAGTAATACGGGATTCCAGTCGGACTCGTTCGCGCTGCTGGCAACTATTCTCAACGTACGGTGCTCTATCACTAACAACTCTTTAGTATCTCTGCCCCTCGACGCCAAGGTATTTGAACCAAGAAGACTTACAGGAAATTATTTGTGCAGCTGTATTGATCCTTAGCTGCATAGTAAACAAGTGCCCTCCATCGGATCGTCTCTGCCATTCTCGTTGACGCCCTATCCCAAACGTGTGTGAGGATTTTCAAGACGTATTATCATCATATAACCACATAGTACATAGTAGCCTCCTTTACTGGAGCATCTGCTCTTATGTCTTTTCCAGTAAATTAACATAGCATTTCTGTGGATTCGATTTAATCACCTTTGTCCGTGAGCCATTACTTGAAGTACCCCACAACCTAGCAGTTCGAAGTCTTTTTGATATATGGGTGAATTTAAATTTTCTGACTGTGAACTGCGAAAAACTACAATTTCTGAGCACATTCGGTAATTAAGGAGTTTTAGAGATCATCTGAGAAATTAAATCTCAATATTCTCAAATTCGTGCGAAATGTCAAATTCTGTAGAGTTTGAAAAATGTCCTTAATACTAGCACTGGACTTTCTTGGGAAGACCCTACTTCATTGGGTATTGATTACCACATGACCGTCCTACTTTACCTTGCAACTTATGCGCGCTATTTTGAGTCAATTTCCTTTACTTCTTAGCTTACTCGCTCTAATCACAACCAAAACCATCTCAGCATACTGGCGATTTGTGCACGTGACTGAGACCGTTCTTGACGATAGAGCATACTTGAAATACCTGATCAATGCTCTTTTATATTTCCTTTCATACCAAAATTTGTGAAAGGTACAACGTCCAAAGCATTCTACCCGCAGTCATATCAGACAGCAAAAAGAAATAGCGATGCATTGAATTATCGGTGGCATCCAAGGAAATTTTGCAGTTGAGCCTTGTGTAGAAAGAGTGATTGAGTAGTATTAATAACCTTTAAGAATTGGAAGAAACATTCATGTAAGTTTCTTTGCTAATGTCGTCTAAGTGACGTTAATTGAAGCTTGCTTGTCGCGAAAAAGATCATAAATGATTAATTTAAATTACTTGTAGTCTTTTCAATAAGAGGTGGAAAAAGTACAGCTGTTTGGGTATTGAGTGTTAAGGTCTGAGTGAGTGAAATATTCAGTGCAGCGTCTTGCAAATTTCTTGCATATAAATCGACACCTAGTTTGTCAAGCAATTCTTTGCTTTTATTTGGCATGATTGGTTGAAGGAGAATACCAATAATACGCAGTGTTTCCCGAGCGTACATGACACATCGCGCGCACTCCTCAATTGAGGTATGATCAGACCACGGCTCAACTTTTGTGAAATATCTGTTAACCTGATCGGTCGAGTAAATATAAAAGAAAAGAAGATGAACAGACAAACCTCGTGAAGGGTATCTTCGATGGTTTCCAAAGCTTTTCCCATCTCAAAGGTATCCATAGAAGTTATGAACCGAGTATGCAAAGAAACCAACTTGTTATGTAAGATCTCTTCATTATCATTAGGATGAATATCGATGGGATTAGCATTTGAAAGTTTATCCATAATTTTTTTTCCACTAATTCTTGACAACAAATTACCAAGTAGGCCCTTTAAAGTAGAGCTGTATTTCAGATCTAATTCGTGTTGCTTAAAATCAGCGTCATTTGCGAAGTTACCACCAACTCTAAGTAAGTAAAACCTCAGTACGTCTGCAGAATACTTGTGAATTGCGACGAAAGGATCGACGACATTACCAGTGGATTTAGACATTTTGGAACCGTTCATGGTCCAATGTGCGTGACTAAGAATAATTTTTGGCAATGGCTTATTTGAAGCCAAAAGTAGAGCAGGCCAGTATATAGCGTGAAACCTGTAATGCTTATGAGCATTAAAGGCAAATGAGAAGATTTTATATATACCTAATAATGTCTTTGCCAACTACGTGTATATCAGCAGGCCAAGTGCTTAGACCATGAAGTTGAGCAACAGAATAATAATTAGTCAAAGCATCAATCCAAACGTAAATGGTATGTGAAGGATCGTTAGGGACGGGAATACCCCAGTTTAAGCGATTGGAAGGACGGGATATGGACAAATCTGAGTTGGCGCTCTGATTTGACTGAAGGGAAGAAAGGATAGCGTTGTATTGCTGGGGTGGGTGTATAGCTTTAGGATTTGATAACAACCAGTCAATCAACTTTTGTCTGAAATGTTTAAGTTTAAACTTGTAATTAGTTTCAGACATCCATTCGACCCTTTTTCCAGTTTCAGTGGAAATTTTATACGATTCACCGGTAGAGTGATCAAAGTGATCGGTGACAGATGAATCAGAGTAAAAAGCTTCATCGGATACAGCATACCAGCCTTGATGGCTACCTTTGTAGATGTAGCCTTTGTTGAATAAGTCCAACCATAGGGAATGGACAGTGTTGATATGATGATGACTGGTGGTTCTTATGAAATCTGTATGAGAAGACAGAGCTAAATCTGCTAGACTTTTAAATTTGGGGGAGATGTTGTCACATAATTTAAGAGGTGTAGTTGAATGGGCGGTAGCAGCTTGTTGAACTTTCAAACCGTGCTCGTCTGTGCCAGTAGAATAAGCGACATTATCGGAGGGGTGTTTCAATTTCAAGTAACGCGCGATAGTATCCGCGACAACAATTGAATATAAGTGACCAATATGGGGATCAGCGTTGACGTAGAAAATCGGGGTAGTAACAAAATGAGTATAATTCCTAATGCCTAGCCTATTAAATTTATGTAAGTTTCTTGAAATCATCATTGTAATATTTTAACTTTCTTTTATATGGGCCTCTTCGACAAAACTTCTTCTTTCAATTTCTCAATCAAGTTGAAGTGGCCCAGAATATTTGAAGTTAAAGACTACTCAAATGAATACCACTCAACTGAGATAAATGATCGATTTAATTTGGCTAGTTGAATGTATCTGACGTTCTTCGAGTCACTCAATCGACCAACATGCTTCTTCAAAATGCTTTTTCCCCTTGTAGCCTGATAACTTAAGAATATTTCTCATTTCACTCCAATTGAATGCCTTAATACCATGCCTTGTTTGATACGCAGCCACACAAACACGGGAATTGGAATGCTATGTCACTGGGATTTTCTACATCCTCATCCCCTTCTCTGTCTCTAATATGACTTATAAATCTGAAAATACGAAAACTATCGTCTTTGGCTCGGTAATCGCCACGGGTGTACTCGCTGTCGTTGTATTCGTCATCGTTCTTTGCTGGCAGATTAGAAGGAAAGCTGCGGATTACAAGAACGATGAGAGTAATATTCAATACAAGAATTCCCCTCAAGACAAGCTCTTTCAGTCGAATCACAACACGAGTCATATAAACCTGTGAGTCTTGATTATACGCTTTGTTACAATCGATTGACTCGATAAAATTAAGTAAATCGCCTACAACGACTCCCTCAACTAGGTCCAGTGCTAGCTCCTTCTTTAATCAGCCCAGTTCCTGGATAGATAAAGACTTTAACCAATTGATTAACAAGGAGAGCATAAAAGGTGTTAAGTTTAGCAATAAATTAGAATTGTAAGTTCTCATCCCTTCCGCTCACATCAAGTTAACTCATACAGTGTCGATGACCACCCGCAATCGCCATTATCTTCCACCTGGTCACTTGACCCAGAGTCTAAAAACTCACGCAGCTCCTTGGCTTATTTGAATGAGCTACCAATAAAACCCAAACCAGCAGCGAATACTGCGAACAAATCCAGTCACTTAACTTTAATGGTTGACAAAGACATGGTCAAAGATGTTCTACCAAGCTATTATAAAGATGAAGATAGTGTATTCAACGTTTATCATGAGAGGTGCAAAAGCTTAAGATGACATCATAGTTAATGTTTAACATGTTGCCATCATGCCGCGTTATCCTTCATTAAACTTCCAGATGTACAATTCTTCAACTACCACTCAGTATCATATACCACAGCTTCACGAATTTGTAATTTTAATAATAGCATAAAGTTTATTCACGAGAAATACACCCGAGTTTTCCAAATTGATGTTTTAGTTACTAAATTAATGTCTGAGTTGAATCCATGATTGAAGATTTTCCTACGCTTTGGTAATACACTCAAACTAGCGATTAACAAGCGCATATTGATCAATTCGCCGAAATTTACAACATAATTGCTTCCTTTCCTTAAACGGTAAATAAATTTATGAATTCTGCGTATGATATCATCACAAGGACTAGACACGCCGTCTCTGTACTCGTTCACACACCTCGATCTTAAACTAAAATTGAATTTAACTTCTCGACTGCAACGTTCAAGAAAGAAGCTTTTACATACAAATCATGTCCAACTTCCCACAGCACGTCCAGCAGGCACAATCGCTGTTACAGTCAACCCTGGACGATGGACGTATTAAGCTCAAATTCATTAGCACTATTGGTACTGGCGCATACGGTACAGTACTATTAGCTGAAAGACTAGACGACTACTATAGACCGCTCGGTGAACTGTACGCCGTTAAGTGTTTGCCTAAGTATGGCTTGGATGATCGTCAGAAAGCTTTTCAAAGAAGGGAAATTGCTTTGCATGGTTTAGCTTCATCACATCAAAATATCGCAACCGTTCATGCGATTATTGATAGTCCAGCCACAATCTTCGTTGTTTTGGAATATGCTCAAGCAGGCGACCTTTTTTCAATGATAACAGAACAATTCAAATATATCGACAACGACGAGCTAATCAAGTCGGTATTTCTACAAATAGTTGACGCCGTTCAACATTGCCATCGCCTCGGCATTTACCATCGTGACCTCAAACCCGAAAACATTCTGTGTACTGCGGGTGGCAACAACATTTTGCTAGCTGACTTTGGTTTGGCTACTTCAGAGAGACGTTCAGGTGATTTTGGCTGCGGTTCCAGCTTCTATATGAGTCCAGGTCAGTTCATTGACTTTTTCCGGAATTTAATTACTAACTCCGTACAGATTGTCATGGGGCTCTGACTCACAGAAAAGTTCCTTACTGCACAAAGCGCAACGATATATGGTCTCTTGGTGTTATTTTGGTCAATTTAACCTGCGGTAGAAACCCCTGGAAAGAAGCAAGTCTGACAGATGAGACATTCTCTGCGTACCTTCGAGAACCAGACTTTCTAAAAACGATCCTACCAATATCAGATCTCACAAATTACATCTTGAAAAGGATATTCACTATTGATCCAATTCAAAGATGCAGTCTTGATGAGTTGAAACAAAGGGTAATGCAAGTTGAAAAGTTTACCTTGACACCTTCTCAATTGAAGCATGCACACAAAGCCGCAAGACAAGCTGCCGCTGCTACATCATCTGCCGCTGCATCTGCTGTTGCTAATAGAATCCAACAACAGCAAGTTGATCTTCAACAACAACAAATGGTGGTACCACCCCCACCTCCACCAAACGCTAAAGAATTAGGTTCGCCAAAGAGGCCAAGAGTAAGGCAGAGGGCAAACAAGAACGACAAGCTGCCACTGACGCCGCCAACAACACCACCAAAGGAAGTCAATTTTCAACACCTCAGACGGGTGGAGAGGAAGCCAAACCTTAAGAAAGTGGCTGTGCCCGTTGAATCATCAGACTCGTCTTGCAACTCTAACGAAACCGATGGCTCATTTACATCTAAGCAACCTGAAAGTCTATTAACACCCTTATCGACACCACCTGCGTCACCAAACGATGCCAGCCCAAAATTCAACTCAACAACTAAATCGTCTGCGTTCTCTAAACTGACACAAATTTTCAAACCATCTAGATTCCATACAGGTACGCCAGAACAACAAGCAATGAATATAGACGTGGAATCAGATTTTGGTGATCAAATTGACCAACAAATCGAGAGGGTGTCTTACCCGTCAGCTCTTGCGATTGATATCAATGGTATGACCAAGTGAAATGATGGTATTTTTTGTCTACTTATATTTGGGATTTTCTTTTTCAACTGTATTAACAAGGAGCAAGATATCAAGGATGCTTTGGGATGAGCATTGACATGTCTATGGAACTCCGAATAAATTTCTGCTACTTCTCACTTCAAACACACAAGCCAAATTTAATAATTAACTTGTATTTGTATTGATAAATGCAATCGTAATTAAAGTTAAAAATCGGGTGTCTGTGGAACTGCCAAACCAACCCTTCTGGCAGTTGCTTCGACCCTCTCTTGTGGCGTCTGGTCTGAAAGTGGATTGTAGCGCTTCAATAACTCTTTGTGTTGTCTAGATGCCCTCAGGAAATCCACCATGCTTTCCATATCTTCCTTTGAGTGGCTCGCTGATGCGAAGAGTGTACGCAGATGGGCGAATATCTGACCATTACGCTCACCGGGCGGTGTCTGTAGCTCCTCTTAGCACAATATCTAAACGAAGGTCCATCTTACACTTCTGCTGAATTCTCTCAGCAGATTTCTGTATAAAAGCGTTGTCATCGACGATGAGAGTGATCTTATAAGAAGCGTGCGTTAGGTGCAGCGGCGTATGAATAGTCAAATACAATTTTATAGGCATATGTGCTAGTTTGTTAGATTGCAGGTGACGCATCACTTGTTCAGTTTCGGGGCTGCGGTGTTTCGGAGTCTGTTGCAATGATTGACTTTTAATCGATCGAGGAATGCCTACGTCAGACAGAACTAAATAAATAAAATATTTAGAGTACGTTCGTTTCTTGGCCACATGGATTATAACGTCGATGTGTTGATTGGCATCACACCATGGTTAAGTGCAGAGCTGGAATTATATACATTTGCCAAGTTCACTATTCATGAAAGCAACGTCCTAAAACAGACTTATCAGGCTTGTTTAGAACATAAAAGATTAATCAAATAAATCATTAAAAATACAATCATAATGGCCTCAGAAAACACTCCAAGTCCCTCACGACAAACCACGTCAAGACATTGAAATCAACGTCGACAATTAGTTCGCGTGCACGTCATCGAGAGGCTAGCAGCGTGCTACCACCTCAGAGTTCTCGGTGAATAAGGGAAGGAGGTCACTAGTCATCGTCGAGCCAATGATAAAGTGGCAGAATTAAATCTGCGATAGACTGGATACGACCTATAGAATATGATCCTTTGGAGTACCTGACGTGCTGTGTGAGCATTGCTTCTAATCCACTTTAGTTGTTCACTAACCGTCTTAAAGTTTTAGGAAGAGAAGAATTGCCTCTTTATACCAATCCCGTTAACGTAGATTAACGAAGTTTAACGAGGTGATAAAAGCGTTTATGACTTACTGATGAATGCTTTAAGTTGATAATATATATTCCGTTCGGACAACCGCATCCTAGAGTTTGTTGTACATGGCTGATGTAGCTCATATATGGTGTGAGTCGCAGACCAGTATGTATCAACAAAAGCTTCGTGCTATCAAATAATATAATAGATCGAATGAAAGGTTTTGATGTCTCGCTCTCTTGATTTGTGTCTTATCTCATGTACGGAGCTGGAAGATGGTGTTTGTCGGTGGTGCCTATAAATCTTGCCAGCTAAGTTGTAAGTTGCTATTGATGTGCTGAGATATATGAATGCTTTAATCACTTTGCCTTCTCGACCTTGACCATCATCAGCACCATCATCAGTCATGGATACACATCAGTTGAAGTTGCTTAAGAATAGTGTTATAGGAGATGTAGTACAAAAGAAGCAGCTTTCTGAGAGTAAAGGCCAAGTGGAATCATTGATTGATCAGATTTCGCCGTCGAATTTACATAATCAAGTTGATACTGACAGGCTGATACAATCTTCGTTAATTATTGGCAGTTTGTACACCAATATAAACATGGAACCAAATCATCAATACCTATTAATCAATGTACTTGATGGCGTCGTTAAACGCTTAGTTGAGACTGCAACCGTCTGTAACTGTCAACGCGTCCTTGAGTACTTGTTCAGATGTCTACGGAATGCATCTATCTTCTACAAAACAATCACCACCTTTTCGAATAACAATAGAGCCGGTATCGACAAAGATAGTATGCAAATCGATGACGATATATGCTCTAGGGCTGCAGCGCAACTCAATAACATTTTTTTTGTAGGTAATGTAGCTCTATCCTGCCAAAGACTTACAAATTCATTCAGTCTCCGCACCTACCTAATCTCCTCAAACATCTCACATCGTCTAATAGAAAACTCGTCATCAACTTGATCACTTTGTTGACCACAGTGAATGATACTCGACACAAAGCATCGCTTCTTTCCGTAGAGGGTCTGCTTGACCATTTGGCTAAATACATCTATTGCGATGTACAAAAAGTGAGATCCCTTTATTTAATTATATTCAACTAACCATTTCATAGCTTCAAATTGCAGCGCTCAAACTGCTTGGTTCCTTGTGCAAAGACTATTCACCTGCGGTTTTAGCATTTAGACAGGTACAAAGTCCGTGCCGATTCATGCTATTAGATGATTCTAACATTTATATGCCATAGTGAGAGCAATACCATCACTGACAATATTTTTTGAATGCAAGAGTCCCCAATTAAGACTTGAAGCATGTAAAACGTGAGTTGTTTTGAAATGATCTTGAATTCGACTTATATTATAACAACAGACTAGTACACATTATCAAAAGTCAGCAATCAGACCTTCTTAGACCCGATGGACCCCCGACGATCCAACTTATATCAACCATTGATAGGCCGAAAGCATTGGAGTTAATCGAGCAGCTGATTCGACTACTTGATGAAAACATTGAGATACAGATACCGGCATCATCCATCTTAGCGACTATATTGTCAGATGCGACGGACTTAGAAGACCATGCGTGCAAATCAGGTATACTCAACAAGCTGAATGATATATTTCAGACTTGTCTGCTGTATGAAAAAGACGAGTACAACGTGGAAGGTAGTAAGCTATCAGAAGACAACCTGAAATTACAAGAAGGGATTCTGATGATAGTTGCAGCGCTTGCACTTCATTTAGATGAATTGAGAACATTGATCGTTGATGCACATTTATTAAAAGCAATCGCGGTATCTTTACAACATAAAGCCAAAGGTATTCGAGGCTCAGCTGCACAGTGCATCAGAGCACTGAGTAGAAGTGTAGGAGTGTTGCGTACATCATTGGTTGATTCAGGTGTTGAATTGACATTATTGAGCATAATCTCTAATGATGAGGAAAATGAACGTAATAAAGTGATAGCCTTGATGGCTTTAGCTAACTTAGTGTGCGGATTCTCACCATTAAAGCAAAAGTTAATACAAAATGGTGGAGTAAAGATTCTAGTGAAACTTACGTACTCGAAATCGCACAAGGTTAGATTGAATACTCTTTGGGCTATTAAGAATATGGTTTTTGCTGCATCGACAGAGTTGAAGAGGTTTATTTGTGATCAAATTGGATATAATCACTTCAAGAAGCTGTTGAATGACAGCAATAGCGAAGTTGTTGAGCAAGTTTTATTTGTTTTGAGAAATTTAGTTACAAGAGAAGTAGATATCAATCTGGTTTGTAGTGGATTTGGTGGAGAGGATAAGTTTCTGGAGATTATTGAACATAAGTTTCAAACAAATCAAGTAGAGATTTTATTGCAAGCTGCGTATGTTGTAAATAATGTCGCAACTGGCTCATATGAACAGAAGAAAACGTTGCTATGGCGACCGCTTATATGCAGCAACTTGAAGCGATTACTTACGCACTGGGATGAGAGAGTTAGAGCTGCTGCTGTATGGACACTTCGTAACCTTTCGAATTCAATTGAAGGTCAGCCCTACCAAGCTCGTAGTGAGATACGTACACGTATGCGTTTATTGGAATTCGATAAATCGCTCTTGACTTTGTCTCAGGATAAATTCTCCGTTAGTGAACCAGCAAGATTAGCCTTAGATGGCATGAATACGTAATTATCAAACTTAAGACACGCATAATAATGTTTCTACTGTATATTATAAATTGTACAAGTGTAAAAATATTAATGAACGGAATTATTAAACCTTTCTACTCCAAAATAGACTGATTTCACCAGCACGGTCATCTTCATCTTCATTGATATTGCTGTTTGTCTTGGGTTGTTCTTGGATTGGCCTAGAAATTGCTCGGAGCAATGGCAAGGCATCAATTTCTTGGTATTTGTTATTATTGTTGCTTGCTGCCAAATTTAAAGTTGATGGTAACGTCTTTTCTTGATCTGATTTGTTGTCATTTTGATCATCATTCTTGTTTAGAGAAAGACGAGATCTCAGTAATCCTAGGTAATGTGTCATCACGTTGTTTGTATATATCTCCGAGGTTTCTAGATATGATGAGGACTGATGGTAAACTTGATCTAATTCTGATATTGTATAATTGAGGTTGCTAATCGTGTTGTTCTGATCAATGGTTTCTTTGTCGGACGTTGACTTGTCGAGTATACCTCGAATATCAGATTGAACAGCTTCAGGTAATTGATCTAGCTCCAAGTCATTGTCTTGATTCATCTCTGTCAAAGACGAGTGATTGTTGTATACATCTACAGATTCTTGTTCAGCTTTCCTAGCATCTGATCGCAACCTCGACCAAGTTTCATCCTCTAGTTTTAACTTTGCTAGAGTTTCTTGAGACTTCCTTATTAGCTCCTTGTACTTCTCATTTTCGGGATTTTTAGCTTTCTGCCTCTGTTTGTTGCTCTTTGGTGGCATCCAAGGTGGAGCATTGATAGACAACGACTTTACCCAATCATCGACAACATTTTGTGCTAAGCTGACAACCTTTTTATTGTTTATTGCATCTAGTAAAAGCTTTTGCTCTTTGAGTTCACTCTCTTCAACTCTTTTTGATCTTCTAGGTTTAACGACATCTGGATTACATGCTCTAAACCTGCACCATTCAAAAAGAATCTTGAACCTCCTTGGATCGGGTAAATCTTCGTCTATATGCCTACAGAACTCTGTGGAGTTGAGATCAGGGTGTGGTGGTACGATGATACCTGATCTAGACCAAGATGATGATCGCTTTCCTCTATTGCCTACAGAAGACCGCCTACTTTTTCTCAAATCTTTATTTGCTTTTATTTGAGGAGTTTCGGCGACTGGCATAGGTGCAGAGATATCGACATGTTTTGATATTTGAGGCTGAGGAGCTTTCATTGGAGTGGATGATACGTTATTTGTAGCAGTTTCAGGAATTTTAAAAGGCCTAGGTATCTTTGTAGGACCTTGATCTTTAATACTGAGTTGATTATCTTTACGCTGAGTAGGTTTATCCTGTTGAAGTTGAAGCCTCTTAGCTTTATCTTTATCTTTTGCATCTTTTCTTTCCTGAACATCCTTCTTCTCCTTATCTCTTTCCTTTTCTTTTAGCCTATCTTTTTGATGAGGTTGGAGTTTGCGGTTATCATGATGATTCGACTTGAGTTGTTTGGAATTAAAGTCATCTTTAGACGATCGCGGAGATTTGTGAGCTTTTTGATCTGAAGGTAGAGGTTGGGATTGTGAAGGCTGCTAGCGATATCAAGTTAGACGAAGACTGGAGAGATATCAAGAGACGTACATCAATCCTAGGCTTCTTTCTACTGTCAAGATCAGAGCTGCTATTCTGCCTTGTATTTCTGCGTGATGGTAAAGGAGCTGATGGAGGTGGAACATCTACTTCATCGTCTTCTAACGAGGGCATTAAGAAGGTGTAAGAGGATTGCTTGGATAAGTTATTCGACAAGCCAGTTGACAGTCTTGGGCTCTGCCTTCTCGAGGTCGTTGCCATTTTTTATTTCAACAGAGATGATGATATAAGTTGAAGACAGTAACGCGCGCAGTGAGACGCGTATAGTAACTCAAGTAAAATTTAACGAAATTGGTAAATGTAGAGGAAATTTATTAAAATACAGGTGGGTTGTTAATTTATAGTTGAATATCATCTTGATAGAAAATCTAATCATCCTTATGAGGTGGTGGACCAGCTGGGGATATCATAGACTAATACATGTACATTGAGTTATATTTACTAAGAGTTTATATGGAATTTTACTCACCTGTATCATTTTAAACTTTGTACGTGATATTGATTCACCATCTGCTATGGACATATACGAGGATAGAGGTGGATGACCGACGATGCTAGCAAATGTATCTCTTTGTTGGTTTGTGACCCATTCGCTGAATTTTATTGGTTAGGATTATTCATAATAACAAGTTAGATGTGCTCACTGTTTGGATATATCAGGATTACCAGTACCTGTATATCTTGCGTGTAATCTCTCTAATTGTTGATTTTGAATATAATTAAGATTTTCGGACTAAATTATTAGAATTTAAAATATTCAATGATAACTCATTGACACACCATAGATAACGTCGTCGTTGATCCAATATGGACCTGTATAATGAGTTCACCTTAAAATTAAATGAATTTAATAAAATTTTGAAATCAATTACAGGCGACAAGAGCTTAGATGAATACCTGGGAGAATTAGATACTATCAAACAATCAGAATTACAGGCTAATTTGGCATATTTTATACAGGATCTTGTTTATATTTTACTAAATCTGAAAGGCGTGGATACAACAGATCATTCTATCGCAAATGAACTTAATAGAATTAAATTGCAATTCTCAAAGATTAAGCACGCACAGGAACCTCAACACAAGTTGAATGTTGATAAGCCTGCTGCTGATAGATTCATTAAAGCTGCTTTACAGCTTCAACAGAAGTCCACTGAGCAACCCCAACAATCTCAGCATTTAAGATTCGATAACGATCATTCCGAAAAGAAGACTTCTAATGACAGAAAATTCAGATCAGACAAAAAGAGCAAGAAACGCTCTTCAGATTCTCATCAAGAAAAACCTCCTTCATCAAATTCCTCAACTTCATTAAATACATCTCAACCACCGAAGTCGAAGAAATCCAAGAAACATACTTAATCTTTGTTTCATTACTTGTACAACTAATAATCCTCTTTGTTAACATCATCATTACTCCTGCTAGCTTTATCTTTTGATTTTATTCTACTCAACAACTGCTCTGATCTACTGCTCCTGTTGCTGTTAGGTGAACTAGACATACTAGCAGTTGCATTCTCATACGTTGAATTATTACTACTAATGCTTGATGTCATTCTGTGAGTCCCTTGTCTACGATCATTCGACTCTGAAACTACTTTATCAAGCGATCCCGATGGTGAATCTATCGAACGCGATGAGCTACTCTGTCCTTTCCGTTCACTTGGTATACCAGGTATTGACATCATTGGTGAAGCTTTCGGTGGTGTCGTTACTGATGATCTTCTTCTACTCTCATTAATTTCATTATCATTCGTTTCATTAGACAGATTCAACTCAACTGTTGGTTGACTGCGTGATATATGCATTCTTTCATTCAATTTCTCCGCTGGTTTCATTAAAGGTACCTCATTATCTTTTCCCTTTGCCTTCTGATCCTTCGCCTTCTTCTTCAACGACCCTTCACTACCATGACTCTTTTTTTTCTTACTTATTTTCTTCAATGCATCTTTAGCGTGATTCAGTTTAGGTGATGATTTCAGCGCTTCTATTGCAGATGATGGTGTGTTTGTATACGTACTCCCCTTTGATGACACTGAAATTGAACTTGAAGATGAAGATGATATTGGTATAGCTGCGTTATTGTCGCTTTTCACCGAAAGCTTTTCGCCAGTCTCCTCATCCTCTTCGCTTTTCATTGGAGACACAGCTGCTTCACTGTGGGTAACACTGACATCACCACTCTCTTTCTTCTTCAAATGCTTACCGACCAATGAAGCAGATCCGTCAGCTAGCGAAGAGTTTTGATGATTTGTATTGTGGCTCTTCAAATGCTCTAGCCAGCTATCTTTATTAAACTTCTCACTGAACCATGACTTGGTCTTGGATGATGTGCTCCCAACAGAAGCCGATGACGACGCCAACGCTGATGCTGGTGCTGGTGCTAAAGATGTTTGCGAATCAAGTACGTTCCCATCTCTATTATTAGCGTCGCTCTCATCTTTTTCATACGTCGTCAAGTCTATACCGGGCAGTCCTGAAGGCAAATCTGTTCCATCAAGTGATGTAGGTGCAATTGATTCTTTCTTATCACTGTGTTCCAGTATTTCTTGATCACGTTGCTTGATTGATTCTGGTCGATTTTGCGGAAATTTCGTGCCTTCTCTTCTAGTCGCTTCAGAGAAGATACCACCCCTGTGTATCTCATTGCTTGTATCGAAAAATGCGATATCATCCATTGCTGGCATCACCAAACCTTCTTGTATCTAAATGTTGTGTCAGCTGATTGAAAGTAGTACTATTCATCTTACTGACCATCTCTCTTAATTTGTCCTTTATTGTAGATAGCACCATATTCCATTTGACCTTTCTATCTTCAACGACAGGTTCGACATCTAATTCCATTTCTGGCATAGTCGTAAAGCCATACCAAATTCTATTCGATGGAGGCTTCTTCATCTTTATAATCATGTTTCCTTCCAAACTTCTTAATACCACAGCTAGAACCAGATCGACAGAGTATGACTTTAGCCTATTACCTAAGTTGATTGAAGCTGTAGCGGTCAGTGTAATCTTAACACAGCCTTTGAATGACACATGTACTTCAACTGAAGCATCGCCCTCTTTAGTCAACTCCTTCAGTACCGGTTTGGAGAATTTCGGTGGCATATCACCCAAATTAGCTTCGGTGACCGTAATATTTGACAAAAACTTTGGTCTTTTGACCACCTTCAGCTTTTTCATGATACGACCGATAATCCAATCCTCTATCCATTGCGTACGATAAATACCAAAGAAATATCTGCCCAATAAGGCGTTCAACCAACGGGTGGGAATTGGATCTGGATCGTTATCGATATTACTAACCAATCTTTTCATATCGTCGATGATAAATGAGGGGTACGGTTCCGAGTATGGATTGCTCGCTGGATCTGAAGCCTGTATAAACTCATGGTACCAGTCTGAAACATTTTGTTAGACGATGACTTCATAGACATTGATACTAAACTTACCTTCGAAATCAACGAGATTCAAGGCATGGATGAAGTAAGGCTTGGATTTGTTTGTGACGTCCAAAGTATCATCAATCTCACTATTACTGCTATCCTTGTCCTTATCCTTATTATTCTCCTTGTCCATATAGTCATTCGAAACGCCGTGACTAGAATCTATTTGTAGCTTGATGGCAGTGCGCTTAGTGAACAACTCCGCATCAAGCAATCCAGGTGGATAAATGCTGACATCGATGGAATCCAAATTTAGTGCGACGACAATCTCATCACAACTGTCATCGGTATATATGTATAAAGTGCGAGATTTGAGAACTGCCCAGAAGATGTATCTTGCTTTTGGTTTAGGGCGGTGCTGTACATCTTTGTTCTCTACTAGAGATTTGTACCCCGCAATAATCATTGAGGCATAGGATTCGTCTACAGATAGTGTCGGATCTAGTTCAAAGTCACGCTTTAAATGCAACCAGCCAGACTTGGTGACTTTAGAATCTTGTAGTGGCTGCTTTAAAACTTTAGGCTTTTCCTTGGCTTGGTCTTTACTCGCTCTCGGGGCAAGTATGATGAACGCCGAAATGGATAGCACCAACAATAGCGGAATGAAAGTAATACCGCCGATAAAATAGACTTGTAGGATAAGCTTAAGGTCTGTCATACTTGAAAATACACTGCCCTTGATCTGGATCGCCGCTAGAACGAGTTGGCCGATACGAATCAAGAGTGATTTCATTGAATTTCCATTTTGGGTTAGGGTTAATACAAGTTTATGGGAGCGGTTAGGGTCTATCAGAGATACCTACAAAGGACATTAGCAGACTAGTGCATTTAAGCGGCGGTTGTGCTGCTCGGCTGAGCTTCTCTTTAAGGGGATATTTGTGAGTGGCACCAAGCGCACAGACCAAAACAAGTTGTGCGCCAAAAAGGACCTAAAGTAATTTTATGGAATATTCCGATATATCCACCAACACATGTACCGCTGAATCTTATGAACCGCCAAACTTTAATCACGTCGATAGCACTGGAAGCACAGCTAGGAATGGCTCATTTGAATTTCAGGCTACAAGCTACAAATCATTCCCGTAATAAACCCTTTTAAACAACAACAATCACTGCCAATGGACAAATTACATAACATAGTCAAACAAATAGACAGAAACGACGAGAATGTTAGCGTGCAAATTACCGCCATCAAAAACCTTATCGATCAGATTGGATCTTTGCAGGACTATGCAGGCTCGTTTGAGGAGACTCAGTTTGGGTCAGCAGCAATGCAACTAAAAACGGAAATAGATAATACAATTCCGCGTATACAAGATGTTCTCGTACAGAATGACAACCTTATTCAAAAAATGATGGACTTGTTCTTCGTATTAGACGCTGGTCCTCATCTCGACAAATTGTCTCAAGAGTTTGGTAGGTACCAGGAGACACATTTAGAGGTAAGCGCGAGTGAGCCACTAAAATCCAGCGCTAATTTGACTCAGAAACGCGACTTAATTGATGAATACAACATGGAACAACTCTATGTAAATGATTTAGTTGCTAAATGGCCGCAAGATAGCACCATCAAACAGCTGTCGAGTGAGATTGATGAGCTGTCATCACTATTTGCAAACTCTGGCCTTTGATCACAAAAGAATTACAACAAAATACGATATCCTCAAATCAAGAATCCTCTAATTGCACCACCAACATTGGATGTATCAATCCTGTTTGTTTATTGTTAGTATTGAAATTCTTAAGACTGTTTCAACCTCACAAGAAAGTATCGTGTCCCCACGGTCCATCTAGTGCGAAGAATTTCACGCGCTCAGGATCACCTCCCTTTCTCAAGCTATCAGCCAACTCTCTTTGCTGATCAAATGGGAATAGTATATCACTGTGCACCCCTATAATCAATACTGGTATCTTTGATAGTCTTGTTAAACCCTCAGTCAACTCTTGAGCGTATGGCACTGCTGGGGCTGTTGAAATGTATGGTTTGCGATTGTTGACCTGCACACTATCAAGTGAGGGCGGTTCCATTGAGTGCGATGTTTTTGATCCAAGCAGTTCCTTATTAACCTTGTTCTCATTTCTCTTGCGGTGTTGATCGATGTCCATCAGGGCTGGTTTGGTCATATCGAACAAATCCATTGCTTTGGAAACGTATATCAATGAGTTGGCATCGTATTTCAAACAGAATTGTTCTCCCTGTAGACGTGTCAGACATACTCCACAATAGATAAAGTCCGACTAACTTGATGATCAAGGTATGTTTCGATAAGAAAATCTGGGCACAGTTTAGGTGCATCTCCTGGATTGTTTACATTCGTAGCCATCTCATCATCTGACAAGGGAGTGACTCTCCTCTTTCTGCTGAATCTTTGTTCCCACTCAGGTCCAGATCTGTAAGTGATAGTGGCGATTTGTCTAGCCATCTTCATGCCTGTGTGTGGAGGCATACCATCGTAATAAAAACCTCTATTCCAATTTGGATCAGACATTAAACAACTTCTCTGAGCGAATCTCATGGCTACAGCGGTTGAACCTGATCGAGCAGTGCCGGAGATAGATATAATCGAGCGAACACGTTCAGGTTCAAGATGTGCAGCAGCGATAGACTGCATACCACCCATAGAACAACCGGCTGAAGCGTAAAGTTTGTGAATACCGAGGCTATCGATCAATCTCCACTGAGCCCTGACCATATCAAATTGAGTAATTATAGGGAATCTTGTACCATAAGGTTTACTATCTTCTGGGTGGGGAGAAGAAGGACCAGTGGAACCATAACAACCACCGAGGACGTTGGTACAGATAACAAAGAATTTTTCAGTATCAATGGCATAATCTGAGCCAGGACCGATGAATCTTTCCCACCAGCCAGGAGTATCATTGCCTGGATGAGACTTGGCGTGTGATGACGCACTCAAACCCGTGTGTAGGAGAATAGCGTTTGATTTGTCTTGATTGAGAGAACCCCAAGTTTCGTAAGCGATATCGAAATTAGGGAGTACACCGCCATAATCCAAGAGTAAAGGATAGTGTGAAGTGAAAGACTGATAAGTTGCTGGAGTGGGAGTTGCATATACGGGCTCTGGGCCCTCACCCTCAACGTCTTCAATTTTAACCTGATTTTGATTGTTTTGTTTGATGAATGTAAGCTTATTCGCCTGTGTCGCCAGCTTTGCTGCTCTTGATTCATTCGCATCCACGCAAGGGAAAGAAGGAGCATCTGGGCGTTGGTGGGGGATTGATGAGCTCATGAATCTTAACCCAAGCTGTAAATTCCCCCGACTAGCCGATTTGACAATTTTCATCATAATTAGAGTTGATAGTAAGTGAAGATGACGATCTTGGTTTCAAATTATCAAGTTAAATGAGCGGTAGAATCAGTGAGTGTGTTTTGTTATTTGATTAGCTGTTTAATCTGGCTTTATAGAGAAGGGTGGCCTTAAAATACCACCAAAATTGAACAACAAGGCTAGGAAACCACCTGGAAAGCCCAAGCAGAAAGAGACAGAGACAGATGCTGATCACCCACTTCCAACTCCACCAGCCACGCAAGACGCTCCTCAGTCTATTCACCAACAAGGTTCCAATGAGAATATCGAATTATCTCAGCCAACTCCGGCGATTGAGCAGATTGGGGAAAGCCAGGAAATTAACACTGGAATTGCTACACCTGCTCCCACACAGCAAATCCAACAACCTCAGCAATCCCAGCAATCTCAGCGGTCTCAGCAGTCTGAGCAGGCTACTGGTTTACCTACACCAGCACCAATCCAACAGCCTCAACTCCCTCAATCATCCCAGCAACCCCAACCATCACAGCAAAAGCAAGGTCCAACTCCAATCTTGCCATCAAGAGCTTCTTCCACCTTATCCTTCAATCAACGTTTCAATCACCAACAGCAGGAAGAAAAATCGCAGCAACCTCTAAATACAAGAGCATCACAGACGCCGCTTCAGACGCGAGCTGTTGTTACTCCTACATCATCAGCCGCTCCCCTTAACACCAGAGCTGCTCAAAATCCGTTACAGACGAGAGCATCTCAAGCAACCAGAGGAACTCCAGCTCAAGGAATAGAAGTAGGCACTTCATCGCAACAAGAAACCAACTTAATAGAAAAAGAAAATCAAACTCGCGCTAATACGAGAAAGAATGATGGCGAGGAGGACGATCAACTTGAAGAAGCCGAGATAAAAGCAAATAATGCAAAGCTATCAGCTAGGCAGTTACGCACACAGAAGATGAGAATGAAAAAGAGACCAATCGAGGAGATTTGGCGTGATGATCCGGAAGCTCAGCCAATAGACACAAGTACTTACAAAATGTCCGATCTCATTCACGATCCCGGCGTGGGCAGACTGAGTAGTAGAGTTGTTGACGTCACAAAGAAACACGCACAAATGAAAAAAAGGCGGAAAGAGGAGAAAGTTAGATTGAGAGAATTGAATGAAGAAGATTTGAAACAAGATGCTGGTGATGATGGTACAGGTCGCAGGCGAACCGTCGAAGATGAAGAGAAGCAGAGGAAGGAGAGAGATGAAACAACACGAAAGAAAAAGGAAGATAAGAAGGCCGAAAAGAAGCGTATTAAAGATCAGAGGAAAGCTGAAGAGGGTGTGGAGGAAGTAGTTGATGGCGATGATAACAATGAGTCTTCTTCCGATGACGATGAAGATGACGAGACAAATGACCAGCAAGGTCCGCAGATGAGATTGGTCAACGGAAAGCTTGTTATAGATGAGCAGTCTTTGCTTGTCGACCGTTCTGCGCATTCTCGTAACGACACTTCGGCGTATGAAGTTACCGAGGAACTCGATACGGATAGATTTGTGAATACCAATACGTGGAGAGGCAATGGAAGAGGTCGTCAAGACAGATGGACAAGACTTGAGACTGAAATGTTCTACGATGTGAGTATGTGACTTTACCCAGCACTCACGCTCACGTTGCTCTAAGGCTCTTAGTAGATTTGGCACTGACTTTGAAATGATAGCAATGTTGTTCAAAGGTCGTACACGCAGAGTTATTAAAGCAAAGTTTAGCAGAGAAGAGAAGTACAATAGTGATCTCATCACACAAGCACTCAAGAATAGAAAACCGTTTGACCTCATTGAGTATGGCAAGTTCATAGGCGTAGACCTCAGTGGTCCTCCGCCAGAAGTACGCCTTCCGACACCCTTGCCTCAAGGTGAAGATGTTCAGAAGAAGGAGGAGGACGCTGATGGAGCGGAGGAGGTCGTGAATCCAGACGAAGAGGAGCATCACGGTCGCGGCCGCAGAGTATCTGTCGGAAGTGCTTCTAGCAAACGCAAGCAATCTAGAGGACCAGGTGGACGTGATCCTGAAAACGAGGAGGGTGCCGAAGTAGTCGGTATTGTTGAAGGCGGCCAAGTTGTTGCCGCATAGAATAATTGATAGGAGTGTAATCAGTAGTGTACCATTTATAAATATCCTTGTATTTTAAACATTCCATGCATATAATCACCTCGTTAAACTTCGTTAATCTACGTTAACGGGATTGGTATAAAGAGGTAATTCTTCTCTTCCTAAAACTTTAAGACGGTTAGTGAACAACTAAAGTGGATTAGAAGCAATGCTCACACAGCACGTCAGGTACTCCAAAGGATCATATTCTATAGGTCGTATCCAGTCTATCGCAGATTTAATTCTGCCACTTTATCATTGGCTCGACGATGACTAGTGACCTCCTTCCCTTATTCACCGAGAACTCTGAGGTGGTAGCACGCTGCCAGCCTCTCGATGACGTGCACGCGAACTAATTGTCGACGTTGATTTCAATGTCTTGACGTGGTTTGTCGTGAGGGACTTGGAGTGTTTTCTGAGGCCATTATGATTGTATTTTTAATGATTTATTTGATTAATCTTTTATGTTCTAAAGCCTGATAGTCTGTTTCATGCCGGTGTGTAAAACACAGAAACTTACGAACCGTTTCGGGAGAGTAAGGGACATTGAGTAATCATCTACTATTCAAGCTAGCTTTTTACATGAGTCAATGAATTTTTATTAATTAGATCAAAGGCGCCCTGCAAATAACCAAGTCAGTGAGACTACAAACTTAGGGATTCCATATCCCGATAATTTGAACAATTTTGAAATGACATAAACTAGAGCATTTCAAATACATCCCAATATCAACCCTCTATTCAATATCAACCAACTTCGATTTCTCGACTGCCACCCATCATCTCAGAAAATGATTTACGACTTTTGAGATTTCTAAGTAAAAAGGCTTTATTGATAGCTCTGACTTAAAATAATACGATTATGCGATATTTAGATCCCTGGTGCTCGAAGTTGCGTCCTGCAAGCTGATCGGAAGCGGTGACTCGAAATCGCTCTGGAGCACGCTATAGGATATATTTGGAGGATGTTACGCTCTTAATCAATGGAAATTAATATTTTTACCTGTGGATACCGCAAGTACATAAAAATCTCTGTTATTCAGCTCTACAAACTCGGAAAAAGTTAAAATTTGTGTGGCGTTTACAGGACTCAAAACTGGCACCAAGGAAAGAATTTTGCTATTTTGCCTCATTTCACACTTTGATGAAGGGTTTTAAACTTAGAAAAGTGGGGGACAGCCACACTCTGAAATCGGGGGTTTGGCATCAGCTCAGAAAAATTCGAGAAAACTAAATAATGAAGGGAAGGCAATACTGGAACTCTCATTGGAATATTAGTTCTCGATACATTTCACTGTTCAAACTTTCAGGAATTACAACGACTTGTACGGCAACTCCTTCGACGTGTCAGAACCACTGAGTCATTTTAGGACGCTGAGCGGTAAAAGCTATATCGGATGCCGTTATTAGAGAGGTTCTTAGATATATTTTATGGCTATACTGGTCTATCATGTCAGCATTTATCAGATCAACTCCCCCAATACCAGATTGCGATGCACAGTAAAGCCAGATCCCAACAGGCGGCGTAAATAATTAGCACAGCTTTATTCAAACACAATTCTAAGTTTTTAAAACTTTCATATTAGTGTTAATCACAGCATCGACAAGAAAAATCCTAATGTTAGCGTGTAATCAGAATTAGAAAAAGAAAAGTATTAATTAGTTCTATTTATAACTGAGTGTTTTGGATGAAAGATCTTAAGAATTTGCTGTCAAGGTGTATAAAAATATGGTTTATACAATTTTTCTTTTAATTTGAAAGGATTCGTCATGCTGCGACAATCTCGATTGAAGAGCATTGTTTTGTTTATAATAGATGTATTACAGTAAAATAACACCCTCTATCAAGCTGTAAACGTCTTGATCTTTGTGAGGTGGAAACTTTGCACAAAGGGCAAGGCGCTGTGATTAATAAGAGAATTAAGTCTAAATTGTATAAGAGTAAAAAAAAATTGTTTAAATAATTTAAATTTGGGGTCTTCTCATTGTTCTCTGCGTCCCGACCGCAATTTGATATTATAAGAAAAACTCTATCCGCATAGGCATTAATGGGGTAGTGGTAACCTCGATCGTTGCCACTCATCAAGCTCGATCGGCCCCCGGTTCAATTCCGGGTTAATGCATCCTTTTTGGTCATTCATCGTAATTCGATAAGTATTAAGTCGTTTCAATTTTAAACAATTCGAATTTTTAGCTAGCGGAACTACCATTTCAGAAAACAGATAATGTTAGCATCATTGCTTTGTCTCAAAGGCCTTCTTGTTCAATACCATAACTTCCCATCTTATCTCTTTCTTCTCGCTGACGTATCTCAGTACAGTGACGTTATGGTAGAGCTACACAGCTCTTACACTTTTATGGTCATAATTTTTTTGCACTCATATGCACCTGGATGTTGAATCACATAGATCGATATTACAACACTGACAGCGCGAATTTATCCCAAAAAGCACGCTACTTTATAAAAAGCTTAGCAGTTGTTGCTGTCACATGAGCCTTGCTGGATCATACGGTATGAACCTTTGTTTTTCATGTCATCAGGCAACTCCATACATGAAGGGCCCTGCACATTCCAACAAGCATCTTGACATACGCAGCCTGGGTGAGGGGTACCAACTAGCTGCAAAGTGCTTGTGCTGCCAAGACCACCAGGTAGTTGCAGAGATTTGAAGTCACCACCGTTGATACAGCCTGGGTCGGTAGTTCTGAAGTTGATTGAGCAGTCCAAGGTGCAATACTTGTCTTTACACATGCGGTAGTATCCGACGCCTGGTACACCATAGTCTCGTCTGTCGAGTGCAGGTGAAGTGGGGCTGTCAACAGCATCAGTGAGACCATCGGCGACGTTGTCAACAGTTTGTTCCAGTATATCGCCATCTTCGCTGACTTGCTCCGATACTTGCTCTTGTTCTTGCTCTTGCTCTGAGTTGGAATCATCATAGTATTTATCCTCCTGATAATGTTCATCCTCGTAGTCTTCGAGTGTTGGAATTGATCTGCTTGATCTGTCTGGGCAATCGTTCGATGGGCATTTGCCTCCAATGAAACGGAGTGACTCATGTTGTCCAACGTAGTAGCAATTGCCCTCAGGAATAATGAGACCAGCGCAGTCTGGAACTGGAGCATTAGAGTTGGACAATCCTGTTATACAATCGAATTGGCATGGAGAGCTTGCGTCTGGTGATTTGACAAGCGAGAAGCATTGGACGTTGGTGCCGTGATACTTGACGTATTCGTTGCTGCCAGCGCTGAAACAGCCCGGGTTGTTTACGCTAAAGTCTACAGAGGCATTCTCGGTACATGAGGGGTCTGAGTAGAAGGTTGCATAGGTGGTTGCATTGACGATTGTGCTTGTCAAAGCAGCAGAGAACAGGAGTAGCTTCTTGAACATTGTTAAAGTGTATCAGTTGGAAGGTTTGTAAAGAAAACATCACAGGCACCTTCGCAGTTTAAATAGTGCGAGCCCCACACTTAATTAAGTCAGTCAGAATGAGTAACACCTTAATTTAAGCGATGGGCAAGCCTGCGAACAGGCACATTACGACGACAGGATGAAGAAGCTGTCCCTTGATGATATATTGTAGCAGTGATCTGGTTTTTTATCGGGTTAGCGGGATTTTTTAGAATTCACCGAGTGTGCCTTGACATAAATGACACCATCATTTTGATAAAAATTCCGAAGGGCTGAGAATGTGATAGGAGGAAAAAAACCCTGAAAATCGGAACAATAACCGCATTTTATGCTTATCACAACGCAAGTACATTTCTGCTTGTTAATTTGTTAGGCGAAAGTAGTGACCTTAGCGGTAGTACCTTGATTTGAGATGACGAATGATAGCATATCACAGTGATGGAACACTGTGAATACCAGCTCGGAAGTATTAGGGTGGAGCAATAGAGAGGATCGAATTCAATGTCCGATGAACGCCATTGATGTTTGATCATGCAAGGATAAGGTGTGTCAGCGGGAGGATTATAAATGGCTCACGATTATGAAGGGTCATACTTGCCGAGTGGTGGAATGGTGGAATGCTTGTGTAAGACTATCTTCTCCCATGATCGAGTACATGTGCCAGCTTTTCAAAGAATTTCAGTGTAGCAAGCCCAATAAGCGATATAGATAGTGAAATGCAAACATTTATGTCAAGATACATATCGTCATTGTCATTGGTTGTTTAGTAATACAAGTTGGTCGTGTTGTAGATTTGACACCGAAATATAAGTCCAGATTGATAATTGGTTTGATTCAAGGGTGATTAGAAGATATTGGCAATATTTGAAAATCTGGAAAAGTTTAGCGCGTAAATCTGCGGTATCTTTTTTTTTGTCTTGGTTATTGTCTTATTTTCTTTCTTACTCGGAAATGTGATGTTGATTTGTTTGATCAAACGGTTACGCACTATGTGTGCAGTAAAAATAAGCTAGAAAGTGTCAGCTACTTGATCCACATGCAAATCAAAACTCACCTTACACACACTCAAACGCGCGTGAAGTTCATCTTAGTGAGGAAAGCCTTGAGACTCTTTTTACGATTGAGCGTGCCACTGTTAGACTGCTCGTCGCCATTTTCAGAAGTGGCAGAAACGGGGGTAGAAGCCGATGAATCTTTACCCTTTTTGCTCTTTTTAGATTTGTTCGAGCTAAACGAATTCAGTCTGGAGAGAAGATTAGGCGAGCTTTTTGAGACGCCCGATCTGTTCGATGATTTTTGTTTAGTGGATTTAGGCGTCTCACCAGCAGTACCTGTCTCAGGAGTATTAGGATTGGTTATATTGTTCTGATTGCTCTGCGTCATCTGCGTCATGTGTTCATTCTGCGGACCAAAATCATTCACTCCTCCCTCCTCCTCCATTGCCTTTTTCTCATGCTCCCTTTGCCTCACTCTCTGGCGCCATTCTGCACCACCATCCTCGCCGATAACGAGCTTTGGGAGCTGCGGAGCACCTGCGTGCGACGCTTCAGTCGAAGTGCGCGACAATGCTGGAGCGGAGTGGTCCGTTCTTTTACCGCGAAAGTGTGGCTGAGGAGGTTGTAATGGGTGGACAGGCAAGTGTTGATGGGCGCTACTGAGGCTAGCAGCAGGCGAGATGCGTCTGTTTTTCGATTTTCTCGAGCTGGGTTTGAAAGCGTCAGGCGAACCCTCACTATCGCTCTGACTCTGTCCAAATATGAAGAACTTATTGATGGGAGACATGCGCCCGACATCGCCAGGAAGATCTAGCTGTGGGGTGTCCGTGTTGAGTTGAAGACCTTTCAGTGCACCTTCGTGGTCTTTCTCAAGCTCACTTATCGGCTCTCTCTCCTTCTCCCTCTCACGCTGCCTGGGTAGCATGAGCATTGAGAAACGTGAGCGGGACCGCTTGTGATTGCTGCCGTGTGCATGTGCATTACCATTGCTCACCGCACCTACCGCACTAGATGCCGACACAGCCCGCGGTTGCTGCACTCTCACTCGACCTTGTCCCCTTCCACGTTCTTGGGACGAGTCGCTGAGACGTTGTTTGGTGCGGTTTTGGGTAATAGTGTTATCCACTTCAGTATCCGTAATCACATCTGCATTCTCACTGACATCCGTATTTCCATGCGAAAAGGTAAAACTGCGTCTGACTGCAGGTCTCTCGTCCTTGTCTTTGTCTTGCTGCTTATCTTCATCAGGAGATTCTTCAGGTGGACCAATGTCGCCTTGTAAGTACTTGATATAAAGCGCCTCTGTCTCTGACAGTTTGCTAGCATTGGGGTTTTTGTGTTTAGCCAAGTTTTGCTCTGACGCACTGCTCTTGAGGGTCAGAGTGTTTTTCAATCCACTGAAACTGCGACTGTTACGCCTCACCCCGGCTACACTTTGAACAGGTGGTGGAATAGGTGCGCCCTCAGTTGCATATATGGCAGTCGGTGTGCTCAGTGGACTGCTGTTGGCACTACCTGGTGTAAAGTTTTTGATCGAGTCGCCAAATGAGCTGAAGCGGCTACTGAATGAGTGTCCCAACTTGCGACGATGCTTCAACTTGTCATCTACACTCACGTTAAGCGACCAATCAGACAATTCTGACAAATTAGCCATCGTTTCACTATTACCTCCTGTATTCAAACCGTTGGATAAAGTTGGTGCAGATGACTTGCGTTTCCGCCCGTACATTTCAGCGATCCGAGAAGGAGTTTTCTTGTGTCGACTGTGTGTAGAGCCAGGTGCGGATGACGTTGCACTATCTTCGAATATATCCCCAAATGAATTGTTCGTTCCATCCTTGGTATCGAGGTACACAAAACTTCTCCTGCGTTTCACTTCAGCTTTCTTTGTAGTATTTGCGGTATTTGAATTGTGTATAGTGTTCGTATTGTTAGCAGATGGGTTGGGATCTTGATTTGCCATCATATTGAGATCGGCGTGCACAGAGTGCATCTTGCGTGGTCGAGCTGGTCTGCGTAGATTTAAAGCAGCCATGTGACGAGCCTGAGAGATTTCCTCGGAGAGTATTGAAGACATGCACTTGTCGACAGCAGCGCGAGGTGCACTAGGAGAGCGACGGAGAACGAGGGGTTCAGCAGGGTTACCGTTATGATAGACAAAGCGGGTACTGCTAGTAGTGTTGATACTAGGAGCAGTCTCAGGTGGGGGAAGAAGATTATAAGTGAAAGAGGTGGCAGGTGTGGGGAACTCCTGGGGTAACTGGGATTGAGGTTGGGGTTGTGGGGAGTGATCAACGTCAGTCGCGATGGGCAGAGAGTTCCTTTTTTGGGCTGAGACACGGAAGTGCTGGGATTGTTGGGCGGATTGTTCCTCAACATCCTCAGCAGTTGCTGAAACAGGAGCAGTTAGTTTTCTGTGGGCGAGAGAGTAGGCGACGTTAGTGGGGAGAGCCTTGATTGAGTTGGAGTGAGACATGGAGTTGACGTAATCTTGTGACCACATCCTGCGACTAGTTGAGATGGAGTTGATGATGGCTTTCATCCAGATGTGCTTTTCAGAGTCGGAGCAGCAGCTGAATTCGAAGTGTTGTAGGTGAAGGGAGAGTCTAAAGGAATGGTGCATGAGACCTGAAATTATCAGAAGGGGAGTGAAAAAGGGAAGAAAAACGTACCATCACCAGAGGGAACATCAGTGACGTGCCATAAGTCCAAAGGAAACCAGTATCTGGGTTCATAGATGGTAGATTTGCGTATTTTGACGAGAACAAGAAAGCGTTCGTAAAGAAAAGCGCCGAGGTACTGTTGGTTGGATGAGATAGAGTAGTGAGAGGTAAGAAAAACCCCACCTTTACTTTAAGTGGAGGGATTAGAGGTAGTTTTGAGTTGTGTACAAAAACATCTAGTGCTCCAACCAGTTTTGCAGTGCCAAAAGAGTTAATTTCGAGGGAGGAGAGATTGGAGTGGCCTTCACAGCGAGTAGCGATGAGTTGGCTTTTCTCCTGTTGCTCACATTCAAGTCTAGCTTGATCAGCTTTCATCGCGACTTGTTTCATAATATGGAGTGCTTGATCAATGTGAGAGTCTTTGTGGTTGGAGGTTTTAGAGAGGCTGTCTAGAAGTAGAGGATATCTACAGACGCGTTGAATAGGTTTGATGAGGTAGTCTTTCAATTGTAATTTGTTGTTTTGTGGGTGAAATTGTTGGGATAAAACAAAGCATTTGCGCTCGTAGTGATGCCAAATGGGGAGGTTAGAGGAGGAGGATAATTTCGATAAGGCACGTGGGTGATTAGCGCAGAATTCGTTGTATATGTCGAAGTAAGGTGCTTGATCGATGAAGCTGTTTGCAACTTTATCAGTACATCTGTCAATTGTGCGCTTGTGAATAGCAGAACCAGGACCAATGGTGAAGGTATCTAGCTGCAAGTGCTCATCATCGAGTACTTTGTTAATAGAAGCCGTTATACGTGAATGTAAAGCGAGAATAGATGAAATATTTCTTTTGATTAGATTTCTAGTTGGATAGGATAGGGCTTTGGGTAGGTTGTCCAAGTAAACGTTTACCAGTATTCGTAGGTCGTTGTAGTATTGCGTCTCAGTATTAACCAACTCAAGTAGTAAATGATAATTCCTTATAACGCTCTTATCCGTAATTGATAAAGATCTAGAGGAGATTGAAGTTGTTTTCGTTAAAGTGGAAGACAAGCACGATGAGGATGATGATGATGATTTCGTTGTTGGCGTTGTTGATGGCTCACACGTAAACTCATATCCACAAACTGTCGATCTCCTCTTCATCGTTGTTTACCAAAAGATTTTTAATTAATTGCTGCCCAACACCAACCGAATTTGGTAGTTTGAATTGAACCATCAATATCAATTAAATAATTAAAAATATGTCATCACAGCATAAGGCTTTCTTCTGTGATGTTGTATTTGATGGTTGTTATTGGGACATCGGCGAGAATCTCATCTCTCCTTCCCTGAACTCCTCGTCTCTCCCACCACCACCAACCAAATCTCCGAATATACAATCATTTCAACAGCAACTCAATGAATTAATCAGCACTGAGAAATCTTACGTTAAAAGGATCACTGCTCTCAAACTCAATTACGCCGATCCATTGAGACAATTCGCTAAACACAAAGACACTCAAATCATAAACCACTTTGACGCCAAATCTTTATTTGCAAACATTGATCAGATTTTGCACATCAATTACTCCTTCCTCACCGAATTAGAACACGCGAATGAATTTAACATAGGGAATATTTGCATGTCTCACTTTCCCTATCTCACTCCTTACAACCAATATTACTTTAACAGGCAGAAATCCGTTGAACTGTTCAAGGACCTATTGAAGAAGAAATCTTTTGTCGAATTCATCGATAGAACCCAATGGCAGACTACGGGTATCAACAATATTGGCTTAAGAGAGCTGCTAATGGAGCCTGTCCAACGAATCCCCCGCTATATCCTCCTCCTTCAAGGTATGATGAACTATCTTGACCAATCTCACGATCAACGCTCCCTACTCTTTCAAGCTCTCGATTTAGCCTCAAAGATCGCCTCCTGTGAAGCTGACGAGACTACTAAACGTGCCACTCTAATGCACACTCTCCAAAGAAACATCCAAGACTTTCCCCCAAATCTCATCTCACACAATCGCACTCTAATCGACTCCATCGACGTTGACGACCTTCCAACTCCTCTTACTAGTCACATTGACGACCCTCTCCCATGCACTCTCTTCCTCTTCAACGATAAGTTGGTCATCGCTAAGCGTCCCTCTGCTCACGCAAGAGGTCGCAAACTCTCCGGTCTTGATGACTTGGACGCTTCCAATCCTTCATCCACACCCGCCAAATCCTGGGGAATTGGTATAGCAAAGCATCAACTGGTTTGTAAAGTTGTTGCTGACCTATCAGATGTAACTTTGACCGATTTATCACATCAAGGTGACTGGTTTTTTTCCTGTGTTAGTAACCCACTAACACACAATTCAGAACTCGGTATTGTCTTCAACAACTCAGCGTTCGCTGATTGTGACGATGAGCGGTTTAACAGATCCTCCAAAGCCTTCTCCGCAACGCAAGTGTCTTTCTCTCCATCAGAACCTCTCTCAACGGACAGTCCAATGACGCGGTTCATTTCGAGTACATGGAAACAGCAGGCCATTTTAAGTACATTGTCAACCGGCGGAGATGCCTGTGCCAAGATATCCCGCGACTGGTTGCCATTAGAGAGTGGTGGTGTAAGCAGTGGGCGGGGGAGTGGGCGAGCTCGACTCTACTACAATGTGTACACATCCCGTGACCAGTGGTTCAGATCAGCACACAAAAGCAAAGCAGTTTTACACATGGACGGGAGCGGAGGGGTTGCTGATGCCATTCCACTCGGCGAGGCAGGCACTTGTCCACTAATAGTGATGCGTGCGCAAGTCAACAACGAACACGACGACGTGCACCTTACCACGACTTTCAGTAGTCCACCCGAAGAGTTGGAAGAGAGTGTGGATATGGCTGGCGTTTACGAACGTCTCGTGTGGCATATCCAAGCGGCACGTCTGTACGACTATACACCTGCTGGCTTAGCGCCAAATCTGACAGTGGGAGGACGCAAGCGTGAGCGGGCACCATCTTCACCGACAAAGAACAAATTCGAGAGCGTATCTAGGGGCTTCTTCAAGCACGGCGCGGGTGTTGCCAATGGGAGGCTGGGTGTACCTGACGCAGACCTCACGAACTCTACCAATTCACACTCGCACCGCCGCACACGCTCACTAGCGAGCAAGTCGAGCGGTAATTTAACAATGGGGAGTGTAAACAGCGAGGTGACATCTACACCTGCAACGTCGGTAGATCATCGCGGATCGGCGCCTTCTCATTCCACCCTTGCACACACTCACACGCGTACACCCAGCCCACTGCCCAAATCGCCGCCAGCACCGGCCGTATTCGAGCGCAAGGTGAAACGCAAGCAGACGCCACCTGCAGCTGACGCCGAGCGGGAGGCTGAGGCAGAAGCCGTTGCGCGCGAGCTACACAAGCGGAGGACGACGGAAGCACAGATCGACCACGAGCGCCGCCTGGCTGTTGCTAAGGCCGAGGAAGAGGTGGAAATGCTCGACTACAGGGATGGCGTGCGTGCTTCCTATCTCGAAAGACCTCGCTCGCTTCCCCCTCCCTCGAGCAATGTGGGTGTGGTGGGTGTGAGCGTTGCAAGGAGTGAGAAGAGTGGGAGTGATAGTGGGAGTGAGAGTGAGAGTGGGAATGAAAATGAACATGGTTACCCACTCGATCCACCTCTCCCGCCCCGCTCTCATAGCAGCCTAGCTACTGCGGGTAATTACAGCACTCGCTCGGACGCTTCGACGTCGCTGCCTTGCGGTAGTGACACAGATGCACGCACGAGCGACGCCACCAACGGCAATGGCAGCACTATCTCTAATTCCACCAGCGTTGACTTAAAATTCGGCGAGAATGATTCGTCACAATTCCCGCGTTATGAGGATGCGGAAGAGGAGGCAGATAACGACACAGACGAAGACATTGCAGCTGCAATAGCTCGCCAGCCTTCCTACATAGCCGGTGGGGCTGATGAAGCGATAGTGCGTGAGGGCAGAGCAGGATTGAACACAGTCAGCAGACGGCGGTCGACGAGTGTACCTACGCACTCTCACACTTACACCACCAACCACACACCCACTCCCACTAGCCCTGACCAACCCCATCCGGAAAGCGTCAGCAGCTCACTCATTCCCCCCGAACCGGCATTCAGTATGTCGAGGCAGACTACCAACTCGTCCGCGTGGTCACGCAGTACTGGTACAAGTTCAGGTCTGAGGTCGGGAGTAATGTCGCCCGGTGCAAGGAAACCGTTCGGACCGCGCGATCTCACCCGTAGTACTGGTAGCACAAGTAGCAGGAGCACCCTTAAATCTACTCCGAAAGTCGGGAATGCGTACAAGATGGATTTGCCTGTCGTACGTCCTTTGAGTATTCCAAGTAAGAATGTTGCAGTGGAGCAAGTGGAAGTGAAGGCGGAGTCACAGCCAAAACCACAGCCACTCAAACCATCCAAGTCAACCAAGTCAGTGCCGGAGGATGGCTACGGCTACACGAGTGCACTGGATGAGTGGGTGTACAATGACACTGCTGATACCTCAGAGAAGGAGAACAAGGACCGTAAGATAATGCCTCCTCCTAAATCCGAGATTGTCAGGGTTGATGTCGGTTTGAGCGAGAGGAAACGCAAGTGGGAAGAGATTTGTCACAGTGCAGGCACTACCGATGAAAGTCTCAATTTCCTTATAGACAGTGTGAGTTCGGTGGAGTGCCATTCATACCCATCTGACACACAATACAGCTATCAGATGACGCAAGAACACTGAAAAAGACTAAATCCGGCCAAATCGACAGCAATTCATTCGCGGAAATGGAAAGATCACTTGAATTGCAAGTACAGGTAGCGCGACAATTGCAACAGCGTCAAAAAGCAGACGCAGAACGCACGCACAAGCTAGAGAAGCAATTGAATGAATGCAAGAGTGAGATAAGCGTTCTATACGAATCATTCAATGAGGAACTCGACGGTATGTATGCGGATGTGCATGCCGTTGATGGAGTTGAAAAAATGGCACGGGATTTAAGCGTAGCCAAGGCACAACGTAATGAATATTTGAAAATATCAACGGAATTGAAACAACAACTTGATCTTTTATTGTAAAGGTATTTGTAATAATTTTTATAGCTATATTGCTGTTGTTGGACAATCACATGAGAACGGGGAGAACGGGGAAAAATGTGCAAACACTGGCGGAAATACTCAATAATAACGAATTGGCGGAGGATTTTAGGACATTTTTAGAATACCAGGAGCACTCGATTGAGAATCTCAACTTTATCTTGTGGTTTTTATCTTATAAGAGTAGATGGAGTGGATTGAGTGGAATAGAGCAGGATAAGTCACCTTCGTGTAGATTAAACAAGTGGAGGAAGAAGACTAGCATAAACACACAAGAACAACCATATAGACGTGAAGTTGATCACATAATCAGCGTCTACTTCAACAATCTCAGCCAATTTGAACTAAATCTCCCAGAAGATATCCAATCATACACACTCGATCTACTCCGCACTTCAACACATCCGGATTGCTTCACGAAAGCATACGAACACGTAAACTACTTAATTCAAACATCATCTATACCTCAATTCATGGCTTGCAAGTATCCTCAACCTACAAAGACTCCTTCACGTCTGAAATCTTTCTTCAAGAGATTGTAATTTTACCTTATAGAGTTATTTATTTATTATTTCTTAATAGTACACTTTTACAATTAGACATTTTTGTTCTTACTTCTTATCACGCTTGCTGCTTAGTAGCTTGAACTTCCTTCTTTCACCACTAGATGACACCAGCTGGCTTGTTTCTGGACGCAAATAACTAAGCTCATCATCCTCACTATCTTCGAATACATGATCAATCCCGAAAAGATAATCAAAGTGCTTGACTAAAATTTTGACGAATATCGCTGATAAACAAACTGACGGACATATTACGAGTACTAGATTTGATAGGGTCATTTTGTTCACCTCACTATTATCAGCTGTCAACTTAAGAATTTTCATCGTTAGTCGTAATAACCAATAGTTTGAATGCGGTAGTTCTGATAGAATATCTTTCAACAGCTTCAAATCGACATCACTACTGTCAATTTGATCGCATTGTTTATAGTTACACTTTAATGCAGCTGCTGGTGTGTCATCTGAGGTAACTGCATTTACTTTATATGATATCTGCATGAAATCGTTGAATTGTGGTATATTCTCATTTGTGAGTATGTTATGTGGTAATTCCCTTAAATAAGCTTTGAATATTGATGCAACGGCGTGTGGATCTAGTATGGAAGGATGTATATCTCTCAAATAGATATCACTCCCGCTATCAAATTCATTGCGAAGTTGTAATATCTGTGAAGACTTCCCTGAAATCCTGAAAATACCTTCTTCAACCATTGCCCATTGAATGAGATATTCAAAGCATCTGATTACCAGACATGGCAAGTACTCTTTTGCTTCAATTGGTATTTTCCATAGCGAAGGAGATTTATCAATCTTAGTTGTGTATGTGGATTGCCACAAACATGCACCAAATACTAAACGCTGATTTGGGTATCCAATGCGCAATCTGTAGTTGAGGATGCTATTCTGGGGACTAGACTTACCCAAGTCGTTAAAGTGTAAACTCGAGAATGCTTTACCGAGCATACCACGTTTGCTGTTATCTTTCGAGTCCTTGGACTCTTTGTGGTTATTGTCATACGAAGAAGACTCCGTCGAAATCTGAGGAGTTGAGAGTGAGTTTGTGAAATTTGGCATCCATCCTTGTATTTTATGAGAGAGGTATTCCGTTGATAAATTTCTATGATGGGTTGAAGATGGTTTTAGTGTGGGAGTATAAGGTGATTGATGTTCTTGTGGTTGATGGCTGCTTGTAGGCGAGTTGAAGAGCTGGAGACTTGGTTTAGTTCTTCTTCTGAGACTATTCCTCGTGATGGTACCTAGTGTACCTGTAGACGACCTATTAGACCGCATATCCGATCTGAAGTCTTCTTCCAGTGTGTGTGTTTGTGTTTGTATGTGTGTATGCGTATGTGCATGCGCGTGACTACTCGTGGACCCTGACGCACTGCCAACGTTATTGAACATAGTAGAAAGCGGCCGCTTATTCAACTCTGCCGTAGTCGATTCAAATTTGGGGCTGGAAACCGTCGGTGTTGACCTCGCTACTTTCTGAGACTGAGGACTTTCATCGTGATTGGAAGGGGAGCTGTTCTGTATAAAGTAAATCAACGCGGGTGATATGGTGGGTGAGGTGGGCTCTAGGAATTCATTGGCATTGTGTTTGATCTGCATCAATACAGTATTGATGGATTCCGTACAATAAATCAAACTAGGCCAATGCGACGTCAATTAAACTCGGAATGAGATGAGAATGAGTTGAAAATTATAAAATCAAAACGAGTATTACAATCAGTATTACTATTGTAAGTATTAGCAATAAGCATAGTGCTCTCTTTCCCGCTTTACGCTGGTACTCGTGCGCAGAAATTAATTGGTCATTAGCTCTGTTGGCATCTGAGGAGATATTATCTACGTTTGACTCTATATTGTCGAGCATTCCACCCTGTTCAACGACAATTCCACCTAGATCTCTAAAAATGTCGTTTAATTCGTGTATACCGCTGTGTGGAGTGTGAGCAGTAGCCAGAGCTTTTTTTTTTTATAAAACACGCACGTCTCAATATCTCTAATCTCGTGATCACGCTCCTCAATTAATCCATCTTGGTATGCCATTTCAGCTTCTGTGATTCTACGCGGGTGTATTTGTTGTTGGTGTTGTTCCTGTTGCTGCTGCTGCTCTTCTTGCAACTCTCCCTGGTATATATCCTGGTGATTATACAGCACCTCATCGGGCTGGGCTGGCTGGGCTGCCCCTTCAACTCTTCTCGACAGCTCCTTCTCCGTCGACAATTTCGTTCGCTCCGCTGCATCCTTCTGCACTCTCTGGAATGACTGCAAAGCTCCACTAAAGTCTCTGCTAATCTTGGACTGCGTGTTGCGTATTATCTGTGGACTATTCGCCGGATGTGCGCCATAATCCCAGTTTGTAAAATTACGCACGTTCTCAGTGGTATTCTTGACAATGAGCCTTGTAGACTCAAGTAGCTCATGTAGTCTGTCCCGTGAGTCACCTTGCTCTTTCGCTGTGCCCAAAACAGCTACGATACGGTTGATACCTTGTATATTACCGTTTATTTTAAATATACTAATGCTCAGCTTATCTTTGAGCTGTATGAACTCATCTGTTGTTGGTGAGAGCTGTGAGCTGTGCTTTGTATATCCGCTCAACCCACTCGAAACGCCGGGTGATTCGTTGGGCGTAGACAGTGGCACGCCTCCACTTTCCAAGTCATTGAAGCTGGTCACCGTGAGATCACCCAGAGCTTGATAATCACTGCACCTACCTCATCGTGGTGATGTACAAACTCAGTTATCTGTCCATGTAGTTTAATATAATCAATATTAGTATCATTAGCATCATTAGCTATACAAGTCTTGTATCGTAACCAAAATTCGTTATTTTCCTTCATTCATATCCAATCGTGATGTGATGCAGCTGGGTTATATCGTGAGACACTGCCATCTTCTCAAGAACGCGGCTGATAGTGGGTGATACCTTGAGCAGATTTGGTGTGCATATTGGGGCGAGAGCTGTGCGTGTGTATTTCAAATTTCCGTGTTCACGTCCACCTCCACCTACCCGTATGTATTCATTGAGGTAAACCATTGTCGATGTCAAGGAGACATTGCTCCAGCTCCTATATAATATAACAGCATATTGTAGGTATCTAGAGGCTGGCATTTTCTCGCTAAACACTTTCTTAAGTTTCTCCGCCGAGCCTCTGAAGTCATTCCCGGCGTACAAGAGCACTTTCTCGAGATTGGGGAAGGAGGTGAGCAGCAAGTCCACCACATCATCCGGCTCACTATCTTCGAGGTAGAAACTCCTGCATTCGAGCACCAGCGTGGATATATTCTCCATGACAATATTCTTCATAGCAAGTATGTGGTAAAGGGAACTCAACGTTACTGTCAGCTGGTGGAGGTTGGTGAATGCGCAAACGTGATTAGCTAGTGTGTTGATATACGAGCCCATTTTACCTGTTTTGAGTTATTTATGCGCTCATCATCCCCGGATTTCGACGTTTCACCCCCACCTACCTGACTTGGTGTTGTGCATATTCACGTAAAGCTTTCTGATGTAATCTGCACACGGTAGTATCGTCATTCGTTTCAGCTGCCCGTTAAAACCACCGATAAGCTTAACGGGAGTTTCTGAGAATGTGTAGTGGGACACCCCGCGTATTTTGCAACCCGGACCTCTAACGATGGCGAAATCGTTCTTTAGATTGAGGTTGTAGAGGTATTTACATGTCTTTGCGAGTTGCGGCTGCAGTATCAACACCATATCCAGCAACTCAGCAGGTAGTGAGTGCAGACTGGCTGGTTGTGTATCTACCATGGTTTATTGATCTTATGATATAAATTACACTAGTTGGTGGTATTTCCACAAGAATCAGTTGACTTTAATACCCGAAGTGGGTGACATTTGGATAGATGCCAAGTTTATACTTAAGATGTGTGTGTGGGTGCTGGCTAGTGAGTATATACCATTCCGGTTTACAGCACACAACCGCGAACGACGAAACAATGATATCAAAATTTTCATTTCATCGTAAAACACAAAACACAAAACATAAAATGAGTGGTTATTTACTTTTGCTTTAAATTTCACTCCCACTCCCACTTCTATTTCCCTCAACAGCGTCTTTAACCGCTGCCTTTGTTATAGCCTTCCCGTCGCTGCTCATATCCTTAATCTGATCCGCAGCTTCGCGACTGGCGAGTGAGCCATTAGAGAGTAGTTTCTGAATCATTTCGTCAACGTCTCTTGTCAACAGCTCCTCGTCCAGCCCCACCCTATCTCTCAACTCAGATGTAGGGGTGGCGTCGAAGAGGAGGTCGTTGAGCGTATCATCGCGTTGCTGCTTCTGTAGTCTGCTCTGTAACCTCCCTACGCCACCGAAACCTTTGAAATAGGCGAAAGCACACGCGACCACCACTACGCCATACCAGCACACGCTATTCCATCCTCGTACACTATCTCTCCAATCAAGAAGCAGGAAGGGGATAACGGCAAAGTTGATGAGCGTCTGTGTGGTAATGATGGAGAGTACATCATAGAGGTATTTGAGGTGTTTGCCTTGTTCAATTTGTTCACCTTGTTTATCAGTAGCGATGAAAAACGGTCTCACATTCCTGCGCACCATCTTCCCCAGAGCTTGGAGGAACCCACCGAAGACGAATGTAAGATAGTAACCCAAAGGCAGGCCGTGCCAGAAAGCGCTCGTGAGGAAGGTGAAGAGGGTGGACGCGAAACCAGGTTTTTCACCACGACTAGTGATGCGAAGATATACGCAAGTCTTGAGCCAAATGTTAGTGTTCATATTCCACGCGTCTAGTAGCTCCTTAATGTTCTGCGCCAGCTCTACGCTGAGCACGTCGATATTGCGCACCCGATCCCAGCGCGTGCGCCCATTAGCGGCGTTGTAGCCATTGAAGCCGAGACCCGAGATGATGCACGCGCCCTCAGAGATGGACCAGACTGCGTAGTACTTAAACCGAGTAATGACGCCTGCTTTCTGCACGAAGAGGATGCGGCGCAGAATGGTGTGGTTGCGCTGCCAGGCAGGGTCAATGAGGCGGGACATATCAGCGGATCCCCCCCACACCGCGTAGATGGCCAAAAAAAATAACCCAAATACCATTCTACGATATCCAGCCCGTCTGCGTCCTTTGAGTTTGAGCTTGCGCGGGCGCGGTGTCTCAAATAGACTATCATCCACTAAACTGGCATACGCGTCGTATGGGAACGCAGGACCGACGAGGATGGCGGGAAAGTAGAGAGTGTAAGCGAGGAAAGCGAGGAGGGAGGGTTTGTGGGTGACGCGGTTGTCTTTCTGGTGATCCTGCAATTCCTGCAATTCGGCATCGGTACAGCAGCCATCATGGACATTCCAGGCGTAGGTGGTTGTACGCTGGATGAGAACCATCAGACTACCGCTGATTTCGACCGAGGTTGAGGGAGTAGTGTGGATTAGGCGTCGTAGGTGGAAACATAGGAGGTGTGACATGGCAAAAGCCATAACGATCCACGGCATGTGTTTGTACCTGGATAGAGTGTGTGCCAGGGAGTAACTAATGACAGAGTTTAGGATGAGGTTGATTAGACCCCATTTAAGTGAGAATATCCCGACAAGGAAGAAAAGAGAAGAGGATAGATTAAAGGCGTGACGTAGATTTGGATATTGAGGTGGAATACGCAAGAATACTAGGGGACTTTGAGTGGATGATACCGTATTTAGTGGTTGGGCTCACAGTGAGAGAGTGGGTAGCTCAGTAGAAGACAGCTAACCAGTTTTAGATGATCTACAGCGATTCCATTGGATTTGTTAGATAAATATTCGTAGAAATCATCAATCATCTATTGTCGGTAGTGATGGTATCGAGAAGACAGTCATCGGGAGTATTTGATGGGTTTCTTAAGGAACTGGTTCAATCAGATCCCGAAGATTCCAATTAAAGGCACAAGTCACGGCACACATCACCCACATCGCATCGATGAATTATACCCCTGGCTGTGCAACAGACACCCTTCTTTCAAAGCAAATTCGAAGCAAATTGACTTGTTGAGCAAGCCTATTGACTTCCATAGGCGATTTATACATCATATAAACACAGCCCAACGCTCTATCTACATTTCCACCCTCTATATCGGCGAAGAACAGAATGAGTTGGTGGGACTGTTGCAGCGGCGTCTGAGAGAGAATCAGCAGCTCACAGTCACTATACTCGCCGATTTCAATAGGTTTACACGCCAAGCACACCCACCACACTCACCAGCCAGTCTGATTTCCCCTCTGGTACGCCTCTTTGGCAATAGAGTGAGGGTATTTCTCCACAAACCAAACACCAATTTGGGCATCTTACAACGGTTTATACCGCCCAGATTTATAGAAGGTTTTGGTACACAACACACCAAGATATACTGCTTCGATGACACTGTTCTTCTTTCGGGGGCGAATCTAAACACGTCTTATTTCACAAACAGACAAGACAGATATATGCAAATTACTGATCATTTCCAGTTATCCAACTATTTACGCGCTTTTGTCGAGTTAATGACGCGCTTCAGTTATAAACTGTGCGACTCAGATGATGTGCGATGGGAGAATGATGCACCAGCTAGTGCATTCAGCGATAAAGCGCGTGAGGAGATGGAACACTTCACTCGCAGACAGTGTCGCATGAGTAATGAACAAGTAGACCAGCCACAATACGACACCACCATTTATCCGCTCATCCAGTCTGGTTTGTGGGGTGTGAGGGAGGAGGAGGATTCGGTGCACTATCTTCTTGACGCAATCAACAGCATTCCTGGCGCTATACTTCACATGACATCTGGTTACTTTAGCTTGGGTGGGGGTTACAAGCGGCGCGTAATGGAGAGTCGAGTACCGACATGGATAATAGCTGCATCACCGGATGCTAATGGATTTTTAGGTAGCAGGGGAGTTAGTGGGCGTATACCGGAGGCATATACGCATCTAATGAGTAAATTCTACACATCGTCTATCAAACACCACCGCCATAACTCACTCCAATTGAAAGAATGGCGGAGAAATGGTTGGACTTACCACTGCAAAGGGCTATGGATACGTAATGAGAAGAGTGCAGATGATGCTATGGCCACTCTCATCGGCAGTTCGAACCTCAGTGGACGAAGTAGCAATCTCGACCTTGAGTTGAGTTTTCTGTTGATGACGAGTAGTGGCGAGCTGAAAAAGAGGCTGCAAGGGGAGGTAGAGGAATTGAATAGCTGCAGTACTGAGGTTAGTGAGAAGACATTCAAGCAGCCACAACGTAAAGTTAGTTTGTTCACGAGGTTCCTGCTGTGGATGGGTGTAGAGGGGATGCTTTAGATCAAGTAAATTAGAATAAATATAAATTTTAATACATTATATCTGCTTCTCTTCCTCCTTTAGGGACATCTGAATAGCCAGTGTTAGCTACAGGCACACGCTTTTACTCCAAACCCACTTGATGCCTCTCAAGAGCCTCTAATCTCATTTGCTTGTGGTTGTTGTAGCCCGATAGAAGAGTGAAAGTGCCGTATATCTGGAGCTGTTAAGTTGAGAGTGGCTGTGTAACACTCAACGACTCACAGTAACACCTGCCAATACACTAACGAATGATCTGTGTGCTATATCTGCTAATCTGTATGCTTGTGGCATGATGGAGGGTGTTGAAGGTGTAAACACAAAGATGCTTACAACTCCACCCAGGCACCGGGTAGTCTGGCAGCAGTTAGCCTAGCACCTTTGAGTCTTTCGATCACGTTGCTAACCCCCTCTCCACGAACGAAGGCCAAATGAGACTCGCGCAACACCTCCTCCACGCTTGGAAGCGGTTTGATGGGTATTTGAGCTGTTGATAGGTGTCGAACGACGTCTCTGCAGATTTCTTCCGTGGTTTGTGTGTTGGATTTCTCTTGTCTCTTTTCTCGCATGTTTGGAGTGTTTGAGAGGTGTAACGAAGCAAAATACATGAATATTCGAAATACAACAGCAATTGGAATGAATATGAGTATTTTTATAATTATCCTTCTCCAGGTGGTCCTTGTATGGGTAAAAGCACTTGCTGTGCCCTGTAAACAGCGTTGGGACGTGTGCTCGTAGGTGGAGGCGGGGCTGTCAATGTCTCCCTCAGCTTATTCAACTCATTCTTCATTTCCGTCTTCTCCCCACTAATTCCCGCCAAGGAAACGTGCTGGGCGTATACCGGGGATTCCAAAGAAGCTACTTGGGTATTTGTGTTTACCCACACCGAAATACTCCTCCCCTGCTCTTGATACACGCACTCCAACTCCAAGTCTGAATTGAACGTTATTTCGTCACCGTCGCTATCTCTCCAACCCAGGCTGGCTATGCATTTGAGTGGAATGGAGTGGAGTTGCGCAGATACCTGCAATATCTCCTCGTAGCCCAGTTTCTGTGTCTGTGTCTGCTTGCGTGTGTAGCCATTGCTACTGATTTTGTAGGTGAAATGGGTGCACATAAGCGACAAGACGGAAAAGGAAGTTTGAATTGAAATGCAAGTGAGATTGAAACCAAATACCCTACAGTGATATAGATATCTGAATCGATCAGCAATTCTTACACCACCACACCCACGCATATGCCCAAACACACAGACATAGAAGAAATCTACGACGAAGCGGTGGACATTGAAGATAAGGCTGAGAGATTGGGATACGACGTGAAAGTTGTTGCGAGATACGAGAAGGCCTTGTCGCTCTATGCGGCGGTACTTGAGAGTGAGCAGGGCAGTCACTACGACGCACTCTACAACTCTGCTCGCCTACGTCTAGAGATTGGTGGCGGCTATAAGCATCCTCCGGACGCGTTTGTCTATCTGCAAGAGGCGTATCGTTTGTTCATCAGCGCGGCGGAGGTCGCTGGTCGATTCAACCCACCCAACCAAATCGGCAGGTTTGACGCTCTCTACAACGCAATTCAGTCTGCTGTATCTGTTGGTGAACTGCATGCTGATTTGGGGGCGGATCGTGACGCTGCTGATGCCTTCTCCCATTGCGTCGATTTGTTGCGCGGTTTAGTGGCAGAACAGAAGTCTTTTGTGGGTGCGGACAGTGGTGGTTATGCTGCTGCTGCTGCTATGGATGTTGGCGGCGGCGCCTCACTCTCACTCTCCCTCCCACCCTATCAAATCGTGCAGAATATCAAAATTCTCGTTGATGTGCTGCTCAAATTGCAGGATGTGGTCGATGTCGATGATGGCACTAGCACAAACACTGATCACACTCTGGCACACGCGCAGATGGCCCTCAACGAGGCACTCACCCTCAACAACGCAGTCGATGAGCAGTTCAAGGAGACAGACACGCTTCTCCTCCTACAGGCCAAAATACACCTAGGAGAGTTGCAGATGCAAATACAATCGCAATCACAACCACAACCGCAATTTCAATCACAGGCTCAAACAATAGTGGCTGAGTTTAGACACGTGCTCGAGTTGCGCAGCGGGAGAAGAGATAGCGGGGCAGTAGAAGCACACTGCGAGCTGGCAGAGGTGTTGGTAGAAGTGGCTAAGAGTGGCGTCTCAGGCGTCTCCAGCTGGGAATTGCTATGTGAGGCGCAGTCCCTCTTCAAGGCAGCACTCGAGATGGAAATAGCACTTAAATCCATCGGCAGTATCGATCCTCAGTCACTCGCTAACCAAATTAAGATCCTTATGGCTGTCGCGGGTGCGTCGACACTGAGAGCTCTGCTCGTTGGCAGCGGGAATGTAAACTATACCACACTAATCAATAACAGTCAGGTATTCCTCAAGAGAGCGGTGGAAATCACTCAGCCTGTCCAAGTTAAACATCCTAATTGGCAGGTGGAGGATGCTAAGTATGAGGCTATGGTGAGGATTATCCATGAGCGAATCAAGTACAGCGGTGAGAGTATCGACTCCCAGGGACATTTATTGGGATTGCTTGCGAGTCATGGCGTTGATTTGGAGGTTTATAAGAGAAGACTCGACTGAGTGAAGTATTTGATAGATGAGACATTGGACATAAGAACCAGAAACGACACCTCAATCCCACGGCTTCTTTGGCTGCTGCGTAGAGGATGATGATGGTTGGTCTGCCACGACCGTGCTCGGAATTGTGCTTGTGTGCGGTAGTGAAAGAGATTTACCAGTGTTAATCGCCTCAACCACGCTGTTCAAGCTAGGTGTGAGTCTGGCGTAGTAAAACTGTTTAGCCTGTTGAACCACCTCATCAGATGGATTATCCCCCAAACGCCTCAAACCAGCTTTAAACTCATTATCACTGTCAAAATCGTAGTCCTCCATCAAGAGAAATCGAAATCAATCAACGCTACAAATTATTCTATTTTTGATCAGCTTGATCTGGCTGTTGTATCTTTAAACCGGGTACTGTGCAATTTTAGTTTGTAAATCAGAAACACATTTCACCCACCTGCCAATGGATTAAACAACCTGTTGCAGTCTGAGTATGCATATCCAGCACCGAATCCGGTAAACAACGTAATTGGCCACGTTCTTCTCTTGAATATGATGGCTGATGTGAGCACGCCAACACCCAATCCAGCTGCTGCTTTGACTGCAAAGTTAGCGACGCATTTGTCTGTCTATCAAGGCCATTAGCTTATTCATTATTATAACCCATGAAAACCCACCAAATTGGATATCTTGTTCTCTGATGTCGAAGCCATTTCCCAAGCCACCAGAGCTATGGATTCCAAAGCGAAATTAATGAAAATAACGAATAAAAAAGTGAAATTAAAGGAATTTGTACTGTCTGATCGGAGATTGCTATATAATTCAAAGAAAGAGGGTTTGATTCCACTCAGTGATATTGTCTACATCGACTCAAATGGATCACACCTATCAATCTACTTTAATAGCTCAAAGACAAATAAATTTAAAAAGTTAGATTTGTTTGATTTACAAGGGGGGAATCAATCATTTATAAAGCATCTCATTCTCCTTCACAGCGAGTTTACCGGTGATAAACACTCTAGCAGCAGCACCAGCACTCATAATACATCTTACCTGCCAATATCCACTCCAAATGACTTCAAGGAGTTTGTAAAACACACTCAGCAAGATTTCGTATGCAATTCCACCCCTTCACAACTCAATACACTCCAATTCAATCGATACCTTCAATCCAATGAGAATTCATTGCAAAAACCACAAAATACCACAGAAAATGAACCACTCTATAATTATTACATTAGCGCTTCCCATAACACATACCTCTTTGGTAATCAACTTGCTGGCTCTTCCACCACTATCGGCTACATACGCTCACTCTTACTGGGCTGTAGAAGTGTAGAAATTGACGTTTGGAATGGTGACGATGGTTGGCCTATTGTCTACCACGGCCATACTCTCACCCAACCCATCCCCCTAATCGACATACTCACCACAATCAACACTTTCGCCTTTATTTCTTCTAATCTGCCTTTGATTTTATCTGTGGAGAACCACTGTGATCTAGCACAGCAAGATAGAATGGCTGGGTTGTTTGTGGATATTCTCGGTGACTTGCTAATCACTCAGAGGCTACAACACGATAGAGACATTCTACCGTCTCCACACCAACTACGCTACAAGATTCTATTCAAGACTAAAAACCTGCACATAACCAGTGCAAGTGGGAGTAGTGCGGCAAGTAAGGTGGATGGCTTTGACGTTGCACTTAACTCAAACTCATCCGATTACTCCCACTCTCACTCCCACTCATCAAGCTCTGACATTGAAAAGAGCAAGTTGAGCAACTTTATACAGAAAGTCACACGACGAAGAAGCACTGCATCTTCATCTGACAGATCTTCAACTGCATCCACCTCGCCCACACTTGTCGACTCATTTGGGAATCTCAACTCGACGACGAGCACGAATAACACGGATAACGCAGTTAACACAAATAACACTAAAATGTCACAGAAATTACTCGATCTGCTAATCTACACAGTGGGTGTAAAGTTTCGAGGCTTCAACAAGAAAGAGCATTACGAAATAGAGCATATGTTCAGTTTGTCTGACAGATCAGCGCGGAAGCTGATAAACGCGAGTAGTGGGGAGTTTATGAAGCACAACCGCAATCATCTCACAAGGATATACCCACACGGAGCAAGAGTGAAGAGTACTAATTTTGATGTATTAGATTATTGGGCGGTAGGATCGCAACTGTTAGCGCTCAATTACCAGACGGTGGACTTGGCCATGTGGTTGAATTTCGCCTTGTTCAATGATACAGGCGGGTATGTGTTGAAACCATCACCTTTGCGCAACAAGGAGGAGAAGAGGATGGTGGAATTGAAGGGGCTGGTGCGTCTTTCCATTAAGGTGATATGCGCGCAGCAAGTGTCGAAGAATGTGAATAAAGTGGCGGTAGAGGTGCACACACCGCGTTCCTTCAATAATGACACTTGTCTTAAACGCTTCACCAGCACGGCAAATTTGCAATCGCATGGGCAGGTGGAAGGAAACCCTACATGGAATGAAACACTCAGTTTCGACGTTAATGTTAGAGGGAACATGATAGACCTTGTCGTCGTCAAGTTTGATGTGCTTAGCAGTCAGCATGAGGAGGCTGTGGCTAGCTACGCCATTACACTCGCACAGATGCAATTAGGTGGGTTTGTGGAGTGTGTGTGGTTGTGACGCTGCTAACTATTACACTTCCCTTCTTAGGTTATAGAAATGTACCGTTGTTTGATCAGCAACTCAACAAAATAATCTTAAGTAAAATATTCGTGTGTACAAGTTTGACATATTGCAGATGATATACACTCTATAGGCTTTTAAATCACATGGTATCACATTAACTCACGCCACCGTGCATTACCGTGCATAAAGTCACGTCACAAACGCACTTAAAGTTGATTTAAAGGTATTTAAACGCGAAAAATAAGCATGTCTTGCACAGCACACCTTTGAAACATGTTCCACACAAATATATTCCGCACCCCACACAAAACTTTTCCGAAAATTTTTGAACCTAAAGTGGAGTAGAAGGTGAGTGAACAGGGGCGGAAGGGAAAACGCGTGATGAGGAGGGGCCAAAAGGGGATCTAGATGTAGAAACGCGTGAATATAGTGTCAATTGATTTAATTACGAATTTAGATATTTAAAAAGATGCCTGATCATCACGGCATTTACGGTTGCATAACGACAACCACGAGGAAAAAAAAGAAACAAAAAAGAAAGACAATGTCAGTAGATCAAGATGAAGATCTACGGCCAGAGGAGGCTGCAGTGCTTGAGCAGCTGTGAGTGGAGTTTTTATATGTCGATAACAGCTGACGCGGGCATAAAGAGAGCTAATGTCGAGCCAGTCATCACAGCCGTACGTTCCCCACGTCTTGTCTGTGATTGGCGAGGAGTCTGAGCCGGCGACAACGTCGAGTCAGAGCAACAGTCACAGCCATAGCCACAGCCATAGCCGTACTGGGGCTGGGAGTAACAGGAGCAGAGCTTCATCCGCTAATGACGATCTACCCCGCTTTACCCCCGATATCAAATCAATCGACGACGCTGAAACGCTCAGTTCTCCATCGCCATCGAGTAGAGACGGCAATTCACAGCCACCATCGAGCTCGCAGCACATCCCAACCATATCGAGCGCCTCTAGAAGTGCTTCTGTTCGCTCATCTGGTCAGCCTAGCTCTATCCCGTCGATCCCCTCGCAGTACTCGGCACGGCTCGATACACCAGCGTTCAGTGATTCCCCCTTCATCACTTTCGATCAGCAGTCTTCCCACTCAAGGAGCAATTCTGCTTCCAACTCTGCCAACTCTGAAATTAGCAGCAGGGCTGGTAACCTCATTGCCTTTTTCGAAAGCGGCAAGGAGAAGGAGGAGCAGAAGCCTGAGCAGAAATCTGAGCAGAAATCTGAGCAGAAATCTGAGCAGAGACCTCAGCAGAGACCTGAGCATAGCACCTCTCCTCCAATCAGCAAAGTCATTCAAACAAAGCGCCCCATCAACCTCAACAGAAACAAGGACGATAATAAACCACGTCCACGCAAACAGACTCAGATTCAGCCTTCTCTACCATCTTTACCCTCACCCACCCACCACGAAAGTCTCACCGACGGCTGGGAAACTTTGATCAGCTCGTCGACCCCAACGGATTTCTCCACCCCTCTTTCCTCACATAAAACTCCTATGACCTCCCAGCGCCCCACTTCTCCAATAGACTTGTCCAGCTTCGATGATATCACTGAACAGGTAAGTTTTGCTTTTTCTCTTTCATTTTAATTTTACCTGAGACATTCTAAATCTCCTCTCTAGATTGCTCGTGCTGGCACTCTCTGGTATCTTCACGTACACGACGGCACTCCCTATCGATGGGTACGTGCTAGAGCCGCGCTTCTACCAACGACCCTCAAACTTTCATTCCTACCATCACCTGACTTGTCCAGCTTTAGACTACAGCGTCAGATTGTCACCCTTGACCTCAACCATTGCTCAGAAGTCCGCTCCGTCGCAAGTCCTTCTAACCCCGCATCGCACAAGTTGGATCTCGGTTTAGTGGCCGCACGCGAGCAGGGTGGTTTAGAGGGTGTCCTTAATCCCTTCGTTCTCGTCTATCAAGATGGCTGGGAGAGGTTGGCTACAGATAGCGCCCGTGAGCGTGTACAATGGGTCGGTGCATTCTGGGATGTCATCAGACCCATACAGACTCCCCAGACCAGGATGCTTGTTAGAGCGCCTTCGATTGCCTCGACATCTGCTTCGTCCGCCACATCTGCCACATCGAGAAACTCGCCCCTCTTGCCCGGTCAAACCACCCTCACTGGCACACCTATAGTCAGGAGACCGGTATCACCATCCAATTCCAACGCTGGCTCGGTGTCCGCTTTTAACGTCAGGTCTGAGGATTTTGGCGCTCCTGAACCTACAGCTAGCGACTCAGAACAGCAGTCGAACAGCAGCATCCAGAAGAGCAGAAGTAGAGGCAGGTCGTCGACGTCGAAAAAGAAGAGGGAGAGTCTTGATGATTCGTCTATTGGGTTGGTCGCCGGTACGTCCACCTCAGACACTGTGCGCGGATTGGGCATCCTTTCAGATACGTGGGACTCGCGAGACACGCGAGACACTCGAGACGGAAGTGCAAATGACAGCGAGGCTGACGATATCATTTTCCCTCCGTCTGTGTCCGTTAGGGCACACAGAAGAGGCGGGCGCAGGAAAATGTCGGGAAGGTCATCTGATGACAGCGCGAGTGGGAGCGGAGGCGGTAGTGGTGGATCGTCGTCTAGCTCAACTTCAACTATCCTGTCCGCATCGAAGAAGAGCGACGCTAAGAGCATTGGCGCTAGCACAGAGAGAATGCTCAGGTCGCCCAAGCTCGGTCAGCTGGCTGAAGATGCCGATGAGGAGGATGTCGAGACTCAATCAGCTTCAGCTTCAGGATTAGGTTCAGGATCAGGATTAGATTCAAAGACAAAGTCGGCAAATAGTGTGCCTCAAAAGGTGGAGAAGGTGGAGGAGTTAGAAAAGGAGAAGGAGAAAGAGCTTGTGGAGACTGAGATTGAGCGAGAGAATCAGGATACACCCTCTCCTCAGCAACCCGAAACTGCAACAACACCCAAGTCAAACCATTCAGGGAAATCTAGATCCCATTCTCGCACTCATTCTGCAATATCTATTCAAAATACTCCTGAAATGGGTGCACAGAGTACGCATGATACTTATCACACTCAAGACCCTCAAGACACCCACGCTCAAAACACCACTGACTTAATGCGCTCCCTCCCTTCTTCCTACCCCTCTCAATCCCAGCAACCATCCCAAATTGATACAAGAGAAACTGCAGAAAATGGCGCAAGCACCAATGAGCTGCTAAGGTCGTTGTCGAGAAAGTCATCCAATCCTTCGACGGTGAAGAGAGCTGAGAGACTGTCCACATCGCATAAGTCTCTAGCTCAGTTAGTTGATGCGCTAGGTGACAGTTCTGAGGATCAGGAATTGAAAGATGCTTTGACCGAATTGATCAGCAAGAGCAAGAGTGGCACACCTGAGCAAAACAGCACTCCAACTGAGAGGAGTCTGCCTTTGAGCAGACGAAGTGGAATGAAAAAGGTGGTCAGCAACGCTTCATCTAACCGTTCCTCAAAAATTCAGAGCAAAGAAAAAACTATGTCGACAGAGTACCACACTGCTCAAACTAACTCACCTAGTTCCAACACCCCTGTCGTGACGAGTACAGCTACACAAGCACCACCGACAACTCAACCTTCGCCTCACACGAGCAGCTCCCCATCAGCATCAGCTCATATCCCAACCAACACCACTGAACCCAACACAACTGAAAGAAAAACTCCATCCGTGTCGTCTTCCAAGAAATCATCAACGAAGCCCTCCAGAAGCAGGTCTCAGAAGAGCTCGTTCAAGGCACGCTCAGATGTACCTCCACCCGAGCAGAGCGCTGGTGTTGACGCTGCTAGTGAGAGTGGAGAGTTTGAGGACGAGGAAGACGACTTTGACATGGATTTGTTAGCTCCATCGCGCACAGCTTCACCTGAATCGGTGTGGCCTCCGTCAAGAGTGTCGTCTTTGGTTAGCAGGAAAGCTCCAACGACTGTATCAACTGTGTCGCGCTCCTCAACGATCGATTCGAAGTTTTTGGCGCCGACGATTATTTCAGAATCATCCGAGGGTACCTCAATCCCATTAGATAGAAGCAGTGATGCGAAAACTATCACTCAAGATATGGTTCACGGAGAGTTGGATAAAAATTTCCTCACGTCTGAGCTCCAGAAGCTATTCAATGCGTTGCTAGCCAGAGAATCGGGTAGGACTAACAATACTGACGATATCCTTAATGCTATCCAAAAGGAGCTCGGTGGCTTAGCTGACGCAATCAGAGTACTTCCGTTTAGGAGAAGGGGCAGTGGTGACATTTCTGTCACAACCGAGGGCAAGCTTACGGATAATCAATCAGTGCCTGATCTCCCGTCTGAGCCTAAACCCGAAAGCTTTGATAACAGGTCCGGTGATCTTCTTCGCGATGTGAGGAAGAAGTCAAGTATGTCATACATCCCTCCACCGCCAGTACATGATGACAAGCCTATTCACGATTTGGAGAATAAGGTAAATGGACTCATTGATGTCTGCCGCGATGCTCTCGATTCTACTGGGAGTGATAAGCGTATCAGAGATGCCAACGAGGAGCGAAACAACGCTCATATGTTAAGATTGGAGAATCTTGTCAGAAATTTAATCAGTGGGTAAAAATCTCTCCTAAGTCAGCCTTACTTACTCCTTTTAAAGGACACTTCACTAAGGGTGGTGCTTCAAGTATATCCAGCTGGCCAGACATGATGTCAGAACATCCGTTTGACGACGATGGAGAGGAACTAAGTGCTGATTTAGATGCGGAGCTGGATGATGGAGCATCTAGCTCGACAGTAACGCAAAAACCGGCTGTCGAGCAGGTTCAGCCTAGCGTGGATGACATGTACCCGCATGACTCAATATCCATGAGGGATCTAATGGGACCCCTCCCAACTCCGCCTATATACGCATCTCACGAATATTCGGAGCCTGAGGTTCCTCACTTGTCAAGAGCCGAGAGGGACTTCACTTCGCGCAGACGGTGGGCGAGGTCTGAGTCACCACCTGCCAAGTCGCTCTCAAGTGTTTCTACTGAAACGGCGGATGAGGAGTACGACGATGTCATGTACCCCGATGTCTACGATCCAGAACCTGGCCCACCGCTCGAACAGGGATACCTTGAAGAGCTACCACGAGAGACATTGCAGAAACCAGTGCCAGATCCAGTTCCAGAGCGTCAGCCAACACCAAGAATACAAGTTAATGAAGGCGGATATCCACGGACTGAGAAGGAAAGCAATACTCACGATTTCAAACCTCCTCTCGAACGTCTCAACAGACCTCCGCCTATCAGACCCAATGGAATGGCTATGCCAATGCCAGGCCGACCGCCAATGATGAGAGGACCTCATATGGCCATGCCTATGCCATACAATGTCAGAGGCGGGTTTAGACCGCCACCTAACTTTAACGGATTCGTCAGACCAGCTGCGAACAATTTGAGGGGATTCCATCCTCCAATGCTTCCTCCGCAGATGGGTGGTGCACCATATCGTCCACCACTGATGAGACCTGCTGGTATGGGCGCAGGCCCAATGCATGGTGCTGGTCCTATGCCAATGAATGGATCAGCCCCAATGAGAAACAACCCCACGTTCAGACCTAATCCCACGTTCAGGCCTTCTCCTATGATGGATGGCATGAGAGGCGGTTCATTTGCAAGACCTATGCAAATGCCTCCGCCGGGTGTCCCACCTGGAGGGATGGGTATACCTCTCCGATTCGGCTCTGATTTCCATCCAGGCTGTGAGTGATTATTCTGGAATGCAGCCTTTATCTAATTATTCACATTCAGTCAACGAAACGCTGTACAATACAAGAAGAGCTGGATGGAATACGGAAGAGATTCTGAGACACCAGATGGATGCAGATAGATATCTGGGGTAAGTCCAATTGTCGATTATCTCATTACCTCTTGTCTGACAACGCCACAGGGCACTCAACAATTGGCTCGAGAGAGAGGTGTCAGCCAAGATCAACGAGTGGGGTCCTGTTCAGCGCCAAATCAAGGAGATGGAGGTAGTACTGCGCGATGTTCGCGATTCAGTTAATAGCTCGAGGGGTATTCCACCTGGTGACAGTCGCGGATTGGCGCCGTCGACCGCGGCCGACCCTCATACTATGCCCGGTCCTTCCGGAGCATCTCGTGGTATTACACCTACTAATGGCCAAGAGCCTCACTCAATGGGTGATCCGTCAGGCGGTTCTCGTGGTATGCCTGACCCATCGGGCGAATCTCGTGGTATGGCCGATCCATCAGGCGGCTCTCGTGGAATGGGAGACCCTTCTAACGCTGGTGAGGAAGATCCAGATCTTGCTGATATTGTTCCTCATTTACCCCCCCTGCCGATACGATGCGAGGATTGCATAAGAATGAGGCGACTGGATCGCAATTGCCATCTGAACACGGTCAACACGATCAAGGTGCGTCACTTCCTGATGAGGGTGGTCCTAGATCTGTAGATGGGAAACCCCAAGGCATGAATCCGGAAGGAGAAGGTGCAGTGCTTCCTGATGAAGGTGATGCCAGATCCATGGGAGGCAAACCTGAAGGCGAAGTAGGTGCAGTGCTTCCTGATGACGGAGCTGTCAGATCCACTGGAGGCAGGCCTGAAGGTAAAGAAAATTCAGGAGAGAAGGGACCACCATTCGCAGCTCTTAGATCTAATAAGCCATTCTCAGAGGAGATTCCAGGACTCAACAAGCTTCTAGGAAAAGGCAAAGGTAGAGGTTCGCCTCAGAAGCCACCGGCAAGTCACGGCGTTGGTAGTCACGCTGGCACTCAAGCCGGATCACCGCCTCCAGGTGAAGCTACCTTAGGTGCTGATACAAATGAATATCCACCACAGGAGCAAGCACCAACTCATGCGGATAGCAACGTTCCTCCAAGTCATGCTCCAAGTCATGCCGCTCCAAGTTACGCTGGATCACCTTACCGCCAGGATGGTGAACTCGGTGGTGCTCCTCCCTCAGATAGAAACCTTGGCTCCGGGCCAGCTGACCCTGGCAGCCAGGCTCCGGATGGTATTGCTCCTTCTCACTCAGCTAGCAATGTCGGGCCTAACCATGGGGCTCCAAGCCACGTCCCATCCCCTGTCGGCCAGGGTGTAGAGCTCGAAGATGGTCCTGAATCTGGTATTCCCCAGGACAGAAAAGTAGGGTTTTCTTCTGCGCCAACTGAACTCGGCAGCAATGCTCCACCGCCCGGGAAACCTGCCGGTAAGGCGCCTGGATCTAGCAAGGGTGGCAGCAGATCTGTAAAAGGTGGCAGCAATGCTCCTCAGTCTGGTAAGGGTTCTAGTAATGCTCCTGGTAGTGCCGCCCCTCCAAGCACTGTTCCTCCAAGCACTGCCGCAAACGATGCTTCGGTCGGCAGTGATGTTCCTCAACCTGGGAAAGCAGCTAGTGAAGCTCCTCCACAGTCTGATAGAGGTATCGCTCCTCAAGCTGAAACACCAGCTGATCCGCCATTCGTCGGTGATGCTTCTCAGCCTAATAGCTCTCAATCTCCCACGGGAAATCATGCTGGTGAGGCAGGAACCCTCGGTGATGCGCCACAAAACTCAGATGCTCAACCACAAAATGCTGCTGGAAATGGTACGTAAAGCTTGTTAGCGTAGCAATGATTAACAAGAATCGCAGAAATCACGCGTCTGCCTACTCCGGGTGGTGATCAACAACATGATGTACCTCTCAGTCTTCAGCCTGGCGTATCTCCAGTCTTCGGCTCCCCAGCCAGGAGCAACGCTGATGGAATTGCTCCATTTGCCGGTGGAAAAGGTGGAAAGGGTAGTAAGGGCAAGAAAGGCAAGAAGGACAGTAGTGGAGGTGGAGAAGCTAGGAGCATGGGCAATGTTGGGAGTGAGCCAGACGTTGCACCCCCTGCGCCTCCTGCTGAACAAGAAGCCGCTGCTGGTGGGAATCTAGTAGGTGACTCCAACTCAAATGGTAAGGGACCCTCACCTGCAGGCTCTACTAGAGCGCTTGGCGATGCTCCACAAGAACCTGGAAATGTTAAGTTTGCTGAACCAGGAAGTAAAGGTCCTTCACCAGGAGATACTGCCGGTGCACTTGGCGTCGCCCCACAAGACTCGGCGAATGACAGTTTCCCTCCCATGTTTGGTTCGCCAGCCCATGACAACGTGCTCGGTGATGTCTCACAAGCTCCAGGCGATGGAAGTGTTCCTCCAGCTGCAGAAACGCCAGGTGCTGATGGCGCTGCTCCAATAGCCGGTGGTAAAGGTGGAAAGAAAGGAAAAGGAAAGAAGGGCAAGAAGGACAGTGCCGGAGATGGCGAAGTCAGGAGTATGGGCAATATTGGAAGTGAACCAGACGCTGCAGTTCCTTCTGACCAAGCACAAGACAAAATCACCGCAGAATATCCTGACGCAAACGTCAAAGACCCTTCACCAGCAGGTTCCACAAGAGCACTTGGCGATGCTTCACAAGCTCCAGAAGACGCTAATTTCCCTCCTATGTTAGGCTCGCCAGCACACGATAACGTGCTAAGTGATGCTCCGCAAGCTTCAGGTGGTGACAGTATCCCACCAGTTTCTGAAACGCCAGCGAGTGATGGCGCTGCTCCAGTTGCTGGTGGAAAAGGTGGAAAGGGTAGCAAGGGCAAAAAGGGCGATGAGGTCAACAGCATTGGTAAAGTTGGCACTGAGCCAGACGCTGAAGCTCCTGCCGAACAAGAAGCCACCGCGAATGAAATCCCACCAGGTTTCTCTGACGCGAACGGCAAAAGCCCCTTACCAGCGAGTACTACTAGAGCACTCAGTGACGCACCTCAAGCTCCAGGTGATAACCATGTACATCCAGTATTAGGCTCACCAGCCAAGGACAATGCGTTCAGTGACGCTCCTCAAGCTTCAGGCGATGACAGTGCTCCACCAGTTGCTGACATTCCAGCTGCTGATGGCTCTGCTCCAGTTTCCGGTGGAAATGGCGGAAAAGGTGGAAAGGGTAGTAAAGGCAAGAAGGGCAAAAAGGACAGTTCTGGAGATGGTGAAACCATGAGCATGGGCAATGTTGGTACTGAGCCAGGCTCTGAGGATCCTGTCGACAAGGTACAAGATGTCGCCACTGGAGGCGATCCATCAACATTTGGCGATGCTTCACAAGCTCCTGACGAAGCCGCTGCTTTTGAACCAGGTACCAAAGGCCCTTCACCAGCAGGTACCACCAGAGCACTCAGTGATGTACCTCAAACACCAGGCGCAGGATCTGCGGATCCAAACTCTACTGATCTTCCAGAAGCCGCCCAGAAGGTGGAAAATGTGCTCAATGATGCTACCAATGGTCAACATCGTCGCGATCCTGGTATTGATTCTATCTTGGATATCCTCAGTAAAGCATTCCCTGGTGAGCCTTCAAAGGAGGCTGCCAAGGAAGCACCAGCTACTGGAATGAGCGATGCTGAAAGAGGTGCTCTTGAGGATAAGGCAAACACTGCATCAAAGGAACGTGATGATGCTCACAGCGTAGGTATTTTCCAAAGGGAGCCGTTCTTTTTACTCACAATTTCACAGAAACTGAATGAAATACTTGCTGTTGAAAGGGCACTCTCTGAAGAGAGAAATAAAAATGCAGAAAAGGAGAAGGCTGAGTTACAGCAGAAAGTAAAGGATGCTGAAGCTGAGAGATCGAAACTAGAATCTCAGCTGGGAGATGTTAACAAGATGCGTAATGAACACCACAAGTTAATTGCTGATTCGCTCAAGCAATTAACGTCATTTACGACCGCTGAAGCAGATAGACTAAAGCAGGCCTCTTCAAAGCCAACTTTACAGGACATTCGCGATATGATAGAGCATCAAAATGATGAAAACAGCAAATTGCTAAAGGTCGTTGCATCTGATATTATTCTGCATAACACATCTCAACATAGAAGTACCGTTGGCAGCGTCGAAAAGTCTAATGCTACTGCTATGAAAGGAAATATCGATACAGCTGTTGATGAGTTTAAGAAGCAACTGTTGCCAGAAGTACGAGGCTTGGTGAAGGAAATTGGCGATCTCAGAGAACAAAAGAGAGGCCTTCAACACGAAATTAGTGAATTATTCGCCATCAAGTCAAAGCAGGGCAACGGCGCACCACCTCCGCCAAAGGTTGATTACAATCCTCGTGCACCACCTGCCAAAGAGAACAACAAAAAGGATGACAAGCCAAAAGATCCAGCCCAACCACCACCACCAGCTTGGCTTAGCTGGCAGCCACCAGTAAACTTTGCCCCACCGCCATTGCCATCTCAACCACGCTAATCGCGTATGTTAATACCCCAGACTTATTACTCTCGTTACTTGTTTTTATTAATTCGTGTATATACCTAGGTAAGTAATGGTATATGCGCAGCCGTATCATAGCTGACTCTGTTCTTAGTATAATAATTGCTCACTCGTTAAATGCAAATACTTGCAATTTAGTTTATGTTCCACTTACAGATGTATATTTTTATAATCACCTATTAGACATTTATTTGTGCTCTAAATAGGTTTGTTGTTTGTTCAGTTTAGCATTTTCAATGAATTGATTTCTGCTTGACTTGAGTGGATGAAATCAGCTCAACTTGATCTTCAACTGGCCAACAAAGGGCTGAGATGAACATAGGCGATTCCTCTTTAAGAAATCTTCAAATAAAAGGAATTCCATCATAGCTCTGGGCGAGCTTTAAGAAGGTTGCAAAATTCAAAGCTTTTCGGTTCTGTTATTGCTATTAAGGCAAGGCACAAGTTGGATTCAGCATCACTATGGAGCACGAAACCGAGCAAACGCAGGAAATTGCGCGCAAATTCATTGTCTATAAGCGTAAAGAGCGGACAGGTATCGCTTATGCCCAAATATCCAAGTATTCACCTTTTTAGACGCGTGTTCTGCTTTCCAAGGTCTACGGACCACAGGACTCAAACCTAGCACCGAGGAAAAGCTAAGATATTTTTGACTCTCCTCTCACTTTGAAGTGTAAAATTGGGGTTCAGCTCAACTCTGGAAACTGGAAGCTCGACTTTACCAGGTGCATTTGGGGGAAATTGATAATGATTGTGGAGAGATGGTTGAGGCTTCGTAGATTCAGAGATTAAAATAATATAACCGTGGACTTCGAATCTATTTTTCAACTCAAAATCACTTGCCGTGCATAACACAAACTGCGCAACAGCAGCTAAAGCAGGCTCGGTGGCGTAAACGCCATTATTCCATGGGCTATGCACTATTATAATTATCAGATTAATCGACCATTTGTAGTGCTTTTCGTAGGTGCACTAAAGTGAATAATAACAAGACATCGAAGTAAATAACGCATATTGATTGCTATCTAATGGTAAATTAAACAAATTAAGGTAAACGACCTATTAAATGAGAGGGATTGGAGTGCAGTTGACACCAACGAGACCATCTTCCTTGACGTCTTCACAGCACGTGGGAGTGTTTTTGCATTCATCTGTGGGCTATTAATTGTGCTGTGAAACAGGAGCATCTACTTACCCTCTATAGCAACTCCGATCAAGAGGGGGACTTGAGTACATTGAACACCGACTTGGTCGAGAACGTCGCCAGTGTGGAGGAGGCCTGATTCTTCACCGGTTGACTTTTGAACCTTTTTGTTCAAATCGCAACACGAGAGTTTACCAGTGTTACATGAGCCGGTCTTGGATTCCCAGCCAGCTGAGACAGAGGCGACGAGGGCAGCAGCGAAGACAGTTTGAGCAATCATTGTGAGATTCAAAGTGTGTTTGATTGTAGTATTATATCAGGAGCGTTTTTGACTTTTATATCTACTCAATTTTATTAGTCTCACTTTTAGTCTGGTATTAGCGCGTCGAGTAGGTTTATTCAGCGGACACGAGAATGCGAAGAGATTCGGCATGCGCATCGAGGTTGTCGTCGCTGTTCGGGCGGCCGCAAAAGAAGGCTGGCTGTAATACAACCGCTGGACTCAGGTTCAAATCGACAAACGTCTCATCGACTTTGGGTTGCTGGACAAGTCGGAGAAGATGTGGCTCGAAGCGCATGACAAAGATGTCTAGGGAATGATATTGCCAATGCTAGATAAGTCTGAGACACTCACGGGTGTAATATGACATGATAAATCAAGTGTACATGCCATGAGTAATTGTATCAACCAAACAACGCTCAGCTCGATAGACTGTGAATACGATATGTCGACAAGAATTGCACAATAAAATTCGTCAATAATGAGTGAACGTGTATAAAGAAACAAGATTTCATTGTTCTGTTTATCCAGTGCAATCGGATGTTGTTATATGGTCAAGAAAGTATAAAATAGGTTGTGAAAGCAGACAGAGCGTCCCACTCATGTCTTAGCAAAAGTCAATTTATCTTAGAGGGCAATTGCGAGCACAGCCAAAGCGATAGCTGAGACGGTGGCGAAACCAGTGAAGGTGGTAGCGCTAGAATCGCCGTCGCCAGCGTTGGCGCTGGTTTGGCCGCTGCCGGTGGAGCCACCATCGTTGCCGTCAGGGTTGCTTTTGTCGGATTTATTGCTGTCAGGGTCACTGTTTGAGTCCGAATCGTCGTCTCTGTTATCTTCAATGACGCCAGTAGCTGAGACATCGACGTTGTTGCCAGCAAGGGATGATTGAGTGACACAGTTGGATGAGGATGGGGTCATTTGTGCGGCGGTTGGAGTGTCAGTAACACCGACAGTGTATCCGACCATGGCACCAGTGGTACCTGAGGAGTAGCTACCAGTGTATCTTTGAGCGAAAGTGGAGTAAGAGCCATCTATAGGGTAAACACCAGGTGGGTAAGCAACGTCAGCATCACAGGTCTCAAAGACATCACTGTCACCTGCATCTGGCATAACGAAACCGCAACCCATTTCATCTAATTTGTGCTCGCACATGACTGGAGCACCCCAAGTGTCGTTGCTTGCTGTACAAATTCTGATACAGAATTGCTCGTATGAGATGAATTCCATCCACTCAGCGTAAGAAGTAGAGGTACCGTTGACAATGTCCGAAGTAACGTTACCACCAACTGGGTTACCATCGCCAGTAGCACCGTGTGGGTCAAGCTCACCACCGTAGTCACCGTCTTTAACACCGATCTTTGTCAAATCACCGAAACTAAGTTGTTTTAGCAAAATTACTTACCGAGACACCACAACTCACCCAGAAACTTGGACGTAAGCGGGGGTCTTAACAAAGTGCGTAGAGGTAATAGTGCCATCTGGGATAACACGTGCGTTGTTACGTGGCTTAGTACACCAGGCGACTTGTTCACCTTCAGTGTCACCGATGGTTACATTTGCCTCTTTTGGACCGAAGAAACAGAAATCGTCGATGGAGTTAATGGAGACAAGACGGGCTACCGAGGTTTGGTTAAGTTCTGTGCCCATCGTTGCCTCTGGAGGGTTGGTGGTACCCATTGCTGTTTGACATGTAAGGATGTGTCACAAGTGGTACAGAAGCGGGACTAACTTCCTGTGGCGATAACATCAGATGCCGTGTGGTTCCAAGCGTAAGCGGCTGTTGCAGCGAGCAGCGTTGTTGCTGTTTTAAGGAGGACCATAATGGAAGTTGTGGATTAAGAGGAATGGTGGCTGAAGCGGGATTCTATTAAAAGCGCTTCGATCGATTTGATCGAGACTGCGCGGAATACTCAAATAAAATAAAATTCAAATATAATTATACAAGGCTGTAGCTGTCTCTGTTTGGCTGAACGTGTATCTGTGCGTGCGTAACTAATTAAATCTGGGCAAAGAGATTACAAAGATACGATGACTCTTTGGATTTCACCAGAATTTTCATCGACTTTGACTGTAAACGGAGTGCCTGTTGTTGGTGCTGCTGTGTATTTCTCAATGATTTCAGCGTCACTGTCGTTAACGTTGAATGATCTATTAAGCTGCCCAACATCACCGCCATTCTTACGCTCCTCCAAGTAAACCAACAAAGACTGAGGAGATAGCCTATTATACGCCATTGCTGCGTTATCCACCTCGCTCTCCACCTTCCTGCCTCTCAAAATGTTGATCATCTTATCTGAAGGTCTAAAATTTGTTTGAGCTTTCTCAATCTTAACTGGATCAATTTTTGACAAATTATTCATAAAATCTGGATCTTGGCCATCTTTCATGGCTGCATTTGGTTTTGTGTGTGGCTCATCATGTGAAGTGCTAGGATTCTTCAATCTATCTAAAGATTCAGTTGCCTTCGGTACTTGTTTTGATTGAGTTTTTGGGAGTCTTCTCACCGCTTTAGAAGTTGAATTGCCCATTTTGAGTCGAGAATACGATGACGAATGCAGATAAGATTGAAATAATTGTAAAATTAAATTTGTTGTAAATTGCGTTCTCTACTGTCAAGTGTATTGTCGTTGATTCATTAGTATTGTAACAAATATCGAATCCACCATTTAATACTCTCCCAATGATATTAACTGGAACACTTCCAATCCAACTCATTCTCACTCTCAATAATTCTCCCTCTGTGAACCCTTTTAATTGATAAGTCTCACACTTCTTCCCCTCTGCTTGTACTTCTATCGGGTAATGGATATCCTCAGTTAACACCACTCCACCCACTCTACCACCCTCTTTAAACCTTAAATTCATCACTTCCGTATCTCCTAATACCATTCCAATCCAAACCATCAATATTCCTATCAAATTGGTTATTCTCATTGTACCTCTTCATCCCGCGTCGTGCTTTTATCCGTCATTTATCCCTTTTTATCCTTTTTCTTAATCATGTTTACACTCCCTTTCACTTTTTCAAATTTCTTGCTCTTCTTCTCCCCATTCCCCTCAAACTCGCCTGTCGCTTTGTCTTTGTCTTCTTCATCTGCAGACATCTATTCATCAACTTTATGGAATCATCTCTTGAGCTCGTAAATCTCCTAAAAGGATCTAGATGTAAGGAAAAATGGGGCAAAATTTAGTGAGGCAAAATACAAAAGGTCTTGCCCGGATTCGAACCGGGGTTAATGGAAGTCTTTGCGTCAAAATCCACGGTGATAACCGCTACACTACAAAACCAGATGGCTTCGGTTGTCCTGGAAGCAGTTATATACCGCTCACAATGAACCTTAAATATCTAATATCTCAGCCTCAAGCTGAATTTTTGACTCCTCATGCTTCAATGAGTATTGGTTAACGCAATTTTAAGCATGTATGGTCTTAGCAATGAATTCAGATTTCATCATCATCATACATACAGCGGATATTTTTTGGCAATTAAAATGCTGTAAGTCAATTCGAACTATTTCAACGCTTTAAACTTGATAAAACTGTCGCAAGTCCTTGTGAACATAACTTATGTGCTGGTTGAGTAAAATTTCTCAATTGCAGAATTATCACCCTTGGAAGCCCTAGTATTGATATAAGATCGATATAAGATATGTTATATTGCCGTTTAAGAATCATTTTGCCCCACGTCTTGTGTCACGAATAGAAAGAGACCACTGGGCCAAGTAGGTGCGCTCACGAGTGTGCCAAAGCCCTCAAAGCTCTCTCCAACTATTTTAAATCTCGAATAATATTCAATCATTATTACCGATATCTCTTAGTTGTTATTGACGCATTACGCCCAAGGAATGCACACACGAGTTCAATGACGTTTTTGTCATAGCACCTTAATGACTTCAAACTTGAGCAACATGGGTATCATTCTATAGGAATTGCTCTTTGGATCAATTCGAGAGTGTTAATGTCATTGATAGCGTGGTGATGTGCTCTGCACTAGTCCAGCTAGATGTGGTAGGTCTCAGGGTGATTTCGAATGCATCTCTATACATTCCTGCAATATAAGATTCCAGTACAGCCTTAACCGCCATCACATCCATTCTTTTGAAGTCTCGAAATGCACTGGGTTAATCCAAACCCCCGATTTTAGAGTTTAGCTGACCCCTACTTTCTTTGGATAAATTGTATTCAATAGTCGTTGAAAAGTCATGAATGACAATATTACTTCCCTGGAGCCAGAGTTGAGTCGTGTGGACGCCACTTGTCGAAACCCGTAAATCGCGTCTAGAAGAGTGAATACTTGAATTACTAGGTTCTTGCGATCACTACCAGCTATAAAGAATCATGTCTATCGATAAATCGCGAAAAACTCCGCATGTCTATCCTGAAGCGTGCTCCAGAGCGATGCCGGATTTCAACTTCCGAGCAGCCTCTAGGGCACAACTGGAGTCTCAGGAACATAGTTCTGGTGACTTAAATGTAGAAAAAATTCAGGGCTATATGTTAAGCGCTTTATTCAGAGATCATCAAAACTCGTAAATCCACCGTCTGACATGAGATAGGTGGTAATCGAGAAATCATACTCGATGGATATTGAGCGGAGGATATATATGGAGATGTATTTGAAATGCTTGAGTGATTTTGAGAACGATGATGCTGTTATTTTAATCAAATTGTTAATAAACGAATCGGCTGCGTTATGGCCGGTCTTGGTTTCGGTAATCATGGGATTAAGATGACAACAGAAAAGGTTCATGAATATGTACGAAATGCTCAATTGCATCCATTAATTGACTCAATTTTTCTCCAAGTAATCTCAAGTCAGCAATCCATCGCTATCAGTATTACCACCATGTTTAGTGCATTCGAAAAGGATAGTAACAAGAAAATCAACAACATCAACAGCAACGCCTTTCGAGGAAAGACGATAATCTGCATTGGCGCGAATGCTGGGATCGGATTGGCTATGTGTGACCACGTCGCCCAAAGTGGCGTCAAGAGGCTTGTGATGGGCTGCCGCTCGATGGACAAAGGAGAAGCGGCACGCTCTGAGATAAAAGAAAGGTGCCCCGACTTGGTTGTTGACTTGTGGCAAATCGACCTCTCTTCTCTCAACTCAGTCCGTTCTTTCGGCCAGCGCTGGACTGAGCAGGCAGAAGACGCGCGCACAATCGACACGCTGTTCTTGAACGCAGGTCTCATATCGCCCAACACGGCCTCGAGCAGCAGTGCAGACGGGCTTGAGATGACGTATGCATGTAATGTGATCGGTCATCTTGCCTTGATTAGCCACCTCTTGCCTTGTCTTAACTCAACAGACTCGCGTATCATTTTTACTGGCTCTGGTGCATATATGTTCACCTCACTGCCCAGTCGCCCACCTCCAAACAAGAGGACTCCGCTTAGGGACAGCTGGAACGTTTATGGCTATGTTATCAACGCTTTCGCCATTTACGCCGACTCGAAACTGCTGTTGAACGTGGTAGTAAAAGAACTGCAGCAGCGCCTTGCTGACAAGCACATTTGGGTCGGGGTATACCATCCAGGCGCGGTCAACACTACCATCACCGATAAGGCGCACTATGGGGTCTCTTGGCTCATTACCTACCCCTTTACTTACATTATGAGCTATTTTGGAAGAACGCCAGCAGAAGGCGCTGCGCCGGGTTTGCATCTTGCAAGTGAACCGAAAGAAAATTTACCTGGAGGCGCTTACTGGAATGAGTATGCACAGATTGAGCTGGTAAAACAGGCTGAGGATGCAGAGTTGAGGAAACGGTATTTCGACAGATGCGTTGAGGATGCACGCGTCGATCCTGCTGTTTTTGTTGCGTGACTGCAGTAGGATTTGTAAATGTTTTTTTCTTATTCTTTATGTTTTGATGTATTGTAAGAATAACGATGACGATTAAAATGTGCACCATCCCTGATAAGAACGTCGATGACCTCACACGCACATTCTCTCAAACTGGACGACGTGGCCGGACTGAATGAAAATTCGAAGGCGTGGGTGTTATTGTGTTATCTCTGCCTCCGCTCAGGGATGCAGCTACTTGCAGCGACTATCGGAAGCATCCATCCCGCGCACGCGCTATCCCTCGTCATCCACGGGCAAGCATGCGGCTGTAATGGTAGCGATATTTGTAGGGCGTCTCTCTGATCTCCACGTCTTGTTATCCCAACGGAGCCCGCTACTCAGCGCATATCCATCCGATACCTGTCTAATAGGCGGCAAGCGCGACGAGCAAGATATTTTTCCAGAGGACACAGCTCGTCGTGAAGCGGAAGAGGAGGTAGGTTTGCCGCGTAGTGATTTGCAGCGCGTGCGCTATGTGGCCACGCTCCCGCCCCACCTCGCATACTCGAACGCGTCGGCGCTGACAGTGTGGCCGGTAGTATGTCTCATTACCGATAGGGCGTTGGTGCCGATGTTGAATGAGGATGAGGGTGTGTGCCTATGTTGGTGATACTCCACTGATCACATTACAGTGCAGAGGCTGTTCTCTCATCCCCTCCAATCTTTCCTTTGTCACAAAGCAGACAGCCTTCTCCTACGGCTGAAGCACCTCGAGAGCCCGGACGATATCTATCACTGGGTGGGTTGTAGTCCTCACATCACCACTAACACTCACACTCCCGCTCTCGCACGCAGCACTTCGACGACATAGACCCAGTCGCACCTTCTCACCACCTCCGCAAACACGTCTTCGAAACTGGTCGAAATGGCGTCAAGCCGATACTGGGATTCACAGCGTGGGTTACGTGTGTGCCTGATTCATCTACTCACAGACTGACCTTGCAGACGTGTTATGATTCGTGTGGCCTCTATAGCATTCGACACTATCCCGCATTTTCGCATCGATGCGCCTGATCAGATACCCGAAATTGAGCGCGTGACTATGGCAAGCGGTGCGAAAGCGAGTTTGTGAAAGCAAAGATTGTTATTGTAGCATAGCATGTACACTTGATTCATCATGTCATTACACCCTCTCCAACCACTCTTTCGCGAGTGTCTCAGACTTATCTAGCATTGGCAACAGCATTCTCTTGACATCTTGGTTGTGCGCTTCGAGCCAATTCCTCTCTGACTTGTCCAGCAACCCAAAGTCGACGAGACGTTTGTCGATCGGAACCTGAGTCAAGCGGTCGTATTTCAGCCAACCTTCTTGTTCAGCCGCCTGAACTGCGACGACAGACTCGATGCGCATTCCGAATCTGTTCTCGGCGTCTGTAGATAGCTCTCGTGAGTGGTTATACTATCGATAAAAAATTCACGTCTCACAATATCCAGGCTCATTCGAGTTGATGCAACCGATACGCAGTGGGTGCTCAGCGAATGTCACACCCTTATTAATCCCATGTGGTCCCTCGTGTACGTTCAAATACGAGCCTATGCCGTGTCTGTATTGAGTTGTGAGCAGGTGCAACCACAAAAAAAAAAGCCCCACACACCCAGTGCCATGGCCATAGTCGAGGTTTTCACGCCACAGTGGACGTCTCGCGAGCACGTCGATATGGCCACCAGTCGTGCCTTCAGGGAAGACGAGCGAGTCTATGGCGATGTGTCCCTGGAGGACACGCGTGAACGCTACCTTCTGCTCAGCTGTCGGGGTGCCCAGGTGGACAGTGCGCGTAGTATCGCAAGTCCCATCAAGATACTGTCCGCCAGAGTCACTGAGGTGTGTGAGCAAAGCGAACAAAGCTGCGTATGCATTGCAAAGAGTCTCCTTACTTCAAGTAAGGCGTGCTCAGATCGAGTTTGGGAGCATCAGGACCAGCTGCGTAGTGAGGCAGAGCTGCATTGGCGCCTGTTGCAGAGATGTTCTCGTACGCCAGACCCTTGAACAGGGGCAACGCCTTCCTGAACTCGTCAAACTTGCCACTGACTGTCCACTCGGTGAGGTTGGGGTTTCCCGCTCTGACCTGTCCATCGAGCCATGCGAGGAAACGGACAAAAGCTAGTCCATCTCGCTTGTATGCTTCGCGAGCTCCCTGCAGCTCCGTTTCATTCTTCACAGCTTTCCACAGCGTGATAGGCGAGGTGGTAGTCCTGATGCGTTCGAATGTGCAGTCGGCTGCTACGGCATAGGAGACAGACTGGGATGCGAGCACCGTAGTGAACCCCTCTGACACCTCTTTCAGCCTGCTGTCCACAGCGTCGTAATCGTCAACCTCGACGCCCAGCTCGTGCAGGTATGCGCTGACGTCCTTAGTGAGCTGCTGCTTGTGCACGAACAATATCTTCTTAGCCTGCGAGAGAAAGAGATAGGAGTAGAATACGGGGCTGAAAGGAACGCTCCCGTGGCATCTGCAAGTGAAGTTGTATTCGGATTAGCTAGTGTGTCACCCAGCACACACCCTCCCACCTCAGATTAAGCGTCCAGGCCACATCGTCGAGAGCGGTAGCGATGAGTGCGCGCTTGCTACCCAGATATGCATCGACGCTGTGCAGCTTCTGCGATGCATGAACTCCCGCGAACTGCACTCTCAGCTCGAAAAGCGGCTTGAGTGGCAGATGCGGTCTGTCGTACCAGATGCGGTCGACGAGGTTGTGCGTATGGACTAGCACACAGTCTGACTCACGTAGGTTGTCACCTATGGCCTGTGCTTGTGTGTATGCGACCAGCTTCGGATCGACACCGATTCTGCAGCAGCACAGTCCCTTGAGCCACTCAAGCCACGTAGGAACTCCAGGAAGCCCGTCCTTGTGCAGCGTCCACGCGTCGCTGAGTTGGCGTTCTGCTTGTATGAAGTAGCGCGAGTCGGTCCATAGGTGTGCAGCGTGCTGACCCACTATCGCAATTCCAGAGCTGCCGGTGAAGCTATGGGAGCGTCAGGGATAGCTCGCGTCTTGTAAACCGTTGATTTACCCAGATACAAAGCTTAGTCGGGCATCGGCAGCCGCTACCTCCTCTGAAGCATGGGCATCAGTGGTGGGAATAAGGTAGTAGTCCAGCTTGCTGTCTATAAGCAGCTCCCTCAAATCCGCAAGTCTCTCATCGAGCTCTGTGCGGGATGTCTGCAGCGGCTCCTTGATCTCCAACGTGGGCAAGTGTTCAATGGGCGGTGTAAAGCCCGTTCTGCTGTGGTTTCTGCCAAATATACAGCTCAACATATCTCCTTTAATGTCTTTTGATGGTTGTAATGACGTAAGCGACGCCGATAAGATAAGCGAAAATGAAAATTCGATGAAAACAGAAAATGGGAAATGCATTATGAAGATGGAAATGTGTTATTATTTTCTATCCGAGTAAAAAATATGTAATAAATTACGCGTGCTGTGTGCTGTCTGCTGTCTGCTGTGTATATCCGTATGTCAAGGGGGTGTGAGAGTTGAATATGGGTGTAAGCGTGAGTGTGTGTATGCATGTATGAAAATGTAAGCCACACCAGATTACGACGCTGTAGCATGCGACAGGTGATATTTCACCCAATAGGTAGTTACTACACCTATAGCGCTAACGCCCAGTGCCAACGCATATCCGCCGAGCTGGTTCCCACCCGTGCGACCGCCAGTAGGTGTAGCACCAGTGATAGCCTCCGTGATAAGCGGTGCGAGAATCTTGCCCATGGCCACCGTAGCGCCGTACCATGGGGTGAGACTGACTCTGAGGTCATTTGGCAGTGATTTGGAGAACAGAGTGGGCAGGACGGCTGCTTGGATGTTATATCCAACCATAACGATAGCACATCCGATAAGAAATCCTGCTGCAGTGCCCGCTTGTGAGCTGTCATAAGCGAAATCGCATCCGAACGAGATCATCATCGCTATTAACCCTAGACTGACCCACATGAAGGATACAATACCAAGTAGAATCTCCAGTCCAATACCCGTATAGAGAGGCGCACCGGCGCTCACGCCGCCGTCTGTCTTGGCGCGCTCGAGAAGCGTTACTCGATCGACGCCCACCTTCCATGAGGTGATCTTGAGGACAAGTCGTCCTAGTCCGTCACGAATGTACGAGCTGAGCAGACTACCAATTAAGCCTGCTGCATAGACTGCTGTTTGCAATCCAGCCTGCACACCCGTGCTGAAGCCCCAGAAACTGCTGAGACGGTCTGGGAGTACGTAAAGGATGAGAGCGGAGACATAAGAGCTGCTGAGCATGGAACAGAGGATGATCAGCGATGGTCCGTAGTGGCCTCTCCTGAAGAACTCGATAGCAGGTAAGATCGGGTTCGGAGCTGGTTTAGTCTTGTTGCTGAGGAAGACTGCGAGTAGGATTGAGAGAAAGGCCATGATAAACGAAGAACAGTATGTCGGTGCGTTGTTCTCGTTGACCTGGTAGTTCCCAATCTGGACATCGATCAGACCGAAGAGGGCGTTGAGAGCAGGACCGAGCACTAGCGCTATACCCGCATACGTTCTGTACTGCGAAAGCGCCTCCAGTCTATCGACGTTGGCTGTGGAAATGGCGATAAAACCCATCGCGAGACCAGAGCTGCCGGAAGCCACACCGCAGAGAATCCTACCGCCTATAATCGCCCCTACATTGCCAATCGCACCGACACCTGCGCACGAATAGAGGAAGTTACCAGCGAACGATAGCGAGATACAGACGACGATGGTCCATTTCAGCGAGCGCACTTTTGCTGCAAAGACACCGATGCTGAGGGAGACTATGAGCTGCGCGAGTGCGCTGACAGCCTGTGTCACAGCGAGATATTTGTCCGCGTCGTTCGGACGCACTGTGAGAATGAAGCTGTAGACACTTGGCAGCCAAAGCGTGGCATCGATACCGAAAGAGAAAGCCACAAGATTGATGATGCACATCCTCTTAAATATCTGTATCCGCGTCGATGGCTGCTGGGGAGACGGCGTCTTCTCGCGACTCTCCTTGTGCTCTGGGAGCTGGTCAGGCTCATCCTCGACCTCGATAGCATCACCCGTAGGCAGCGCTAAGGATATTGTAGACTTTGATCTAAACGCGGCATAGGGATCATTTGGTGAAACACGCGATGGTGCCGCTGTGCTGGCGAAGGATACAGAGCGCGAGCGGCCGTCTGCGTGAGAGTTGCTGCGATTGAGATATACGCCCTGATGTGGCTGGTGTTGCTGATGGAGCGACGTGCTCGACGGACCGAGAAGGCCATCACTGTTGTCGTAGAGTGCTGGTGACGTTTGTATCGCGATATCGTTGCGGTTGTTAGCCTGTACAGAAGTACTAGACTGTAGGCGTTATTAGCAGCAGTTCACACCGATCAAATACCTCCACAAACCTTATTGCTCTGCGTCTGCGATTTATTATCAGATTTCATCGAGTGGCTTTCTTTGTCTGTTGCTCCTCCTTTAGCGGCTGTTGGTTGTTGTTAGGATTGTAAGCGGCTATCGGTTGACTCAACTCATTCTCAATACATGCCAATCCAGAACGAAGGACGAAGAACGGCGATGTGATGATATCACAACCCAGTGTGAAGAATGCATGCTAAATATAGTAAGTGTCATCGGAAATTGCAACCGAATATAGTAGTGTGCTTTTTCAATTGCATTCTACGTCCAGGCGGACTTCTTAGGTCCTTCTGTGCACCTGTGAAAATTTTGCACGCCCACCTAATTAAGAGCACTTCCGGCGAATTAAATTAAGACATTTGCGTAATTTATCTAATTGCCGATCTTTATTCCGATGCGGTCATTAAAAGAGCTAAATTACTTAAAAGAGACAAAATTCATTTTACATCTACTCAACATCGATCAGATTATTATGGCTATTGCTATTGCTATTGCTGAACAATTCAGGCTGGTTTTCAGGATCACCGATAGATTTTGCAATCTTATCCTTCTTCTCCCCCAACAAGCTGCTCTTCCACGCTGCTGTACACTCTTGAATCTTGTCTCGGCAATACGTACTAGCGAATAGTCCAGCCTCTGCGTAACGTTGATTACGCAGGAGGCAATCAACACACTCGCCCGGCTGTCCCAGTTGTAAGAGTGCGGCGAATGCGATGTTATTCTGTCCGGCTTGTATCGCCAATTCTGCTAGTTCCTGCATACCGCCCTTATCGCCACTGCTTGTATATACTAATAGCAACGCTTCGAGGTCGCTTGCCTTTTTGTAACACTCCACAGATAGACTGATATCCCATTTCTCGAGTGCCTTGTCGCCCAATGTGCGCCACTTGTTCTGCGAATCTGCAGACACTGACTGACTAGCTAGCGCATTGCCTTCGTCGAGCTTGCCGAGTTCTACTGCTAGGTCAAATTTCTGGTCTGGGTCTGTTGCCACGCTCATCGCTAACTCTTTCAATCCCTCGTCTTCCAAAAATCTTGCTATCCTGTTCTTCTGATCGGCTGGTATCCTAGGAAGGATGTTTTCTGCGAGGGTAAAGTCCTGGCTGAGGATAGCTGATTCATATTCAATGAGCGATTTCGCGAGTGCGTATGACCTGATTTGAAGATCTTTGTCCATCACATAGATGCGGTTCTGAGTACCAATGTATCCGAGGAGATACTGCGGCCCGTCAAAGTGATTGAGTGGCTGGGACTTATGACCCAACACATAACATAATCTGTTTAACGTCGATACGTAGATGAGACAATCACCGAGCCATTTACAAGTACTGATTGAGTCGCTGATTTCTGAAACAACCTCGAATGCTTCTTCGTCACCCTCATCACCGAAATCAGCACCATTCGCAACGTGTTGATCGTATGCATCGCGGTTAAATTGGAGCATGTAGGCGGAGTCAGGGGAAATAATGGCAACGTAGTCGCCATTAGGTGACCAGCTCACTTGCGAGGCATCTACTTCAATCCATCTTACTATATCTCCACTCTCCCAATCACAGAACATAATCCAACCATTCCCGGCAATACCAAGAAGTGAACCGCCAAAAACACTAGTAATTCCACCCGTATTATTGGCTACCTTAGGGGCATTCTTCTCTTTAAAATTCTTAAAAACACGTAGCTTTCCACTTGGTTCGCGTACTGCGTACGTGTTGCTATCTCCAGCCCAAGCGAAGGATGTAGCGAGACCGAATGATTTGTTGCGCCATGCGAGTGCAGTGTAGATGATGTATTCGCCATCACCACAAACCGTCACAAAGCGACCGTTGGGTGAGTGTTGAATTGATTGTGGGAAAACCTCAGTATTACCGAGTTCACGAGCTTGAGATGGTATACGCTGGCCATCGACGAGGTCATCTTGGTCGAGTGTTTGAAGATTTGCACCGAAGATTTCACTGTTGCGTGAGTAGATGACTTTACCAGAGGAGTCCATTGAGAAGGTTGGATCTTCGCGACCGAGCTGTTGAGTGTGAGTGTGAGTGCCTATAGAACACAGTTGCTCACCTTGAAAACTACAGCACCCTCATCAAAACCGACAGCGACGTCATTGATAGACTTTGAATAAGCAACCGACCAAGCTCTCTCTAGACCGTAGTTCAAAGTCTGCTCGAGTCTGTAAGTGCTGCTGTTCCACACCTTAACAGTGCCATCTTCAGCGCCAGAAATGATAAGTGGTAGGGAAGGGTGGAATATGGCGAATGAGACGTTTGAAGTGTGACCTTCCATAGACTGAACGAGAGATTTAGAGTGGTAATCCCAGACCTTGACAAGTCTATCATCACCGGTAGTAACGATATAGGGTTTATCGTTGCCGTGATAGTACTCGACATAATTTACACCCTTATCGTGTGCTTCTAAGGTAAAATTGGCATTTACAGCGCCCAAAGACCAGACTTTTACAGTCCTATCTAAGCAAGCAGAAGCGAAGGTGTTGGTATCCTTTGGATTGAAGACAATATTCATGATGTAGTGCGTATGGCCTTCAAAGATGTGCTGACAGCGCCATTGCTTCTCCCAATTCCAGAGCTTGATGGACATATCGTCAGAACCAGTGATAACGTATGGGAGAGTTGGGTGTACAGCCAAAGCGCGGATATAATCTGGGTGAGCCTCAAAGGAAGAGATCTTGTCCGAGGTGTTGTAGTTGAAGCATCTAAAGGGGGAGAGTGAGAGGATGGGAATCATAACAATTAGCCACTAACCTCAATTGGAAATCATCAGAGCCAGCAACAAACCAATTCTTTCTTGGGATGAAGCGTACGCAGCGTACGGGAACATCGGTGACTTCGAATGATTTTACAGGGTTATTGGTGGATGTATTGTAAATGACAACAGATCCATTATACAAACCAGCCAATAACCAAGGTTCTGTTGGATGGAAATCGACCGATTTGACACGTTCACTGCGATTAAAGAATTGTCGCTGTGAGGGGGTGTTAAGGGTGTCTTGTGTATTCCGATAGCCTCACTTTTACATCCAATTGCATTTTAAAAGTAATTTAAATGATGGTGGTTGGGGTGATAGATGGGAATAACAGGGAGTAGAGATTTGAGTGTGTGAGTTGTACGAGTATGTAGCTTAGCAGCTATAACACCTGAATTTCCAAATTCTACTCATCTTTATATTTATAAAAAATAAAAAATCAAATCTCAGAAATCAAAATGTTAAGTTGATTGAGTATCCACCATCACAAAATCAAATTAACAAATCGCCAAACACGCCGAATATATAAAATAATTGCTAAATAAGGAAGTTACAGGAAATTATATCTTAGACTAGAACGACCAATGAGCAAGAACCCGCCATCACCTATTTCTGAGCCATCGGAGCCAGGGGGAAATCTATTGAGTTTGAGTGAGTTGAGTGGGTTAAGAGCGGTATTAGATGACAAACACGGGGATGCACCATTCCTATACGCCACTTCACTGAAATTATTAAATCACGCTATTGAATCTTCAAACACACTGTCAAAACAATCAATTCACACAAATAACAATATCGATAAAATTGAGCTGGAGTCGTTGAAGAGGCAAGCCGAAGCTCTTTCTTGGAAATTGGAGAGATCTCGATGGGATGCACGCCTCACTCGCTGGGAAGCTCACGATGAGATTGAGCCTCAAGGTACCTCTGTACTTCACCAAGATATTCAATCTGAGAACAGAATGCTAGTTGGCGATAAGCGTGTTCTTAAAAATAAGGTTGGTGCTTTTTTTTATTTCCGCTTTTTTTTTTTTTAACACCAGAGACAGCTCGAGGAAGCCTTACGTAGGGCGAATAGATTAGAAAATGAATTACGTCAGATACGCGCTACGCTCATCACCAAAGCTCATCCAGGTATTGAGGCCTGGAAAGACGCTGCTTGGCATGACGGTGATGGTTCACGCTCTGATCAGTATGGGATGGGTGACGCACGCGCTGAGCATCTACTCCTTGCTTCCAAACGTTTAAACACGCTTATTCGCAAATCCAATAACCCTGAAGAACAGTCATCGCTCCAACCCAAGCAGATATCGCGGCGCAAAGCCATGCACAGTGCGTCATCCTCCACGCCCAAACAGCAGCAGCACAATGGCATAGAGAATCTCATAAATGCAGCTACTTCCGTCTTTGACAACCAGCACGGGCGCAGTGTGAGCAGATCGCCTACCAAGCCTCGACCATACTCCCCATCCCCTCAAACCTCGCCGAAGCGAAGAAGACTACCAGCAATCAACACCATATCTAACAGCACTGACAGAAAGAATTACGTTACTGGTGGGGAGAACAGGAACGAGGATCCATATCTACACTACAATTCGAGTCCAACGAAACCAACAACACAGATGAAGGAGCAGCAGCAGGACAACAAGGGGTCGGCGCTTGATTTTCTCGCCGATCACGCAGTGGAACAGAGCAATAATGAAACACCGACGAGCTCGTATGCGCTGCCACCTAAGCTGAACGCACTCGAGAAGGATAGAGAGCATATCAACGAGTTGGGACCACCACTGCGACTGAGAGGCAGCTCCCCGCCGACGCCCTCTTCGCCTGTTGAATCCCCAACGAAGAAGCGACTCACATGGGGCACACCTAAGACGGATGCAAGCAGCCCACGCGTAAAGACTGAGCCGGGAGTGGGAATGAGTGGTTTAGGGGTGAGTGCGACACCTCCAATGCCTCAACAGGCAGTAGTGCATCCACAGCAAGGAGCGGGAGTACAAAGCGTACAGGAAGGACAAACACCACAAATACAACACACACAACTTACAAAACACACACAAAATACACCTCAACCTCCACCTTCAATTGTCGCCCCTCATCCAATGCAGCAACACCCCTCGCATCACCCATCGGCAGCATTCAGCATCCCACCAGCTGGGTTCACTTCAATGCGACCAGTGGGACCTTCGAACAATTCGCGTGCGCCATACACTAAGTGGACAGGTGCGGAAGATGCGCTCCTCGCGAAAGCGGTGTCAATCCATGGACAGAAATGGGATGCGGTGAGCAAGATGGTGGGAACTCGCTCGTACCACCAAGTACGACAGCGATACCTGCGCAAGTCTGGACAAAACGGGACAGGGGGCAAGTTGGGACAACACAACACGCGCAATAGCAATAGTAACAATACGAGTTATGATAGAGATGACAGGGAAGATGAGGATGATGAAAGTATGGATTATAGCAATCACTCTACACCTCAACCTAACGCTAATGCGGGAGGTAGTTCTCATAATACACCGGCTTCTCACCGACCCAACACCAGAGCTAACTCGCCGTCAAGGAAGGAAGTCTTTGCCAAGTAGGTGTGAGTTGATTTGGATACTCAAATGTCACATGGAACTTGATTTATAGCTAAATTTTCATCTTTGTTTGCTTTATTGACTTTGTTGTCATTTGTAATATACACAATACAATACACATACAAATATAATTTATTGAAACTCTATTGGTGAGAGTGAAAAGCATTATTAATGTCTTGGAGGTTATGTCATGAATGTCTTGCTGGTCAGATGTGCAGCGTGAGAAGGAGGTGGGTTAATATGGGATATATAGTGTGAATTGTAACAGTCACGAACACGCAACACATAATGGTCAACATATTCGGCAATAGCTCAGTAAAAGCGTCCAAGTTCCCTGAAAAAGAGGGCCAAGAGGAAATTCCACCAGGTAATCGATGAGTGTACGTTTAGCGGGAGTTTGAGTTGCTAAACAAACACAGATCCAATTCGCGCAAGAGAACCTTCACTGCCATTAACAGAGCACCACACGGTAAAGGGTGTGTCTGGGCATGAGCTTGGCAGTGATACTCGTCGTGTTCTGATAGCGTACGACGAGAGTGCAGAGTCTATTGGAGCGCTTGAGTATTATTTGGAGAACCTCACTCAGAGCGGAGATCATTTGTTCCTGGTGACGATTCTTAAACCACTAGAGAGACACTTGGATTATTCAATCTACGTCGGTGTTGACGAGGCAAAGACTGATGGAGCTGCAATTGATCCGCGTATCAATGCATTCTTTAGGGATCGCCAAGTCGCCCTCGACAAGCTCAAGTTGAGGAGGGAAGAAGTGACAGCGACACTTCAAGAGCAGAAGAAGGGGATTGAGATGACTATCCACGTCGCACATGGTGATCCTAAGAGCACTATTCCTAGAGTGTGCAATTACCATCACGTCAATCTTGTTATCGTGGGCAGAAGGATTCTCGGGAAATGGAAGAAACTGTTTAGCGAGAGCGTGAGCAGTGCGGTGATTGAGCAGACCAAGCTACCTGTGCTTGTTGTGCAGTAGCTCAGTTTGAATAACCATAAACACTAATAAATATGCAATAACGCAAGTTACGACACTCTTAACGACATGTTAATCATCGACACATGCAATGAATTACTTTTACTTTGAGTTTTTTTTTGGGGTGCGTGGATCTACACCCCACTTATACCCTGCATGAGAGTGGATTGTATTTGTGTCAGCTAGAGCGGGTGCAGGTGCATATGCAGATGCAGTCAGGTGATGCAAAGCAGCTGTCAGTTAAGTCAGTGCCTGGCTGTCAGACGCGAAAGTGGAAAGGCATGGGAGGTGATCTGGGAAGGGAAGGTGCGTCTGTGAGGATGATACACGCGTAGAACAAGCACGATTTACGCGTTATACACAAGCAAATCACATGGCAAGTATCTGCCAGTCTGCATGTCTTGGCCGATGTAACTAATCGAATACGAAACCGGAAACTATTCAACTTGTTTAGCTAACACTACGACCAACAACTATCATATACCCGAATGCACAGAGATAAACTGCAACTGCCACTGCCTACAGAATCCACCTGCGATGGATACTTGGTGTCCTCTACAGAAGCCAGCAAAGCACTTCATCAGCAGCACCTAGAGAGACAACGGCAGGCCAAGAAGGAGGCAAAACTGGCTGAGTTGAATAGTCTGATTGGCGGGATCACTGAGCTCGATGATGAGCATGAGCATCATGACCACGACGATAAGCACAGGAGAAAGAGAGGCAAGAAGAAGAAGGTTGTTGATGATAGTGAGCCTGTGGATGATTTTCAAGTAAGCCACGGTGGCCTCGGCGCCTTCTTTAAACGATCGCTTGGGAGATTCAAGTTGGGTAGCGGCGTGGATTCTAAGCCTGGAAATAATAGCCATCACCACAGTCACAGATACTCACAGTCCAATTCTACTCAAATCAAATCCATCAGTAGCACAACAAGCACAACTAGCAGCAGCTCAAGCTCAAATTGGAGTGGCAGACAAAGCCACCGACGCAGTTATAGCCATAGTCACAGTAATAGCAATAGTAATAATCATATCCAACCTCACAATCCTCCAATCCACAACTCAACTATTCAGAACTTCATCCAAGGTGGCCAACCATCTTTGTAACAATACGTTTCTACCTTATCTTATATCTAATCTTTATTCCTATCAAACATTAAAAACTTCTGCCTTCTCGCTTGGTGTCTCTCCTGGTCTCCCCAGGCACATAACAACCATGAGAGGATTCCTGGACCTGCCCGATGAAATTATTAGCCATATAATAGACGATTACCTTGACTTGGACTCTGTCTACTCTCTTAGAACAACCAACAAGCGCTTACTTGAACTATCCAAGAGCATTATCCTGAGTAACATCCAACTGCGTTTGTTCAGCCTTGAAGCTGGCGTCTACACCTCAAAAGTCATTCAATCCGGCCTATTCTCTTCCCGCAACTGCCAGTCCGTACACCACCTTTCTTTAGTCGTAGGCAATCCAACCACCCAACAAGAATCTGATTTGAAACGTGAGCTGGATTCCAGCATGGACATAGCAGACCATTCTGAGCTATCTGAATTGATAGTACGTTTACAAAAGCTCGAGTCTGTTGCTATCCAGCTTATCAGTCCATCGACGTGGACACACGCCGAGAAAGAGTCATTCCAGCGACTTCTCTATTCCTTAGCTACTCTCAGGAAGCTCAAAGATCTCTCCATTCTTACTAACGAGGGTTTGTGGAGTGATCTTCGCCTACCACCCATCCACACTCTCGAATCGCTCTCCATCAGAGGCTCCATCCCCAACAAATCCGTGCTAGGAAGCTGTCTCGAGAATTCCCGCAACCTACGTCAATTGCGCCTCCCCAACGACCAACTTGAGTCTTCGGAAGCCCTGGAAGACTTGCCAGATGGCTCACTGCCTCTGTTGGAACTTTTCGAGGGTCGTTCCGACGATATAGTGGAGCTTGGCAGCGACGGTACCGCACCGGGTCTCAAGAGATTGCGCTACATCCCACATAAAGACGGTGACTCGAGTCTCGAGGAAGTGCAGTCTACACTAAAAGTATTGGAGGGACGTCCCCTCACATCCTTCGCCTATGAAACACTCTTCACTATGGACTTCCTTGACATCGTTAGCTCTCTCGCTCCTTTCAAAAACACACTCTCCAGCCTAGCTATAGGTAACACTAATGCCCTCGCTCCGCCTGAACTTACACTCGAGGAACGTCTCGTTGGTGAGATTCGCTTCAGCTGCGCGTTCATCGATCACCTCCCAAATTTAGTTTCTGTCACTCTTACATACGCCTCGGAAAAAGGTATGCCAGATGCCCCTTCTGGTAATAGCGGCTCTACTACCAAACCAGATGGTCAATTAGCCACTTACTTTGATAGAGTCGCAGCTTTGTGGTATAAGCAGTCGCCGTTTTTAATGGGTTTGGGTTTCTTGTTTGTCGATGGTAGTAGACCTAAGGCGTGGCACTCGAATATGCTCGGTGTCGACACACAGGGAGAGAGTTTGAACATAGAAGACAGCTGGAGTCGATTCAGACCTGTTCCCCAAGAGCTCGCTATTAGTGCTATCCAGGGATGGACGGAGGAGATGTAATCTGAGCACTTTGTAATATGCATCTATAAATGGATTAAATAAATAAATACACTCCCTCTCCATCTACTAATTATTCATCGTGCTGGCCATGTTGTTCACGCTGCTCATTCCACGCGACGGCACGCTGCTTGACATCCCTCACACCATTTTCATCACCAATCTCCTTCTCTATGGTGAGCCACTTCTTGAAAACACTCTTTGCCTTTTTAGTAGACAGCTTGAGCGCAAGGAGCTTCTCAAACACATTGCGCAGACCAGCCACATCCTCTGTCCGCGCGAGCATGTCTATATACACGAACCACTGGTCGAGTTGCTTAGGGTGGCTTTCTATAATACCCTCGAATATTGTCTTCCCGCGCTCGGCGTCGCCCACTTTGAACTCCAACTGAGCGAATTTAGAAATACACGCGACGTCTGTAGGTTGTTTGTTAGTCTTGTTGCTAATAAATTAAGTCAGCTAAACCCACGATCCCTCTTGTCGAGCGATTTGAGCGACCTCGTCAACAGACTTCTCGCTCCATTCGCATCTTCCACGCGGAATTTAAACTCAGCGTAATTCACCCAGAGTATGATATGAGCGCCGAATTTCTTGGTCGCTTTCACATAAACTTCATTCGCATTGTCATATTTTTCACTCGCCTCGAGTATATCCGCCACCTTCATGTGCATTGTGAGTGGATCATTGTAGCTTACAGCCTCCTTGAATGTCTTATCAAATGTATCTTCATCCCCAAATGTGTTTTCCAGGTTAAGTAGCGCTATCCATACATTGAACTTCTCTTGACTCTCTCTGAACCCGATGGTCTTGAGTGCACGCTGGGCAATCTCACGTGCTTTGTCTATCTCACTGAGGTTGAGCTGGAATGACATATACTGAATCCACACGTAGGATGAGTTGGGCGAACCGAGAAGTAGTCGCTCAAAGTCGTTGGAGGATTCTGGCGGCTTTTCGTTCATTGTCGCGGTGAGATCTCCCTCAAAGTGCTTCGTCGATTTGCGCTTCTTTTTGCGCTTACCGTCGTCATTAGCGTCAGAGTAGGCGTCGCTGTCAGAGTCAGAGTCGTCTGAGTTAGTGCCTTCTTGTTCTAAGTCTTTCTTGTCGTTCTCTCCATCCCAATTGAATCCACCAGTACTCAGAGAATCGACGTCTTTTGTAGTCTTTTTGGGCTTCTTGTTGGTGGTGTCTTCCATCGTTACATCGTCGTCTTCCTCATCGGAGCTTTCCTCCTCGACTTGCAACCCAACAGCTTCGCCGTCTGATTCAGATTGACTATTTTCGTTTATTGCGTTATCAATATCGATATCCTCGTCACCTGCAACTTGCTCTCCTTCGTCCTCCTTCACCTTCATCTCCTCATTCACCTCCTTTTTCTCAGACTTTCTCTCCTTCACCAAAGCATCTCGCTCCTCCTTAGGCACCGTTTTACGTATACTGGCCATCATTCTCCCCTCTTCAGTCTCTACCTTGATAATGACTACCTTGACGACCTGTCCGATATGCAGTGCATCCTGAGCATGTTTAGTGTAACTCTCGCTAATCTCTCCCACTGGCAAGAAAGCTCTGACGTTATTGTAAAATTCCAGAATAGCTCCTTTTTCTTTAATTGAGGAGACGGTAGCGTGAGTGATAGTGTTCTTCTGAGAGCGATCGTAGCTAGTGACGATAGGGAGGTCACTCTTAACGAGTGTTTTCTTCAATGTAGCCGTAATTCTATTCTTGTCAGCTTCCGCTGACAAGATACGCGTCTTGACTTTCATATCCGGTCTGTATTTCTTCTCGGGATGTTTGAGCTTCACATCTGAGTAATGTACTGGCCACACTATAGCATCCACACTGCCACTAATCGATACGAACATCCTGTCGTCGGCCATCTTGCGCACTGTGCCATCTACAACAGCTCCCACTTGTGCATCTGAAACTTTCATGAACGTCTTGTGTAGCACGCTCGGCTTGATACTGAGTTGAACTACTTTATCAACATAGCTTATTCCGACGACACGCGCTGTGTGCGTACTACCCACTTTCGTAGCTCCACTGCTGCTACTGAGGGAGGGAGTGTGGTCGTCTGCAATTTGCGAGATATGTATGAATCCAATGAGTGTACTATCAGGTATAGTCACAAACAATCCTTTCTCACTCTCGACCATGATGACTTGGACACCTTCAACTACTCTACCTCTGGCGAAAGCGTCTGAGATTGTTTGTCCATCCTCGCTCTCTTCCGTCAAACTGTTGGTGAGGTGTACAATGTGGGGGAGGAGCGATAGGGAGAACCGCTTGGGGTTACTCGTTGGATGATCGAACACCACCCTCGCTTTGATCTTCTTACCCACAGGGAAACGCTCCGACAGAGGTTTTTTTTCAAATGGGATATGATCTCTACTGATTGTACCGTCAAAGAAACCGTAGAAACGGACATTGAGACCGGCGGGAAGAACAGCGGTGACCATAGCGTTGAGCAGTACACCAGGAATGACAGACTCGAGCGTATTAGCCTCGTTCATGTAAGATTTAGCGAAAGTATGTAAGTTAGGAGTGAGGTTTGCGACTTTGTTTGTTTTGCTGGTGACTGTCAGTGGGAGTAAAGCGCCAACTTGGGCAGCGATGGCTTTATCGAAGCCGCTCTTGTTCATTTCTTTACTGCTGACGAAACCATCAACGTCGGACACACCGAGGTCAATCAGATAACCGTGATCCTCAACACTTCTGACAGCACCGACGGTGGTGAAATCCTTGACAAAGTCTTTAGCGGTGAGGCCTTCGTTAACACTACGTGGATCGAGGGTGAGCTCTAGCTTGCGGGAAGCTTTAATGAGTTCCTCGCCTTCCTTCTTGACTCTGCCTGAGTTTGTGTCTTTGTGGGTGTGTAAAACGACGGCACGCACCCAGCTACCGACATGAAAAAGATCATCTAGCTCAGGGAGAGAGTCGTCCTCTTTATCGGATGCGTCTTCTTCTTGGTCGCTGTCATCGTCACTGTCATCGTTCATCGCGTTATCCAAACGGTTTGTGAAGTGTGTAGAAATGTTTGTAATGGGAATGTGAGCAAGGAGCTGCTCTGGGAGAGATACGATAAGCTCGATTGGAGTAATTTGAATGATTTGTGCGAGTACTTTGAGACCAGGCACAGCCCGCTTGTAGTTGAGATGCTCGACTCTAATCTTATCAGTGATAGCATTATCATTCTGAGTATCTCTCTTTGGCTTCTTCGCTGCTGGCTTCTGTCGAGTGTGTTAGAATTGCACGATTTGAAGGGGAATGGACGCACCTTTGCTGGCTTCTTTTTGGAGGAAACATCCCTATCGGCATCCCTTCTACCCTCTTGCTTGGCTTGTGCTGTTTCGAGGTTGGTAAGACCAGTGCCGCCGCCTCTAGGAAAGTCGATCTCAGCGCCGTTGTTGGTACTGCCAGCGTCGTCGAAAGTTTTGTGCTTCTTGGATGAGGCCGATTTGAGTACAGATGCCGCGTCTGCCGCGTTTGGCGTGTTTGCCGTGTCTGCTGCCTCTGATTTGCGCTTGACCATGGCTGATGGGGGAAAACGAGGAGAGGGAATCATCGGAGAAGAGGAAACAAATGAAGGAATGAAGGAATTGAAAATATTCACGCTATCACCAGCCATCTCTTTTCTAATTAACTTTCGCCGTTTTGCGAGCCTATAGGGGTGAACGACACGCAGACGAGGGCGATAGGGGGAGTACACAAGGCACACAAAGCATACAGAATCTACAAGCAATGAGCGATATCATATCACACACACATCACGTCAGTCCATCGCCTTTCCCACCGACCAAAGATTAAATTGGAGCCGGCGTCACCAAAAATTGTTGATCCACAACGACCACCATCGAAATAATCGAATTATCTTAAAATGGCCACAGAAACAGCAATCAAGAAGGGTCACCCAATTTACTTTGGCGTCCTCATTCTCTTCTCCATCGTCCTCATGTCCATCTCCGCTTTCCTCGTTGATCGTTACAACAGCGACGACAGCTTCCTAAGCGAGGGCGTTTCCAACACTGTCAGATACATCTTGTGTGCGTGGTGTCTTTTATACGCTGTGAAAATTCTCACCGTCACCCGCCACAGTCTGTTCACTATGGACTATAGTGACTGCCTCCGCTTATCTCGTTGGATTCCTCGCTGTTCCAATGGGTTCTGGCGGTGTTCTATTGAGCGTTGCGTCACAGTAAGTCTCTCATCGATCCACTCTCCCCATCTAACCACTTCAGCCTCATTTGGGTCGTTCTCACCTTCTGTATTTGGCTTGCAGGTGCTGCTGCGATCACTGCTGAGCTTGGTGGCGGTGTCAGCTGCAAATTCGCAGACTACACTTATTGTCACCACCTCAACGCCATTTTGGGTCTCACGTGGATTGACACTGGTGAGTTGTCCGCTTGAAAATTTTATGTCTCATCCACTTAACATCCTCAAAGTACTCATTTTCCTCGCTATGATTGTCATCATCGTCATCTCAGTGAGATCGCGCTCCTCAAGTGGTCCTATCTCCGCATAATTTTGGCACCTCAAACACTGAGCAGGGATTGCTTAGTCGTCTGGCTCACTTAATGATCATCAACTCAAATTACTCCTGATTACTCAATTTATATTTACATTTGAAATTTCTTGATAACGCCAACACGCCTAGCGATACGGATCTTGTAACCTACTCGCTACCTCTTAATTGAATACATAATGCCATAATGCTAATTACGACAGTGGCATAAAGTTTGCGACGATCATGAGCGGTATTCCAAACGCATCTCTGCGAATATTGAAGCTAAAATTGCAAGGAATCGAGGCGGAGTTGTGTTTATTGATAAGCGATCCGGCAGTAAGAACACCTTTACTCTCGAAATTGAATGCCAACTGAGCGTATTTGCTCCAGTAATTTGTCAAGCTGTCCTCGTCGAGTAACTCGTGTACGCTGATTTCGCCAGTCTTTAGTGTATCGACGTCACAACCCACTATATCTGCGAATTCCCTATTAGCTTTGTATATTTCACCTGTTCGTCTCCAGCAGCAGCTAGGTAGGGCGATCATGGAGAAGACTCTATCGTAATCGAGTAGCAGTCTCTCAAAACTCTCTTCTGTAGTTGTGAGATCCCATTCCGAGAGATTAGAAGCGATGTTAGCGAATTGTGATCTGATACGTGACAAATATGATTGAATTTTCACTCGATTTCGCGGTGAAACAGATTGGTTAAGGTAGTTACCAAGCTTAGCGTAGCCATTGACGTAATTAAATGGTTTAAGTAGACCAGCTTCGTGTTTAGCAGTAAGGACAGCTTTCAGTCGCTCCTCCCTGGTGGAATGGATCGGTGGATTAGCAGCAGTGAAGAAGAAGCGGTGTTTCGGGTTCTGTATGTAGCTTGGAGTTTGAGCACGGGATATACCATTAGTGTTGGTGGTGCTAGTGGATGCCGCTGCGTAAGGTATATTGTTAGACATTGAGTTGGGATGAAGATTTTCAGGCATTCCAAGTGCGTTGAGCAAGTCATCCAAGCTACCGCCGAACTCCAAATCAAAGCCAAGGCTGGTATTGGTTGGTGGGGGCTGTACTAAAGTGGACTGAGTGGGCTGTATGGGCTGAGTATGTGCATCGAATGAATCCAAATCATTATCATCCTTCTTGCTAGGTGGATCGTGGCATAAGTGGGGTATGTTACGCTTTATGCATCGCTGACACGGCCTTCCTTGATCGCAAGTCATGTGGCTTCTCCTGCAATACAAGCACGCGCTGGATACGTTCTTCCTTCTCGGTTTCTTGGATTGCGATTGATGTTCCTGGGATTCATCGTTTCTACGCTTGTTATCCATGGTGGTGTGGTGGTGGTGGGTAATTAACCGCTTGCCCCCATTCCACCACTATCAAATGGTGTGTATAGGGAGCACCACGCACCACGCATAAACCACTCACCAATTACAAGGACATTGATACTGATACTCCCACTCCGCCCGCTATCCCGCTCTACCACGCTTCTCCAGGCGTTGACTTGCCCCAGAAGGCTGGATACGAGGATATACACGTCAACGACACCAGCACAAGCATGTACGTGGATGAATATATATTATCGTATTCTCCTCATTCAAATACCCAGCGATCTACTCTTCATCATGGATTCCACCGGTAGTATGGGCAGCTACCTCGACAACGCCACAAAGAACGTTATCGATATATGCCAGTCTATTATACACTCACAGAAGCTGATCGGCGAGTCCGCGTTGAGATTGGGTTTGATTTCCTACCGAGTTGGTGTCACTGCGTGTCTTAACGCATTCTCACCCCTCCCAGGACAGCAAACCACAGGACTACACGTATGAATTCAAGAACTTTGGCTTTACGCACGACTATGACGAAATGCGCGAGAATCTCAAGTAGGTAGCAGTGAGTGATAGGGGCTCAAGTTGGATGACGACATGAGCATCAGTGCATCACTTTATCATTAAAAGTACACTGGCTTACGCTTACACCGTGTACAGGTCGCTCTATGCATCCGGCGGCGGCGACGGGCCAGAAGGTGTAACGATAGCTATGCGCGAGGCGGTATATGCGATGCCATGGCGGGCGCATGCGAGCAAGATGGCAGTGCTCGTAGCGGATGCTCCACCTCACGGTATAGGGGAGTATGGTGATGGCTTTCCCGACGGCTCTCCCTGCGGCTACGACCCGCTTCAACTAGCGCGCGCAATGGCGAGCTCCTCTATAACGCTCTTCGTAGTCGCTTGCGAGCCTGCTCTGAGCGGGTACCAGTATGCGACCGACTTCTTTCGCGCACTCGCCGATCTCACGGGCGGGCTGCTCATTCCTCTCGTTTCCGCCAGCTTCCTCGCTCAGGTCATCATCGGCAGTGCCCTTGAACAGATGGATATGGAGAGACTTATCGGAGAAGTGGGTGGGGCGGTCGCCGAGCGCGTACACGGGATGCATGAGAGCGTCGACGATGTCGCACGCGCACTCCACGAAACTCTCATGTTAAGGAATGAAAATACGGGAAGGATACACGTAGAGAACATCTACAGAGATAGCCCGGAAGCTGAACATAACTTTCAGGTATGGAGGGGTGTAGCGGGGTTACAGGAGGCGAAAGGGGTCGTGAAAAGGGTGCGTTAGAGTGTTTGTGTAGTTGATATGCTGGTTAATTCACTTGATTAGGTACCGGGATCGCGTTTCACTGATAAGTATCTCTCGCAGCGTTACGCGTCTCCACCTTCATATTCTTTCACAACAGGTGCACCTGCACTTCCACCACGCGGTGCAAGTGCTGCAAGTGGTAGTAGTGCTAGTGCTTCACACTCACGCAAGCCTCTGTCTTCATTCGCTGCATTCGAGGCATCTCCTCAACAGACGAGCATCATGGCTACACCCGTCGGCAGCACCTCGGCGTCGTTTGGCGGGGTCAGAGGGGGTGACGACACGATGAATGATTCTGATGAGGAGGAAATGATAGAAGAGCAGCTAGGTGGGGGTGCTGACGATGATGCAACAGATGCAACAGATGATGCCGGCGTCCAATACCGTCAAGGAGCCATAACATACGACCAAGCACGCCGGATAACAACGGCGAGTGCGTGGAGATCATCTATGGCCTATCGATGAATGAATCTGTCATGTAAAAAGCGATATCCATCAATTTCAGTGATTTTAAGGAATTTTCAAAGTATTCTGCCCACTCGTGCCACTTGCTACCGTGTGCAAAGCAGCTAGCCTCCTCTGTTCAGCTTTAACTTTACGTTGAAACTTACGCCTCCCGCTACCGCGTTTAGAGTGGGGTATATCGACGGGCGTCTCTAGTCTGCGTTTCCTCACAGCGGCAATATCCGCCTTACGTTTCTCTCTCTTCCTGTCTCTCTTGCGGAGATTGGAGTGAAGGTGGGCGTGGAGGAGAGAGTTGTAGTGCGCAACAAAGCCATCGAGCTGGTCAGAAGGGATGCGCGTGGCTGATTTGTACTGTTTATCGTCTATTTGGGCAGTAGCTCTGAGGAGAACATGGAATTGCGCGGGATTTGGGCTGTCTGCGTCGATATCCATTTCTGCACCTTCTTTATCGTGGTATTGGTAGCGTTTCTGCGTGAGGAATACAGTGCCACTGCCACTGCCACTGCTCACACTCCCACTCACCCGCTCAAACAGCTCAGCGAGATCGCGGAGGAACTGCAGCGCGTGAGAGACGGCAGCAGGGATAGAAGATCAACGCACCTCCGATGGCTGTACGTGTGGCGCCATTTAAATAAATTATCGTCGTCGTCGTCGGGAAGCAAGGGAGATGGCCATCTCGTATCTCTCCATCTAACCACCAAGATCGATTTAAAATAAAATTAAATAATGTCAATCGATACACGCAAAATAGGGATCCTCGGCGGGGGACAGCTCGGCCGAATGCTCATCCAAGCGGGGCAGTTGATGAATCTGGATATAGTGGTGTTGGAGGGGGATACGCAGTCACCGGCCAAGCAGGTATCCAATAGGCAGGGAGGCCACGTCTTAGGCTCATTCAACGACCCAGCTGCTATCAAAGAGCTTGCTGGGCGCGTAGATATCCTCACAGTCGAGATCGAGCACGTTAACGTGGACGTGCTTGAGGAGGTAGAGCGTGATATGGGCGGGCGCGTGCAAGTCTCTCCATCACCATCCACCATCCGCACAATCCAGGACAAGTACACGCAGAAGGAGCACTTGATGCACCACCGCATCCCCGTAGCGAGGAGCGTACCGCTGGAGGAGCAATCCGCTGACGCGCTCCTCTCCGCCGTCTCAAACCACCTTAGCGGTTTCCCCGTCATGCTCAAGGCCCGCAAACAGGCTTACGACGGTAAAGGCAACTACCTCGTCAAGAGTGCTCAAGAGGCACAGACAGCCGTCAGCACGCTCGCGCAGACAGCCGGCAAGGGAGGGCTGTATGTGGAAGAACTTGCCCCGTTCACTGCCGAGATCGCAGTGATGGTCGTCCGTTCAGTTGGTGGACAAGTAGTGGCGTATCCCGCCGTTGAGACGGTGCACGAGGACAGCGTTTGCAGTGTTGTGTATGCACCTCTCCTTGCGTCTGATGCGAGTGTGCAGTCGCGCGCGCGCGACGTGGCCACCAACGCTATCAGCACTTTCGTAGGTGCGGGTGTTTTCGGTGTGGAGATGTTCCTTCTCGCTGATGGACAGATACTGCTCAATGAGATAGCTCCAAGGCCACATAACTCGGGTCATTATACTATCGAGGCTTGTGCTACCTCCCAGTACGATAACCATCTCCGCGCTATTCTCGACCTCCCGCTCGGCGATACGCAGATGGTCGTGCCGTACGCTGCTATGGTTAACCTCCTCGGCAGGGACGATGGGACGGAAGAGGGAGTAATGAAGCTCGCTCGTAAAGCGCTCACTCTGCCGGGAGCTCATGTCCATTTATACGGCAAGGCGGGGTGTAGGAAGGGACGCAAGATGGGACACGTCACGGTAGTAGGGGAAAGTGCAGCGAGTGTGCATGACCATGTGGACACACTCACGGCACTGTTGCCAAGTAAGTCATCCAGCTCGGGCGTGGTGTCCAGCGCACTCGCGCACATCTCCACACTCCTCCCACCGTCCATCAAACAAGTTGAAACCGACAAGACCACCACACGCACTAACCCATCGCACCCACTCGTAAGCGTAGTGATGGGAAGTGACTCGGATCTCAAGGTGATGAGCGGGGCGGGAGCCATGTTGGGTGAGCTTGGCGTGGAGTATGAGTTAACAGTGGTTTCTGCACACCGCACACCACAGCGCATGGCACAATTCGCACACAGTGCGCGCGCGCGTGGCGTGCGCTGCATAGTAGCTGGCGCCGGTGGAGCTGCACACTTACCGGGTATGATCGCAGCTATGACCCCACTCCCAGTGATTGGCGTACCCGTTAAAGGCAGCTCGCTAGATGGCGTCGATAGCCTTCATTCTATCGTGCAGATGCCACGCGGAATCCCCGTCGCTACCGTTGCTATTAACGGGGGTGTTAACGCTGGTCTTCTCGCGGTGAGGATCGTTGCAGCGGGCATGCCACGCTTGTTGGATGCTCTCGACACGTATAAGCACCGCCTGGAAGAGGAGGTCTACGCTAAGGTGGATAAAATGGAGAAGGTTGGCTGGGAGGAGTACAGAGGGCTGTGAATTATAGAGCTAGGGATGCATGCGCTGGGTTTGTTATACAAGTTTCTGCGGTGTACTGGTGTGTGTGGGTGTGTTGAGTGTGCTGTCTACCTTGTCTACCTGGCTAGGACTACCACCGCGGATACTCTGGACAGCCCAGTTGAGCATCGTGTCACCCGCCTCATAGTAGTCGAACCTCCTGGCACTGGCTACTAGGGAGAGGATGTGGTCGTTCCACTTGGTCGCGATGAGCTCAGCGAGAGATGCATCTGGGGATTTGACGTAGGCTTTCTTGTGAGAGGGAGAGTCAGGTTGGGGTGCGTGTGTGCCATAGAAATCGCGTATTTCCGCGAGTCTTTTGGTGGCTTAGTGGGAAGTGCGAGGAGTGAAGACGCAACTCACTCGGCAGAAATAGAGTCAGTGCGTGCACCAATAGCACTACTAAAGCTGTAGCTGGCTGCGGCAGCAACAGCGAAACCACTGAGAGAGCCTCTGATGAATCTGGACATGGGTGGTGGGAGTGGGAAGCAGGAAGTGAGAATGAGTGAATATGCACACAAGGATAGCCATTTATATTTTATTATTGATATTATTGATATTATTGATTAATCCCCTTACTCCCTAACCACCACCACAACAATGGCTGCAATCAACAACTCAATGACCAATCAAGACGGCACAAGACCCGTTGAATTCCCCGGTAGGTTGGGTGTTCGATTCTGGCTCACTGTCACAATCTCACTCTGCACACAGAGGAGAAGATAATACTCAGCTACGACGACGTCCAGTTGCGCATCAGCCTCAGTGCTCCTGGACGCGTTTATGATGCACACGGCAGCATCTTCCTTACCAACAAGCGTATAGTATTTCTCTCACCCGCCCACGAATCCATTCGCAGCCTCAGTGTGCTCCTCCAGTACGTCGCTGATGGCTACCTCGCCCAGCCACTCCTCGGCGCGAATCGTTGGGAGGCTACTATTCTGCCTGGTGGGAGTGGCAGCGGTATTGACGATCGGGGTGATCGGGGTGATCGGGGTGGTGAGAATGACAACGACAACAACGACAACGACTACAACCAACACACCTACTCCAACGGCTTCAACCAGGGCGCTGACCTCAAAGTCTGGTTCAGCCAGGGATCCACCTTCGAATTCTACCAGGGGGTTGAAGAAGCCAGAGAGCGTCTGGGTGCTTACTCAAACGCACCCCAGAATGAACCCCTGCCTAAATACGAAAGCGAGTCTAATCACAGCAGCAATCCTACCCCAGATTACTCGTATCAGGTACACGACGATAGCGTGCACGCTGCTATGGCCGCTAGAGGTGCTGATGCGGACGCTAACGAGGAGAGGCAGCAGGGACAAGAGAATCCACCGCCGTACAGTTCGTATAGTTAAACGAGACAGTTGTGAAGATTCACTCACTGCTCACTGTATTATTGATGATATGATGATGATATGATGATAGTGCTGATTGATATGCTGATTGATAATCTACCGTATCACCCTAATATCCCCACTATTCAACCCAAAACCCTCTAAAACCAGCTCATCCTCATGCCACATTCTACATCTCCACAGCGCCACGGCGAGAGGGGTGAGATCGATGGACAGGTGTGCATCACTCACTCTGCCGAACCCAAATGCAAACGTGTCGGAGGTGTTTTGGCCAGTGTTGCATCCCCGGCGTCGCAGCTGCTCTTCTAATTTGCTCAGACGATAACGAATCGCGTTTAGCTGGTATTTGTCTGCGTATTTGTCGCTGAACGTGTAGATCGGTGAGCTGTATGTTCCTTGAGTGAGGCGGCTGAATGGGACTGTGTGTGTTGGTGTTGATGCCAGAGTGATATAGAAACCGACGAATAAAGTTGTGTTTGTTGTAGCGATTGTCTGACGCTGCATTAACCACGCTGGGTGATCCGATTGAAACGATTGATCCGGCTCAACACAATTACTGCGCAGCTTACGCAGAATGCCATCTAACTCAGCCACCACTCCATCCACCAGCTGCGATTGTACTGCGTGTACGAAATGGCTAGGTACACTCGCATTTCGCGATAACCTCATCCAGAGCTTGTCATTTAGCATACACTCGAGTGCACTGCGCCGACAAAGCACACTCATTCCTTTACCGAGTGAGTTTGAATTGTTGGTGGACGCCTTGTCTCGCAGCTGTAGCACACCTTGGACCACTCTGAAGCGCAGGAGTAGCGCACTGGGGTATTTGTACTTGGATACAGCACACCAGCGCAGTGGTGTAGCTAGCATCGATACTGGAGTGTTTTTAGCGTGGTTTTTGAATTAGAACACTACTAACAGTAGGGGTTGTTGACCCGATTAAGCTGGTTAAGCTGATAAACAGGTCTAGACTTCGGTGCACACTGCAAAGCTGGATGGCTCAGCAGACTACGAACGCCGTCTATTTTCCTGGTTCGTGTCATATACGCTGATATACGCTGTTTAAGCCGCTCAATTTGGCAGATATAATTATTTTGATATACAATCCATTTTTACAAGTATATTTATTCATTTATTACACTCCCCGCTCTGCACACCCCTTTACGCCGTGGCCACCCGCTAGCACCACTGATAACGTGTATAAATGTGTAACAAGCGCAGAGTGGCTAACATGCCTCCCAGACCCCTCCACATCTCACAATAACCTACAATAGGATTTTTACTTTGTAATTTTTTTTACGCTTTGATGAAATGGATCGATTATTCGAAGCCTACGCAGAATACCATCTAACACAGACAACAAGGTGGGTGAGGCGAAGCGTGGGCGTTGGCGGGAGTGCGAGATTGGGTGGCTGCGTGGTGTATTCATACATCCACGCGTCACTGCGGTTTTTCGGTGACGTGGCTTAAGAGTGGGTGAGCGGGAGTGGGGGAGCTTGGTGGTGATACTGGGCTGCCTGCAACACACAGCCACCACGCTCCCACTGCCACTCTCTTGAATTTCTTTAAAAATTTCTCCTTTATGAAACGTCAAAGTCTGGAATTTCCTTCACCTCACTTGCACCCAACGCACACGCACTCGCACTAAAAATACAAAAATCCTAACAATACCCGTAGAAATGACTGAAACCCGTGAAGACCACGTTTACCTCGCTAAACTCGCTGAGCAAGCTGAGCGTTATGAAGGTGTGTGGGTGCTTCACGTGTCTCACTCTCAGCTCACAATCCACCCAGAAATGGTCGAATCTATGAAGAAGGTGGCCTCCTCTGATCAAGAACTCACCGTTGAAGAACGTAACTTGCTCTCTGTCGCTTACAAGAACGTCATCGGTGCTCGTAGAGCTTCTTGGAGAATCGTATCCTCTATTGAGCAAAAGGAGGAGTCTAAGGGCAACGATTCTCAAGTTCACATGATTAAGTCTTACAGAGAGAAGATTGAGCTTGAATTGGCTAAGATATGTGAAGACATTCTCGACGTTCTCGATGGCCACCTCATTCCTTCTGCTGCGTCCGGTGAATCAAAGGTCTTCTACCACAAGATGAAGGGTGACTACCACCGTTACCTCGCTGAATTCGCTACCGGTGATCGTAGAAAGGGATCAGCTGAAGCTTCTTTGGAGGCTTACAAGTCTGCTTCCGACGTCGCTGTCACTGAACTTCCTCCAACTCACCCTATCAGACTTGGCTTGGCTCTTAACTTCTCAGTCTTTTACTATGAAATTCTTAACTCTCCTGACCGCGCTTGTCACCTCGCTAAGCAAGCCTTCGATGACGCTATCGCTGAATTAGACACTCTCTCCGAGGAAAGCTACAAAGACAGCACATTGATTATGCAACTCTTACGTGATAACCTCACTTTATGGACTTCGGACATGCAAGAATCTGATTCAAAGCCAGAAGAGAAATCTGATGTTAAGCAAGAAGATGAACCAGCTCAAGGTGAACAAGCCTAAAATTTTCCATGACTCAAATCTATAACCGATAAACGAATTCTTTATAATTAAATCTAAATTGTCTTATCTCTCTTCTTATATCGATCGTATCTGAGATCATTTCAGTCATACTATTAAACAATCTATAACCATTTATATGTCAAGAGTGTTTGGTATGTTTGATGTGTCTGTTACCATAATGTCTGGCACTATCTAATGTCTCATATTCTCACTTGTTAATTCTCACTTATCAAACAAATTCATTCTCATTACAACACAATCAACCCTTCTCCCTCGTCATTCTCATTCTCACAAGCTGCACAGAAGAAGAGTGGGTCGTCGTTGGTCATAAATTGGTTGCGCGGCAGGCTCTCTTCATTGACGGCGTCCATTTGTGTTGGCTGTATGTGACTATCCATACGTATCTTGAGCATCTGCAACGATTCTCGACGCTTATGCATCACGCTGCTTGGTATAAGTGAGCGTGCAGCTGCTGAGACAAAGTGTCCATTAGTATTCAATGGTATTGTTGATGCCCCCTTATCGAGACTCTCGATACTCTTTCTATCTGCGTCCTTTTCTATAGTTTGCTTTAGAGATGCATTCTCCTCCTCTAACTGTGAAAGACGGTGAGATAGAGATTCGTTTGACTCTTGCAAATTGCTAGAAAGGGTGGATAGCCTCTCTTTCTCCTTTTCCATCTCTTGCAGATTACTTATTGTTGATAGCTGCTCGCTAAGTTGCTCCTTCAAAGATTTAATCTCAGAATTACCCCTCTCCACCTCATCTCTAACACTCTTGTTATCCAATTTACTCCTCAACAACTGCTCCGAAGCATGACTTAGCTTTTGCTCAATTGCATCAATATTCTCTCGTTGCTGATTACGCTCATTTTCACTATGTTGCAATGCTGAATTTGTTTCTTGGTGTGATTGCTTGTTCGACATTAATTGGGCCTGTATTGAATCTAATTTCCTCTCTAAATTATTAACTTCATCGCTATTTCCAGAGTTGCTTTTCAGTTCAATGATTGTCTTTTCAAGTGCATCAATTGTGTTCTTCTTTTCGCTCATTTGCGCGCTATGATCAATGTGTGCTTCATTTAATTGCTGTTTGAGCTCTTCTAAGGAAATTTCTGTGAGTGGCGGTTGTTGCCGTTGCATTTCGGGTGATTCTTGTGCATTCTCCCGTTTCTCGTGCGGTTCCTCAGCTTTATCGAGTGTATCGAATGTATCGGCTGTATTACCTGTATCAACCACATCCCCTGCATCTCTCGAATTCACTACATCGACTCCATCCACCGCATTCGCCTCATCATATCCACCCTCTTGATCACCTTTATCAAAATCATCCGCAGCCTGATCCACGTCAAGCTGCTTATCAGATTGAATCTGAAGCGAGGATTGCAAAGCATCCCAATCGCTCGTCTTATCAGATTCATCAAGCGTAGGAGAGAATAAAGGAGAATTTGGCTGATCAGTTGGAGTTGTAGTGAATAACGAAGAAACGTCTCTTGAAGCGCTACTCGAGTGCTTTTTCTTCGACTGAGCCTTCTTCAAATGGTTTCTGGCCCTCGCCAGCTTTTCTTGTCTTGAAATTTCCAAATCACTCATGGTTGTTAGGCTGACACCAACCACCATCACCATGTCGAGATTAAGGCAGCAGGGATTTCACGACAGCTTCCACCAGCCATCAAGACCCGTTGATCGCGATAAAGCTGAAACTGAACTCGCTCTCAATATTAAGAAAGCAACGAATACTGATGAGACTGCACCAAAGCAGAAGCACGTTAGAAGTTAGTTTTATTATTTAGATTACAATCATGAGCTCATCATTCTTATCGCAGAATGTATTGTTTACACTTGGGATTATCACTCCTCACAATCCATTTGGTCTGGTTTACGTGTACAGCCGATTATGAGCGATGAAGTTCAAACTTACAAAGCTCTTATCGTTGTGCACAAAATCGTACAGGAAGGCCATCCAATTGTGCGTGTGGACTCTCGTTATACCTTCCCAGTACACACGTCTGACGTCATCTCAGACTTTACGCGAAATTCAACAGCACATCGGCTGGCTAGACACTTGCTCACGCACTGTTGGCAACTTTGGTCTTGGTTACGCTCCACTAATTCAAGCTTACGTTCAATTCATCATGTCCAAATTGCGTTTTCACAGAAACCACCCTGAATTCAATGGTTTGTTTGAATACGCTGAGTATATCACTCTCAAAGGCGTTGATGATCCTAATGAGGGGTTTGTTTCGTTCTCTTACCCCGCTTTACCCCACTCATTCACCCACTTAGATATGAGACAGTTGCCGATCTTATGAATCTTCAAGACGGTATCGATTCTTTCCAGCGTCTGGTTTTTATGCACCTCCGTGGCATCTCAAACAATGAGTGCAGAATCTCTTCCCTTGTTCCTCTCGTTAAGGAGAGTTATGGTATTTACAGATTCATCACTTCCATGCTTAGAGCAATGCACAGACGTTAGTTTTAATTAACAACCTGTTAACTTCCCACTCAATCACATTCCAACAGGTGTCGAAAACGCTGATGAGATCCTTCAACCTCTCGTACAGCGCTTCAACGGTCAACACCATCAATTGCGTAAATTTTACTACGAATGCTCCAACCTCAAATACCTCACCTCTTTAATCAACGTTCCTAAACTTGGTCAGGTGGGTCGTCTTTCTCTGTCTTACCCTTCCCAACCTAACAACTCCCCCAGGAGCCTCCAAACTTATGGCAGGATCCGGAAGGTCATGCTGAGATGGCTGAGCGGAAAGCTTTGCAAAAGTCACCTGCTCCCCCACCCACTGCTCCAGACACCCCATCAGTTGATATTGCTGAACAAGCACGTATGCTCAAGGAGTATGAAGATCAACAGGCCAAGCTTCAATCTGAGCGTGACTCGCAGGAAGCTCAACGTCAACTTCAGATGCAAAATCAGCAGCGTGAGTTTGAAGAACAGCAACTCCTCCAACAACAACAACAAGAAATGGCAAAACAACAGCTTTTACAACAGCAAGCGGCACAGCAGCACATGGGTGCAGCTGCAGATATGGAGCGTCAACTACTAGAGATGAGAGGTCAGTTTGAGAGGGACCAGATGATGCTTCAGCAATATGACTCGCGTGTCAAGGCCCTTGAAATGGAGTTGGCTGCAATCAATGCCAATGTTGGAGCACAGATGATAGGCAAAGATGAGCTCATTAAGAGTTTACAGGATCAAATTACCATGTGGAGAAACAAGTATGAGGCACTGGCAAAATTGTATTCTCAACTACGCACTGAACACCTGGATATGCTTGGGAAATTTAAGCAAATGCAACTCAAAGCTAATTCTGCTCAGGAGGCAATCACTAAGGTGAGTTTGTCATCGCTTATCAATACAAAGCACCACGCTAACACTAAACAGTACGAACGCATGGAACGTGATGTCAAAGCAAAGAATCTCGAGCTAGCAGACATGATACGTGAACGCGACAGAGCTCGCTTTGATCTTGACAGACTTAAATCAAGTCAGAAAGATGAGCATAGTCGTTTACGTCGTGATCTTGACTTTGCAAATGAGAGAGCAGAGGATGCAACGCGCCACCGCTCCACTGAAACCTCCTCCATGATCAGCAGATATAATCGACAATTGAACGAGTTGGAAGATAGTCTCCACTCAAAGCAAATACAAATCGATGAGCTCCTTCATAAGATTGACGTGGCGAATGGTGAAGCGGAGCGTGTGCGCGAAGAGAAAGATGCGGAGATTGCCATCATTCAAGAAGGAATGGATTCCACTATCGGCAAACTCGGTGAAATGCAATTAACACAGGGAGAATCAGACCAAGCACTGAATGCACAAATTGATTTGCTTATTGTTGATCACGATAAGAAGTTAAAGCAGATTATTGACAGTATCTTCCAAGCATGCGTGCATAAAATTGATGATGTCAATTACGAGCTTGAGTCGTCAATCCAGACTGGAAACCAGAATGCATCTCCAGAGTATACACTATCAATGATTGAAAAAGCGCAAGCGGATGCTTCGGAATTTGCAGTGACTTTCACATCTTTCATAGCACCCAAGCAGACAGCTGGGCACGTTGACGTAATCAAGATTGCCAATGAGCTGTCTCAAACTATTTGCGAGATACTGCTCAATGCCAAGGGAGTAACTAGGCTGACTAAGGATGACGAAGCATCCGATGCACTAATCAAGGGTGCTAGGAAAGTTGGTGATGTTGCCGCAAGGGCTTTCCTTGATGTGCAGTCATTCCGTCTTGCTCTGGTGCCTTCTGAACAACGTGCGCTCGTTGTCGCGCGCAAAAACTCAGATTCGCGCGAGGCGCTAAACGAGCTCACAGATATCCTCGACATGGCCATTCCTAAAGGCCGCACAGAGTTATCCAAAGCTAGTGGTGAAATTGGAGATATAGTTGAGCGAGAGATGTTAGCAGCAGCAAACGCAATCCAAGCGGCGACCGAGAGGATACAATCGATGATGCATGCGGAAACCACGACGAGGTACTCCGGTCTAGACAAGAATGTGCACGATGCAATACTCGAAGCGTCGCTAGCGATAACGAATGCGATTGCTCGTCTCATCCAGGCTGCTACAGAGTCTCAGAAGGAAATAGTAGCCCAAGGACGTGGATCTACCATGTCAGCGCAGCAATTCTACAAACGCAACAACAGATGGACAGAGGGATTGATTTCAGCTGCCAAGGCTGTAGCGTTTGCGACGAATCTTCTCATCGAAGCCGCAGACGGAGTGTTGAATGGGTCTCACTCACTCGAGCAGCTTATCGTAGCGTCAAATGAAGTGGCAGCAGCTACCGCACAGCTCGTCGCTGCGTCGCGCGTCAAGGCGAACTTCATGTCCAAGACGCAGGAACGACTCGAAATTGCCGCTAAGGCTGTCACTGAGGCGTGCAAAGCTCTCGTGCGCCAAGTCAAGGCTATTTCAGCCAAGCAAGCACAAGACGCAGATGGTCACGTCGATTGGGCTAGTGTACCCACGCATGAGTTCAAAGTCAGGGAGATGGAGCAGCAGGTCGAGATACTCAAGCTCGAGAAGGACCTTTCGTCCGCAAGGAGAACTCTAGGTGCTATGCGTAGAGCCGGTTATAGGAATGAGGACGAATGAAATGATACCTTGTACATAAAATGAATTCCTTTTTTTCTTTTTTTTTCTTTTTGTTTTGTAAATAATCCACATTTCATGCGTAGGTGTATGAATTACATTTGCCAGTTGTGTACATACCTGGAACAGTAATCGAACTCGGGGTCGCTGTAAAAGGACTGCGAGGAAAGGATGGAAAAGTAGTGGCACACAGCCGCAGCGACGACAAAGAGGTGGAAGATCTGATGAGAAGCGCCGTAGTAAGAGAAGTTGCGATGAGTGAAATAAGCCTCTGGAAAGCGAGCAGCGTAGATGAGAGCGCCGATGATGTACATGCTGCCAGAAGCGAGGACGTAGTCAAGGGCTATAGTTCGACGGAGGACGTCGAGGCCGTCCATGTAAAGGGCATGGACAATAGGGAGGATAGAGGATAGGCCAAGAGCTATAAAAACACTAGTGCGCGCCTTCCTGAAAGAAGGTCTGCGGTAATGGGGGTGGAGAACAATGTAGAGAGCGACAGAGGAAGCGATGAGCATAGCAGCCATGTAGAGGAGCTGGGATGTAGGGGAGCAATAGAAGCCGTAATAGATGGAAGGGATGAAGCTGCCGGCTATGAGGATGCATATACCAGCGTAATCTAAAGCGTGCCAAGTGTTTGCGAGTGTTTTTGAGTGGTTAGAGAAAGTGTGGTAGAGAAAGGAGAAAGAGAGGCAGGTGATTGCGGATAAGATGAAAGTGGAGAACCCCACGTAGTCTTTCCACGAATAGTTTTGGTGTTTCGTATCGGTTGACAAGGCAAACAAGCAAAACACGAAGAAAGCAGCACCCCAAAGGTGTGAGTGTATGTTCACTAGCCGTAGGAGTTAGATGGAGTAATTGCCATGTAATTATTCCCACCAGATTCGTTGTGAATGCTATCGAATATCGATGAGAGTGAATTGCGGATGGAATGGGAGACAGGGCGATATCCGTGCGTAATAAACTGATTGTCCTTTATCCACGCGGGTATTTCATCGTATTTAAGTAATTTTCTCATTCAAATGGCTTGGTGGCGCGTGGTGGTGCGTCCCAGAGCGGGTTGCGTCTTGATCACTCACGGCGATGACCAAGCTTGCGGACTTAACGCTGGAGCTTCAGAAGACGCAGATTGATGATAGAGACAACACTCTCACACAATTGCCGTTGTGGGTTGAGCTCTCGTGGATTTGCACGATGACGGGCTCACACTCCACAGACACGAAGAGCCAGAGAAGCTGTCCTCTGGAAAGCTGTCACCCCCGCTTCCCCCACTAGATACAAAGGATCCGATGAAATCTACAAAACACTCGCGTCCTTCCTCCTCACGTCCCTCGCCTACGCTCTCAATGAGCTCATACGCAGGCACCTCGCAGCATCCAAACCCACGCGCTAGACTTTTGCTTAATATGCCTGATACTCCCACTTCTCTCGCGGGTAAAGAAGACGACCCTTTCGCTAAAAAGTTCGCTCCAAATCAGAATGAAATGAAAGGCGTTTACTCAGCACAGCAGTCACGCTCTTCCTCTATCGGTTTAGAGTCTTCCAGCGAGTGGGAGGATGAAGATCCCTCCCCAAAACCCGCAAAAAAGAAAAAAAACAAAGCACAAGTTAGGTCAATGTCTCAGGATGACACTGTCCAGAAAAAGAAGGAAAACAGCTCAGATTATCCACGCCTTCAGAATGCTACCACCCAGATATCAAGGAGGTCTTCTTACAACGACAAGAATGATAAATCTGGTAAGCACCGTTGGGCTGCTATCAAATCAAAGATCATTGGTCATAAATCTATACAACCACGTACTGGCGCTGAAGTTGACTTGGTCACTGAGTGCATGTATGGTATGTTACCCGCTGTGATGCTCAAAATGGCTCTCGATCGCGATGAGCATCACTCTCCACGTATACCTGTATTTCTCCATCACTTAAAAATTAGAGTCAGCGATAGTGTTCATCCACTCTCCAACACTCACGCTATGTTTAGAATTGAGGTGCGCTAATTTGAAGAATTACCCTATTTACACATCTCACATCCTTTATCAGTGTCAGTACGGTGATTCCAACCTAAGATGGACCATTTATCGCGAACTACGTGACTTTGTTAGTCTACATACCCACTTCCGCGTCGCCTCAGTCAGAAGAGCGATGGATGGCTTACCAGAATTCCCAAAAACAAGCTTACCCTACTTTAACTTACTCAAAAGGGAGGGCAGACTCAAAGGTAAAGAACTCTCCAAGTCGGATTTCGCTAGAATGCAAAGAGATTCATTACAAAACTACCTCATTGACCTTATCCGTGCCACAATGTTCTCATCCTCCGCCAACCGCATTTGTAGATTCTTTGAGTTCTCAGCACTTACAGTCTGCTTGATCCAGAATGGCGGTAGTCAAGGTAAAGCCGGTTACCTGCGCATCATGTCAAATAACTGCGGTAGACTCTCTGCACAACCATCGATTGTTTCGGCGATAAGCATTAAGAAGTTGCGTGAACCAAAGTGGTGGATTGTCAGAGACGACTACTTGGTATGCGTCGAGGATGCCCATTCAATAAGTGTTTATGACGTCTTCTTGATTGATAGTGACTTTTCCATCGAAAGGCCAAAAAGATACTACAGACAAACAGCTAATGCAATTAGAGCGCCATTTATCGAGGGTGAGGCATTCCTTCAGCACCATCATCCTCACTTGCACAGTCACTCTCACTCACGCCAAGTTTCTCAACCTAAGGATTCCAGGTTAGATACGATGAAGAGCACTGAAACACGTCCATCAAGCTCACAAGAACATGATCGTGACGATAGTGTTGAGGAAGCTAGATTGGAGCAGCAGCAGCAGCAGAATATAAATGAGCATGCCGTTGATTCTGACCCTCAATTCGCCGTCTCAAATGAAGTGAAAAAGAGCAAGACTAAAGATACCTCAACACACACATTCTATATCCGCAATGCAGAAAGAAGGATGAAGCTCGTAGCAAAAAACGAAAGACAAATGGAACAGTTTATCCAGAGCATGATGATGATGAAAAATAACACACTATGGTCAAAGATTCACAGATTTGACTCATTCGCACCAGTTCGTCTCAACGTCAGTGCACAATGGCTTATTGATGGACGCGACTACTTCTGGCAGCTGTCTCGTGCAGTTTCATTAGCCCGGGAAAGTATATATATTCACGATTGGTGGTTATCGCCTGAGCTGCAGCTGCGCAGGCCAGGTCATCCTAAATGGACCCTTACAAATCTCCTTCAAAGGAAAGCAGCAGAAGGCGTCAAAATTTACGTTATTGTGTATAGAGAAGTCTCAAATGAGTTTACGCCTATCGACTCAAACTACACGAAACAAAAACTGCGTTCGTTGAATGAGAACATCATGGTTCAGAGATCTCCTTCACATATCACCACAGGTGTATTGTACTTCTCGCACCACGAAAAGCTATGTGTAGTTGATCAGACAATGGTATTTATGGGTGGCTTAGATCTTTGTTTCGGTAGATGGGACACTCCACAGCACATTTGTGTCGATGAGGGAGGTGAAAACGGAGATGAATATATCTGGCCAGGAAAAGACTACTCGAATGCACGTAAGTTGAAAAGTAAATGGTGTTGATGTCAAACTTATTTCAATACCAGGTGTATCTGATTTCCGCGACCTCAACAAGCCATACGAGGATATGTTCGATAGAAGCACTACGCCTCGCATGCCATGGCATGATGTGGGCTTGCAGCTTATTGGTCAACCAGCGCGTGATCTTTCGCGCCACTTCATTCAGCGCTGGAACTATCTTTTGCGAACAAAGCACCACAGTCGCGAGCTTCCCTTCCTGTTACCACCAAACGACCTCAGCAACCGTGATCTCGAAATGCAAAAGATGAATGGTACACTCGAGATGCAAATATGTCGCTCTTGTGGACCATGGTCGATTGGAACACCTGATAAGATCGAGCACTCGATTCAAAATGCCTACGTCAAGGCGATACAGAAAAGTGAACACTTTGTCTATATCGAAAATCAATTCTTTGTTACATCCACCATTGTGGATACTACAGTGATTGAGAATCAGATTGGGGATGCTTTAGTGAACCGCATCATTCGCGCACATCGCGAGAACACAACGTGGAGGGCCTGTATCATTATTCCTCTCATGCCAGGCTATTCCCAGTCGGTAGACAACCCTGCAGCTTCATCTGTAAGACTGATCGTTGACTGTCAGAACAGATCCATCTGTCGCGGTGCACAATCGATCTTTGCTAGACTTCGCAAGGAGGGTATTGATCCTGACGACTACATAACCTTCTTCAGTTTGCGCAACTGGGGTAAATTCAAATCAGGTAACCTCACTTCGGAGATTCTTTACATTCACGCCAAGACGATGACTGTCGATGATCGATTGACAATAATAGGAAGTGCAAATATCAACGAGCGCAGTCAGCGCGGTGACAGAGATTCGGAGTTAGCTTCCATTATCCGCGACACTGATATGATAGATTCAGAGATGGCTGGCAGACCGTACAAAGTTGGGAGATTTAATCACACTTTGAGAATAAGATTGATGAGAGAGCATCTCGGTATTGATGTCGACGACCTTCATATGAATGAGCAGATGGCTAAGGGGAGAGCAGCAGAAGCAGCAGCAGCTGAATCAACAAATTCAGCACCCCCAGCTGGACCAACCGATCCTAACACGCCAGGGATCGCAAATACTGAAGGAACTAATTACTGGGCGCCTGAGCACGACCACGTGCATACAAAGGACGACAGACACCCTACTAATGTAGCAGCAGAGGATCTGCAAATAACTGATCCAATAGACAGGTTGCAGAGTGCGCTAAAAAAGTCTTATCACGAAATCAAGGGGGAGATGGCGGAAGATGGGAGTATAGCGAAAAAGGTGGAGCAGGACCAAGCGGATAAACGTGAGAATGGGGAGGCTGTATCTGCGGCTGACAAGAGCGGTGGCAGTAACCTTGAGAGGCGGACTCGGTCGAGAGGATTCAGTACTACTAGTTCGGCGATAACGAACGAGCGCCGCAGTAGGAGATCGACGCAGGCACTGACAAGAGGCAATACCTATTCTATGCCATTCCTAGGACCAGATTTCGATAAGGATAGTTTTGTGGATCCGTGTTCGGAGGAATTCTTTGAGGACATTTGGATAGCTTCAGCGATATATAACACGGAAATCTATCGCAAAGTGTTCCATTGCACGCCAGATGATACGGTGACTACTTGGAGGCAGTTCAAGAACTTCAGCATGATGGCTGAGAAACACAAGAAGCCGATCGTGGAGGAGAGTATGGAGAGGTCAAACAGCGGGACGTCTTCTAAGTATTTGAATGGGATGACGAGTGCGGGTAGTGGGAGTAATGGGGAAGACGATACACATGCGCAAAAGCCACAGAGAAGCCGGAGAAATATGCGTAATGGAAGTATGACGGCTGAATCTGGAGGGTATACGAGGAGTGAAATCGACGCAATGGAGAAGCTGCTTAATCGGCTCAAGGGGAATTTGGTGGTGTACCCTACCAAGTTTTTAGAGAGTGAGTGGATAATAAAGATATTATATGTGTGCTAACGAGATTACAAATAGCCGAGGACATGTCTGGTAATTTCCTCTTTAATGCCGATCATTTACATCCATTACAAGTTTACAACTAAGGACTTTTGTTAGCCAATTGATATTCATTTATTTTTTCTAAGTTGGGTTCACTCGTCGGGTTGCTCGGGTAACGATAGCTTATCAGTAGTGGTGGACGTGCCCACATCACCTGTTCATAACGCACACTCACACACAAACTCAGAAGACGCATCACTCCACACACTCACTTTCCACAGCAATGAATGTAAAGCAGCAGCAATACAACCCAACACTCGCGCAACTGAAAGCAGATGACAAGATAGCGCTGAACAAATTCGACAGTGTCGATGCGTGGTTCATCGCCGACACGATCCGCAGTTTCAACTTTGAGGGGAGTGGGATAGTGTTTGCGGTGCGTTTGTTCAACGGGATAGAGTTGGCTTCTGGGGTTCTCGGTGAGGTGACGCCAGCCAACTACGATTGGCTGAATGGCAAGCTTGCAATCAGCAAGAAATACCACCAGTCGTCTTATCTCTACGGACAAGCGCTGATAGCGAAGCACCACGCCGTTGGAAGGTACACACTTCCCGATGGGGAAATTGGAGTGATAAGAGGGATAAACTCGGAACCAGCACGTAGCACTGAGTATCTCAATGCGCTTCTGTGCGAGGATCTCAACGGTGACAGCGCAGTACCCCTCACTGAATTTGTCGAGGCGTACCAGCAGTTTATGAATTTTACAGGCGTTAAAGTCATGACGAGGAAGGAGCTGCAAGATCTCATTTCTGCGGTTTTCCCATCGGTGGTGTTTGAAGATGGGCCAACTGGGCGTGTTGTCATGCGCAATTTGCGTATTAAGGAGTCGCAGGAGAAGATGAAAGTGAAGGCGACGAATACAATGAATGCATTTACAGAGAATAAGTTCCCGTCTTTCAGCGCAGATGGTGGTTCATTTCCCATCAATATCAAGGGAGTGGCTGGACCAATTGGGGCAGTATCCATCTCTGGCCTCCCAAGTGGCTTACTTGACCATATTGTCGCTAGAGCTGCAATCGTTGAGCTTGCAAAGGTACAAACAAGATAAATGATTTGATAGCGTGTACAAATTACCCTCATCTGATACGCTCAAATGGTTAAAATAGCTTGGGGACGTTGGGCATTCTGGAGTAGCGTGAGTGAGTGGGTAAGCTGTGTGCTGTGTGTTTGTTGCTTATTGCCAAAAGTCATGGGAAGTGGATATGGATTGATGGTTGGACTCACGCCGAGCGACGAGGAGCTGTACAACAAGCTGTCGCCAGATCTTAAGAGGAAAGTGGATCACAATAGAAAGGAGAGAGAGAAGATGGAGGTGGGTTGTCTTACGGTAGCTATGACCAGCTAACATGTAATCCAGGCCATGTCAGCGAAAGAAAGAGCCGTGTAGGCTTTATAATGTGTTAAATAAGAATATTAGAATGTAATCATTTAACAAAAAAAGATTAAAAGATTGAATATTGTGAAAATTTGTGAGAATGGAAAGAAAAGAGGGTATAAAGTGTATTTAACTTATAGGATAACGCATTTACGTTTGGATGATCTCGATTTGACGACGGGCGGTTCAAGTGCGGCAACGATAGCCTCATCAAAGACATTCTTTAATCCTTTTTGGGTGAGGGCGGAGCATTCGACATACTTGACGGCGCCGAGTTCTCTGGACAGCCTCTCACCCATATCAACAGAGATAGGCTGTTGCTTTTGTCTGGCGAGCTTCTCTCTTACGGAGGAGTCGTCTCTCAAATCGACCTGGGTTCCAACGACGATGCAAGGAACGGCTGGGCAGTGGTGGTGTACTTCAGGGAACCATTTCTCTTTAACGTTTTCGAAAGAGGCTGGGGAAGTGACAGAGAAACAGACCAAAAAGACGTCTGTCTGGGGGTACGAGAGAGGACGCAGCCTGTCGTAATCCTCTTGGCCGGCAGTATCGAAGAGACCAAGCGTGTAGGGATCCTCGCCGATCATAACAGTGACGGCGTAGTTGTCAAATACCTGTAATAAGGGTTAGAAGGGGTTGAAAGGCGGTGGATAGCTGGATGCTAACAGTGGGGACATATTCAGAAGGGAACTGGGTGTGTGTGAGAAGCGTGAAGATTACTGACAAAGATCCCCACCTTATTCGTCGTATACGAGATCAATAAACAAGTCTTTCCGACAGCACCATCACCGACGACGACGCACTGGAATAAAACGAATGAGATTGAAAACGCGTGCTTATAACGTCCATCCCACCTTTATTGTTTGCATTGCGTTTGTTTGAGTTTTTTTGTGTTGGCTGAGTGGGTGAGAGACACGCTAATAGGGCCATGGCTGTGGCTCTGAAAATGAAAATTATTTCACTCAAATAAATCGTATGTGTATTGTACACTGTTATTTTAAATTCCAATCTCGCTGTCAACGCGGAGATTGGTTGACGTACGTATGGGCTGTCGACGCGTGCATAGCTGTCAGCACGCGCTTGGCTGATTTATTTATCTTATGTATGAGTTCTCGTATTATAACAACCCAAGCAATCCACCCAACATGAATATCAGCCTCATCCCTGATTCGAATCATATCAGCATGCATGGAACCACCAGAACGTGCTCGCAGTACAGCCTTTCTGGCAATATAATCATTTCTATCCCTCCTCTACAGCGCAAGAAGCTCCGGATACACTCGCTCTCTGTCACCTTCCAAGGCTGCTCCCAGTACAGCGATGCTGAAGGCAGACTCAGTTCTCACCGCCTAGCTCACAATTCTGACCAGATCATTAAGCGGGGCAGCGAGCCTTCCACTTTCGAGAATGACTCAGAACACCCAATCAACGTTTCTGTCGTCTTTGATCTACGTTTGAATGGCTGGCTGCCACCAAGTATGTCCCTGCCATCCTCACGTACCTCTTACTCCTTATTCGCAAAGATGGAGTCCACCGTTGAAGCTGCTGAGAACAAACGCAACTCGCTCCTCTGGCCTCTCAACAACTCCATCAAGAAACACACTGTGCTCGCGCCTGAGTGTGAGATATTCATCAGCCGCCACCGCAATCAGCACCTCCGCTCACGCGTGCACAACATAAAGTCGCAATGCCCCACACACGACACACGCGACTTCAAACCCGTGCGTATTGGGATCAAGACGCCCATGTGGTATTTCACCGACGACGACGAGCTCAAGTTGGATATATTTACGGGGCTTGTGAGTGATGAGGAGGGCGATAATTGTGAAAGCGGTGATAATGGGAGCAGGCGCAATGCAGGTGGAAATGGAAATGGAAATGGTCACGCGACACAGGCGCGTCTCGAAAGTCTCCAACTTGGCTGCATCGAGGAGATACACTACACTTCAGAACCACGTCAACGCTATCTAGCCACATACCCGCTCCCACAATGCCAACCACCGCAATACCCACTCATCCCGTTTGCTCACGCATACCAGGAACACGCGCTGAGCGATATAGCTAACACGCTTGGGATAAGCAGTGTCCCCACATCCTACACGCGCTCACGCCTAGTCGCACGTGGCGTAGGTCCCCCGCCTGCCACAGCGGCTTTTGCGACGCATACGTTCGGTGAGGAGGGCGTAGATATTGGGGGGAAGCTCACCGCACGCATCGCCCTCACCTTGCCCATGCCCACCAAGGGGGAGCGTGAGGGAGGTCAGACAAAGGGTCAGGAGCTACACAACAACACTGAAACTGACTCGGACAAGCACCCACATTCACACTCACACGCTGCCACCTCATCCCCTTACCCTGACTGCGAGACGCCGTATGTAAAAATAAGACACGCGCTGCGGCTTATACTCAATATTGTGCGCAAGATTCCCGGAGACGGTGAATGGCGGGGGGAGAGCATTGACATTACCATACCGGTGTGGTTCAGCAGACGCTCGAACGATAGCATGCTCGAAGTGCAAGCGCAGCGCTTGGCTCTACTCAAAAGCAAAGGTCTCCTTCCACCCTCACAGTTGCCCGCATATAGCCAGCTGTACACGGACGAAGGGACGCAGGTGGAGGATGAGGAAGGCCCACCGCGTTACAACAAGCAGCCTGATTCTACGGAAGAGACTCTGCTGCTGGCGGAGGAAGTCAGGAGAGGTGTGCATGTCCCACCGAGACTGGATCTCAGCGGTCATAATAACACCAACACCACCTTCTTCGATTACACCTCAGGCGTCAACTCGCCCATCTCACCAGAACCTTTCGTCATCACCGAACGTTCATCTTCTCTCGTATAATTCAACACCGCTAATGTCACCTTCACTGCCCGCTGGATGGAATAAATTATTTGACTACACTACTAATCGATACTATTACGTTAATTGTAGGTGTGTTTTTGTGTTGATGTTTCGTTTCTGACTTGAGGGAAATATTAAGACAACGTCGATCCACCAACGACTACTTGGAAGAAACCGAGCAAATTTATACTCAAATTGAAGAAGTTGTTTGGAAAGTCGGAGGTATCGGGAGCATCCGGAACTAATGGTGCGCCCGTCCCTCATAGCTGGATGGATGCTCCTGGCGCACAACATGATCAATACCGTCAGAAGAGACAAATCCAGGGCAGTGGCCAAGCCAAGGGGTTTGCGGTACCAATGGGAATCGTGGGTCTCGGTTCGACTGTGTGAGAATTGTTGTCTTTGCAAGCATTGTAGTGAAGTTTTTCCTGTTTCCGCAGCACCATATAGGATACCTCCAAATCACGCTTGGAAACATCTAGCGCTGCTCACGCCTTATTTATTATGCATATCACTTTCCCAATAAGGATAAAATTAATACGTGACGTGACGGCTGGTTCGGTTAAATTGCACTGCGGTTTAATTGAATTACTGATATTGCTCGTATTGCTCCCATTGCTTCCATTACTCCCTTCAAAACATCAGAAACAACCGATGCGCATTCCATTCATCCTCACACTCGCAGCCGCTGCCAGTGCCAGTCTTCTCGACAGCCTGAGCCTTGGCGGAGGAGTGAGTGAAGGGAACTACATAATGAGTTTCAAAGAAGACACCGACCAAAATGCCCACTATAGCATGCTCGAGGGGCTACTCGGAGAGCACAGCACCATCAACCACAAGTACGATGGTTTTTTCAACGGCTACGCCCTGTCTATGGGAAGTGGGGTGAGTTGAAATTGCTGCGCACTACAGAAAAATTCTAACACACCTTTGCAGCTGCTCGGCAACCTATTCGACACCCTCCTCGCAGACATAGCCGACATGGAGGAGGATGTGCCAGTTGAAGCGTACGCGACGCAGAGCGATGCGACGTGGAATCTGCAGCGGGTAAACCAGCGCAATGCACTGCCAGCGGATGCGTCGCCCCATGCGCAAGACTACACATACAGCTGGACTGGCGCGGGAGCTGGAGTGGATGTGTATGTGATCGACACAGGCATCCGTACATCGCACACCGAATTCGGCGGCCGCGCATCTTATGGCTACAACGGCACATCAGGCGATGGCACGGACCAGGTGCACCACGGTACGCACGTCGCCGCCCTCATCGGCGGTGCCACCTACGGGACGGCGAAAGAAGCGTCGCTGATCAGCGTCAAGGTTCTCAACGCTGATGGGCAAGGCAAGGCGAGTGATGTACTCGCTGGTGTTAATTGGGCGGCAAATGCTGCTAAGAACTCTGACAGACCTAGCATTGCTTCTCTCAGTCTTGGAGGCCCTGCGAGCAATGCTATGGATAGCATCGTAAGCAGCGCTACTGCCGCCGGAGTTCATTTCGTAGTTGCTTCTGGTAATTATAATGAAGACGCTTGCGCTTCGTCGCCAGCCAGAGTCAGCTCCGCTATCACGGTGGCAGCGTCCAATATCGACGACACTCGTGCTCCGTTCTCGAGCTATGGGGATTGCGTCGGTCTTTACGCTCCTGGTGTCGATATTCTGTCGGCGGGTAACGCAGACGATCAGGCTACCCTCTACCTCAGCGGTAGTAGCATGTCGGCACCTATCGTGAGCGGGTTGCTCGCTACCCTTATTAGCAACGAAGGCGATATGGATGCAGGGAGTCTTCAGTCTCGCCTGCTCGCGCTCGCCACGGACGATATCGTCGCCAATTCTAACCCAACCGATCCTAACGCGGGGAACGCTACAATGGCGTATTACAATCCAACGCAGTAGAGTGGTGTTGTGATTTTATTAGATTCTTTTCATTCTCTCTGCTCTTCTCAGCAGTTCATCAGCTCATCGCCTCGTTTTCATCTGTACAAATCTCGGACGCTGCCATTTTCTCTCTCACTCAACTCTGTTTGGCATTTGCAAGCTCAGTTCTTCAGGAGGAGGGACAGACTTGCACTGAAAGTTGCACTTAAACCTAAACTTACTCGTATACATGATTTTTTTGCTACACTTTTCTTGTACTGTATGCTGCGTGCTGTGTATGTGTGTGTGCATTAATTTCACTCTCCAGCCTCCCGTGCAGTCGACTAAACAAGATCCAACGACTCAACGTACTCCACTCGAACACCTCCACAAATCCGAACGATATCAGCAAGTGCTACCGAAGTATGAAAACGGCATAGAGTTTGCAAGTCTGTATAAGTATTTTGTATATTTGTGTGTTTGTTTATGTGTCTATATTCAGTACGATTTCGTCATGCTCGTCCGACCTCCGAGCAGTTGAAAACGGCGCCGAATCGGGTGAGAAAGTGGAGATGTAAGGATTTTAGAAGTTTGCGATTACTGCAAGCCTTACTAGCTACCCATAGCCTCGAAATTCAGCCCCCAAACAATTATTTGTACACTTGACCAAGAACCATCAAGAGCGATCACCCACCTACACCCAGATTGCCTCAATGAATCAAGAACTAAATGGCTACATATATGACTATCTGTATAAAAATAATTTAGTCAAAACAGCCCAGCAGTTCCTCGCGGAAACTCAATCGAAGCCGATACAAAATGCGCTGCCAGAGCCTACGGTTAAGATAGATACACCGAAATCATATCTATTTGAATGGTTTATGATAAATCTTGAGCTGCAGTATCAAAATCAATTTAGATCACCGAATTACTATGAAATAAACTATAATCTCCAACAGCGGTATGATATTTCACAGAAGAAGTACATGATGAAGCAGAGGGTACAGCCACGGCCATATCCGGGGCATCCAAATGCCGGGGGCGTAGGAGGAGCGAGTGGAGCAGGAGGAGCAGGGGGACCAGGAGGAGTAAATGGAACGCCGAATGCACACAACAATGCCCAGCATACACCGAACCCAAACAACACGCCAATGATGAGACCTGGAATGAATGTGAATTTGGGGATGGGTATGGGTATGGGAATGCCGTCTATGCCGCCCCCACCGATGCCAGGCCACCATCCACAACCATCACCCCATTTGCAGCATGCACAAGTGCAGGCACAAGTGCAAGCGCATGCACAGGCACAAGCGCAGGCACAAGCTCAGCAACAGCAACAGCAAGCCCAACACGCCCAACACACATCACACTACCAGCCACAAATTAACGGATACTCGCCAGCGGACGAATCGCCCAAGCAGCGCGTAACCAGACAGAACAAGCGGATTAATAAGAAGAGGAGGTCCAGGGAGGATGATGATGAATCGTTCAATAACGACGACGGAGGAGCGACGCCATCGCAGGAGAATCAGTCGCCTGCCATCACACCAAGTGAGATATTGGCGAATATCGATAACCAGCAACATAACAGCACTCCAAGCAGCGCGGAGCAGCCGAGTGCGAGTGGTGTAGGTGGTGTAGGAGGTATAGGGAATTCTGGTAGCAGCGGTAACGCAGGAAATACAGGAAATACAGGAAATACAGGAAACACACCAGCACCTTCAAGTAACCCTCCTAATCCACCCACTCAACCACCACCACCTTCAGAACACCACGACTCATTCTTAGACTTTAACATGCCGAATGATCTACCGCAAATGAATGAACTGAATGAAATTTTTAATGATCCGTTGTCTTAATTTTAGTAAATTGTATTTATTTTTATTATTTTTACTTTAATTTCCATTTCGGTTTTCCTTGTGCGATAACGACGACGTTACGCGACGCGTGAAGGCGAAGAGAGATGGACTCGCGTAGAAAGTCGACGACGTATCTAAACAACAAGGAAAATAAGGAGAATAGGAAGCTGCGTTCCAAGAGTCTGGGTGGTAGCGGTGGTAACCACGGAGATGGCAGCGGAGATGACCACCAAGAATCAGATTCAGACGCTGAACTTACACCCACGAAATTAGCAAGGAGGAAGGCTGTGCGTGGTTTGCTTTGATATCTACCACCACCACTCACACACGCTAGAAACCACGCCGCTCAATTCTCAAACCACAGCCACCACCAGATTCAGACGAGGAGGAGGAACTCCCGCAGAATCCTGTCAAGCACGCAGCACCTAGGAAATCTGAAGCGAGTCGCAGAGTCTCATTCGCAAGCCATTGCTTCATACGTTTGTTTGAAGATGAAGAGGGCAATAAACAGGCCTCTTCTAGCCCACGCAGGTCTCCATCCCCTAAAAAATCCCAACATCATCCACAGGATCATCACCCACAAGAAAACCAAGATTCAGACACCTCTGACATGTCCATAGCTACTCAAGACGTCACTCACGCGTTTAAGAAAGCTTTTGAGAGAAAAAGACCGCTTGATGGCTCTGATACTGAGTCTGATGATGGTCCAACACAAGACGCGAACGACGCAGAGGACAATACTATGCAAATGGATCTTACTGAGGCTGTTGGTCACGTGTTTAGTAAGAGTGATGACAACAAGTCGCCAAAAAACTCACCCAAGAAGTCACCCAAGAAGTCACCCAAGAAGTCACCCAAGTCTCCGAAATCACCCCAAAATTTACCAAAAAAGGTTATATCCCATTCGCCTACGCGTAAATCACCCAGATTATCATCACAGAGCAATAAATCATCTCCAATTCCACTCACAGCAGCAGAACCTGTTGCATTACCACCCCAACCACCCATGCAACTCCCACAATTCACTCTCTCACCCACAGCATCCGAGAAGAACGACAACGACGGCAACACCAATGTGGACAACAACGAGGATAACGAGAAGAACTCCTCCTCCTCCTCCAGTGAAGATGAAGCAGACACCACTATGGACTTCACCGTGTCCATGTCCCAAGCCGGTGTGCCCAAATTACCTCACTTCGAAACAGGCAGACGAAGATCGAGCCTAGATCGACGCAGCAGCGTCATTAAGCAGAACTCGGGCTCGCCAGAGGGTAGTAGGAGTGTCAGCGGACGTGTTGATAACAGCAGTAGCAGTAGCAGTGATGATGAAGAGGCTGACCAGCACATGCTAATGCAACCCCCACCTCCAGAACCTGCACCAATGCAGCACCACTTAGGTAACGGCAGTGATAGCGATAATGATAGCGATAGCAATACCAGTAAGAGTAACAGCAACGACGACATGGATCTCACCAAAGCTGCTATAACCCACATTGATCGCAATGACTCCACCGCACATAAGATAGCCGACGGGTCTATGACGATGGAAATGACCCAGGCTGTTGGAGGTATGTTGGGTGGAGAGAGGAGAGAGGAAGATGACCATGAGGAAAACGGAGAAAAAGCTAATAACCACCATCACGACAATAACTCAGTTGCTGATATGTCACTAGCTAGTAATACTACCCATAACAACGAATCTATGGCCATGGAGATGACCGGCGCCGTCGGTGGCTTGATGGAGGCCGAGAAGAGTGTCAATGAGACAAAGAACCATATCAACGAGAGCGACAGTGGTATTAGTGAGGATGATCAAGAAAACGAGTCAATGGCCATGGAGATGACTGGCGCCGTCGGTGGTTTGATGGAAGCCGAGAAGGGGGCAACGAACGATAGCAGTGACGAGGCAGCGGAAGAGCACGATCAAGAGTCAGCAAATGACGGAAAATCAACTGCCGACATGTCCTTAATTAGCAACCCTGCGCAGAATGAGTCGATGACAATGGAGATGACTCAGGCTGTCGGTGGACCTATGAACGTCCCCACCATTCCAGAAGAGAGTGACTCGAGTGACTCAAGTGACTCTGACGACAACGCAGACGCGACGATGACTATGGAAATAACCAAGCCAATCGGTAAGGGTATCCTAGTTAACGACGAGACGCGTCGTCTGCGGAAAAGTCTCGGACCGCGTGTCAGTCGTGTCAGTTTCGCACCATCTGTTAAAGCGTCACCCCTCAAGGCAGGCGCCGGTCCACGACCATCACTCAAGAGCGCCCTCAAAAGTAGCACATCATTCACTCCTGCTCCTGCTCCTGCTCCTTCGCCTAAAAAGGCCTCCATCTCCATCTCATCACCAGATGCTGAAAGTAAAGGAGGGAAACGCAGCAGCTTCGCAGCGCCCACTCAATCGAGTCTCATGAAAAAAGAAACGAAAAGCGTCAGACATAGTCTCGGAGGTGCCTTGGGTGGCGCTGGGACGAGCTCGCCGCTAAGAAGTGCCCTCAAGAACGCAGCTAAAAGTCCTAACAAGAAGAGAGCGTCTTTTGCTGGTGAGGTGAGACAGGATGATGGCGAAGAAGAGAAGAAAGAGCAAGACAATGATCTGGAGTGGGAACGAAATTATGAGCATAAACAGCAACAGGAACACCAAATTAACACGGAAAAGCTCATGTCCCCACTCGTACAGCGTCTTCAGCTCGCCTCGCCACTTCGTCCTTCCCCACTTAAACTCGATGTTGCAGCTGAGAAAGGTGGCGAGAAAGAAAAACTCACACACAAACCAAGACGAAGATCTTCACTAGCACTCTCCACACAAGCGCTCGAAGCTACACCTGACACACTCGCAACTGAAAAGGAGCAGGAGGAGCAGAGTAAGAATGACAGGGAGAGGGAGTACGAGCGCGAAGCTGAAGAGGAGCGCGTGAAGGAGGAGCAAAGGAGGAGAGAAGCTGAGGTGGGTTTTGTATACTAGTGAAGGAGAATACTAACGTGACGCAGCAAGGACGCAATACTACAACCGAAAGTGATGCGATGGACATGGATAAGACGGCGCCAGAACAAGAGCAAAGCGGCACACCAACTCGCAGACGCTCGCTACATGCACAGCAAATGACACCATCTAAACTGCGCAGATCGATCAGTGCCTCAAACCCAGGCTCGCCGATGAGCACTCCTAAACGTCAATCACTAAGGCTAGCGTCGAGTGTGACGACGCCACAGAAGGAGGCCTTTGCGAATACACATGAGCCCTCACCACAACCGGAAGCTGCACCCTCACCACTGCCGGCTCCACCAATCCGCAACGAATTTGCAGCAGGCCCCGAAACAGAGCGGATGATAGAAGGTTTAATGCAAGAGGAAGAACAGGAGGACAATGGCGAAAGCAGCGTCGAAGCACCGGTGCAAATCAGTCTCAACGATTTCCTCGAACTCACCGACATGAAATTCCTCGATGGGATTTCAACCATCAAGCGTCGCTCCACAGTGGGTCCGGGTGGTCTAAGTGGGGAAAATGCACCGATGCACGAGCCATCCTCGCTCGAATATCTGCGCGCACATGCGGTCACCGGCCCCAAATTGGAGATGATGTATTGGTGCTGCCACGAGCTGAAGCGCTACATCAGCGAGGGGATAGAGGCACTCAACAGCTACGAACGTGAAGTAGATAACGAGAATCCGCCAGTGATAGTTGATTATCTGCTAGCTAGTGAGGATATGCGCGTGCGTATTGAAGCGCAGCTCAAGATCGTGAAAAATAACTCGCGCCTGAACGCTAAGCGAGTGTGGTACGGCTGGAGGAAGGAGCTAGTGAGCGGTCATGCGGAGTCTCTCAACGAGTCCTTCAATGGTCTCGAGAAGGATGCCAGGGTACTACAGGAGACTAGAGGCGCACTTGGTGAGAATCTCCCGCAGCTACACGCCCTCAAGGACAAACTGGAGACGGAGCTGCGCAGAGAAAGAGACATTGTGCGCGATATCGCCAGCTGCGACAAGGAGGAAGTCGAGGGTCTGCGCGAGGCTATAGCGGAGCAGGCGCAGCCACTGGAGCTGTACAAAGCCGAAATAGCATCCAACAACGAGGAGCTTGCGCGTCTCAGAGCACGCCTCGAGGCGAAGCAAGAGACTCTGGCTCAAAACACACACACCATTGACAGTAATCGAAAAGAGTGGGATATGGTGCGCTGCCTTACGAAAGCGGAAGCCATGAAGCGGAAACGTGAGTGTGGTATTTGTGCGAGAGTAGCACTGCTGACATGTCGACACAGGCGAATATGAATCGCTGCAGATTCTGCACAGCTGGCAAATTGTGCACCTGTCGCAATCGACGCATAAGTTCAACTACGCGAATGAGTTGGCGCTGAGCATCTCACAGCAGGGGGTGGAAATGGACTTGCTTCCCCCAAAGAAAGGCGAGCTGCGCCCTCTGCTGGAATACCTCCTCGACTGTCTCCGTGGTCAGTTGACAGAGGAGGGCATATCACAGGACACTCAGCTCAGCTATACCTTGCAGCGCATATCGACCATATGGATGAACGTGAAGAATGTGCACGCTCAGTTCAAGCGTCTCGCCCAGGTATACAAACTCAGCTTTAATGTGTCGATAGAAGGAGATCTCGTCGTCACATTGGCTATCGTATTCAGATCACAAATGCGCAAATTGAACTTTGAGATCGTTGTGGGCAGTGATATGCTCGTCGATTTCGATCGCGCACTCAAGAAGGCTAAAGTTAAGACAGAGGTAGTGGATGGTGATGGCGTTGATACCGAAAGTATCACACACGAACTTCTCAAACAGTTTGGAGGCAATGATGGGATCCTCGAGGCATTCGAAGCGATCACTATCTAGCACATGATTAATCGATCTTAATTTAGTTACCATATATAATTTGACTTGTATTGTAATAATAGACTTGCTCAATCGAATACCTTTTTCCTTTCAGATACGTTTGAACAATGTGCCAAGTTTAAAGATCAGGATTTCATCCACTGATCACTTCTATTAAATCTGCAGTGTCTGATAGTACATCCCAGACATCGTCCCCAACAATCCCGACAACACTCCTCACGGAAGCCCCTTCATCACCCCTGAAAGGACCCCCGAAAGGACCTCCAGAAGAACTCCCGACAATAGTCCCGGAAATATTTCCTACAAGGATTCCGGTATCATCCAAAATATCCATCTTCAGTCTGACTTATGGTTAGATATGACCTGACGAATTACTGTGTACTAACAGTCACTGGCGCAGCAACTGTCATGCTAACAATGGTGGCAATAGCGGCGACAATTCCAATTTTCATTGCTAAAAGAGTGTATAGACCTGATAATTGTTTTAAGATGTCTTAATTTCGCGATGATGTCTAATGTGCTGTTCCTTAACGTGAAAATATTCAGTACAATTAATCCTAAATTGGCTGCATAGATCAAAAATATCTTCCTTAAGACAGCAAAGTTTTAGATGGCATCGTCACAGATATAAAAATGATCACCCTCGCCGTGCGAATAAGCGATCTCGCGTATCACTCGCACTAATCATAAAAAGCTATGACGTGAAGGCGATCGAGGATCTACAGGCATACGATCAAGAATGCGATAAGACTGAGCTCAACGGTATTTCCACAAGGACTCCGATTTGAAATATTTTTGTGTATTGTGCAGTTCAAGTGCTATCATTTCAATAGAAGCTGACCACTCTTTTTCTTTGTGTCGATACAAAACGCCAAACACAAGCGCGTTTCTACCAGATGTTAGCGCAAACACGAAATAGATACACACAGAATACAGCTAATTCACGCGAAGTACCTAAAGATAAAAGAGCATTAAAATGCAGCTTCATTAGAAAGGTGTACTGGTTGCTAACGCAAAATTACCATCTACATAAAAGTGATTGGGATTGGCAAGGCAATAGTAAAGATAAAATGCTACGGAGTCATTTTCGTTGAAAACTTGCAATAGTATTGCAAATTTAAGATATGTATCATGAGTGTGACAAATGAGAAAAATCGTACAAGCAGCGCAAGTGTGTCCAACACTTGTGCTGAGTCGATGTTACTGACGTTACAGATATCATTTGGCTGTTTAGAATCCAGCTGGAGCCTCAGGTACAGTAAATGCAGCTTCAACATTTTCAGTTGGTGCAAGGCCAAGATTTTTGAGTAACCCTGGTACTGCAGCCTTCTGGTCTTGAGTGAGCCCGAGTGCAGCGAGAAGGTCTGGGACAGCTTGCCCATCGCGCTATAGCTTTGCGTTAGTCACATGCTTTGAAAATGCCAGACACTTACTGTAACTGGTGTAGCGATGGTTGAGCCAAGAATAGCGGCTACAGAGGCGAAGATCATGAATTTCATTGCTACGAAAGAGTGGAACCTTTGAATGTTGTGCTGAAAGAAATTTTACGCAAGCTCAGCGAAGAAAAGCGAAAAAAATGGATCCATCTAGAGTGTGTCCCTGAACGCGTGACAAGGGATTTTCTACAAGTAATGATTTCTTTATTGCTTGCAGACCTTGCAGACAACAGAAGTAGCTCTTTTTGAAATGAAAGAGACTTCTGCGAATTTATCTGGCCGGTTTGAGCACAGCCTTGATGTTCCGAGTGGGCCGAACGTTGCTGGCCATCCACGCGCAGCTGATGACGCGCTAGAGTCGATGTTTGAATCTAAACATTAATGTAAACATGGGCGCATTGAAACACTGTAGAATTGCTTTAATGATACAGCTGCATGATTCGCCAAACACCCTCGAAGCTGTCCTCAAACAGCCGAATGGGTGCAAATTGACCACTTGGGAGGGTTAATCGAATGAATTGAAAGCCTTGATTATAAAAATTATTACGTTCCAGCTACATAAGAGCGCTCATGCTCTCAAAGATGCTACAAACATTGCACAATATAACCACGCATCTCGAGATCATCAATAAACAAATTTAGTGGATTTATGAGTGCTTTTGAATATTACACAATTCAACTCCTTCCTCACATCTCAGAAACGCTCAATCTTGACTCGTCTTGGATCTCCAACGACTTTAGGATGTGCTTATGTGATGAAAGGGCACTTTGACAAAAATTTGAGCACTGAAAAAGTTTGGTACAGTAATACATATTCTAACGAGCTAAAGCTGCTCAAGGTACTCTGCAAATGACCAAGTAAGTGAGAAGACGAACGCAAGAATGGCATATATTGACAATTTGAACAATATAGCAAGACAATCAATTTCATGATAAATTCAGCATTCCAAACATATTCTTATCAGCACTTCGCTCAATATCCACCAAATTGAGTTTTTCCACTACCACCTGTCTCATCTCAAATGCTGATTATGACTTTTGATGATCTCCAAATAAAATTGGTAGCTGTGATAGTAAGAAATATGACGTTGCCAGATTTATATGCCCGGCGCTCGAAATGGCGTCCTGCGCTCTGAAGGAAGCAATGATCCAAAATCACTCTAGAGCACGCTATATGATGTATATGGAATATCCTCCTCGTTTCATCGATGACATCGATGAGAATACAGCATTTCGATTGATATAAACCGCAAGCACTCAATATTTCAAATATTCCGCTTTATGAACGCGTATACGTTTTACGAAACATGGCGTTCATCGCTATAATCCTGGTACCAGGAAGAACTACTGTCGCTTCGACTCACATCATACTTGGTCGTATACATAAAAGCATAGAAAAGTATGGATCAGCAGAACACTGAAATCGGGGTCTGGCTTGCGATCACAGCCTTTTGAAATTTAGATCATGGGGGTGTAAGGGTAATCAATTTGCATTAGAGTCGTAGAGGCCAAGTTAGTAAGAACGGTTATTTTCATATTCCAATTTCTCTCCCTGAAACATACTAAAACTAGTTTTATTATTGCAGAGCGCTACACAACTCCAGCAAGGATATGAACACGTTCTAGCTCTTCACAAACCTATTCGCTACGGACTTATAGCAAAATTGCTCTGCTCAAGTTTTTAGTCATTGAAGTGCTATGAAGAGCTAGTTTAAAGTAATTTGGCTCATCACAGCCAATTGACAAGTCAGCTTTATTTTTAGACATTACAATGCGGCACTAATTAACACACTAATTTGTAATAAAAAGTTTAGAGTACGTGTTATATACAAAAGAAAACGCTTAGCTACATGCCGCAGCTGCGATAACATCACTTAAAAAGGCAAATCAGAAGACGCCAGCTCAAAGGCCAGCTTGAATTTTGGGAGCGGCAACCTCACGCTTAGATGATTCTTCAGTTCCGTTTTTGATAATTTTGATAAACCCTTGATGTCAAGATCAAACGATTTATCTTGTAGGCCTATCAACTGCTTGTCATCGCGCTTGCTGGTTGAGGATGAATCAGTTCCGTTGAAGATAATTTTGACCAAAAGCTTGATATCAGGATCGATAGCTTCATCTTGAAGGCTGATCAGCTGCTCGTCACCACGCTTGGTGGGAGCTATATCATTTGGAAGGTAATTCTGCATTCACTTTAGCAGTGACAAAGTATTATTCAACTTACAGCAAACAGCACTACAGAAGCAGCAGCGCAGATGACTGATGAGACGACAAGTAAAGACAATCTCATTGTACTTACCTTGTTATTCTAGTAAAAAGATTGTATTGGTGGCTATTTTAAAAATAGAGAGTCTTAAAGTTAGAGTATGGGTTATCCAACCCGGCCAAGCTTTCAATCGTTCAATGTAATAGTGACGTTATTTACGTAAGATACTTGACCCTGTATGCTTAACTAACCCCGTCTTAGTCCCAGTAAGCAAAACAACAGTGTCTTAAAGATGTTTCGAAACAATACATATTGCAGAAGGTTTCCAATTTTAGACTGCAATTGCTCGGCATGAAATTGTGGTTCAGGTACGCTTGGTTCTCAGATGGGTACCATATGGTAACAGCTATGTCTCATATGAATTTCACTTGCTTCAAATTTTTGCGAAATATTGTGTGCGAGTAAGTAATGTCGCTTAGCACGCCGCTATCAGCGAATATTTGTCATGATATGGGGCTGATGAAGTAATTTGCCTTCGTGTGTCTCCTATAAGTGGTGAAGCTCTTCGATTGCTCTGTAAGCTACCGTATTAATGAATACCTGAGCATCCACTAAAGAGACAACTTTGGTTAGCCTGTAATGTAATGTTTGTTCAATGACTTGGTAAGTGTGGGTTTCCTTGCATACATTGCTAATCGTCTGTTCCTCGAAACATTTAAGAATTATTTTTCCGTAATTTAGCTCGATCAACTGTCACCATCCCCATAAAAGCGAGACATTAAGATTGTAACGAAGATGACGCAATTGCGCTTTCATTTAAAACTCACTCAATTAACAAATGTGTACAACGTGAAAGGTGGGAAGATAACAATAACAATTAAGTAGAAATTTGAAAGCTCTTAGGCGCTTCCCGTAGCCCTGAGAAAAATTCAGAGACCAGCTTGTCTTTCCGCAACAGTGTCTTCGCGCTTTTTGAGAATGTCGTTAACGTGAGCTCCAACAACAATTATATTATCCTCGTGATTGCCATACTTGGATGATTCTCATTACCATTCGTGTAGATATCGATTAACTTCTGAATCTTGAGTTGAATAGCTTTATTTTGAATACCGAGCAGTTGACAATCTCCACGCTTGGTATATTTAGCAGCAAAATAGTTGAGGAGCTTTCCGACAGCAGTATCTCGGTTCAGAGAACCGAATGTCTCAAGTATATTTTGATCAGCTACAGACAGATCTTGAAGAGATCCACCGTCACGCTTAGTGTAGAGGTTAATTGAATTTTCAGGATCAGTATCAATTGTTTTGTCTTAGAGTTCAAATAATAGACAATCATTACGCTTGGTTGGTTCAACTTGGCCCCGCAAGTGTGCATCAATGATACGGTGTACAAATGGACGTTTGTGCACTTACAGCCAAAGGTACAGCGGCAGCAATATCTAACACTTCGAAACTCATTGATTTAGACAAAGCAAAAGGGTGGAAGTTGTATTGTACGATCAATCTTGATATCGTGGATGCCTTTCTAAGTGCCTCAATATGACGTGGAAGGTCCAGGGACCATCGATAAAAAGAACACTTGCAGACGGCAGAGACGTGTAATGACTGGGTCTTGATTGATATTGAGACATTATACTACAGCTCGCAAAATTTTCAGATAAAGTCATGACCATTGCAGACGATATTATGCATTTGAAGCACTTATAAAACAGAATATGTGTGTATTGCAAAATTTTAGCAGCCTACTTTATTGCCAAAGGTTGAGGTGCAGCGGAATTGATCGCGGGAGCTAAGCATAAAACGTTCGAGTAGCTCATTTGATAGGGATTATTGAGATGCAATTATATTTAGATAAAATGTTGTTATTTGAGCTTATATTCCAATATTTTACGTTATTCAGCTAATTCGACTGGAAGTTAGAGATAAGGGGGATATTTCGATGAGAATGAAAGTGATTTAACGCGTAATACAAGGAGACAACTACTACTATTTTACTCGATGAGCAAATTGTATTTACCAAATTGAGTAAATACGCGTTGCGCTTCTATCAAGAGTACAACGACGGCGATATAAATCAAACGCCCCGATTATGGGAATGAAGCAGGTGCCTGATGTGATAGAGGTTTGTGTTTTCTTCACTTACTTCAAATCTGTTAATTTCTTTTTCGCAGACGAATTCGGAAGCCGCACTAGAAACTAAGATTACAGCAATTTCCAGCTTAAACTTACACGAGAATGAGGAGAATTGGGATAAAATTGAGAACTCTTTAAAAGTGTTAGCAGCTGTTACCAACGGCGGCGGGTACAAGCATTCAATCTATTTGGAGATCCTACGCAATCACTCTGAGGGATTCCTTAGGGCTTTGAACAGTGAGAGATCAAGAGTGATGTCAGCGGCTGTTGATTGCTTATCGATAATAGCACCACGGCTTGGTTCACTCTTTGATTCCTTCTGTGCCACTTTCATTCCAACTCTACTTAAACTCACTTCAAAGAGTACTAAGATATACGTAGTACGCGCTAAGAAATGCTTGATTACTATCATTTCATCTACTAGGCTACCCTCAATCATCCCTCACCTTAGAAATGCTTACTCTGACAAAGCTCAGTCTTTGCGTTTGGCTGTAGTTGAAGGTCTCTTGACTGCAATCGAGAGCTATGACACTCAATCTCTCAAATCTCGTATCACTGATATCGAAACTATTATGCGCGCTTGCGCCACCGACTCAAATGCCGATGTACGCGCTATTTCGAAGCGTATTTACGGTCTGTACACTCTCAAATTCGTTGACAGAGTGGATCAATTCACTGACCCACTCACTCCAACTATACGAAAATACTTGCAGATCGCACCAAGAAATGCTAATCAATCTAAAAAACCTTCCTTGCCACCTGCACCAGCACAACGCCCACAGCGCGAAAGAATAGAACACCTGGACACCGACAATGATGAGAATGAGCCTCTTTCAAGCAGTACAGGTGGCCCGTTGCGACCGACGCAGTCTAGTGCAAGTACAAGCAATACCAACAGTGACACTGGTGCAGTCCGCTTCTCAAAATCTACATCAGCAGCACAATCTGCCCAATCTTCGCAGCCTGCACCCCAAGTACCTCCACTACCATCCCGGTCGCTGTCTTCATCCACCCAAGAGCAGCGACATCCGACCACTGCAACCAGTGGTCCATCCAGGGTGGTATCTCAGCCCACCAAACCTGCATCTTCGTCGTCAAAATCATCAGAGAGGCCGCGAAGCACTACTCCTACAGCTACCACAGGTGCACGTAGGCCGATATCCAAGCTTAGTGGTAGTAGCAGTGGTGCAGGTGGCGGTGGTAGTGGTAGTAGCAGCACAGTCGGCTCGAGCACAAGTGGTCCTAGACGCCCAGCTGCCGGTATCGGACTGAGGAAGACGGAGCAGAAGGCTTCAGATCAACCTACCTCCTCAACAGCTGGATATACACGCTTCGCGGTGAAACCACTCCAGTCTAATGGTAAAGAGACTCAGGAAAAGCCTACTGGAAGAACTATGGCCGCAGGTGTACGTGCCAAGATCCTCAATATCCAGGAGAGGAACTCGCTCAAGAAACAGCAGAGTGAGAGCAGCGCTAATAAAGATGAGGATTATGACAGCAACGGAGGCAAGAACAATAAAAGCAAGGACATTGGCAGTAGTGGTAAAGACGAGGAGAAGGATACAGAGAAGGACAAGGTTCAAGAGGAAGTCGAGGACAAGGGCCAGAAAGCAAGGAGAGCGCCCACAAAGTCAACTGACACGAAGAAGGACAAAGGAACGGTGGGCGCACTAAAGGAGAAGAAGAATGAAAAAGGTGCGCCTACGAAGGTTTTACAAAAGAGGAAGGTGGTCTCGTCGCGGCCGAATGCACCGCCAAACAAGCCCCCACCAGCGGGCGAGACAAAAGCTGCAAAACCATCCCGCATCACTAAACCTCCAGTGCCGAAAGTTGTCCCAGCGAGACGAAAGGCAGCACCATCATCACAACTAGCACAACCCAAACCACCGACCGATGTAGCCGAGAAAGCTAAAGATATTCCTCTGCCACAAGCTGATGAAGATGAGTTGTCGGATTTATTCGCTGGGTTTAACTTGAAGGCGTAAGTGAGAGGCTCGCATTGAAAATTTGCACATAACATACTTCATTGACCTGTAACAATTCGTCATTTCACTAATATAGAATTGATCATCCCGAATTTGAGACGTACGTATAGAAATTGACTGATAATCCAAAGATCCGAAATATATTTAAAAACACTAAGCGTTGATTAGATCCACATTGACATTCTAGTCATTAATGTCTGTCAGCAATCAAGTTGTTTGTGTTAGCGGTCTGGGACAATATTGCTCCGAAATCTTCGGCTACTCCATCGACATCGACAAGTTCTTCAATAAGATCTTCATCGTTCCAAAGGCATGGTCAACTGAGCTAGAGGAAAATCTGCACACTCATGGCTGCTGGTACAGCAATGGTCAAGACTAAGATGGCGGCTACAACGGCGAGGATTCCGAGTTTCATTTCCAGAAATTTTAAGGAACATGAGGGTTGTCTTGAAAGGTTCTAACATTACGGATATTTTTCAGCGGTGATTTTCTAGTCTGCTGTGCCTTAATTTGTAACAGGAATTTTTTGTGACAGTCGGTCTTCAGGTTAGCTGCATACATTGAAGACGGCTGATGTGCGCGGCTGATGTGAAACAATTTAGCTAATATTTTCCGTCATTTGATCGCTGCGTCTAAAATTTTCTGAACCCAATGCTTTCGATCGCATGATAATTAATCATTCGCGATTGTGTAAGCATACGCGATCATGAGTCTCCCTTGTGGCAATCGTTGAGGCGTGTTAGGACGTGGATGTTATCGAGTATCACTCCACCACGTGCGATTACATTTAGCTATCGATAGCGAGCTTTGCTTACATATGTATATCCAAGCAATCCGCAAACCTGCAACAAGACTACACTCAACACCATTGCCACTAAAGATGATAGTTTGAGATAAACTCATGCATAATGCACTCTAAACACTATATTGTTATTGAAAGTCTATCAATCGTTATCTTTGCTTCGTTACTACACATCAAAAACACACGTTTCGCCATAAAAATGTATGGTTGTACTAATCAATGAAAATTACCGCCTGTTTCATCTGCTCAATTCCCCACAAATTTGAGATTGCCTGCTAAGTGGCTTTCAGAGAACGTGTTTTGGCTGCTTTTGGCAATAGGGATACAAATTTCAGCACTAAAATTCCTACTAAACTTCAATCTTTTTTTAGAGTTGTGGTGTAGTGGGTGTCTAAGTTCAGCTGTTGAGTCTTTAGGTACAAAATCATCGACCTTGGTAAAGAAGCCTTATAATCTTGAGTGAGCCCGAGTGCAGCGAGAAGGTCTGGGACAGCTTGCCCATCGCGCTATAGCTTTGCGTTAGTCACATGCTTTGAAAATGCCAGACACTTACTGTAACTCTGGTGTAGCGATGGTTGAGCCATAAATGATGAATATCACTGCATTGAGTGTTGCAAACGAGTGAAGAGCTTATATGTCGTCTTGAAGAGATTTTGCGCAAATTCCGCAAAGAAAGATAAAAAGGTCCTTCTAAGCGTGTCCCTGAACACGCGACAAGGTATTTCCCGGAGCTAGCAATCTCCAGCTTATGCATAAAACAAATTTAGCTTGCTCAGAAATGACAGAGCTCTCATCGATTTTCCATGGCTGTTTTGAGCAGTCTTGATTTTCGTTGGTCGAACGTTGCTTGTCGTTTATCCGCAAATGGCTTCAATTGAGCGGAAAGACATAGAATGGCAGCGCTCTACCAGCATGACTTGCAATTATTCTGTTGCAAGCAGATGGCGACACGCTATCGTTATAAGAACTAATATCAAAGACACTGAATTAATTTGGTAAAGTCATGGTAGAAAAATCATTACAATGATATAAAGTAAATCATAGCTAAATCCTATAGCCATGTGAGAATTTTATAAAAAGGGAATCATGAGTCAACATCAATTCAGAGGCCGGCTTGAATCTCTGAGATGGCAGCCTCACGCTTGCTTGAAGATAAATCTTGTGGTACGAGACCGAGATCCTTGAGCAAATTTCCGAGGACTGATTGTTGGTCTTGAGTCAAGCCAAGGTTCTGGAGCAAGTCTGGAACAGCTTGGGTTTCACGCTGTCGTTAATTCAGCTTGATATTACGAGATAAAAAGTTAACAACGCACAGCAACTGGAACTGCTGCTGCAGAGGCGATGGCGGCTGAGGCGACAAAGATAGAAAGTTTCATTTTCAAAAGAGTGTGATGGTTCTGATTGGAAGAAGAGTAAGTGGAGCTGATTTTATACCTGGAAGACTGCGACTGAAACCTTTTCGATCATATTGCGTGATAATACGCGGTAAATTAAGTTACCGGATAAGTCTCACAATGTTTCACTGTATAAATGTCAAACAAATAAGACAAATTAGTCTTGAAATTTCACTTACGTCTCCTAATTCGGTATGGACCAAAGATCATCTTTGAAAGGGACTTTTGATGCAGGTTTCTCGAAAGTATTCTTAATTTTCACGAGCGCACGGACCACCAGCAAATTTTCGGTGTATCTTAAATTCAGTTATATTAGACCAACTCTGGCATCCAGCATGAGTGTGAATATATTAAAGAGTCTGTCCCGGTGAAATGCTCAAGTTAAAGGAATATTGCTCCACTACAACAACATCCGAAATGACATAATGATCACAGCTTCTTTAATTATCGAATTCTGGTGCTGGGTTTTCGCAGAAAAAGAGAATACATACTTATACTCATTCCGACATCGCAGATTTTGGTTCGCGTAGGTTGAAATTGCGGCGTGAATCGCGTATAAATAGCCATATGACATAAGCAGGGTCTCCGAATGATGTAAAACAGATTAAATCTCTAGAACCTAAGGTGAGGGAGGGAAGTAAAGAGATTGCTTAGAAGACACAGATATCCTAATATGCTCTCCCAATTACGATAAATATAGATTCGATAAACCTCAACGTGAGTCAAGTGTGCCCAGCTATGTGTTTGCAAAAGCTTAGGAAACCTCTGAGAAGTCCCGGATGCTCGTGTCTGCTACTATGCGATGCTCCCAACAATCTCATCCTCAGGGTCCTCAGAGGTCAAAGTGGAGATTTACGTGTGTCAAATATACTGCGGATTAAAACTTATAACGACTTTATGTTTAAATGATGGTGGTCATGGAGTAAGTGGGAGATGCAAAGGATGAGGACTTATGCAGGAGAGTTGCGGACATGTCCGTGCGTAGAACAAAAACGCTGCAGACTTGTATAGTTGCAATGAAATGATACCCCATTGAGAAAGGTGGCGTATTCTTGTGCTTGAGCTGGAGTTTTACTGACTGCTACCTACTCCACATATACACTATGATGAAGCTACTTGCGAGTCAAAATGCGCAATCCAATTAGACAAATCCTAGTCAATTCAATCCACGTCTTTCTAATTAGATTTACTTCCCTTAACCGCGGAACGCTTTGGACAGCCGCGGAGATTTAAAAATCTTACTCAGGGACTGCTCTCGCTCCAGTGTCAATAAGTCTTGCTTTGACGTTGTCTGTCTTATTAATCGACAATGAGCGGCGGTGATTCACCAACACAGCTTGAGAGTATTTCTCACTTAACTCAGCAAGTGGGGAACGATGAGCCATCTAATAAACCATCACTCAAAGAGCGGGTCAAATCGACTCAGAAGTCTCTTGAGACAAATACTGAAACTGTACACGTTAAAGACTTTCAAGGTCGCAGCTACGATGTGGCACTTAATCTGGAAGCGAATGACACTTCGGACTACCAAAATGACAAGCAGCTCATCATCAATCCTCCCAAGACGAGAAATGAACCACAGGCCCTTTTTAGAGGTGACAACGTTGTTCCCAAACGCCTCAAGGCGATACGCGATCAAAACAAAGACGATAAGGGCCGTACAATTGTTTTGTGTTTGGATGGCACTGGCGATCAATTTGACGATGACAACTCCAACGTCATACGCTTCTTTAGGAGTATGGTGAAAGATGAGCCCGAGAAGCAGGTCGTGTACTATCAAAGTGGGTTAGGAACGTACTCAACTACCAAGCGCGCCAATTTTGTGGCCAACAAGCTTAGTGATATCAGCGACATGGCTGTGGGTAGCGGTCTGGGGCATCATGTCAGGCAGGCATATACGTACCTGATGGAGAATTATAGGTAAGCTCTTTGTCGGCACAAACGATGTCATCTCACACAGTGGCAGAATTGGTGACAAAATTTGCATGATTGGTTTCTCGAGAGGTGCATATACTTGCCGTTGCTTGGCTGGTATGCTGCTGAAAGTGGGATTGCTTCCAAAAGGAAATTTACAACAGGTACAGTTCGCATACGACATGTACAAAGACAACAGCAAACGTGGTTTCGATCAATCTAAGCTCTTCAAATCCACCTTTGGGATAAATGTGGATATACAGTGGATCGGAGTATGGGATTCTGTATCTTCCGTTGGATTCTACCCAAGAGAGCTGCCATTTACAAACTCCAATCACATTGTGAAAAACTTTACTCACGCTGTCGCGTTAGATGAGGTGTGTTTGATTTTGTTTAATTTGCTTACTTACTAAACTTGCAAAAGCACCGCGTCAAGTTCCGTGCAGGTCATTGGACTCAGGAACAAGAGCAAGAGAAACGCTCAAACAAGGATTCGTGGTTTCATCACCGAGAGAAAAAGCACGACATCAAATTCGACCATAGTGTGAACGAGCTCGAAGATGACGACAAAGATAGTCAACATGAGGAGGAGGTTGATCCATGGGAAAAGATTGAGAACATGAGACAGGCGCTGTTTTCCAGAATAGACGAGCTGCGTCAGCAAACTGCCAAATCGCGTTTCAGCACTAAGCGTGTAGACCTGGACAGCATTGACAGAACCAACCCTCAAATCCAGAATTTGTTGCAGCAATTATACAAGTTGCCTGTGCAACACGATTCCTACGCCAGTGATAAAGACGACGAAATACGTGACAATACGAAGGTCAAAGAAGTTTACTTCCTTGGCGCTCACGCGGATGTCGGTGGTAGGTTTTGGATTACTTGAAAGACAGAGAAAAATGGAGAACTAACGGTGAGCAGGTGGAGCGGTCTCGAACGAGACCAGAAATGCATTGCACAGAATCTCACTGCGCTGGATGTACAGGCAATCTTTCAAATCAGGTAGTGGGATTCTGTTTCATACGCACTTGCTCGATTACTACGGATTAGACCTTTCCACTCTTTATCCGATCGTCAAGCCTCGAAAAGAGGCGGCATATAATGTCCCAGAAGGTTTCCCCCCGGAACCAAACATGGAGAACGTGCCCGTCGAGCGCTACGACCGCTCTAAACTTTCAGAGGAGCACGAGGATGTTTATGATTGTGAGTAGAAAAGAAGAAGGAGAGATGAACTATAAACACAGCTCTCTTTTTCATTACATCCATACAGCCCACTAATCTCTGCTATCTCAGCTTTGACATCTATCAACGATCAACTAGCTATAGCTAAGAGCTGGTGGTTATTAGAAGCCATGCCTCAGAAGGAATTTTATCAAGACCAACAATCAGGCGTACCAAAGAAGCGCTACGCTATGAACAAGGGTAACTTTAGAGCCATCAGAGGCAACAACATCAAGTTTCACAGGACAGTGAACATCCGCCAGGAGTTGCTCGGATATCAGATCAGAGCGCGTATGCAAGATTCATCGGAGGCACGATGGGTTTATTAGGTGAAACCTATTCGATTGGACATGGAAAAAAATTTTCATCAAACACATGATAATTCTTAAAACAATTCATATACAACAAACACGGAATACTAGCTAATTATATTCGCACTACTTACCTATACCTTAATACATGACATAATTGTTGCTTGCAAGCAAACGTGTTCTATCAACACACTGATCACTCCAATTTTAAAAAATTTAATCATGAATTCTAAATCATACAAGAAATCCTCCGTTTAGTCCAGGACCTGAACCTTGATAGCGCCACTTTTAGGATCAGCGGCGGTATCGAAGGCATCCATGGCATCCTCGAGGTCGAATCTGTGCGTCACAAGTGGCTTGAGGTCGATCATGCCTTCAGCGACGCAGCGAATAGCACGTGGATATTGATTAGCGTAACGATATTGAAATTGGATGTCGATTTCATTAGCGGAGAGATGCATGAATGGAATCGACTGTATGTCTTTGCCCACACCGATGATGAACACCTTTCCACCAAACGTCATGGAAAAGATAGCGGCGTGAACGCTGCTCTCAACACCCGTACACTCCAATGCCAGGGTGAGAGGCATACCAGCTTCCTCTTTGATTTTCTGCGCAATGTCTTTTGGTGTCTGACCTCTCTCAATGAGGACTGTCTTGACGGATGGGACGAGTTTCTTAGCGAAGTCGAGACGTGATTGGGATAGATCGGTGATTATTGGAATGGATCCGGCAGCTTTTGCTGCTAAGAGGGTAACCAGACCTATGTAAATTGTTAGATTGGCTACTGTTGAAGATATCCGACCAACCAATAGGTCCAGCTCCACAGATGACTACGCCATCACCTAACCGCAATCCACTGCGGTAGATACCGGCCATAGCGACCGTTAGCGGTTCGCAGAGCGCACCCTCTTCGAACGAAACCGAGTCTGGTAGCCTGTGTAGCCACGCAGCTGGATGCAAGTGATAGCGGCTCATTGTACCGAAGTGTGGCGGTGTGCTGAAAAAGATGTCGTTCTGGCACGCGTTGTATCTTCCAAGCTGTTGAGTTGGTCAGATACGTCGATATCAACTGACTGAGACCTACTTTACAGAATTCACAATTACCACAGGGGATGCCCGCTTCGATTGCTACTCTATCGCCCGCCTTCCATTCTGTAACACCTTGCCCGACTCTGGTGACCTCACCTGTGCGCACGATAAGCCAAAACGCGCCAAAGTAATGATATATTTACCACTTGACTCGTGTCCCGCACCACAAATGCAACGCACAACCATATCGCCGATGTGGCCATGCTGCGAAAAGTGCACATCACTTATGACGTGTTGGTGTTAGGTGGGAAAATTGGCAGTAAAACCACTCACGATCCACATATTCCAGTCGCTCGAACATTAACTTCTACTTGGCCTGGTGCAGGATCAAATCGAGGCTTCTCGACGAACTTGTTAACATGATCAACGTCATATGTGAGCGCTATATTTCTTCCAGTGCCTTTGGCAGGCTTTTCTTTGAGTATTCTGAATTCTGGGTGCTCGAGGAGGTTCTTAGTGTTGTATAGTTGTCTATCAGTCATATTGGAGGTGTTGTAAGACGATTTCGTTTGTCGTCGCTTATATATACAATCACGGAACTTGACCGATTTGTCAGTGCAGCTGAGCGGAGAGAGCCGACTGGAGCAGAAGTGCTTAGTGTGGATGATTAGTTGTAATAAATTATAAAGCGATTGATTATTACTAGTATAAGGGTGTATTAGGTTGTATTGGGCTGTTTTGGACTGAAGGGCAGTGGAAGATTATCAATTATGCTGCTGCTGCCGCAGATGCTGCAAATTCTAAGGAGAAGCTAAGTGGAGATTTTAATTGATATCCGCATCGGTATTCGCATTGACCAGATCGCGTTGGTGTACTTCTTAGGAAAGTAATCAAGCAGGCTTATTTAATATACCTTAAGCTATTATATTTAAAAATAAATCCACGCTAAAAAGCATTGAAAGCATTCATCCATAGCATCCGGTAAAGGTGTCTCAGTGCAAACAGGGCAAAAGACAAAGTATAAATACATCCGATATCATCCACGATGAAATTCATGTGCAGATTATCTGCAGCCTTAGATATCCGCAGCTCTCTTCACCGCCAAGGGCTGATCGTGTCTGAGATTAATATCGTGTAATACATTTTTCACTCGCTAGATAAATTCATTGCGCATTAAGAAACTTGTACAGATACACACCCATCAACACATTACACACAACACCAAACTCCATGCTATAGCACATGGACGGAGATTCTATTCCGCCACTTGCCTCAAAGTCGCAACTGCGGGCATACTATTCACTCCTAGTCACAGGCAGTGCACTACATCTATTCCTATTCATTTTCACGCTATCATCCCGCAATGTCAAGAAACACGCCGTCGTACTGAATTTCTACTTTGTTTTCTGCGTCACACTATGGATGGACGCGGTGCTTCTATGGACGGGGCATATCTACGACCCCGATCCGCCGACAGGACTAGAAATAACAAATGCCGTATCAAGACTACCAGGAATGGTGATGAATGCCAGTACGACTTTAATGGTAGTAATGAAATTCTGGGTGTCAACAAATATAGCCTTATCTACGCGAGTATCACATTACTTCTACTGGGCTGATTCGAGGGTGTTAGTAATGATACCATACTTACTTGGCATTCCATTCGTGATTGCGTTTCTAGTAGAGACAATCACCCATTCATCCATCTTGATACGCACACCACTGTATGCTAGCATACGACCGCCGAATAAACTTCTTTATGCTTCCGTAAGCGTATCACTCGTTCTCATGGTTCTCGTCCTCGTTGTAGCGGTATGGCTTACGTTTCTGCTGTGTCGGATGCGCGCTGCTCAGCGCGGTCTACTCCAGACGAGCTGGACTGTAAACATTCAACTTGCTGCGCGTCTCTTGCTCTTTCTTTTCTACTCTTTTATATCTATTGCGCTTCACATCAAAACTTTAGCGCCGGGAACGCACAACGAGGCGAGAAATGAAGAGCTCTTTGGCAGTATCGGAATCATTGCTTTCGCACTCTTCTTCATCCAGGCCGATATACTTGAGGCGCTAGGAATGGGCCTCAGGCTTAGGAGAAGCTCCCTGCCCCACATCTCGCAGATCAAGACTGAAGAATTAAGTCAGTTGCATTTGCCCAGGAAGCCCGAAATGTGTGCCAAGGGGAGTAGTGATAAGGATTATAGCCTTATTGAGTCGCAGTCGTATTCACAATCGCATTCACAATCACAATCACAATCACAATCACAATCGCATCGCAATCTTTCCCTCCCCAGCAATCAATCGCAGCATATCGCATAGTAAAGTTAGTTTGTAATGTACAATATCGCCTATTATGAAAAGTTGACACTGATGAGTATGAGTGTTGAGTCACTTGGTGATATCACAGCTCAGAATGATAAAGCTCAAAGTGAAAATGAAAGAGTGTATTTATGTAGGTATGCGAGACGCCCCATACCACTCTCCGAATGAGCGCCATTCACGTTTGAGTTGCGAGTTGTGATATGTGTGAGAATAATAACTTATAAGGCGTAAGACATGGAATTAAAGTATGTAACATAAATATTGAACTTGAGCTGGCTAGGAAATGAATAGAGAATGTGGGGGGGGGTATAGATAGTACACTATGCGGGCCAGTGAGTGAGCAAGCACGGAGATGAGAAGCAGGAAGCAAGAAGCATAGCAAGTGAGAAAAAGAAACAGCGCTAACACGGCAGAAGATTATACCATCGCAAGCACTCTTTCACTCACTCAATCAAACTAAAAATCCTTGTCTCGATCCTCATTTCCGAAGCTGCTCGACAGGTTACCAAAGGAAGAAGAGGTAGTGCGCTTCTTTTCGTAAGTGGGGGATGAGTGAGAGGGGTGAGTAGCGCCAGCGCGAGTATGACTGCCGTGACTACCACCCTGAGTACCGCCCTCAGACGCACCGGCCATAAGTACCTGTGCATCTTGCGGCGAGAGGCTGTCAGGATTATCGCGTGCATTCGCTCTCTGCACTCTCTCTCTAGAAGTGGGCGAAGGAGGGCGGGGTGGAGGAAACATAGTCTGCGCTTTATCCAGAGGGATAGTAGGGATAGTGCAGCTACTAACGACGGGAGCTGGAGTAGGGCGTTAGTAACGAAAATAGCAAGCCTCTCATAACACATCTCTCACCTCCTATATCTCTCACTATACTGGCTTTCATGAGCGCATTCATCCACTCTCTCGTCACGCTTTTCTCCTCACTTGCAAAATGGTGCGTGTCACGTTCACGTTCGTGAGATATTTTGAAAGCGAATTGGTGGCGGGAGGAGTTAGATTCGTCGGCGAGCACCTTGAAGCCGTTTAACTGAATGAAGCCCTTCAATTGCGTATCGTTCTCGTTCTTGAGGTAGAAGAGTTGCGAGCCTTTCAAAACAAAGTAGCGCATCTTCCACCCATACCTCTCCCCCCTCTTTTTTAACCACCCTTTGCAGTCGCACCCGCCTATTTTTTGTAGGGCTGTACCGTCCCGAGATTGGAAGTGGGTGAGGTCTACTACACTCCTTCGAGTGTCTGCGTTTGTGTTTGTGTTTGTGTTTGCATTGTCAGTAGATAAAGACACTCTGTTGGCGAATGAGGATTGTGGTTGGGATTGCTGCGGTTGCGGCGAGGTGCTAGGACGACCACCGCCGTTAATATTGCGCAATGAACGTTTTGATCCGAGTAGTCGGGCAGCTGACCAACCCTCCTTGTCACTCTTTTCAGTCTCGTTACTGGCACCACTGTAGCGAGGAGCAGGTTTGCGTGGGTTGCCTTTACTGCCGACGCCGAAAAAGGCGGAGGAGTCTGAAGTGCGTTTGCGGAGGGAGGGAGTGCGAGGAGATAGAGGGGATTGGATGGTGGGTGAGGTAGCTGAGGAGGGCGAGTTAGTTGAGTTGTAATTATGACCACTAAAAGCTCTTCGGAGGGAATTTGTGGCTGAGGCGGTGCGAGATAACCCGGGTTGAGAGTGTGGGGAGGGTAGCGAGGTTGTGACAGCAGTAGGAGGGTCAGATGGGGCGTTGTTGATGCTGCTGGTGTTGATGTTGCTAATTGGTGTTTGGTTATGACCAGATGACTTGGATGTCTCACTACCACGTTTATGGTTATCAACACCCTGATCCAAACCGGCTAAAATGCGCAAATCTTTAATAGCATTTGCAAGTTTAACACGCTTACCGAAAGCAAGTATGTCAATTTCTTTGAGGGAGTCAGTGTCCAATTGGAGGAGAACATCACCGGAGATGTCGTGTTGAAGAAGTTTTTCACATATGTAATCGTCGAAATTTTTGTGCTTAGCCCAATGAAGGACGTTGTCGAGGGACCAGTTGGGGATGTCTGCGGTGTTTGGAGAGGGTGGAGTAGGAGATTGGTTTGAGTTGTAAGAGTTAAAAGAATTTTCTGGTTGAAAAGGAGGATTTGGAGTTGATTGCTCATTATTATCAGTAATAGGGGAATGAGTAGGAGTCAAATTTTCATCACTATCGCTACCGAATTGGAGGGAAGTGGGAGGGTTAAGGTTCTTCTTCGCCAATAGGGAGCGTGCATTTGCGTTAATGGGATCATCTTCGTTGTCAGAGTGATCCAGGGTGATTTGTGAGGAAGTGTTTGAGTTAGTAGATTCAACGATTGGAGCGAGAAGATTTTCATTGTCAGGGTGGTTGGTAGAGATGTCGTTTATAGCGTCTTCGATTTGAGACATGGTTGAATTGATGGGAGTGTGTTGTGGGGGTTGTTTTGGGTGTTCCTGATCAGCCACGGCAGTCACGGAAGCCGCAGAGGCCACGGCAGAAACAGGAGCAACACCGGGGGCAATAGGTTTAGACCAACAAGTATAAGATTCAGGAAATAAACCTTGATTACCATTTTCGCATTTACCAATCCACCAACCATCTTTAAATTCCTCGTCTGTCTCTATAATATAAATAATATCCCCACAATTAAAACTCAATTCATCGTCAACTTCCCCTTGGAAATTAAACATTCCATATATAAAATTCTCATTTGTTGATTTACCAAATGGCATTTTAATTTGGCAAAGCCGTGGTGTCGGTCGTGGTGGTTGGAGATGAAGGAGATGAAGACAATTCCAAGAAGAATAAGCTCAAGACAGCTGTCAGATATAATTATATATTTTTATTCATTTTTCAATTTTATTTTATTTAATATGTATTCCCTTCTTACTCACTAACCACCATCATCTACTAAATGGCTGACACTGAAATACGTGAAGAGTTCAAGGGAGAAAATCAAGCGGAGGATGCTGGTTGGGGTTTAAAGCAGGAGAACAATGAGGATGATGATGGCTGGGGGTTCAAGGGTGATGATACTCAGAATGGCTGGGAGGAGTCTAAGCAAGAGGATAATCCAGGCACTCAGGGCGCTCCAGGTACTCAAAATCCACAGCCACAGTCACCACATCTTCCACGCTCTCCACCACGCTCTCCATCCCCTCCTCCACGCCCTTCCCCACCTCCACCACGTCGCCGCAATGAAAACCCACCAGAACCTAACGAAACACTTGGTGTGTTCGGTTTATCGATTAGAACACGTGAAATCGATTTAGAAGATGAATTCAATCGATTTGGTAGAGTGGACAAGGTTACAATCGTATACGACCAACGCTCTGATCGCTCTCGTGGCTTTGGTTTCATTAAAATGGCCTCAATCGAAGACGCAGACAAGTGCATTCAAGCTTTAAATGGCGTTGAAATTCACGGTCGTAACATTCGCGTTGACTTTAGTGCAACTAAGCGTCCACACTCTCCAACTCCTGGTCAATATATGGGTGTTAAACGTGTGTTAGGTCTTTATTCTGGGTAACCCACTAATTTACCCTCTTGACAGGCTTCGACGACCGTCGCTTCGATCGCCCTCCTCCACGCGGTGGTGGTGGTGGATACCGTGGTGGTCCTCCTCCTCGTCCTCCTCCTCGTCGTGGTTACTACGACCGCGATGACTGGAGAGGTTCAGGCTCCAGACGCAGCCCACCACCCAGACGCCGCTATTCACGCTCTCCCCCACCAAGACGCTACCGCGACTACTCGCCACCACCACCACGTGCAGGTGGTTACGGTAGACCTCGCTCTAGATCCCCTCCTCCACGCGGTGGTTATGCCAGACGTTCTCCTCCTCCACGCCGCTTCAGTCGCTCTCCTCCTCCTCGTCGCTACTCCCCTTCCCCAATGCGCGATTAGATGGTAGTGTGAAAAATGAATAAATGCAAGAAACGAAAATTTGTTACAAGTCGTTAATCTCCAACTAACCCAACCCACCCTTTCTAGCTTTTTCAATTCAAGTAAAATATTTAATCCGTTTCTGTTGATTGACCAAGAAACAAGACTCAAGTAGTACATATACATGATCAAGTTGAAGATGAGATGAGTGAATAAGTGCAAGTAGAGAGTGAAGTTGGGTGTACCAAAGTTGCAGAGGTAAAGGTACGTAGAAGTGACGTTGAGTGGACACAAAAGTACGCAGAATTATGCAGAGGTACACAAGAAGGAAAACACATACACACACAGATGTCTCGAGTGCATGTTGTTCGTATCACCACTCGAGTCACGTGATGATGTAAGCAGAAAGAAGAAATAGTAGAAAGCACAAGTCAATAACGCAATAACGCAATAACGCAATAAATTACATTTACATTCACATTGACGTTGACAGTACGCAGTATACCACGTATACCACATGAGACACCATTCATCAGCTCATCAACTCGCCCAGAAACATCCTGCAATCCTTCCCGCCAGAGACAATGACAGGGTCGGTTGGGTGAATATCGACAGCGCCAACGGTGCCAGTGTGTCCGGGTAGCTATAGCAGAGGGTTAGCAAACGCAACACGCGCAACAAAGCATTACACCCACCTTATAAAGGATATCGCCAGATTCTACATTCCACACAGTGACAGTGCGGTCAGCACTACCAACAGCTACGCGTGTTCCATCTGCACTCCACGCCGGCTGAGAGTACACACCCTCGAACGAGGACACAGCACCGTGCAGCACTCTATATTGTCTGGTAGGGTCGCTTGTGAAAGGCTTAACGTCCCAGATACGCACTGACGAGTCATTCGAGCAGGATATCAGGTGTTGCGAGCAAGGTGAGTGGCGTAGGAAGGTGACTGTGTCTGTGTGACCGGTGAGTGAGAAGAGTGTGGAGTGGGAGGAGAGGTTGTGAGCCTCGAGAAGGTGAGTCAGGTGAGTTACACTCATTTTAGGCGTTTCACACTCACATGTATCTGGTTATCCAACCCGCCAATGTACAGCGTCGAATCATCGTCTGACCATTCAAGCGCAATAACGGGAGCGTTCCAGGTAATGGTATGAACGGGGTGTTTAGGTGGTGTTCTATCACCGTTACCGTCATCGCCGTCTAATTGCCATATAAACACTTTGTTATCGTCACCAGCACTAGCAAGGAGGTTGTTTCTGGATACGGCGAGTACGTTGACGACGTCGCTGTGCCCTCTCAGCCTCCTCACCAGCTTTCCCGTCGAAGCCTGCCACACACCAATCGTGGAATCAGCTGAGGCGGTGAGGATGAGTGGATCGGAGGGTGAAGTATGTGAGAGGACTAGAGAGGTAATAGCATCCTTGTGTGCATGTGGAATGTACCCGTAGTTTGCATTATCCGTGTATGTCCTCCATAGGCTGACTGACTTGTCTGCAGAAGCTGCGACTATTGTGTTTCCAGTCATGTCGAATTTAACCGAGGTTATTTCACCGGTGTGACACCCATCGAGCTTTATAATAGGCGCCGATAGCTTGGATGTGCGGTGTACGCTTCTAATCAGCGCGTTGTCGTCGTCGTGCTTCTTGGAGAGAGCAACTTGGTGGGTGTGTGACTCGTCTAAACCCAGTTGCTGCTCCATTTCATCGCTCCTGACACGCTTAGCCGTGAGTGCCTGTGTATCTGAGCCGCGTTTAGACATGCGGTGATGGTAGTCGCTGTGAGGTGGATAGGTGGTTCAAATGGCTAAACCAGGGCACAAACAAATCAAGCCAATTATTCTTAATTCCCTTGTTTTTTTGAAGCCCCCTCACTACTAAAAATCCTAGGATAAATATTAATTTTTTCAACTCGCATCCTACTCGCAAATCTGACATACTTCTCTCTTCGCCTTGTCAAGCATAAAATAGGAAGAGTGAGTGGAATATTAAGAGTAAAGCACTCTGATTAACAAAATCCAGTGGGTGTTGATATCCGCCGTCACCACGTCAAGTCGGGCAAGCGTTCAGCGCCAAAGAGCGAGGATCCATACCTCCTCTTGCTTGTCCGTCTCTTCCGCTTCCTTGCACGCCGCACAGACAGCCAGTTCAACAAGGTTGTTCTCCGTCGTCTCTTCATGTCCAAGGTCAACAAGCCACCACTTTCAATCTCAAAGTTGGCTTACTTGAGCAAGAACTACCCACAAGCCAAGCAAGGTGCTACCATTGTCAACGTTGGCCCTGTCACCGATGACAACCGTATGCTTGAAATTCCTAAGCTCTCAATCGCAGCTCTCAGATTCACTAAGACTGCGCGCGCTCGTATTGAAGCTGCTGGTGGTGAATGCCTCACTCTCGACCAACTCGCCCTTAGAGCTCCAACTGGCTCAAACGTTATCCTCCTCCGTGGTAAGAAGACGGCTAGAGAGGCTAACCGCCACTTCGGCTTCGGTCCTCACAAGCACAAGAAGCCATACACCATCTCCAAGGGTAAGAAGGAAGAAATCGCCCGTGGTCGTCGTAAGTCTCGTGCTTTCAAGGTTTAACGGGGTGCTTGTGTACTTCTGCAGACTGTCTATGGCTTGCTATCTTTTGTTACATCCATATACATATGTTACAGACATGTTTTGTGATGATTGAGTTTATATTGAATGTGCTATAATATTTGAAATTCAAGTTTTTCATACTTGTCTCAGAACAGTACATAAATGCACGTTACACAAATCTTTAAACCTCTAATGCACACCCTTCACACTAACATAACCCCTGCAAACTAATTCGATTCAAAGTAATATTAACCAGTTCACAAAAGACTTGCCCTTGACCGCAACAGCGCAAACACATGGCTTAAGCGAAGGTGGAAGGACGCTTAGCTTGGAATGAAGATCTGTAGTTCTTGTTTCTGTTGTGAGGGAGTGGGAACTTGAGGTTCTTAGTGAGGAGTTGACGGATGTATCTGTAAAAGTTGTTAAGTACTCAGTTTTAAAGTGTCAAACACCAAACTCACGGTCTACGAATGTCCTCAGTCTTCTCGATCTCAGCAACACGGAGAATTTGTACAGAACGGAAACGAGCTCTGTGTCTGGCAGCCATGTCCTGGTAAAGAGCTTGAACAGCGTCAACACGTGACAATTCGCGGAACTCCTTGTACATGTTGTGGATACCAGAACGTGAATCGTATCTCAACCAGATACCAAAGTTCTTTGGCTTGAGTGGCTTCTTCTCGCTGATCACGTTGAGAGAAACAATCTCACCAGTACCCTTCTTCATCTTTCTGTACTGTCCAACAAAGTACCAGAAACGTGACTTTGCAACGACCTCATTTGGTGCAAATATTCTCATTCTGTAGAGCTTTGGCGTTGGATCGACTTCGGTCGGAAGTCTGCGTCCAACGACGAGATACTCTGAATACTTGTGTTGATGGCTGACACCAGGCATTCTACGGGTTTTCTTAATTTATGCGCAATTATTCACCATTCCTACTCACCTTCTTGACGGTCGCTGAGCAAGAATTGTGAATCGGGCAAAGTTTTTTTGAACAAGGCGTCATATTTTCAATTCCAACTTTTTTCTTAATTTGTATTTCTAGGCGTAGCAGGTGGGCTCTAGACCTTTACTCTTTTTATTTCTCTCCTCCTCCTCCTCCTGCCTGTGCTAGCCTGTGGCCATACAATTTGACTCGCGTGGACTATTTCATGTATTTATCCATTTATCCATTTATCCATTTATCCATTTATATTCATCATTTATATTCCATTTATATTCTTCATCATTTATATTCATCATTTACACTATCAGCCTTCACGCAAACGCATCACTCTCCTCCCGCGTTGGATCCGTCTGCTTAGACCAATTGGCTGCAAAATTGCCCATGTCAGCCACCACAATCTCCATCACCTGTCCGTCCCCTTGAATATCCTCCAGCAGCATTTTCCCGTTGCCGCGTTCACCATTCGCTCTCTTTCCGTCGACTGAGACAGTGCCATTGTCCGCAACAGGCACCCTAATCGACCCGCTGGTCCCTTGAGGCGCCTGCAGCTCATACGCTACCACTCCACCACCGCCTCTCATTCTAGCCCTGATCTCTCCCCCTTGCACCGCGAAGCCTGTCTCTACAAACTCGAGGTCAGTGTTCTGCGGCGCGTACTCCCACCGCGTGAGATTATCGCCTATTCTCAGCCCAGCCACCTCCTGCGTGAGCGTGGCTAGTGGTGTAGTCGACCATGCGTGCGCGTGTGAGATGTAGCTGTCGAGCGAGCCGTAGAACGGGTAATGCAGTGTCCCGTCGTGGTAGAAACCTTCAATCAGCGTCGAGTTGGAGAAGGCGCTGAGCATATATCCCCATTCCAGCCTAATCAATTCGAGTGCGTTGGTTATGTTTCCTGCGGGTGGTTGTGGTGTTAGCACTGCAAATGAGCACACAAGCCACTCACCAGCCTGCACGTGTGCGGACACCTCCAATCCCGACACGAAGGGCGAGATGGCGCTTAGGCCTTCTGGGGAGACGGCACCGTGGTCATTCCAGCGCTGTTTCAATGCCGAGCTCACTGTCTGTGCTCTGTCTGCATCAGCGACGCCATACAGCACAGCTACAGCATTGCCGTCCTGAGGATAGAGCGAGTGACCAGCCTCCGTGTCGTTGTCCATATACAGCCCCGTCTCCTCGTCCCACAGATGGGTGTTGATAGCGTTGCTGAGCGGCTCCATGTGCTCTTCCCACTGCATTGCCTCGTCCGTCCTGTTGAGCGCGCGCCAGCTTCCCCGCGCACTCCAGCGCATGGTACAGATTGGCATTCGCAGTGAGGTCGTGTCCCGCGGTCGGACTGCGTCCCCACGACGACGAAGCGCTTTCGGGTACATCCAGCAACCCCGTTTTGTTTGCGCCCCGCTCCACATCCTCCAGCGCGAGGTCCACGCCGCGACCAAACACGTCCCATAATCCCTTCACGAAATCATCGTCCCCGCTGTGCTTCCAGTACGCGTATGTCGCACTCAGCGTCCACAGGTGGTACGTGTACGACTGCGGCCCCTTCAGCAGCGGTGGCCCTGCGTACGGGAGCATGCCCTCGGCGCTGACCTGCGAATAAAGCGCGCGGAGTGAGTTGCGCAGCGCTTCCATCCCCAATCCATCCCTGTTGTTCGCGAGGAACGTGGGTGGTATGGCCGTAGCAAAGTCGCCTGGCCACTCAGTGCGGTCGCGTTTAGCGCCGTCGACGAGCACGCTATCGGAGGGGGAAAGTGGAGTTATCAGCTCGCTGTTGTTCCAGTTGGATGTTGGCGTGGTGGTGGTGTTGCGCGATGTCCCCGCGCCGATTGTCGACAGCTGGTTCGTGTATGCGGCGGCATACCATATGCGGTTGAGGAGCGCGTCGTCGCTGTAGAAATACCCGGAGTACTCGCGCAGCTTGTCCTCATCGACTTGCGGCGCAGCTGTGAATTGGTTCGATAGGCCGCTCACCTCTACTGTACCTGGCGTGGCCATGAATAGCGTCGCATACCGGTACGCTCCTCGAAGATGCAGATCGTCCGCTGTCCACTGCTCTTGCGTGCCGTTGGTCCCATTGAGCTCCACTCGCAACGACCCATCTACCTCCCCATTCAGCCCTATCGACATGTCGCTCGACTGCGTCGCGTAGTAGCTTGACTCGGAAAATGCTACGCCGACCGTCTGATTCGCCGAATCGGCTGTATAGTTGAACGATAGCAGCCCGGCTGTGATATAGCCGAAATCTACTACTATCGTACTATTCACCCCTGAAAGTGTTGCGGCGCCCTCACCCCCGAGAATTCCGAGTGGGTTGGTGACATTGCCTCTGTGATGGCTTTGTCAGTCTATTCGCTTGCTCGCTCGCATATCTCACTCTATCCCATATACGCTCTGCGGCGTTACTGTGCGCGACGATGGACTGTGGATGTATTCCTTGTATTTCGTCGTCCACGCCGACGCTGTCGTGGCGAGTATGAGTATGAGTATGTTGTTGAGTATGTGCATGCTCATCGACTATAGCACATACAAGCGCTTATGTATGTTGAGGCTTTACATTTACCCACTTGATTTAGTCATCATCATGTGTTTTTCAGGTGTTTTTCAGGTGCTTTTTCACGTGCTTTTTTCACATGCTGAATTCATTCTGAATGCAGGCTCTTATCCGTCAAATACTCATAATGTCACGTTCAGTTTTACATATATGCATGTTTCATCATCTCATTATCTCATCATTCATCATCTCGTTGTCTTATCCTCTTCTAAAGCTAAAACATCTTGTTCCAGCTTCCCATCAAGCATCAGCCTCTCATAACACCTCCTTTGTACAGGATGAGCTCCCATTCACCACCTAAATCTCCTCACTCACCTCCTTGACTCCTCGTCCTCATGCTGGTTATTGACATACTCCACCTCGCCATTCTCATTCCAGTAGCAGCCAAGTGGGAGCGCTTCTGCGGGCGTACTCGCCAGATACAGTCCCGGTCTCATGCCTCTCTCTGTGTCTATCGCCAACGTGTTGAAGATAAAGTTGATTGGTGCTGTGAAAAGCCACGCAGCGCTGTCTTGACTTTTGTCGATGATGATTGTCTTGTACAACGCATTTGTAAGCATTCAAGACATCTTGGAGAAATCTCTTACCCACCACCAAGCCTGGATTATAAACTGCGATAAAAATCTTCCTGTACGCAGCATTGTGATGCACTCTGAGTCTTTCCTGTATACGTAATAATCATTGCAATTACTTGGGTTGCTTTAGAGAAGCTATAATCAACCTCTCAACACCCACCCAGTTTTGTATCAGCATATAACCGAACTGCATTCCAGATGGTTGATCCAATCGCGTATGTATCTTTCAGGGGAGTGCATGGATTATTACACGGTGGATCTGGAATGGTGGCCAACTTGCTCCCCGCCGCTCCAGTCATCACCACTCGCGGGTCACTTGCCAAGCTGAGAGCGGGGAGGAGGGAGAGTATGATAACGAAGTGGCTTAGTCCATCATACTGACCGGAGACGTGTCAAAAAGAGCATAGAAGCTTAAACGCCACCTGATAGGTCATTCCGAGGCTATCTTCTCAGGTTGATTGGTTGGCGCTGAACGCTGCCAGACCCGCATTAGCGAAAATTAAATCGATTGCTTTCTGCTCTTCCACTTGACCCAGCCATTTATCGCAGAACGCTTTTACTAAATCGAGAGAAGCCAGGTCGATTTGCCATACTTGAACCGATGATGAGGGGTGTGTCTGCTTATTCAGCTCAAGCAGCCCCGTCACGCGCTTTATGTGCCTTATCGAGTGAGCGAAATCCAATCACTAACCTCTTTACGCCTCTTTGGACTAGGTATTTGCATTGGCGAATCCTAAGCCTGTGCTCGTGTGCTCGTTGAATGGACTACTTCTAAGCTTGAACGCATAGACACACCTGCATTAACTCCAATCACTACGACTGCCTTGTCCTTAAAATTCTCTCCGTCGATCGCGATTTCTTTGTTTGGGTAAAACATGAGCGTGCTGATTAGAGTGTGTGAGCATATGATCAAATTGGTTGACTAGCTTTTTGATTCTCTGTTGAATGGATCTTACCCCCTAAAGCAACACAGTGAATCACCCTCATAAATAACAACCATTCCTCACTAACTCTTGGTGAAATTTTGATTACTCGTAAAAACTGAAAACTTATATTACATTAAACACGCTATAAAGTTCTTTGACTACTTCGAATACTCTTCCAATTAGAATGGAATGCAAGCCATACAGCATACCAGAGGTACAGCTCGTTTTGATCTCAAAAGTAAGATATGAGAGAGTGTCCTGGAGCGGTCCAAGACATTCTAACGTGGCTACTGTTGTCACACTTTTACACCAAATGAACAAGATTTTGGAGATTAGAGAAGTCGTTTAGGGTATTCTGAATATTTTCACTGTCATCACTACCTTGAGTATTGACTGCCGAGTGGGATAAATTCTAAGCAACACCTGTTATTGTGAGCTGCATTTAAATTATACAGTAAATCTCTTCTAAATTATGAAATTAACTTTCTAAATCCGGCGCAATCCTCTCAAACGCGTATGAATATCATACACTCCCTTATAACCCACTGCCACCAAATGCACAGGCTTATTGTATGTATAGATGGGTCCTGGGATGACTCCACCAGCACACCCAATCATTCCAACATTGTCCACCTTCTCCGATCAATTGAGACAATCGATAAACGCACTCAGCCATCAGTAATGCAATATGCCCAATATAGAACGGCTCACTTCAGCTCCTCTCTCCTCTCACAGCTCCTCGGAGTAGCTTATCAATCCTTCTCAAATTGCTTATTCGAGCTCTATGCATTTCTCTGCATGAATTACAGTGAAGACGGCAAAGATGAGATCTTTCTTTTAGGATATAGCAAAGGTGCATATGTTGCTCGCATTCTCGCCGCTGTTATCAACGAAATTGGCATTCTTCCGCGAGACCAGCTCAGACGCTTTTTCCCAATTTTAAAGGCCTTCTTTGAGCGCAAGAGGGGTGGGAAGGTGGCCTCAGAGGCTGAGGAGGTGCTCAAGCCATGGCTGCTATCATCACCATCCAATACACGCCACCTGGAGCAACAATTTATCATAAAGTGGGTCGTTGAGGATTTCGTCTTACTCCAGTCTAACTCAACGGTAATCAGATGCTTAGCACTGTTTGATTGCACTGTGAAACCCTCCCCGAGTCTGCCAGGGTGGGTTGAACTCAATGTTCGAGTTCATATCTCATGAACAAACAGCATCACTTCCAAATTCAATTCCATTATAACCCGGCCAGAAAGCTACTTCGGTCTTCCGGATGCGCTCCTCGGCCAACGCATCCAACACTGCTATCACGCTATGGCTCTCAACGAAAACCGCGCCAATCAGCGCGAACTCCGGCTGGAGTTGTTGAGGGGGAGTGAAGATATGGGTCAGAAATGCAAGCAAGTATGGTTCACAGGCAGTAGTGGTGATATTGGCGGATCATACTCGATGAAAGAATTATCTGATATAAGCAGAATGTGGATCGCTGTGAGCATAGTACGGGTATATAGCATAAACAGAAACTAACACCTTCATAGAGTCAAATAAACCCACTAATTTCTCTCAATAAAGAGGTGTTGATGGAACAGCTCGCGATGCCTGTATTCAGATACGCAATCCAGCCACCACACAACCCCTACACATCCAAATTAACAACCTTAATGCCAGTGAAGCGCAAGCCAAAGCTAATCGAAGGCGGTACAGAGCGTATTCACTCTAGCGTACTCTTGGGCTCACCAGATCTCGCTGAGCCTGTGATTGCAGCTATAGAGAAAAACTCAAACCTTATAGAGGAGCTGAGTGAGCTGGAGGATGAATTTATGCGCGAGTGGACTGTCACTGACTCGCGTGACACTGACGATTTGGAGATCACATACGCTCTCGACATCAAGCATTACAATGAAGAGGAGAATGAAAGTTGGGTGAGGAAGGTGCTCTACACCCTGCAGCTTGTTGTTGCTTACGTCATAATTTCACTTTTGAGGAGAGCAGGGATGTTGTTTGGGGTCAATATTCAGCGTTTATAGGATTTACCATGTATTCATACACTTTAATAAGAACATCAACAGAGAAAAAAAAAAAAACTTAAGACAAGCTACAGTATTGGATGAAACAACTTGCAAACTCTGTTTGCCTATGCCTGGGAACGAATGTATAGTGCTCATCCCTTGTTTCTGATACTGTGTCAAGCAACGAGCCATCAACGTTAAATTTCCTGTTAAGTAGACGTTTCTTCCAAGCAGAAGGTCTGGTACCAATGTCAAACAACGTGAAGCGATTCATCATTTTACCTCTCATCTTCACCCAGAAGTAATCTTGCGTTCTGACCGACTCGGGCAGCTCTTCGTACCATTGCAAAGCTAGGCTGGTCATTTACGTACTTGAAGATCATAAACTTGTCCATCTGCGTAATAAATGTGTATAATTTCGTTCTGTCGCTGCTGTTATCAGCGGTTATATTATAACCACCTTGTAATGGGCGAACGTCATCATATACGGGCGGAGTGTTGCACACTATCAGTGCAAATAGCTGAATGATTTGGGATTGGGTCCCGTACGCTTCATTTCGGATATCTCGAAGTAAGACGAGAGAAATATTTCGACTGAAAGGAGGAGTGAGTAGTCTGAAAATTTTCACTACTGGCTCGAATGGCTTTTTGAGCTGGTTTTTACCTCCATAATTGTGCGCTGGAGATGCCGAACAGGTCCAAGGACTTTTTATTACTCACCACAAACACCCCATCCGATTTGTTGAGCATCCCAACAGCAAATTACAAGCCGCCATCAACAGCAAGCATCTTGATGACGAAGAGAGATAAAAAAGACGAAGTTTTAATGAGGTCATGTGTAGCTTGTCTTTTGTAGCTTAGTGTTTTATGTAATTTGCGCAAATTTTCCTAAGCAAAAAGGAAGATAAAGATACTGTTTGAGTCTTATATACAAGCACTGTAATATCAGTTTTTTATTCCTCGTTTCTTAGTTGTGTTTCTCTCAAAATCCATCATTATGTAAAAAGCTCTTATTCAGAAGGCTTACCTTCCATAGGTCTCAGGTTGATTTTTATCGAAAGGCATAAATTGATCTATGAGGTGCCCCTAATATTGATCCAACTATAGCGGCAGCGCTGTTTTGGCATCCTTTCATACCAGACTAAGGCATCACCTTTACGATAAGTTGAAGCGTTTCCGGCACTGTGAAACAAACGTCGATGCGCCTTTATGAGTTTTTCCAATGGGATTATAACGAATTAAAACGAATACAGATACGGAAACCTTCATAATTGTAAGCCATTACATCCCGTGGACGATTATGGAAGGATTGGCATTGTATGTTGGTGGGCGATTGCAAACTATAAACAACGAGCTTGGGTCTTTTGAGAGATAAAACCTTCCATCTGTTAGTCGTTTACTACATTGGGTTTCGATTGCTTAGAATTCAATGAGCAGGATAGACTGAAGGGAGTACTGGTGAAACATGTGAAACTCTAGATCATCAGTGGTTAGCAGGGTTGAACTTGCACGATAAAGCTGAAATAACTAAAGCTAAACTGGTTAGTATTATTAGACTAATTAGGCTAGTTAGACTCTTAAAAACACCGAGGTGGCTGAGAAAGGAATAATGCTATGCATGATATAAATAATCAAGTGTTCGTTTTAAGCGTGAGTTAGTGAGTAAAGTCGTGAGAAAGGTGCGAGGGAGTAAAATTGATCGAAAATATTGTTCAGGAAGTGATGATGAGCGAAAGTGTTCGAGTGTTCGAGTTTTTACTGTTTTACCGTTATAATGATAATATTAAATTATTCTGTGCAAAGTGTAGTAATTAATAACACCTAAATCAAATTCTACCTTCGAGAATAGCGTCAATAGAGTGATTGATAGTGTCTCTCCTAGCCTCCACGTCGGCATTAGGGAAGCGCTTAGCTACATGATCTCTTGCGGTGCGTTTCGTGACCTGCATGAGGGGAGTAGTAGCGAGGTACTGTCTGAGAGCGAGGACAATCTGTTCGTCCGAGGGGTCGGAGATGGGATTGGGAGCAACGCTCGCACCGAAGTCCGATGCAGCCTGCCCCGCGCCCGAGAACATAGAGGGAGGTCTGGAAGCAGCTGAATTGGAGTGTGGCGAGTTATCTTGATCTTGTGTATGTGCGTGCATCTGTGCGTGTGGCAGCAGCTGCGCCTCGCTAATACCGTACATTGACTGATAAGGATTCATACCCATTCCCATTCCCATGCCCATGCTCATGTGGCTCATGGTGGGGTTGTACGCCGACGCTGCTCCATACGGATTGTTCGGCATGTTCTGCATGTGCGGCATGTTCGGAGCGAGGTTGTTGGTAGCGAGGGAGTAAGTTGAGTATGGGCGCGGCATATCGCCGGCGTTGGTATAAGCAGGAGTGTTAGAACGGGCGTTCATCCCGTTCATCGCACTCATCGCACCCCCACCACCGCCCATATGCATACTTGCGTGTGGCGGTGGGAACTGGAAGTCACTAATAGTAGAAGCCATGCCGCGGCTGTCGGAAAAGGGGTTAGTGCCGCCTGTCTTAGTGTACAGCTCTGTTTCGTAGTCGGAGAATGTCTTGAGAGGGAGTTGCGACTCGTCGAAGGGTTCTTCGTCAGTAGCGACGATCTTGGTCGACCCTTTCTCACCGATCACAACGCGCGTCGTACCCCATCCGAAGTCGTCGAAATGCCAGAACGAGTACAGCGGCAGGTAGAAAGACCACAGGGGGTAGCTGAGCAGGTAGATGATCATCCAGCCTACATACTGCCACTCGCGCTTGAGGAGGAAGATGACGATTTGGAAGCCGTACGTGGCCTGAGGAGTGTTAGAAGTTGATCAGGTGTTAAAGTGAGAAGGTAATGCCATCATCACCTCCAACTATTCACTCACAGCTAACATGATTATCGTGATAATGGGGAACGGTCCTTGACCCAAAGCGACAATCGTGATCAGGTAGACGAGATAAACGACGGTTGCCGGCAATAGAATGGTCGAGATAAGATCAATGATGACGATAAAGCGCATACTGAAGCAAAGGAACCCGCAAATATCAGGAAGGTTAATGAGTTCAGTAAAGTTATGTACTGTCGAGTTGATCCACCGACGTCTCTGTGACATAAGGATAGACCAAGACTCAGGTGCTGCAGTGTGAGCAATAGCGTCCTGGGTGAATTTCATCTTGAATGCAGAGAAATACTTGAGCATGATAGTAGTCAAGTAACGATCTTCACCGAGTGAGAGCAAATTCTTTTTGTGCAAGGTATCCACGTTGTTCTCCGCATAGTCCTCTATCACACGCGTCGAGATGATCAGCGGCTTTCCTTTATCGTCAGTGCGAATGCGATACATAGAGAAACACCCTGGAAGACATGTGACAGTACTGAACAGACTTTCGAACGCCTTGGCTAGATGGTGGGAAATAAAGTACTCATACACCTGTATCATAGTCCACCAACTTTGCTCCTCGTTGTCCAACCTCGTCTCACCGCAAATCCCGATAATCGCGCTGTCGTCAACGCATCGTGCAACCAGTCGATTGACCGATTCTGGCGTGACGGATGTATCTGCGTCCACCATGAGTATGTATTCGTAGAAGCTCGGATCGATCCCGATGACGTTTTTCATTTGGTGCATCATCTCCAGCTCGAGTGGATACATAGGTGCGCTGAAGTGCACCCTGTTAAGATAGCGCATCACGAGAATCTGTGAATCACGCTTCCCTCTGTTGCCTGGTCTGGACCGCTCGGTAGGCTTACCGACCTTGACAACCACCATAAAGGGTACAACATGCCCCTCGTACTCATATAACCCCGAATACACCTTGCCGTAATTCATCTGCTTGCCGCCCTCGCCGAGAGACTTAAGCATCAGTGGCTCAGGGTCGATTTCAGGATCGACACCGAATATATCGAGAACTATGCGCGGTGTTGTTCTGTCGTTCCCACCACCAATAATGTTGCCGTCACACACTACGAGGATGAGTTTGCGCTTGTCGTCATACTCCAACCCGGCCAAGCTGTCGATCGTCTTCTTCAGCGAATCCTCACCTTCAGTGTAAGCGGGAACCTATGTATATGTTAGCAAAATGCACGGTGCATAACGCACAAACCACACGCACCTGACATATAACAAATTTGTCCTGTGGCTCCGGTTTGCGCTTGCTGCCGAGCTGGAGCGCCGCTAGGAACTTGACAAGGAGAATGCAACAGAGAAATACGGTGAAGGAGAGCAGGATGTAGTTCTGCGCCTGACATCTGGGCGTGTCTCTGAAATCAACGTCGCCGAGATAGTACCTGCGCTTAAGACACTGTTTGTGCTGATCGGCGCGCGTGTTGTCCATGCCGTCCAACACCTCGTTGAGCTCCTTCGTAATATCCTGCCCCGCTTTCTCCTTGAAAAGATCGGTGACGCTCTCGTCCATGAATTGCACAGCATCATTCGTCGAAGAGTAGTACTTGACGGTGGAGAGGTATGCACTTAGGTCGTAAACCCCGCCGTCATACATAGCCTTCTGCTTGTCACGCTTAAAGCCGTCCTCCTGTACGTCCTCCTTCTGAATCACAAACAAACCCTTGTACATGGGTTTCATCTTGGGAAGGAAGTTATCGGGGTACCAGGTGGACGACTGGAGTGCTGAGTCTTCATTGAGTTCGTACTCGGTTCCTGAGCTATGGTCGGCAGTTGGGACGGCAAGTAGTCTGCTTCCGGGATCGTAGTTGGGTATGTCACCATCCGTCAGACCCTCGCAAGCCCATTCGAGTGGTGGAGGGAAGTAATCAGTGAGGTCGCGCCCGCCGAGCTGCTTCATCTGTTCCGATGTAACAGGGCGTGACTCTATGTCCGAGTGTTTAGTCCTCCAGAAGTCGGAGATATCGTAGACTGAGGAGGGTTTGAGTTAGTTGAGCGAGTTTAGCTTAGTACCTTCTGCACCTACCTGAACCCTGGATACCAACCCAGAAGTCATCGTCTGACGCATGCGATCCTAGCTGGCCATCACTCCACGCCTTGTTATAATTAGGGCAGAGGACCTTCCCGAAGCCGATAATATAGAAGAGGACAGCGCCGCAAAAAAGTGCGATGAGCATACACAGAGTGAGTTTCTCGCGCCATGCAAAACGCACATCCGGACGCTTCATCCTGCCCACATGCGTTAGGAGGAGCGACGGGACGAACCAGGTAAACGCCCAGACGAGCTTTACCCAGAAGCGTCTCGAAGGGCTGCGCGGCGCTTTCTGGACGTCGTGTTGACGGTGTGCGACGAAGGAATCTGCGCCAGACTTGTCGCTCTTTTCGCTCATAGTCTCCCCTTTATCGCTTCCCCACTCATACTGCAGCCCGGGCGTCTGGGCGTCTGCGAACTCCTGCTTCGCGTACGACGGCGTGTGCTCGTCGACGGGCGCATAGCCGCTTTGGGGGAAGGGGTATGCGTAGCCGTCCGCATCGTGCGGAGTTTGAGGTGTGTTTGGAGTAACGGCCGCATTCATCGGGACAAAGTTAGTTGAAGCGCGCGTGTTGGAGTGGGAGTGAGGATCGACTGCCATTTCCTTGGGCGCTTCGCCAAAGCTATCACGCCCGTCCTCTTCCTCCTCCTCATAGTCGTAGTCATGCTCCCCTTCGCGTATTCCATCCTCGAGTATCTTCCACGCAGCGTAACTAAGCCACACGCACTCATTGCCCAGTGCATAATCGAGCCCTTCGCCGAAATCGTTCTCAGTGAGATACGTCTGTGCAGCCACTCTAGCGATGTCTGGATCATCCACCGCCTCGCCTGAAATATAGCGTGTGCAAAATGTTTCGAAGGGGTAGTGAGAAACGTAGTCGGAGCGCCTACGTTCAACAATGTCGCCCACTCGCAATCGCTCCAGCTGCCAGCGCAGTCTGCGCTTGTCGATGGCATTCGCTGAGCCACTGTCGTTCGGACGGAGTGAGAGAACACTCCACATCTGACATTTGTCAAAGGCATTCAGTATGCCGCCATACGTCGAATCGAGCTGGGTGGAGACGGGGTGTATGTCGTGGCTGCTGAGTTGGTGCTGAGTTGATTGCGATAGTCCTCCATCGACGGGATGGCTTATTGAAGACACTTCCCTCAATGGTGCAGTGGAGATTTGTGAGTCTGCTATTGTCTCCTCGTCAACTGGATGCATCTTGATGGAAATGGAGGGACCACTAAACAGTTTGCTGATGAATGAATTACTCGATGAGCGAAGAGTTGATACTATCATCGGATCCAACCTATCTTGATCGCGGTGGATGAACTCATGCACCTCGTAGCTAACACTTCCTCCCCAGTGATTAATGGTGAATTGTGAAGTGGGTGGGTTGCCATATCCTGGTGGATTGAATTCATATGCTTTATGAGAGTGGAAGTTATTGTTTAATGAGGCGATAAATGCATCGTCAGCTCTATTCTCAAGCAGCGCTCCACTCATAATCTGCCTTCCTGACTGGTTGAGGAGCCCTAAGACACCCAAAGGCTTCCCTGGAGGAGGATGAGAAGTGGGAAAAGTGGGAGAGCCACGTAACAAATGGAGAGCGTCGCTGGTAGTAGCATCATGGTACTTATCAAGAAATTGCAAACCATCGTTGATTTGGATACCATTGTAAGAATTGCTATCATCGAACACTCTTCTCATCAAATAAGCATTGACGAGTTCAGAAGAGTAGTTGATAGTGAAATCGTTGAAATTGCACGTTTGTGAGTTGATGAGTGGGTATGAATGTCTCGACATGATTGAATTTGTGGGTGATTTGCTGTTAAAACCAGGAATATCTAATTGAAGAATCTGCAAGGCACTTTTGTCATTAACGAGCTTGTGATTGCCAGATTCAATGATATAAGTGAATAAAATAGCATAAAGATCTTGGATGAGGTGATCGCGTTGGCGTACAGCACCGGCTGAGTCAAGGAGGTGGGTACTTATGTCTTTCTTTACATAGAAGCTTCTATTGACGAGTAAAACCTCGAGTTCATCTGGCTCAATGCCGAGTAAATGGGCCACAAGTTGAAGTTCATGGGTTGACAGAACGGTGGCAGAAGAGTCTCTCGATTCAGTATCGATGAATTCAATATTAGAAAGAGTTAGAATAGCGACAATCACGCTCCAAATAGAGTTTATATGTTTTTGCCTGAAACCCAGAGTAATGAAAGCATCATAGAGAGCGTTATAGCCAGCGTGGTCATCAGAGAAAGGGCCAAAGGGGAGTTTGAAGCAGCCACTGGAAGCTAACATAGCGTATGAGCTTGGATCTTGTAAGTCATAGAGTTCTTGGAGGTTGGGTGGAGCACCTGCGAGGAACTGATAGAAGACGTGGAACGAGCGCTCATCAGGAGCCAAATGACCAATTCTAGATTTGTCAAGGTTGAAAAGGAGGGATTTAGAGCCAATAAGTTTCGCAGCTTTAGAGAATTGTAGTTCGTGGAGAAGGGAATGCCTGGTGGCATTTGAAGAGAGGCTAGTCTTAGCATTACCGAACGAGCTGATGATAGTGTGGAGAGAATTAATCTTTTCAATCAGCTGATTAGATCCTAAAGAGTTATTGGATAGAAATAGAAGTTGATTGGTTATGAGCGATTTGTTGTATGATTTACCAGAACCAGCGAGACCACTTGAAGAGGAGTCAGAATACGCAACAACCAACAGCCAAAAACTACCACCCACTCATAAATAACAGCCTGGCTGACACCTTTGCGCTTCAAGGATAGTAAAACCCTGCTAGCCAAATCATAGGCGTGTGGCTGAAGAATAGAGTGGCTAGGGAGATAAGTGTTCTGCTTATACTCAATTTGAGATTGAGCGTTGTAAGATTGAAGCTGCTTCAAGGGATTTACAGATATCAGCGTAGATGATCCTAGCTTCGTGAAAGGGAGATCTACGCGAAATCTTGATTGGAGTAAAGCGTGTATATCGTCTAAATTGGGACACAAAACACCGCCATCACTATCCACCTTTATTAAAGAATTTAGATTTGTTATTTCTGACATGCCAGTCAGCCAGCTAGTCACCGTCACGATTCAAGAGTCGATTTACACCAAAATGAGCCAGACTTCCGAAGAATTTAAAGATTTTGAGGAAAACGACTTTGGAGATGATTTTGGAGATTTTGGAGACCAAGTTGACGTTGATTTGGAGTTGGATTTGCAATCACCCGAGTTACAAGTTATTCCAGAAAGACAAGTAGATTTTAATAGCCAGATTCTTACAACAAATAGTGCAAGAAGTATTTATACACAGCTACACACAACCCACCCACCAAATCCACTTGAATTCGTTTACTCGCTCACGCGTAGACAATACCTTCAAACATTGGGGAAACCTTTAAATTTGGATGAGATTGGTTTGAACAAGTTGCCACCATTACAATTATCAATAAACCCAAATGAGAAGATTTTACCAATTAAACCAATTGAGACACAGCCACAACTAGGTAAAGATCCAGATATTGATATTGAAGGTGTTTCAGATGAGATAGATAGAGTGGACTTGAATACACTTAACTTGGTTAATGTGGGTGTGCTGGTGAAGATGCGTGATAATCTACAAGCACATGAACACTCAATCAACGCACAACTCACTTACAACCTCGAGCACTTGGACAGCTTAAAGAACGACAATACAACATACAACACACTAATTTCAGACCTTATCAAAGAAACAAACGATAAACTCAACAAGAATACCTCAATGAGGTCAAAAATTCAACCAAAATCTATAAACTTGATGGAAAGAACGGGCAGTGCTGGATTATGGGGAGTGAATAAGCTCCCAAAGACGCCTCCAGAGAGAGTAAACAGTCCAGGTGAGACGCTTAGTGGAAATCGAGTTAATTGGTGAAGATAAACTTCTTTATTCATACACCACCATGTCGCTCTTCGGTGCCTCAAAAAAGCAGCCAGATGTGAATAAAATGAAGGATGAAATACAGCAAGCAAGCGCCTTAGCTAATGCTCAACAATTGATAAATAATATGAACAATCAATGTTACAGTAAATGTATACTGAAGCCATCCAATGCGTTATCCAGTGGTGAAGAAGGCTGTTTAAACAACTGTATGCAGAGGTATATGGAGGCATGTGAGTGGTGTGCATTGAAGCGATTTATATGCTAAACTTGCCTAGTCAACATCATTTCCACAACATATGTCCATAGAATGTCTAAAGAAAGGCATGAGCAGGGTGTATAATGAGAAATGAATGTGATTTTTACATAGGATTTTTAAAATCAAGTAGATTTATTCTTCAACCTGCCTAATAACTCGTGTTGTAGGGATAACTTCCTACTCTCCTCACCTCTGCCATTAAAGATACGCAAAAGGTTAAGAATATCTTTTGTTTTACCCAAGTAAACCTCAGCCAAGCTATTTCTAATACCCCTCTCATGCTCTTCAACGAGTTTGCCGATGTTTGCGATATGCGATGAGCTTGAAGGGATCGAGGAGTTAATTTCGCATTGTCTGGTGAGACTGCCGCTAAGATTAGAATCAGCATCGCTTAAAGACAATATAACACTCGTAGTCAACTTGTAATTGGATTCTCTACCGTGTGTACTGACTTGAACAACGTGTACGCTATCCCAGCAGCCGTCGTCTACCTCCTTCTTGATGAGAATAACGCCTGCAAAGTTAGCAGAACCATCCAAATCCCAAAGATAGACAGAAGATAAGCCACCTTCAAAGTACATGTCTCTGTATGTCTCAAAAGCTTGATTCAATCCTTGTTCGAGTTGACGGAGTTGCGGGGAAGGGAGACTGCCATCAGTAAGGCGAGGAAGGTATTGATTGGTATAAGGTGACCTATAGCTGTCACCGTCTCTGTTGTAATCGCAAATGAGGTATTGTCTGTTTGAGCTATCTACGCGTACTTCTAAAGGTTTATCCACGCAACCTAAAAACTCATCCTGTGTATCCAAATCATCGTTAAGTAACTTTGTCAAATCACCCAAATTACTTTCTATCTTCTGCGGAGGTAATCTTCTTAATAAATCCAATAAAGATTCTAGTTTAATTTCTGACCTTGAAGTTTTTTAATCAATTTGGTTTGTTATCTAAATACACAACTCACATGCCGTGGTAGTTGATCTTCAACCACCATCATATGTCATTCGACGCAATCGTCGTTGGTGCTGGTATCGCTGGTCCTCCTCTAGCTGCTGCGTTGGCTAGAGAGGGTAACAGTGTTTTGCTCGTTGAACGTGATTGGTCAGAGCCAGATAGAATTGTTGGTGAATTACTCCAGCCAGGTGGCGTTGTAGCTTTAGATAAACTCGGGTTTAAACAAGCTTTAGAGGGTATTGATAGCATCCCAGTACTCGGTTACTGCGTCATTTACAACAACCACCAAGTTCCAATCCCGTACCCAATTCCCCACCAAGGAAGATCATTTCATCATGGCAGATTTATACAGCAATTGAGAAGAATTTCAAAGTCACAGCAAGGTGTACAAACTCTACAAGCCACTGTTAAATCGCTTTCCATCAATAACGATGTTGTCACCGGTATTATCACTTCAGATTCACAATCATTCACTGCCCCGCTCACTTTCATCGCTGACGGCTGCTTCTCTAACCTCCGCAAATCCGCTTTAAAGAAGCTTAATCCTCCAAGAACCTGCTCCTGGTTCGTCGGTTTGATTCTCCACGACTGTCAACTCCCCATGCACCACCACGGCAATGTCATCCTCGGCGACGATCACGCATGCATTCTCCTCTACCAGATAGGCGAGAACGACGTGCGCATTCTGATGGATGTCCGCGGTGATCGTCCCTCCACTTCAAAGCTACCAGCACACATCCATTCCCATATCCTCCCATATCTCCCCAAATCCGTCCAGCAACCCCTCTTGAATGCTCTAGCTGACCCTGATCAACGCCTACGCATTATGCCTAACACTTACATGCGCCCCTCGGCCCAGCGCAGCCATACACGACGTGGTACTGTCCTTATGGGTGACGCACACAACCAACGCCACCCTTTAACTGGCGGTGGGATGACGTGTGCATTGACAGATGTGCACACTCTCTCTACCGAGCTACGTGGTGTTGATTTGAGGAATTGGGAAGACGTTCATAGGTGTCTCAGAAACTGGGATTCACAAAGACGCTCAACGGCTGGTACTGTGAACACTCTCAGTATGGCGCTTTACGATTTATTTAGCGGTGATAACGAGAATTTGAAGGTTTTGCGTCAGGGTTGCTTTGAGTACTTTTTGCAAGGCGGTGAGTGCGTCAATGGGCCAGTCGGACTGCTCAGCGCTGTCACTCCCCAACCACTACTCCTCTTCTACCACTTTTTCGCTGTAGCGTTTAAGAGTATCGTTGTGCTATACAAGCAGTCTACGCACAACTTGCTCTTCACCACCTACCGCGCCCTGCACGTCCTCCTCACTGCTTGTTACACCCTTCTACCTACCATGGTTATGGAGTTGGTGCCATTGGAACGTATCCTCAACCGTGGTGTCTTTATCGCAATCGTCGCACTCTTTGCACTCATTATAGCCATTTATACCCAGTATAGATAGATAGATTACAATCCACTACACTCAATCAAACTTGATGGAATTGCTGCCCATATATATCTCACCTCCCTTATAACTACCTCTCTTCTTCTTATTCTTCTCCTTCCTAAAACCTGCTCCCTTGGTTGGGGCAAGATCGGAAGCTGCCTTGTGACCGAAATCCTTGTCTGACAAACCAATACCCTCGAATGAATTATCTGCAAGTCTGTTATCGTGGAATTGAACATCTTCCGCAATAACCCTTCTGAAGCGATCGTTTTGACCTTTTCCTTGTGGCTTACTGGTGCTTGTCGTTGTTTGTGTGACTGCTTTGGATGTTGGTGTTGATGATTCTTTATTCTCTACGACCGTGTTATCGTCCACTTTTTGCTTCTTGACGGTGGTGTTTTTGTCAGTTTTTTCATCTTCACTTGAGTCTGAGGAGCTTGAAGAGCTTGATGAGTCGCTAGATGAGCTAGCTTTGCGTTTCTTAGTGGCAGATGATGGTACAGAGGGTGTTACAGCCACTACCTTGTCATTCTTTTTCTTGTCCGAATCCGAGTCTGAATCCGAGTCTGAGCTGCTGCTGCTACTACTACTACTACTTGAATCTTTCTTAGCTGCGGCTGTTTTAGCTTGCTTTTGTTCCTTTTTCTGCTCCTGCTCCTTCACAGGTGAGACCTTTTTAGCAGCTGGCTTTTTTTCATCCTCGCTGGATGAATCAGAGTCAGAATCAGAGTCAGAATCAGAATCACTGGCTGCTTTTTTAGCTGGTGCCGCCTGTGCCTTTGTCTGCGTCTGGGTCGTTGCAGCTGAGACATTCTTCGCAGCTGGTTTCTTCTCATCCTCGCTATCCGAGCTGTCTGAGGAGCTACTGCTACTGCTGCTACTGCTGCTGCTGCTTACTGGCTTTTTGGCTGGTGCAGCAGGTGCCTGTGTCTTTGCAGGTGAAGACTTGATAGCAGCAGGTTTCTTCACTTTCTCGTCTTCACTGGAGCTGTCGCTGGAGCTATCACTGTCACTGTCACTGTCACTGCCTTCGCCTTGCTCAGCTTCCTTCCTCGCCTGATCGAGTTTAGCAGCAACGGCCTCTACAATCAGGTTGCCCTTGGGATCATCCCTGCTGCTAGCCAGTTTAGCCTCATCGAGCTCCACCTCGCTACTACCTTGGACCTCCTTCAAGAGCCTTGCTGCAGTTTTATCGAGTTTGTTCGCGAGTAAAAATGCATGTACGAGGAGTACGGTGGCTGTGAGTGGGTGTGTCAATGGCTTAAAACTACTCAAATACCCATTCCCCACATGAAATTTCCTTGTTGGCCATTTTTCACGAGAAACTTGATCGTCGTTAGCGTCTTCTCCGCTACGGCCATCGACCACGCGGTTAAATTTGAGCGATAAAATTAATGAGTCAAGCCTCGTCCAATTGGCTGAACCTTAAGAAGAAACTGCCTAAGCCTGTCGCTAGTGAGAACCACCACCCAAAACGTAAACGCAGTGGGAGTATTAGTAGTAGTAGCAATACAGAGAAGAAGACGAGAATGTCGAATTACGATAACGATGCACACGATACACAGGATATACAAACTACACACACCACTCTCGCTAAACCTACGCCATCCATCCTCCCCACCCAAGTCTCCGGGATTAAGGCAGAAATAGGCAAATATCTAGCAATGGATTGTGAAATGGTTGGCGTGGGTAGAGACGGTGAAGAGAGCGTTCTCGCACGCGTCTCCATCGTCAACTACCACGGTGCTGTCATCTACGACACCTTTGTCCGTCCAGTGGAGAAAGTGACTGATTTTCGTACCTGGGTTAGTGGTGTGACATTCAAAGACGTTGAGAAAGCACCCACCTTCTCCCACGTACAAAAACACGTCTCAGATTTACTCCACAATCGTATTCTCGTCGGTCACGCGATCGCTAACGACCTTAAAGCCCTCCTTCTCACTCACCCTCCCCTGTCTATACGTGACACTGCTAAATACGAGCAGCTCCACTCTATAGCTAAAACTAAAAGACCGAAATTGAAAGCACTGGCTAAGTTGGTATTGGGTATTGACATTCAGGAGAACGAACACAGCTCTGTGATAGATGCACAGGCTACGATGGAAGTTTACAAGCGATACCAGTCCCTCTGGGAGGCTACTCTTGCTCGACAAGCTAAGATATTCCAGGCCAAGAAGGGCGGCAAGAAGGGTTCAAGTGGCAAGAAAAGCAACAATGGCGGCAAGAAGAAAAATACTGTGGATGTCAACTCTAGCAGCACACCCACACCTGCCTCAGCTGGCGACTGGTGGAATCAGTCTGCCATGACCACAGCGTGATCATGTATACCAACCACCCATCAATAGAACTACACAATTCACACTCACTTGTTGTACTAATGCAATCATATTTATTCATTTTCTCCGAGCCATCCGCTGACTTTTCCTATGTTCGCGTCGTGCTCGTTCCACTCTCGCGCCATCCGAGTTCTCGAACGCCTTACTGCCCATGCCCCACGCTCCCGACGCCATCCCGTGATCATCTCTCACGCCCCAGACGTGATTATCCGAGAAGACTGGTGCATTTCTGCGCTGAGACATGCCAGCGGGATTGCTGTATTCGTCGCTGAAATCGCAATGTGCTGGGTGTGCCATTGTGCTACTAGTCTGCCCCACATTCGCCACACTCCGCGTAACATTAACACTCCTCTCCCACACTCTACTCGACGCGGGCAAGCTGATCCACCGATTGGGGTGTTGAGTGAGGTAGCTGTGTGAGCGCATCTCACTCAATCTCGAAACAGCCCGTCTGTAAGCGAATTTCTCATCCTCGCCCGAGAGTATACCCAAACCGTCGAGCTGCGTGGTGGTCTGGGTAAATTTAGGCAAAAGATCACTCACGGTGCCAGCACTAGCGACATGTGGGGCTGACTGCGCTTCTATACCTTCAGAAACACTCTCGTACGCTAACGAGTCGCGTGCGTCTGCGTGCTTGTTATTCGTCGACGGGGGAAAGAAGAGCGACGTAATGTCATCTTCTGCCCATCCCACTAACCTGCATTTTGCCTCGTAGAGAGCGTCTATGAGGGTAATGAACCGTCTCGCCTGGTTTTTTTGTGCAAGATGTAAAACAGGTATATCATCGACGATAAGCGTGTGAAACGCACACGACAGCGCTAAGTAATCGGCGGGTCCAAGTGGCTGTTGTGTTGTTGTCTCGTTAGATAGGGGGAGTACCGACACCTAACACCCACTCACACTATCGCACAGCTCTCCAAATGTGAATCTCGCTACTCGGTCAGCCGCGCGAGAAACGACAAGCTCGCGTCCGTACACAACTAGCCGAGTGGCGTGCACGGGTGACGGCATCACCGCGCCTGCGACGCGTTCAAACTCCACGCGGTTCGAGTCTCCGACAAACCACGTCGCAATACCGCTCTCCTTGGTCGTCCTGTAGTCCACTCCACTATCGACCTCCAGTCCGTCGCAGCGCCGCTCGAGCGCATAGAGAAAATCTGTCATCCCTCCACTCCCCACGCTACCCTTCCCGTAGAGTTGCGAAGGCGGTTTGTTGGTTGTCGATAGCAACACACCGCCGAAACGGAGAAACCAGCTGAGCGTGTCGCGCAGAAGCACCGCGGAGGCTATATCGACCATCTGGAGCTCATCTAGGTAGAGAATGTGGCCGTGGTGGAGAAACAGTCTGCGAGCGACGGCGAAAGCGATGGACGTGTGCATCATGAGTGCATTTTCCGCCTCTTGGGTGGTGGCAGTAGCGTGTGCAGCCTGTCCATCGCGCTCGCCCTTCAACGTAGCCCCCTGTTGTCGTCTGAGAGACTCCTCCCAGCTGATCCTAAAAACAAGGGCCATGAAGCTGTGGTAATGCATGCGGGATTTGCGAGGAGTGGGCAAGCTGCCAAACCAGATATCGAGGAGAAGGGACTTTCCGCTGCCTGGATCGCCATAGAGGAGGATTCCCTTGGGTGTCTGCAGCTCCTCGAGGGCCTCGGAGTTGGTGAGAGAGCGGACAAGCGCAGTCTGTTTCTGCTGCTGTAGGTGCTCAGCATCCTCAACCTCGTTACCCGCGCGCCCTTTCACCGCCCTCCGCAACGCCGCTCTCCAGCTGTACCCGGAGTGGTCGCGGATTACTGCCGCGATCGGCGACAGACTGCTGAGAAGCTCCAGCGGCGGCGTGTAGCTGGCTAGCTCCCGATGATGCTCTTTCAGCCGCGTAAGCGTCGCTAGCTGAGACTGATCGGGCTGTATTTCTCCGAGCGCTACCTGCGTGGCTGCGTAAGCTGAGTGCTGCAGCCATGCGACAACGCACTAGCCAACCTTGGATCTCCACAGCTCAACTGGATTCGTGTGCACTATCTGCCATCTTGCGACGGGGGAATATCTCATCGTCGGTGGCAATCAAGGATGACGCAATGAAGAAATTTTCATTCTAAACAAATTCGTACCCAGCAACCCTCCCAAAGCCATAGCCTCTTTCACGCCCGGGACTCCTGCTCCTGCTGTAGTCGACGCGCTGTTCACCCGCTGCGACGGACGGGAACGACGAGAAGAGATCTGGGTGTTTAGGCAGGGGCGATTCGCTGTGAGATTGGTGAGCCTGGCGAGCCACGTATCAACAGTCACTCCCGACCCACCTGAAATAAGGATGCTCGAGTGCGTCGGCACACGATATCCGTTTCTTGGGGTCGTATGCGAGCAATCTTGACATCAAATCTAATCCCTTATCTGACAGTATCTTGTAATGCTGTCTCAATGAGCTGTATAGTGGGAATTGCGACGTGTTTATCGACTTGGCGTGGGGCAGCTTATTGAATCCCCTCCAAATATCCTCACTGGGCTGTCCTAGCAGTGAGAATATCAATTTGATCTGCTCGAGTTCACTGCGACCACCGAACAATGGCTCGCTTGTGATGAGTTCCCCGAAAATACAGCCAATGCTCCACACATCCACGGCCGTTGTGTATCTTTTCTCCCCGAGGAGAATCTCCGGTGCTCTATACCACAGCGTCACAACCAGCTGCGTCATTTCATCGACTGGCTCAGCGTAGCGTCTAGCCATACCAAAATCAGCCACCTTGATCTGGCCTCGGTTGTTTATCAACAGATTACTCGCCTTGAGATCGCGGTGGAGTATCCAATTGGAGTGCGCGTGCGCTGTCGCCTCGAGCAGCTGCCTCAGCAGTGTCTTGACCTCGGAAATCAAGAAAGGCTCGGGCATCGTCTGCATTAGAGTCTTTAGATCGTGCTCTACAAAGTCCATTACTATGTATATCTGATTGAGTGTGTCGCCTACGACTATTTCCCGCACATTTACGATATGCGGGTGCTGACAGATTAACAAAGAGTGTATCTCACGTAATGATGTTATAGGAAATCCGTACTTTTCCTCCTCCAATTTCAGCCTCTTTAGCGCCACAACCTCACCGGTATTCTTACATCGCGCTCTGAATACGATTCCATATGTGCCTTCTTCAATGTGGTTTAGCCGCTCGTAGTTGTTCACTGATCGGCACGATTTCAGCGGTGGATGCTCGCTGCGTGGTGGGACCGTCTTGGCTTGTGTGTGAGTCCGTGTATCCATGTCCTGGTGGTTGTTGGTCGTTGGTGGTGGATGGAGAATAACAATCACCAACGCCCCAATGAACTCAACGCTCCGCTGCTTCACCAAGCGCTCACCCGCGTATCCTGGACACTATCCAATCGGTAAATTAGAAAACCTGTTTCTCGCTGCAGGCAGTGCTGTGGTATCCCTCGTAGACGTATACAGACATGGTGAGTGCGGTTATTATAATGTACACCACGCACTACTCACAACTCTCCAGACATGCTAGCCACTCTTACAGAAACTTCCACTCCAACTCCCCTTCTCCAGCAGATGCGCGGTGGCATGCTAGCCACAGACACTGGCAGGCGCATTCTAGCTGAACGTCCGCGGATTTCAACGAAAAGCGTCGATTTGAATGCCCTTAAAGGTATGTCTAGAGGTACTCTAGGTAAGGAATACTCGTTGTGGCTCGAACGCTGTGGCGTTACTCCCGATACTCGCGATCCCGTGCATTACATCAACGACGAAGAGCTCGCTTACATCGTACAACGCTATAGAGAGAGTCATGATCTATACCACCTTCTCCTCGGTCAGAGAGTCGATATCCTCTCAGAACTTATCATCAAATGGTTCGAATTCTCTCATTTTAATCTACCTGTCGCCGGTCTTTCTAGCGCTTTCGGTCCTCTTAGACTGAGGCATGGCTGGCAGAGACAGAACCTTTTCACTCACTCAGGTCCTTGGGCTATTAGACAGGGTATCAGGTGCGGCCCGTTGATGGGCATATATTGGGAAAATGAATGGGAAAGTGACCTCGGAGATCTCAGAAGGCGTATGAACCTCACAGACGTGCCCGATTGGAGAGATGGCAAAGGTCCTCAGGGTAAAGGAAAGGCAGGTATTGGAAGTGGTTTGGAGATTGGCGCGGGTGACGTATAGTTTCTGTCATTGATATGTATTTCTCATTTGCAGCTTTTTCTTAGACCTTGTTGTACTGTTTGCTTTGATGTCTTGGTCTTTGTTCAGTCATATCTTGTATCGACCGAGCGAGTGACAAAATACATATCAAATAAGCCTCATACTGAATAAATTTCCTAAGAATCTTTATTGACTTATCAATTTGCATAGCTAATCGCAAATGCTTCTCTAAACCCAATTTACCTACATTTATCGACATAATACGTAAGGTCTTGTTCCATAAATTAGTGTCACTTCTGCTTTTACGTTTCTTCTTTGATTTTCTTTCATCTCGTGGTCAGAGAGATATTTCACTTCCAGTCTCTATAATGCTCCTTAAAGCCATACGTATCTCACACGAAGCCAGAAATGCTTTTGCAACTACTGAGTATAAATGTTAGGGACACATCTTCAACGTCTCTTACTCAATACGTCTGTTATCATACTGTCCACCTCCAATGAAATGAATCTGAGACTGCTTATGAAATGAGAGCAAATAAAGGCACACATACGATATTCGGTTTGCAAATAGACATATACTTTGAGCTGCACCCATAGGTAGATTACAGTGGATTACTCTCAAGTACATTTCTTCGTGGCCACGCTTTGATGTGGTTCGATTGCTTCCCACTCTCAGAATCAAGACAGAAGAAATATTGGCTGACTATGCGTCACCATATTTTGAAAAAGATATACAAAATTTCTTATATAAAGGTGGATATACCTCAGAAATAGCGTGGTACAAGGAATTATTAGAGAAGGTGTTTGATTTTAATAATTGATGAAAAGAGGTAGCCGAAGTGTCTTTATATAAATGTTTTGCTATTCATTCCAAAGTCGGCGATGAGAAGGCGAGCGAGATGTTAAACGCGGCTAGATACCAAACGCGGCAATAACAGCAACAGTCAAGATCTTTAAAATGAAACCATCAAATGTGCTAACAACGATACTCATAGTAATACTGCGACTGGATAGCATTGGAAACAATCTAACTGTGGGTGAGATAACTTCCGGAGAGGTGATAGGGGAGGTGCTGGAGTGAGTGCTGGGTTATTTACTAGAGAGAATCATAGAACAGTGGATAAACATCTGAATAAATTACATCAATTATAAAAACCTCTATACAAAGAAAGGATAAATAGCCATCTAAATAGCCATAGCCATAGGTTCATCCTGCATCATACCTGGAGCTCTTTCAGTAGATTTGTGTATTTCTCTTCTGATTTCAGGTGAAATTTGTGGATGTACGTTAATTTTGACGACATCGAGCAGCTGTGAGGGTTTTGTGAGTGAGTGAATAGATGAAGAAAATACCAAAACTCACGGCATCTTTCTGCTCTGGTGTTAGATCACTTGAGTAACGCTGTGTAAAAACTAGCAACGACTGATGCCACAAAACGGGCATCTTTTCATTAGATTTAGCGAAGCGCATGAAGTGATAGACTAAACCGTCTAAAACTTTGTAAGGGAGGGCATATTTTTTATCCAACAATACTCTAATGAATAGAGAAGTAGGACCGGTGTAATCCATTTCAGCTAAGTGCAGTAAAGCAGCAGCTGAATGTAAAACAGGGATAGAAGTTTTACTAAGAACACTCGCGAAGATGGCCGCTTCTTTGAGAGTGCATTGAGATTCTAACAGAGGGAAAAGAATACCTTTGAAGAAAGCAGCAGGTTTGTAGAGGGACTTTCTGAGAGCGTCGTAGAGGTGTACATCCATATTTTTAGTGTTTGGATCGTTGAGGTTGTCTCTACATCTATCTAATAAGACGTGTTGATAGAAGAGTCTAGATTGATTAGCTTTGAGGTTACTAGCGAACAATCTTGTTGCAGCGTATGTAGCATGTGGGGACCAAGATTCGGGGCCAGTTATTTGAAGGATAGCGATCCAATTTGGGAGGGAAGGGATAATTTTGAAGGCTTTGGGGAGTGGACCAGACTTGTAGCGTGAGAGAAGTTGACCAACTTTAGTGTAAACTTGAGTTACTTTGTCGGATAAAGTATTTTCTGGGGGAGGTTGAGATGGCTGGGATTGAGCATTTATCTTATCGAGAATGAGATCAGCGAGGGTTCTACGATTTGAGGTGTTTTGAGGCATGAAAGTATTCATAGCTTGCTCATCTTCTGGATTTATATCGAGTTGTTTGAAGGTTGTGTTGGTATCTACAGTATCCGTATCATTTGTAGGCTCTTCCACAACCTCATCTTTTTCAACATCATCGCCTTTAAGCTTAAAATTATCCTCATCAAGCTCATCATCATCTGATAAAGAATTTAAGAGATGTTGCCTGTCAAGATCTTGCTGTTGTTGCCTAGCTAAGGATAGAATTTTAGATGAAGTTTTTGGGTCGATTACTGAGGATTCTTGTGATTCAAAATCATTATCGTCTACTTTATTATTTGAATGTTTATTTGATAATTTACCAAATTTAAGAATATCATCATCTTGTTGTAATTGCTTGTGGAGTGGCTGTTGTTGTAGCTGCTGTTGCTGTTGCTGCTTAATAGATTTTGATTGTTTAATTTTACCCATTTTGATTTGGTTGTTGGACGTCTGCTTTCAACTTGAACCACTTCCAACTCGGTGAAAAATGGCAGATCATAGGGAAGCAGTTTTAAATTCGAAGGAGTACATTGAGCCTTCTCCAATGCCTAAAGATGTTCCACACGTAGATGAACTTGGTGCAACTTCAGCTCCATTGAAATCTGCTTCTTTCTTCATTGGTGATAGGTGTAAGGAGTTTAATGATGACTTTATGCTGTGTAAGCAGGGATCCGCAAACCCAGGTGATTGCCTTAAAGAAGGTAGAAAAGTAACTAGATGTGCATCATCTGTGTGAGTATACATCGATCCGTGCCATGAAATTGATGAATCTAATTGGTCAATTTTTAGCATCAACGATATCAACAAACATTGCTTTAATCAATTCAAGTCTCACTTTGATTGCTTAGAGTTTAATAACCAGGTTTGTTGTGGTTTATCTAGTAATATCCTTTACTTACAATTCCTAGTACTTGTTCCCTTGCAGAAATCAAGAACGTAGCCTCAATGAATGCGTAGCTGCTTCCCTCAATCTCCACAAGAATATCCCTGGTTCCCCTGAAAATCAACCTCAAATACACGAAAAAACTGACCCTATTCATAAGCGCATACAACATTAATATGTGTTTTTACTTGAAAATATATGTTTCTATCTATTTCTGTGGTCGGGGGTGCGTCTCTGGCTAAAGCTGTGTTTGTAGTTGTCTCTACTATCTCTGTAGCTATCTCTATAGCCCTCTCTATGACTATCTCTGTGTCTATCTCGATAACTACCTCTATAATCACCTCTGCTACTCTCCGGACTAAGACTTCTCCTTGTATTACCTTTTCTCCTTCTATCCACATCTTGCAAATCAAATACCATATCAGTGTTTCTGTTTCTTCTTCCATGTCCACTTGAGCTTACATCTACGCCAACTTTCTCACTTCGTCCTTTTTTTCCTTGACCACCAACCCACGCACCATGTAACTTACTCACACTCTGACTGAAATCGACAAAGATACGCCTATCATCTACCAAGACATTTTGCATTTTGAAATAAGCCATTTCAGCAGCTTCCCTTTTATCAAATTCTATGAAAGCGTAACAGAGACTGCTACCGTCATTCTTATCTCTAATAACTTCGCAACTGAGGATAGTACCGAATCTACTAAAGATTAATTCCAAATCTTCGTCTCTAGTAACAGGGTTGAGTTTGCAAACGAAAAGGATATTCTCAGGTGGTCTTATCTCAGCGAAAGGGAGATCACCGACCATTTCCAAAGTAAGTGCTGAAGCTGAAGCAGCGTGATCACGTCGCCGGGTTTCCTTTGTATCTTCATCTTCTTCTTCAATGTTTTCTTCAGATCCAATTCTAACCAAACCATTTGAGACATCTGGTGGAGTTGTGGGAGGGTTTTCAGGGATGATCAGACCTTTTGGATCATCGAAGGGGTCTTCAAGGATGACAACATGACGTATACGTACATCCTGATAAGGTCTGCCAGAACCATCAACGTAAACCTGATTCAGCTTATCTAAGGTATCAAAACCTTCAACGACGCGACCAAAAGGGGTATGACGGTTGTCTAGGTAGTCGATGTTATCAGCGAGTGTGATAAAGAATTGACTTGCACAGCCAGTAAGGCCATTAGAGTCTTTAGTAACAGCCATTGAAACAGTACCTCTAGCGTTGTGCTTCAAAGAAGGTTTAAACTCCGGTTTAAAGAGCTCGAGACGGTTGTTTATAAAGCCATGAATGGAATTACCGCCTTTTCCAGTAGCTAGTGGATCACCAACTTGAGCTAAGAAGTTGTGGGAGACTGGAGGGGAGTATGAGAGCGAGATTTGAAGGAGGATAACGACGCACCATTGAAGAAAGCGTTTAGATTGTAAAAATACACTTTACATAGTTTAAGAAAGTTGCGCGTAGTAATTGGACATTCATTAGTGTAGAGATCAATCTGGGGTATATTGCGGGTTAAGAAATGAAAATATAAATATAAATAATCTCACAACGATATCTCCAAGGCTCGTTTCGATTAAGACTGCAGCGCCTGGTTCTTCCATGACGTGATGCTAGATGGTGGAGGAGGAATGAGAAGTATTTTAAATATTAAAATAATTATTAGATTTATTTAAATCGTAATTATCATTCTTTTTGCTTCTTGTTCACATGCTATCATCTTCTCGGCCCGGGCAGCTCAATCAGAACCTGCGAGACCCAGTGCAGCCTCAAGACTACCAACAAAATACCAGGCTACAACCCTCTGACGATGTTAATGAAGGTCGCGCCCGTCGCACATCCCACAACAAAGTGGGTGAGCACGCAAGACGGGTAATCAAACACAAAAATAAGCAGAAATACGACGATGACCCAGATCGGGATTACATAAAGAAAGGTCTCGATCAGCTTGATTACCAGGATCTTAATGACGATGACTTGAATTACTCGCAACCACAGAGTAACGAAGAGGTGGAATCACTCGACCAGCTAAAGGCTGATACTGAGGAACGATTAGAGTGGCAGTCTATGCTGGCTTCCGTTATCCAAGGCGAGGTTCTTAAGTCGGAGAAGTCACGCATGATTGGTAACCTCACAAAAAACGAGAATGAGAATAAAGCCAACTACCAGTACCAGCTTTGGCTTGGTATACGCGCTAAACTCAAAGGCAAATCCGTCGACGATGAGCTCACAAATTTGGAGGAATGTCGTGAGGCTGTTGACGACATTCTGTATCAGGTTGTCTCATTCAAAGCTGCTGCAATCGATGACGATCAATCGAAAGAAGAAAAACAGAAAAACAATAGCGAATCTTACATTACCCCTTCTATCATCCCACACAGCCTTCTCACCCCTACAACAAAATCTGCAATCACTCAAATCGAAAATCTCCTCAATCAGATCGATTTCGTTGAATCTCTCTACCCCAACACTAAAACCTTAGAAGAGGCAAAACCCTCTTATGCTTCAAAAGACTTTAAAGACAAACTAAACGCCCTCTGCTCTTACGTGACTGTCGTCAAGACGCTCCGTGCTACTATACAAACCCTGCGCGATTGGACTGGCTCAATGAACCTCGACGTCACCCACACAACTGAAGGTGATACTCCTCTCTCAATGCCTCCCTTGATTTCCAACACCTCTCAAGAGAGTGTCGAAAGATCCATACGTACCGAAGACTCATTTAAGCAGAACGTAGAAAAAAGGCGCAGACAAACCGAGCCTATGACTTTTATCGAGAAGCTCCTAAAGGAGGAGTCTTTCGACACGCTATTCGAAAGACGCACCATCATCTCCCTCACTATTGTCCTTGATAGGGCAAAAGAGCTGCATATTAACTGGCGACACATCTTTGAAGGATTCAATTTGCCTGCCTTTGATAACGAGCTGGTTATTCTCACTCGCTTCCCCTCCAAGCTCATGCAGGAAGCTCTCAAAGTGCGCCTCGAGTACTCTGCTAAAGTCAGTGATCCGACGGGGTTAGTCATTGACCAACTCCTTGATGATTTTAGATCTGCTCTTTCACAGGCGGTTTACATCAAACGCAAATACAACGAGTATAACACACGCATTGTCGATGAATCCAATGGCATGGTTAGGTGGGAGTTACCTAGTGAAGAATTTTCCCAATACGACTCGGTCCTACTCAAGACTGTCCAGCAATTCTTCAAACTCATACTCACTAAACTCAAGAGTGGAAGCAAGGCGCTCTACTTCAAAGAAACGGATATTCTTGAAGACCAGTGGAATTTCCTGTTAGATATTGTGGAAAACATCGAAGGCGCAGACATTGTGGTTGCTGAAAAATTCTGCTCTCTCACCAACCGTCTGATGAAGCGTATTGCAAATTACTTTGAGACCCAGCTCAAGTCTATCGATGTCACTACGATGGAGCACAATGAGACTCTATTCTGGTACAGCACAATACTGGAAAATGTTAGATTGAGATATAGAAAGCTGCACAGATTTAGCAAGTGAGTGAGGTACCTGCGGTATGCCCTTACTAACACACCCTTACCAGACGACTAGCACTGCGTTTTGACAACTCAGCAGAATACAATCTCGAAGATTTTGACCTAAATGTCTTTGTCGAGACGCTCGTATCTACGAACCACTTTCTCGTCTACTCTGAATACCTAGCCAGCAAGAGTATCTACGTTATCGCCGACAGCCAGCTTGCCGATCGATCTGACCTGATCTTCAATCTTCTTACGCGCGCCTTCCTCTACCAGGACAAACAAGCACAGGCGGATATATTCAACGAACCCGAGGCGCGCTACTTGCTAATAATATCACCGCGCAGCCCTTTCTTCTGGAATGGACCAATCATGGAGATAGATTTGGGTATTGTAGATGTTGAGCTCCGCGATAGTCGTATCAGACTAATAGCCGACGGGCCAACGAACCATCTGCGTAGAGCCAAGGAGAAATTTGTATCTATTTGGATGGGCGGAAGTGAGGAGGATGTCAACAACGACATCATCACTCAGCCTCCTCCATCCTTCCCATTCAAGGTGATGGCGCAGGAGCAAGTTGGCTTGCCAAAGGTAGACAGGGAGCTGCGCAAGATATCACTTGCAGCGTACAGGCTCACTCTGGCTATAGGCACGTCACCGATACTTCTACGCAAGAAGCTCTACGGTATTCCCAACAGACAAGAGACGCTGTCGAATTGGTACTCATTCGCAGCCGAGCACGGCCAACATGCCCTCAAGTACATGGAATCACCCGCATCTGAGAATTTCAACAAGGTTCTTATGAAACTCGCTATTGACTGGCTCGCATTCATTTGCGAGGATTGTATACCGACTGACCGCAAGACATTCAGGTGGGCGGTTAATGCACTCGAGACGTCGATGTCTATTTCGCAAAATGGCAACATACTCGAACTGAAGTCGGTTGATTTTGAAAACCTCCGCGAGAAAGTGGCAATGTGCATGACGCTTCTTGTTTCCCATTTCGATATTATGGGCGCACGTTCTTCCTACGAGGCTAAGAAGGAGAGAGAGGCCAAAGACGAAGCTAGGCGGATGCGCATGCTCTCTTCGCTCAATTTCGATGAGAAAAACGGTCGTTATGGTCAGTTCCTCAGCGACGCAGGCTGGTATAAATCTTTCGACGGAACTACAAATTCAGTGAGGTACTTCATGGAGGAGTCCATGCGCGGTATCTATGCGATTGAGAATAAGAGACGCATTCTTGAAAAAGATCAGCGTCTAGTCGGTCGCGTACTCGACACTGAGAAGCTCGGTGATAGATCGCTCGTCTTGCTCGCCAACGCCGCCTCAAATATCTCTATCCGCTGGCAGCAAGGTAAGCTCATCGGCGCTGGTACATTCGGCAGTGTCTACTTAGCCGTTAACCTCGACAATGGCGGTATCATGGCTGTCAAAGAGATACGCTTCATCGACGTCAATGATCCTGGTGTCCTCTATAAGCAGATCCACGACGAGATGAAAGTGATGGAGATGCTCTCACATCCTAACATAGTAGAGTATTATGGTATAGAAGTGCATAAAGAGAAGGTATACATATTCGAAGAATTCTGCCAGGGCGGATCGTTAGCTGGATTGCTTGAGCATGGCAGAGTGGAAGATGAGAGTGTTGTGCGAGTATACGCGTACCAGATACTTGAAGGACTGCAATACCTCCACTCAAACAGTGTCGTCCATCGTGATATCAAGCCTGATAGTGGGTTGTAATATTACTGTCGGAAATCATCTAACACATTTACACAGACATACTGCTCAACGACATAGGTATTCTCAAAATGGTTGACTTCGGTGCAGCTAAGGTATTGCAGAGGAACAAGACGATCGCAAAAACTCGTATGAATGGCGGCAACAAGGAGGGTCCAGGCGGATCACTTGCCGGTACTCCTATGTACATGTCTCCAGAAGTCATCAAAGGTGAAGGTGATAAGGCGGGAGTGTTTGGTGCGATGGATGTGTGGTCATTCGGGTGTGTGTTGCTCGAATTATGTACTGGACGTAAGCCATGGCATGGTCTCGATAACGAGTGGGCTATTATGGTGAGTGGAGATATTTCATGTCTGGATGTACACCCTGCTAACTACCGAATTAGTTCCATATCGGTGTCTCTGGCCAACCACCTCAACTGCCTTCTACGAATGAACTTAGCGAACTTGGTATAGACTTCATCAAGCAGTGCCTCATCATTGATCCGAAGAAGCGTCCTACTGTGGATGAACTACTCGATCACCCTTGGATTGAGAAGTTCAGAGAGGAAATTGAGTTGGAGTATGAGGATGAGATTGTACACCGCTCTTCGCACAAGGGGGATAATGACAAGGGCAATAATTCTGATGCAATGGCATCTGTAGGAAATTCAATTGACGGTTCACACGCCCTCGGCACTCCCTCATTCGAGTGAGTAGTAGTGATGGCAACTTTTACTACTTGTTGTTATTAGTTTTTTTTTTTCTTTTTTTGTTGTAATTTGCCGATTAATACTTTTGTCTGTATATAAGCAGTTGTTTCTTTGCAAGCTTTATTGCGCGAGCAATTGTATTATGTACGCATAATCTATTGAACGAATGTATGTCTTCTATTAAAGGAGGTAATAATTTTACAAAAATGTACAAAAATCCATGAAAGCTGAAAAGTAGCAAGTGAGTAAGTGAGGCAAAGAAAAAGATATAGCATGTCTTAAACATCATTAAAGCTAGGAGCGTTTGCAATGATCCCGAACAAGCATCCAGACACGATACCAGCGAGGGGGAGGGTGATACACCAACCATAGAAGAAGAAAGCAAGTGCTTTCCAATTAGTTGTTCTCCAACTACCTGAGCAGCAGCTGACACCGATAGTGGCACCCGTGATACTTTGTGTAGAAGAGACGGGAATACCGAATTGTGAGGCGAGAATGACAGTGATAGATGCACCCAACTCCATGGAAAAGCCCCTGGATGGTGAATGCAATGTGAGTCGGTTACCGAGGACGCTCATCAATTTCCATCCATATGTGGCCAGTCCGATGACAATACCTATACCACCATAAGCTATTACCCACACCGGCACCTCAGCTTCTGAACCGCTGTACTGACTAGTTTTCCAGCATTGGTAGACAGCTGCTAGTGGTGCGATTGAGTTGGAGACGTCGTTGCTACCGTGTGAGAAACTAGCGACACATGCAGACATGACTTGCATAAATGAGAACATATGTTCTGTGTTGTTGTCGTATTGCGTTGCATTTGCGTGCATGTCTCTGATCTTTTTTTGCGTCTTCTCTGAGCCAGATTTTTGCATTTCGTGGATGTTAGTCCTGAGACCACCAAAGAGGTAGTAATTGGCAGCAGGGAGAAGATTGTAACGCAACATGATCCAGATATTCCATGGCTCGATCCACGCACCTTCGATTGGATGGTAGTAAGGTTTTGGTGGTCTGCCCGTGAAGTCTGTTGATCTGCATTCCTTTTCAACTTCTTCTGCAAGTTGTGAGGGATGCCTGTTCGATTCACCGCTATTTCTCCTGATGGGATCAGACTTGTGTGACATACTTTCCTCCGCGCCATCGGCAGCCTCAACATCTTCACCGCGTCTATTTCCTTTATCAAGGTGAGCCCAGTCTTCGTCGTGATGGCCCTTGTAGTAGTCAGGTACGGCAAGGGTGTTCTCGGTCGCGTCGGCTGGCGGTTGTCTGAACCATAAAGCCGGACCGAGGAAGATATGCCAGATCTTGATGGTGTAGTCCTTCTTCACGACTTGGCAGTGCACGTATGGGAGGAAAAACAGAATGGAAAGGAGAGAAACACCGCCACCTGCGCCGAGGATGCTGCCTACAAGCACACCGGTCGTCAATTCACCCTCCTTGACAGTGCTTGCGCCTTTCCACAGGATTGACATGGTGAGGATGGCCGCAACAGCGAAGAAATAGAAAGGAGCTGCGTAGAAAGCAACAGTGGTAGAATTTTTTCTCTTCAACACACCAAACTTGGTGATGAGGAAGATAATAGCAGCAATACAGCCACTAAGGGCAGGGGCGATACCCCATGCGGCGAAGACCTGACCAACGCCACTCCATTCCCAACGGACTGACTGAGCGCCACCGGAAGCGATACCGACACCGACGACAGCGCCTAGTAGAGTGTGAGTGGGGCTTTTGAACGTCTATAGCACACGCACCTATTACTGTGTGAGTTGCAGATACCGGCATGCCCATACTCGTTGCGAATAGCTGGAATGTCGCACTTCCAGCGGACACACAGCCGAATCCAAGCATCTGGAAACCGACAGTTGGGAAATTGGAGAGGGGAATGATATCGTCTTTGATTGTAGACGCTACACGTGAACCGACGAGAATTGCACCCAGGAATTCGCAAACCGCGGCTGCGAGAATCGCCTGCCTGAAACTGAGGGAGCGTGAACTGACCGAAGTGGCGAATGAATTTGCGACATCATTAGCGCCCATTCCGTATGCATCAAGGAATGAGGTTCTGCGTTTGTTAGTGGGTTAGCCGGGTGTAACGTTTATCGACTCACATAAGCGTGATGGCGAATATGTAGTCGAGCGAGGCAAGACGTGACATTTAAAACGATTTTAAAGCTCTTGTCGTTGTTTGGGAGAAGAAGTCTGAGAATTATTTAATCAGTTTCTAGCCACGTTGTCAAAATTCTGGGTGCACGTTTTCAGGAACAAATCTCGGCTTATCAAATTTCTGTCGGTGTGAGCTGCTGCAGGTGAAATTGTGCGATATCTAAAGCTCCTGTCAACAATCACCTTCCTTTTCTCGCCTCAAATTACGTCAAAATTTCATTTGGCTCGAGCAACGTGCTTGCCAAGATGATCCGAAAATTCTACCCAAATGCCGCGCCTGTGCCTGTTTCATGGCTATGGCTAATCATACAGCTATATGCATAGTTGGTATACAAATTACACTTTCACACATATTACACCTGCTCAGAAGTATCGTGAACGGGTTGATATGCGTTGTTATTCCTAAATCTACCGAATGACATCATCCGACGCATTCCAAGCGAGGGCAGCACATTCTCGCCATCTTTCTCGCGTGCCTTTCCTTTGTCTTTCCTACGCCTCTCTTTGAATCCTTCGTCCGGTATCTCGTAGACCTGCGTCCAGTCAACACCAAGCTGCTTGCCATTAGTCCAGAAGTCCAAGCAATTGCCAACAATGCCGATATTGAATGGGTTATTCGTCTTGGATGATTTAGCCAAACCTTCTCCCGCTTTGCCCTTGGTAAATCTATCCAGACCTAAAATTTGTAGTAGTAAGTTTGGTTTTTGTACCTTGGGTGGATTGACGTTGGGGTTATTGGCGAGTAGCTGGCGATGCTTGTTTACCATACCCTGCTGTTCCGCTGCGCTAGTCCCTTTACCTCCCATAAAGCCGAAGCGACCCAGATTCGTCACTTCCATCGTCGTCAGCTGCCTGGCTATTTGCCACAGTTGTGTGCATAGCAAAACTATCGTCCATGAGAGTTGCAAGGTGAGCCATGCGGACATTGAGAACAGGAAGCCGTCTTGATGCGATGCAATGCACAGGTTCTGCGGCATCAAGCAGAACTGCATGTCGGCGTCTATATCGTCAAAGGTGTATGTGGGTGATATTTGTTTGAACACTAAATAGGTGTTAGATGAGGCTTTCTTTAGCAGTGTCAAACGTACTTTCAAATGACAGCTTGTCAAATGTGATTATACCAACAATCATGCTCACAAGAAAGCAGATAAATTGCCTATGGTTGTTACTTCCGATGGCGTTCCACACCCATGGGCAGTAATGATCGAATCTAGCGACGAGCTTGTTCGTGACTCTGTCATATTTACTACGGAGTGGCTTCTTGCACTTATTTGGGTATCAGAGGGAGTACTTTAAACATCTCATCTCACCCACCAAAGTATAGATGCAGAAATTTTGACCATTCATCCTTCCCTCCGAAACGAGCTCCTCGATGTGCTGCTTAATTTCAGACTGACTGGATGGCCTGGGCACAGTGCCAGGATCTAGGTGAATGGCTCTGAGGAAGTTCCATACACATACAGTCAAGCTGATGATGAAGAGTACGTTTGCCAAAGGATGTTCCATAGTGTTCCATACTAGTCTAGTAACCCAGCAGTAGGTGAGCCAAAGCATGGAGGAAAGAACTATAGAAGCAAGGAAAGGAGTCTTGACAAGCTCGTTGTTTTGACCCCGATTGTCAAGTAGGACTTTTGCGACAATGTGAAATTGCGCATACGACTCACCGATAGCAATTGGAATGGCCATGTAAGAGGGTAAAGAGGAGAGGGTCCAGAAGATGAGACCCATGAAGAAAACTGGTATAAAGAAGATGACAATGTTTGTGTTACGCTGTGTGTGGGGTGTGAGGGGTGGCTAGGAATAAATAACCAACTAACATCTGATAAGGGTTTATCGCGCACGCGACCGTCTTCATTTCTGCCGCCATCAGCTAAAGCGCGTCTATAAGCACCGATAGATTTCAATTCGTGTGCCATAGCAAGAGGAGTTTTACCGTCGTTTGATCTTGCGGATAAATCACCGCCTGCTTCGATGATATGTCTCAAGCAGACTCTGTTGCCTGGAGACATGTAAATAAGAAGGTTTGATTAGAGAAAAGAACAACGGACCTCTAACAGTAGCCCAATGTAAAGGAGTAAGACCAGCATGATCAGATTTGTTGACATTGGCACCGTGTCTGATGAGAGCGTCTACAGAGAGAGCATCGCCTTGGTATGCAGCCCACATGAGTGGAGTGTGACCTTGAATATCAGGAGCATCGATCTCAACGTTCTGTTGAAGGATATAGAAGACGGCCATGATAACGCTTGAGTGTACAACCAAGTGTAGAGCGTTGAAGCGCTGGCTGTCAACGATGGAGGGATCAGCGCCGTGTTTGATGAGAGTATGGAGTACGTATAAGTGTCCGTTTCTAAGGCAATGTCAGGATTGTGTTTATTATGTTTAAACCATAAACAAACCTAGCCGCCCATTGTAAAGGCGTTGACACGAGTTCACCACCGAATGAATCTACTTGGGCGCCATTTTCAAGTAAATAGGTGCAAGTATCTAATTGAGCATTTATTGAAGACCAATGGAGCGGAGTTATATTCTCAATATCCCTGTCATTCACGTTGGCCTTGCGATTCGAAATGAGATTGTGAATGCAAGCGGTATCACCACGCTGAGCAGCAGAAAATATATCCAATTGTTCCGGCTGTTCTGGCTGTGATTCTTGTGGTGCTTGTTCCCCCACGCTGGTTTCGTGGCTGTCGTGCGTGTCGTGGTCCATGACTGCAAGAGACAAGGCTTGAAATCTAATAATAGTAAATCACTTGGCGAGTTTTGTGATTTTTTATTTTAATTATTTATATTTGTTTTTAGATTATTTGCCTCTTAACTTAAACCACCAACTGTAAGTCGACTTGAACTGGCAATTGGGATTCGAGGATGTAAAATTTAAGATAGGGACAGCTTAGCAAATTATGCTGATTTATCTTGTGATAGTTTTTTCTGATTTCCCTGTCAAATTGCACCTTGAATTTTCTAACAAAACTTCAGAAATATTGTCATGATTAATAATTTCAAGTAAATTTATCATTTTATACTTTAAAAACCATTCTCAGCTTTGTTAAAGGGTCAATGGCGTCCTCGCCGACATGGATGGCACTTTGATTGAATCTACACCCGCCGTCGAGGCTACTTGGGCCCAATTTGCGCAAGATTATCCTTTCATTGACTTAAACTACGTACTCAGGCACTCGCACGGTGTACGCACCCACGAGAACGTCAGTCAATCCCGCCCACACCTTCCATCCTCACACGCAGACAGATGATTCGCTTTTGCAAGCTCCAGAATCCAGACACCATTGCGTCTGAAGCTAAGCGCTTCGAAGAGACTATCCTTGCATGTGCAAAACACAGACAGGAGCAGGGCCTGAAGGGGTTAGTTGTTCTGCCAGGAGTTAACACCCTTCTAGAGCAGCTCAATGCCAACCACCACAACTGGACTATTGTCACTTCCGCTACAAGAGTCTACGCGAACGCCGCTCTCCAAATATCCAACATCCGCCAGCCAGAAACGTTTATTACTTCAGAAAATGTCTTGCGCGGGAAGCCTGACCCTGCACCATTCTTGGAAGGCGCAAAAGTTATTCATCAGAATCCACGCGACTGTCTCGTCCTAGAGGATGCTCCTTCGGGTATTCAAGCGGCTAAAGCTGCCGGTGCACTTGTCATAGCACTACTGACATCATACCCTATTGAGACTATAAAAAATGCGCACCCAGACTTTATTGTTAAAGATTTGAGCAGTGTCTCTGCCAAGTGGTTAGACGATCACTATGAAATTAATGTGGATATAGTCGAATTGTAGATCTTTATATTTCTCTGTGCCTTGCATTTACGAACAATCAAACCAATATTGCTCCTCTCAAATTGGCTCGCGGAGGAGATGCTGTGGGTCAATTGCAGACATATACAAAAGACGCTGCTACAGCGGTGGTTTGAAGAGATTCCTCCGCATCTACTGATACCATGAATATGATTGCAATCGTAATTATTCAATATCAAGCGTGAAGGACAACACCCGAGTGAGCCAACATAAACTTCCCAACAACCGCATCGCATCTGCCAACAAACGACCAAGGCGACAATGCATATGAATACACCACTTACCAAGAAGATATAATGGGATATAGATCAATCTCAATGATACTTGGCGGTGGAGATATTGAACAACTTAGTCTACGCTCAGGTTTACAGTAAATTCAGCGGGCTATCATAAATAAAGCCTTAGAAGCAGGCCTCGAGAGAATTATCGGATATTTCATAGTCGAAATTGAGCTAAACGACGTTTGATCCGGCCTTCTTTACTTAACCCATGCCTTCTAACCATTTTTTCATATTACTGTATCTTGTAAATTAATTCAATGCTATTCTATTACGAAATTAAAAGTATAAATGTAAATCTAGCTCTATATTTAAACATTTCCCGTGTTGATGCTTTGTGCAAGTATTAAGTAATTCTGTATCTAGTTGGTCTTGTATTAAAGTAGTATCCTTATGCCCTAGGAACTTCATGTGTCGAGGGTTGAGGAGATAAGCCCATTCCTTCCTGATATTTGTCATCACCCTTCTTAGGTGCCGAATCCGCAACATCTCCTCTGCGTTCCTTGTTAGGCGGCACCCACTTCTCCGATTGCCATGCCCTCAGTCCCTTAACTGAGTACATTTCATCGACGTTCTCTAAAGACAAGCCAGCTGACTCATAGCAGAAAAAGAAAACAAATCCAGCTGCAAAGAGGTTGCAACCCGCGAAGACGTATCCATAGCCATATCCTATGGCGCTAGTAATGAATGGTGAGAAGAAGGAAATAAGGAAGTTCCACGTCCAGTTCGAGGCTGTCGCAATTGATGCCTGTCTTGCTCTAGTGCGCATTGGGAATGTCTCTCCGACAATGATCCAAGCGCCTGGGCCGTAAGTACAGGCAAAAGATGCAATGAAAAGACAGGCTGCCACTATCATCCCCTTTCCAATCTTAGGGTTGTCTTCAGGAGGCTTGGCAACACCGAGAGAAGCGAAGATGATGAGGAATGCACCCTGCCACAAACCACCCCAAATGAGTGGCTGACGACGTCCGAAGTTCTCCATAACGTAGAGACCACCGAATGTACAAACGAAGTTTACGGCGCCCAGAATGATTTGGGTGATGAACGAGTCTTCAATACCAACCGACTGGAAGATGGTGGCTCCGTAGTAGAAGAAATAGTTCACACCAGTCAGCTGCTGCAAAGATTGTATGATGATTCCAAGCATCGTTCGATACACTAGCTTTGGGGTGCCTTTGTGGCCAACAAAGCACTCTGCCCACGACTTCCAAAACGAAGAAGCTGAGTTTTTTTCGATTTCAATGTTTCTGGAAATCTCTTCGAAATCATGCTCGACGACGCTCCTGTCAGCATCCGTACGTACACCTCTGATCTTCTCGAGAGCACGTCTGGCTTCTTCATGCTTATTATTCATCATGAGCCAGCGCGGCGACTCTGTATGTGTGTCAGCGGTGTGCAATGTCGTCACAGGCACTCACCCGGCAAGAACCAAATCCCGATTCCGAGAATCAGAGCGAAGACATTACCAAGAGCGACAATGATTCTCCACGACGCACTGCTATCCAGAGTGCGCGTGCCGATGCAGAAGCAATATGCCATCAAAATACCAAATGTTATGGCCAACTGATAACATGCGACTGCCGTACCTCTAAAGGCAGCCACGACGCATTCTGACATGTACATGGGTACTGCGGCGGACAACGCACCGACA